TGTGATAGTAACGGTCGAAGAAGAAACGGATGAGCAAGCAGCGGAAACACTTGCCATAACAAGGTCCAAGTCCAAAGCAGCAATCAACCCAGAAACTCAATCTATCACACCCCCTTCGTCATCGCACTCTGCTTCGATTCCGGCCTCCGCACAATCTACCAACCCTTCGTCCTCATCACGCGTCGCACCAATGGAAACTGTCAAAACCGCTACTAGTGAGACAAGAAGAAAGAACCGGCATTCAAGTACGAATCAAAGGCCGCTTCACCGGATTGCAGCCAAACGTCTCTATGAAGCGATCCTCAATATGCCTGTCCAACACTTAACGGTATCCGATCTTCTGTCGATTAGTCCAGATCTGAGGAAGGAGGCAGTCGAGTACTCACGCACCCAACGAGTGCCAACGCCCGCGGCCGCGCGCCCTGAAAACGTGGTCACAACTAGTCTAACCAGCCCCCCACCCCTCCAAATCGAGCACGCAACACCCTTACGAGAAATTCGCGTCACGTTGAACGGGACACACTCTGAGTTAGGGTTGCTGGACGAAGGGTCAGAGATTGTCGTCATTCGAGAGGATGTCTGGAGGAAAACGAACGCGGCCTATCAATCAAGACGTTCGCATGCAAATGCAAACGGCAAATGGAGGGATCTCAGGAGATGGCTGGATGCTTAGAGGATGTTGGAAATAGACGTCGAGGGAATTAAGACATGGGCCCCACGCGTATGTAGTACCAGACGCTCCTTATCGATTACTCTTGGGACGACCATAGGCAACGATTAGTCCGCCTCTCAAAAGCCGAGGGACACTAATAATGTTCATGTCTCGGTGCACGATCCTATGGACCCGAATATCACCAGGACCCGTCAAAACCACCCCTCGTCCTTGGCCTCATCCCTCCCTTGCCTTAACAGCGGCAAGCACTTCTTCCATACCCCCCACACTCATCCTCATCGGCCCTGCCTACCTCTTACTCCCCCTCTAACCAGCTCGACGAACATTTACCATGCCATCAAATCGTTTGGTGACGTTTATCGCTGGTTTCCCAACACAGCGTGGCCGATGAGAACAAGATCGAGAGAGCCAATGACCAGTATTGTGCGAATCTCGGCAATGAAGATCAATGCCAAACTTGGAGGCGTTAATTCACTGCCAAATCCGAAGCTGGCTATCCTGCCGACCAATTCGACGGACATTTACCATGCTATCCCCGAATCTCGTCTCACCTTCTCCTCCTTCGCCGAATTCCTCCTCCAAGCGCATTTCGATATAGATCCCCTTCGCCGCTCCTTTGCCTATAAGAAAGTCGCTAACAAGGTCAGACCCGTCCCTACCACCATGCCAGCGCATGCGCGCATCATCCGTACCTTTCCAGAAGAACCTCTCTTGTCCCTTCCTCCCCTCACCCCCACACCCTCAGCATTCACTCCTGGCAAACGCCTCACGAAAGAACGTATGGGACGACCTTGGCGTATTCTCAAACGAGTTCTTGTGGCCGGAAGAACGAAACCTCGCCGCGCAAGTCCTATCCAACAACGAGGTAGCTCTCGCTTGGGACGAAACGGAGAAAGGACGTTTCCCGTGACGACTACTTCCCACCTGTCATTATTCCAACCATCGAACACACTCCCTGGGTTCATCGACAACCACCCATTCCCCCCCGGCATTCGCGAAGAGGTCGTCAAACTCATTCAGTCGAAGATAGCGTCGGGAGTTTACGAAGCATCCAATAGCTCATATCAGTCGAGGTGGTTCTGCGTCGCAAAGAAAAATGGATCCGTACGTATTGTGCATGATCTTCAGCCCTTGAACGCAGTGACTGTCAAGGATGCCGCAACCATGCCCTATGTAGAATTATTCGCAGAGCAATGTGCAGGGCGCGCTATATATTCGATGATGGATCTCTTCGTTGGCTTCGACCACCGCGCGCTCGCCGAAGAATCGCGCGACATCACCACTTTCCAGACCCCCCTCGGCACCTTTCGTCTTACAGTGCTCCCTCAAGGTTGGACCGACTCTCCCGCTGTATTCCAAAACGACGTAGCATTTATTCTACAGGATGAGATAGAGATCGCCCCCAACTTTCAAGACGACGTGAACGTCTTAGGTCCTCGAACTCGATACGAAATGCCTGATGGATCCTACGAAGTCCTCCCACAGAACCCAGGTATCCGCAGATTCGTCTGGGAACATTGCCTTGACGCCAACAGAGTCCTCCATCGTCTCAAACATGCCGGCGCGACTGTCTCAGCAAAGAAACTATTCCTTTGCGTCCCACAAGTACTCGTTGTGGGGCAACTCTGTTCTTACAAAGGTCGCACCCCAGATACTGCGAAGATCGCCAAAATTCAACATTGGCCGCCTTGCAAAACCCGCACAGAAGTTCGAGCATTCCTGGGCACAGCGGGAACCATTCGCACCTGGATTAGAGACTACGCACGTATTACCCATCCCCTAACCAACCTCACTCGCGCAAACGTCCCTTTTGCATGGACTCCCGAGACGCAAGAGGCCATGGACGAGCTCAAATCAGCCATAATTGCTTCCCCCGCTATCCAACCTCTCGATTATCACTCTCCTAACGAAGTCATACTTGCGGTTGATTCCTCACACATCGCATGCGGTTGGATATTGTTGCAACTCGACAATGAAGGCCGTCGTCGTCCTGCTCGTTTCGGTTCAGTCACCTGGAACGAGCGAGAAAGCCGTTATTCACAGGCGAAAGTTGAGCTATATGGCCTATTTCGCGCCTTGCGTGCGGCCAAAGTATGGCTGATCGGACTCAGAACGTTCACAGTGGAAGTCGACGCCAAATATATTAAGGGTATGTTGAGTAACCCGGATGTTCACCCCAACGCCGCAATCAACAGGTGGATCGCGGGAATCTCCCTCTTCGATTTCAAACTCCGTCATGTTCCTGGAAAACGACATGCTGGTCCAGACGGTCTGTCTCGACGACCACGAGCAGATGAAGACCCCGACGAGGAAGCTTCGGAGGAGATAGATGAGAGCATCGATGAGACTCTGGACAGTGGGATATGGGTGGCAAAGGGAGTTGAGGAAGGAATTGTAGAGACGATAAAGAAAACGCTAGCCTTCACGACTCTAGTTCCCCCATCTATCGACACCAGGATCCCTTCAGACGACACCTCTCTACAGCGTGATAAAGATCTTCGCATCATCCTCTCATTCCTCGAGAATCTCTCGTTCCCCTCTACCTTATCAAATTCCGAACGCTCTCGACTCACCAAGCGTGCGCACCAGTTTTTCGCGCAAGGACATCGACTATGGCGGAAAGAATCTAATGGACGTCATCAGCTTGTGCTGTTTGACTCCGACCGTTTACGCATCCTCCACGACACTCACGATACACTCGGACACAAGGGTTTCTATTCTACTCGACGGACGATAGCAGACCGTTTTTGGTGGCCCTCTCTCGATACCGATCTCGCCTGGTATCTGAAAACTTGCCATCAATGTCAAATTCGGTCAAACGAGAAGGTCGTGCTCCCTCCTACTGTGTCAATCCCCGCTCCTCTCTTTCGCAAAGTTTTCACCGACTCTATGCACATGCCACCATCTCACGGCTATTCGTATGTCGTCCAAGCACGCTGTTCATTGACGAATTGGCCAGAGTTCCGGATGTTGAGGAAAGAGACGGGATGCACCTTGGGTGCATTCATCTTTGAAGAGATCTTATGCAGATGGGGAGGACTCGAGGAGATAGTAACTGATAACGGGACGCCCTTTGTCGCCGCGCTCGACTGGCTCGCTCAAAAGTACCATATCCGGCACATTCGGATTTCGGCATACAATTCAAAGGCCAACGGCGTTGTTGAACGGTCGCATCGTACCATACGCGATTCACTTGTCAAGGCCTGTAACGGTGACATTACTGAATGGCCCACTCTAGCTCACCACGTTTTTTGGGCTGATCGAGTCACCACGCGAAAATCCACAGGTCACAGCCCGTTTTTTATGGCACACGGCATCGAGCCTCTCCTTCCTTTCGATATCACCGAAGCTACTTTTCTCCTCCCCGATATCACATCTCAACTCTCCTCGGCAGATCTGATAGCCATACGCGGCCGTCAACTGGCCAAACGAGATAAAGATTTAGCCGTCATGCATGCTCGAGTACTCAAAAGTCGCATCGCATCTATCCGAAACTTCGAGCGTCGCTTTGCAAACACTATCCATGACTACGCATTCAAGCGTGGTGATCTCGTACTTATCCTCAACAAGAAGATCGAAGCGGCGTCGAACGCCAAGTGCAAACCACGGTACTTTGGACCAATGGTCGTCGTCTCGCGCTCCCAAGGAAGCTCGTACCAGCTTGCAGAGCTCGACGGCAGCATATCCAAACTCAAGTTCGCCGCCTTTCGTCTCATCCCATATCACCCTCGCTCCCCCTCATCCATTGAAGTCACGCAGTTCATCGACCCTCAAGCCCTCGCAGGAGTCAATGACGAGCAGTCTTAGATGCGTTCTTTCTATTTTTCTGCTCCCTCTCTCATTTTTTCTCTCTCCTTGAACCGTTCTATCTTATTACACATATTTTAGTTTTATTGTTGGAAGATCGACCGAGGGCGGTCGATATTCAAAGTAAGGAGGGGATGTAAGGATTCCATATCCTCTACACCCCGACTAAGGCTTCATAATAAGATTCAAGGACTTACGTCTCGACATCCGCGTGACTCACTGATGCGAAGAAGCATCACGCTTCGCGTCCGAGTCACGCGGACACATTCTCTTTCCTTACCCTCATCTTCTCGTTATTCTCAACGACCAGCTCGGTCCTTCACCCTCATTCATACTATACCCTGGACTCATCACCTAACTCTCTCTCGTCATTCTTTTAGTTTCACTCCTTTCGTCCCAAAAAGCAGTCAAAAACCTAACAGCTCTCGTCATTCCTGTGCACGGCGAGCTCCCTATTACTACCTTCATTCAAAAACTAACATACTTTAACTCATTTCCGTTACTCCTACCCTGTCAGGCTCAACGCCACCACTCTCCGTCTCATCAAACTCTCCCTTTCGTAATAACCAAGACCCTTACCTTTTCATAGATAAAATACGGCCTTGTAGACTCGTTTTGAACGTTGGTTGATTTCCCCGCTACAAGCTCGCGTCCGATCCTAAGAACAATCCTATCGCTTTGAGTTACGCCATTCCCTTATCGAACTCAATAGCAGCACTACAACATCACGATGATAGACCCCTTCTTTCCACAGAGCGAGGTGACCTGCACGCCATATTAATGGAGACTCATAAGTGCATTCAAAATACGTACATAAAATACATTGGTACCACACGTCGAAAAGCTGGTTGTCATGGAGCTCCGTGATTGGTTTGAGCTTGGGGAATACAAGAATGTAGAGCACGCGACTGCCCGTGGTGGGTTTCACGACACCGAGCGCTTCTCGGACGGCGGACGCAGGATTCGCGAACGTGTGGTGCCAAAGGAACTCAAGAACACGGCCTTGGACAGTTGCGTGCCTCCCAGCAATCTCCTCAACCTTTTTCAGGATCTCCGACTCGCTAGTGCGATCAGACTCTCCCAAAAATATCTTGGCCACCGTTCCATCCTGGAAGTTGTCGTATTGCTTTGCAAGCGCTTCACTAGTGACACCGACCAAGCTGATGTTCTCGCTGACGACCGAAGCCCCACGACTGTTTGGGATGAATTCGAATTGACTATCACCTTCAACTGTTCCATTCGCGCATGGCAGAGTAGACGATGTGCCAGTCCCTCCAGCAGGGGACATGACGGTAGGTGTTCAATGATAACACTGGCTGAGTGTGGTGAGCAGCACTACTCAGGCGGAAAAAGTGAGGACAAGAAAGACGAATACTTCCTGCTTGCCTTATATCCGGTCAACCAATGTGGCGCAAATGGAGTGAACCATCGATCAATCTGACATGTGAGATTGTGGAAGCGGTTGTGAACCTACAGTTTAATTCGTGACTCCGACGACGCGTTCCCATCAACTCGTGCACGTGACCCTGACTTTCTCTGGAAATCCATTTCCGTCCCGATATCAGAGATCCATCAATACGCTACGCTCTCATTTCGTCGGAAAGAAGATCGATTGCAGCGCGCCAGGTAGTACTAGTATATCATATTTCTGTATAGTGAATTTAAAGGAACTCCGCTATCTAGCACGTCTCGTTCTCATCACAGAAGTTCTTCTAAGAATCTTGATTTTGGGATTATGTTCTAGGAGTAGAATTCAGTCTGACCCTTGCGCCATGTTCACAGAAAGAAGTATGTCAAATCTATGACTCAGTCGCAGTTCTCAACTTCTCTTGTATTCTTTTGTTTTTCGATAGCTACACAATGGTTGCCACCCCCCTTTAGATCCCTATTCTGCATCAGCCTGCATGATATTGCTGGTTAATATACACTTCTGTGTATCGTGAGTGATGTGTGAATCGGACAATCAATATTTGATTCCTTGCAGGGCCCGGGGGCACCCTTCTTGTCTCATGCCCCCGCTCATGATTCCTGGAGAGCTGGTTTGGCGCGTGAAGACTACTGTGGTGCGGTCTCTTGCTTTGCAGTGATTTCAAAAACCGTGTCTATGATTTCTGGCCTGAGAACACGTCGATACGATGGGCAGTGTGAACCACGAATCGTGGACAGCATGTCTTTTGACGTCATGGCACATACCACCGCATATCTATATATTTGACCGTCATGTAGTAGCAAAACACGGAAAACAGTATGTATCGTGACAACGAATAAAATTCACTGTGAAGCTAAAAGGTTGCTGAGCTTTACCCAGGCCATAGTCCTTGTGAATTTGCCTAGCACATTATCCATATCTTCTTCTATTGTTTCCTCGGCGTTTAGCTGCTCGCCTGATCCTTCCATCAATTGTTGTTCCTGAATACGGCGAACATGGTAAGTGTGACGACGGCGATTGGAGGCATCCACATCGAGCGCCTCGAAACAATCTATAAGGAGAAGCCATAAGGACCGATCTATGTCCGATCCCGAAATTTGGAGATATGGGGGTTTATGATCGAAAACATTTTCCAAAAAGACTAACTTCTTCTCGCCACATGTAATGGCGCCTAAAGTCGCCCACTCGTCAAGAAGGCGTGATTGCTTTGGTAGAAGGGCTCCCTGCCTGTAACGCAAGAAAATCCAGGTTAAAACCCATAAAAACGACTCTAAATTATGGCGGTATAGATGTTTAACTTCGCCTCGTTGAGCCTTTGCATGGAGAAGGTCGAGGGCCATGAACGGTACCGTGCCCGTACGCTCATTGCCCCGTGGACCCGGGTCATCCACCAATGAAGATAGGTCGTAGTCATTTAAGACACCGATCAGTTTTCTTTTTTTCCTGTACCACATCAAGTTTCCAGGGCTAATATCACGATGATAAACCCCTTCCTTCCATAGAGTGAAGTGACCTGTATGCTATGTCAAAAAAAGGGTCAAATAAATTGAATCAAACACGTACATAGGATAGATTGACGCCAGACGTCAAAAAGCTCTTTGCCGTAGAGCTTCGTGATGGGGTAGAGCTTGCGGAATACAAGGATGTAGAGGACACGACTGCCCGTGGTGGGTTCTGGGACACCGAGCGCTTCTCGCATGGCGGACGTGGGATTCGTGAACCCGTGGTGCCAGAGCAGCTCAGGAATGTGCCCTTGGACGGTCGGGTGCACATTGGCGATCTTCTCAACTTTGTCCAAGATTTTTGGCTCGCTGGTGCGACCCTCCTCTCCCCAAAAGATCTTGGCCACCATCCCATCCTGGACGTTTGGGAATTTCTTGGCGAGCGCCTCACTAGTGACGGGGACCACATTGGTGGCTCGTCCATGTAGTCCGTAGTGCGTCACCCTTTCGTCGTGACTGGTGTGAAGCAACAGATCCACCGTTCCAAGATCTTTGTCCTGGATTTTGAATTCGTGGCATTGTTTCCCCTCAACTTGAACTGGGAGGAACTCCTTGTTTCGACCCCAATCGTGGACCTTGAAGCGTTGTAACGCGTACAACAGCACCATGAATCGCGGGAGATCTTGAGTGAAGTTGATGCCCGAGCATTGAACGGTGCCCTGGCGATCATAATACCAGATCCAGATCACATCGTCTAAAAAGCCGTAGTAAGAGCGCGACCAATCTGGACAAACTAATGAACCCACCGACGACGATAAAATTAATCAGATATTCGACAGCAAGATTGGCCGCAAACATTTCGGCGGCGTACAGACCTGTCTGGACGGTCACATCTAGCTCGTCAGGATTAGCTTTGAATTTTTTCGCTCCGGGTCGCAAGGTGTCCGCAGCCTTGCGCTTAGAACTGGACCCGCCCTTGGAGGGCTCTGCGGCAGTAAGGCCAGAAGACGATAAACCTGCTGCTCGACCCATTTAGTTTGATCTTGGAATCATAAATGAAATCACTTACGTGCGGTGTCGGACGCAGGTTGTGTGGTTGGGATCTGCGAAGGGCCCTGATCCGGCTCTTCGGCCTTAAGATGATCCACCGGCAGATATTCTGGCTTAGTGGGAACATAATCTGTCACTGTGTACGAAGAGGGCGGTGGCTTAATCCCTTTCGTCCTACCTGGCGTCTTTCTCTTGAACTCGATGGAACCTAGAATATCTTTCCAGAAGAGTGGTGTTCGCGGCTTTTCCATTGCATTCTTGACCATGTGATCATTGCGCTCCTGACCGTCCTTTGTGTCGTCCTTGTGGTCGGCTCTTTGTTTGGCCTTCTGATCGCCCTTCTTGCCGTCCTTCTCATCCTCGAAGGAAGCACGTGCGCTGTTCAAAGGAATCATTACGACGTCGGGCTTCCGAACCGATGTCAGCGTCTTGTGGGTTTGGTACATGGGCATATCGTTTTGCTGGCAGATCATGTCCACGGTGGTGGCAGGAGCATCCATTCCGTCGACCTTAATTTCTTCAAGACAGGCGAGTGCGATATTGGTGGCCTGAATAAAAGGGCTGTAGAACTTGTTTTCTATTCCTGGACGTATGCTTGCAATCAATGTAAGCGTGGAAACTTTCGATCGTGAAGGAGCACTCACTATTCATTCAGGGCTGTCTCGATGCCCGAGGAGGATATGCCTCCAGCAGAGACATCACCGTTACAAACCGGTAGAACTGCCTCAAGACACTTTTGCAGAAGCTCGGGTTGCTTCGTCTCCGGCGCGCAAGACGCGCGCTGTAGGAGGGCTTGCAGCATAGCATCTGCCTTGCACTGCTTGGCCTGCTCGATGTCCCGCTGAATCCATGGGCGGACCTCCTTGACCCTTCGTGGAATGTCAGGTGCTACTCAATGAGAATAAGAAAGATGCGTACTGGACACCGACCAAGTCGATGTTCTCGCTGATGACCGAAGCCCCACGACTGTTTGGGGTAGATTCTAATTTAATATCACCTTCGACTGATGCATTTGCGCGTGGCGGAGTAGATAATGTGGCAGTCTCTCCAGCAGGGGACATGACGGTAGGTGTTCAATGATAACACCGGTTGAGTGTGGTGAGCAGAACTACTGAGGTGAAAAAAAGTGAGAGGACAAGAAAGACGAATACTTCCTGCTTGCCTTATATCCGGTCGACCAATGTGGCGCAAATGTAGTGGACCATCGATCAATCTGATGTGTCAGATGCTGGATTGATGTGGCGGTTGTGGACCTACAATTTAATTCTTGACTCCGACGACGCGTTCCCATCAACTCGCGCACGTGACCCTGACTTATATCTCTGGACATCGATTTCAGTCTCGTCCGTACCAGTATATATCGGAGATCCATCAATACGCTATACTCTAAGTTCGTCAGAAATAAGATCGACCAGGTAGTACTAGTACTTCATGTTTTTGCATGGTGAATTTAAAGGAACTCCGCTATCTAGCACGTCTCGTTCTCGGTTATGATCAACAGAAGTTCTTCTAAGAATCTTGATTTTGGGACTTATGTTCTCAAAGTAGAATCCAGTCCGACCCTCGCGCCATGTTCCACAGAAAGAAGTCTGTCAAACTTATGACTCAGTCGCAGTTCTCTTGTATTTTTTTGTTCTTCGATAGTTGCACACAATCGTGACTCCCCGTTTAGATCACTGTGCTGCATCGGCTTGCATGACATTACTGTTAATGGACATTGCTGTGTATCTTGGGTGATGTCTGACAATCAATATATTTGATCGCTTGCAGGGGGGACACTTCTTGTCTCATGCCCCCGCTCATATATTCCCAGTCGATCTCGTGGCCTTGAGAAAGAGTAATCCATCTGGGGCTTCAGTCCCGCACCCGGTCACCCTTGAAGTAGCCCTTTGCGCTGTGTGTCATAAAGTGAGAGAAACAAAAGCGCGTGGAGTCTTCGACACAGGATCGTTTTTAGACTAAACATGCGCAGGGCGTGAGTGGGATGCCTACCGGGCACGCATGGTGGGTAGTCTAGCGCGGGGCAGGGACGTGCTCCTTCTTGCCTGAAGAGCTGATTTGGCGCGTGAAGACTACTGTGGTGCGGTCTCTTGCCTTGCGGTGATCTCAAGAACCGTGTCTATGATTTCTGGCCTGAGAGCACATCAATACGATGGGTAGTGTGAACCACGAATCGTGGACACAGCAGGTCTTTTGATGTCATGGCAAGTTGGCAACTATGATACCAGCGCATGTACAGCAACCTCAGAGTCCCTGTGACAGCCAGTCAGTGAAGATTTGGCACGTATCTATATATTTGACCGTTTTGTAGAAGCAAAACACAGAAAACAGTATGTATCGTAACAACGAAAGAGAATCACTGTGAAGCTGAAAGGTTGCTGAGCTTTACCCAGGCCATAGTCCCTGTGAATTTGCTTAGCATATGATCCATATCTGCTATTGTTTCCTTGGCGTCTAGCTGCTCGCCTGATCCTTCCATCAATCCCTGCTGAACATGGTGAAGATGGCGAATGCGCCTACGGCGATTGTAGGCATCTATATCGAGCACCTGGAAACAATCCATAAGGAGATCCCATAAGGACCAACCTATGTCCGATTGAGAAGTTTGGAGGTTTGGGGGTTGATAACTGAAGCGATCGAACAGAAAGAACAACTTTTCCTTGCCACATGCAATGGCGCCTAAAGTCGCCCACTCGTCAAGAAGGCGTGATTTCCCTGGTAGAAAGGACTCCCTGCCTGTAACGCAAGAAAATCCAGGTAAAAATCCATATAAACGACTCTAGATCATGGCGGTATAGGTGTTTAACTTCGCCTCGTTGGGCCTCTGGAGTGAGACGTTCGAGGGCCATGAACGGTACCGTGCCCGTACGCTCGTTTCCCCGAGGACCCGGGTCATCCGCCAACGAAGATAGATCGTAGTCATTTAAGACACCGATCAGTCTGCCGTTAATCCTGTACCACATCAAGTTTCCAAGGTTGATATCTCGATGATAGACCCCTTCCTTCCACAGAGTGAAGTGACCTGTATGCTACGTCACAAAGGGTCAAATAAATTGAATAAAACACACACATAGGATACATTGATACCAGACGTCAAAAAGCTCTTTGCCGTAAAGCTTCGGAATGGGATAGAGCTTCCTGAATACAAGGATGTAGAGCACGCGACTGCCCGTGGTGGGTTCTGGGACTCCGAACACTTCTTGTATGGTGGACGTGGGATTTGTCAACCCGCGGTGCCAGAGTAGCTCAGTAATATGTCCTTGGACGGTCGAGTGCACATTGGCGATCTTCTCAACTTTGTCCAAGATTTTTGGCTCGCTAGTACGACCCTCATCTCCCCAAAAGATCTTGGCCACCATGCCATCCTGAAGGTTTGGGTATTTTTTGGCGAGCGCCTCGCTAGTGACGGGGACCACATTGGTGGCTCGTCCATGTAGTCCGTAGTGCAGTCACCCTTTCGTCGTGACTGGTGTAAAGCAACAGATCCACCGTTCCAAGATCATTATCCTGGATTTTGGATTCGTGGCATCGTTTCCCCTCAACTTGAACTGGAAGGAAGTCCTTGTTTCGGTCCCAATCGTGAACCTCGAAGCGTTGTAACGCGTACAATAGCACCATGAATCGCGGGAGATCTTGAATGAAGTTGATGCCCGAGCATTGAACGGTGCCCTGGCGATCATGATACCAGGTCACATCGTCTAAAAAGCCGTGGTAAGAGCGCGACGAATCTGGACAAACCAACGAACCCACCAACGGCAAGATTGGCGACAAACATTTCGGCGGCGTACAGACCTGTCTGGACGGTCACATCTAGCTCGTCAGAATTAGTTCGCTCCGGTTTGATTGCTGTGGCGGTTGTGGACCTACAGTATAATTCGTGACTCCGACGCGTTCCCATCAACTCGCGCACGTGACCCCGACTTGCGCAAGTTACGTGGTGTCGCAACCTTAAGTGTCGCTGCAGCACATAATTCAGACTACCATCATGCTTGTTCCATCTTATGTTTAGTTCTGGTACTACATCTGGGCTAATAGAAGAACCTGTTTAATAGTCCGGCAAACGCTCATCTGAGTTTGAAACTGCACACCGCCCCATTGATGCCATATCACCTCAGGCCCGATTAACAAGACAATATTATTACGGGTTAGTGAAGTAATAATTATGTCGACATCATGATGGTCATCGCTGATTGTTATGCTGCGACAGAGCCTCGGCGAATTTTACGGTCCATGTGTGACAGATTCGTCACTCGAACGTGTGTTAGTTCTGCCGTTCAACGTTCAACACCCAAGAACACTACATGCACGGAATGACCAAGCACACGTTCCCCGCCGCGCGACGCCCATATAATATCATTGACGTCTCATTACTCATCACTTACCTGCATTGCAACCCATTTGGGCTCTCGGCCATCACCTAAAATGCAAGTCTGCATTGTTGAGTTACCGAGACGACTGATCTTTGTCGTCATCATGACACCTTCTATCGGTATATCCAGGTCCCCGTGATGTGTGACTCACCTTAACAGCGAAATGCAGTATTTGCGCAGCCATTCGCAGTTGGGCGCCCTCTCTGGAGCATATAAGACGGGACAGCAACAAGGAAATACCTCATCATTCCCATCATCATGGCACTCGTTCTCCCAACTTTGTCTGCCTTCACTTCTTCCCGTCTCACAGCCATTTTGACGGCCAAGACCCAAGCAGACTTCACCGCAGCGTTTGATGCGCTTTTCGCGCGCAATGTCAATGTTGTTTACAATGGAAAGCAACTTTCAAGGGAACAGTACCAGGCACAGTTACTCGGTCAGAGCAGCGCTGCTGCTGAAGAGCAAGGCGCAAACGTCAGTCTTCAAGGTCAGCTAGAAATCCCCGGCAACGAAGGCCAACTGGTGAGCAAATATTTTTACTTTGTGCTCTGCCATCTCATTCAAGAAAATCGCAGTCTGGTGTTGTCGGTCTATTCTACACTTCCCTTGTTGACTCAAAGTTCCTTGTCTTTGGAGCTCCCGCGGAGAGCAAACTAACTTCTTCATTCAATGCTATGTAATATCTATTTGTCATTGTGATTGCTCAGCCATCTGACCATTTTATGCTGCGCAGCATTCAGGCTACAGAGCCTCGACCTCCATCCAACCCCCGTATTCGCGGATATTTTGACCCCCGTCGCATAGTGACAGTGAACCAGAATGCTACCGAACAAGCCCTGCAAGTCACCATTCCTCACTCTTCCATTAAACCAACCACACCTGGCGTCACTACTAAGAATTTCGCGCTTCCACAGGGGCCGTTTGGTGCACCCTTTGGTCCCGGACCTGTACGCTTGGGTCCCACAGAGACAAATCCTGTCTCAGAGACGTTCCCAGGGGATGGGGAGTTTGGTGCACCTCCAGTCATGATCCCTGGAGAAACTATTGGTGAAGATACTAATACCAAGGCATGAGTATCTCGATTTCTCTCATACAGTATAAACATCCATGACAAGGACATATCTTGACCTATGTATCATTACTTGTACATTACAGTAACAATCGGAATAATCTTTCTGGAGGATGTGATGATATCATATAAACTTGGGGAGCACATGGCGTGATCGAGTGCATGGAATACGGCCAAAAAGTTGAGTATCGATACAATAAGGGCGACATTAATCGCGCAAGATTAACAGGCATGATTCAAGAATATTCCCCGCGGTCTGCCTTTACCTAGCTGCATGTCAACATCAAAGATGAAGAATTCGCATTCACAACACTCACATCAGCCTCGCTCTCCGTTGGGCAGGGCTCTCTCACAACTTCTGTTGTCTCCTCATAGACGACGTGCCGCTTGATGGTGCGCCCGTCTGGCTCTATGTCAGTGCTCTCCTGATCTATTCCAAGATCACCAGCACCGACAACGCCCTCAAACTCACCCACTCTCGCAGTACCAAGGGGACCAGTTACTTCATCTTTCAGGTAGGATGCCTCTCTGTGATCCATTTGCTCATCTGCTTGACGCTTCGCATTAACATAATCAATCGTCTTGCGCTGAAGATCGTCGAGTGTGATGGAAGAGCGGTCAGCCTGCGAAACGATATCAATGTCATTTTCTCTCGACGTTTCAGCGATGTTGTACTAAGCACCTTCACATGTGCTTCGGATGCGGATGCTAGATCTTCGTTCCACCCTGGTGCATCATCGTGTGGGGATGAAGTTTGATGGGTGCCGGACAAGTTTCTTCGTTTCTCTCGCTCCAGCGTCTGTAATAAAGAAATTTCGTTCTGCTTCGAGGGCAAATGGCTGGAGCAAACGTACCTCCGGATCATTGTTATGCATCGTACTTTGGTAATTAAGTCATGATGAGCATGGTAGTATGTGATATTGAAATTATAACCAATACCTAGTGTACTGGTCTTCCATTATCATACCTTCGGCCTCTCAGGCTAGACAAGGTGTCTGCTTTGTGGGCGGATCTCGCACTTGCATATCGCGACGGAGCTCCTAGTGTTCTCTTTACAGAGCAGCGCACTACAGTAAAATAGCTCATTCTGCTTGGCGGAGGGGATGGACTCTTGAGTGAAACAAAGTCTTGGTACACTTGAAATACTTGAACCGTGCCCCTAACGTCATCTGAGCCAAAAGTTTATGATGTCATACCCGTGGAAACGCCTTATTTTGGCATGTGTGTTGCGCACCATGATGTCCGGGAACTTCCGTTCAGTTGTATGGCACCTAAAGCAAGGCATTGATTTAGTGAGTGCACACGACATCCGACTAATGAGCGGCGCTGCCGGTCTCATCATTGCACAACTTGTTCATGCATTCTAACACAAGGACTCAGTCGGAAATAAACCCATCATGGCGCAAGACTAGTCGACTCTGACTACATCCCTGCGCAATTTTCTGAACTGATACCTGGCCAGTGATTTTTTCGATACGGGAGTTGCGCATTGCTCGGGTACTTTGTCCATACTACGGTATCTTCAAAACGAACCTTCGTCCTGTGAGTGGCAGCATTCAATTTCATGTTCAAGCCCGTTTAGACGAACGCACTTTCTCGGGGTTCTTGCAACCTGATTCACTGTGCATGCAGTGGATGATATCTCTGGCTGTACTCGAAGACGCACGTTTGTTAAAACCTTCGTTCGGTAATACTCTGGTACGTTTGTGATGATAATACAGATACTTTGTTACTTCTATCCCGCCCCCTTCCGATAGTCCTATCTCCCAGCCACCAATACTGCTCGATATCTGATCTCTCCTTTCTCGAGTTTAGCCATAGCTTCTTCGATTCCCTCGGCCGTCAGTGGGAACTCTTGGGTGATGGGTTTGATGCCATGGACGGCCACAAATCTTAGCATCTTGGCGTGGACACCACGCGATGCACAAAAGATTCCCTGTATTCTCAACCCCTTTGAAATGATAGGCGTATAGGGCATGACAAAATTCCCATGGGATACAGTGATAGGATATATAGTAGCGTTGGGCGCCAGAATCGAGAGGAAGCTATGAATCACATAAGTCAATCCATCAAAAAGTACTTTAAGATAAGAACTCACGGGTCCCAATCAGGGAGATGCGAAGTTGTTACGAACAGGTGCTTAATCGGCTTCCCGACATCCTGTTTGCTCACATTCCTCGTATAAAACTCCTTTGCACCTAAACTCTTCGCCTCTTCCCTCTTACGATCGCTTCCAGAGAAAACTACAACCTCGCACCCCATTTTCGCTGCAAATTGGATGGCGATGTGACCAAGACCACCGACACCTATGATTCCCACTCGGTCGGCAGGCCGAACATTATACAAATACATCGCGTTGAATACCGTTGCTCCGGCACACATCAACGGCGCCGCGTCAGAGGAAGAGACAGCATCGGGGATATGGAAGAGGAAAGCTGCCTTCCACACCGCGTGGGTAGCGAATGCACCTTGGTCAGTGTTGGCCTTTCCGTAAGTAGACCTGTCAGGGCAAAAAAACTCGTTTGCGTTGAGGCATTCATCACAGTGCCCACACGAATTATGGAGGAATCCCCAGCCAGCGCGATCGCCACTGTTCAAATTCGTGAGCTACACGACAATGCAAATGACAAGCGGGTATACACTTTGAATGAGGTGACTTGCGATCCGACCTGCTGCACGACGCCAACACCTTCGTGGCCGAGGACCATGTCTGATGTCTTGTAATGTTCGTCTGTACCGCACAGGCCAGCATGGGTGATTTTGAGCAGTACCTCGTCTGGTTTGAGGCTTTCTTTGTGAGTTTTTGACTCGACTATCTTTCCGGTGAGGGAACCTCTGAAGACGGTGAAGTCGATTCCGGTCATTCTAGTCGCTTTCTGTACGGGAATGGGTGCTAGGCGCAATTCAAGTAGACAATTGAAGGCCAACCCTTTTATATCTCCACTAACATGGGGTGGGAGCTCGAAGAAGCATTGTGATTTGTTATCTGAAATCCTATGGAGGTAAGCATTATAATAACGTTGACGTGCTAAACACAAAGGGATACTGATAGAAATCAAAGTTCATATGCCTTTTGAAGCTGGCTCGTGGCACCTGATATGATCCCTGGAAGCGCCCTGACCGTGTAGTTCGTTATCGACAGACTGTTTACTATGTATAATACCTGGCGCTTGTTGGAAGCTGGGCAAGGGGCAAGGGGCAAGGGGAATCGCTTTCAATATGTCAAGCCACGTATTCAATAGAAGGAGTTCTAGCGCTTGTCTTCCACATGACTTCCGTGCGGCACGATACGAATATTTCGGTGTATCTCTCCGAGATTTCGCATCACGCCGAATTACTACATCAAGGCATGCAAGTCGCACGACTTAATTAAGTGAAGGTCTGTAGTAATATCTGAATCACCAGAAGCACCATGGTACATTGCTTAGCCGTTAATATTTTAGGACATGCATAGAAAGACCAATCAAACTAGCTAAAAACTGATCATACTTCGACCGATCCAACACCAGCGCCGCAGAAGCCCACTCCTCTCAAATTCCAGCGGCATTCGGTATCCTGGGCGCCTCCAGACTGATCAAATGCTCGGCTGATCACCGTCACCTTGGTCTTCGAGCGTCCGTTCCTCTGTCCCTGGTTAGCCCACTCAAGAGCATCAATGTCGATGTCTACTACGACTTCGCCTTCCCACAATGACCAACTCCAATTGCCCTCTTGGTATGTGATTCGAACTTCGTGCCATGTCTCGCCGCCATCCCCGCTGATTTCCACACGCGAGATAGGGGAGTGGGAGTAGGCGTAACCTATGACTTTAAGAGTCTTCTGGTCAGGACAAGCAGGTGTCAGACACTGGACGTGGGCAACGACCGAGTTGCAGTTAAGTCGTTGCATTGCAGGTACACGGCTCCACCAATCCTCGTTGATGGCCTTCTCTGGAGAGGAAACCTATTTGCAGCAAAGATGTTGGACATGAGCCTGCATCGCGATTAGATATGGATGACATACACATTCGGGCAACATCTTGTAATCGCGCTGCTGATAGAAATTGGGCGATTCGTTCCTTGAAATAGTGATACGGTCCACCCATTTAACCCATCGCATGCCAAAGTACCCAGGCACAACGACACGCAAAGGGAATCCATGATCAGGTGTAAGGGGCGCATCGTTCATCTAGTACGAAACGTGAATATACGCGCACTTCTTAAACCAATAATCTGACCTGGTAGGCAAGCATAGCAGCACCATCCTTTGCCATGACCTCCTCAAGCGGAATAGACCCTCCATAGGAAGTGTCATCCTCGCACGGCGCAACATGCGAGGCGAAGCAGACGTGGAAACCTTTTTGAGCGTCTTCCTGCTCAGGGATTCCTGCACTGATCAATATGTCACGCAGGAGCACACCGCCCCAGCGCGCATTCGCAATGGTACCCTCAGACCACTTAATACCTCGGACCTCTTTCCCGGTGTTTTCTTGCATCTTAGCACGACGGTTACCAGCGCACTAGATTGAGAGGTGAGTGTATTACATTCTTGAAATGCCAAGGATGACCTACGACGAGAGCAGCCACAACCACCTTTCTTGGAAAGGATGCGATCATGTCCTTGACGTTCAATACCTTCTCTTCCATCCCCTCCATTTCGCCATCGATCTTGACCGTGTAGCTGTCGAATTCGGATGCCAGATCCTTAATTACAGCTGTAGATGCCACGAATATCATTCCATCAGCGACGTCCGTGGTCAAGTCAAGCATTAAAGGATGATAATCAGATGGGATGGAATATCCAGGCACGACATCAGAGTCGGTGATCGTAGATCATAGGATCGAGAGCCAGTGTCAGGTGCATTATGGGAGACAGAAGAGGTTGTAGCATAGTTTGGAAGAAACATACAATGGTTACGGGAATATGCCAGGTGCAGTGGTGTAATGGTGTGCTTTGTGAGCTCCACGAGACATGGTGGTTCGGCATTGAGAGGTGACTGGCCAAGCACCCGCAAATCAGTCTTGCCCATGTTGGTATCGTTTAGAATGTTGACAAAGAAATGCTAGAGACGATGAAACATGGCATCAGTACAATCCAATACATTGAGTTGGCTAGTAGGTAGTCACCGATGTAAGAAGTATATGCTCACTGAAGGAGAAATCAAACAGTGAGGCTTGGGGAAATGCAAGAAAGTGGGCTGGTTTTATAGGAAAAGCATGTATGCTTAGACTCAGATACACTCATAGACGGAGCTCGAGCCCTAGGGCCCTAGCTGAGACTTGGGTGCAATATTTTGTCTGTAGATTTGAGATCAGTGTAACAAATATAAATACGGCGTAACACTAATAAAAGTTTCGTTTGCAAGCTCCGAGAGCATCACCTGCAGGTCCGGGGAGAACTTTAACACCACAAGAAGCGAATCGCTTCAAAGTTCAAATTACATGAGGATGTTTACTAAATGTCAGTGGACTGCTTCCCGTGTTTACTTCTAGACATAGCTAGTCTACTCGTCTGCTTCACCTGCTACGATGACATCGTCTGTAGAAACAATCAACGTTTTGTCGGCAAGAGATACTGTTGACTTGCCTATTTTCAGGACTGCTCGAACCAACTGCAATTGGGAAAACGCATTGAGACATCGTGCATCAAAGTGACAAGTAAAAGTGTTCGTACCTGGGTGGCGAGTAGATATTGTTGTCGCTTCGAGATCAGAGGGTCATAAACGAACTGCTTCTTCATGTCTAGAATTCCAAACTTCATTCGAGTGTTTCAAATATGCAACGTGTTATCACGCACCATTCTCTCCCCTTCCAGAACAATCGATTCCAAGTCTAGAGTTCTTCTCTGTGACCTGTCGACTCTTGACTTCTGTCAATGTCTCGATTGGCGAGAGACCACTGTTCTCAGCAAGTGCGAGGGGGATTGCGTCGAGAGCAGCTGCAAAAGAACGCATCGCATATTGCTCAATGGATGGAATCTCATCGGCAGCTTTCGAGACAGCAATGGAACAACTGATATCAGCAGCACCACCCCCATATACCACGCGGTTGTCCACGACAAGATTACGGACCGCGCAAATAGCATCGTGTAGGGCACGTTTTGCCTCATCGACGATCTATGTGCCTTGATATCAGATGGTGTATGCAGTGAGGGTGAATAGAAGGCAGACCATTTTATTACTTCCGCGAACAAAGATTGTGACGGCACGGGAGTTGGCACACTCCTCAATAACGAGCATCTTGTCGCGGGTCGTGCCGAATGTGACCTCCCGCACGATACCTGCCTTCCCAAGTTTTTGCGGTGTAAGATCCTCGAATCGGGGGACGATTCGACCTTGCGTCGCTATGGCGATCAACTAAGATCAGAACATCAATAATGCTTTCACGGTAGGGAGCATTTGTGAAATTCACCTCAATTTCTGGCCCACCAACCCATCGAACTGCAGGCAGCTCGTTCTGCATCAACAAGTGATTTGCTTCGTCATCAAAACCCCACTGGCAAATGACCAAGTTCGCTCCAGTATCTTTCACCATCTTGATCATGTCTTCGAATTTCTCCTTTTCATAATCTCTGAGGTGCTTAAACTCTTCTACAGACGTGATTTCGAGCTTGTGCTTAGTCTTGGGTCGTGGAGGCTCAAAGGGACAGGTGAGAATTGCAAGGCGAGCATCGCGCACGCAAGAGGGCATTTGTGGATGGGACATATCCTTGTCGATGAGAACGCCCTTGATCAGCGTCGTGTCAGCAAGGGAGCCGCCAACTTTGCCGTCAACCTTGATGAGGTCAAAGGGAACATCACGACGTTCAAGGTCTGCAACTGTCAGAACAGCATCAACCGCGATTTGAGCGAACTGCTGCAACTCCTTTGATACGCTGAGCCAAATTTAAAGCATATTCAAGGAAAGAAAGAATGGACTGGCGCACATTTTGCTGCCTAGACTAGTCATTGCGGTCTTGAGAAGATTCTCTTTGTTTTCGGGTGAGAAATCGACACGATCTGAGATGCTGTCGAGTTTCTCGCAGGCAACCGTACAGGCCCGGTCAAAACCATCTGCTATGCGGATGGGATGAATACCACGGTCCAGCAGATCTTCACTCTTTTCCAAAAGTGCACCAGCCAGAACTTCAAATGTATTTCAATAAGAGCAAAGGGATGGGTACGAGTTAAGATCGTACCGACAACGCCAGTGGTCCCGTCTCCGATCTCATCATCCTGGCTTTTAGACAGCTGTACAAGGAGCTTTGCAACTTGATGCTCAACCTCCATCTGTCCCAAAATAGTTGCACCATCATTCGTCACAGTGATCTCGCCGTCAGGCGATATAAGGATTTTATCCAACCCTGCGTGATTGATCAATCAAACTCCTGTAATACAGCAGTGGCTAAATAGAGCTCACCTCGAGGTCCTAGGGAGGTCCGGATTATGTTTGCCACTGTCCGTGCCGCAAGAATGTGTGACTTGAATATATTTGGTGAACTCAGCACTCTTGATCGACAAGAAAATCGCTCACCTTGATTGCCTCCACACCATGAGTTCTTGTTTTTCTTCCTTGCTCCCTGAGGATGATGAACGGTCGGCCATACTGAAATAGTTGAGCACTAAGTATGGGAAGGTTTGGATATGCGAATCACCTCATCAGTTGCATATACAGCTTCTTGTTGAGCCATGATTTTGTTGCTGAACGCGTCGCGTTTTGGAGACTGAACGTGACACGATTATTGCGTGACAATTACTCTGATAGTGAATGCGTGATACCGTGACTTGGGGTTTAGAGGAAATTACAAGAACACCCTTCATACACTTCTTCTATCCATAAACTCCCAGCACAGTACAAACCTATCATGGAGCACGAGATCGATGGCTGGATTGAACAACTCAGTCAGTGTAAACAACTAACAGAATCAGACGTAAAGAAATTATGCGACAAGGTTTGTTGGCCACGATAAAGACGCCACCTACACTCGATCTGACTGCAGCCAAAACAGACGAGAGAGATCCTTATGGAGGAGTCAAACGTACAGCCCGTGCGATGCCCAGTCACTGTATGCGGGGACATACATGGCCAATTTGTACGTTCTTGTTTATTATTGTAATCTAGACCGCTGATCTTGTCTCGTGCGCGTATCGTACTCCTCGTACCTCATTTACTCAACGTGCAGCATGATCTTTCTGAGCTGTTTCGCATCGGCGGAAACTCGCCAGACACCAACTACCTTTTCATGGGCGATTACGTGGATCGAGGGTACTACTCTGTCGAAACAGTAACTCTGCTTGTGGCACTCAAGTTGCGGTATCGCGACCGCGTTACGATTCTACGGGGAAACCACGAGTCTCGACAAATCACGCAGGTATACGGCTTCTATGATGAATGCTTGCGGAAATATGGAAATGCCAACGTGTGGCGGTTCTTCACCGACTTGTTTGACTACCTTCCCCTCACTGCCCTCATCGATAACCAAGTGAGTTTCTTATACATATACCAACCCACTGCGCAAATCACCTTACTTTCATTTCTAATGGCTAACCTTTTGACTTGAAGATATTCTGCCTGCACGGCGGTCTCTCACCTTCTATCGACACATTAGATCACGTCCGCTCAATCGACCGTGTGCAAGAAGTTCCTCACGAAGGTCCCATGTGCGACCTTCTGTGGTCTGACCCCGACGACCGGTGTGGTTGGGGTATTTCACCCCGCGGGGCGGGGTACACCTTTGGGCAGGATATATCTGAGGCTTTCAACCATAATAATGGGTTGACCCTTGTCGCCCGAGCACATCAGCTCGTCATGGAGGGTATGTGTACATTCAACACGATGCTAGCTTGTGCGCTCATGCGTGATTGATACTCAGGTTATAGTTGGGGTCAAGATCGGAACGTCGTGACGATCTTCAGCGCACCAAATTACTGTTACAGATGTGGTAATCAGGCGGCGATCATGGAGATAGATGAAAAATTATCATACAGCTTGTGGGTATTTTCTTGCTTCGTTAGTTTGCTGTTCGTCCTGAACGATGTCCGCAGCCTACAATTTGACCCTGCCCCACGAGCAGGGGAGCCGCTGGTGTCACGGCGTGTTCCGGATTATTTCCTGGTACGTCATTGGCTCCCAGAAATGCGGAGTGTCGTATGTCTAACCTTCCCTGTCAGTGATGTTCGCTGGCTGTCGATATTGTACATAGTGCCTACGTCGTGTATCCTACCTTGGGGCTGTGTCGGTCTCAACAACGAACATTATATACCACGTTACACGACAGAGTAATCATTACTCATCCGAGTCCTTCAACGTCATTATTTCGACGTTCTTCAAGATCATTTTCCATAAGATGCTCATTGCTTGCTATATTGCCTCCCATATGGACTTTGTATTGTAGGAGGATAAAAAAAATAGAGAAGTGTGATCGAGTGTGTATTATTTAGGCGTTGTGTCAGCCTCACGGAGTAGAGTCTCATCCAGGTCCGACAAAGATCCCACAATCATCAACTGCGCTGGTACTTGGCTCACCCCCAAAAGGCACTGGCTGTCATTTTCAATTCAGGATACTACGCTGTCATTCTGTTTCAAAAATTATGTAGCTCCAGAACTCGCTGGGTCGCTGGCACATATCAAGTCTTCAAGATGGACTCGGAACAAGTATTAGTCTCGCTCACGTCGCCAGCCACAGAATCTCTCAACACACTCCCTCTCAACAATCTTCCTTTTCGCTGCGAGATTGGTACCAAGTGTCTCTTCGCCGACTACGAGTTTTTCGACTAACCAGGTCGCTTGGACGCCACCTGCTGCACCCAAACGAGGCTTGCAAACAAATGACTCGTGAAAATGACTCACTTTCCGATATGCTCACTAGTCACAGGCTCTTCGGACCAAACGGAAACCGCTGGAAGACGAAGGAAACGAGGTAAGCAAAGACAGCTGTTGGTTGATGGGACATTGACTCACAAAGAACTCAGAAGAGCGCTGGAAAACTTCTAGCATGACTGTCTTCGTACTAAATTTTCTGTTTTTCTGCCATAGACTCCATATGAACTCCTCCTGCCAGTCCGCTAGTTTGCTTCCTCATTTCTACCCGCCATTTTTTTTCTCTTCAGCAGAGATCCACACTTGCTCGTGGCTAGCGTCGCGTCTCGGATAAGGAGGGAAGCGCTGCGCTATACTCATCGTGGATTTGTAAGTTGAAAGCTTGATCTAGGACATTAATTGGGTCACCACAGTCCATGCCCGTACTGGACGCACCACATCGCAATCTGGTCAGAGGTCAAGATCGCTAATTCAGCCCCCGACATCATTTAATGTGAAAACGATCATCCATGTGTTGAATACTCAGCGCACCTTTATTTCTTTGCACTTTATGGCATAGACAGGCCAAAGCCCGCACTTTCTGGCTCACCTCCAAGACTCCCTCAATATTGTTCAATCTAAAAACGATCTTGTGTCGAGGACTCCGCGCCTTTAGGCTTTATTTCTCTCACTTTATGACACGCAGCGCACTTACTTCAAGGGTCCGGAACTGAAGGGCACAAAAGCACCAGATGGATTGCTCTTTCTCAAGGCCACAAGATCGACTGGTAGTATCAACAGATACAGTACAATGCTCGACGGGCTTCCAAGGTTACAACAATAACGACGACAACAACAACGATTTCGCGTTTTACTGCGGGGGTGCAGGCACGATCGAAGCAGACATACCATGCTACTGCCACAACTTTTGTGTCGTGAGTCATGATAAGCAGGGCTACGCCTGTGATGGTGTGAGCCTGTCTTCCCATGCTGCCTCTGGGGTTCGAGTGTTAATGTGCTTGTCTAGCGCAAGACTCTGGGCGGGAACGCCGTGACCTTGAATATGGCACTGAGTACTGGCTCGACTGATATTATATAATTATAATCTAGAGTTTCGCCACATATCAAAACTGACCGATGTGTCATGGCACGTTTACGAAAACGTCTTGAACATCAGCGGTCTTGTGGAGTAGTAGAGGATGCCCGGCAGTGCAGCATGTATTAGGGGTGTGATGTGCGCTGTAGTGATATAAGTATCTTGACGATTCTTCGTAACAGACGGTGACATGGAAGTGTTCGTTTGCTTGATGCTGAAGGGACGAATGAAGAGGTCAGAGGGTTAGGAGGTTAACGATAGACATTGATATTTAGCAAGCAGCGGACGTAGCATTCGTGTTGGTCGTGGAGGCAAGACAGAATATAACAAGGGTCAGCGCTAAGGTCTTCTCTGGGTCTTACATAGGCAATTGCTCATACCTTGAAGTGACGCAACTTCCGGGAACCGGACGAGTAGTAATAGGGACGAGTAGTGTTGTGAACAGAGCTCTGCCATTCTGCTACGTAGCAGGGCAGAACCTCCCAGACATAATGTGGCAGGACTCCTGCATATGCAGAACCAGTTCAGTGTACGATAGCGTCAATTGAGAAGCTTTAAGACTCTCTATAACGGCTACGAAGTCTGGAGACCAGCGAGCTCTGAACGCACATTGATGTTTCAAGCACCTCACGTGCTAGCCTTCGATATCATATATCCACCTTGGGAATGTTGCTGATAGCAAGTCAGCGCAACGTCAGACGCCGTCACGCTCACATGCGTACAAACAAACTTTCAGGCAGTTATACAGAGGCTGCCAAGCAGCCCAAGATCGACTTTGCATTTTGTTCCTTCACAACAGTCTCTTCGGTGAGAATTAGTGCTGCCGAAGTCCGGTTCGGTCCAGTTCATGGCCCTATATTTGCGAACCCCGAACCTGACCATTGGTCAGGTTCGGGGAAGGAGGCTGAACCATGGACCGGACCCCTGTGAACGCGTTCGGAAGGGTTCGGTTCGAGTTCGGAACGCGTTCGAACCCTCGAACCCTTTATATCAATTTGCAAAAAATCAAAAAAAAAATGACAAATTTCTACGCTACATGAGACTACTCCTCGTTCACAATGACACGGTTATCATAAGGAGCGGCAAACTCAGCCTGGGCTGTCGCAGAGATATGGCCTTGTCGATATGCACTCTTCAGTAATTGAAGAGCCTCAAACGTTGTTGGCAGCAAACAGCTGCGACGTGTCGTTCCAGGTAATTCCACCACTTGAAAATGCCCGCTCAGACGCAACAGCGGATCCCTGGATGGCAAGATAATCCTTGGCAATACGTGAGATGGTCGGGTATTGGATAGAATGGTGCTTGATTTTTTTACAATGTATTAGTTTACGAGTAACAAACAAAATAATGAGACATACCCCCCACCAAGCCACTACATTGTTAATGTCCTCAAGCGGTGCAGCTAGATAGTCCTCGAGCTCTTGACGAGGCCTTCTGTGTGGCTGCGTCGTTTGCGATACGTGATTTGACGGAGCTTCGCATCCAATTATGGCCATAAGAGCCTTGACGAGCAAGCAATGGAGGCACCTGAGCAACAGATGGCTCTGCAACAGCCTGCGTGGACATGCTACAATGATACATATCAAACTACACAAAATCAGTATCCGTAAAATCCACAGAGACCAGTAGTGACTTACAACTCTCTCGAAGCATCACATGCCCTCGGCAAAATAAAGAGGGTCCCATTTGTCTTTGGTGTAGGCGACCTTGTAGTTGGGGTCAAGTGCTACACGGCGTCAGTACAGGTTAACGTCGTTCGGAAGCATTAAAAAAATAACATACCAAGGCAGATAAAATATACGTCGGTGTTGTCAGTTTTGCCATACCACTTGTGGAGATTCTCAACGCCAGCTTCAATGGCTGTTGAGAAGCTGCTGAATTTTGATGAGCCAGCCATGTTTTGCAGTGTCTCTTGAAGATATTCGAGTACTGGGATCGTTCGCCACACAGTAGGTTCACGAGTTGCTGAGAAACTTTGCTGAGCCTCTGCAGGTTCCTTGTTGCGTGGCACATAGTAAGCATAATCGGATGTGACAGACAGAGAGAACATACCTGGAGAACAGCGTGCATCAACTCCAGCTCTGTCCATTCTTGTGCCGAAAGTTTGAAATTCGTGTATGATTTGCCGCCCTGCAAATTAGGAACCTCGTCGCTGTCGTCAGCGAGTTGAATAAACCTGTTCACACCCTAAAACGTCAAGTCAACGACACTGTTTGTAGTTGCTACTAGTAGATGAACTTACTTTGCGTAATTGCAAAACATGTTCCAACATGTTGAAAAGTGACGCCCAGCATGTGCGTACCCATTTCAAAAGTTCCAAGGGACGCTCATTCACCTCAGCGGAGCACTTTTGAAGGAAGGCGCGGGCTTGAGGAGACTTTTGCACCTAAATAAAGAGATTAGTATATCACAGCAGATAGATCACTAACGAGCTTACTTGTGAGACAAAAGCAAGCGCTTTTCCGATGGTGTCCCCAATATCAAACTCGACACTTTCCTCATCTTCATCGTCGTCGTCAGCATGAGCCTGCGCTGCCTTCTTGTGCAAGGCACTCGCTGGTGTAGGAGCAACCGCCTCCACAAAATGCTTGGCCGCTAAGTGGAGTGCGTGCTCCATACAACTAGTAGTAAACACTCATCAGTCATTAAGTAGAGTATCCAATGAATAAACATACCGTATTCAATGCTCGATTGGTTTCCACTTCTCGCCGTAAGGGTCAATGTCGTTAGCAACAGTCTCAATGGCGGTGTCGTTATTGGTAGCGTTGTCCGCTGTAAACCACCCAACCTTTGCACGGATACCGTAGTTGTCGATAGTGTCAATCAAAATCCTCCCAATATTCGCGCCGCTGTGATTACCGTGAATAGATGTGAATGCGAGCTGCTCCATTTTGAGTTCCCACTCGTGAGGCTTTTCAATTGGGGAGTCTATGTAGTGCGCTGTAATCGATAGGAAAGGGTGACCAGGAAAAGAAGTCCACGAGTCGAACGTCATGGAGATTTTGCTGTCGACATGCTTGAGCTTCTCTTTCACGTGGTCGACTGCCAGCTTTGCACGTTTGAGGATCTCATCATGCGTTTTTGTACGGTGGGGAATATCTGTGTCTGAAAGCGAGGGGCGGAGATATTGAAGTAGTCGACGGAAGGGACCTTTATCTACGAGTTGAAATGCCTAATACAAATGTAGTGTTAGTATCTTTAAAAAATCTCAGAAGTGAAAGCTACTCACCTCGTCCTCAGCGACAATGAGTTCGACAATGTAATCCATGAGTCCTGACTTCATGAACGCGGGAATCTTTGGAGTCAGAGAGCTGTCCAAGGTTGCCTGACTGTCGGTTGCCTGGCAATCACGAGGTATGGCACGATTGTGCATCTTGATACCCCGTTCTTTGCAGCGGTCGCGATAGACTGGGTAGTGGCACTTGGGATGGCGAGCAATGTGAGTGCATCGAGTCGAGATACCACCTTTAAAAAAGCACTGGTGTAGCGGGACGTTATTGGTCTTGCATACCTCACACCACCACCCATTTTCACGGTCCTGGGTGTGGGGGTTGATGCGACCTTTCTCAAAGGTAAAGACTGTGGTCAGGTCAGTGCTGCGTTCATCTTTCTTGAGGGATTTGCGGTCTTCGCGATCCTGGTCGCCGAGCTTCTTCGTCCGTTGATAAGCTTCTTCATTCTCGGCATTCTCGGCATCTTCTTCCTCATTATCTGTAATGTCTTCAAGTGCGGGTGCATCTTCGTCGTCATTGTTGTCACCAACGGACACTCGTTTGGGTGCAGGGACATCCTGAGGAGGTTCTAGGGCTGAGCACTTGGCTGAGGTACTGCTGGCAGTCAGAGTCTCGCGGATCTTCTCGGTGGGTTTGACAGCTCGACCAGAATGATGTACGAACATATTGAGAGTGCCGTTGTGTGTAGGAGCAGGGGGAGGAACCATTGGAGAGTCGTCTTCGGCATCATTGTACCACTCTATCTCGCTGGCGTCTTTCAACGAACCATCTGCGCGACGTGCAGAGGACATAGCGGCAGGAGGGATAAATGTCAAACCTAGGTACCAAGTGAATATGTTTAAAACTAGATTGAAAACTGTTGCGCACCGTGAAACACCAGAATGAGAACCCATGGCAGATAATCAGTATGGTGAATCACAACTGTAGGTATGTTCTGAAATAAATCACATCATAAGTTAATTAGGACAGACAGTAGACTTGTTGCGAACTTACTGGTGCCTGAGTGTGTTGCATTACCAAAGTCGCCGAGAGATCGCCTTGCAATCTCGTTGCTACTGGAATGCAGGAGAAGTAGGAGAAGACGGTGAACAGAAGGGCAAGGACAATACTTAAATTGAAAGCCTCACCCAAAACATGAGGCTTCGACTTCGCGAAAATCGTAAGTCGAAGTCAGCGACAATGATGGGTTCGAACCGGTCCGGATGCGTCCAGAACCGGTCCGGATATATCAACGACACACCGAACCTCGAACCTACCAAGGGGTTCGGTCCACACATAGTTCAGTCAAGACCCTACGTAGAACCTGTACCCCAGATGTGCCAAATGGCTGTAGGATGTGTGCAGCCAGTGGCTGGCCAGCTGTACTAAATCCTTGTAGGCACTGCACTGGCCGGGATGTAGGGCCATTCTGGCTGATGCTCATTCTACATACAGTAATAATAAATCAACTGTGTGACATAGATGTAGATGTAGACCAGCTGGGCCAGTAGGACCTGTATGTCTTGGCTACAGGAAAAATATACCAGAGGTGTAGAGAATGTACTGGCCAGCATCTGGGTGGGGGGTAATAGGCCCGTAGATATTGACCAGCCAGAGCTGTAGTACCTGGACTGGCCAGCCTCTAAGTACAGGGTAATAGGCCTGTATTTACTGTTACGACTTGGATGGTATCTGTTGGCGACGCTCAAACAGAGCTTGTGTTGTCAACGGTCTGTGGACGTCCTTGGGCTAGCCCAAGGTTAGGGGTCGTACTTGGTGTGTCTTCGGCAAGTACGATTTAACGCCTATGTCCAAATCGGGTAGCTTATGTCACGCGGGTGCGAGACGATAAGCTATATCGGCCTAGGCTTACGACACCCAAAGGTTAATCATAAGGATCGTCGTTAATTAGAAGGACAGAAGTCCGACTAGTTAACAGGGGCTTTGCTCGTCGACGAAGTCGATGAGTAAAGGTCGAGACTATAGGCTTATCTGCGATGAGCAGATAAGAAGATAGAATATAGACTGCTGGCGAGGCAGAAGGATCACTCTGGTGAGAGTAGGAGGTCAAGAACCAAGTAGATTCAAGTTAGGGAATATAGTACATGGTAGCGAGTTTATATAGAGGACAGGAGACGTATTAGTGGATGATAACTCGTACTACCGGGAGAGGCAATCGGTAAAGGGTAAGACCATAATAGGAAGGCACGTTCGGTCTGGGTAGAACGTGCTAGATAAGAAAGTGAGTCAAAGATCGAACTAAGAAGTGAAACACGCAGGGGCACGATCGTGCAGCTGCGGATCTAAGTATAAGTCGCATGTGCGACTGCGCACCGAGTCAGAGATCAAGAAAGGGAACAGGGCAGAGGGGATGCGTTGTGCATCATATCATAGGTTACCGTCCAGACGGTAAGGGCAAGGGGACTGTCCGCAGGATCAGTCAGGTGGTGGAACGGAGCACGGGTATGCTTTGTCAGCGAAAGGATCCGGCCAAATGTACTGGCTTTGCTGAAGCGACAGGTAGAGGGCGAAAGGGAATGCGAGGATGACGAGGATGACAAGGGTAAGGTCGGGGTAAGGGTATGATGCAAGGGCTGATACGAGGAGGATCAGGAGAAAAATAGTAGGGGCCCAAGCATCTAGATGTTCTTGTAACATTTACTGACAGGCCACACCCGTAGGACCAGGTCTGGCCAGCATCTGGGTGGGGGGTAATAGGCCTGTAGATATTGACCAGCCACACCCGTAGGACCAGGTCTGGCCAGCCTCTAAGTACAGGGTGATAGGCCCATATTTACTGACAGGCCACACCTGTAGGACCGGGTCTGGCCAGCCTCTAAGTACAGGGTAATAGGCCTGTATTTACTGACAGGCCACACCTGTAGGACCGGGTCTGGCCAGCCTCTAAGTACAGGTGATAGGCCCATATTTACTAACAGGCCACACCTGTAGGACCAGGTCTGGCCAGCTTCTGGGTGGGGGGTAACAGGCCAGTATTTACTGACAGGCCACACCCGTAGGACTGGGTCTGGCCAGCTTCTAAGTACAGGGTAATAGGCCCGTAGATATTGACCAGCCAGGGCTGTAGTACCTGGACTGGCCAGCTTCTAAGTAGAGGTTAATAGCCCTATAGATCAATAGGTGAGCAAAATGTCATGATATTGATGCAGATTGTTACAAGCAAGGTGATATATTGGTAAGTGATATTTGAGTAAGGCAAAGAACCAGTAAGGCAAAGACAAGTTAATGCTTCATAGCTTTCTTAGTGGGCTGTCTAGATCTCGAAGATCGACGGACATCACCACTGACCTTCTTGGATGGCTTTTGAGATCTGCCGAACTTTGTTCTTTTCTTCCCTTTCATCTCCTCCTCCTCCTCCTCCTCCTCCTCCTCCTCCTCCTCATTGTCATCTTTCTCTTTCTCTTTCTCTTCCACTTCTACTCGCTTCTCATTCTCCTCCATCTCTTTTGCCAGACGACTGTTTACCTCCTGCACCTCCTTCAACTGAAGCCTCTTTGCCTCCAGCTCCTGCTTCAATTCCTGGCTCCTGCGATTCTCCTCCTCAAGCTTCTTCAACTCGTCCGCCAGCTTCTCCTCGGTCACTCCCTGTTCACCGTCTGCAGTGGTGTCCATACCATCATCAGCTCCACTACCTTCTCCAACCACAGCTTTATCAACGATAGCACTTTCCTGCTGAACGAGCTTTGCCTTCAGCAGACGCATAGCCCCATCTCTGACCTTCTTAACCGCCTCTACAACCAGGTCGAGAATCTTGATATCCAAGAAAGATGAGCTAATGTAAGCTGGGGTTTTGAAGGTGACCTCATCCTCGATGGCTCGTTTACACTCCCTGAGCAGCAACCCAAGACCTAGGGTGACTCGCATCGCAGACGAAAAGCCACTGATCTTGACAGACTCAGCTATCTGCAAGAACTTGTGCACATCACCATCAACAGAGTGCACGCCACTCGGAAGGTAAGACCCCTCCCAGGACCAAGTTGCCCAGGCAGGCCATTCCTTTTGCTCCTTCAGGCTTGGTTCCTAGGCTTGGTGAGTACAGAGTATAACTCGATCAATTGTCAGCATACCTTGCCAAAGTCTCTGATACCCTCAACTAAAAGCAGGTATTCATTGTTGTTGCTGAGGGACTTCAAGAACTGAATGCGATCCTTGATGGGCACAGCTGCTGGCGCACCCAGCTGCCGGGTGGCTGGTCTGGGAGCACGTCCTGTGGAGGCTGCTCCGGCCGGCTCATCTTCAGATGAATGGGGCTCGGCCGACGTCTTCCTACGTGACGTGGGAGCTGCTCCAGCCGACTCGTCCTCAGAGGGGTCAGACCCGGCCGGCCTCATCCTACGAGATGTAGGACGTGCACTGGCTCCCCCAGTGGTGCTAGAAGTCTTGGCTGGCTCGATTTCAACATACTTCTTCTTAGTTTTCTCCTGGTAGGGAACCGCATTTTCAAGGCGCTTCTTGCTCATATCACCAATTTTAGCAGCCATGAAAATAACCAGAGGCTTCTTTGCAGCCTTCCTACCCTCCCAATGAGTCCATAGCTGATTGACATTTTCGGCCCTCATATGAGACGGGTCTCTCAAGATGAAGCCTTTGGGAAGGGAATCGGGATCAAGGTACAAAGTGGGGTTTCCCACCACCTCACGCCAAGGTACAGGTTTGGAAGTGTCGGTTAAGACCTCTGTATAACTGATGGTGACTCACACAAAATTTGCCAAGCAAACAACTACTCACTGTAAGATGCACGGAATATTTGACGAACCAATTCCTGTTGCCCTCTGGTAGGAACACCAGCTCGGGAGGGAAGCTTTGCATAGCCGTTATTGTCCAAAATGAGATCAGGTAGGCCACTGTCTTTGTCTTTGTCTTCTTTATCTGAATCGTCGTCGTTTTCCTCTGGATCTGATGGTTCCTTAATCACGGAGAACATTTCAGCAAATAAACACTCACAAAATTCCAACTTTGACCATTCTGCATATTTTTCAAAACCCTCCGACGTCCACTGCTTATTTCCTTGAGAACTCTGGGTAAAAGGTTTTTTACTATTGACAGGATTTGACTCATTACTAGATAGTAATCATATTCTGTCATTATACCGTAAGAACGAAGTGTTAAAAATACACTCACACGATGACGTTCAAAGTCTGATCTGCAGGTTTCTTGTGACTGGCTAGGATCACAACTCGACATCCCATGGTACGATGCATTTGTTTGGTGAAGTCATCAAGGTATTTTTTGAGGTGCCTCTTTCGATACCTGCCAAAGTAGTCAATAGGAGAACTTTAATAGTCAATTTATATACTCACATGGCTTGTGATTCAGGAGGAGCGCCTTCCCTATTCCACTTTTCCCGTGCATCCTCAACCTCCTTCCTCTGCGCAGGGGTCATGTTTCTGAACCATTCCCTAGCATGGCCAGTTCTATACTTGATTTCGTTCTTTGCCCCTAACTTCACTTGCTCCTCCTTATCGTACTGATCGATCTCCTGCTTAAATAGCTTCTGCGCAACATCCCAGTCACTAACTTCCTTCTTGTAGAAGCCCGCATCCTTAGGACGGGCTGCTGCTTCCCTCTCCTCAGGGGATAGGCCAAACTTCTCATTATCGGGCTCGTCTCCCAAAAGTTCCTCTTCTGCCAGTATGTCGTCTTCATCGGTTAAGAATTGGCAGTAGTAACGTCTGATAGCCTTTGAATTGTGGTAAAATTAGTTATTATATATAGGAAAAATAAATCACACCTTTTTCAATGCCTTTGGCAACTCAAGCGGTTCATCCTTTGAGTTATTTTGGGCAATGATGTTGTCCCTGACTGTTCTCAGAATATCTCGACGTGATTTCAGTGAGGCAGCCACAAATCCACTCTGATGAAGGGCAAGTATACCCTCGAAAGACACATGCCATTCAGCCATGATGAATTTAGGAGTTAGAGTAAAGTGAGATAACCTGGTCAAGGGTATGCGTAAGGTAGGAAGGAGTCGGCCGTTGATTTCCAACTAAATTTTTCAAACACGATCACGTGACTCACAACCAGACGCGTCAAGGTCAAATTTCAATGGCACTGCTAGAGTGATGTTAAAGTCAACAATATGCGTGAGGACGCCAAATAAAATCAATTCATTGCAAAACAAACATGTATTAAACTAACTAGTTGTGAGATAAATCAAATCCGTATCCTCTTGGTCAACACTTCTGCATCCATACTTCTGGGGCGCTTGCCTTTGGTGTCAGAAGGCCCACATGAAGCAGGCAAAGACATAAGAGAAGGCGGAAAAGTTGTGGAGGGGGACTGGAACCAACTTGAGGTCTTTGTCATAGCAGCGTTGACAAGGGAACCAGGGGGCTTCTCAATGTGGAACTTGTAAGGAGGTTTGCCCTGCACCCTGCCGCACTCAGGATAAGTGCAGGCATATAGGTACCTGGATACAGGAGCCTGGTCAGGATCATCAGGTTTGCAAGACCCACACGCTCCCCGGACTGCGACCCTCGCTGACCAACTATTAGTGGACCCACACAGAGGGCACTGTCCAGGGACAGCGATACCCCATGGCTGAGTTTGCATGTGCGCACGTGCAAACTGGGTGATGAGGAGGTTATGCACGCTGTGAGCAACTTCCCTGATCATGAGGATCACCTTGGTGTGTTGCCCCAGACGACTGGACAGGGCGAGAAGTCCCGGGAATGCCTTACTGATATCCAGTTGCTCCACTATCACCTGCTCCACCAAAGCCAGCAAGAAATTCATAGCGACAAGTGGCTGGAACCGAGTGGCGGAAAAGATGATGACCGACCCCACGTTGTAGTCGAGAACAGTTTGTTGGAGCTCACCGAAGGCGTCGTCGTGAGCCACGACAGAGCCACAAACTAGAAAGACCATCATGGCGCCCTGGAGGACACCAGAGTATGGTCCTAGCACGGTACATAGCACCTAGATCGCACATTAGCAAGAAATAAAAGAGAAACAATGTGCGTTACCTGCGAAACACTCATGGCAACAAAAATACCTTTTTCTTTTCCGGCGAAAAGCCATCCGCTATCCTCCTCAGAATGATCTGAGAAAAACGCGAAGACACGTCCGCCGTGGGCGAGATGAGACTTGAGCTTACTGACGCGTGCATCCTGGGCGCAAGTGTATGTGCAAATACCCTTGTGCGTCGCGATGTAGAACGGGACCTCTAGATAGATGTAGCCGCCATTGGGGAAATAGTGGTCGAGGTAGTGGGATAGTAGAGGTACTGGCGTGACGATCTCCTTACTGTCACCCACAATAAAGTGGATGACAGCGACGGGAGCTGCGGCCAATACTGCGGAAGATGCCATCTCGAACGTTCCCTTCAAGCGGAGGAAGTCCTGGAAGGCAGGCTTTCCTCCTGCAGTCGGCGGGCCGCCTGTATAGAAACCCTGTAGTCGTTAGTGTAGTGTAGTTGAAATAAAAAGATAAGGATGGACTCACAAAGTAGGGCACAGGCACCTTATTGGTGTGCCCAGCATGACAGCTGAGGCACCAGAAAAGGACGTCAGGGCGACCCGCGAGGTCGCGAGAGTCAGATGGGATGGCAAGACACCTGCCACACATGACGCAAGGGCAGCTGCTGCACTCGTAGAGCACAACGTCCCCATCAGCACCATCACGGCAACTGAGACACCACTAAATTGAAACATCAGCAACAGCAGACACCTCAACAACGAACTTACCTGACTGTGGACATCTGACCACGCCAGCTCATGTTCTCCTTCACTTCCAGGACTTGCTGGGGCAGGAGAGGCAACCGGCGATCCAAGTGGACCACTCACCCTCTTAGCAATGCCACCAGCGGCTCGCTTCTTCGCGGTATTCTTAGACATCGACAAAAGAAGCAAAGACAAAAGCAGCAAAGGTAAGACTTAGGTAGAAAACTTGGGCAAGGTGCGAGTCTGCCAGACGCAGAGTCTGTACTGGCTGATTGAACCGTGGGAAGGTCATGTGGATCAACAACACATGCGTAATCATGTGATCTGCATACGCGCGTCCAAAACTAAACACGCATCAAAATTCAACAAGTCCACCGGCATTGTCCGACAAACAATAGCAAATACAATCATGTGATCTTGTTTACAGAAATTCAACAAGTCCATCGGCATTGTCCGACTGTAAACAATAGCAAATATGCCGTGGCATATAGTTGCGTCACAACACTTTCGCACGGTTGAACTTCTCTACCTCAACGTCGCCAGCCCAATAGCCACTTACACAGACTGCAGCTGTGTAAGTGGCTAATGGCGGTTGATTGCCTTCTACCTTAAGTATGTTTCCTTTTTATTCAAATCCTTACTGAACACCGGTCTTGTTCTTTCCCAGGTTCCATTTCATTCAAGGTGAGTACTCTCTCCAGCGCTCCTTCACTGACATTGTTCTAGGTTCCTCATTTGACACACTGGCGCCTGGAGGGAGGTCTGGAGGGAGGTCTAGTGTTTGCAGGTGGGTACTCTCTTTTATTCATATCCTTACTGAACGCCGGTCTTGTTCTTTCCCAGGTTCCTTTTCATTCAAGGTGAGTACTCTCTCCAGCGCTCCTTTACTGACATTGTTCTAGGTTCCTCATTGGACACACTGGCACCTGGAGGGAGGTCTAGTGTTTGCAGGTGGGTACTCTCTCTTATTCAAATCCTTACTGAACGCCGGTCTTGTTCTTTCCCAGGCTGCATTCCATTCAAGGTGAGTACTCTCTCCAGCGCTCCTTTACTGACGTTGTTCTAGTAACCTCTGCGCCATCCAACAACCTCTGCGCCGTCCAACATTTAGTAATCTGGGGGCTTGGGGGGTGATAGTGTGCATGCCGGTGCGCCTATTCACCCTCCCACACTGAGTAATCTGAGGGCTTGGGGGGTGATAGTGTGCACGCCGGTGCGCCTATTCACCCTCTCATTTAGTAATCTGAGGGCTTGAGGGTGGTAGTGTGCATGCCGGTGCGCCTATTCACCCTCCTACACTGAGTAATCTGAGGGCTTGAGGGTGGTAGTGTGCACGCCGGTGCGCCTATTCACCCTCCTACACTGAGTAATCTGAGGGCTTGAGGGTGGTAGTGTGCACGCCGGTGCGCCTATTCACCCTCCTACACTGAGTAATCTGGGGGCTTGGGGGTGGTAGTGTGCACGCCGGTTGAAGGTACTTTCAGCTTTACTCTATCAACACATGCTGACTGCGGTTTACAGGCAGGGACGTCTAGGACACCTGAATCTTTGTCAAGGTACTTTCAGCTTTACTCTGTGAACACATTCTGACTGCGGTCTACAGTTTTTTGTATCGTGGTAAAGCTAATCACAAGGTAATTTAATTCATATTCATATCGCAGGTGCTGACCCAGAGTCCACAGACGGTTTCCGCTATTTTATTTATATATATATTCAATTTCTTTCTTTCTTGTAGTCTGCTGTACAAGGCCAAGGCAGAGAGGGCCCCTCTGCTGAGGTCTTGTATTAGCTTGTATACTCTTTCATTACTTAACGTTTTTTCGCCTTTACTTTACTTTACTTTACTTTACTTTACTTATTTTACACAGTATGCTTTAATTTGTAACGCGCTGGCTTAATGTGCTGCCAAAATGAAATGATTGCGCGTTTCTCGCTCCTGTGAAAAAGTCACGTGACCAACCGCTGCTAGTTCTCGATGTAAATCAGTATACTTGTGGTCTTCCAGGACATGAAAGCCCATACACGCCAAGGCCTTGGTGGTAATCATACATGCTTTGTGGGCTTCCGTGGTTCGCGCGGAATCAGCGAATGCTGGCGAATGTAGTCGTACCACACAACATACCAAAGGTGGATGTAGCGAGGGCAAGACTAAAATACCATGTGGCAGGCGATTTTAGAGGGATGTATTTGCCATATGAAACATTACCCTGGAACATAGTTTGTTAATACGTATGTGGAATCAGGGAGGTTTAATAACCAAACATACAAATCACTCTGAATACCTACATCACCCCAATGACAGTTCACTGGTACGTCGGTAAGTCACTGTGCATATTACTCTTCTAGTGATTTTGAGGCCTAGGTGGATGCATTTCAATGGTACTAAGGACTTAAGGTATCAATCTGAGTGGCTATATGCGCTCTTTTGGTGAGATATGCACTAATTCCTGTGCTACAGTAACTTGTGCGTGCAAATGTCTCACCCATACTAAACTCAATGAACCTGCTGTCAGTAAGTGCAAAATATCATCTACATGTACTCCTGCTGATGTCGAGTCTCGCTATCACTCCACTGTCAGTAGGTGAATGGGACACGGGTGGGGACAGATCTGGGTGAGGCGTGCCGAGTATAAACTATTGCCACTGTACATTACATAGACAGACAAATATAGCAGATTTTCAACAATTCAGGCTAACGTCTGTTTGCTTCTAAAATACACCCCATCCTCATCTAACCCCCAAAGTAAAGCTCCAGGCAGTTATGTGCCCGCACACCCCATCCTCATCTAACTACCAAGTATGTTCACCCGGCTCATCACACATCTATTTGCTTCTAAAATACCCCCCATCCTCACCGCTCCAGGCAGTTATACGCCCGCACACCCCATCCTCATCTAACTACCAAGTATGTGCACCCGGCTCATCACACATCTATTTGCTTCTAAAATACCCCCCATCCTCACCTAACCCTCAAAGTAAAGCTCCAGGTAGTTATGTGCCCGCACACCCCATCCTCATCTAACTACCAAAGTAAAGCTCCAGGCAGTTATGCGCCCACACACCCCATCCTCATCTAACTACCAAGTATGTGTACCCGGCTCATAACACATTTATTTGCTTCTAAAATACACCCCATCCTCACCGCTCCAGGCAATTATGCGCCCGCACACCCCATCCTCATCTAACTACCAAGTATGTGCACCTGGCTCATCACACATCTATTTGCTTCTAAATTACACCCCATCCTCACCACTCCAGGCAGTTATATGCCCGCACACCCCATCCTCATCTAACTACCAAGTGAGCTCCAGTATATACCGTTTCATTATGCTGAAGTCGAACGGAGTTGGGTCCTTTGGTTGTGAATGCCGTGAGGGTGTTCAGACTTTGTGTGCTCAGGGTTTGAAGGTTCTCAAAGGAACCGAGTAACGTCCGAGTGATAACAGGGTAACCTCTTGAATAATGCGGGCTGTCACCTCAAACTGGACAATTTGAATTTAAGTTATCTACATTTGGTATTATCCCCATATAGTCTAGATCAGATCGGCTTGAAATTTTCAAATGGTGCCACTCACCGAACTTCCATCATTTCTGTCATGGGGGATCCTGTCACAAAACTGTCCAAAAACCTCTCTATCCGTGTGGATGAACTACTCCGGAATTCATCACCATTTCAATTATCCTTAGATAGGAAGAATGATTATAAATTACTACAGAAAGCCAAGTAAGCAGTTTCAAAGTTAAGGTTCAACTCAGACTGAACTGCTGAAATTTAAGGACAAGACTGTGGAACATATGGCAAGATGTTCAACTAACCAGTTCTGGTATTGGTGTCAAGGAAACCGAGATCTCGGAGATTGAACTCTCCAGGGCTGCAGTCAGCATCGCTTATGCCGCGGTTAATAGTTGTAAGCTTCTATTTGAATTTGATCATGGTGGATTTGTGATGTTTGAACCCAGTACGGACTGATTGGGATGTCCACCGTTTTGCAGACCAAGCTAAGGTGTCCCCCAACCCGCTGAATTCTGACCGCCAACAAAGGGAGAAACTTGCAAAATATTTCAAGACTCCTTCCTTTGGCCACATCTCAGAGCCGACCACATTTATTGACAGGCACGGAAGGATACTTGCTTGGCATTTGCCAGAGATCTTGGTGGCTGATCGAACAGTATGCCAATTCTCTGAGATAAGCTCAAAGACCTTCTAATCATATATATTCAGGAACATATCAATAGCTCTGTCAAATCACTCAGACCTATCCTAGACAAGTCTTTGCCTAAGGCAACTAAAGGGGAAAATTACCCTTGGTGTTCGCAGGGATTTGTTATACCTTCAGGGGGGGGAGTTCGGAGCAGGGCGGGTGACTTTATGCCCAGGCGGATTTATGCAACGTCATGAGGTAAGTTTGTCTATCTTGCCTCCTAGGGTACAAAACTAACTTAATTGAGCTAGCGTCTTCAAGATCATTTGTACCGATCAACCTCCCTTTCATCACCTGTAGCTCGAAATTGGTTGGCCACCATGACTGTCAGTGAACAATTCTGGTCAGCCATTACCAGCATTATTTCACCAGATCAGTATCTTGCTGGTGTGAAATCTGTGTCTACACTAAAGGATATGGTTCAAACCCCAAAGCTGGTTGTTTGGCCCTCTACGTTTTCTGGAATTGAGGTAATTGTCAATAGAGAGACTCCCTATCATCGGGATCCGGGAGCATCACAATCAGTCTATGACCTTCTGGTTAGCTTGGGTCAAGATCATCAGGCCGTGCTAGATCTCCCAGACCTGGGTGCTCAACTAGGATATCCCCCTGGGACTATGGTATATATCTCAGGCAAGGTACTAGAGCATGGCATCCCAAGTTGGGGTGATGGAGAGAGGATCGTGATTGCCCACTTTGTCAAGGATAAAGTGCATGATAAGCAGGGCATTCCAAGACCGAGCTTTCCGATGGAGCAGGAGTTTCTTATCCGAGTGGGGGCTGGTAGAGGTCTAAAAAGGTAGAGTTAATTAATATACCGAGAGGAGATATGGCTAGACCTGTCAAGATGGCAGTAAGTAGAGTTAATTAATATACCAAGAGGAGATATGGCTAGAGTTGTGGAGATAATTTTTCCGTCGCATTGCTTGCCTGTAGTACTTCTGAATTCTCATTCTCAAATGTCTAGCCAGAAAAAAACACGTCTCAAGGCCGTTTCATATTCTTTCAAAGGCAGAGGTAGCTTATCAAAACAAAAAGACCTGGATGTTGACTATATGTCCTACAAACCTACAACAGGCAAGAGGGGGAAGCGATCATGGCTCCAAGTTCAAGCTGATCCACTGTATGAAACATCAGGGGCGCCTTCCCCCTCCTCTAGCCCAAAGAAACGGACGAAAGAGGCTCCAATGGAATTTCCAGATACTGAGACTTATGATACATATCAGGAAACACTTGGTGATTTTGTTCTAGATGAAGAGGCTACAGAGCATACAAGAAAAACCAAGGTATGACTCATGTTCTTAGGTTGCTGATAAGTCTCTTCTCATACTACATGATATAGACACAAGACAGTTTTATAGCAGACTATCTTGCATATCGAGGTCTATATCTAGACATCATCCTGGAATCCGAACAATTTGTTCGCACAGGCATGTGTGAGTCTTGCCAAGACGCTGAGGCCACATTCAGTTGTGTGACTTGCACTGGGGACCATGGCTGGTGTCGCCCTTGCATGATCAAGTCACATCAGTCATTACCTTTTCACAAAATCCAATTGTGGATTGGCAAGTGCTTCAAGGACGTCACTCTTGCCGACCTGGGTTTTATATGGTACTTGGGCCATGGGGGCGAGCCTTGCCCCCCTCGGTATGGAGCTTCTTGTCATGACGACATGGAAGCTTTGCCACATGATACCAGCCCTGTCACTATTGTGCACTCTTCCGGGGTGTTCATTCATAATGTGGCATGGTGTCATTGTCAGGGCCCTGTTCCGAAACAGCACCTACAGCTCCTTAGAGCAGGACTATTTCCTGCCAGCTCCACCAGACCCAAGACTGCCTTCACCTTCGAGGTCCTGGATCATTTTCTCATTGATTCCTTGGAATGCAAGACTTCGGCAAGGAGCTTCTTTGAGAAACTCACAAGGCTGACTAATAATGCATTTCCGGATACTGTCCCTGTGAGTGGGGGTACACTTGTTCCAGGAGATTTCTCTAAATACCTGTGTGTTAACAGGATCGGTATCGTGAACTTATGAGAGTATCTCGTCAGTGGCGCGACTTGAAGAACCGAAAATGGTTTGGATTTGGCCACGACGTGGAACTGGGTCCAGGCCCAGGAGATCTTGCTCTCTTCTGCCCTTCGTGTCCGCAGCCAGGAATCAATATGCCTTTGCTTTGGGAACAGAAGTATGAAAGGCAAGTTGTTTATTATTCGAAACTCTGCTAGATGAAGCTGGCCAGGCTCGGGGCTACGTCATGTAGATAAAGCTGGCCAGGCTCGGGGCTACGTCATGTAGATGAAGCTGGCCAGGCTTGGGGCTACGTTATGTAGATCAAATGCCTGGAGTTTCTTCAAGCCTAATTAAGATTAAACTTGGCTGACTTGTTTCAGGTGGCTTGTTATGAAGAGATTGGTGGTAGATGGGAACTTTACTGCTCAGCACATGAACATGCGGGAGCCTGAACGAGACATCTTCCTTTCGGATGGTTCAGGTTATATGGTGACTGAAGTCAGAATATCAGGCTCACTTGGCCTCAGCAACTGAAAGTAAAGAGGCGAGTCAAGTGGTTTATTGTCCTTTTTCAGTGGCGTCCTAAATGTGTCAGAAGAGGTCCACATGTAGCAACCATCGAGCAGTGAATGCAGCTAATGCAAACCGAAGTAATCTCCAAGCTACTGGTGTGGGTGCTACAGCTTGTGCCCGGCATGGATGTTTTGTTCCCCACTCTGTAGTAGACTTTCAGAAGGGCGAACGGCAAGTCTCCTTTAATTTATTATGTGATGGCCTGACATGCTGACAAAATAAAGTCAAGGCACATGAATATAGATTACTCCATATGCAATGGTATCACCCAAGCTGCCAACTCTGTCGACACCTCACTCATAATTTATGATGTGGGGTGTCAGTGGAACCTTCACTTTGGAGAATGTGTTAACAATTGCCCTGGCTTGACACTCCCTGAAAATACAGAGATTGTAGCTGCAGTGGGGAAATTTCATCTCAGTGCTCATAAGCTAGCTTGTTTTGCTAGATACAGCCTAAACTTCATCTTAGGCGCTGCCCAAGTTGACGGAGAAATTCTGGAGACACTCTGGGCTCCCTTTAACAAGATATCTCCAACAGCCCGTTCTATGAGCCAAGCCCACCGTCAAGAAATCCTTGATGACCATATGCGTAATTCAAATTGGAAAAAACTTGTAGGGATTGGTGAGTGCTAAATTTGAAGTAAATAAGACTTTGATTAAATATTTTCAGTCAAGACCCTGTTACGAAAGCACAAACGTGCATATAAGGGCATCGATGACACCAAGGTCCCATTTGAAGAGCTTACGAGATCTTTGGATGTCAACAAAGTCAGCTTGTGGGAAAGTGACCAGAAACGAGCAACCGAACAGCGAGGGGAGCATCTTGACATATACAATCTAAAAATGGATAAAGGTGAGCCCTTCTACTGGCTTCTATATGCTGTACATTCTGATGGGTGATCGGAAGCACCAACAATGGCAGAAATACGTCTTAAATTAACTGAATCCGAATATGCAGATACCGGCAAAGTCGGATCAGTATCTTGGCTTATTGAGGGAATTAACTTGGAGGATGCACAGTACGTCATTTTATCATCTGTAGGGTCAGAGAGTTTGAATTCCTCCATAGGGATGCATTGAGGGTAGATATCCGGCAGCTTCCAAGAGACGCTTCTGCTACTCAGAAGGCGGTGGTTGCTGAGAAGCGACAAAAATTAGCTGTGAGGATCTCAAAATATCATGAAAGAACTGATGCCATGACCCAGGGTATCGAAGTCAACTCGGGTACAGTGCCCCTGGATGACATCAGATTTTGCACTGCAGATGTCGTGGAGTTAGGGCCAGAAGCTACAGATCTGGAATTTGCCTCAGAGGAAATTGTTGACTCAGAGGAAGTTCCTGCAGAAGTGATGGGATATTTGGGTGCCATCATCCATGCCTCACCAAGATGCTCTAGCCCTTGGGTTGGGTGCTCTAGTGGCCGAAGAACTCCAGTTACGGCAGGGTCAGTCAAATGATTGCCTAGAAAGGTTACGACAGGCTCTTGGTCACAAATCAATCATTTACCGTCAACACTTCCGAAGTGCGGATTCCACATGGGCAGGCACAAGGTCGAAGCAAGAGGCTTTACGGTGCCAGATAAAAATTGATAAGTATGTTCGAGGCTATCAAAGGGCAAGGGATGCAATGCAGAGGCTGGGAGTAGACGAAGAAACCCTCACTAATGTTTATCAAGAAATTCAGCCCAGCCAGCTCACTGTGAATCAGGAAGTGACTGAGGAGAATAGACATGGGCAGGGATCAGACAGACTGGCTTGGTTTTGGAGGATCAACAACGGTGGTAATACTCATGAAGACCCATGGATGGATGAATGTAGGTGATAACTCAATATTTCATACGTCTTCTCACAATAAGTATTAGTCTACAGGGTCAATTGGTTAAAAGCTAAGGCTAGGTGGCAAAGGTGGGAGGAGGAGTTGAGTTTGGTCCAACATGAGATGGGTTGGACAGTTGGCTGGTTTCAGCAAAAGAAGGATGAATGGCATAGAAGATATCACCAAGCCAAAAAAGCTGGCCATCAAGAATATGCACAGCAGCAGGTGCTCTTGTGGGAAAAGTTTGAATTGGATGCCCAGAATGCATTCAAGGGCAAAATGATTATAGTTGATTAACTCTACAATTGTCTTTATACAGCCCTTGTAATACATAGGAGTCTGACCAAAGTATATGGCCAGACCAATACTCACCAACAGTATATGTACTGGTTGGCCTGACAGCAGGATCAGCCCAACCAGCATATACTATTCGTACAAAGCGGCCAGCCAGCCTGTTTGTCTTGACTGCAGAATCGGCCAGACCAAATGATACCCACTGTACATAGTGGTCAGCCGGCCTAGTTGGCCAGACTGCATATTCGGCCAGACAGGTATCTACAGGCCGTGCCTAATAGTCGGCCAGCGAGGTTGGCCTGACAGCAGGATCAGCCAGACCAGAATATACTATTCGTACAAAGCGGCTGGCCAGCCTGTTTGTCCTGACTGCAGAATCGGCCAGACCAAATGTTACCCACTGTACATACTGGTCGGCCGGCCTAGTTGGCCTGACTGCATATTCGGCCAGACCAGTATCTACCAACAGTACTTACTAATCGGCTGGTGGTTGGCCAGACCACAGGATCAGCCAGACTAGCACTTACCTAACCTACATATAGGTCGGTCAGCCTGTGTGGCCTCAATGCTGTATCAGCAGGAGGTTGGTTTTTGACATACATTTTCATGCTGGCCAGTACTGGTCCTACTGGTCTGGCCGATCACATTCCACGGCCATGTCCCTTATTATTTAGATACTGGCCAGTACTGGTCCTACTGGCCTGGCCAGTCACATCCCATGGGCATGTCCCTAATTATATAGCTACTGGCCAGTACTGGCCCCACTGGTCTGGCCAGTCTTGGGGACCTTCACCTTCTCGTTGGTGTATTCAGGGGGAGGCACAAAGTTGTTCTCTGCATCATGCTCGAACATGATGAATCTGTGGCCGACCTCCTCCTGTCTCTCATCTCTGACAGTGGGATACATGAGAACAGACATCACCCAGGAACGTGCCAAGCAAAACACCGATGCCTCAATCTTTGCAAGGAAATCAGAGGTATGTAGAAATACAAGGTTAACACTCACCAAGCATGAAAGCAACAGCATGACCCTCCCATAGGCTGAGGGCCATGATGGCACAGTGAACGAGCCTGAGGAAAGATCCTGCTTTCTTAAGCTTCATGTCATGATGGCTATGGTGGTGTAATCCAGCTTCATGGTGGTGGTCACATTCCATGGGCATCTCCCTTATTCCTTAAATACTGGCCAGTACTGGTCCTACTGGTCTGGCCGACCACAGTCCACAAGCATGTCCCTTATTATTTAGATACTGGCCAGTACTGGTCCTACTGGTCTGGCCGGTCACATCCCACGGGCATGTCCCTTATTCCTTAGATACTGGCCAGTACTGGTCCTACTGGTCTGGCTGGCCACAGTCCACGGGCATTTCCCTTATTATTTAGATACTGGCCAGTACTGGTCCTACTGGTCTGGCCAGTCACATCCCATGGGCATGTCCCTTATTCCTTAGATACTGGCCAGTACTGGTCCTACTGGTTTGGCCGGTCACAGTCCACGGGCATTTCCCTTATTATTTAGATACTGGCCCAGCTGGTCACATTCCACGGGCATTTCCATTGTAATTTATATACTAGCCAGCCCCAGTCCTACAGGCCTGGCCAGTGATCATCTACAGGCACATCCCTTATTATATAGATAATGGCTAGTACTGGCCCCACAGAGCTGGCTGGACACATTCCACGTCCATGTTCATTATTCCTTAGATACTGGCCAGTACTGGTCCTACGTGTTTGGCCGCTCACAATCTATGGGCCTGTTATCCTCCACCTGAATGCTGGCCAGTACTGGCTCTACGTGTCTGGCCACTCACCCTGCCACCCTCCAGGTCACAGTTAGTTTATTATTACTGTATGTAGAATGAACATCAGCCAGAATGGCCCTACATACTGGCCAGTGCAGTGCCTACAAGGATTTAGTACAGCCGGCCAGCCACTGGCTGCACACATCCTACGGCCATTTGGCACGTCCAGGGTACAGGTTCTACGTAGGGTCTTGACTGAATGGTCTGCGGTCCAAGAGAAATTCTGGACCTGTGACCAAACCATGGGTCCAGTCCACAAAGGTTCGGGTTCAAACCTAGGTCCTGGACCGGACTGCGGCAGCACTAGTGAGAATAGTTCTTGCTCGATGAGATTGATGCCGAGGTTGCTCGACTCAAAGATATTCGTAATGCAGAAATGGACATGAAGTTTGTCTCAGACGACTAGGACATAAATGGGAAGGAATTTTTAGAAGAAAGAGCACTCGACACAAAGATGGGAATTGAAATATTGCTGTTAACCTGTGATTCTGTCTTTCGCTGCTGCCTTTCGAGTCCGAGTGCTAATGTGATTGATTACATAGAAAGGAAAGCTGTGACGTAGTATCAATATCAATTACCTTGGTCATACAAGGTCACTCTCCAATGACAATTTTGTGGTGTTCCACAACCACCAGTGTGAAAATCATCAACAGTCACTGGTGCAGTTTGACTCAATGCCAGCGCACGTGATACGCCTCTGTTCTTATCGTTCTCCAGTATCAATGCATGTCAGGACTCTCAGCATTACTGAAGATGTTATTTTTCAAGCTTGCATAACCAGTTCTCCTTGCGTCTTATAACTTCGCTACTGCATGCGGCAATCGAAATACAGCTTTCGTCATTAAGACGTGATTTCATGCATGTGTATTCTCATTCTAACTTGGATTTTCGTGTAGGCAGTGGTATATGAGTCAGTGCATGAGACAGGAAGAGACTCTGAGTCTCTGATAGGACGGAAATGGATTTCCAGGGAAAGCCAGGCTCACCTGCGCGAGTTGATGGGAACGCGTCGTCGGAGTCACGAAGTACACTGTAGGTCCACAACCGCCACATCAATCCATGTCTGACACATCAGATTGATCGATGGTTCACTCCATTTGCGCCACATTGGTCGACCGGATATAAGGAAAGCAGGAAGTAGTCGTCTTTCTTGTCCTCTTATTTTTACCACCTCAGTTCTGCTCACCACACTCAGCCAGTGTGAACATAAATCCCAAAATCAAGATTCTCAGAAGAACTTCTGTTGATCATAACCGAGAACGAGTCATGGCTAGATAGCGGAGTTCTTTTAAATTCACCATACAAAAATATGATGTACTAGTATTACCTGGCGCGTTACAATATATATTATTTCTGACGAACTCAGAGTATAGCATATTGATGGATCTCTGATTTTGGTACGGACCAGACAAAAATCGATTTCCAGGAAAAGATACAAGTCAGGATCACGTGCGCGAGTTGATGGAAACGCGTCGTCGGAGTCAAGAATTGAACTGTAGGTCCACAACCGCCACATCAATGATCAATCCAGCATCTGACACATCAGATTGATCAATGGTTCACTACATTTGCGCCACATTGGTCGACCGGATATAAGGCGAGCAGTCTTTCTTGTCATATTAGTGTTTTCCACCTCAGTAATAGTTCTGCTCAGTCAGTGTTATCATCGAACACCTACCATCATGTCCCCTGCTGGCGAGACTGACCCATCGTCTACTCCGCCACGCGCGAATGCACCAGTTGAAGGTGATATTAAATTAGAATCCACCCCCAACAGTCGTGGGGCTTCGGTCGTCAGCGAGCACATCGACTTGGTCGGTGTCCAGTACGCACCTTTCTTATTCTCATTGAGTAGCACTTGACATTCCATGAAGGGTCAAGGATGTCCGCCCATGGATTCAACGGGACATCGAGCAGGCCAAGCAGTGCAAGGCAGATGCTATGCTGCAAGCCCTCCTGCAGCGCGCGTCCTGCGCGCCGGAGACGAAGCAACCCGAGCTTCTGCAAAAGTGTCTTGAGGCAGTTCTACCGGTTTGTAATGGTGAGGTCTCTGCTGGAGGCGTGTCCTCCTCGGGCATCGAGACAGCCCTGAAAGAATAGTGAGTGCTTCTTCACGATCGAACGTTTCCACGCTTACATTGATTGCAAGCGTACGTCCAGGAATAGAAAACAAGTTCTACAGCCCTTTTATTCAGGCCACCAATATCGCGCTCGCTTGTCTTGAAGAAATTAAGGTCGACGGAATGGATGCTCCTGCCACCACCGTGGACATGATCTGCCAGCAAAACGATATGCCCATGTACCAAACCCACAAGACGCTGACATCGGTTCGGAAGCCCGACGTCGTGATGATTCCTTTGAACAACGCACGTGCTTCCTTCGAGGATGAGAAGGGCGGCAAGAAGGGCGATCAGAAGGCCAAACAAAGGGCCGACCACAAGGACGACACAAAGGACGGTCAGGAGCGCAAGGATCACATGGTCAAGAATGCAATGGAAAAGCCGCGAACACCACTCTTCTGGAAAGATATTCTAGGTTCCATCGAGTTCAAGAGAAAGACCCCCGGGAGGACGAAAGGGATTAAGCCACCGCCCTCTTCGTATACAGTGACAGACTATGTCCCTACTAAGCCAGAATATCTGCCGGTGGATCACCTTAAGGCTGGAGAATCGGCGCCAGGCCTTTCGCAGACCCCACCAACACAACCTGCGCCTGACACCACACGTAATTGATTTCATTTTTGATTCCAAAATCAAACTAAATTGTCTGATCAGCAGTTCGATCTTCTGCACAGCCCTCCAAGGGTGGGTCCAGCTCCAAGCGGAAGGCCGCGGACACTTTGCAATCCGTCACAAAAAAATTCAAGGCCAACCCTGATGAGTTAGATGTGACCGTCCAGACAGGTCTGTACGCCGCCGAAATGTTTGCGGCCAATCTTGCTGTCGAATATCTCATTAGTTTTATTGTCGTCGGTGGGTTCGTTAGTTTGTCGAAATTAGTCACGCTCTTACCGTGGTTTTTTAGACGATGTGATCTGGATCTGGTATTATGATCGCCAGGGCACCGTCCAATGCTCGGGCATCAACTTCATTCAAGATCTCCCGCGATTCATGGTGCTGTTGTATGCGTTACAGCGCTTCGAGGTTCACGATTGGGGCCGAAACAATGACTTCCTCCCAGTTCAAGTTGAGGGGAAACAATGCCATGAATTCAAAGTCAAGGATAAAGATTTTGGTACAGTAGATCTGCTGCTTCACACCAGCCATGACGAAAGGGTGACGCACTACGGACTACAAGGACGGGCCACCAATGTAGTCCCTGTCACTAGTGAAGCGCTCGCGAAGAAATACGGCAATTTGCAGGATGGGATGGTGGCCAAGATATTCTGGGGAGAGGCGGATCGCACTAGCGAGCCAACAATCTTGAGCAAAGTTGAGGAGATCGCCAATGTGCACCCGACCGTCCAAGGACATATTCCTGAGCTGCTCTGGCACCACAGGTTCACGAATCCCACGTCCGCCATGCGAGAAGCGCTCGGTGTTCCGGAACCTACAACGGGAAGTCGTGTGCTCTACATTCTTGTATTCCGCAAGCTACTCCCCATCACGAAGCTTCACGGAAAAGAGCTTTTCGATGTCTGGCGTCAGTGTATGTTGTGTACGTGTTTTCTTGATTTCAAATGGCTCTTTGCTGATATAGCGTGCAGGCCATCTGACTTTATGGAAAGAAGGTGTCTATCATCGCGATGTCAGCCCTGGAAATTTGATGTGGTACTGGAAAGACGGGAAGCGGATCGGTGTCCTGAACGACTACGATTTATCCTCGTTGGAGGGTGACCGAGGTCCTCGGGGCAACGAACGCACGGGCACAGTACCGTTCATGGCGCTTGATCTTCTATCCGCAAAGGCTCAACGAGGCGAAGTCAAACACCTGTATCGCCATGATCTGGAGTCATTTGTATGGGTTTTTATTTGGATTTGCCTGCGTTACAGGCAGGGTGTTCTTTTACCAGCGGAATCACGCCCCTTGGATGAGTGGGCGACATTACATGCTGTGACGTGCGGGGAGAAGAAATATTTTTTTCTTGGTCACCTGCGAGTTTACTACCCCTCGGACATCGATTCACGCATAGGGATTTTCCTTGTGGAGTGTGTGCAAGTGCTTCGAGAAGACGTTCACCGTCGATCTGCTCGCCTCGATCGGCTAATGGCCCAAGGAGTAGCCGAGCTGCCCGACGACGAGCAAATGGAAGATAAAGATATCGATGGTTTTCTACGCATGTTTACAGACCTGCCGAGCTGGGGTGAGCTCGACAACCTCTCACAGTGATTTCTTTACTTGTACATACGGTTCCTTTGCGGATTGCAGTATGTGTAACCTCCAGTTGTTTATAGATGGAATATTCTAAGCAGCCACTTGCTATGTAGATCTTATCAATAATATTCTATGAATCATCATGTTGGGCGTCTCCAGCTTAGTCGGAGAGACTCGGACTAAATGTTCGGTAGCATGTCATCTTATAGCCTCATCTCATACCATGCCTTATTCGCTGTCTCTGCGCTGCGCGCTCCTCGGCCTAGTCGAACGGGCAAAGTTAGTATTCTTGTGCCTGGGACTGTGCAACTCGTTCCACAACTTTAAAAATGCTTTTGTCCCACACGATCCTGCAGTCCGTGCCCTCTCCAAGTTGACCTATCGTTGAATCCGACTGGTAGCACCTAATGGGTGCATCTCTATTTCTCATGTTGAGCTGCTACTCCAGCATCTCACATATCTGCCAGTGAACGGTCACATCTCCGGGCTAACGTACGTCGTGACCGCCTCTTACCAAATAGAAATGTATTTTCCTATCAGCCCCAGGTCTCTATGCGCATTGGACGCAGCCGAAAGATCTCGCATCAAATAGAGAGTGGTTCCCTAAGGGGTTTCCGCCTTCTAACGCGCGATTTATGCAGCCATTGTTGATGATCTCTTAAAGGTATCATAGACTTGTCTTTTATGATCTGCTAATGAGATTGAATGGAAGTGTGACGTCGATTATGGGTTTGCGTTCTTCTCGCAATCATTCATCCATCGTAGTTGAATTTAACTGCAGGATTGGTTTGGTTAATGCACTCTGGTTTACGGCAGTCATGGATGCTCCAAGGAAAGGACTGTACATGCAATACTTTACCTCTGTACCAGTCTCCGCGTATTTCTCCCACAGACTTCACATCAAGATTCACTCCTCCAGCGCTTGTCCCTACCTAATCATTTCTTCATCAGCAATCTTCACTTGGTCCGGGCCCTGCATATTTTTTTCTGACAGAGATATAAGGTTGCTCATATCTAGCGTCACGTATCAAGCAAGGATAGAAGTGGTGCGCTGCTCACAGTGCTTGGAAGTTGGACGTACTGCAATTTTGCCACTTTCCGATACGATCGGATCGCACGCAGATACTGCACAGTGCGCGGCATGATCCGGAGTGGCAAGATCAGATATATAGTTGTTCATCAGACAGGGCCAGATCATACATCAAGTACCGCATAGCCTGGTGGTGCCTAACACGGGATTTTGGCGTTGGTGTGTGATCCCCTCACAGTAGTCAAGGCTTCATCAGCCGTTACTTAAACTCTGGCGTGTTCGGGCGCAGATGAAATTCCTAAAATGCATGAGCACCACAACTTACTGCCCTCTAAATTTAGGATAAGGATATAAATGTGAGGCATCCACCCACATGCATCTTTCTGTATTCTGATTGCCCCGCTTAAAGATGGTTACAGTTCAACAGAGTAGCGAACTCAATGCCCTCTTCCCCTCCCCATCTTCCCCGCCAAATGTGCTTTCCCCTCCGCGGTCGCCTGGCGCTTCTCCAGAAGCAGTTGTAGCTTTGTCACAGGTCTTGAAGGAGAACTACACAAAGTACCACATTTTCTTCAACTACAAGCGGTTCCATAAGTGCGTATGCATCTTGACTAATCCATATCTCATGCTGCTGATTCGAGCGTCGATAAAGCCATGTCACTCATCGCGCGCTAGCACTTTTTGTCATGGGCGCGAGTGGGTCACTGATCGAACAGTTCTACAAGCAAGACAGCTCCTACCAGCGCCCAGCCGTCGAGCCTCCCGAAGCTGTCACAGAAGAGAACTTTATCGAACATCTAGGTGATGACAAGTTGAGTTTTAAAATTGATGTTCAACGCCCCACTCAATCGATTTTCTGTCAGCTTTTACGCCGCGTACAAATCCTTCTTCATCAAGGTTATCCAGGACAAGGGCCTCAGCGCCACGCTGGAAGAATACGTATTCTCTAAGAAGTACAACTTTATAGAGGGACGAGACGCGTTTAACCAGCCGGTGATGTTGGCGCGCTTCCTTGGAGGTTTGTTCCACGCCTTCATCCATGTAGGCTATGGCGCAGAATTAGGTATTCAGGGCATGGTCGTCGAAGGCAAGCAACGTAACACATCATCGTAAACAAATCCCTGACAGATATCCAAAGGTCTTGCATTGGCCAGCGTGCACGAGCATGAGTTCTTACCATCGTATCTCTTCGAGCCCAGCGGCACGACTGCAGTGGAAGAGGTTACAACTCGACTTACCTCGCTTGTCCTTAATTCAAAGACATCTACTACGCCCTCTCAAGTCAAACAACCACCGAAAAACCACGCATTCTCCATTCTTGCCAAGATCATGCAAGATCCGAAATTCACACCACAGGAAATCAAGAAGTATTTCAAAAATTTTGATGGCCTGATGTCTGAGCATGGTGATATTATATGGCGCTACGCTGAACAATGGACGATCGACCCGTCGCAGCCAGGCGAAATTGAAGATAAGATGGAAGAATGTATCTGGACAAGCACTATCCTCTACTGCATTGGCGGATGGAACAAAGATAAAGGCTTAACAGCAGACTTCACCTAGTAAGTGGCATCGAATCTGCCATCTGCGCAAAGACACTAATTTTTGGGGTGCTCCAGCATGCATCTCGTCACGTCTAGTCTCTTCCTTCCATCCTTGTTGCCTTACCTACCAAAACATTCACAAGTTCTTGTGCTTCGCGGATACTTTGCGTCGACTATTGGGTGGTGGATCGCACTCGGCTTCCCTAGACTGGACATTCAAGGCTTCCTCAGTGCCACCTCACCTCTTCCGTCAGATATAAAGGTCGCTAACCCGTTCCTCGACATCATTCAATCTGCGATAATGCACTCAAACGAACATATGCCAAAGATTCAGCGCGCCTTGGCACATTTCTCGTCACTTTATGGCACACGGCCCAAGGGCTACTTCAAGGACACAGAATTAGAGGGCGCAGAAGCGCTAGATGGATCGCTCTTCTTTTGGGCTGCGAAATTGACTGACGAGTATATGAGCGAAGGGAGGCCCTGGAGCCAAGAAGGGTTTCCTGTGAAGGATTAGGAGTGAACGAGGGATTTGAGATGTATGTCCTACAAACACCGCTGAACCAATAACTGCAGTTTTATTTGCTTTCAAATTTATCAGATATGTTGATCGTTTGATATCCCTCAAGACACAGCGATATTCATTCACAAGAAACATATCTGAAAGGGGTAACGATGTATGACAGTGTGAGAAGTGTAACTGAGTCGGTCGTCTATCTTTCTCGAAACATAGAGCGAACGTCGGACTCCGTTCCACTCTGAGAATATCAATCTCGAAATTGGGATTCTTAGAAGAACTTCTGAATCAAAGAAACTTCCTAGGGACCAGTGTAAACTCGGATCGATATCAAGATTAATCCAAGTTGCGTATTTATTTATTACGGAACAACATTTGTGTGGTAGAGTAAGTTCCTGTTGCCATGAAATAATTCCTTGTGCGCTGCTTCGATCTTTTCGATGAATTGACACAGTCAGAATGACTTGTCTGGGTCACGTGCGCGTGTTGATGGAACGCGTCGTCGGAGTCGAACTGTCCACAACCACCACATCAATCCACATTTGATTGATCGATGGTCCACTACATTTGCGCCACATCGGTCGATAAATATACAGGAAGCAGCTGTCCTTCTCGTTCTCTTATTTTTCTCCCTCCCACCAGTTCTGCTCATAACACTCACTGGCAGCCAGCAGAATCATTGAACACTTAGCAACATGTCCCCTACCAGCGAGACTGGTCCATTATCTACGCCTCCACGAGCCAATGCACCAGCTCATGGTGCTAGCAAAATAGAATCTACTCCAAACAGCCGTGGTGCTTCCGTCGTCAGCGAGAACATCGGCGTACTGGGTGTCAGGTGCGTATGTTTCCTGTTTTTATCAGCATCTAACATTCCATTAAGAGTCAAGGACGTCGGCCCATAGATTCAGCGGGACGTTGAGCAGGCCAAGGAGTGCAAGGCAGATGCCATGCTGCAAGCCCTCCTACAGCGCGCGTCTTGTGCGCCGGAGACGAAACAGCCCGAGCTCTTACAAAAGTGCCTCAAGGCAGTTCTGCCGGTTTGCAATGGACAGATCTCCACCACACTTTCAAAGTCTTCTGACATTAAGACAGCCCTCAACGAATAGTGAGTGTTGGTTTCTGAGACGTTTTCATGCTCACAACGATGGAAAGCGTACGTCCTGGAATAGAAAACAACTTCTACGGCCCTTTCATAAGAGCTACTAACATCGCGCTCACTTATCTTGAAGAGATCAAGGTTGACGGGATGCGTGCTCCTGTCCCCACTGTGGATATGATCTGTCAGCAGAATGATATGCCCATGTACCAAAGTCACCAGACCGCGAAATCGATTCGAAAGCCTGACAGCGTCATTCTTCCTTTGAATAGCGCATGTGCTTCCTTCGAGGATCAGAAGGGCGGAAAGAAGGGCAAAGAGAAGGACGAGAAGGACGACGAGCAGCGCAAGAAGAAGCGCAAAGCTCATATGGACACGAATGCAACGTCGAAGCCAAAAAATCTTCCCTGGAAAGACGTTCTAACTTGTATCGAGTTCAAGAGAAAGACGCCAGGCAGGACGAAAGGCATTAAATTACCACCCTCTTCCTATACAGTGACAGACTATGTCCCTACCAAGCCAGAATATCTGCCGGTAGATCATCTCAAGCCTGGAGACCCTGCGTCCGACACTGCATGTAAGTGGTTGTATTTTGTATTCCAAGATGAAACTCAATCAGCCCAGCTGCAGTTTCATCTTCCAGCCTTACTGCTGCCCAACAGACACAGGGCGGGTCTAGCTCCAAGCGCAAGGCCGCGGACACTTTGGAATCTGCTGCCAAAAAAGCCAAGATCAACCCTGACGAGCTAGATGTGACCATCCAGACGGGTCTGTACGCGGCCGAAATGTTTGCGGCTAATCTTGCCGTCAATCATCTACTGAATATTATCGTCGTTGGTGGGTCCCTTCCTTTACCGAGATCGGTCGCACTCTTACCACTGCTCTGTCAGATGATGTGATGTGGATCTGGTATTATGATCGCCAAGGGACTATTCAATGCCCGGGCATAAACTTTATTCAAGATCTACCGCGATTCATGGTGCTGTTGTATGCTTTACAACGCTTCGATCTTCACGATTGGGGCCGAAACAAGGACTTCCTCTCAGTTCAAGTTGAGGGGAAACAATGCCACGAATTTAAAATCAAGGATGACGAACTAGGAGAGGTGGATCTGCTGCTTCACACCAGTCACGACGACAGAGTGACGCACTACGGACTGCAAGGACGTGCCACTAACGTGGTCCCTGTCACCAGCGAAGCGCTCACGAAGAAATTCGGTAACTTCCAGGATGGGATGGTAGCCAAGATCTTTTGGGGAGAGGCGAATCGCACTAGCGAGCCAGCAATCTTAAACAGAGTTGAAGATATTGCTGAGGCGCACGATACCGTAAAAGACCATATTCCCGAGCTGCTCTGGCACCACACGTTCACGAATCCCACGTCCGCTGCCCGAGAAGCGCTCGGTGTTCCGGAACCCGCCACAGGCAGTCGCGTGCTCTACATACTTGTATTCCGCAAGCTGCACTCCATCGCGAAGCTTCACGGGAAGGAGCTTTTTGACGTTTGGTATCAATGTATACTGTGTACGTATTTTCATCGCACATATGAGGCTCCTCGTTGACGTAGTGTGTAGGCCACGTTACGTTGTGGAAACAAGGGGTCTATCATCGAGATGTCAGTCCCGGAAACCTGATGTGGTACTGGAAAGACGGCAAACGGATAGGCGTTCTAAACGACTACGATCTATCATCGTTGGCGGATGACCCAGGTCCTCGGGGCAACGAGCGCACGGGCACAGTGCCATTCATGGCGCTTGAGCTTCTCTCCGAACAGGGTCAACGAGGCGAAGTCAAGCACTTATATCGTCATGATCTGGAGTCGTTCATGTGGTGCTTCGCCTGGATTTCCTTGCGGTACGAGAACGGAGCCCTTGTATCCGCGGAATCACGCCCAGGCCGGTTGTATCATTGGGCCACTTCTGACGCAGTGACGTGTAGCATGCCGAAGCTACACTTTCTGAATAATGTCGAAGAATACCGACCCCGTCACATAAAGCCACTTATGTGGGAGTTCCTTGTAGAATGTTTTGATGTGCTTGACACGTACGCCTTTAATCGACGTAAACAACTACTACGATCGAGAAAGGGGGGAGACCGGCCAACCAAATCCGAGGAATCAGAATCAGATATTGATTGTTTTTTACAATCATTCAAAAATATCGAGAGTTGGGCTACGCTCAGCAAACTTTTACGGGAACCCTTGCAGTGATTTTCTTTACTTATTACACTACCTATGGGTTCGAATACTTGTATCAATTGCCTGTGCGCTTCGTCTCCAGTAGGTAAATCAAACGAATAGACATGGAATATGGTGACTCGTCATTGTGCAGAATTGAAAAACATAGGAAATACATGTTTATCTAAGCTAGCCGAGGCACAAGGCAGCAAGAGTCATGTACTACATAGTGGTAACTTGATCACACTTGTCACTTGTCAATCGCGCGTCTTTTTAAACAGGTAATGACCCCTGTCTACTGCTACTGGTAATTGTCTTGGGATCTGAGCTTCCGCGTCAATGTTCGGTAGGTCAATGGTCTCAAAAGCCAACATCTTGACATGTCACGCTCAAGAGATCTTGTTCAACAAAATTTAAGATTCAAACACATAGATAGAGTGCCATAAGAAATTCCACTCTTGCGCGCGAAATACATAACAGAAAAGCAAAACTAAGTGAGGTAATTGGTTTGAACGAAGATACTATGAAAGCAGAGTAAACATTAATACGCAGACCAGATATTTAGGCGCACCGTTGTCGCATTCCTCAATCAAGCATGGGTGAGGGAGTAACGTCCAGTGTTCGCATCGCGTGAGAGGTTCCAAGTCGTGTTCTGAGCAAGTCCAGTGAGGTCCTGGGTCCAGATCGCAGGAGTGTCGACTTGACCTCGTAAGATCGCGGTCTCTTCATAGTCCGCCGTAATGTAGGCACGCAGGACCGGAGTGTACTTCGCCGTGACACGGCTGCCATCTCTGCGTTGTGTATTGTGAACACTCTGAAGGAGAAATACAAGAAAGATAACATACCCAACATCGCTGAAGTAGAGTACGGGTGTGGGCATAAAGTCTCCTTTGTTTACAAAGCCTGGAGGTGGACAATCAACTCAGGTGAAAAAAGAGGAGACAATGATAGTCACAAACCGACTGCGATCTCTTGAATAGAACCAGTGTGGTTCTGAGCCTGCAGGATGCCAGCGGTTCCCGTCTCAGGGGGCTACACGAGATATTTGTCGGTGGTCGAGATGAATGTCGACAAAAGTCAGACTTACAGAGAAATGATAGACCTCGTTGGCCTCAGTCAGGGTTGTCTTCTGGTTGATCTGCATCACGACTTGCATTGGCGCTAGCAATTTAATAAGTGAAAGGGTCGCTCACATTAATATTCACGGAGGTTGCAGCGCTGATGACCTTCCCGGCCTCGACCTGGGCTCTGGAGAAAGCAAGTCTGTACAATATATAAGCGACTTTCAAGACCATCGATCTCGTCGATCATCTTACTGGGCCGTGTAGGTCGCGGTAGCCCTGTATGGACCTAAATAGGGATCATATGTAAGTTAGCGACTTAGCAGCAAAAGATAGGAAGACGCACCCTCCTTCCCGAATTTGGTGACCCTAAAAAAATAGCAAGGTTTCAAATCGTCCAGAGTCGAAGTAGGCGCACTTACTTCCAAACTATCGGGAAGACGTCCTGGTAGAGGCCTTCCAGGTTGGGGCTCCAAGCGAGCATGAGAGTGACCTCCTTTCCGAGGTTGTTGCTGCGAAACGACGACGAGTCGGTTGAAAAAATTTGTGAAAACGAGATCGTAGACACTCACGACTGGAAGGTCAAATTCCTGACGAAGGGACGGGGTGCCATTGTTTCGGATTGCTAAACACAAAGTGTACTGCTGGTAGTTGAGATGGAATGTGGACTGAAGAGCTTGAGTTCTGAAGTTAGAGTCTCAGCAAGGAGGTTTTTATACGTTTCGGACGGCATACTATGTTGCACCTCCTTCCTTGTTTTGCGACTCAGCCAGCGTCTCCTTCGTACGCCGGTACCTGGCGCCGAAGATCCTAATTATTCGACAAGGTGATAGCATATGATGGCCCTTGATTTAATAGACAGCCGGCTTCTCCACGAACCGACTCCCCTGGGCGTTCAAGTTGTGCGCTGGGAAGTTCGTAGCTGCGGTCGCCTGTCCTTCATACCTTCAGTTTGTGCTCCTTTCGTAACCTCGCCGTGATAGATGGATAGGGATTAGTACCGAGTACCAAATACTGGGATTTGATCTGCCTGCTAAGGTAGATGACATTGTAATCGAAATAGTGAGCCTATACTTGTCAGGAGTTGAGTCATCGGGAGCACATGGGCCATGGCACATTTCGCACACGCAACTGCAATGTTTTTTCTATAGTAGTCCCTGACCCCGTCGGCCCGAGTTGAGTCCGGGGCAAATCAACTGTCAAAGTCAAATGTCAGTCAAACGAGCTGCAAAAGACGCCCAACCTGCTTCAACCGAGGGCATAAACTTGGGGCGCCGAACTAAACATGGCTCCGCCGAGTTGCTGTGTCTGTCATTCAGAACATTCAAGGCACATCGACACAGCTAAGGAGTCCTAGAATAACATCGCATCAGCAGCAAAAGCGCTCGTTGAGCGTTACGGACATATTGCGTTATATTGAATTGTCACAAATTTGGTAACTTACATAATGTTTCGTGACTTTTTGTCTGGATTGATCACGTGCGCGTGCAATCAGTGTCAAGTGCACATGTTGCCTATTTTTATCGAGTAGCACACATTCTTTTAAGAATTAAGGACGTCGGCCCATGGATTCAGCGGGACATTGAACAGGCTAAGGAGTGCAAGGCAGATGCCATGCTTCAAGCCCTCCTACAGCGCGCGTCTTGCGCGCCGGAGACGAAACAGTCCAAGCTCTTGCAAAAGCCTGAGTGCCTCAAGGCAGTTCTGTCGGTTTGTAATGGACAGGTATCCGCTAGGGACATTTACTCTTCTGGCGTCGAGACAGCCCTGAAAGAATAGTGAGTGCTTCTTCGCTGACGTGCTTACAAGGACCACGAGCGTACGTCCTGGAGTAGAAAAAAATTTCTACGGCACTTTCATACGAGCTACTAACATTGCTCTCACTTGTCTTGAAGAGATGAAGATTTACGGGATGCGTGCTCCTGTCCCCACCGTGGATAGACGCAAGCAGGCTCATACGGACACGCATGCAACGGTAGAGGCACAAAATCTCCCGTGGAAAAAGTTTCTCGCTTGTAGCTAATCTCCACTCCATACTGAAGGGGGAAACCAGCCAACCAAATCCGAGGAATCGGAATCAGATATTGATTGTTTTTTACAATCATTCAAAAATACCGAGAGCTGGGCTACGCTCAGCAAACCTTTACCGGAACCCTCGCAGTGATTCTCTTTACTTATTACGCTACCTACAGTTTTCAAAACTTGCATCAATTGCCTGCGCGCGCTTCGTCTCCGGTAGGTAAACCAAATGAATAAACATGGATTATGGTGACTCGTCGTTGCGCAGAATTGAAAAAAAAAATTGTCATGTTTAGTACATAGCGGGGGGTGATTTCCAGCACGTTACTAGGACCTAGGAAATACAGTTAATGTACACTTGATCATTACAGGTCGCAAAGTATGAAAACAGGGAAATTACTTATTAGCAATTCCAAGAAATCGCCTCGATTTCTGAGGCTTTCCCTATGACTACAGGCATACGTCTGAAGATTCAAGAATGTGGGGACGTAGTAATGACACAGACTCAGATTACAAGGCGTACGCTCCCTGATCCTCTGAATACTGTGGCGGAGGTTCAACTGAACCTTGATTGCCTGGCACAACATCACCAGCGCCAGTATGCACGATCATTCGAGTAGGATGTTGGTAGGCTGTTTGTGCGCTAGCTGACGCCATAAATCGATTTCGAGATTCTCCTTGCACAGCCAAACTGTCTGTGTCAGGGCTGTGGTGGGAATTTTGTGTCTCATCGAAGGGTGTGGGGGAGTTCTGAACTGTGATATCGTCGGCAGAGGTAAAGATTGATTGGGATTGGGATTGAACGGGTGATGCAAGGTAGGGGGGAACTGGCTTCCGTGGTAATAGTCGTGCTGGTCGTGCCCCCACAGCCATATGCTCGACGGGCGTCATATCTGACATTCGACCGTCTCTAGATACAGCAAAGGCTGTGTTAGAGCTCTGGTGCGAAGGCTGCGTCTGATTGAAAGACACGTGATGATCCCTAGCCGCCAAGTTGGTGGCAAACGCATTGATAGCGCTTGGTTGGTATCCAGATTGAATGGATGGACAAAGAGGATCTGTCTCCTGCGATAATGACAGTGGCCTTTCATCCACCGTAGCCATTCGTCTGTCTACAGACGATATAGCCAAATTTCGAGCGTCTTCATACACAACAAAGTCTGCGTTCGAGCCCTGGCGTGAATGCGATATCTGATTGAACGGTGTGTGAGGGTCGTTGACTGTGAAGTTTCCGGTAGACTGGAGTGATTGGCGGTTGTAAGTGGATAACAGGGTCGAGCTTCGAGAATCCCCGTAGACAGGAGAGTATGTGTTAGAGCTCTGGCGCGAATGTCTTGTCTGGTTGAATGAGGAGGGAAAACCGCTGACTGCGAAGTAGCCGGCGGACGAATTGGTCATGTCTGACTGGGTTCTCAGGCTGGGTTGAATGGGTCGGGTATAGTAGCTGTGGGGGTCTGTCTCGTATGTGAAAGGGAGTTGTGGAAGAACGTCACTGTGGAAGCTGATTTTGTATTTTGGATCTGTACGTTCCAATTGATGTGGATAGCTTTGTGTAGAAGACTGAAAGCTAGATGTTTTACGCCAAAAGCGCATGCCGAGAACGATCAATGCAATTAGAACCGCCCCGCCCCCGCCCGCCGTGCCTGCGATAAGAGCAACATTGCTGCTCGATCTACTGCCCGTAAAAGGCAGACTGCTTGACGAACTGCTTGAACTAGATGATTGTGAAGTCGTGGTTGTGGCCGACATGCCTACAGTGGTTGACGACAAGTTGGCGCTTAGGCACGAGAAATCACCTGTCCCTACGACCTGTTCGAGCCCAGAGATCCCACCTTGTCTGCCTAAGGAGTCGAAAATGAGATACATGAGGTCCGTCCCTGCGGTAACATTTGCAACTGAGGTAAAATTTGCGCTATTGGAATTGAATACGACTGGTTGTCCGCCAGGAATAAGTTGCTGTCAGAAGATAAGTCGATCATTTTAATAGAATCCGCAATGATCTGACCACGATAGTAATGGGCAGTACTGCACTACTTTCGGCCTGAATGGTAAATTGACTGGAGTAGTGGTAAGTCAGTGCCACAGAAGTAGCCAAACCAAACTTGCCTGCATTGTATCAGCGGAAGTGGAGACAACCGGAATGTGTAAGGAGGTGACAAAATTGAAGTGTTGCAAACATTATTTGCGACTTGATTCCCAACAGTTAATGTGTTTGTCGTCCCTCCCGAACCAAATCCGGTGGCGTCAGACATGGTGAGTAGAAACGTAGTTCCCGCTGACAACGACAATTGCGGTATTGAATAAGAGCCTTTTCCATTGCTGAAGGCTGATGATGGTGGAGTAATATTCTGATACGACGTTTGCGAAGACTGGACACAAAGGTTAGTGGGCGATCGATACGCTTGAGACGATAGCGCCGACGAACGGGAGTTAAGAGTATTTCAAACGGTGCTTGTCCACCTGATGACGCCGATAAAGTTCAGCGAGAGCTTATAAAGTTGTACTAGATGTGGGCTTACCAGTCCATGAAATATCGAGAGAACCGCATTGAGTGGGAGCCCCCACAGTCACACTGAAAGCACGAGCAACAGAGAGACAAGAAGCAACACACGTAAAGAAGCGAACGAAGTGCATACTCGAGAAATGAGGAAGAGAAAAGGATATGGACGCGGGTGTACTCAAGTAATATCCTGAACAAAGGAATCGGAGCAGACTCAAGGTGAGGAGAAGTTGGGTCCTAGATGATGCTAACCGGCGAGAATCGATCACTATATAGCATGAACAGTGAGACACCGTTAGGCAATGTCATGAACTTTATAATGTGATGAATGTTGCCGGGTAGTCGGTGGCCAGATATCATGGTTTTGATTGACGTGCGATACCGAATCCTCGTGTCTGACATTCTGTATTCCGATATCGTCTGTACGCTGGCCAGCCAAGAGTGGTCCCGAGTGAATGCACGAAAGATGTGACAGTGGTGTGTAAATTACCTGTGCCGCAAACGCTGGCGCCGGCGGTAGCATAGTTTGGTGAGCTGGACGTGAGAGGAATGGCATCCGAGGCACCGACTTCAAACGGTCTATTCTGAATTCAAGTACCGCGATTCAGACGGGTTGCCTGCCGAGCCGTCGAGAGTCGACCATATCTGCATGAGTAGCCATCGGGAAGGCTGTGTTAACATGATCATGAGTATCAAACGAGAAGAGGTGCAGTAGACATAAAGGCGCTTCTCCCACCTCTATCTCAGAAATTCCCGACCTCAGGTTGCATGGCTAGAGTTAGTACGCATACTGCAAGTATTCGTTTAGCAGGGCAAATATCTAGTGAATGTACGAACATAGTGCAAATCCAGTGGTCGACGTGTTTTACATTCATGAGGTATCTTGTCGATGCTGACGGGGTACTTACTATCAGTAGCCGCTAGCCAGAAATCATTAACCGTTAATCCTTCGGTAAAAGTTCGATATCAGAACCGAGAAATTTACGCTTCGGCTCTGCTATCAGTATTCCCACACTTTTGACAACCCTCCACCAAGTCTCTCAGGGTTCTGCCTGGTGCTAGACGAAGCTGGATAATCTATGTAGCTGACTCACAACATAGCCATGGCAAGTAACTTTGCAGAATGAAAGAACTTTATAACTAGGGATTCTTGTATAAACTCGATACACTCCGGTCCCAGGCGCAACGCTGACGCAGATCTAGATGTGACCGTCCAGAAACCTCTCTGTACGCCGCCAAAATGTTTATAGCCAATCTTGCAGTCAATTACCTGCTGATCATTACCCGGTACCGTCGTCGGTGAGTTCATTCCTCTGCCGAGATTGGTCGCGCTTACCACAGCCCTTTCAGACGATGTAATGTGGGTCTGCTATCATGTTTGGCAAGGGATCAGTCAATGCTCAGGTATCAACCTCATCCAAGATCTCCCGCAATTAATGCTGCTTTTGTACGCCCTACAACCACTGTTCGATCTTTACAGTTTGGACCAAAACAAGAACTTCCTTTCAGTTCAGGTTGAGAGGAAACGATGCCACGAATTCAAAATTAAGGATGAACAACTTTGAGAAGTGGATCTGCTTCACACCAGTCAGGATGAAAGAACAACACACTACGGACCACAAGGACAGACCACTAATGTGGTCCCTGTTACCAGTGAAGCCGCACTAACGAAGAAATGCAGCAACTTCCAGGATGGAATTGTGGCCAAGATTTTTTGGAGAGAGGCGAGTCGCACTTGCGAGCCTGTCATCTTGGACAAAGTTAAGGAGATCGTGAAGGGCACAATACTGAAAGAGATCACATTTCTGAGCTGCACCACACGCTCAAGAATCCTATGACCGCCATCCTAGAAGCGCTTGGCGTTCCCTTCCCCACCACGGGCAGTCACGTGCCAACAAAGAGCTTTTCGACGACTTCGCGCTAGTGTATTTTTATGTACGTGTTTCATTGAATTTACATGGCTCCTCGTCGACATGGCGTGTAGGCCGCCTTACTCTATCGCAAGGAGGGGTTCACGAACCAAGGGCCACTTCCGAGTCATGGGCACATCTGGAGGGCGCAGAAGCGCTTGATAGATCGCTGTTCCTCAAGGCCGCGGGACCATCTGATGGGTGTCATAACTTGAATGAGCGAGCGCACGAGACCTTATGACAAGGTTTTCCTGCGAGGAATCAAATGTATTGATCGTCCAACATCACTAGTTTACACATTAACAGTAACATGCAGCACACGGAACTAAAAGGGGGTAACAATTGTAAGGACAACAGAATGCTAGATGGCGCGAGCGTCGGACTCCCTTGTACTCTGAAAAAATAAATCCCAAAATCAAGATTCTTAGAAGAACTTCTGTTGATCCTGATCCTGATTCCTGAATCAATGAACTTCTTCAATTTGGATTAAGCATCAGGTTTGATTGCGTACCGAGGACGCGATGTGTGGTAGATAGCGGAGTACCTCTCACCATGAAAAGATGAACTAGCTGGCGTGCTGCTGTCACCGATCTGATTTCTGACGAACTGACAAAGTACTACTAGACTCGACGACCGTTACAGTAGATGAATTTTAGTCTGGACTTGAATAAGTCAGAGTCACGTGTGCGTGTTGGTGGGAACGCGTCGGAGTCTCTTCTAACCACAACCGCCACATCAATCCACATCTGAAGATCCGACAAATCAGATTGATCGATGGCACACTAGTACTACCATTTGCGCCACATTGGTTGACCAGATATAAGGCAAGCAGGATGCAGTCGTCTTTCTTGTCCTCTTAATTTTCTCCCCTTTCCCAGTGCAACATCCAATCAGCGTAATTATTGAACGCCTAGCGTCATGTCCCCTGCCAGCGAGACTGGCATATCGTTGACTCCTCCACGCCCCAATGCGCCGGACCAAGGTGCTAGCAAACTAGAATCTACCCCAAACAGCCGTGGGGCTTCGGTTGTCAGCGAGAACATCGGGCTGGTCGGTGTCAAGTGTGTGCATTTCCTGTTTTATTGAATGGCACCTAACATTTTATCAAGGGTGAAGCAAGTACGCCCGTGGATTCAACGCGATATAGAGCAGGTTAAGGAATGCAAAGCAGATGCCATGCTGCAAGCCCTCCTGCAGCGCGCTTCTTCCGCTCCCGAGACTGAACAGCCCGAGCTCTTGCAAAAGTGCCTCAAAGCAGTTCTGCCTGTTTGCAATGGACAGGCCTCCACCGCGCTGTCAAAGTCCGCTGACGTCAAGACAGCCCTCAACGAATAGTGAGTGCTTGTCCTAAGTTCAACGATCACGTTTTCATGCTCACAACGATGGCAAGCGTACGTCCAGGAGTAGAAAACGATTTCTACAGCCCTTTCACAAGAGCCTCTAACGTTGCGCTCGCTTGTCTTGAGGAGATCAAGGTCGACGGGATGCGTGCTCCTGTCCCTGCCGTGGACATGATCTGCCAGCAGAACGATATGCCCATGCACCAAATGCACCAAAATAAGCCATCAATTCGGAAGCCTGACTTGGTCATTCTCCCTCTGAATAGTGCATGTGCTCCCTTCCAGGATGAGAAGGGCGGCAAGAAGGGTAAACAGACCGGCAAACAGAAGGGCAAACAGAACGACAGACAGAACGACGACCAAAACAACGACGAGAAGGATGATGAGCAGCGCAAGAAGAGACGCAAGGCTCATATGGACACGAATGCAACGGTAAAGGCACAAAATCTTCCCTGGAAAGATGTTCTCGCTTGCATCGAGTTCAAGAGAAAGACGCCAGGGAGGAAGAAAGGGATTGCGCCACCGCCCTCTTCGTATGCAGTGACAGACTATGTCCCTACAAAGCCAGAATATCTGCCAGTGGATCATCTTCGGGCCGCAGACCCGGCGCCAGGCCCCTCGCAGACCCCAGCGGCACAAACTGCGTCCGACGCTGCAAGTAAGTAATGATATCGAGGATTCTGAGATAAAACTAAGTCGGCCAAGCTGCAGTTCTATCTTCTGGCCTTGCTCTTGCCCAGCCTTTCCAGGGCGGGTCCAGTTCCAAGCGCAAGGCCACGGACACTTTGGAATCTGCCGCGAAGAAATCCAAGACGAACCCCGACGATGCAGATGCGGAACTAGATGTGACCGTCCAGACGGGTCTGTACGCTGCCGAAATGTTTGCGGCCAATCTTGCAGTTAATTATCTGCTGAATATCATCGTCGTCGGTAGGTTTGTTCGGCTGTTGAGATTGGCCGCGCTCTTACCAAAGCTTTCCAGACGATGTAATGTGGATCTGGTATTATGATCGGCAAGGGGTCATTCAATGCTCAGGCATAAACTTCATCCAAGATCTACCGCGATTCATGGTGCTATTGTATGCTTTACAACGCTTCGACCTTCATGATTGGGGCCGAAGCAGGGACTTCCTCCCGGTCCAAGTTGATGGGAAACGATGCCACGAATTCAAAATCCAGGATGAAAAACTCGGAGAGGTGGATCTGCTGCTTCACACCAGTCACGACGAAAGAGTGACGCACTACGGACTGCAAGGACGTGCCACCAATGTGGTCCCTGTCACCAGCGAAGCGCTCACGAAAAAATACGGAAAGCTCCAGGATGGGATGGTAGCCAAGATCTTTTGGGGAGAGGCGAATCGCATTAGCGAGCCTGCCATCTTGGACAAGGTTAAGGAGATTGCTAAGGCGCATAATACCGTAAAAGACCATATTCCCGAGCTGCTTTGGCACCACCAGTTCACGAATCCTACGTCCACCATCCGAGAAGCGCTCGGCGTTCCGGAGCCCACCACAGGCAGTCGCGTGCTTTACATACTTGTGTTCCGCAAGCTCCACTCCATTACGACGCTCAAGACCGAGGACCTTTTCGACGTATGGCGTCAGTGCATCCTATGTATGTGTTAGATTGGATCTACGTGGCTTTCGTTGACATGGTGTGCAGGCCACGTTACTCTATGGAAGGAAGGGGTCCATCATCGAGATGTCAGCCCTGGAAACCTGATGTGGTACTGGAAAGATGGGAAGCGGATGGGCGTTCTAAACGACTACGATCTATCCTCATTGGCGAATGACCCGGGTCCTCGGGGCAACGAGCGCACAGGCACGGTGCCGTTCATGGCACTTGATCTTCTCACCGAAGAGGGTCAACGAGGCCAAGTTAAACACTTATATCGTCATGATCTGGAGTCGTTTATGTGGTGCTTCGCCTGGATTTGCTTCCGTTACGAGAACGGAGTCCTTCTACCACAGAAATATCGCCTCCTTGATGAATGGGCGACTTTAGACGCTGTAGCGTGTGGTGAGAAGAAGTACTATTTTCAGGGTCATGTGAAACCTCCCCCACGCTCGCACATACCCGAGTCTGTATGGAAGTTTCTTGTAGATTGTTTCGATGTGCTTGACACGCACACCTTCAATCGACGTAAACAACTAATACGATCGACACAAAGAGGAGACAAGCCGGCCAACTTCGAGGAATCAGATTCAGATATTGATAGTTTTCTACAGTCTTTCGAAGATACCAAGAGCTGGGTCGCGCTTAGTAAATCCCTACCCTCACACTGATTTTTTTACCCGTTACACTACCTAGCATACGGTTTTCTGGCTCCGACATTTGCGTCAATTGCCCATGTACTTCGTCTCCAGTACGTAGGTAAAGCAATGGGATAGATGGATGATAGCGACTCGTCATTGCGCAAAAGAAATTGTGTAAATGGTGGCTAATTTCCAACAAAAGTGCAGCGCGCTACGTAGGATCGAGGAAACACATTTGATATGTACTTGATTACGGGTCGCGATACAGCACATGAACACACCTGCTGAACTCACTTGCAAGTCGTGGAGTCATATAATTTGTACCTTGATCAAATCACCAAGGATTTCGGTTCATATTTCAGCAAGCCATCTCCTTCAACCGCGAGGTTTTTGCCCATGGTAATTTTCCAAGATCTAAATAGATGTGTCTATCGTGGTTCACGAATCACGCTACATCGAGGAGCAATGTACTCGCGAGCCGGAAATAATAGAAAAGGTCTCCGAGATCCCGAAGCAAGAGATTGCCGAAGACCCTATACCTCACTGCATTCTAGAAGTAAACCAAGCGTCTATATGGCCCCCTGTTAGAAGATCGTGTTGCAGGACACCATGATCTCTGAAATGCAGTGCTCAGTCGTCGAGAGGATTTAATCCTTGGCAACATATTATATTACAGATGAAAGGGCACATTGATGGGCATCTTGTGCGACTACGATCTTCAGACTGCAGCGAGTCCCGAGTGCAACGAGCGCACGAGCACGGTGCCATTCATGGCGCTTGATCATCTCACCACATTGAGGCGAAGTCAAACACCTGCATCGTCATGGTTTCGAGATGTTCATCCGAATACTTGAGTGAGTTATCTGCGTTACAAAGGTGGTGTTCTCTGATCGGTAGAGTCTCATCCTCTTGATTTTTGGGACACTGCAAATGTCGAGCCATGTAGAAGAAGTTAGCTTTTCTGTATCACTTTGTGAAATTCAAAACATTACCCAGAATGAATACTTGTATTTGGTGGTCGATTGTGGGGTCCTCGGCAGTGCTCAGATCGGATCGCATCGTAAACACCGGGTGAGTGTGCACCTCCAGGAAGTCGAGGTGTTGCAATCAGGTGAAGATGCGGAGCAGGGGTGCAAGCGCTGAGGAAGGCAGATTTTATGACGATGATCTGTTTTCTGAGTTGACTACTGCCTAGGCCTGGGTTGCGACATGCACTACCACGAATCCGAATATCCCCGATGTACAGTTGCCACTTGGACTACCTTTGCAGTTCAGTAGTTTGACTTATGAGTCGACAAATGAGCTGGGTTCGGCTTCGAAATATTCCATTGCATACAATACCAACATAATACCAGTGGTCACCGGGGAGCGAAAGCATGTGTCAAATAAAAGTGATTTGGAGAAGCTACAGGTTCGTATAGACTTTCTGTGCATACGAGCTTGCAAACGATATGCGTACTCTCATGATTGCACAGTGAATAGCTGCAGCGCACTGTCTATCTGTGTTGATCAGGATTGTCGCGGTATATTGCCAGTGCGTCTAGAAGTCGTTGGTTGGTCGTATGTACGGGTCGCAGGTAATACTAGTAGTCTGAATGCGAGAAGAAAGTTGAACAGGCGCTTGAACGGAGAAATCCGTCGGAGTTACCCCATATATGTCTATTATGTCAGGACCGGACGGCCCGAACGCCAATAATCGATTCGTTCATGATCATCATGACCTACATAGTACCACACACCAACTTGAACTTGGAACACGATGGAATTTACTCCATGTCACCCTCAACCATTCACGTTTCAGCAAGCTATCTCCTTTGACCCCGAAGTTTCTGCCGATGGTATGTTGTCACGATTCCAAAGACGCATATCCAAGCGCCATTGACTTGAACATTAAAACATCAAACATCAGAGATCAGTCGTCTTCAAAACTCCATCTCCCATCTAAAACGCACGCAAGAAGAACTCCAGGAATATGCAGATGACCCAGACGTTGCACAGGCAATCAAAGAAAACAACCAGACGCTGTCAGTACAAGGCAGTCGATGGAATTTGCTACACTTATTAAGATCGGGACATGCGTTCACAGAGCATCGCAAGATGAGCGAATATTCATGCTCAAGTTAGCGCTCACTCAGCGCGGAGCGTCGAATGCTACCAGCGCTCATTATGACCTTCCTCCTGAACCGGAACCTGAAAGCAGAAATGGTAGGCATGGTGGATTTGGGACGGGTGATAATGGACTCGAGCCGTTGGACGCGCCTCTCCGGGGAGACAACTCGGGCCTTGGGTCATCGAATTTGGCTGGGGAGGATGAACAAGAAAGCGGTGTGCATCTGTAGTTTTACGTTATTGATCATATTTTCTGCATTGTACTAATCACTTTATGCATCGGTCAGACATGATGTTGCGACTCGATCTTTCAAGCGCTAGTGAGCCATGACCTTAATCACCATTTCTAGTTTGTCTAGTTCTGATATACACGTTATGTATAGTAAGGGGCAAGTTGTCAATAGACGGTGCTTACTTTTTGATTACATATCCTTGTGACGGTTCAAATTTATAGCCTTGCGACGGCCAGCCGTAGTGTTTTTCTCCCATCCAGGAATCTTGCCAGGTTGTTCACTTACCAAGTGGTCGGAGGACCGGGATTATCTTGCCCGTCTCCCTTTTCCACACGCATACGGTCTTGTTGTTCGATACACTTGCGTCGAACCAATGATGTTCTCTCAGCTCAAGTTGAGAGAAAGCGATGCCACGAATTTAAAGTCAAGGTGAGGCGGATCTGCTGCTTGACAACGAAAGAGTGTACTACGGACTAACGGGACACCAATGTGGTCACTGTTGCTAGTGAAGCGCTCACGAAGAAATACAGCTACTTCCAGGATGGGACGGTGACCAGGACCTTCTAGGGAGAGGCCAATTTGAAGAGATTGCTAAGGCGCACAACATCGCAGTAAAAGACCATATTTCCGAGCTTCTCTGGCACCACACATTCACGAATCTTACGTCCGCCATCCGAGAGGCACTCTGTGACCTACCCCATGGGCAGTCGCATGTTCTACATAATCGTATTCCGCAAGCTCCGCCCCATCATGAAGCTTCGCGATGAGGAACGGGTTGACGCGTGGCATCAATGTGTCCTGTGTACGCATTTATAATGCTCTTCATTGATGTGGCGTGCAGGCCACCTTACTCTGTCGTGATGGAAGGACAGGATCTATCATCGAGATGTGAGCCGGGAAGCGACTATGATCTATCCTCGTTTTCGGATTACCCAGGTTCTCGAGCACACGGGCATGGTGGCGTCATGATCCCGTTCATGGCGCTCGGTCTTCTCACCGAAGACGGTGATGTGTGACCTGTTACTAGTCCGAAATTGTTCGGCTCATCAAACTAAGTACCAACCAACCAGCTCCCGTCCACTGAGGCCGATGTACCCCAGAAACCGTTTGAGAAAGGCACAGCTTCCATTATGAGCAATCCGGTCCTAGTAAGCCGTCGGCACACAGACAAACACACAGCGTCTTCACGCCCATATGCTGCCGGTCATCGTTTCAGTCATCGGGCGTCCTCACTCATCATGTCCTCCCAACACCGATAATATATTATGGAAACCCTGCCTCTAGTAATCCTCGGTCACCATGTCTTCCCAACGCCGAAAGTCCACTATGGAGATTAGGCAAATGTTAGCGCCAGTGTATGTGCTCCAACCCTCTGTAAGTACTCTACTGTCACTGCATGGACTTTTGATTGATCAACTCGAACCTTTACTCAGCGCGTGGACGTGTTCCAGACATGTTATCACTGGTCACTGCCTTTCGCAGCACTCCACCAGGCCCAGCTGAACTAGAGGATGTCGCACTGACATTCGTTAGGTACTGTGGCTTCCACGAGACAATGTTTCCTGGTTATCCTCAGCTTCACGGTGGTCTTCGTCACATACCGAATTGTTGCTGGGTCATTCATCACACAGCATGCACATCGTCGTGAACGTTCATGTAAGTAGCGTTAATTTTCATATATTTCATGTGGTAAATAACTTTGGTAGATATGTTACCAAGGCACATGCTCACACAAAGCGGCAGTACAAATGTTGCGCAACGACGCGCATCGATGCACATTGCTGGACAATCTCGCACAAACACTACACAACCATCTGACATCAGCATACGCAACTGTGAGTGGCAACTTTGCTCAATTCCGTTCACACATTGAGGATTTGTAGACCGCATCTTGGAAAAGGTCGCATCATCTTACCTGGTCAAATGGTCCATGCGTCGGTTCTATTTCGTCACAATTACAGGTCGAAAGCAAGGTTCTGGAGAAATCCCCACCAATGGCCTGAGGCGATCTATTTCCATGTTGGCAACGATGAGCAGTCGCAGTCGCAGTCACAAGGCCCACTGGCACAAACTCATATCTGGGAAGTTTCTTTCAAACGTTCGACTGCCGAAGCTCTCGTTGGTACGATTCACAAGAAGCACGTGCTTGATTATGTTGATCGCTTGGCCTTCTTGTGTTCATTTAGTAAGATGACAGGCAATTTTGATATACTGATCTGATCTTATGGATTGCAGGACTCGGAAGTGAAGTGGTGCGGACGATGGATTCCAGGCCACTTAAGACGCTGGAAGCCATACTTGGTATTCACGGCAAAAACACCGCGAATATCGAATATGCACCAGAAGACAAAGAGGGGATCTCTTCCCGGACAGAGGCCGAAGTAGAAGATCCTACACTCGTGCGCCTAAGCGCAGTCACTGCGGACTCGGTATGTATTGCCTCTCCAACGCTGCTGTGACGAACTCTCAGAAATGCACAGTCGAGAGGAACAAGGTCGAGGAAAGCATACTAGACAAGCTCGATGTTCTTGCCCTGCTTAAAGATAAGCAACCAGCACGCCGAGACAGAGTCTATGCAGCTCTTCTGGCTCTTTGTGAAATTGAGACACTAAGAAAGAAGCTCCTTAACGACGATATGATTAAACGAATCATCGAGCTCTGCAAGGATGGCGAAACACAATTGATTGCGACGAAGGCATTGTCACACCTTGCCGAACGCTTTGGTTAGTTGCCTTGTCCGTCTAAATTGTTTCAAACACACACCCTCATACGCGATTAAACCAAAGATGAAACACTTGTCATCCTTTTGGGACAGGACACTGATATCGAAGCAATCCTTGCTATGTTGAAAGACAATTGTGAGTCTTCGCCTGTCAAGCCGTTCTTCCTCTTTACTGTATCTCAGCCACACCCATCGTCGTTGCTGCGTTAAAGATTCTATCGGCTATGACCAACGAAAGTCAGTCCCCACATAGATTCACGGAAATTAGTACGTTCTGATATTTCATGTTCAGTGACTTTGAAAAGTTTGGAGGATAAGCTATCGAAAAGCAAACAATCAGAGATTGTCAGCAGAAGACTCAAGGCGTTGATAAAGCGTCGTGAATTCCTCATCACTCCCGCTGCGGTAGCTACATTATGCGATCTCTGCAAAATTAGTTGGAGTACTCTTCTTATTCCTGTGATCAACGCTGACGCTTTTCTGAACATGGCCGAATTTCTTGAAACGACCATGAAAAGCGGTATTCTTGCCACATTGATTGACCTGCTTGAGTTCGATAAGCAAGGTTTGAGCGGTGGACCACGTGGCTTAATGCAACTCGCTAACTTTGGTTCGTGTCTAAAACTGTCTATGTAAAGAGATCCTCCCTATCGGATAACTTATTCCATTGCTCAGAGGATGTGCGCAAAGAGCTCGCACAAGGTTCGCATATTGACAAACTAATTGCGTTTTCAAGAGATAACACAGTGGAGAAGAGCAAGGAGGCGATTGAAGCGCTCAAAGAGCTATCAACATACGGTACGGTTTGTAAAATGTTTGTTCCAGAAAAACTGATATTCGTCTCAGATGAACTTCGCCAAAAAATCATCGAGAGAGGAGGCCTGGTTAGCATCGTCGGTAAGCTGGCGAAACTAGATCACGCGTTATTCGCTGCGGATGCGCTCCTGAATCTCATGCAACATGGTAAGTGCTGCCAGGTATTTTTTCAACAATTTTGACTGGACTACATTCAGACGACGCCAAGGAACAGATACTAGATTCCAAGGTGGATCTACATTTGCTGCAGATGATCGAGAAACGCATCTTTGACGGAACGATCGGGAGGGAGGGCATGGATATCCTTAAGGATATATTCGAAAATGGTTCGGAAATTTGATACTTCCGCGCTCTATGGGGTTCTTACGAGTTGTACAGACGACTTGCGAGGTATCATGTTAGTCCCAAAGAATGAAGCGTCACCCTTTGATGCTTTTTGGAATCTCGGTGGCAAGGATACACCCCAATGGCGATTCCGGAACGCGGCAAACTGCGCCCTGGAGAAAACGGCCTACAGAGTAGTCACGAAACAAGATTTTTCCAAGTACCGAAGAAATGTCATTTGGATTTTGCGCAAGATGATCGAAAACGAGTCAACCTCTGTTCAGAACAGCGCTATCAATTACCTGCGTACTATCGTTGAGCATGGTTGGTTCGCATATTGCCGTTGAGAATTCACATTGATCAAGATACAGAGGACGCATATCAACAAATGATTGAAGCCGAGATAGTGAAACCCCTTTTATCGTGTCTTGAAGCCACGGGTGTGGGACAATCTGGCTCTCAGTGATGTTTTTAGAAAGATTGCATGTGACAGTGAGAGTTTAGGATAACCTATTGCGATGCTAACATGCTCATACACTCCTCAGAGTCCTTACGTAATGAGATTGTAAAGAATGTCGATATACTGGCTACAATGCTCAGTAGTCAATATCCTGTCGAGGTTAACCGCGTGACTGCTACGCTCATAGCTTTATCTTCTCACGGTAAAAGCCCGCCTAATTCTAATTCTTAAAGCTAATCACATTTTCAGGAGAGATACGAGAGAAAGTTCAGGAGACAGTAGGGATGCTCAATTCTAAAATGTCGTCGTCAATGTCGACTTGACCTTACGGCTGTCCTCTCGTAAATACTTACGTGGACCCTGAACCTTTCCTGATTTAGTCGTCAAACCTTGCGTCTACTGCACTCTACATCTTGTCACTATCCTTCCTTGCAATTGCTGTTAGAGCCCAATTTAACTACTCAAAGCTTCTCATGTTTATTGCGAAATCTACTTTTCACAGAGTATCCTCGTCCTAATCCTATTCCCAGTAAACCATTCTATGTAGTATTGCTCAATAATGTTTAAATCTTTCCCCAAATCAATGATTCAAAAGTATCATGAATAAATGTTTAGGAAAATTACTACTCCCACATGGGAATGTTCAGGTAGCTAACCTGGGCTCTATACAGCGAGGATTGGGACGAGGATACTCTGTGAAAAGGTGTAGAATGCTTCCCATGCGAAGGTTTAACCGACACGGTAGCGGCTAAATCAGGAAAGGTTCAGGGTCTGCGTAAGTAGTTTACGAGAGGACGGCCGTAAGGTTAAGTCGACATTGACAACGACATTTTAGAATTGAACATCCCTAGTTCAGTATCAAAACCTGAAGAGGGATACACTGCACTACTTAAATCCACATCGCCAGCCCCACGAACATGGTCGGTTGTTCTGCAACATCTTTTCTTGACGTGTTAAAGCTTGCTTTTAGATCAGTAAACCATTGCATCCGAGGCCATTAATTCGCTTATCGAGAGATATAAAGCTACATCATGGTCGTACGGAGTGCTGCAAAATACTTACCTGGACTAGACATTCAAGGCTACCCAACATCATTCAGGTTACACATTAACAGTAACATGCAGCACACGGAACTAAAAGGGGGTAACAATTGTAAGGACAACAGAATGCTAGATGGCGCGAGCGTCGGACTCCCTTGTACTCTGAGAAAATAAATCCCAAAATCAAGATTCTTAGAAGAACTTCTGTTGATCCTGATCCTGATTCCTGAATCAATGAACTTCTTCAATTTGGATTAAGCATCAGGTTTGATTGCGTACCGAGGACGCGATGTGTGTGGTAGATAGCGGAGTACCTCTCACCATGAAAAGATGAACTAGCTGGCGTGCTGCTGTCACCGATCTGATTTCTGACGAACTGACAAAGTACTACTAGACTCGACGACGTTACAGTAGATGAATTTTAGTCTGGACTTGAATAAGTCAGAGTCACGTGTGCGTGTTGGTGGGAACGCGTCGGAGTCTCTTCTAACCACAACCGCCACATCAATCCACATCTGAAGATCCGACAAATCAGATTGATCGATGGCACACTAGTACTACCATTTGCGCCACATTGGTTGACCAGATATAAGGCAAGCAGGATGCAGTCGTCTCTCTTGTCCTCTTAATTTTCTCCCCTTTCCCAGTGCAACATCCAATCAGCGTAATTATTGAACGCCTAGCGTCATGTCCCCTGCCAGCGAGACTGGCATATCATTGACTCCTCCACGCCCCAATGCGCCGGACCAAGGTGCTAGCAAACTAGAATCTACCCCAAACAGCCGTGGGGCTTCGGTTGTCAGCGAGAACATCGGCCTGGTCGGTGTCAAGTGCGTACATTTCATGTTTTATTGAATGCACCTGACATGTTACCAAGGGTTAAGCAAGTCCGCCCATGGATTCAACGCGATATAGAACAGGTTAAGGAGTGCAAGGCAGATGCCATGCTGCAAGCCCTCCTGCAGCGCGCTTCTTCCGCTCCCGAGACTGAACAGCCCAAGCTCTTGCAAAAGTGCCTCAAAGCAGTTATGCCAGTTTGCAATGGAGAGGCCTCCACCGCGTTTTTAAAGTCTTCTGATGTCAAGACAGCCCTCAACGAATAGTGAGTTCTTGTTCTAAGTCGAGGGATCACGTCTTCATGCTCACAACGATGGCAAGCGTACGCCCAGGAGCAGAAAACAACTTCTACAGCCCTTTCATAAGAGCCACCAACATTGCGCTCGCTTGTCTTGAGAAGATCAAGGTCGACGGGATGCGTGCTCCTGTCCCTGCCGTGGACATGATCTGCCAGCAGAACGATATGCCCATGCACCAAATGCACCAAAATAAGCCATCAATTCGGAAGCCTGACTTGGTCATTCTTCCTCTGAACAGCGCATGTGCTCCCTTCGAGGATGAGAAGGGCAGCAAGAAAGGTAAACAGACCGGCAAACAGAAGGGCAAACAGAACGACAGACAGAACGACGACGAAAACGACGAGAAGGATGACGACCAGCGCAAGAAGAGACGCAAGGCTCATATGGATACGAATGCAACGGTAAAGGCACAAAATCTCCGCTGGGAAGATGTTCTCGCTTGCATCGAGTTCAAGAGAAAGACGCCAGGGAGGAAGAAAGGGATTGCGCCACCGCCCTCTTCGTATGCAGTGACAGACTATGTCCCTACAAAGCCAGAATATCTGCCAGTGGATCATCTTCGGGCCGCAGACCCGGCGCCAGGCCCCTCGCAGACCCCAGCGGCACAAAGTGCGTCCGACACTGCAAGTAAGTAATGGTATCAAGGATTCTGAAACGAAAATAAATCGGCCAAACTGCAGTTTCATCTTCCGGCCTTACTCTTGCCCAACCTTCCCAGGGCGGGTCCAGCTCCAAGCGCAAGGCTGCGGGCACTTTGGAATCTGCTGCGAAGAAATCCAAGATGAACCCCGAAGAGACCGACGTGGAACTAGATGTGACTGTCCAGACGGGTCTGTACGCCGCCGAAATGTTTGCAGCCAACCTTGCAGTTAATTATCTGCTGAATATCATCGTCGTCGGTGGGTTTGTTCGGCTGTTGAGATTGGCCGCGATCTGATCAAAGCTTTTTCAGATGATGTAATGTGGATCTGGTATTATGATCGGCAAGGGATCATTCAATGCTCAGGCATTAACTTCATCCAAGATCTACCGCGATTCATGGTGCTGCTGTATGCTTTACAACGATTCGATCTTCAGGGTTGGGGCCGAAACAAGGACTTTCTCCCAGTTCAAGTTGATGGGAAACGATGCCACGAATTCAAAATCCAGGATGAAAAATTCGGAGAGGTGGATCTGCTGCTTCACACCAGTCACGATGAAAGAGTGACGCACTATGGACTGCAAGGACGTGCCACCAATGTGGTCCCTGTAACCAGCGAAGCGCTCACGAAAAAATACGGAAAGCTCCAGGATGGGATGGTAGCCAAAATCTTTTGGGGAGAGGCGAATCGCATTAGCGAGCCTGCCATCTTGGACAAGGTTAAGGAGATTGCTAAGGCGCATAATACCGTAAAAGACCATATTCCCGAGCTGCTTTGGCACCACCAGTTCACGAATCCTACGTCCACCATCCGAGAAGCGCTCGGCGTTCCGGAGCCCACCACAGGCAGTCGCGTGCTTTACATACTTGTGTTCCGCAAGCTCCACTCCATTACGACGCTCAAGACCGAGGACCTTTTCGACGTATGGCGTCAGTGCATTCTATGTATGTGTCAGATTAAATTTGCGTGGCTTTCGTTGACATGGTGTGCAGGCCACGTTACTCTATGGAAGGAAGGGGTCCATCATCGAGATGTCAGCCCTGGAAACCTGATGTGGTACTGGAAGGACGGGCAGCGGATAGGCGTTTTGAACGACTACGATCTGTCCTCATTGGCGGATGATCCAGGTCCTCGGGGCAACGAGCGCACGGGCACAGTGCCGTTCATGGCGCTCGATCTTCTCACCGAAGAGGGTCAACGAGGCCAAGTGAAACACTTATATCGTCATGATCTGGAGTCGTTTATGTGGTGCTTCGTCTGGATTTCCTTGCGTTACGAGAATGGAGTCCTTCTACAACGTGGATCGCGCCCCTTCGATGAATGGGCGACTTTAGACGCTGTAGCATGTGGTAAGGAGAAGTACTATTTTCAGGGTCATATGAAACTTCCTCCACGCTCGCACATATCCGAGTCTTTATGGGCACTCCTTGTGGACTGTTTTTGGGTGCTTAAAAGGGATGCTGACGACCGGCACTATCTTGGCCTTAAACGGTCGTCGGGCTCAGGACGCCAACAGCCTAATGCTCAGGACTCAGATCCTGATGCTTTTTTATCTAAATTTACAAGTTTAAAGACTTGGGCTGAGCTCAGGAAACCTGAGTGATTTTCCTTGCTCGTTACCCTATACGCGGTTTCTTATATATCGATACGTATGACTTTCAGTTGCAGATTGAGATTCACAATACAAGTGGTCGACCATTCACTTCCCATATGATAATTGAAAGCTGCTAGGGACTAAATATTTCGAATGAGCATGATGCATCTTGCCACTTATTCGTTTGTGACCTTCACTGGCAGGATCGTGTTGAAACCATCCTTGGCTTACAGCGCAACTAATGCTTCGATCATTTGTGCTAGACAATCTCACTGGGCATCATTCTGCGAGAGCAATCTGAATATTAATCATGTATGCGTTCTGCCTGCATGAATCTCAATATTACTCTTAGAAAAATGTCCTAAGGACTTGGAGAAATCAAGCCTGAGCTCGGCCTTGAGTCAGGACTCAGTACTCAGGACTACCGAGAACATGATGTATGTGGTATATGGCGGAGTCCCTCTCACCATGAAAAAAATGAATCAGTAGTGCGCCGCTATATCGATCTTACTTTTGAAAGTGCTATAGCGAGTAAGTTAGATTATTACGGAGGTTGGCAAGTGACAACTTGTCAGGTCACGTGCGCGTGTTGAAACGTTGATGCGTCGTTGGAGTCTTCGACTCTTCGAACTGTTGTACTACATAGGTCCACATCACATCAATCCACAAATCAAATCAATAGTCCATCACAATTGCGCGACATTGGCTGACCAGATATAAGATAAGCAAGAAGCAGTCATATTTCTTGTGCCGTTGAAGCACGATATGAAGCGCGAGGCTCATGTGAACACGAATGCAATGGCAAAGCCAACAAATTACCCCCGGAGATATGTTCTAACTTCCATCGAGTTTAGGAGAAAGATGTCAGGGATGACAAAAGGTATCATTTACCTACCGCCCTCTTCGTATACTCTGACAGATTATGTCCCTACCAAACCTGAATATCTGCCAGTGGATCAACTTCAGGCTGAAAATCCAGCGCCAGGCTCTTCGCAGACCCCAGCAATACAAACACTGTCATACACTGCTTGTAAGTGCTGATATTTATGACTCCGAGATAAAACTAGATCGTCAAAGCTGCAGTTCTATCTTCCGGCCTTGCTCTTGCCAGGCCTTCCCAGGGCGGGTCCAGCTTCAAGCGCAAGACCAGGGACGCTTTGGAATCCGCCGCGAAAAAATTCAAGATGAACCCTGACGACGCGGACGTGGACGGCGATCTAGATGTGACCGTCCAGACGGGTCTGTACGCCGCCTGAATTGCTTGCAGCCAGTCTTGGAGTCAATTATCTGCTGAATATCGTCATCGGTGAGTTTATTGGTCTGTTGAGATTGGCCATGCTATTACCAAAGTTTTTTTTAGATAATGTAATGTGGATCTGGTATTGGGACCGACAAGGGATCATTGAATGTTCTAGCATAAACTTTACTCAAGATCTTCCGTCATTCATGATGCTTTTATATGCTCTACAACGTTTCACTCTTCACGATTGGGGGCGAAAAATGGACTTTTTCTCAGTTCAAGCTGAGGGGAAACGATGCCACGAATTCAAAATCAAGGATGAGAAACTCGGAGAGGTGGATTTGCTGCTTCACACCAGTCACGATAAAAGAGTGACGCACTACGGACTGCAAGGACGTGCCACTGATGTGGTTCTTGTCATCAGCGAAGCGCTCACGAAGAAATACAGAAACTTCCGGGATGGGATGGTGGCCAAGATCCTTTGGGGAGAGGCAAATTGCACCAGCGAGCCAGAAATTATAAACAAGGTCAAGGAGATCGGGAAAGTACACGATACCGTAAAAGACCATATTCACGAGCTGCTATGGCACCACCAATCCATGAATCCTACGTCCATCATCCGAGAAGCGCTCGGCGTTCCGGAACCTACCACGGGCAGTCGCGTGCTCTACATTATTCTATTCCACAAGCTCCTCACCATCACGAAACTTCACGGCAAAGAGCTTTTCGACGCCTGGCATCAATGTATCTTGTGTGCGTCTTTGGTTGGGTTTACGTAGCTCTTTGTTGATATAGTGTGCAGGCCACCTTACTCTGTGGAAAGAAGGAGTTTGTCACCGAGATGTCAGCCCTGGAAATTTGATGTGGTACTGGAAAGATGGGAGGCGGATAGGCCTTTTAAACGACTACGATCTATCCTCGTTGGCGGATGACCCGGGTTATCAGGGCAATGAGCACCCAGGCACGGTGCCGTTCATGGCGCACGAGCTTCTTGCCGAAGATGGTCAACAAGGCAAAGTGAAACACCTATATCGCTATGATCTGGAGTCATTTATGTGGGTTTTTGCTTGGATCTGCTTGCGTTACAGAAAGGGTGTCCTACTACCACGAAGATTGCGTCCCTTCGATGAGTGGGCGACTTCAAGCGCTATTGTATGCGGTAAGGAGAAGTTGGTTTTTCTCAATGACTTGACCGCTTTTGCATCCTCGGACATAGACCAAGTCACATGGGAGTTTCTTATGGACTGTTTTGTGGTACTTAAAATGGATGCCGACAACCGATACTATCTTCGCTTTAAACGGCCATGTAAGTCGGTTGAATGCCAACAGCCCAACGCCGACTCAGATCTCGATGCTTTTCTATCTAAATTCACAAGTTTAGAGGGTTGGGCTAAGCTCAGCAAACCTATACATGGTATTGATACTTGTAATTTTCAGTCGTAGATTCGCAATACAAGTAGTCGACCGTTCACTAGTTTAATGTCGTGCTTCAAAGCTAATAGGGACTCTTCCGGATCCATGCTAAATTCACCCCCATAGGCTCGCAGCACAGCTAATGATTCAATCAACCATTCACACGCTTCCCATTTCATGACTAAACCAAAATTTTAGATTTGAACTCAGGCTGATATTCAGCGTGGCGTTCACATTACACAGATCTACACAATAAAGAAGGAATGACTTCTGCCCTCATTCGGTCTGCATGCATAAGACTAAACGCAGTGCGCAAGAACTTGAAAACTTGAAGGGCGATGAAAGCAAGGTGCCAAGCTTCAAGATCACGAGCAAGTCCTTCGATCTTCTGTGTCTCTCCATGTCAAACTTCAAGTTTCCCGGTGTTTCATGGCCAAACATCAGCGGCCTTTACGTTGATAGTTGAATGGTGTCGTATGTGTGCCTTTCCCTATTCACTTGAGTTTCAACCTGAAACACTTACCTCACCGAATCAAGGCTGCCGGGGCATGTCTATCATTTCTCAGTCTCGCTTCGGTGGTCCAATGGCAAGTGCCGTATAACGGTATTATGTCCAGCAAAAACGCCGTCACCATACGTATACCAAGGTCGTTATTCCAGTTTGCTCATCCTCTACTATCATGACCTTGGCCTCAAATATTCTCTTTTTTGGGCCATTCATCAAGGCGAGTCGTATCGACAGCTATTTTGCAGGTTCGTGGAGAACGAATCTGAATGATGATAGTGATGTGTCGGTCTAACCTTGGCTGCGATTTCACAGTCGCCTCCGCTGTTGGGTTGATATACGATTGGGGTGAGCACGACTAAGCACGAAAGGCACTGACATCCTCACGACTATTTCCAGCACTTACATTCGGTCAAGAAGTAGGTCGATGATATTACTGAAGCAGCCTTCTTACTAAGAACTTCTGCGTTGATAGGTTGAATTGATCTGGGTGGGCATCAATAGAATGACGCGAGAACGCAACTAATCATTCGCGGCAGAAGAAACGCTGGTCCCTAATGACGGCGATGTATTTGAGTGTATGCGGTTTGTGTTACCAGTGTGGTGGACAAATTGTGCTAACTCGAAAGGATCCTAGGTGCGCTATGTTGGACTAATATATTCTATGTATGTTTGGAAGGTTCAAAAATTGGTGTTGTACTAATCTGCCATCTCTTACAATCAGCATCAGAGTATTACGTATGTCTCCTCGTATACAGTATTTTTGTTTCTCCTGACCGGCGGTAAACAGTGTTTATTCCGGTGACAACTGCAGTGAGTATCTACTTGAAGTTCTATGACCACATTCCTGACCAATCAAACTTTCGTGTAGGGGTGAGTGATATTCTTCAAAGACTTTTCTAAGTTCACTGTAATGATTGCTACAGCTGTGAGTTTTTTTCCGGGCGTACGAACCTCCATACCGTTACTGAAGTTATCAGGCCCTGGTGGGTACCTCGCACTTGATTGGATGTGTGTCGTCACAAATGCTATACTGGGCGGTGAGCTACGCTGTTGCAATACTTCCGTGGTATTTGATTGACTGAAACGTTACACAAGTCATCATGATTGCTCGGTTATATGCCATGTATCAGAAATCTAGAAACGTGTTGACATTTCTTGTTGTCGTCTTCCTGGCTGTCAACATCGCCAACGGAGTGCTCGCGGGAATAATAATGAAGGATGTTTCAGGGGGTAAGGTTAATTGTGGGTGAAATACAGGTGCATGCTCATTGACAAATACCAGAGATAGTCGTTCTCTCAGGCATGTATCAGTGCATCGTTAGCTTTGGGGGAGATAGTGTATTCCTGGGTTCCGTTACTTGGATATTTGCTGCTGTATGGGAGCTCGTCACACTGTGTCTCGCAGTCTGGATCACTGCCAAACACTTCCGTGAATTACGGCGCTCATCGGCAGGGGGTATCATCGGGGACTGTTTCACGGTGTTGATCAAGACTCATGTGCTTTACTTTGCGAGGTGAGCTCATAGCAGTATGAATGGCGTTTTTTTGACCGCTGGATTTTTGCGGATGCTAGCTTTGTTCCTATTGCTTGCTTCAACCTTGCTTATTTATCTCCAATAACCCAAGTGGTATGTCAACCTTTCACTGAACCCCACGTGTATGCACAGTTCACGATCTTGTAGGAACCATATTCTATGAAACGGCACATTTATGTTGGGTTTCTCCAAATTTTCTCACTAGCGGGGAAGTTTGTGCTGGGACCACGCCTGATCATTGGTGTTCGAGAGTATCACGCTAGGCTTGTGACTGACTCAGATGCAGCAACTAGCGTGACCTCCATTGTTTTCGAGAAGCACGTATATGACGGGAAATGCTCGGTATGATTTACACTAGTTGGGTACTGTGCAGGGAGCGGGTGGTTTTCTTTTGGTATCGTTGTGTTACAAGTACTTGGGTGTTTTACAACGGACAAGTGTATTTCACGACTCGCACTTGCACCAAGTGGTGCAAGCTCATTAGAAAGTTTCGCAAGTATGCACGTCTGAGTGCTCGAGCTGAATTCAGAAAGGAGCTAATGGAATTCATTCATTTATCGTTGATCAAGTTTACTACGCGCCTTTTACCTTCGCAGGTAAGGAAGGCACGTCAGTGTTCGAGTAGTCATCGGGGTAATCGTCGTGCTCTTGGTATGAGAGACATAGAACCAAAAAGTAAATTACTAAGTCGATATGGTCGACAAGTTCATGTCAATAATATTAGATCTTGATACGTGTGAGTACAAGAAGATAATCTAGCACACCTCGTTTCATCTGACTCTCCTTCGATATGTCGTACATTGTTGATACTCGCCTCTTCAAAACACGATCCTTGGCTATGTCGCCGAATGCCTTTGATTCACTGGCTGCCTGATCTCCATTCATGATTTCCAGTATCAATTTGAACTCTCTCCCTGGGCTTGCGGTGCATTGTTGATGACGTAGTAGATATGGCAGTCTTGATCGAGGTGTTGAGACACCTGTTCTTGTAATATTCATATATTACATAGTACTGTAGCACAACAAAAAGTCTCATACATGAAACATTGTCATGACAAGGCCTTCTGCCCCCTAGTAGTGCTTCGAGTCATACATCAGTACTTTAAGTCATACATTACTAAGACCTTGTGCCCCCTAGTGCTTCGAGTCATACATCAGTACTTTAAGTCATACATTACTAAGACCTTGTACCTCCTAGTGCTTCGAGTCATACATCAGTACTTTGAGTCATACATTAAGACCTTGTGCCCCCTAGTGCTTCGAGTCATACATCAGTACTTTGAGTCATACATCAAGACCTCATGCCCCATCAGTAAAATACCACGTTTCTTAAATTAACTTAATTCGAACTTATTTGACTTGGTTTGGCGCCCAAGTGCGTCAAGATGTTCAAGGCTTCGATTTGACTTGGATGGCAACTTGAGTGTCTTACCATCAAGCCGACAAAGACACTCAGACAATTAAAGTATTTTTAAGACAAATTTTGAACTTAAGCATTGCAAGAAAAATGAGTATATTAAGATGCCAGCGCGAAAGCATGGTGATCAATGAACCGATTTACGTAGAATCCTCGATATACATCCAGAGAATTGTAGAATCAAAGGCCGTGTGGTACGAGCTGAGTACCGAATATTGGGAGTAAGTGAGCGCCGCTGTCACGAGTACCTTTAACAAACCATTATTCTTTCTTAAATCTTCCTAAGCGTCAATACACAGCGCCTAAACCAAACCCTAACCCTACACTGAAAGCGTCTATCATTCCCGAAATACCTTTAGCACCTACAACACGTGTCTTCGATGTGACAGATGAAGAAGACGAGTTCTTTGATTGTGAATAGATAAGATTAGATACGATAAGATAAGATATGGTCACGTGATGCTTCTTTAATATTCTACGATGTTCTATGGTACGATTCCCTTTCTCTTTTTATGATTGGCTAGTAGTTATAACTCAGTTTCAATCTCCGTTTCAATAGTTGTATATAGGTAGCATGTCTTGGTCGATAGTTCCTTAGTTCAAACCTCTTGTATCTACATTGTAGCAATCCAAGACGTACTTGCTCATTATCCTCTTGTCCGATAACCTTCGTTTGAGTCCTAGTCTCTGCCCAGCGTTAATTCGTTATTGGGTTGTGACAGCCGCGAATGATACTGTCGATATGGATGATGGACAAATCGCGCAAGCCATCTTCATTGAAAGACGGTGCCACCATCCACATTCCTGTGAGGTCGTCTCGTTCCTCGGCGATGCGATGGAACCATTGAACGAGGGCACATGGGTATGTGTGACTGTTAGTGAAAGTAAAAGAAAAAAAACAGAATATTCGAATGATGTCCATGCTCAACATTCCATCATGCCTATTGTCCGTGTTGACGAAGGCGCAGTCAAAGCGAGCTGGTCCCTTGCGCCACGAAGGCACAACACGAATGTGCTCACAGCGCATACCAGTGATTCCACTCGGATCACTGGGTGCGATAAATGTTGCAGCAGCTGAATGAAATATCTTGATTGGTCCCGTGTAGGATGGACAGTCGCGAAGTGGGACGTCGGCAGAGGAATGGTGGTTGTCCACGTGTATTTGGTCGTACAGGAAGAGGCGAATGAGGGTCGGGAACGATGGGATGTCGAGTTCGTCTGCAAGATCAGCAACAGTACGGGCGCGTTTTCGTTCTGAATGGTGTGTTACGAACAAAGGTCACAGTGAGTAGAGGGTTGGATACGCACGAAAAGTCCGTGCTAATTGCACATCAGCAATGACATCCACGTCATCTACAACACCCTGATCCTCGACATCGTCAAAGTCGTCACTCTCGATAGCAAAGGGATTGCTTCCTGCATGCGCTGGGTTCTGTTGGACCTCTGGGTCTCCATCGTCGTTGTCGATATATGAGGGATTCTCAACTAGAAATTCAGTGAGTAAAATGCAATTAAAATAAAACAGACCACGTACCAGATGAATTGTAGTAGCTGAAGGCACAAGACCCTTTGAGCATGCCGCGCGTTGTGAAATCAACTCTTGCTGCGGCGACTTTGTCCAGGCGCTGATTGGTAAGGAGCATCTGGCTGAGCACGTTGTACTTGCTTGAACGTCGCCATGGTTGCTTTACCGCCTTGATATGTTTGGATTCCATGATTGAGGAGCAGAGGCCGTTCGGAGCACCGAACATTCGGATGAAAAGCTCGTAGTGGATGAGAGAGTGTTGTCAGGGTAGGGAAATGTCGAAGCGGACACCAGTAGTCTGGAAAATAGTCCGGTAAGTATGAAAATGCCCAAGGGCATCTTTCAGCGCTGCGAGAGTGTTGTCTGTCACTACGTTCGCGCGCATGATGTAGCAGAACTCTAGCAAGGCTCGAAATGCCCGAACCATATCATCTGGTACGTGGCCCTCGATTGCTGGTAGATAGACCTAGATAACAGCTGTGTAAATGTGATAAACGCGAGATAGTGAATAAAAATGTACCTTCATCAAAGCTTTGGAGTCGTCACCTGTCCATTGCGAGAATCCACGGCCTTGTGGAAAGCGTCGTAGGCCAGGGAAGGGTGGCGCGGGAGCAATTCTAGTGTATTGTCAGTAATCACAACAGGCAGCGGCAGATTGAAAATACCTTCGGTCAATATCATCTAAAATTGCCTTAGCGCGTGTTTTGCCGTGCGTGAGTTCGAGGTATTGACCCACCCATTCAACAAGGTGGTCCTTGAAGGTTCCTTTGATGAGCTGGTGCAGTATGTCGGGGGCAAGGAGCTCGTGAATGTCGGCACGAGGAAAGTCGTTGGTGAAGGGCTATGGAGTGCAACTGTTAGTTCAACAATGCACAAATGATATGGGGGGAAACATACCACTAACTCGCCAATGATACCATACTCATCCCAAAGTATACCAAAATCAACAGAATCCACAAGCGCATCAGTATGTTCGCGTGACCGAGAAACACCTCCTTCATCAAGATTTGAGGGAAATGCAAGGCATCTGCGAATATAAATGAGACTTTGCATAAAATCAGAGAGAACTAGGGAGGGGGGGGCATACACGGCAGAAACTTCAACAACACTGCGCGCGAAACTTCGACAACACCGCGCGCACAAACAGGCGGTGTCACAATGATCCCTACTGCCCCTTGAGGGTCATCCACGCGTGAAACTTCGATAACACCGCGCGTGAAACTTCGATAACACCGCGCGTGAAACTTCGATAACACCGCGCGTGAAACTTCGACAACACTGCGCGCGCAAACAGGCGGTGTCCCAATGATCCCTACTGCCCCTTGAGGGTCATGAAGGCGGACACAAACAGGCGGTGTCCCGAGGATCTCTGGATAGGCGAAATCAGAGAGAACTAGGGAGGGGGGGGGTCATATACGGCAGAAACTTCGACAACACCGCGCGCGAAACTTCGACAACACCGTGCGCAGGGCTTCACCGAGACCTCCGAGCTTGCCCTGGACGCGATCGGCGTTTTCAGAAAGATGTGCTCATTAGAAACTTTGACATCCTTGTGACGAGTCTGACTTCGATGCAAATCGAAGAATCAGTGGTTTTTGCGGCTTTCCATCGCCGATGGTAACTTTGGTGGATGTTGGAATAGGACAGTTTCTTCATTCAGAATTGTTGCACAAACACCAACTTCCTTTCCCGCACGTGGCTCACACACACTTTCCCCTCAGCTCACCGGCCGCTGAGTGGTCTTACTGTGACCCTCTGCAGGACCTTGTGGACATAGTCTCCTTTCCTGAATTTGTCTTTGCAACCGATGTCGAATTGATGGATTTTCGGTCGATTTCATTCCAATGTCCCCATCTGGTCTCTTTCCGAGTCTGTGCTTCCTTAGAGTGCAAACATATCTATGATGCACCTGACGATTATTTTGTTCCTGTCGTGTGGGACAGCCCGAAATCTATGTCGACTTCTGCTGCATAAACAAAACGGGCGACATCGCCCACCAGATAAGTGGTTAATTAGAGGATGGGACACGCGAAGAGTGTAAGTCCCTCTATTTCAAGAACTCTGCTGCTTAGCATACGACTAGATTCTTTTACTAGATAGTCAAGATGGTCGTGTGCAGCAATTCCACGCAGTTGACCAATGAACAATTGTTGCGATCGGCAGCCTTATAACCGTGTACGCATTGCAAGAACTTGATGGCTCGCCAAATCACGTATTTTTGTCCGAAGCTCCGCTGTTCATTAAGATTACCGTCGTACATGTCAATCCATCGTTCTGAGGCACAGCGGCCAGTATAGACCTCATCGTGGCATCTTTGGAATCACAAATCATGGTATTGGACGTTCTCTCCAGCGTATTTTCTGTTATTCTAGTCATCGACATGGACACCTTCTCTCAAAGGGCCCTGCAGTCAAAAACACGTATCAAGGCTCCCTGATCGGAACGGCGTCCCGACATGCGTGCCGCTTTCCGCATCGCCTGGGCCACCGAATTAATGCGTCTATGCTCTTTCTCGATATCGTACTCCTGAACATGGGCAAAGACTGGAAGAACTTCCCATTTTACTGTCGGTCGTGCACCTTTTTCCACGCATGGCTTAGAGAGCTGGTGGACCTGACAGACCAGCAAACATTTTGGCGCTCCAGGTTAGGTGGTTGTGATGAACACGGCTCTAGAATTTCTTGCAGGCAAATTATACCCCAGGCCACCAACACAAATCTGCAAATTTATCACGAATGCCGACACTAGTGCGAGTACTTCATACGTGACTCGATCCAGTACAGTGTATCATATCCTACCAATTATGAGAATTTCTCGATATCGTTGTCTTGCATGCTTGATATCAATAGCCCATAGCTGGATGATCAGTGGTGGAAATGTATATGACCTTCACCCCCTCAGGCTGCTAAGTAGCATTGTTGGAATACATCAGCCTGTGGCTTCGTGCATGTCTTCAATATTTAAATTTCATTTATTGGTATAAGTGTGCTGGAGCCGGCTTATTTAATAAATGACTAGGACTTCTCATGCGAATCACGTTTTCAAAGACTAAAATGATTCGAATAAATACTACGATGAAAACATTGCCTAGATCCACTACACATGTCTCATCGAAATCTACACCAAATACTTTAACCATGATACATAAATACTCTTACGAGGCTTGGAATGGAGAGAAAGCCGTGACACAAATTTCCCTGCTTCCTACAGAGCAGACGACTATTGACCTCCCGTGTGTCACACACTACTGTTAGTCGACACATGCACGCGCTCCTGGAAAGCGATAGAAGTCATAGGAGATGCTGCGTCGGAGTTGGCCACGAGCTTAGCGTGGTATTCTCGAACGCCGAGGATCAGGCGTGGTCCCAGCACAAACATCTGCACGACTGTCGAAATCTGAATCAAGCCACTAAGGGTCTGAGCTTTTAGGAGATTTTGGCCCTACAGAAATGATGAATGATGGTCGCATGCTGAGGTAAGGGAAAGATTGACATACCGCCAAGATTGTTGGAGATAATTGAAAAATGAGCTGGAAGCAAGAAACAGCAACAAAGCTACCACGTCCGATCATTCAGCGAAAAAGGGAACCACGATCACAATATGAGCATACCTCGCAAAGTATGCCATGTGAGTTTTGATCAACACCGAGAAACAGTTTCCGATAATCCCTCCTGCCGAATAACGTCGCAGCTCACGGAAGTGTTTTACAGCAATCCAGACTGCGAGACATAGTGCGAGGACCTCCCACACAGTTGCGAGTATCCAAGTAATGGAACCCAGAAGTAAGACATATTCCGGATAGTTCCACTGGCACATATAAGTGCCGGAGAGAATATATTCCTCTGGTGTTCATCAATGAGCCCCATGCATGTTTGTTTTCATCCACAATCAAGCGTACCCCCTGAAGTATGCATCGTTATTATTATGGCGACCACTCCGTCAAAAACGTTGACAGCCAGGAAGGTGGCAATGAGAAATATCAGGATCTTTCTGGATCCTTGATACATGGCATGCAACCGAGTGATGATGATGACTTGCAGCATGTTTCAGTCAAGTCAGTATCAATGAGGTCTCGCAAATGCCGAGCTCACCCCACAGCATCGCAAATACCAAAACACCTATCCAATTCCATATGAAGTATATAATCCGACCTGATGAATGCAGTCAATGACCAGCCTCGGGTAGCACACACTCCAAACAGACTCACATCTATGCCAGTATTGCGTGGCGGTCATTAGTGAACCAGCAAGTTAGTAAACAAATACACCCACTGCTATAGGGCACCGCGATTAATCGGAGGAGAATAGCAGCATGTGTACAGAAGACTCACTGTATCTGTCAGCAAGATGGTCGGAAGACTGGCTGTATGTTGTTGGTCAGAAGAAGAAAGGACAGTGAATAACGAGAAGACATACAAAACATGCTCAGGCTGAATATGAGAGATAGACGATCAGCACGACATCGACTGTTTAGCCTTCCGAACATACGCAGCAAATAAGATTCCAAGGTAGCGCACCTAGGATACGTTCAAGTCAGTACAGCATGACAAACACGACAAATAAGATACATACACAGAAATACAGAAATGTCATTAGGGACCAACGTTTCCTCTGTAATCGAGTGTATTTTTATGTGTGTTCCCTTGACATGAAACTCTACTCACCCAGACCAATTCAACCTATAAGACCATTGTTAGCGAGATGGCCGCTTCAGTCATAGCATTGACATACCTCTTGTCCAAAAGTAAGTGCTAGAAAATACTTGTAGAATATCAGCGGTCCCTTAATATTATCATGCTCACCCCAGTCATACGTCACTCCAACAAAGGCGGCAACTGCGAAAACGCAGCCAAGTTTCGATTGTGTCATTTTTAATATTTGACTGCTCTCCACGAACCCATAAAATAGCTAAAAAAACGATATGCATGAATGACCGGCCACCAAGAGGGATCATGGTCATATTGGAAGAGAATGTGTGTGAGTGAGAGGCAAAATTGGTTGACGTTACAATGGCATTCGTGCTAGTTATACCACCACCCAGGGCTTAGATCACTAACACAATACCGAGGGATGATAGCCGTTCTTGTTTTAATTGACCGAAGTAGATATCCTAGCATGAAAACAAGGTGAATCAATCCAGTGGCTCGTAGTAGATGTCGTTATACATTTGCACGAAAGAAACACCGGTCTTGTCACCTAATTTCCAATGTCGTTATCGAGATGTTGTTTTCGCTACACGCGCATCAGTCGATCAATGCAACCAAGGACTACTTCATCAGTTTGACGCATACCGATCATCGTGGGACTATCGAAAAGACTGTCATCTCCACTCTCTTCGGCTCGCCAGCACAGGCCCGGGGAGCAGATGATCATGATGATAGTTCTCATGGACATTGCATTAGCAACCCTGGACCAGACAAGTCAGTAGGGAGATCTACACGAAGCATCACATCCTACCCTGTGGCTACTGACACCTACCTGTGAGCACATATTTCGATGTCTCGTCTCATCCTTAGGCCATCCATCGCTTCCTGGACACCCTCCCAGCTTTGCTTCGGAAATCTGGCTATCGACTAACGTATCATCAGGATGGTAGGGTGAGCGAACTTCGAAGCAGATTTGATTTTTATCGTGGAGTTGGTGTCATGATGAAAGGCATCAGGTTTCACGAGAGACGTCCTGGTTGAGGTTCTGTGATTGGTGTATGTAATTTGTATGATGAAAATACAACATCAACCCTAAATCAAGAGAGCGCTGAGAGAGAACATGAGAGAAAATAATCATATTGGGTGCATAATGGCTGAAGGCGGCAACATTCTGTTGGCACATAAAGTTTGAACTTCGAAGGAGTCGAGAGAATAACTCACTGTGTCATACAACTACTGATGCACACTGTCGGCGGCGACTCGGCGCCACTGTGCGGTTGATGTCAATATAATTTCCATTGACTCTTGAAAACACTTTTCGTGTGATGGCACGGGACTTGCCATATTGCCACCGTGAATAGCGTGCCCACTACACTAGACACTCGACTACCACAAGCTATGGCAGGCTACAGTAAACATGATCCCAACCTCCCTACAATAGCCTCTCCATAGTATGTCATTTTCAAGATAACAACAACAACCAGGGCTCTGTCCACTGTCACCTACTCCGAATCAACCTGAATGTCACTTCGTCAGATTCATTCTTCGACGCGTTCAATCCAAGCTTGCCAGTATCATCACGCCGATGGCCAACCACCCTCAAACGCGTCCAATTTGCCTAGCGCACAATTACACTGCACGGTTTTCTAGGTGCTATTGAACTGCAATGTCTCACTTCTGGAGCCTTGGACCCGTTGGAAATTGTAAGTCACTCAAACTTCGTAATCTGAGCCTACTCTGAACTGATTACGATTGCCGTCATGTAGACCTTGGATATAAAATTTAAGACCCAATCCAGTGGGCGCATTGAGCCAAGTGCGCGCAGTGCACAGCACATTATCTACAACCACCGTGTTTCCAAGTCAAGATGATTTCGAGCCAGAGTCTGAGCCTGATGTTGCCAAGACGCAGAATTTCGCTGGAGTGCCCGAGTCTCCTGTACTGCAACAACGAGGAAATGAACTATCAACGCGGCACACTACAACTTGTTTGCAGCCCCATAGTGTTTCGCGTACAACAAGAGGCAAGCCGCGAGTTGTCTCCAGGGGTGAGAAGTAAGAGCCAATTGGAACTGGAACGTGCGCCCTAGCGTTCCGGCAGCATCGCCTATGAGCATCTCTCACTCTCGACCTCGTTCAGTACACTCCTAGTACAGTAAGGTTGTCCAGGATGCTGGTTGATACACTGTCCATGTCAGCACCTATAGCACATTACTAGTGAATGAATACTACGACAAAAATATTGCCCAGGCCCACTAGTGTCTCATCGAAATCTTCGTATGAAACCAAATAATTATCATAGGTAATGTAACGACGGTTGGAATGGAGACAAAACACGAATTTTACTGCTTCCTGCAGAGCACCAGACAACTATTGACCTCCCGTGTGTCACACACTACTGCTAGTCGATACATGCACGCGCTCCTGGAAAGCGATCGAGGTCATAGCAGATACTGCGTCGGAGTTGGCCACGAGCTTAGCGTGGTATTCTCGAACGCCAAGGATCAGGCGTGGTCCCAGCGCATATGCCTGCACGAGAGCCCATTCAGTGAATTAACCCGTCTCAGATGGGCAGCCAAGTGTGACAATGTACCACTAGGGACGGGCCATCCCATGTGGGCCCATGGCAATAAGTATGTTGTACTTACTAACGAGTTCCAATGGTCTCGCAAAAACGGTACCGCCCATGTCACGGTGGAGGGCAAGTAGTACGCTTTGTCGCCGGGGCGGATAGCATTGACCTGTTGTCTACGTCGTGGTGCTTTGAGAACGTGGTAATGATTAGCTTTCTTTGCTGTAAACATGTGAGATGAATGTTCGCTAGCCGCAAAGCAAAAAAGGCTGTTTGAGCGTGTGCGACTCGCTTTGACCATCACAAGGATCACCTCTCGGTTAGGATATACCTGGCTGAAAGTCAAACAACGAGTCTTATGGTAACGGATTCGGGTGGTCTCATCGGCCAGCAACGGTTGTCGTATGCTTTTGCCATTGTGAATACGACCAGATTTCGAGCTTTTGTCCACGTCGCGACGCCTTGCCAGTGGAACAAGTCATTGTATTATGGTTTCCTTTCGTGGATTCTGTACAAAGAATAGTAAACACGTGTGATTTGACGAGAAACGCTTTGGTCGCATTTTATGTTTAATGCTGCCACGAAACGCTCTTGAAGCAACATTTTCCTCATCCTCGTTTTTAACGTGCTAACTGATAACTGACAAAAGTTGCAGACTATTACCTGCATTATTTTGATTACTGGGTTGGCGCTATCACAACACGCCGACCGAGTTACGCATAACTGCACCGTAAAAACGTGTTTGGAGCGTGCTCTTAATCAAGGTTAACACGCCTCGAAGCAGCCTTGCACGGGCTTACATATGTCATTCGCGGGCACACCTCTCGGTCAAGGCAGACGTCTAGATCATCACACATTCCTCAACAAGACACATCTTGCTAAAGTTCACAATAATCCAACTGCTAGAACCGTCAATCCTCCTGCAAGTCCACCACGTTCCACAACAACAACCTCTTACGCGTACGGGTGAGTACTGTCATATCACATCTTACAACAGTACCCTCATCATATATTCACATTCCCCTCAGAGCCCCAACAGCAGGCTCCAAATCACCGACTAAACCCACATCATCTGCATCCACGGTCGACATAGCAGACGACGAGACAGCTCTCGTCCGCTACGCCCGCCTAAAGCGCGAGCGGTCACTCCAGCAGTCTCAAGCAACGCTCGCTCCTGAGACGTGGAGCGTAAAGGACACTTCTGTTAATATTGCAAGCGCATTCAACCAAGCCGCATCTACGTTACACGAGATGCATTCCAGTAATCCCAATAACGCATGGGCCTCTGGATCCCAAACAAACCTCAACGTACCTCGAAGCACATCTGTCGACTATGAGAAAGAGACCCACTCCACTAGCAGTCGCCGACTAGCACCACCTCCAAATCGTCTTTCACAGCGCAATACGCGTAGGACTCTCTCGAAGCAGGACTCCAACATGACACACGTGTCCGACTCCGAAGGCGAAGACAATCAGGAATCCCAAGAACGTGACCATAGTGCTCGCGGGAAGAGCCCCTTTGAGCAGGTCGTCGACGTTTCCAAGCGCGCCCTGACGTCCGCAACCTCCTTTTACATGCGTCCCCGCTCAACTGAGCCAGCGGATATCTCAACTGCCAACACAACCACAAATGGCAGAGACTCAAGTTATGACTACGCATCAGAGGAGCAAGAATATCAAGAGACAATGCGGCAAAACCTAGCTCGTGAGCAACAAGAGCAGTCTGCTTCCAAGAGGCCTGCACCCAGCCACAAACGGAACCGGATGTCCACTGATAACAAGGCGTATCAGCCCTCACAATCTGACATGGAAGGGGACTCCGACGATGTTTCTGACGATGGGCGGAAAAGAAGAAGAAAAATTAAGAAAAGAGATTTAGGTGGAGGTCCTCTTACGACGCTGCCAGTGGCAGGCTACGATAAGCGACGGAAGAAGAAGAGGGGCAGCAAGACTAATATTGATGGTGAAGAAGACGACAGTAGCAGCGAAAGTGAGCAGGTATGGATGAAGATTCTGATTTTAGCTTTTTCGCTCATTATCTTTCATAGCGCTCTTCAGCTCAGCGTGCGTCAGTCACCCGCTCTGTACCCCCGCCTTCAAGGTCCTCAATACCTCGCGGCTCTGTCCCTCCCCATTCCGATGATCCAACTGACCTCGAAGTGGGGCTTGATTCCATTCCTGAGATGGATGAACCTCCAGCTGTGGATGGTTTCTCCAACACATCTGACATGCCATCACGGTCATTCTCGGTCGGGGGTCTCCTAGGCCTCGCTGTTAACCGTATTCTACGGTTCCTTCTGGGTATCTTTGCGTGGGGCATACGCATTATAGCCCTCCTGTCCCTCATTCTTGGCCGTATATTTGGGTCGATATTCGACATCATCTTCATGCGTCCAGCCTCCTTTTTCTCGCGCATCAAGGCAGGACCATTCGTCACTCTTGCCAGATACCTTTTCGTCGCTGCTTCTCTCTATGCTCTTTGGTATCAGTTCTACGACCCCATCCTCCAAGTGTTACCCATTCGCTCACCGCAACGCCAATATTATGCACCCGATACGCCGATCACGAACCTTGATGAACTTAGTGCTAGGCTTCAAAATATCGAAGCCGCTCTGTCGGGTCTTTCCCTTGACCAACAACGTGCTCGTGCCCAGCAAGATCTCGAGGCTCGTGCACATGGAGATGTTGTCAGCCGAATTTTTGCTCTCGAAGCGCGCATTCGTGACGAGGCCAAGCGTATTTCTGACACCGAAACTCATCTCAAATCATCTTCGAGTCAAGGTCTCGTCGACCTTAGACGGGAGATTGAGGTCTTGCATTCTCAGCTAAGTGCTGTGGAGCGTCTCCCCAGGGAGACTGTGATTTCACCGCCATCACCTGCTAACGACGAAGAGGCACGGGCTAAGTTGAAAATTCTGGAGGAGCGGCTTGGAAGCATCGAGGATGGTGTAAAGGACACCCTGGAGCAAACCAAAAATGCTGCACGTGCTCCAGTTAACGTGCCTGCTGGCCCAGCTTGGTGGTCCAAGTTGGCATCCACTGTCGGCACCGGTGCTGGTCTGACCATCAAATCTACGGATGGTTCTGATGTCACTTCGCTCATCTCTCAGCTCGTCGACAGCGCCATTGCACGATATGGGACTCAGGATATTATTTCTCGTCCTGATTTCGCGCTTCATTCCGGTGGTGCACGTCCAATACCTCATCTTACGAGTGGTACGCTTGAGTTGCGGCCAAGCACATTGCGAGGGCAGATCCTGGGTCTTATCACTGGCCATGGGTATGAAGTTGGCCGATCACCAATAACCGCTTTGCATCAAGATTTGCACAGCGGGAACTGCTGGCCCTTGGCCGGGCCTCACGGTCAATTGGGCGTGATGCTCGCCTTCCCTGCTATCATCTCTGATATCACCATTGACCACGTTGCCAAGGAAGTCGCGTTCGATCTCAGCACCGCTCCCAAAGACATGGAGGTTTGGGGCCAAGTAGAGGGCAAGGACAATTTGGCAAAAGTTGCAGCATGGCGCGCAGAACAAGCTGCGCGACGAGAGGCTGCAAATGAAGCTGGAGAGGCTGTTTCTGAAGCGGATCTTGAGGACGACTATCCGGCTACGCTTCCCCACGACGTATCGTTTATCCGCCTTGCATCGTTCACATATGATATTCACGCGCCTTCAAACATCCAAACCTTCCCTGTGCGCCAGGAAGTCCGCGATCTCTCTTTGGATTTCGGTATCGTGGCGCTTGTAATCAAGAATAACTGGGGCAAAGACGGGTATACGTGTTTGTACCGTTTCCGCGTACACGGTGAACGCCCTGGAGGTGGCTCATTACCTTTCCCTACTGAAAACTCATGACTGTGATGACTTGGAAGTGAACGATTGTGCTGTACATATGATTTAATCGTTCTTTTATTTTTTTTTGGAGTCGTTCCTTGTGCTATGGTTACTATTTTATCTCTTATATTTGTCGTATGGGTTACGTTGAAATCAAAGCATTCTTCGAGTATGTGTTCTTGGTGATTCGTGCTAGCTTCCATAAATCATCTCTGTTACTTTTGGAGCACGTGACCTCGACGCGTCAAGTTTATGCTTCTCCCGATTCAGACATTTACATCTGAAGCCGGCTCGGCTCGAGCTACTCCTGAATACCATTGGAGTCATGACTCAGCACCCTGATATAAGAGCCCTGCTGGATTAATGTCTCTCCATATCCCTCTCTTTCATCCCCCCTGTTTAAATCAATCACTTCTTCATCACTTGAACACCATGGCGGCAGGTCACGGTATCGATTTCACTGTCTTCAAAGGCTCCTCCAGCGGGAAGATCGTTACATCAACAACTCACAAAGACGGTCTCAAGCCTGACGAGGTCCTCCTCAAAATCACTCACGCCGGCCTTTGTGGTACAGATCTGCACTACAAGACAACTGACATGGTTCTCAGCCATGAAGGCGTCGGCGTCGTGCAACAGGTTGGTTCCGATGTCACCACCTTCAAAAAGTATACACTTTTTTAAGATCTAAGAGCGTCATAAATTAAAACCACAAACAGGGGCGACCGCGCTGGCTGGGGATACCTGCATAACTCCTGTGGGCATTGTGACGAGTGTCTCAGTGGAAACGAAATATTCTGCTCAAAACGCGCCATGTATGCGAACGCCGACTTAGACCAAGGCGGCTTCGCCTCGCACGCTATCTGGAAAGCTGGCTTCCTCTTCCATATCCCCGATGAAATCTCTTCTTCCGAAGCAGCTCCTCTTATGTGCGCCGGCGCGACCGTCTTCAACGCTATGCACCTCCATGGCATGATATCCACCGACCGGGTAGGTATTATCGGCGTTGGCGGCCTCGGTCATCTCGCTATCCAGTTCGCTGCGAAAATGGGTTGTCAGGTCGTGGTGTTCTCCCACACAGAGGATAAAAGGGAGGAGGCGATGAATCTTGGCGCGAGTGAGTTCTACGCGACGAAGGATGTCCAGACGCTCGATATAGGGGCACCCCTCAAGCACCTCTTTGTCACAACATCCCAACAGCCTGAATGGAAATGGTACGTCCCTGTTGTGATTCTGTGACTGCATCATTTAACAGTCTGTAGCTACCTCAAGACTCTGACGCCGCATGCCAAGATATACCCGCTTACTGTGTCCAGTGACACCCTTACCTTGCCGTATATGCAGCTCGTCGTTAATGGTATCACGCTCCAAGGCAGTATCTGCCCTTCGCGTGGAACACATGTCAAGATGTTGAGGTTTGCAGCATTTCATGGCATCAGGCCCATCGTTCAGGAGTTCCCGATGACCGAGGCTGGCATAGAGGAGGCGATAGATAAGCTTGAGAAAGGAAAAGTGAGGTACCGTGCGGTTTTGGTCGCTAAGAATGACGTTTCTGGTAAGTAAAAGTGACGGTTTCGATTCCAGATTAGAAAGTGTGCATTGGGTATCATTGCGTGTCTTCAACGTTTCACCTGTAATATGCCCTGTATCAAATAATCACCCTCCGCGATCAATGACATGCATTCTGTATATGGTGTCCAGGCATTATACACGCTGAGCGGCGATTTAGCAAAAGTTTCGGAACAGCCTTTTGCGATTCGATGGTTTACCTTGGCCATGCCGATCCACAATGTCACAGCAAGTAATGCAAAGATCCGAGAAAATGTGTGAAATTACAAAACTATGGGAACCGAGTCTAATAAACTACAACAGTCATATTGCAAATGAGAAGAAAAAATGTGGGAAGAGTCCGTGAAGCAATGCGATGCGGTCCAAATACAAATCAAACAAAAAACCCCACCCCACTGAAGCGTATAACGAAGATACTTTTCAACCTCCCCGACTCCTACTAAACCGGCGCTTACAAAGGAAGGTGCTGCTTCTCATTCATAGAAGCGGGCTGAGCGACGACGTTCTGTCATGAGAAAGGACAGTTGGTCGGTACGGTTCAGAAAGGCACGATACCAGGGCGGACGTTCAAAAGGGTTCCATAATTGGGATACGGGCTCTGGGGCAGGTGCGACTGACTCACCTCGTCGTCAGCAAGGCGGATGCGAGTGCTCTGAGCCTTGGCACGGGCATTCTTGACGAATTTGGAGAGAACAAACATGCCGAGGAGGAAGACAGCAGCCAGAATGGCGAAGACAGTGCTGGAAACCTCGTTCTGAGAGCCGATTTGGAACCAGCCACCCTCAAGACCTGAGTTGCAAATAGCGGCCCATTGCTTCTGGCTGGTAATGGCGTAGTTCTGGAACAGTAGTTTTAAGACGAGCAAATTCAAAGACTAGCACAGGTGCCTACCCTGATCTTGTAGATGAATTCCGTTGCAGAGATGTCGTTCTTGTGGCCGAAAGCGTGGAAGGTCTCGAAGTCGCCGTTGGTGCCATTCTTGAACTTGATCCTGACGAAGTCACGGTCTTCAGGGGGAGGTCCGCGACGGAGCTCGAAGGCAAGAGCAGAAGCATAGTTCGCTGTAGTCTTTGCGTGAATCGACTGAATGTATTGAAGTGAAATTATACGTACGGATACTGGCAAGCTCAGGGTTCTCCTTGGTCATCTCAAGCATGTGGAATAGCGAGATGAAAGGCTGGTATGAGGTCTCAATGAGGAGGAACTGCAGAGGGTCACCGTTGAATGCAATACGTTGGAGGGAGTTCAAGACCGAGTGGAGGATCGTGCGGCCAGCCACTGAACAACAACAGGATTAGTAGTGGACACCGTACATGAACCGAAATCGGCTCACAGTTACCAATACCACCGACATCCTTATCCGAGAAAATGGCGTTCTCGTGGTAGTCAGCAAAGCCACGAGCCTGCTCAACCAAGGTGGGAGGAAGGCGGTGAGCATATGTCTTGTTGTGAGAAAGCTCAGTCGAGACGTAGTCGTAAATCTAGAAGAAATTCAGCCTGACATCAGCGATCTAGGTTACATGGCGACACACATTCCACTAAATCACAAAGGCAATCAGCATATGTATCAAAGAATGAAAGGTATAACCTACAGCGTTCTCAAGAGTAGTGGGGCGGCCAAAAACGTAGTCCCTAACAGCACCGAAGAAAGAACCGGCAGCCTGGGCGGTCGCCTTGAACTCAGGAGACGAGTATACATTGGAAATGTGTTGCTCGAAAGCCTGCAGGTCATGGTTAGATTGCAGTTACCCAGGTTTGAATTTTTGTATTGCTTACTGGGCAGTCGGTCCATGGCTCAAGGGACCTGTCGTTGAAGGGCTCGACAGTCTCGATTGGAACGTACTGGTAACCACCAAGAGGAGCAATGACGGTGGTTCCGTTGGCAAGAACGATTTTGTTGGCAGGGTTAGGAGGGAAAAGACCCTGAAGGAGGGCGATAGCAGAGTCAAAGATCACGGTACCCTCACCGCCAGCCTTGACATGGACGTGAACCTCATGGGTGTCCACGAGGTCGGTTTTCAATTTCTCGATGTATGAAGGAGAAGATGAGGACATGTAGGTCGAGCGAAGGAAGGACCCAAGCTGGTGAGATTCGGCCTGTGGCAAGACTGCATTAGCTAGAGAAGCTACAGGCTGCATACCAGTGACTTACAGCACCAAGAGCAGTGCTTTCGGTGTAGGAGCTCTCATAGTTCTTGGGGTCCTGGTAGTATTCTGTGCGGTCACCATTACGAGCGATGACAAGAACACCAAGAACGTCAGTCATGTTGGTAGTCGGTGAGGGTAGAGGAGTTGGGAGGAGTTGAAGAGGAGTGTTGTTCTGTTGTGACAGTTGGAATCCTCGTTCCTTATATCGTGGTAGAAGCCAGCCACTGCGCTTGTATACCTTGCACTTGTTTACGCGGCAAGTCTAAATCACATTAGGTGAGCAAGGAGAAGGCCTGGAAAGCGCAAGGAGGGAACAGCACGGAGCCAATGCATAGAAGCTCGCGGAGAGCATGGCCGTTTTGTAAATTGAATAGTGCACGCGTACACTTGCTTCCTGGTGCGGCAGGGTCAGAGTGAGCAGGTTCAAAACTCGAAAAAGTTCTCCTATGCAGAGGGAACAAATTTCCGTCCTACTGAATGGGTGTTATGCCAAAATCGTGGCCTCGACATAAATATTATGCTTTTTTTGGGGCAATAGCCAGGTGAGGATCATGGATAGGTTGGCCTTACAGGTGATTGATTCTGATGGGGCGCAAACTAAATGAAACTCCGTTTACTGTTTTGGGTCGAATGACGGACAGCCTGTAACATGATCTCGAGGCACGTCGTATTTGCAGTGACACAAGTCCTTGCTGATGTTGACCGGGATTAAGGACAGATTGCGCCGTACATCACAAACGCATTCCGAATGAGTGAAAAGGACTCAGTCACTCAGGTTAAAAATGTTGTATGGTCAACTTTTTTCATTGCGAAAAATACTGGAGATGGGTGTAGTGTGTAGAAGATTCGTCGCATGTTCGACGTTGAGAGAACGGGGTGTTGACTCTGTTGAGACCAAGGTGTCCGGGACGGAGTAGAGAGTGTCGATTTGATCAGGACGGTCAGCGGCATGCCGCAGACGTTGCATGCATGAGAAATTTTTTTGCCAAGTTTTGCGCGCAAGATATTCCGGTCGACCTCGTTCACCTGAATGGTACAGTTAGTAGGTAGAATAAAATTAAGAGAGCCACCAAGCGTGACTCCTCAGAATGCTCATGTTCATCTCCAAGAGGCGTGCCCGCGCAGTTCCTCCGAGTCGCAGCTTGATGGTTTCTGGCCCAAGGTTTCTGGCCCAAGTCGTCTCTAAGAGGCGTGTTAGGGCGGAAGAAATGATGAAGAATGAAATGAATACGGTAACAGTGATCACGTGATACAACTTGGATACAAGTTGCAACACACCTTGAAACTTGAAAGTCGTTGACGAATCGATGGGGACTCGGACATTGGCCACGATGATGAGCATGGTCATGGAGGTGACAACTCGCAGAACGATGATGGCCAACATAACAACCAATCTCAAGACCATGAAGATGAAGATGACGACAATGCGACCCCCTTCAAAGTGTTTTAACTGGTACTGTTCCTGACTCCTTGAAAATTCAAAGAGTAATTCCAGCGACCGCATAGCTATACAAACTGCCAAGGTGATTGATGTTCTTCATTCAAGTCGCATTTCGCTTAGCACTATGTCTGTCATTCAAGTTCCACTCAGGCTCTTTCACTACTGGCAGCCAACAACACTTAGCATCAGCGCAGCAAGTCTCTTCCACCAGCTAATAGCACATATAACCAGCTGAGCGCGGGACACCAGAAAGTCCTACTCAAACCCTTCCACCAGCCGATAGCACACAACGCCAACGCGGGAAGGCAGCCGCAATCACCTTTGACTCGAGTTTCTGAAACACTGAAGGCTGTCCAGAAGGCGAATTTTGTTTTGCCGGCTTCGCGTCACCGCAATCCTAACCACTAACAGACATAGCTACAGAAGGCCAAGCCTCGTCGCACACCGCCCATAACGACCGGATCTTTGAAGAAATATGCATGATGGATTCTTTCGGTCTCTTTGCACGGACACTACCGGACTCACACTTGATGCTACTAAACTTGCATGGACGCTACTAGGCCCAGACGGACGCCAGACTTGCCGACTGTATCTTGCACACACTCGTATACTTGTTGCTCTGTATTCCAAACGATGTGTAATGCTACTGCATACAAAGATTCCTACATGTTCAGTATGTTATGCTAATTATCTCAAAATTCAGGACCTTTATTCTGATATAGACTTACTACAAACCCTTGGAAGCCATGATATCAGCTGCCTCTACGAGCTTCTTCTCGATGCCAGGCTCGTGCGAAGAGTGTCCTGCATCTGGGATGATGTGCAGAGTAATTTCTGGCCAAGCCCGTTTCAGTTCCCATGCAGTAGTTGCCTAGGAATCCAAGCGTGTTCAGTAAGGACGTATCTGAAAACATGAAAAATCTGCATACGGTGCATATAACATCGTATCTTCCTTGAACCACGATGGTCGGAATGTGACGGCTAGGAACAGTGAGAAGGGATCAAGGACGCGTGTAGCATACACGTACATCTTATCGATTTCCTGCTTTTCAAGCAGTTGACCATCGCGCATGAAGCCCTGCATATTCACCACTGTAAATCACAGTCGGGCCAACTCTCTAACTGACAAACCTCATTGACGAAATAATGGTTTTCGATCCGGGCAGATGTGCTGAATGTTGATTCAGCAGAAAATCGAATTCGTCGCTGGGTTCACGTACTTTGTGAAATCATCTTTCTCTGCTTGGGCGACAGCATCCGCACTTACGATCAACCTTGATGTGGCCATCCTTACAATACGATGTCAGCAATGAACACAGTACCAACGGAGTGGAGGGAAATGCTACTTACTCCCACTTCGCCCACGCCTTTGCAGCGGCCAGACTGACATTTGCGTCCGAAGAGTTCAAGCGGCTGTGATAAGCCTTCATCATGTCGTGCCGTTCAGCCTCTGGAATCGGGGCCAGGTATTCTTCCCTATACAACTGGGTCACCTCACAATGAAGGTTTGTTGTTACTATGTTAAATTACCATTGTTCGGGGAAAAGATGGGAAGTGCCATCCTGATAGAAAAATCGCAGTTCGCTGAAAGAAATAGCAAGTGGTCAGCAGGTTCTACTTTAGCTTATCAAGTAACGCATACCTTTTTCTTAGCGTGAGGATTCCGCTTTGAAATAATTGGTTGTTTAGAACTGCCTGATATGTACCAACAGCACCGAGGCTCACCGGAGTACGAGGGACTTGACTCTGTCTGGATGCGCCTATGTAATGTATTGACTGCTTAAACAAGATATCGTATAGAAGGAAGCCGATCACAAACCTGGGCGTATGTCAGGGAGAGTGTAGAGCCCTGTACGTCTGTGTCAGTGATGAAGTCTAGAAGAAAAGGCACTAGCACAGACCCAGCTACCACCAAATACGTGCCATTTCGTGACACCTAGCTTCTGCCGAAGGACCTCGATGTCTTTCACGAGGTCCCACGTAGTATTGTTCTCTAATTCTGCGCTCCTACGCAGTTTCATGCAGGAGCAGTGTCAAAGAACCGACAGGACTTACGGAGTGGACTTTCCTGCACCCCGTTGATCAAACAGCACAATCTACAACGTCGAGAGAATACGATTTATATGAATAGGAAGATGCTCCCTAGTAGACTGTTACTTACTTTATATTTCTCAGGGTTAAAGAACTGTCTATCCTCTGGATCTGTTCCCCCTCCCGGACCGCCGTGGAGGAAGATAACTAGTCAACAGTTAAATCTGAACTGCATAAAATATCATAAGAGCACATACCTGGATCGCCTTCCTTGTTTCCACTCACTTCATAACTTCCGATCGATTATCATTGATGTTACGATAGATGACCGGAAGACATACTAAAGCTGATGTTTATCTGAATTCGCACCCGGGAAAAAACCAGACTCATAGGGTTTGATAGAAGGATACATTGACGTAGGTTTCGATAAAGTGGTGGACGAAGATGTAGTAGGACGTGAGCACAACTTGAAAGCGGGAGACAGGTTTATCCTTGCCACAATTTCGCCTGAAACTCTGAATCCTGGGAGTAGATAAGATGAATTGACGCCTTTGATACAAGGCCCTGCGGTAACACCTGATCATTCAAGGCCATTTGAAGTCATGCTAGCTTTTGCCATCGGCGGCTAGACTCGTAACCAGTCTGGACTAAAAGGGATGTTTGCCATCTACACCACCGAACAGCATCACCTGTACGTTGTGAGATCCGCTCGCAGTGCATTATGTGTTGATTGTCAGTAGGAGTTCTGAGATGTCGGTGTTATCCCTGGCGTCATTATAGTAGCTGGTTCATGCGAAATATAGACGGCATTCCAATCCACATTCCCACTGGGCTACCGTACGAAGCATGAGTCAACGAAAGGGATCAACTGCATGATGGATTCAGTGTGGTACGTTTTAGATAGGGCTCAGGGAATTAGGGATCCCGCTCTGGTTGACCGGCTAATTAGCACGACCCACAGTGAGGGCCTAATTGACGAGTGTAAATGACAGCAAATTCACTCAAATTCACCCATAGCTCTTTGACGCTGATTTGCGCTAATTTGCAGGTAAATTTGGTCTAATTGACCGTAATATACAACGAAGCTGCTTATCTCCATTCCGCCCACTCATCATCCATCGGTGTCGAGGACGAAGTCGTGGCCATCACCTTTGGCGTCGACGGACCTCCACGAGCAGCTGTTGGCTGTACAGGGTGGTCTGACAGAATATCGAGGAGGTACGTGGATGATATGTCAATGTCTTTACCCACATTGAACTCCGTGCTTTTCATGCCAGCTAAACCCACATAGTCCGTGCTATCACGCCAATCCCCGTCTTCATCATCCGAGTCTGAACATCTACCTTGATGTTCGTTGGTCAGGCTCGAAATGATGTCCGCGGTCACGATAGGTGGTCGAGTAGGTGGCGGGACAACAGGTGGTGTCTCAGGTTTACCGTGGATGGTTGCATACATATCTCGCCATTTGACGGAAGGAGCGACTGTCGGTTCTTTGCTCACGTCAGCTTGCCAGCGGTGCCACTGACGAATCTGTATATGTTCTTTTAATGTCAAGATGTCTTGTCTGCTCCGAGTGGGGCTGTTAAGCCACGTGATTGTTGAAACTGTCCTCTCGTCGGCCATCGACACTGGGACGACGGAGTATAACTTGATTGCAAGGGCCTGGACATAAGAGTGAGTCAAATAAAAAAAAATATTGAATGAATGTTACCCCAAGAACTCGTGCGTTTTCGTCCTTTTGAACAGCTAACCACCAGTCTCGAACATTCTCGTGCTTGCGAATCTTACGGTTGAAAGGATCCGCTCCTTTGTGATACTCCTTGAGCTCGACCTTCAATGCCTGCAGAGCCTCTCGTGGAGTCAATCTCCTTGAGATGTTGTTGCATTTAGCTTTGCGATGGGGAGGACAATATTTACAATATTTCTGCGACTCGAACTTCACAATTCTTCGGATTCTCGGTGATCGTCCGAATCGGCAACCAAATCAACTTATATATTTTGACTATGACGAGCCAGCGTGTTCAGAAATTAAGCTTTTTGCACTGGTCCAGCCGAAACCAGCCGAACTGAACCGGGACCCAAATTCACCCAAATTGACACCCCGTTTTCGAGGGTCTGAAATTCACCCTGTCATTCACGGTAAATTAGCAAGGCAAATCAGCTGGGCAAATCAGCCCACCCCAAATTCCCTGACGCCTAGTTTTAGATCAAGTTTCATCGGTGGGTTATTAAATTATTTTCAAATCTCTAACTTTCTGATGGTGTGAGGACAGAGCGTTCCCCCCTTCACCTATTTTGCGTCTGATCATTGTTTCATCTCTGTCCTATCTCAACGCTCTTTTGATCTAGGGGTAATGTTATCTCTTCATCTTACATCAATCACGCAATCCCAACCAGTATATCTCTGATGAAACCTGGTGCCTCATTGCCGCGCCAACTCCACAATGTAAATCGACTATCATGCGCTCACCATTTCTGGCATCCTGATGATACAATAGCCCAATTTCCGAAGGAAAACTGAGAGGGTAAACGACAGATAACCCGGGGATGAGATGAGACATTGAGATACGTTCTCGCAGAGAGGTATCAGTAGCCGTGGTAACATGCGCAGTGCTTCCTGTGAATGCTCCCTGGGATAGCTGACTTCTCTGGTCTGGCATCATGCCGATGGCAATGCAGTGAGGCGAATAGAAAGGGAACAACAACCTTTTGATGTCGCACCATGATCAGTATGTGTCAAACACATGAAGCAGTACTTGCTTGCATAAATGGACTGATGCACGTGTAACAAAGACATCGAGAATGGCGTTGGAAACGAGGCGATAGTTCTTGATGTCGATCAATATTTTCGAGTGTTTCTATCGCGCAAATATATCGCGACCAACATCTATTATGAGCCACTGGATTGAGCTTGATTTACCTTGTTTCATGCCAGGATATCTACCTCGGTCAATTAAAACAAGAACGTTCATCATCCCTCGGCATCGTTTTGGCGATCTGAGCACTGGATGGTGGTATAACTAGCACGAATGTGCTTGGATGTCTGATGACTAATTATCTCAAAATTCAGGACCTTTATTCTGATAGACTTCGTGTTACTACAAACCCTTGGAAGCCATGATATCAGCTGCCTCTACGAGCTTCTTCTCGATGCCAGGCTCGCGCGAAGAGTGTCCTGCATCTGGGATGATGTGCAGAGTAATTTCTGGCCAAGCCCGTTTCAGTGCCCATGCAGTAGTCGCCTATGAATCCAAGCGTGTTTAGTAAGGGCGTATCTGGAAACATGAAAAATTTGCATACGGGGCAAACGACATCGTATCTTCCTTGAACCACGATGGTCGGAATGTGACGGCTGGGAACAGTGAGAAGGGATCGAGGACGCGTGTAAAATACACGTACATCTTATCGATTTCCTGCGTTTCAAGCAGTTGACCATCGCGCATGAAGCCCTGCATATTCACCACTGTAAATCACAGTCGAGCCAACTCTCCAACTGACAAACCTCATTGACGAAATAATGGTTTTCGATCCGAGCAAATGCGCTGAATGTCGATTCAGCAGAAAATCGAACTCGCCACTGGGCTCACGTACTTTGCGAAGTCATCTTTCTCTGCTTGGGCGACAGCATCCGCGCTTACGATCAACCTTGATGTGGCCATCCTTACAACACGATGTCAGCAATGAGCATAGTACCAACGGAATGGAGGGCATCCTACTTACTCCCACTTCGCCCATGCCTTTGCAGCGGCCAGACTGACATTTGCGTCCGGGGAGTTCAAGCGGCTGTGATAAGCCTTCATCATGTCGTGCCGTTCAGCCTCTGGAATCGGGGCCAGGTATTCTTCCCTATACAACTGGGTCACCTCACAATGAAGGTTTGTTGTTACTATGTTAAATTACCATTGTTCGGGGAAAAGATGGGAAGCGCCATCCTGATAGAAGAATCGCAGTTCGCTGAAAGTGGTAGAAAGTGGTCAGCATGCTCTACTTTGGCTTATCAAGTAACACATACCTTTTTCTTAGCGTGAAGATTCCGCTTTGAAATAATTGGTTGTTTAGAACTGCCTGATATGTACCAACAGCACCGAGGCTCACCGGAGTACGAGGGACTTGACTCTGTCTGGATGCGCCTATGTAATGTATTGACTGATTAGACAAGATATCGTATAGAAGGAAGCCGATCACAAACCTGGGCGTATGTAAGGGAGAGTGTAGAGCCCTGTACGTCTGCATCAGTGATGAAGTCTAGAAGAGAACGCACTAGCACAGACCCAGCTACCACCAAATACGTGCCATTTCGTGACACCTAGCTTCTGCCGCAGGACCTCGATGTCTTTCACGAGGTCCCACGTAGTATTGTTCTCTAATTCCGCGCTCCTACGCAATTTCATGCAAGAGCGGTGTCAAAGAACCGATAGGACTTACGGAGTGGACTTTCCTGCACCCCGTTGATCAAACAGCACAATCTGCAACATCGAGAAAATACGGTTTATATGAATAGGAAGATGACCCCTAGACTGTTGCTTACTTTATATTTCTCAGGGTTAAAGAACTGTCTATCCTTTGGATCTGTTCCCCCTCCCGGACCGCCGTGGAGGAAGATAACTAGTCAACAGTTAAATCTGAACTGCATAAAATATCATCAGAGCACATACCTGGATCGCCTTCCTTGTTTCCACTCACTTCATAACTTCCGATCGATTATCATTGATGTTACGATAGATGACCGGAAGACATACTAAAGCTGATGTTTATCTGAATTCGCACCCGGGAAAAAACCAGACTCGTAGGGTTTGATAGAAGGATACATTGACGTAGGTTTCGATAAAGTGGTGGACGAAGATGCAGTAGGCCGTGAGCACAACTTGAAGGTGGGAGACGGGTTTATCCTTGTCACAATTAGCCTGAAACTCTGAATCCTGGGAGTAGATAAGATGAATTGACGCCTTTGATACAAGGCCCTGCGGTAACACCTGATCATTCAAGGCCATTTGAAGTCATGCTAGCTTTTGCCATCGGCGGCCCGGCCACCGGAAGCTCGCCAATGCATCCAGGTCTAATATAAGCGGTTCCGACTTGTCCCGACTCGAGCACATGCTCCTCTCATCCTCCACCAGCCGGGCAGTCGCCATGGGACAGTCTCCGAGCCACTAGCAAAATGTCCATCCACTGGGACCTTTGGCTCATACGTCAATGTATCATTGTTTCTGACAGCGACTCGATGCAACTAGCGATGACAACCACTTCAATTTATTGGATCACACCAACTTCTCCACTGTTCTCGCGTAATCTCGAGACGTTCGATCATGAGATTATATGGTACACCGCTCACCGGATCAATCAAAATGTCAGCTGCCGGATGAGTGTTGAATCTCGCGTGGTGCGTTAAATTTCGACCAATTTTCATCAGTCGCCCTAGGCCCTTACCGCGCTCCTAAACTCAATTCCCCAGAGGAGGGAAGCGAGGCAGAGACGCTGTTGATATTTGTTTCGGAACAATACGAGCATCAGTATGCCATCAGCTACAAAATGAGCATCGGGCTTCCTGTAGTGTGTCCGAGTTTGTTAAACTTTGTTTTCTTTCAGTGCTCTATTTTCGTTAATCTCTTATCCTGGTGCGCCCGACGAAAACTAACCTCGTAGTGGATTATGTGTTGATTGTCAGTAGGAGTTCTGAGGTGTTGGTGTTATCTCCAGCGTCGTTATAGTAGCTGTTTCATGCGAAGTATAGGTTTAACGACATTTCAATCCACATTCCCACTAGTACTGGCCATGGACTATCTTACGAAAGCGCGAGTCAACGAAAGGCATCAACTGCATGATGGATTCAGTGTTGCACGTTTTAGATCAGTTTTCATTGGCAGCTGTATAACAAGGCGAGTGATTAAATTGTTCTTCCAATCTCTAACTTTCTGATGGTGTGAGGACAGAGTGTTTCCCCCTTCAGCCATTTTGCGTCTGAGCATTGTTCTCTCTCTGTCCTATCTCAACGCTCTTTTGATCTAGGTGTGATGTCATCTCTTCATCTTACATCAATCACGGAATCTCAAGCAGGACGTCTCTGATGAAACCTGGTGCCTCACTGCTGCGCCAACTTCATGATGCAAATCAACTGTCATGCGCTCACCATTTCTGGCATCCGGACGATACTTAGCCCAATGTCTGAAGGAAAGCTGAGAGGGTAAACGACAGATAGCCCGGGGATGAGATGAGACATTAAGACACGTTCTCGCAGAGAGGTATCAGTAGCCATGGTAACATGCGCAGTGCTTCCTGTGAATGTTCTCTGTTTGGGATAGCTGACTTCTTCTGGTCTGGCATCATGCCGATGGCAATGCAGTGAGGCGAATAGAAAGGGAACAACAACCTTTTTGATGGTCGTACCATGATCAGATATGTCAAACACATGAAGCAGTACTTGCTTGCATAAATGGACTGATGCACGTGTAACAAAGACATCGAGAACGGCGTTGGAAACGACTCACGAGGCGATAGTTCTTGATGTCGATCAATATTTTCGAGTGTTTCTATCGCGCAAATATATCGCGACCAACATCTATTATGAGCCACTGGATTGAGATTGGTTTACCTTGTTTTCATGCCAGGATATCTATCTCGGTCAATTAAAACAAGAACGTTCATCATCCCTCGGCATCGTTTTGGCGATCTGAGCACTGGATGGTGGTATAACTAGCACGAATGTCATCATGATTGTCATACGTCCACCAAGTTTGCCTCTCACTCACTCACATTCTCTCCCAATATGACCATAGTCTCAAATGATCCCACTTGGTGGCCGACCATCAATGCATATCGTTTCCAAAGCTATTTTATCGGTTCGTAGAGAGGGGTCGAATGTCGAAGCTGACTCGATCTAATCTTGGCTGCGGTTTTGCAGTTGCCGCTTTTGTTGGATTGGCGTATGATTGGGGTGAGCATTATAATGCTGAAGGACTGCCGATATCTTACAAGTATTTTCAGCGCTTACTTTTGGACAAGAGGTATGTCAATGTTTATGACCGGAGCAGCCATCTCGCTAAGAACGGTTTTATAGGTCGAATTAGTCTGGGTGAGTACAGTCTGATGTCAAGGGAACACGCATGAAAGTACACTCGATTACAGAGGCAACGCTGGTCTCTAATGACGGTGCTGTATCTCCTCGTATGTAGCTTGCTCGTCGCGATTGTCATGTTGTGCTGAATTGAGAACATCACAGGTGCGCTACCTTGGAATGTTATATGCTGCGTATGTTCGGAAGGTCAAACAGTCGATGTCGTGCTGATCGTCTATCTCTCATACTCAGCCTGAGTATGTTAGGTATGTCTCCTTAGTACATCCACTGTCTTTTCTTCTTCTGACCAATGACATACAGGCAATGCTCCGACCATCGCACTGACAGATACAGTGAGTCTTCTGCACAGATTCTACTACCCCCCTCCAATTAACCGCGGTTCCCTGTAGCAGTTGGTGTATTTGTTTACTAACTTGCTGGTTCACTAATAACTACCATGCTATACTACTACTATAGATGTGAGTCTGTTTGTAGTGTGTGCTACCAGAGACTGATCACTGACTGCATTCATCAGGCCGCATTATGTATGTCGTACAGAATTGGATAAGTGTTTTTGTATTTGCGATGCTGTGGGGTGAGTTCGGTATTTGCGAGATCTCAGTGATACTGACTTGACTGAAACATGCTGCAAGTCATCATCATCACTCGGTTGCATGCCATGTATCAAGGATCCAGAAAGATCCTTATATTTCTCATTGTCACCTTCCTGGCTGTCACCATTTTCAACGGAGTGGTCGCCGTAATTTTAATGATGCATACTTCAGGGGGTACGCTTGATTGTGGATAAGAACGTGCATGGGCTCATTGATGGATACCAGGGGAATTTGTTCTCTCCGGCACTTATCTGTGCCAGACTAACTTTGCGGAAGATATCACACTTCTGAATTCTATTACTTGGATACTCGGCACCGTGTGGGAGGTCCTCGCACTATGTCTCGCAGTTTGGATTGCTGTGAAACACTTCCGTGAACTGCGCCATCATTCGGCAGGAGGGATTATCGGGGATTGTTTCTCGGTATTAATCAAAACTCATGTGGTTTACTTTGCGAGGTAGGCTCGTATTGTGATCGTGGTTCCCTTTTTCGCTGAAGGATCGGACGTGGTAGCTTCGTTGCTGTTTCTTGCTTCGAGCTCATTCGTGATTTATCTCCAACAATCTTAGCGGTATGTCAATCTTTCACTTACCTCTGCATGCGACCATGGTTGATTATTTCTATAGAACCAATATTCCCTAGAAACTCAGATCTTTTTCGGCTTGTCTCAGATTTTAACAGTCATGCAGATGTTTGTGCTGGGACCACGCCTGATCCTTGGCATTCGCGAATACCACGCTAAGCTCGTGGCCGACTCCGACGCAGCATCTGGTATGACCTCGATCGCTTTCCAGGAGCGTGTGCATGTATCGACTAGCAACAGTGTGTGACACATGAGATGTTGATGGTTGTCTGGTGCTCCGCAAGAAGCAGAAATTTTGTTTTTCGTCTCCATTCCAGTCCTCGTCGCATTACTTAAGTAGTTAATTATTTAGTTTCATACGAAGTAGATTTTGATGAGACATTAGTGGGTCACTGGGTCTGGGCATATTTTCGTCACAGTATTCATTCAAATCATGTGCTATAAGTGCTGACATGTATAATGTTCCAACCATCCTGGATAGCCTTACTGTACTAGTAGTGTAATGAACGCGAATGTCGAGGAGCGAGAGATGCTCATAGGTGATGTTGCTGGAACGTTAGGGCACAAGTTCGAGTTCCAATTCTCGCGACTTGCCTCTTGCTGAATCCGAAACACTATGGGGCTGCGAAGGAGTTGTAGAGCGCCGCGTTGACAGGAATTCATTTCCTCGTTGTTACAGTACGGAAGACTCAGACACTCCAGTGGAATTCTGCGTCTTGGCAACATCAGGCTCAGACTCTGACTCGGGATCATGTTGACTTCAAAGTACAGTGGTTGTGTATAGTGCACTGTGCTTGGCTTAACATGGCCACTGTACTGAGTCTTATAATTGATAGCAAAGTCTGATCAGTTCAGGGTAGGCTCAGATTACGAAGTTTGAGTGACTTACAATTTCCAACGGAATGCATGATAATATTGAGACATTGCACTTCACTAGCACTAAGAAACGTGCGGTGTGATTGTGCGCTAGGCAAAGCGGATGCGTTTATGGCTGGCTGACCATCGGCGTGTCGACGCTGGCAGCTTCAATTGAACGCGAGTCTGACGAACGACTCGGAGTAGTTTGAAGGTGACAGTGAACAGGGCCCTGGTTGTTTGTGCTATCTTGAAAATGACATACTATGAAGAGGCTATTGTAGGGAGGTTGGCACTATGTGCTGCATGACACAGTGAGTTATCCTCTTGACTTCTTCGAAGCTCTAACCGTGACTTTCTGATGGTGTGCCAACAGAATGTCGCCGCCTTCAGCCATTATGCCCACGATTATTATTATTTCTAATGTCCTCTCTCAACCTTCTTTTGATCTATGTATTTTCATTATAAGTATCAATCACAGAATCTCAACCAGGACGTCTGGTGAAACTTCTCACCCCTGGCGAGCCGAAGAGTGGAGATGACAATCTTTTCGAAGGTCGCAAGATGATCGGTATGCAACAAACTGATGAAGTAGTCCTTGGTTGCATTGATGTTGATGCGCGTGTAGCAAAAACATCTCGATAACGACACTGGAAACCAGGCGACAAGGTCACGAACAGTTCTTGATGCCAATGATCAATCTTTTGCGGTGAACGAGTGTTTCTCTCGTGCAAATGTATCACGACCAACATCTACTATGAGCCACTGGATTGATGCAAAAATATCTACTCCGGTCAATTACAACCAGAACGGTCATCATTCCTCGGCGTCGTTTCGCTGATTTAAGCACTGGCTGGTGGTATAACTAGCACGAATGCCATCGTCATACGTCCACCAAGTTCGCATCTCACCCACACTTATTCTCTGCTAATATGACTATAGTTTTAAATGATCCCACTTGGTGGCCGACCATCGATGCAAATCGTGCTGGAAGTTATTTTATAGGTTCGTGGAGAGCAGTCGGATGTCGAAGCTAACACAATCTAACCTTGGTTGCGCTTTCGCAGTTGCCGCCTTTGTTGGAGTGACATATGATTGGGGTGAGCATGATAATATTAAGGGACCGCTGATATTCTAGCACTTACTTTTGGACAAGAGGTATGTCAATTCTATGACTGGAGCAGCCATTTCGCTAAGAATGGTTTTATAGGTCGAATTGGTCTGGGTGAGTCGAGTCTCATGTCAATGGAGCACACATGAAAGTACACTCAATTACAGAGACAACGTTGGTCACTAATGACATTTATGTATCTCGGTGTATGTACCTTATTTATCGCAGTTGCCATATTTTAATGACTCGAAAATATCCTAGGCACGCTACCTTGGAATCTCACATACTGTGTATGTTCGGAAGGCTAAATAGTCGGTGTCATGCTGATCGTCTATCTCTCATACTCAGTATGAATATGCTGGGTATATCTCCTTAGTACATTCACTGTCTTTACTTCTTCTGACAAATCGCATACAGGTCGTGTTGTGACCATCTCGCTGACAGATGCAGTGAGTCTTCTGCACGGCTTCTAATATCCCCCTCCAATTAACCGCAGTGACCTGTAGCAGTTGGTGTATTTGTTTACTAACTTGCTGATTCACTAATGGCCGCCACGCCATACTGCCACAGATGTGAGTCTGTTTGGAGTGCGTGCTACCCGAGACTGGTCACTGACTGCATTTATCAGGCCGGATCATGTTCGTAGCAACCAATTAGATCAATGTTTTGGTAATTGCGATGCTGTGGGGTGAGCTTGGGATTTGCGAGACCTCAGTGATACTGACTCGACTGAAACATGTTGCAAGTCATCATCATCACTCGGTTGCATGCCATGTATCAAGGATCCAGAAAGATCCTGATATTTCTTACTGTCACCTTCCTTGCTGACAACATTTTCAACGCGGTGGTCCTCATAATGGTGACGATGCATGCTTCAGGAGGTACGTTTGATCGTCGATGAAAACAAATATGCGTGTGGCTCATTGATGAATACCAGAGGAACTTATTCTCTCCGGCACTTATCTGTGTGATATTAACTATGCGGAAAATATCTTACTTCTGGGTTCCATTACTTGGATACTTGGAACTGTGTGGGAGGTCCTCGCACTATGTCTCGCAGTTTGGATTGCTGTAAAACACTTTCGCGAACTGCGACATCATTCGGGAGGAGGGACTATCGAGGACTGTTTCTCGGTGTTGATCAAAACTCACGTGGTTTACTTTGCGAGGTAAGCTCATAGTGTGATCATGGTTCCCTTTTCGCTGAAGCACCAGACACGGTAGCGTTGTTGCTGTTTCTTGCTTCTCCCTCATTGTTCAATTATCTCCAACAATCTTAGCGGTATGTCAATCTTTCCCTTTCCCTTACCTCAGCATGCAGCCATGATTCATTCTTTCTATAGGACCAGAATCTTCTAGAAGCTCAGAGTGTAACTGGCTTGACTCAGATTGCGCGAGTTGTGCAGGCGTTTGTGCTGGGACCACGCCTGATCCTTGGCATTCGAGAATACTACGCTAAGCTCGTGGCCGACTCTGATGCAGCATCTGCTATGACCTCAATCGCTTTCCAGGAGCGTGTGCATGTATCGACTAGCAGTAGTGTTTGACACACGAGATGTTAATGGTTTTCTAGTGCTCTGTAGGAAGCAGCGAAATTTGTGTCACGGGTTTGTCTCCATTCCAAGCCTCGTTGCAGTATCGATCTATCATGGTTAAAATCTTTGGTGTAGATCTCGATGAGACATGTGGAGTGGGTCTGGACAATATTTTCGTCACAGTATCTATTCGAATCATTTGCTGTAGGTCCTGGAATTTACGATATTCCAACAAATATCATGGATATCCCTACTGTTCTAGCGAAGGAAAGCAGTGTACTGAACGGGAAGGTCGGGGAATGAGAGATTCAGATATTAATAGCTGATGCCGCCGCCGTCACACAAACTGATCTGTTAATGAATTACACTAAGTCTTATGTTCTGCGCTCATTCTGGGCTATCAAGGCCCCAAGTTGCGAAAAAGTACTCCATCTGCTCCAGTCAACTACATCGTCTTTACAAGACTCGCCGTCCAAGCAGACTCCCTTCCCCATGCATTACCGTCTTTGCCGTTATCTACAAAAGACCAACGCCAGAGTCTGAATGATACAGACCACTTCCCCAGTCGAATCCCGGATCATCATCAGTACGATATCCTTCCGACTGCAGGACTTCTTCAAACAAATCATCCGTCGGTTCGTCCGAAGCCCACTCTGATGTCCCCTTCTTCTTTCTAGCCTGCCTCCAACTAGCAGCACCCGCCAGTATCCCCTTCTCTGGCCCTTGCTTCTTTGGAGATCAAAGCCTCGCCTTCAAGACAGCAGCCTGGGTCGCACCCTCTAGCTCTTCATCCCAGCCCCACTCATATTTCTCTTGTGCACGACCAATAGCCGTCGTATTCACATTCCTGCGCGATGCCAGCGCAGTACTCCTGAAACTCCTCGACCGTCCATTTGAATTTGTGATTGTGATGCCTGAACACCCTGTATGTACGATTCCTAGGATCGGGGAAGCCAATGGCAGTGTTCGTCAAGCCAGGAGGGTTGAAACACGTGTTGATGTTCTATGAAGGGGGTTTTCACGAGAAGCAAGCGAGGGTGGTAAATGCCCAAGATCGTGGGGACGAAGTCAGCGAGAATTACTTCTGGGAGGTGTTCGACACTTGAGATGGAGGTATTATATAAAATAGATGACAGCACAGAATAGACACACACCTCCGTTGCAATAATACATTCTGCATTAACAGAAGCTGGGTTGAAGATCTTGAGCCCGCCGCTTACTTCGAGTAGTTCCCGTCGAGTGTAGGTTGCATTTGTGGCAGCGGGGGAGGTGTCTTCGATCGCGGATGCAAGTGCGTGAGATGAGATATCGAGGCTTGTGATGTGCATTGGGTGGAGGCTGAGATCATGCGGATCGACTGCGGTTGAAGTTGCGTCGCTAGGAGATGCGAATATGCCAGGTTTAATCAAACTCGAAGAAAACGTACAAAGCCCTTATATAGAGACCATCATTATATCCCAGGATGCTGAAGCCACTGTGATCATTGTGTCCTACTAGACTAAACCTCAGTAAAAGATGTCTGTGTGTTGACTCAACAGGAAACGTGTACCAGTTAGCGCAGAGTCCTGCTAGCTTTTACCATAGCCCACTGGCACCAGAAGCTCGCTCCTCTCAGGCTATTCTTCAGGGCAGGTCTGTCCTGACTCGAGTACACACTCCTCGATTATCCATGAAACATAGCTATTTGATCATCGATGTCGACTTCTAGTTAGCATCTGAGTCTCCGAGTCACTAGCAAAACGTGCATAAATTGCAGTTTGCATCTCCTGGGCCCTTTCATTCATCTCTGGGAATTTGTCAATGTATCATTGTACATTTCTGACGGCGACTCGATGCAGCTAGCGATGACTGTTCCATCGCACCAACCTTCTACACTGTTCTCGTGTACTCTCAAGACATTCAATCATGAGATTATATTGTACACCGCTCGTCACATCAATTCAAAACGTCAATTGCGGGATGAGTGTTGAATTTAGCGTGGTGCGTTAAGTTTTCATCAGTCGTCCTAGGTCAACCCTAGGCACTTACTGCGCTCCTAGACTCAAGTCCCCAGAGGAAGGAAGTGAGGCAGAGACGCTGATGATGATTATTTCTGAACAATGCGAGCATCAGTATGCCATCAACTACAAAAATGAGCATCGGGCTTCCTGTGGTGTGTCCGACTTTGTTTTCTTTCAGTGCTCTATTTTCGTAAATCTCTCATCCAGGTGCGCCCACCGAAAAGGGATATTCACCATCTCCACCACCGAACAGCATCACCTGTGCATTATGTGTTGATTGTCGGTAGGAGTTCTGAGATGTCGGACCTCGGTGTTATCTCTGGCGTCGTTATAGTAGCTGGTTCATGCGAAATATAGACAACATTCCAATCCACATTTCCACTGGGCTACCCTACGAAAGCGTGATTCAACGAAAGGCATCAACTGCATGATGGATTCAGTGTGGCACGTTTTAGATCAGTTTTCATTAGCAGCTGTATGACACGGCGAGTTATTAAATTATTCTTTAAATCTCTAACTTTCTGATGGTGTGACGACAGAATATTCTTCCCTTCAACCATTTTGCGTCTGAGCCTTGTTCTCTCTCTGTCCTATCTCAACGCTCTTTTGATCTAAGGTTGATGTTATCTCTTCATCTTACATCAATGACAGAATCTCAGCCAGGACGTCCCTGATGAAACCTTTTACCTCACCGCCACGCTGACTCCACGATGCAAATCAACCATTATGCACTCACCATTTCTGGCACCTTGATGATACGATGGCCCAATTTCCGAGAATGTGATGCTTCCTGTGAATCTCCCCTATTTGTGATGGCTGACTTCTCTGGCCTGGCATCATGCCGATGGCAATGCAGCGAGGCAAAGGGAGAAAAGACAACAGCCTTTTTGATGGTCACACCATGATCAGTATGTAACAAACACATGAAGCAGTACTTGCTTGCATTAATGGGCTGATGGCAAGTGTAGCAAAAACATCGAGAATAGCGTTGGAAAAGAGGCGACAGTTCCTGATGTTGACCAATATTTTTGAGTGTTCGAGTTTTTCTATCGCGCGAATGTATCGTGAGGACCAACATCTATTATGAGCCACTGGATTGATTTACGTTTTTTTCATGCCGGGATATCTATATCGGTCAATCAACACAAGAACGGTCATCATCCCTCGGTATCGTGGGTGATGGTATAACTAGCACGAATGCCATCATGATTGTCATACGTCCACCAAGCTTGCCTCTCACTCACTCACATTCTCTCCCAATATGACCATAGTCTCAAATGATCCCACTTGGTGGCCGACCATCAATGCATATCGTATTCAAAGCTATTTTATCGGTTCGTAGAGAGAGGTCGAATCTTGAAGCTGACCTAATCTAATCTTGGCTGCGGTTTTGCAGTTGCCGCTTTTGTTGGATTGGCGTATGATTGGGGTGAGCATCATAATGCTGACGGACTGCCGATATCTTACAAGTATTTTCAGCGCTTACTTTTGGACAAGAGGTATGTCAATGCTATGACCGGAGCAGCCATCTCGCTAAGAACGGTTTTATAGGTCGAATTAGTCTGGGTGAGTACAGTCTCATGTCAAGGGAACACACATGAAAGTACACTCGATTACAGAGGCAACGCTGGTCTCTAATGACGGTGCTGTATCTCCTCGTATGTAGCTTGCTCGTCGCGATTGTCATGTTGTGCTGACTTGAGAACATCACAGGTGCGCTACCTTGGAATGTTATATGCTGCGTATGTTCGGAAGGCTTAACAGTCGATGTCATGCTGATCGTCTATCTCTCATACTCAGCCTGAGTATGCTAAGTATGTCTTCTTAGTACATTCATTTCTTCCTCTGACCAATGACATACAGGCAGTGCTCCGTCCATCGCACTGCCAGATACAGTGAGTCTTCTGCATAGATTCTACTATCCCCCTCCAATTAACTGCGGTGCCCTGTAGCAGTGGGTGTATTTGTTTACTAACTTGCCGGTTCACTGATGACTGCCACGCTATTCCACTACTACAGTTGTGAGTCTGTTTGGAGTGTGTGCTACCAGAGGCTGGTCACTGACTGCATTCATCAGGCTGGATTATGTACGCCACACACAATTGGATGGGTGTTGTGGTATTTGCGATGCTGTGGGGTGAGTTCGGTATTTGCGAGATCTCAGTGATACTGACTTGACTGAAACATGCTGCAAGTCATCATCATCACTCGGTTGCATGCCATGTATCAAGGATCCAGAAAGATCCTTATATTTCTCATTGTCACCTTCCTGGCTGTCAACATTTTCGACGGAGTGGTCGCCGTAATTGTAATGATGCATACTTCAGGGGGTACGCTTGATTGTGGATAAAAACGTGCATGGGGCTCATTGATGGATACCAGAGGAATTTATTCTCTCCGGCACTTATCTGTGCCAGATTAACTATACGGAAGATATCATACTTCTGGATTCTATTACTTGGATAATCAGCACCATGTGGGAGATCCTCGCACTATGTCTCGCGGTTTGGATTGCTGTGAAACACTTCCGTGAACTGCGCCATCATTCGGCAGGAGGGATTATCAGGGATTGTTTCTCGGTGTTGATCAAAACTCATGTGGTTTACTTTGCGAGGTAGGCTCATTGTGATCATGGTTCCCTTTTTTGCTGAAGGGTCGGACGTGCTAGCGTTGTTGCTGCTTCTTGCTTATACGTCATTGTTGATTTATCTCCAACAATCTTAGCGGTATGTCAATCTTTCACTTACCTCTGCATGCGACCATGATTCATCATTCTACAGGACCAATACTATTCCCTAGAATCTCAGACTTTTTTCGGCTTGGCTCAGATTTTGACAAGCGTTCAGATGTCTGTGCTGGGACCACGCCTGATCCTTGGTGTTCGCGAATACCACGCTAAGCTCGTGGCCGACTCCGACGCAGCATCTGGTATGACCTCGATCGCTTTCCAGGAGCGTGTGCATGTATCGACTAGCAGTAGTGTATGACACACAAGATGTTGTAATGGATGTCTGGTGCTCTGCGGGAAGCAAGAAGTTTCGTTTTTTGTCTCCATTCCAAGCCTCAGTATCTACATACACAGTCAATTATTTGGTGTTCCGAAGTAGATTTCGACATATCAGATGTCAGTGGGTCCGGGCAATATTTTTGTCGTAGTATTTATTCCAATCATTTGCAATAGGTCCTGGCATTAACCATGTTACAACCAATATCCTGTATATCCCTAGTACACTGTTCCTGCGAAGGAAAACAGTGTACTGAACGGCAACGTTGAGGAACAAGGCATGCTCTTGAGTGCTGTTAGTATGCAAACCGATCTGCATCTATTACGGATGAATTACACTAGTCTTAGTATGTTTCGGGCTCCTTCTGATCTATCAAGGTCCCAGGCTGCAGACAAAGTGCTCCACCTGCTCCAGCCAACTACATCGTCTTCATAAGAACCGCCTGTCCAAGCAGATTCCTTTCTCTAATCGTAGTAGTGGTGTATTTTCAGTAGACGATGCTTCTCTTGGCTTTTGACGTGGTACTCTTCTCCTCGCGTGTCGTAGTCAAAGCCTCGCCTTCAAGACGCTTGAAGACAGCAACCTGGGTCGCACCCTAGCTCTTCATCCCGGCGCCGCTTATATTTCTCCTGTGCACGACCAATAGCCATCGTATCCACATTCCTGCGCAATGCACCACTCCTGACACTCCTCGACCGTCCATTCAAATTTGCGGTCGATGTGCCTGAACACCCTGTCTGTACAATTCGTAGGATTAGGGAAGCCAGTGGCGGTGTTCGTTGAGCCAGGACGGCTCGCGTTGATGGGATTGTCACGAGGAGCAAGCGAGGGTGGTACACGCTCAAGATCATGGGCGCAAAATCAGTGAGAATTACTTCTGGGAGGAGTTCAACGCTTGAGATGAAAGTATTAAAAAATACCGATGATAACACAGATTAGATACACACCTCTGTTGCAACAATACATTCCGAGTCTGCATTAAAAAAGCTGAGTTGAAGATCTCGAGCCAGCCATTCACTTCGAGTGGTTCCCATTGAGCGTATGACGCGTTTGCGGCAGCCGGGGGGTGTCTTTGGTTGCGGATACAAGTACCTATAGAGCCTGGTTATGCGCATTGGGTGGAGGTCGAAATCATCCGGATCGAGTGCGATTGAAGTCGCGTCGTTAGGAGATGTCACTGAATACGCCAGGGTCGGAAGGGGTAAGGAAAAGTGCAAGTTAGCAGAGAACTTGAGCTGACCCTTCCTGCTTCCGAGTCCATGTCTACGATGTGGGTATTAGGAGATGATACTCAGGCTGATGATTTGAGGCTGACGAATGACTGACCTCGGTGACCAGGCTGCTCGATGAAGGACGTCTAGCACTCATATTCTTCTTTGGAGATAGAGCCTGAGTGAGTGGAAAAGATCACTCTAAGCTCTGCTACCCGCTCATGGTTTGAAAACACAATTCGCATGAGAAGTCCTAGTCATTAATCAAACTCAAAACAAACGTACAAAGCCCTTGTATAGTTACCATCATGATCCCAGGGATTCACGCGGATTCAAGCTGGATGCTGAAGCCACTGAAATCCCAGTTTTTTGAAACAACGATTTCTTATGATGTCTGTGTTGGACTCAACAGGAAACGTGATCATGGTAATATGCTATGACATATGTAGCTCCCGAAAAAGCTCGCGATCACAAAAACTGATTTATTATGTTACTTCAAGCTACCATCAAAGATACCTAAGATACCTCAAGACGGCTCTATTCGAGGCCTGCAATGTCGATTCACATCCCACTCCCTATCCCAACTCACCTAGATGAGGCTTCGCCACCATCAGAACTTTCGGAGAAGGAGCAAACTTTATACGACATTGTCCTCGAACACTTCTCTGCCGCAGATTATACGCTTCCAAATATCAACCAGGAGAAGGCTGCGCTAATAGTGGATGAAAAATTTTGGCTAGTCAGTGTACCTTCTCGTCACTCTTCAATTCCGCGCCATTGATTAACTTGACCAATAGTCATATGAATGTCTGCTGAGATACCTACGTGCCACAAAGTGGGATGCGAATGAGGCCATCAAGCGCTTGGAAGACACGCTAAGATGGAGACGTGATTTCGGGATCTACGATATGATTACGCCTCAACATGTCGAACCAGAGGTATGAGAACACGAATTCTTTCAAGTTCACTCCTTCAATACCATAATGAAGGCAACGACTGGCAAAGAGTTCATCTTTGGCTATGACACTCGGGGACGACCTGCCGTTTATATGTGCCCTTCAAAGCAGAATACTGAGGAGTCACCACGTCAAATTCATTATACTGTCTGGATGCTCGAACGCGCTATCGACCTTATGGGTCCAGGTGTCGAGTAAGTGCCCTTCTACCCATCGCACGTTTGTAATTTATTTCGGCACTATCTAGGACCCTTGCATTGATGATAGACTATGCGGATAAAGCCAAAAACCCTTCAATCGGCACGGCTCGCACAGTGCTCAACATTCTCCAGTCACACTATCCAGAACGTCTCGGTCTTGCGCTCATTGCGCATCTTCCTTGGCTTTTACACGCATTCTATAAACTAATAACGCCCTTCATTGATCCCCTCACTCGGCTGAAGATGGTCTTCAACCCCGTCATCACCGAAAATGGTCTTTTTCGAACGGCTGTGGATGCTGAAGCCTGGAGCGCTAATAGTGCATCACGGGTATTTGAGCCAAAACAGCTTGTTCAGGAGGGTTGGAATGGCTCCCAGCCATTTGTCTATTCTCATGCTGTTTACTGGGAAGCATTAGTGAAGCTGTGCGAGGAGAGGCGGTCTAAAATGGTCGCGGCGTGGCATCGCATTGGAGGGAAGGTCGGCACTAAGGAGTGGGATGTTAAAGTTGCCGTTAGGGACGAGACGATGAACGTCCAGGTAGATGCGGAAAATGGGCTGGTGAAGAATGGCCAGTTGCAGCCCTGACTCGGAGGGAACAGTAAACATTTTATTGCCTGTTCGCTGTTCTTCCCTGACACGCTAATCTCAACTAAGTCTATGAATTTCGATGGAGACCTAAATGCTTACGAGCACAATGGCTAAACGTACTTGTACATGTCCATAACACCCCAAGACTCCATAAAGGATGGTCAATATTTCAATCCCGACTGTAAGACTAGAGTGCAATTTACATAATCGTCTCAAGTTCCAAATTTAGTTTGAAACCTAGGACTCCATGACTTACTTCAAGTTGAATCGAGTCCACCATGTGTATTTGTTTCAGCCTCTTCAATCTTCTTTATCAGGTCTAGGAAGAGGAAGACTAGGAAAACTTCGCCGATCTGCCCACCAAGTCACTAGTACTCTTTGTGCTTCAAGTTAGACCGCTTATTCGTTTAAGACTCCCGAAAAAGCACTCTCGGAGATTACAATGACTAACGTATATATAATGTGAAACTAGGACTCTGTCCAGCGCCTGCGATGTCGATTCACGTCCCACTCCCAGTCCCGACTCCCTCGCACGAGATTGCACCACCTTCAGCTCTTTCCGAGAAGCAGCAGACTGCATATGACCATGTCCTCGAACACTTCACTGCCGTAGACTATGCACTTCCAAATGTCAACCAGGAGAAGGCTGCACTGACGGTGGATGAAAATTTTTGGCTGGTCGGTGCACCTTATCGCAATCTTCGATTTTGTGCATTTGGTTGATCTGCGTTACCCTGTCCTATGGTGACTAACAGTCATATGAATGTCTTTTGAGATATCTCCGTGCTACCAACTGGAACGCAGATTTGGCCATCAAGCGCTTAGAAGATACGCTCAGGTGGAGACGTGAATTTGGGATATACGATAAAATCACCTCCGAATATATTGAACCAGAGGTATGACGGAGCGAATTCTCCGAGTTCACGATTAATACGAACGATTTGAAGGCAACTACCGGCAAAGCATTTCTTTTTGGCTATGATACTCACGGGCGACCTGCCATCTATGTGAGCCCCTCAAAAGTGGGTGCTGAAGAGTCACCCCGCACACTCCAGTTCATTGTCTGGATAGCCGAACGCTCTTTTGACCTTATGGGTCCAGGTGTCGAGTAAGCGCCCTTCGACGCATTGCATTTCTTTTACTTATTTCAGCACGATCTAGGAGCCTTGCGTTGTTGGCGGATTTTGCAGACAACGCCAAGTACCCGTCAATTGGCTTGTCCCGTACAGTATTGGACATCATCCAAACACACTATCCAGAACGCCTCGGCCTTGCGCTCGTTACACATCTTTCCTGGCTTGTAAACGCATTTATTGCACTACTCATGCCGTTCATGGATCCCCATACTCGGCAGAAGTTGGTCTTCAACCCTGTCATCAACGAGAATGGTCTATTTAGGACGACTGCAGATGCGGAAGTTTGGGATGCCGATAGCACGTCACGAGTATTTGAGCCAGCTCAGCTTATCCAGGAAGGTTGGAATGGCTCACAACAGTTTGCGTATTCCCATTGCGTATATTGGGAAGCGCTTTTAAAGCTGTGCGAGGAGAGGCGCTCTAGGATGTTCGTGGTATGGCATCGCATGGGCGGGAAAATTGGTATCAAGGAATGGGATATTAAGGTTGCTGTTAGAGACGAGATGAGCGACGGGCATGTAGATGTGGATGGGACGTTGACGGAGAATGGCCAGCTTCAGTCGTGAGGAAGCTGCAGCCAAGCATTCATTGCTAATTTGCTTTTCTTTCTCAGCGTACAATGTAATGGTACTCACATCTTGAGCTGTTTTGTAGACTTACTGGTAAAACCAGGTTTGTTGTGTTTTAGGATCTGTCGGAGAACGCTCGTAATGAAATCGAAGCTTGAAGACCAACTGGAATTTACAGGATGTTCAGGTCAGTACCGTGATAAGAGCTTTTTCTCTTGTCGATTTCCGTTTATTGAGAGACGTGCACTCTGTAGGACAGCATTACTAGTTGATCTAACAAGTGTCCCGACGTTTCGCGGCTCTGGAGCCCACTCTGGTGTGAGGCGTACCCTCATCAGTCCGTCGTTCCCGCTGGCCGTTCTAGACGTGCGCTCCTGTAAGATGAGATGACTTTATTGTTCACTCGACCTTAGCAGGCGGAGTTGAAACGTCGACCATTACTTGAATTGAACCATGATTATCTACAGTATTGGGATCTTGAAAAAATGAGATCATATTTGCTAGTCCTTCACTAAAAGTACATGTCTAGATGATCATAACATATCATGAGACGCTCGAAAAGAACAGAGACAATATCAAAGTAGGAGCATGATGATGCCTTGTACTTCATTATGATTGAAGACAAGCCCAAGAAACTCGAACGAAATAGAATCATGCGCAAACGTACGCGCTACAGGTATACCCATTTTCGAAGACTAGAGTGTAGGGACACAGTCATGATGCAGACTCAGATCACAAGGCACGAATTTCTCGATGCTCTGAATACTGCGGCGGGGGTTCAACTGAACCATTGTTGTCTGGCGCAACATCATCAGCGCCAGTATGCACGGTGATTCGAGTAGGTTGGTAGGCGGCTTGCGCGCCAGCCGACACCGTAGATTGACTTTCAGATGCTCCGTGCACAGCTAAGCTGTCTGCGTCGAAGCTCTGGGGAGGATTTTGTGTCTGATTGAAAAATATGGGAGGGTTCTTGTCGGTAGAAGTAGAGACTGATTGGGATTCGGGTTGAATGGATGGAGTAAGGTAGACAGGGACTATCTTCCGTGGTAATGGTGGCGCTGATCGAGCCCCAACAGCCATCTGCTCGGCGGGTGTCATCATATCTGACATTCGAGTGTTTCCATATGCAACAAAGTCTGCGTTAGTGCTCTGGTGGGAAGGCTGTGTCTGATTGAAGGGCGCATGATGGACCCTAGCTGCCAAGCTGGTAACAGACGCATCAATAGGGCTTGGCTGAGATCCAGATTGAATGGATGGACCAATATAGCTAATAGGATTTGTCTCTTGTGGTGATGGTATTTCAGCGACGGTGGTCATTCGTCTGTCAACAGATGACATGGCCAAATTTCGAGCATCTCCATACATAACAAAGTCTCCGTTTGAGCCTTGGCGTGAATGTAGTGTCTGATTAAACGGTGTGCGAGGGTCGTTTGCTGTGAAATTTCCAGCAGATGAGGGTGATTGGCGGTTGTAAGCGGATGACACGATCGAACTTCGAGCATCGCCATAGACATGAGAGTCTGTGTTAGAGCTCTGGCGTGAATGTTGTGTCTGGTTGAATGACGAGGGAAGAGCGCTGACTGCGAAGTTGCCGGCGGATGAATTGGTCATGTCTGACTGGGTTCTTAGGCTGGGTTGAATGGGTCTGGTATAGTAGCGTTGGGGGTTTGTCTCGTATTCATATGGGAAAGGGAATTGTGGCGGAATGTCACTGTGAGGGCCGACTTTGTAATTTGGATCTCCTGTAGAAGACTGAACGTCTGGAGAACGAGATACTCTCCGTTTACGCCACAAGTACATGCCGAGGATAACCAATGCAATAAGAACCGCCGCCCCCGCCGCCCGTCGTGCCTGCGATAAGAGCCACATCATTGCTTGACGTACTACCTGTCGGAGTCGATGAACTGCTTGAACTAGATGATTGTGAAGTCGTGGCTGTGGTCGTGGCAGACATGCCTGCAGTAGTTGACGGCGAGTTGGCGCTTAGGCACGAGAAATTACCCGTGCCCACAACCTGTTCGAATCCAGAGACCCCACCTTGTCTGCCCAAGGAGTCGAAGACCAGATACATGAGGTTTGTCCCTGCAGCAACATTTACAACTGAGGTAAAACTTTCGCCGCTATTGGAATTGAATACAACTGATTGTCCGCCAGGAATAAGTTGCTGTGGAAAGATAAGTAGATTATTTTGATAGAATTCACAATGATCTTACCACAATAGTAATAGGCAGGACTGCACTACTTTCGGCCAGAACGGTAAATTGACTAGAGTAATAGGTAGGTCAGTGCCACAAAAGTAGGCGAACCAAACTTACCTGCATTGTATAGGCGGAAGTGGAGACAACTCGAAGGTGTAAGGAGGTGACAGAATTGGAGTGCTGCAAACATTATTTCCAACTGAATTCCCAACAGTCAATATGTTTGTCGTCCCTCCCGAACCAAATCCAGTGGCGTCAGACATAGTGAGTAGAAACGTAGTTCCTGTCGACAATGACAATTGCGGTATTGAATAAGAGCCTTGGCCATTGCTAAAGGCTGATGCTGGTACAGATACATTCTGATACGGTTGCAAAGACTGAACAGCAGGAGAATTAGTGCGGGATTGACGCGCTTGAGACGATACCACGACGAACGGGTGCTATGAGTATTTCAAATGGTGCTTGCCCACCTGACGAGACCGAGAAAGTTCAGTGAAAGCGTGTCAAGTGTACTAGATATGGGCTTACCAGTCCATGAAATGTTCAGAGGACCGCATTGGGTGGGAGTCCCGACAGTCACACTGAAAGCACGAGCGACAGAGAGACAAGAAAAAATACACACAAAGAAGCGAACGAAGTACATGGTCAGAAAATAAGGGAGACAAGAGGAAGATGTTAAGAAGGGACGCAGGAGGTAAGGGCCCGAGGAAATTGTGTGCTAGATAACGCTGACCTGGGGAGCATACTAATTGATCACTATATAACGTTAGACAAAGACACGAACCTGCCATAAAGCTGTTCGTAATCCTTGATACTACACCGCATTCTGGTTCCTCGAATCTGACATTCTACATTGCGATGTCGTGCCTACGCTGGAAAGCCAAGAATGACTCTGAGTGAATGCACGAAGAATGTGACATTGGTTTGTAGATCACCTATAGCTATGCCGCAAACGCTGGCCCCAGTAGTATATTGAGGTGGGCTCGACGTGAGGGAGAAATGCGTCCGAGAGAATGCAGGGCCGACTTTCAAACGTGCTGTGACGGGGGTTGCCTGCCAAGGTACATGAACCTTGCAATTTGAATCGGCGAAAAGCACAAGGAGCTAAAATCACGTTTATTGAATATAAGGTTAGTCCAATTTCAATTTCAGCTTATCCTGGTCTCGTCCCAATTCAACTTCCACATTCATCCCATCTCCATACCGAAGAATTACCATATAATTCAAGCTTCTGATCCAGCAGGGGACTCAAACTTGGTCCAGCGCCTGATCTGCAAGCCGTAAGTAGCCTAACAACAATGTTACAGGCGTGGGTCCTATCCCAATAGAGAGAGTGTGTTACAACCCAAGCATGATGCCAACACCGGCTACCTTCAACAAGTCGATAGAAGCGGAACACTGCTTTTCTAGAGTAAGGTTGATCACCGTCACTGATCATCCCCGCTGTGAGGCAATGCATTACCTAGGGATCACTGCTGAGCAAAATGCAAGTACTAGTGCTGTGGCACCTAGCTAGAGCATCTAGAGACTCCCTCGTCTGGAATTTGTCTCGGACTCCGAGATAACCTCGCTTTCTTGGCCCTGCCGATGGGCCGATGATGACACTATCTTGGTGTGCTACATCACTGCCAAGCTCTCTGCTCAGTGCTCACATGCCTTTCAAATAGCGCTAGGCTCCTGGAGGCAGATTTTATTGATAATGTTATTTGCATAGGCAATATACGATTGCCTTGTCCAGGACAATCAAAAGTCGAGCATATAGATAAACCAAGGGACCCCTCGAAAAGGGATGCCGAAGAGTGCTAACGTAAACCGAATCTATACACACATCTTGGGCTACTTGCTGGTAAATTCAAAATTGTTTAGGATCTGTCGGAGAAAAATCATAGCAAAGTAAAGCAAATGAAATTACAGGATGTCAATACTTATTCATCATGTCAAGAATTTCCTACTGATTTCACTCTCATCTGCGCTATGACACAATGTAAGGTCAGTGATATATGCGAGTGCTTGTGCAAAGCGAAGACGTACAGTCATGGGCGTTTCAATGTCTTTCCTCCTTCGTGAGTTCAGATCTGAACCAATATAGAATATCAATATCGATGAACAACCAAGCAAGACCTGATAAACATACATTGACGGTTACGACTGAGTGTCGTTACTGTCTCCATGTCTAATGCAGTACGTGGACTGAATAAGATTTGCTGTGATAAATATCGATGGCTGATTTCGATAACCGAACAAAAGAATGACCGTCTATGATGGCCCCTTGGATCTGGCCATGACGATAAGCGATCCACGACCTCGTTTTCAGAGGGACCATTGAACAGAAAGAGGTAGTCCTCGAAGAGGCCGAACAGATACTTCTCCCGTATTTATAGTGACCTTGACAACGAGTCGGTCCCGATCTTGCGGATACTCGCATCGAGCAGCGGCTACCTGGCTCTGAATATCCCCCCACATGCACGAGATCAGGTGGTCTTCTAGGCCAGATAGCAGACAGAGACTACGTTTCACGTAGTGCGGTGTCGATGAACCTGGACAGATTGTCAATGAAAATGATGTGAGCCGAACAATAGAAAAGACTTACCAACAGCTGCCTTCAAAAATTGACAGCTCCGCCTGTGATGGCTATACCAGGCATCACGCTGGCATCGCTTTGAGCAGTACCGCACTATCTGACATTCCGAGCATTGCTTAAGCTGAGTATCTTCTGTGGTATCACCACAATAACACTGTTCTTCAGGTAAGTTGGCCTGCAGGAACGAAACAAACAAAGTCTGTCAACTGACTCGTAGAATCCAGCCCTTTTCATCAGGTGATGGCCGCCTCATCATTTCCTCCTTGGACTTGAGACTAGCATATAATCGTATCCTCTTCTCGACTACAGACCAGCGCTTTATGATGGTTTCGTCTTGTATCACATCTGATCCGAGAGCACTAGACCAGGCGTCCACATGTTTGCACGCATAGGTCAAGATTTGTCGTAGACGAGGTAACCGTGTAAGATCACAAAAAAACTTTTCTTGTTCTCATTTAAATCCACCTCCACAGCGTGTCCTTGGATACCCATGGCTATTTCGAAGGCATATGAGCGGAGAGCTTGATATAACACTGGGATAGGGTCATCCGCAAGGAGAAGGAGAACAGTGAGGTACTCGAAGCTCCAGACAAGTGTGATTTTCCAAATGGGGATCCATGCTCTCTGTTGAAGAAAGAAGAAGCTGAATAACGCGGCAAATCGAGAATATCTTTCTAACGGATAGTCGTAGGATGAATTTTTCCCGCACTGCGGCGCTATGCTTGCTTAGTTCGATGATAATAACAACACAGTTCGAAAATGTGTGTACAAGCACCCCAAGAGACGTTTGAAGGTTTGTGACTTTATTGGGGTCCTGGGCCATTGATCCTATGTACATGACATATTCCAGAGCTGTAGAAACGACTGTGCCAATGTCGCCTGACACTTCGAGTATGATTGTCATGAAAGCTTTGTCGTTCATGCACTCTGTAAGCATCATTGGGACGATCATTTCGAGAGAAGCGAGGTGAGGGCCATAGGGAGATTGATAGTACGGATGGTGGGGAATGATGAGCACATCGTCGTCTTTTATTTCGAGGGCAAATAACCACAACTCTACCAGCGGGTGGTAAAGGAAGGGCGTGGTGGTAATCAATGCTTTGTCCCCGCCGCCCGCGGTAATACTATACTGTAACATACAGCTAAACAGGTCGACGGCAAGCCTTCTGCTGATCGGCCTATGGTGGGCTCTGCGCATGATAAACTGTTTATGAAAGAAGACGAGCCAGAGAGCAACATGGTTCCAGGCAGAATTCAGACATTCTTCTGCCCCAGTACTATTGCCAAGAGACTTGTTAAATGTTTAATGATTCCGGAAAGTGACCACCGGGCGAGCTCGATATTTGTAGTAGCGGAAGGAGTCGACTTTTCAGGAATGTGATCTGGGTCGAGGTGCATGTAGAGCACTGGCTGCAGGATACACAACTCGGGTACGGAGCAACTTGTAAGTCGACCACAGAGCTGCTCAAAGTCTGCTACGGAACGATTCGACACTCCCCGGACCAGCCTCTGTATATCAGTAAGCCGTGATAACAAACTAGTAAGGATAGATCGCAAAACGCTTGCCTGTATATCCTGGGGCAGCTGTGACAGCAGAATCTCTGAGATCATTCTCAGAAAAATAGGCGGTGATAGGCGGGGACTGGGTCTGTCGCAGGTATACCAGATCGAAGGACTTGAGATGTAGTGCGGCGATTGGCTCTCAACTCTCGAGGCCTCATGTTCATACCCTTGATATCACCTTCACGAGGTCGAGATTGAAAGCAACATTGTGTAAACAAGTATAAACAGCATCTCGGATACTATATCACTTCACCTGAAGTAATATACTTATCGATAGCTCCAATTGAATTGTACTACAGTGCGGAGAGGTAAACAGAGAGACTGCGGAACGTTTGTACTGCTACTAGCTAGTAAAGATAGAAATCAGAAGTGCTACGACTGCGTCATCCTTGTCGGGGCAGCTGGCAAAACAAAGAACAAGCGCAAACAATGATTCAATGAACAGGAATTCACACATCCTGAAGTTTACCGCCGAGCGTTTGCGGCACTACCTCCATATCTAATGCAATACACGGACTAAACAAAAATTGTCGTGACGAATATCGATCGTGTATCGTGATAACCGAACACAAGAATAATCCTCGAAGTTGGCCCCTTGGATCGTTCCAGGATGATAAACGGTCCACAACCTCGTTTTCAGAGAGCCCATTGAATAGGAAAAGGTAGTTTCGAAGAGGTCGAACTGATTCTTCATCCTTGTCAAGAGCGAGCTCGACCACGAGTCGTTCCTGATCTTCCGGATATTCACAACGTGCAGCGGCGACCAATCTCAGAATATTGTCCCATTTGCGTTGCTTATGGCCAACTTCTAGAGCGGCCAGCAGACGCAGACTACGTTTCACGTGGTGTGGTGTCGATGAGCCTGGGCACATTGTCAGTGGAACTAATGCGCATATCTTAACACCGAAAAGACCTGCCGACAGCTGCCTTGAGAAATTCACAGCTCAATCTATGGTGACTATACCAGGAGTCACGCTGGCATTGCTTTGAGCAGTACCGTACAACCTGACATCCCGCACATTGCTTGAAACAAATGTCTTCCGCAGTATCACCGCAGTAACACTGGTAGTACCACGTCGACGAATCAACAAGAACGAAGTTGAAGCAATGAAATCTGTGACTGACTTGTAGAACCCAGCCCTTTTCACTTGGTGATGGCCACACTATCATTTCTGCTCTGGATCTAAGCACCCCATATGATCGGATCGTCTGCTCTGCTTTGGACCAGACATCCCAGAGGCGTTTGTCTTGTCTCACGATTGGTCCGAGATCATCAGACCAAGCGTCCACGTGTTTAGAGACGTAGGAAAGGATTTTGTCGTGAAGGATGTAACTGATTAAGATGCTAAAAAAAGCCTCACTGGTCTTACGATAATCTATCTCCACTTCTTCTACATCCAGGTGTTCAGAAGGACTTATATGTACCATGGTCTCGATGGCGTGCGCGCAAAGGGCTTGATGGAGTGCTGAGACAGGGTCGTCGGCATTTTCAAGAAGAAATTCGAGGTACGGAAAAGTTGAGCAGAGGGCCGACGCCATACTTCCTTTGCCCGGGGGAAGAGACTGCAGAGCATGGAGAGCAGAGAAAATCTCCTTGACGGACTGCCGGAGGATATATGCTTCCCGCATCGCGTCATTGTACATGCTCGTTGTTAAGATAATTGCAACACAGCACGAAAACGTGGATGCAAGCAGCCTGAGCTTGAAAGTATTGGAGGTCATATCAGGGTCCTTAGCCATCGACCGTATGCTCTTGATATACTTCAGAGCTGCAGAGGTGACGGTATCGATGCCATCTGACACTTCGACTAGTGTGGTCAGAAAGGTTTCGTCGCAGATACATTCTGCCATCAAAAAGGAGCCGAAAATACGAAAAGACGTGGTGCGAGCGCCGGCCTGCGATGTCAAGCACACTACATCTTTGTCTTTGGTTTCTAGGGCTAACAACCACAACTCCACGATCGGGCGATAAAGGGCTGGAGTGCAGAGCACTGAGAATCCGTTACAATCGCCACCAATGGCAGAAACGTGGAATAGTAGGCTAGTAACAAGCCTGATGGCAGCCATCTTGTCGACGGGTCGATAGTTGGCTCTGCACATAATGAATTGGTCATGAAAGAAGGCAAGCCAGGGAGCGACATGGTTCCAGGCGGAAACAAGGCATTGCTTTTCCGAACCTTCCGAGTCTGGGTCAAGACCAGAACCATCGATGTGCAAAGTCGCGACAATCGCGAAGAGTGACTGGTAAGCGAGTTCGATATCGGTGGTAGTGGCTGGGGTTGACTTTGCAGGAATGCGGCCCGGGTTGAGATACTTGTAGAACACTGGCTGCAGTATACGTAGCTCAGATGCGGAGCAATCTGGAAGTCGATTGCACAACTTCTCAAAGTCTGCAACCGAACGATTCAACACTCTCCGGACCAGCCTCTGAGTGATATATCGGTTACGGCGACAACAAACTAAGGATCGATCGCACAACACACCTGCACATCATGAGGCAGCTGTGACAATGGTGTTACTGAGATCCGAGTCATTCTCGATAAAATTCCAGAGGGTGATTTATGATTCACTTCGAGTCATGCCGCAAGTGGGTCCGCTGAGTCAGATATAGGCTAGATATAGAAGGATTGATCTTAGTTTGATCGTTCCTCTTCATGACATCAGGAAAACTACCAGTTGCTTTTTTTACTTTATTTGTCACTTAATTACACGAAAAGGGACGCATAAGTCGATGGAGTGAAAAAGCGCGAGCCACTTAATTAAGCCCACTCGTCCTCTGGATTTTTACTTAATTCACTTAAATAAGCAGAAAAAGCGGTTTAAGCATTTGATAGCAGGATAACGAGGATACATAGAAAGCGTGATAAGCATGAAATTAAGGAGACTCTCAGTAACATAAGGAACTGGGGGAATGGGGGAAAAGGTGGGCATGCAGGCAAAAAAGCAGTCAGCGGCAGAAAACATGATAGCAGAGCTGGCGGAAAACATGATATACGGCAGAAAACAACCACAGGACAGCGAAATTCATGCACTGGCAGGTGCTGCAACAAAAACAAAATCCTGCAACAATGGATGTCAGTGAGAGGGCGCCTGAATGATAAATACTTACAAATCATAGCACGCTTGTCATCCTCCGACTCGTCATCGTCGATCAGCGAGCCCAACGGTGTTTCAGTGACATCATTCAAGGTGGTACGCGCCATCTGTACTGTAGTTTCGAGGTACCCAGCAGGCTTGCCTAACAGAGATTTGATGTACGAATTAGTTGGTTTAAGCCAGAGAGCTGCCGAAAATAAAAACGGAATGTTGGTCTTTTTCCCAGTAACTTTGTTGAGGACCTTCGGTAGCCTGATGCTAACCCGACCTCTTGATGCGGATGACAGAACATTTTGAACTTCGAGTACTTCATTTGCGATCATGGAGACAGCGCGCTCAATCTGAAAAAAATGAGCATGATTAAGCCATTATAGGTTGAACTCACCGCTGCAGCAGAAAGAGCAAGAGGCCGTAACATCCCACTTGTTGCAAGTGCGCACATGTCGAATGAGGGAACCTGCACATAACCGGTGATGGCGTTGAGGTGTGCTGTGCCAAATAACTGCAGTACAAAGGGTGAGCGGTATGCAGTAAGTGGAGATGGATTGTCCGGGTCCTCGAACAAGAATGCCCATTCAACATTAAGAGATTTGGCCAGTTTGACAGGATTCACGTCGGAATTTCGTGATAAAAAGTCCATGATGATGACTAGCCCTGTGGAGCCAAAATTGCTGCGCCACTCTGAAATGCGCTGTGCAGTCTGTATAGATTTAGCTCAGGTCGCTAAACCTAGAATTAAACAGCTGACTTACGAGTGAATGTATAACTCCACCGTGAACAACCACTATGTCGAGATCGTTGTACACTGCGTTAAGAACAAGCTGCGCATGATGGAGAAGGACCTCGTCAGGAATACTCCAGATATCTTCATAGCTTCCGGCCCACAGCATTATGGTAGGGATAAAATTCTTCGCCCAGCGCTGATCCATTTGCATCGCTGGAGGTAGGTCAACTGTGCGATAGGCACTGCGTGCTTTGATGTTGTCTGGTGCAATATCTGCATTCTGCTGGCGTGTGGTAGCAGGAGCACCACGGGCATGTAGTGCGGAAGATTTGACCTTAGCCTTTTTATGAGCTGGCGGCTTGCTGTCGACTATAGCCTGAGATGCAGTAACGGATGTCTGTACATTGTCAGAAATGAGTGCGATTAGGGCCAGAATCCTTACTGAATATGTTGTGCGCAGAATTTTCTCCTTCTTTGCTGCGTTAGTTTTGACAGGGAGTGGTGCCTCCGAATCAGAACTCATGATTGCGTCTTCTACCAGTTCCGCATTGCCATCAATCTCCATGGACCAGGACACCAAAGATTCCTCATCGTCTATGGTGCTAGCTTTCCGCTTCAAGAACATATGATTGTCTTCCTGTGTGAATGGCGCCTTAGGCTCCTGTGAGTACTGCTCCTCCGGTAATACTTGTGTCGACAGAGCCATAAGCTCATCATCCGAGTCGTCTGATGCCTCTGGTGGAGCCTCAGGCTCATCGACATCATAGTCCTCTTCGTATAGCGTGACAACCTGTGAAAGAAGGAATTAGTAGATTCGGATGCTGGCAATGAATCACTGCCAATAGTACCTTAGATTTCCCCTTGTTTTTCTTGCTCCCCAAGAGAGCATCCTCACGCTCCAACGAATCGTCGATATCATCTGCAAACGCGCCAGTAAGAGTATCGTCTGCGACACCATCCGGAATTTGAGGCAAAGCTGCAGGAATCTTAGTCGGAAGCTCAGCGGCTGAAGTCGGTGTGGAGGAAGCATTGCCCTCTGAGAAAATTGATGACGGAGGTGCTCGAGTTGAAGTGCTATCAATGGATGGACATGACAGCGGCTCTGGATTTCCAGGTTTGACCCCTGAGATCCAGTTGGTCACTCGGCCACCTAATGCAAGTTTTGTGGATGTGTTGATACTGGAAGTAAGGTTTAGAAAAAAGAGTGTCGATTCAGTGAGGAGCAACATGGTAATGTGAGAGATAAAAGCCTTACGGTGATTTCCCATCAGCACGTGCATCATCACCTTCCACTTTTGACTCGGATGATTCAGTGAGCTTCTTTTGCATGTTACTGATGGCATCCCTTATCAACGTCTTTGCGACTTTCTTCGTCACCATCTTTTTCCCCCTTCCTGCAGCTTTATTTTCCACATCCCTGGCAATGTCAGTCTCTGACACTAGGTCCTCCAACATACCACTATCAGCAGGACTGTCACCACCACCGGTGTCTCCTACCACAGACTTTTTCTGAGTCACTTTTGGCTTTATCGCCTTGGCCCTAGGCTTGGGCCGAACGGGAGTCGCCTTTTTCATGATCAATTCCTTCTGGGCTTTCTCCATCTCAGCCTGCAGAGCAGCAATATGCTCAACCCCCTTTTGGTGCGCTGCTTCCTTTGCTTCTCTCGCTTCTTTGATGACAAGGTCATCTGCAGCCTTTTGAGCCGGGGATCGCCTCTTGATCTTGTGTCGAGCAACACCTTAGCAGGTCGGGCAGTTGCAGTCGATGGGCGGGTGCGCCGGGGAGCGTCTGTCATGGACATGACTGTGCAGATGGGGGAGACGGTGAGGGATAAGACTTTGCGGAAGAGGAAAAGAAAAGTAGGGTTTCAAGTTGAGAAAAAAAGTCGTAAGTCCCACCCCCAACAGCTGCCGACTGTGGTAATCGGGGTGTCACCTTTTGTTTAATAGTATCAAACTAGTACTAGTATGTGTGTTCGGCACTTCAAGTTCTCTGCCTTACTTTATTTTACAGTCAAGATGCCCATCGCTCGCAGGGACCATAGTTCTCTCCAGTTTCCCTGCGGTTACTTACACTGCGCACATCATTTCAAGTCTCAGGGAGGGCGCAAAAAACACTGGAACACCTCACACTCAATATTCGGACCAGCTCCTGCTACCACCAGCGTCTCGCACACCACTACAGTTGAAGAGCAGCCTGAAGTACTGGATGGCCACTTCTCAGCAGGTCATGACAACATCTCTGCAGGCGGTGACAATTTTCCTGCGGGTACATCTGACCCAAGTCAGGCACTTAATGAGCCTGACATTCCAGATAATTTGAACGCAGAATTTTTTGGGCCGGGTGATAGATTATACCGCAACTATCACCCAAAACTAAATGGTATGTTTCACAAAGTCCTTCCAGCTAGTTACAACTAACACGTATATCAATATAAGCTCGTCCTTGCGACGTGACAGGACGATTCCTTGCAGATGGAGCGCCCCCGACACCACCTCCAATCAAGTCACCCGATGACTGGGCTCCATATCGAAATCGTGTCGAGTTCGAGACTGCAGAATTTCTGTACACGCGCAACCAAATGTCTGCCGGAGACATCAATATCTTATTGGATCTTTGGGCTGCAACCCTCCTCAAATACAACGACAAACCTCCGTTTGCGGACCACCGTGATTTGTATAAAACTATTGACGCTACGCCAGTGGGTGATGTCAAATGGCAATCCCTCAAGGTCCAGTACACTGGGGAGAAGCCCGAAACCAATGTACTACCCTGGATGGACCAATCTCACGATGTCTGGTACCGAGACCCCCATGAGGTTATTCAGAACATGTTGGGGAATTCGGACTACGCTACAGAGATGGATTATCGGCCCTACCGTGAGTATTTGACTGATGGCGATGAACGCCAATGGCAGGACTTCATGTCTGGTGACTGGGCATGGAACCAAGCGGTACGTTGTCTTTCATTGTTTTCTGTCGCTACACATGCTGAAAATTTCAGTAGGAAACTATTTCTGAAGATCCGGATACACTCGGCTCAACGTTTGTGCCGGTTATACTCGGAAGCGACAAGACAACAGTCTCAGTGGCGACTGGTGCCAACGATTACTATCCCTTGTATGTATCAATCGGGAACGTTCGTAATAATGTCCGACGTGCACATCGTGATGCCGTTGCCATTATTGGCTTCCTCGCTATGCCAAAAAGTATGTTTCACACTACTACTATTGTTCTGCGCTAATCACAGTCAAGCAGCTACAGAGGAGCACGCAAAAGACTCAAAATTTCGGAAATTCCGTCGGCAACTGTTTCATTCGTCTGTCGCCAAGATTCTCGAGAACTTAAGGCCTGGTATGACCACACCAGAGGTTGTACGCTTCGGTGACGGCCACTATCGGCGTGTAATTTATGGCCTTGGACCATACATTGCAGATTACGAGGAGCAGGTTCTACTAGCGTGCATAGTGCGCAATTGGTGTCCGAGGTATGTTCCTAAATTATCTCCAACATCCCTCTACCTTAATGCTACTAGGTGTATGTCACATCCTGACAGTTTAGACACGAAGTCACTGTGTCGTCGACGTGACCATACAGAAGCGTTAGTTGAAGAGGCAACCTATGGTGCTTTGTGGATGGAGTATGGGATTGTTGGTGACCTTGTTGTAAGTCTCGCGCATCTTTTCTATCGGAGTTGAGACTCAATCCTTTCTAGCCGTTCACAAACGATTTTCCACGCGGCGATATTCACGAACTTATCGCGCCGGATATCCTGCATCAACTGATTAAGGGAACCTTCAAGGATCACCTAGTCAAGTGGGTTGGACAGTATCTGCAACATGTCCATGGTACGAAAGAAGCGGAGAGAATTCAAGCTGATATAGATCGAAGGTGCGTCACTTTGTCTCGAGTTGATGATTCGAAAGCTCACATCATCAAAGAATTGCTGCGGTTGCTTCATTTGCAGGTCTCCGATGATTTCCAGAAGGTCGGGGATTCAAACAATGGACGGGCGATGATTCAAAAGCCCTCATGAAGGTTAGTTCACTATCACATTAACTAGGATATTGCAACTCGGCTAACAATAATTCAGGTCTATTTACCTGCCATCGAAGGTCACGTCCCAACAGATGTGGTGCGCATGTTTCGCGCATTTCTCGAATTTTGCTATCTCGTACGGCGCAACATCATTACAGAATCTACTTTAGGTCAAATTCAGGAGGCTCTTGACCGATTCCATCATTACAGGGAGATATTTGAATCTACGGGTGTTGTCTTCACGTTCTCTCTCCCTCGGCAACACTCTTGTTCCCACTATGTCCTCCTTATCCAACTTTTTGGTGCGCCCAATGGCCTTTGCTCCTCGATCACCGAGACGAAACACATCAAAGCTGTCAAGGAGCCATGGAGGCGCTCGAGTCGCTACAAAGCCCTTGGTCAGATGCTGGTGACAAACCAGCGCCTCGATAAGCTCGCAGCAGCACGCATTGATTTCAAGAACCGCGGAATGTTAAACGGCACCTGTCTGTCTGCCACACTCAAGGCATTAAGTAAGTTTTATAACAAGTTACATCTTTATTGTTGGCTTAAATTTACACTAGAGCGTTTGCGCTTAAATAAGATGCCTGATGCCAGCCAACCCAACGAGAATAGCGCCACGGTGCCAGTACTCTTCAACGCTGATGTTACTATACAGGGTGATAACGAAGAGGGCGAAATTGACAATGGCCCAACACTGGTGCAGGCCCATGTCCAGTTGGCAAAGACCCCTCGTAAGCTATCTCATATTTTACAGTGAACACTCTTCTAATAGAATCGCAGAACGCAAACGCGCACACACTATACCCGAGCTATCCACGGAACTCTCTATCCCCAATCTCTACAATGTCCTCCGCCGCTTCCTATTCGAACAAGTGTACCCAGACGACCAGCACCCTCCCTCTGAAATCCCGCTTTCGAGATGTCCTCGATTTGATGGGAACATCCAAGTCTTTAATTCTGCATCTTCGACATTCTATGCGCCCAGCGACCGCAGTGGAATTGGCGGTATGCGCCGTGAGCATATTCGTGCCTGTCCTATTTGGAGAAACGAGGCGCCCCGGTATGACTGTGTGTTTGTTAACACAGATGCAAGTGTTGAAGGGATGGTGGGCATGGATATAGCGCGCGTAATGTGTTTTTTTTCTTTCACATTCAATGCAGTTTTCGTATCCATGTGCCGTTGTGCGCTGGTTTGACAAAGCCAGCGACGGACCCGACCAGGACACTGGGATGTGGATTGTGACACCTTCGTTTGATACTGACCATTCTTTTTCTGTTGGAATCATCCATATTGATTCTATTTACCATGCCGCACACCTCATTCCAGTCTATGGAGCACAAATCATTTCACGCGACATCAAGCACCATGACTCATATGATGCTTTTCGAGCATTCTATCTGAACAAGTTCGCAGACCATCATGCTTTTGAGGTCGCATCCTAGGTGTTTTGGTCTTCTCGCTCTTGTAAGTTCATTCTGTCCGCTACTCGCATATGTGGTCTAATTACTGTGTCATCAAGTTTGCAGAGGCTAAGCCATGGCGCGTCAGACAGGCTATCATAGAATATATCCCCCTTCTCAACTCTACTTCGACAACGACATGAAAACACGCGTCTCGTCACTCTTGTGCCGCCCCCTCCGAGTCAATATGACCACGGCTCTGCTGTTGCGAGTACAGGTGATGGGGTCATCATCTGCGTGATCTGCGGCGACTTTTCAGCAAGCACCTCAGATCTAGGATGAGCTTGAGCGGAGTGCTTAGACGACGAGTTTGGTGAGCGCAACTTCTGCGCATTAGGTGAGTCTCCATAGTGCTTATTGCAATGCTCAGACCTAACTCCATCATTGAGTTTGCAGAGGCTAAGTCATGGTGCGTCAGACAGGCTATCATAGAATATATCCCCCTTCTCAACTCTATTTCAACAACGATATGAAAACACGTGTCTCGTCACTCTCGTGCTGTCCCCTCCGAGTCAGGATGACTATGGCTCTGCTGTTGCGGGTACAGGTGATGAGGTCATCATTTGAGGTGACGAAATCTGCATCTGCGTGGTCTGCGGTCATTAGTTTCAGCAAGCGCTGACGGGTGACTTGGACTTGGACTTAGTAGTAGTACTGGTAGTACTACGTGTACCCCACTTATTGCGCTTACAAAACTTTTTCTGCTTTTTGAGCTTTTTTGAATGGTGCCAACTTGTGAACTCTGAATTTGCTTTCCAGAAAGTGCATTAAGTCGGAAAGGTAACACTCCGAGAGAATTTAAGAGACAAAAAGTGAGATAAGTAAGCGGTGGTTTTCCTGATGGACCATGTTCCTCGAAGTCGGAAAAAATACGGATGTCGACTTGAGCGAGGTGGAGTACTTGGAAATCATTTTACATAACACGACACTAAGATAACAAAGCTTCCTGACTGCAATATTTGCTGAGATACTTATGTGCAACTTTTTACTGTGTGCTGTGATGGAACGATGCGAAAGTGTGGTTGACTGAGAGCAATGAATGTACTAACAATCATTGATTATGCATGATTGGCACGTGCTATGACTGCGTCGTCATCGTTGGGGATCAACCGGTCCCTTGTATAAAATTCAGAAGTGCTATGACTGCGTCATCCTTGTTTGGGGCAGCCCGACCCGAACTCGGACACAGTAGCTGAAATGTTTTTCTAGAATGATCGTGTCAGTCAATATTCACCCCCACGACGAGAAGATGTACCCCACAGCTTGGAAAGCCTTCGAATTAGAGAGCACACTAGCCTGCTATGAACGACTTTCATGAGTGTGAATGTCCGCCCTGGAAAACCATGTGCCTTACAGCGTAGATGCGTACGAAAAGGTCAGTCACCCAACTTTGATAGATCAAGGGGGATATCTTCATGCTGGGGCATTCACGAGCCCTGTGCGACAGAAGAACCCTTGAAACCAGTTAGTACTGTCCGACACATGGACAGAAATCGGAATGAAAAAAAAAACCCACGTGTATTGATGGTCAAAAGAAAAGAAAACTTCGCGCCACTCCAATGAATTCCCAACATACATCCCAACGGGAACTTCCCCCAGTAAAACAAATGCAGCAATCAACCGCTAGTCGCTCAGCCACCATGCAATCAACAAACAACGACTGCATCGCCAGTCAATACAACACCATAAAACAAACGACCGCCCAAACCCATATGCTACCTTGTGGCAGGGTCGGATGTCCGGTCGTTTTCGTTTACGGTGTTGGCACTGTCTGGCCCACGGTCAGTTGTGTGATAAATGGTCACTCGCCGGCCTGCAGGGGCGGGTTCTATGGGCTCAACCATGCACCTCCCCGTTCCAACACATACGAGGCACAACAGGAGGTGAGTCCTGCGCAGCTCGCTCCTAAGAGCTCGTGTATCAGTGGAAAACAGGAGCTCGAGAACGACAAGTACATCGAGGATGTACAACCCACATCTGTCAGGTGCTGCAGATGCCAGAAGGCCATCAGCCTTGACAAGCGCTCCAAGTACTATCCTGGACTATGGCTGAAGCACAGGGGAAAAGTGCCCCGGCATCCTCAAGATAGAGGCGAGCTAATTTCTCTATTGAATAGAATGAGTAACTGACTAAATCCTGTAGGCAGATAAAAAACTAACCAGGAGAAGAGACTGGTATCTTCTGCCAAATGCAGAATGGCACCCGCCAGCCATTTCCTCATTTGACGCGAGCAGTGAAGAGTCAGACGAAGATGATTACGAGGAAATGGGATTCAGCAGCAACTCAAATCCTCGACGGGATAAAAGTCTTTAGTTCACCACGAACTCTAGCGTCGGATGTGTGATCCTTCCACGACAGCTGGGAAAGAGGAGAAAAGTGACTGTGGTACCGGTACACCACTACGAGGGAATTCGTGGATAAAATTTGCATCTTGAAAATTGTGAGTGAGCGTCAAAGGCGAAGGTCTAAAGTGTGTTTATCAGACATTGGAAGTTGTGCACTTACTAGTACCAAACGTCTACGTCCCTTTGTAGATTTCTGCGATGAGATCACTAGAGAAACGAGTGGGCATGAAATATATAATGATCCTCAGGCTTTGTTTCAAGCTCAAGCGTCGGGATATCGCCGGGGTGCTCGGAAGGAACCGACACACTGTTCTTTGTCTTTGTGGTTGCTTCGTCTCTTCTAAGTTCTCCGGACCGTACATCATTTTCGTTCCTCACTTAAGCCCACTTTCCACTCCCATTATTTGTAGTTGAACGTTAATTGTATTCAAGAGGCTTGATATATCGATGGTTGAATGCGATGTTCAATTATCTATTTCAATACATGACGTGCTCCTACCCCAACTATCGTAGGCCTAAAGAAGTTTTCAACATGTGGAAAAATCGAGTAGTGTCCTGGCGGCGGCCAGTGCTTCTATGGATCAAGGAACAAGCGCAAGCTAGACCCACCAAACAATGTACAGGAATTCACACAGCCTGAATGTCCGCCTCAGAGTTACCGTTGAGCTTTTCCGGCTCTATCTCCATATCTAATGCAATACATGGACTGAATAAAATTTGCCGTGTCTGGGACGAATATCGATCAATTATCGTGATGACCGAACAAAGGAATAATCCTTGAAGATGGTCCGTTGGATCCGGCCATGACAATAAGCGGTCTTCGACCTCATTTTCAGAGAGACCATTGAACAGGAAGAGGTAGTGTCGAAGAGGTCGAACTGATTCTTCGTCCTGATCAAGAGCGAGCTCGAGCACGAGTCGTTCCTGATCATTCGGGTGTTCACACTGTGCAGCGAAGACTAATCTCAGAATATTGTCCCACTTGCGCCGCATATGGTCCACTTCTAGAGCGGCCAACAGACGCAGGCTACGTTTCACGTGGTGTGGTGTCGATGAGCCTGGGCGCATTGTCAGTGGAACTAATGCGCACACTATCTTAATATCGAAAATGACTTGCCGATGACTGCCTTCAGAAATGTACAACTCAACCTATGGTGACTATACCAGGAATCACGCTGGCACTGCTTTGAGCAGTACCGTACAACCTGACATCCCGCACATTGCCTGAGACGAATGTCTTCAAGTTCCGCATTACGACCGCAGGAACACTGGGACTAGTATTAAGTCGACGAATTGGCAGGACGAAGTCTGTGACTAACTTGTAGAAAACAGCCCTTTTCACTTGGTGATGGCCACCATGTCGTTTCTGCCCAGGACCTAAGTGCCCCATACGACCGTATTGTCTGCTCCACTTTGTACCAGACATCCCAGAGGCGTTTGTTTTGTCTCACGGTTGGGCCGAGATCATCAGACCAGGCGTCCACATGTTTAGAGACGTAAGACAGTATTTTGTCGTGAGGAATGTATTTATATAAGATCCAAAAAAATGCCTCGGTGATGTTAAAAAGATCTGCCGGGTCCTCATCCTCCATGCATCCGGAATGACTTATATCCACTATGGTTTCGAGGGCGCTTGCGCAAAGGGCTTGATGGAGTGCTGAAACAGGGTCGTCGGCACTTTCAAGGAGAGAGGCGAGGTATATAGAAGTTGAGCGATGGATCGACGTCCAACTTCCCTCTGCCCGTGGGATGAGACTGGAGAACACGGAGAGTCGAGAAATCTCTTTGACGGACCGCCGGAGGATGTATGATTCTCGTATCGCAGGATTTTGCATGCTCGACGATAAGATAAATGTAACACAGCACGCCAACATTGGTACAAGCAGCTTGAGCTTGAAAGCCGCTTCATCAGGATCCCTAGCCATCGACCGTATGCTCTTGATATACTTCAAAGCCGCAGAAGTGACGGTGTCAATGCCACCTGACACTTCAATTAGTGTGGTCAGAAAAGTTTCGTTGCCACTGCACTCTGAAAACAAAAAGGAGCCGAAAATTCGAAAAGACGTGATGCGACCGCTTGCTTGCGATGTCAAGCACACTACATCTTTGTCTTTGGTTTTCAGGGCTAACAGCCACAACTCCGCAACCGGGCGATAAAGGGCGGGAGTGCAAAGCACTGTGGATTCGCCGCGGTTGCCACTGATGACAGTAACATGAAATAGTAAGCTAGTAACAAGCTTGATGGCAGCCATCTTTTTGACGGGCCGATAGTTGGCTCTGCACATGATGAATTGGTCATGAAAGAAGGCAAGCCAGGGAGCGACACGGTTCCAGTTGGACATAAGATGTTGCTTTTCCGCACCTGCTGATTCATTACTAGAACCATCGAAATGCAGAGTTGCAACGATTGCGAGGAGTGACTGATAGACGAGGCCGATATCAGTGGTAGCTGCTGGAGTTGACTTTGCAGGAATGCGATCTGTGTCGAGGTACATGTAGAATACTGGCTGCAGTATACGTAGCTCGAATGGGGAGCAATCTGGAAGTCGATAGCACAACTTCTCGAAGTCTGCAACCGAACGATTTAACACGCTTCGGACCAGCCTCTGAGTGACATGTCGGTTTACTACGGCGACAAAAAACTAAGGATCAAAACAGACCTGCACATCGTGAGGCAGCCGTGACAGCAGTGTCGCTGAGATCATTCTCGGTGTTCATGTACATGATCGATGATCGATGATCACTGGTTGCTGACTCAGACCCAGTTTACGTTCAACGGGCCATATATAGAAGGATTGATCTTGGTTCAAACCCTCCGATATTTAGAAACTCGAAAAAATACGGATGGACCAGTAGAAATCCAGTTGAATAAAATTACAAGTAAGTCCTAATTCCACTTGTAAATATCATAATTGTGCGGGCAGTGCGATGTGATGGAACGAAGTAAACTGATTCAGACGAGAGCAACTATTCATTATGGATAATCAGGATGTGTTATGACTGCGTCGTCCCCGTCGGGCGTAAACATATTTCTCATAGCGCAACTACCTTACACAATACGAGAGGATCAACGAACAAGCACAAGCAACACCAGAGCAACCAAAATTCACGCACATTACTAGTAACACCTACGGCCCAATTTCATCTCCATGTTCAATGCAGTACGTGGGCTGAACAAAATCTGTTGTGAATGATATTGATCGTTAATCGCGATCACCGAACACAAGAATGCTCGACGGCTCCTCGGTTCTTTCAATTTCCAAGACGATAAACTTTTCACGACATCACTTTCAGAGAGTCCTTTAAACAGGAAGAGATAGTGTCGAAGAGGCCGAACCGATACATCAAGCTGATCCACACAGAGCTCGACCACGAGCCGTTCATTGTCTGTCGGATATTGTTGTTGCGCAGCGGCGACTAACTTCGGAATATCGTCGTCCCCTTGATACGACATCTGTCTGTCTTCTAGGGCAGCTAGAAGACGGAGACTACGTTTCACATAGTGCGGTGACGATGAGCCTGGATAAAATGTGAGTAGAAACGATGTCTCTGAACATCGGAAAGACTTGCCGACAGCTGCCTTGAGAAATTTACAGCTCAACCTATGGTGACTATACCAGGAATTACGCTGGCATCGCTTTGAGCAGTACCGTACAACTTGACATCCCGCGCATTGCCTGAGCTGGACGTCTCCCGTAGTGCCACCACAAGAACACTATTTGAAGGGGAAATTTGAGTGGTCTGCAGGAATGAAACAGCAAAGTTTGACCAATTTTCAGAAACCAGCCTTTTTCATTGGACAATGCCTGCATTATCGTTTTCTCCTTCAAGTTGGACCTGAGACTGGCATATGATCGTATCGTCTGCTCCAACGCGGACCAATCTTCCAAGATTTTTTTGTGTTGTCTCGCGATTGGTCCAAAAGTATTAGACCAGGCGTCCACATGTTTGTAGGTGTAGGTCAAGATTTTGTCGTGAACAAGATAGTGGAATAATATCTTAAAAAGCGCCGTGCTGGTATTATGAAGATTCGCTTCCATCTCTACGGGTACGAAGGGAACCATATGGACCGCTATTTCAAGGGCATGTCCGCGGAGAGCTTCGTGGAACACCAATACAGGGACGTCGGCACGTTCAAGGAGAAAAAAGAGGTACCGAAAACTCAAGGCGAATGCTTTTTCTGTGCCCCCTACATCATGGATGTGAGGCTGGAGAATACGGAGAGTCGAGAAAATATGTCTGATAGAGTGTCGTGCGAGAAATCCTTCCCGTATCGCAGCACTGTCCATACTCATTCCTAATATAAATTCAACACTGCATGAAAACATTGACACGGCTTGAACGAGCTCCATCCGGACACCCTCGGAGGTTACTTCAAGATACTTCAAGTCGACCACCGATGGTATGGTTTTGACATACTTCAAAGCTGCAGAAGTGAAGTGGCCAACGCCACCTGTCGCTTCCAGTAGTGTAGTTACAAAGGATTCGTTGCCCGTGCAATCTACGATCAAGGAGGCGGTGACAAATCGAAGAGAAGTGACGCAACCGAAGCCATGTAGTGACACTTGAAGGTTCAACACGTCTTCATCTTTTGTTTCAATGGCTAACATCCACAACTCTGCGATCGGGCGGCGAAGGGCGGGTGTAGTAGCGTGTTGAGTCCCTGTTAGAATCGCGGCCAGCCATTAAGCCATTAAACAGTAGGCTGGCAACAAGCTTGATGGCAGGCGTCCTGTCAACGGGCCTGTAGTTGGACCCGCACATAATGAACTGGTTATGAAAGAAGAGGAGTCGGCGAGCAATACAGTTCCATGTTACAAGAAGACGCGATCTTTCCAAACGAACATCGATACGGCCCAAACTTGCGGCAATACCGACAAGGGACCACCGGGCGAGTTCAATATCGGTGGTAACGGCTGGAGTTGATTTGACAGGAATGCGATCTGGGTTGAGGTGTATGTAAAACGCTGGCTCAATGATACATAACTCAGATTTGGAGCAATCTGCAATTCGATCGCAGAGCTGCTGCAAGTCTGTGACTGAACCGTTTAACACGCCCTCGGACAATCCCTGAGTAATATACCAGTAAGCGACGATAACAAATCAAAGATCGATCTCAAAATACTCACAAAAAGATCCTTGGGCGGGATCATCGTCGCTTAAAACGGGTGATCACTGAGCAGTGGGCAATGTCAAGAGTCGTGGTCTCGTCTCCTGTAGGGAGATGGTCGTTTCTTATTCACCACAACATGATATCGAATATCGATATGGCCGGCCTGGATCTTATCAAGCTTCATCCTGGGAAACTTTTGGAGCCGAGTAGTAAGCCAGTTCAAATACTTTGGAAGATGAATTTTGTGACTCAATGTCTTTCAAGCTTGGAGGTAACCGTCGATGACACCATAAGCTTCTCGCAACTGAAACGTCGAGAGCAAACTGCAACATTAGGCAAGTAAGTAAGTATAAGTGTATTGTGCGTGCAGTGCAGAGGTGTGCGTGGTGGTAAACGGAGCGAAAGCATGGTCAATGAACATAGCAACGATGGATAATCACTACGTGCTATGACTGCACCGTCCCCGTCTGGGGATGAACAGTTTGAAGGGCCCCGCCGTGCGGGCAATGATGTAGTTCTGGACTATGCAAATGGTACAATGATATTCCAATCATGATACCCAGGATGATGCAATTAGTAGTCCCGCCGAATGCGGGAAAGTCGGTAACACTTTGCCAGCGAGTGTGGGAGGAGATAGTGGTATGAAGCCGCTTGACGTGTAAGACGGCTGCGTCCGTCAAGATAGGAGAGTAGCATGGAATACTGATTAGGTAGTTGCAAGAGTCGAAAGCATCATGCGCCCTGTGGCGTGGGCTGCTGCATCGGCATTTCTCTTGCCTGACCTTGAATGTCCTGCAAGAAGCACATGAGATCATATTTTATTTCTCTTCCATATGAAAATCACGATCATGGCAGCCTCATGGGCGCACAATCAAGAAATCGAGATTAGGAGAATGAGAGACTCACCATCCTTGGCCTTTTTACGGGTCTTGGACGGACTCCATTCGACCCCGCACGAACTCCAGCCACACCTATAGGCATACTCGTACCATTCACGCTCGGGTTGGGTGGTAACGCAGGGCCATCCTCGAGTTCACGTTTCTTGCCTCGCATGCCGACAAGGGCGGTATCTGTTCGTTGCGACACGGCACTGTTCTGCACAGCTGATCGCGGTGTAGCGCTTGTCGGTGTGGTTATCCGAGTTGATGCTGCAGGAGGCGGTATTGACACAGCAGGAGCATGAGGCTTTGAATGAATGGGTGGCAATTGTGATGCTGCAGGCGGTTGTTGTGTGGATGCTTGACTTGTATTTGATGGCGCCACTTGTGGCGGGGGAAGCGTGCCGGCTGCACTGGGTATGCCTCCCGGAACAAGTCCTTGGGCCTGAGCACGTGCGAGTTTTTTAAGCTCTTTCTGCGAGCAGCAAATACATGATGTCTGAATTTCAAAGCTCATAGAGATGAGAAAGTTGCACGTACACGTTTTCTCCTGTCTTCCTTTGCCTGTGCAGACTCCACAACCAAAGTACTCGCATTCCACTGCGCAGTATCGTCAAAATACGAGTATGGTGCAAAGAAAGACGAGCGTACCCCTTTCAGACCTTCCGCACTGACAGTGAACGCTTCCCTTTGTGTTCGTTCATCGAACTCCGTTATTGGTATGCGTTGCTTCGGTGGAACCTGCATCATCGTAGTAAGGTAGTCGTCTTTCTTCATCGAATGTTTCCCCGGGACGCTCTTTATGAGGAATCGGTAAGAATTCTTTTTCATTTTGTCATCACTGTCTGGAAGAAGGGCGGCCGGTGTGAGTGGTGGTATAGAAGCGTGTGACGGTGGCATCTGAGAGGGAATGGATGGGCGGACATGCTTGTCGTAAGCAGAATGAAGATTGAAGCGACCAAGAATGTCTTGCGTGCTTGCAAGGAATGTTTGTGGAGGGGGATGTGCTGTAATTTGTAAGATTAGTCGGGTGTGAAAAGTAGTAATCAAACGCTACAAGAATGAAAACAACTAGTGATGCCCGTACCAGCTGGTGGTGGTAGAAACACGGAGTTATAGTCTTGAGTGATCGTTGACGGGCCTGCCACGGCATTCTGATTTACGTCGTCCTCGACGTCCATGTCGAGCAGTGAGGTGAACGAGCGGAGATCAGAATCACACTCTGAAAGCACGTAAATCTTAGGCTGCCTGAGTTATCCGAGGCAACACCACAGATAAGAAAAGCAGCTTGCTCGCGGATGTCGCCGTAATTGCCGACGATGAGCAAATGCTTTTGGTCGCCGTCGTCGTCGATGGCAGGGACAAGGGGATCCGACAAGTTCAAGAGAATATGAATCGGCAAAGATTAGTCAGCCACACGTGGTCACGGTGGTTGGCGGGAAGGTTGACGAACTCTTGAATCGAATGAGTGTCGCCTTGGGTAGCAAGGCAGTCTCTGCTCAAGGCTAAGTAAAATTCTTGCCTTGAGATTGACTTTTGCGGACTGTGGTAAGCCTTTACGTTGCTTATCCTTTTGCACATGACACACTCACCTGAATACTGACTTTTCCGTGAAGCAGATCAATGATGACCAAGCGAGACGAATCAGACGATATACCGCAGACACATTAGGAGGAGTAGATACGTGCTTGGAATCCCGCACAGACTGTCATAAAAACTGTGAACACGAGATGGGAGGCATGCAATGCGCCACAGCCTCCATGATGCCAGGTGCAAGACCATGCGATTCAACGTGTACTTCTGATGTTACACTAGTACAGCATGTACTACAAGTGCTGAATACTATCCGTAACTCAACAAGCTTGCAATTAGGGAGGACGACACTCTAGTGTTCTAATGAAAGGTCCAGGAGAATTTGTTTGTCAAGGGAACTGGACAACCTTGGGTGCAATTGATGGCACCTGAGGGACGAGACATCGATATCAACTTTCAACCAGCAAGCACCATTCCACCAAAGCGCTTGAGCCAAGCATCCAGCCTCTCTTTTTCAAAATATTCAAAAACCCAATCCTCCTCTGCTAAAGCCTTTGCTTCCCCCTTCCACACGTATGTGACCGCATCCAACTTGCTTCCATCGGCCATATCCACTACAACTGGGGTTCGTGCGTACGAATCACCTTCGTAGTTATCCAATTTCTTCCACCGTGAGAGGCTGGCAGGAAAGATAACATATCCGTCAACAGTGCGGGTGCCATTGCTACGGATGAGCGCGGGATAATCACGGCGATTGACGCGACGCCTTTCGAAGCCCGTTATTGTCCCAGGTTTACGCTGAGAGAGGACGTCTCCTGCTTTTGACGAGTCGCCCTTTATTGCCCATGCCAGAAGAGGGGCGGCCATTAACGTCCCATAGACAAATATTTGCGCAACGGGGCTGTCGGACGAGTAGTGGTGTCCATCATTTTGAGAAGAGTGATAGGGATCTAGCAATTTCGCCTTCTGCAGTAAGATAATTGCGGCTAGTAACGCAGCATCAATAAATACTCGGTGTGCCACAAATCGGAAAATACCTGCAGGTTGCAGCTGGAAAAGAACGAATTGGCAGCCCCTTGAGTACTTGGGAGCACTCCCCTAGCTGGATTAGCCAAAATTAGCTATTCCCACACCATGCAATATTGCTGTGCATTCAATTCTCAGAGGTTCAGTACTCCTAGTGAGAGATACCATGTCTAGCATATGGACCTGGACGAGGTCAGGCCCAACTTAATTTTCTGTGTAGTCTTCTTCTAATACTTACTTACCGCACGAAACTTCAGTAGGTTGTGGGAACCTCGACAATGTGGAGAGACAGAGCCTGAGCCTGGTTCAAACCAATCCGAATTCACTGTGCGTGGTGCATATTACCAAAGGTCCTCTGTGTATTTATATATCTTGTCTTCAACAGTTCCAAGCAGTCGCTATAGGCCTACTAATAGGCTGCTTGCTATGCTTTACAAACTTATACTTTGGACTGCAGACAGGATGGATTAGCATGTGAGTGTCACCAAGTAACTGACAAGACAATAACTAATACTTCAGTCACAAAGGATGTCACTTCAATCCGCCTTGATTGGTTTCTTGCTATCCAAAATGCTCCCAACCCCCCTTTCTCCGCAGGAAATCATCGTAGTGCAGACCACTGCAGTTGCTACCGGCACAGTGGGTCTATCATCCTCTCCTTCATCACCAGCTGATCGCTTCCCTCACAGATGCCACTAGCAGCAGGCTTTGTTGGAATTTTGCCAGCGTTAGGTCTACTCGAGGAGGATAAGGATGGGAGCCCACCAATTCGTCTCTCTTGGCTTGCTGCCATAGGATGGTCATGCTCAGTCGCATTTTTCGGAGTATTCTTGTCACCCCCCATAAGAAAGCAAGTTGTGCGTTTTGTAACTTCTCTCCATTGAAGGTCCATCTAACACTGAAAAGATCATCAAAGAGCAATTGGCGTTTCCATCTGGCACAGCGACTGCTCAGCTAATCTCTGTCCTACATCGAATGCCTCCTCCAGATACCACCTTGCGACGCCGCTCCGGCTATAGGGCAATCGATACAGAAGATTTGATACAGCCAACCGCGATCACGGACGAACCTGAGAATCACCAGGAAGCCGCTGCACAAGACGACTTTGACGAAAGGGAGGTTGTTCAGCGAGAAGGCTGGGAAGATCTGTTAATGAGTTTCCTTGCTTCCGGGGCAATGACTGTATGCAGTATCCAGATTGTGTTCGCTGGCTATATTCCACTCATGTTCATCTTCAAAGCTTGCCGCGTATTTTTTCCCGATTGTCTTCGCGATTCCGCTATTCGGGAAGTACCTAGCCCGAGAATGGCTTTGGTCATTTACTCCTAGTTTATCGTATGTCGGTCAAGGTGCGTGTGGCCTTGTCCACTTAAGTGTTTACTGAGACCTCATGAAGGCATTATCATGGGTTTCCCCACCACCTTGAGCATGAATCTGGTAAGTTTGATCTCCGCTTGTGTAATAACCGTTTATCATTTCTGTCAGGGCATGCTTGTGGGTTGGGGTATATTATCACCCCTGTCGAAGTACTCTGGGTGGGCTCCTGGTCCAGTCGGTGACATGTCCACAGGCGCGCGCGGCTGGATCCTGTGGATATCTCTGGCCATTATGTGTGCCGACTCCTTCATCTCTCTCCTTCCTGTCGTCTATGAGTATTGCATCAAACTAGTGGTTTTGTATAGACCAACAAAGCCTGGTGACAACGCAGAAACGCATGAAGATTTTGAAGTAGAAACCGCTGACCGACTTGTCCCAGCGAAGTGGGTTATTTACGGACTTATAGGCAGCATATTTGTTGGGACAATTTTGGTTTGGATCGTATTCGGAAATGACGGTATCAAACCATGGGCAACTCTGATCGGTTTCATGATGGGTGGATTACTCAGTATCCTGGGGTGCGTTTTTCGACCCGATGGTAAGTATCTTTAACTGATTACTCCACTAGGGTGCGGGCGCTGGGGGAGACTGACTTGAATCCTGTAAGCGGACTGGGGAAGATCTCGCAGCTCCTCTTTGCTTGGATACAACCTGGCAATGTAGTTGCGAATATCATCGCCGGAGGTGTTGCAGAAGCTGGCGCTCAACAGTAAGGTCCTCCTTCACTATGTTAAATATGCGCTGAAGAGCAACCCCAGAGCTGGAGACCTTATGCAAGACCTTAAGACTGGTCATTTAATACATGCTTCCCCGAGAGCCCAATTCTATGGCCAACTTATCGGATCATCATTATCAATCCTTGTTTCAGCAACTGCCTACACCCTATACCAACGAGCATATACGATACCCGGACCTTCTTTTCCTGCCCCGACTGCGTACGTCTGGCTCAGTCTGGCTCGCCTCCTCCGTGAGATTTTATCGTTGTTAGTTGGTTCAGGCTAATGATGTGTCATTTACTTTTGGCAGGTGATGGACAACTTCCTCAAAATAGCGCCTCCTACATGGTGCTGTTTGCGATAATCTTTGGTGTCATCGCAGGTGTCAAAGTCATAGCTGCACAACGCAACCACCCCTATGCAAAGTGGATCCCTTCCGGCATCGCATTCGCCATTGGCTTTCTCAACACGCCTTCCTTTTCTTTGGCACGTCTGATCGGCGGGATCATCGAATATGTGTATCACAAGCGCGCTGCAAAATCTGGAGGCGCGGATATCAGGTTGATTGTGATTGCAAGTGGCTTTGTGTTGGGCGAAGGAGTGATCAGCGTAATTTCGCTGGTGCTGAAGACATATGGAGTGGGCGTAGCAAGTTGTTGGGGCTGTTCTGGAGGCGTCTGTGCTGGCTGTCCTGCATAGCATTTCGACGAGGCGCGGATGAGCGCACGGGCAGACAGTAATTGTTCTGTAGCTTCCATATTACTTTGCAAAGCTTGATATATATGATGCTCCTTCAGTGTACGGAAAAACGCATGCAATATTACGAGTACCACGATCGGCGACGCTTCGAACAAGATATTCTTGCTCCATTCCCAACACGCATGAATCATATTAAGTATACACAGAACTGGTGGATTAAGACACACGGACGTGCTCCTAGAAAGCAATTGAATTCATACCCGGTTTTTGTATATGAGTCAGCCATCGCAGGAGCCTAAAGTGAAATTAGCCCAGAATATAAACATACCTTGTAGCGGCGCACCCGAAGGGGTACACAATATCCCAGTAGTTCCAAACACCCTTGGTCTTGGTAAAAACCCTAAACTCTCCACGATCTGCACCTCAGCACCATTTGCCATCTCAAACACGAAGTTTCGCACAAGGACGAATATCACAGCCTGGGAAGAGATAACGCCCAGTCAAAAGTTATGTAAAACGAACTGAGACCAATACTCTTGCGCAGCTGCTTACCTCGAGCTCCGAGCCTGTCAACGCAAACAGCTTCCCCAGGCGCATCCGCGCACCATTACCAAAGGTCATCAGATAACGATGGCCATGCAGTGTTTCTCTGGCCATATGCGTGCCTTCGTCCTATTCGAGCCACCGGGAAGATTTGAACGCCTTTGCGTCAGGCTCCCACATGCTAACTGAGCAATTGAGTGCAGCGAGCGGGATCACGGCCACCGTCCCTTTCAAAACTCATACATTGTCGGCAGAGTTAGTACCGTCCGCTGTGCGCAAGGGCTCACTGAGGGGGATCTTGTGTAGCCTGTAATAGGTCAGTTCGAGTGTTTCTATTCAATTTCTGTCGAATACCAACCGATGATGTGGACTCCGAGTCGGAGGCGAAGAACGAGTTCATTCACTACTTATATTATATCTTTGAGGTTCACTCTATCGATACGTTCTGGTGAGAATCAACACGGGTTTAAACTTTGACTGATCTAAGCTATGACAAGATATGTACAAGTTTGAGGATAAATGTTTCGGGGGAGAGATTACGGGCGAAGGCGCGTAGCGCCTCCCGGCTCCGAAAGAACTTTGTCCTGGGGACAAAGGGTGAGCTGCGAAGGCGGGCGGGCCGCCTCGCTGCAGGTCGCTGCTTGTCCTTTCAGAGCCTGAAATGTTTGTAGTGCCAGCGAGGCACTGTCGTCGTGCGTGAGCGCGATGACGAGGGAGAGGAGGGTGGGGAAAAGAAAACGCTGTGTCGACGAAGTGCACGATGTGAACGGTTCGTCGTGGCGCAGAAGCAAGAAGTGCTAACGTCTCGCTTAGCGTTCGCTCAAAGACTTAGCTCTATTTCCTCCGCTCGTGCCTCGCTACGTAATAGAGCGACAAAACAAGGTAATTTCTTTTTCTATCCATTTTGAGGGCCAAAAATTTTCGAAGCTCACGGAGAGGAAATTGGCTATGTCCTATCTGTAGGCTCGATGGAACGTGAATGGAGCCTGAGAGTGCCCAAAGCTCGAAGACCAAAATTGTCGAGTTTGTCTGTCCGCAATGCCTACGCCGACCATAAACTACCGGCGTGACCCAATGATCTCAACGACACTGCTGTCGCAGCTGCCATATGATGTGCGGGTGAGTGTTTTGCGATCGATCCTTGGTTTTTTATCGCTGTGACTGATATGTAACTCAGAGGCTGGTTCGAAGCGTGTTGAATCGTTTGGTTGCAGACTTTGAGAAGTTGTGCCATCGACTTCCAGATTGCTCCACATCTCAACTACGCATCTTGCAGCCAGTGTTCTACATGTATCTCGACCCAGACCGTATTCCCGCAAAGTCAACTCCAGCAGCTACCACTGATATCGGCCTCGTCTACCAGTCACTCCTCGCGACCGTTGCAACTCTGCATTTCGATGGTTCTAGTGTTGGTTCGGAAAAGCAATATCTTATTTCCGATTGGAACCGTATCGCTCCCTGGCTTGCCTTCTTTCATGACCAATTCATTATGTGCAGAGCTGTCTATCGACCCGTCGACAAAATGGTGGCCATCAGGCTTGTTACTAGCATACTGTTTCATGTTTCACTCATTAGTGGCGACAGCGGCAGCGAATTTGAGATGCTTAGCACTCCTGCCCTTTGTCGCCCGATCGCAGAGTTGTGGTTGTTAGCCCTGGAAACCAAAGGCAAAGATGTAGTGTGCTTGTCATCCCAGGCCGGCGCTCGCATCACGTCTTTTTGAGTTTTCGGCTGCTCTGTGATTGCAGAATGCGTTGGTGACGAATCTTTTCTGGCCATGCTAGTCGAAGTGTCAGGTGACATTGACACCGTCACTTCTGCAGCTCTGAAGTACGTCAAGACTATACGGACGTTGGCTAAAGACCCTGATACAGCAACTTTCTGAAGGCAGCTGTCGGCAGGTCTTTTCGATGTTAAGATATGCGCATTAGTTCCACTGACAATGTACCCAGGCTCATCGACACCGCACCACGTGAAACATAGTCTGCATCTGCTAGCCGCTCTGGAAGCTGAGACAATATTTTGACATTGGTTGCCGCTGCACGGTGTGAATATCCGGAAGATCGGGAACGACTCGTGGTCGAGCTCGCTCTTGGTAAGGACGAAGAATCAGTTCGACCTCTTCGACACTACCTCTTTCTATTCAATGGTCTCTCTGAAAATGAGGTCGTAGATCTCTTATTGTCATGGCCAGATCCAAGAGGCCATCTTCGAGGACTACTCATTTGTTCGGTTATCACGATAATCGATCGATATTCGTCCAAGACACGGCAAATTTTATTCAGTCCATGTATTGCATTAGATATGGAGATGCCGGGAACGCTCAGCTATAACGCTCAGCATGCGTGAATTCCTACGTGCTCTTTGGCGGGTCTTGCTTGCACTTCAAGTTGTTCTTGATTTCGGGCTGCTGGCTGCTAGTTAGTACTGTGGTAGTGTACGAACATTCATCGCTTTCTCCAGTAGCTCTGCTTACCCCTCACACACTGTAGTAGAATTCAGTTGGAACTATTTGATTCAGAGTGGCTAAGTAGTGAAGTGCTTTACCCTGACCTTGTTATAATGCCAGAAGACGCTACTTATACTTGTTATACTCACCTAGCGTGTGAACATGACGCCTCGAGAGGATTGCCGCACTACTAGATATCCTTAGATTTGGTCGACCTACAACAAACCCAGTCATTGCATATCACCGCTCATTTTTACCGAGAATGATCTCAGAGAGACTGCTTTCACAGCTGCCACAGGATATACAGGCGAGTGTCTTGCGATTTATCCTTACTAGTTTGTTATCGCGGCTCAACGGTATAGTGTCACTCAGAGGCTGGTCCGGGGAGTGTCGAATCGTTCCGTAGCAGACTTCGAGAAGCTCTGTGATCGAATTGCGAATTGCTCCGCATCCGAAATACGTATCCTGCAGCCAGCACTCTACATGCATCTCGACCCAGATCGCATTCCTGAAAAGTCGACTCCTGCCGCCGCCACCGATATTGAGCTCGCCCGGTGGTCACTTTCCGGGATCATAAAATCATTTAACCACTGTCTTGGCACTGGCCCAAGAGAATACCTAATTTCCACCTGGAACCGTGTTGCTCTCTGGCTTATCTTCTTTCACAACCAGTTTGTTATGCGCAGGGCCAATTATAGGCCGATCAGCAGGAGGCTTGCTGTCGACCTGGTTGGTTGTTTGTTGCATTTTAGCGTGGCCGCCGCAAGCGGCAGGGATGCAGTATTGATCACTACCACGCCCGCCCTTTACTACCCGATCGTAGAATCATGGTTACTCGCTCTCAAAATAAAAGATGAGGATGTGCTGGTCATTGACCAGCATCCTTATTATCGATCGTCATTTGGCCTTCAATTCGCTTCTATTGAATTTATCCTCCCCGTGGCGCGTATAGTATGCATGAAGGACAAAGCCTTTATGACCACCATGCTCGAAGTGTCGGGCGACATTGGCAGACTCGTTTCTACAGCTCTAGGATATGTGATACACATAGGATCAATGGCACAGGACCCTAAAAAAGTCACAGACCCTCGGAGGTCCCTCGGGGCGCTTGCGCACACATTCTCGAACTGTGTTATTGTTATTTTCGAACTAAGCAAGCACAGCGCCGCAGTGCGGGAAGAATTCATCTTACAACTATCCGTTAAAAAGATTTTCTTGAATTGCCGCGCTTTCCAGCTCCTTCTTTCTTCTATAGAGAGAATGGATCCCACAGCCGGCAAATTGTCATTCGTCTGGAGTTTCGATTACCTCGTTCTTCTGCTTGCCCGTGCCAATAACACAATCCCAGTGTTATATCAAGCTCTCCACTCAAATGCCTTCGAAACGGCCATGAGTATCAAAGGGCCTCCTGTGGAAGCAGACAAATATTGTCACAAGAAAAGCTTTCTTGTGATCTTACATGGTTACCTCGTCTACGACAAAATCTTGACCTATGCGTGCACACATGTGGATGCCTGGTCTAGTGCTTTCACACCAAATGTGATACAAGACGAAACCGTCCGAAAGGGCTGGTTGGCAGTCAAGATGAAGATACGATTGTATGCCAGTCTCAAGTCTAGGGAGGAAATGATGAGGCGGCCATCACCTAATGAAAAGGGCTGGATTTTACGAGTCAGTGACAGACTTTGTTGTTTCGTTCCTGCAGGCCAACTTACCTAAAGAACAGTGTTATTGTGGTGATACCAGGGAGGATATTCAGCTTAAGCAATGCTCGGAATGTCAGGTTGTGCGGTACTGCTCAAAGCGATGCCAGCGTGACTCTTGGTACACTCATCACAGGTGGAGCTGTAAATTTTTGAAGGCAGCTGTTGGCAAGTCTTTTCTATTGTTCGGCTCACATCATTTTCGTTGACAATCTGTCCAGGTTCATCGACATCGCACTACGTGAAACGCAGTCTCTGCCTGCTATCTGGCTTAGAAGATCACGTGATCTCGTGTAAATGGGAGGATATTCAGAGCCAGGTAGATGCTGCTCGACGCGAGTATCCGCAAGATCAGGACCGACTCGTTGTCAAGGTCACTGTACATCAGGAAGAAGTATCAGTCAGACCTCTTCGGGACTACCTCTTTCTGTTCAATGGTCTTTCTGAAAATGAGGTCGTGGATCGCTTATCGTCATGGCCAGATCCAAGGGGCCATCTTCGACGGCCATTTTGTTGTTCGGTTATCGCAATATACGATCGGCATTCATCCCAGCAGATCTTATTCAGTCCACGTACTGCATTAGACATGGAGACAGTACGACTCAGCGGAAATCGATGAATGAGCGTGAGTTTATGTTGTTCAGGTCTTGCTCACCGATATTGATATTCTATATTAGGTCGAATCTCGAACTGTGTTATGGTTATTTTCAGGTCATTCGATTCGGAGCCCAATTACCTTGACTTCCTCACAACTATGTTTGCGACGCACCATGACTGAATAAGGTCACCGGGAAGAAACAGTACACTTCGACTGGTACTAAGCCGTAAATGAAGCGAGCCTTGTTCCAATTTTCGAATGTTGGCACCGAATCGACGAATCAGTGTCTGTTCATTATTCGCAACTTTGTCACCGAACATCAGCACCATATCCGAAGCTATCTTGGCAATATGGTTCATGAAGATCGCACGTCATCCTTCGTCTCGCTTGAGAGCGCGAGCAGATATACCCTTGTGGCTGTAATGCAGCCTACCAGGGTGCGGGGTGCGGAGAAGTGTACGTACCCACGACGTGCCCGTAACTCATGCTGCGGAACTACATTACTTATGCCTGCATAAAAATAACATTCGTATTATGCGTGGACTTTGGGGATGTAGTAGTCAGGAACGCACTATATGAGTATGCAATAAGCAGCATTGATGTCTCATATGAACGACACACCAAATCACACCTCAGAATCAAACCAACACCCCAGAACTCTTCACGATCCCTCTCCAGCTCTTCCAAACATAACTCGCAAACAAAGCCGTCTCGTCCAAAGCCTTTTCCGCATGGTCAGCATTCTCGAGGAGGGAATCCAAGAATGCTGGTGCTGTCTTTGAAGAAGTCAGTTGGTGAAGTTCGGCGGCGAGGTAAATGGCGGAGATGGATGCTCGGCGGGTGTACCAAGATGACTGGTGGGTCGGTTGATGGTACAGTTAGATTAGTCACATGCGAAGAAATGACGTGTCAAACCTCTCGCGCATTCCTATGAACGATCCAGCATGCCTGGTTAGATACTTCAGCAGCGTGTTTGACTATCGGGGCAGGGTCCACCGGTAGCAGAGGTAGAGGTAACGAGGAAGAAGAAGCGAGGAGAGCAAATGCCTAAAACACCAAGCATAAGTAATTTGCATGACGGCGAGGAACAAACGTCGACTTGAATATCTTGATTTGATAAAAATCAATCACCTCTGGAAGGTGCTTCAGCACTGGTTCGTTGCTCCTCAGCCTTGCCTTCAACACATCTCCCATTCCTACACTCTCTGTTGCCTCTTTCCTCATTCTACATTTCGCGTCATCAAGCCACGCATGTACGAGTGTCCTACATGCATCGTCTCCTGCGCCAAACAGCGCAGTCACACTCGCGTCTGGGAGAGGATGAACTAGTGGTGTGGGTAGGGATAGGGCCGACAAGGATAGCGCTTCTCGGGTGAACCCATGGGTTTCGATGAGCGGAAGCGCGAGCTTTAGGAGTTTGGCACTGGAATAGATCTGTGTTAGAGCTTTAGCGTTCAAGTTTAGCGACGAAGCGACACAAACCTGGTGGTAGTCATCTCATAAGAATATCAAGCACGTGACTGCAGGAATGGTGTGAAAACTATGAACGTTGCATGATGAGGAACTCAAAAGAAGAAATATGGGGCAAACTAATTAGGTATCCGACAAAGATACCTGTACGTAGATCATAATACGAATGCAAAGCTATGGGGTATATCTCCGCAAACTCAACACGCCAGCCTCAATCGATCAATCCCTTAGTCCTCAAGTACTCCCTATGTTCAGCGCGGTGCGCAAGGACTTGCTTGTCAACCGAGCGCCTCCAAATCGGTATCCCAACCTACAGTCAAGTATAAGTAACGAGTTTAATATTTATCATGGTGAGATGGTGACATACAAGAGCAGCCAAATCCAACACGAAATCGAGAGCGGCGTTGCTTCTAGGTGCAGAACCACGCGTTGAAGCTCGGAACAAGCTTGTAATGAGATCAGCGGTGATGTGTGCGTGACCTTTCTCCACACCTAGCCAGACCAAAAGTGAGGTGAAAGTTGTGGTTATGGTCTCATGAGATGACGTACCTGAGAACAATCCAGCAGCAGCCTGCTCCGCTGTCAGACCTTCATCCGTCGACTCAATCGTTCTAGTAATCGCTGGCTTCGTCTTGTTTTCTTCTTCGAAGCCAGGGGTATACATTGTCGGAGGGAAGAAGATGTGAGTATCAATGCCATAAAGCATTAGTTCTGAATGCAACGAATCAGCTAGTCCTATTAAGCCATATCATCAGCATCACCCTAAAAACAAGGAGTATAGTAAATAGCCATTACTTACCACGCAGAGCATGCTTTGCAGGCGAATACGAAGAATATCCAATAAAAGACATATATCCGAGCGTCGAAGACACCAGTACGATCTTCCCCTTCTTATTCTCGCGCACCATTTGTTTGGCAGCAGCCTGTTCACTCAATATCATTTTCTTGTCCATAATCTGATATAGAATGGAACAGTCGACTCACGAATGCAGTCCATGCCTGTATCCAGTACCCATTCGTCATTCCGCGTGAGAGGTCTTCTGGCTGCATTTCGAGGAGGTACATCGGTTTTGAAGCACCTGCACATGTGAAAACAGCATCTGGGACTTGGCCGCCGTGGGCATCACTAGCAGCTTGGAGCGCAGCAGCAGACTCCTCTGCGGTGTCGAGGGAGAAGGAAAAGGCTTTGAATACTTGGTCTGGGCTTTGGCGATTGGCCTGTGTATGATGTTCATCACGAACAGAGGTATCATGGACACAAAGAAACACGAACCTCAAGCTCTTTCAAAGCATCATCGAGTTTGCTTTGAGTTCTTGCTACTATAGAAACGTGGGCACCTTTCCGCGCGACGAGTTTGGCGAGTGCAAGTCCGAGACCTTGACTACCGCCTGTGATATAGACATGCTATCGCCATGCGCGTGAGTTACTGAATCATCGAGAAAGACTTATTGGCTTACCAAACCCTTTGGACTCCATTTTTTCGATGAAAACATGAAAGATGACGAGTAAACAAGTATGAGGAGTAACAAAGCCTTGGAAGCAAACGACGAGATCCAGTCAAACATGTACCTTATCAAACCTTGAGTGCTTTCGGTTTGATTGTCATAAACTGGTGGGCCAGCAGGTATTATCAGCTAGTAGTACTTGAGCTGAAAATCAGACATGAACGGTCTGACCGAGTCACCGTAGGGGATTACTGAACCCGAACAGCCACCGATCAAGCCGGCGGTTATGCGCTACTTGTACTATTTGACTTGTATGATCATAACACGTTTCATCTCCACGTCGTGTATGTGCCGCACAAGGCTTTAAAACTCGTGCTTATATTTTAAGCAGACAAAGCTCATTCATGTCCCGCATCGCTTTGGAGAGCATCTCTGGTCTCACATTCTACAAAAACGCTCTTACAACTGCACGGCGTACCAGTCCTATTGCTCAGCTGGTATGCCTCGGCAAAGCGTGCGGGTTGTACCAGCCTGATGTTGTGCGCTGCAATAACATTGGAGGGTCTGGCACGGATGTTGATTGGAAGGTGTGTATTCGCTGTTAAGTCAATAATTAGGATTTGAGAGACTGCTAGATTCTTACTAGTGAGTTTGACACAATATTTGCAGTGTGAGGCAGACCTACCGTCCTCTTTACGTTTCGGTCGAGTCGAGGTTTCTTGCGAGGGATGGAATGGCCCTGGCGATCCATACGTCATGAAAGGTCTGATTCTGATCCACCATCGAGTACTTGACATATGAAGCTTCATCATAATTACACAGGATCCTGTTCTCTTGAATACAATCTCATTCAACTCCCCGGTGCCCTCCATGCCGACTCGAACTCAAACTGGTCCCGTTTTTACACCCGACCATGGTTCAACAGTAAGTCTTAAGCACACTCGTATACCAACGCTTACATATTCTCAATTTGTTCAGACATCGATTACTCCGGTATCTTCTTCATGCTCGTATGGATCGTAGTGCTAGGCATTATAATCTACAGCTTTATCCAAACTTGCTTGCGTCGCGACACATCAGACGCCAATCACAGCAGCCCTCCCTCGTATCCTGGCAGGTCAGGGCCAGGAGGATTCCCAGGTTCTTATTACACTAGTCCACCCCCGCCATACACCAAAGATGCTGGTACAGGCAACAGCTCGCAGTGGCAGCCAGGGTTCTGGACTGGCGCTGCACTGGGGGCGCTGGGAAATCATCTTTTGAATCGTCCGTCGGGGTCACAGGAGTACGACTGGGAGCGAGAGAGGCGATTGCCGAATAGTATCTCGAGGAGCAGACCTGTGCCTGGGTATGATGACCAGGGTAGAGGAGAGTCATCTAGTTTGGGTGCGATGAGGACTAGTACGGGGTACGGTGGTTCGAGTAGTAGGTGATAAAAGACCACGTTCACAATGTACAGATTAATTGTACAAACAATGATCTATATAGTCAATCGATATAGTCAAAGTTCGAGGCAGCCTGTGTATCCCGAGGATGGCTGGGCTGGGTAGTGCAACAAAGCATTGCGTAAGTGAGCCCAGCTCTTGGTGCGTGTGAATTAATAAAGTCATGGCTCTCTTCCACGACACCCTTCCATTGTGTCCCAAGCCTCGAACGTCGATCTGGCGCTATAGCAAGCACACCACCTTCTACATACATCCAAGAATGTACCTAGCTCCTGCTCATAGCACCCAGGTATATTTGTAGCATCGACCTAGACAGCGCACTCGACAATCTAACAAAATCAACAAACGCATCGGATCAAACCGTCTGTCTATCTGTATTCGACAACTCGAGCTCTTTCTTTTGAACCATCAACACCAGCACCTTCTCATACCTTGAAAATTTTGCGGGCAGTTGGAGTGTTGATCTGGAAGTATTTATATCGACGAACCACTAAGTTGTATGCTCTTGTCTACGAGAGCATCCCACTTTGTGGTTGCTCGACATTGGGCCTCCTGCTGTCACCTTATCCAACAGTATTTTTAATTTAAAACTTTTCTTAGTCAAGATCATGACATACAAAAGACCTCGGAAAATCGGAGAGGTGGAGAACGAGGAGCGGTGTTGGGCCCTTCACCGACGGAGAACTTGGATAAGGAGAAAGATTCACCATGAGACATTTCATGTTCAGGATGCCCTGTGAGGAGGTTCGTAACAGTACTGCTACTGCGTTGTGATACTTCTTACTTAACGAATTATGAGTCACTATCAATGGTGGCAATTCGAGATCATGGATAGTGAAATGGGATATCAAAACGATACGCTCATCATGCCTTCCTAGATGGGGCGTTTACCTGGGGTACGAATAGGTTAGTGTCAGTTCAGCGAGGACTCACATCTCAAGTGGTCCTAAAGTTAGCGCTTCGTGGTTGCTACAGCTGACAACTCCGAAACAGTCCCGCCGACCTCACTCAGCAGTCGGAAAGAAGCAGAGCACGCCCCACTGAATGGGCCACGGAACACACCCCGACTATCTCGCAATTTTGACCCATTCTGGAAGAACTCCTCACCACCTAGACCTCAAAACAGAATTGCATATGTGCCATTTCGATTGAACAAAACATCTTAGTAGAAAAGGGATTGGTCAGAAACGCACGCACGTGATTGCGCTGCATCGGCGTCGGTTCGTCGAATTTAAGTGCAACTAACTCCTCAATACGTTCGAAAGTCATTGCATTCCCCGCATTAACTTTACGTTCCATCCAAACCGGACAGTGAATCGAAAACAGTTTCCTCTGCGACCTGCCTATACAACTACATTTAACGGTTCTCGAGGCTTGACACTTGCACAAACCGTGCTCGAACTTCGAACTGATCCCTTTGCTCGCAGTCAATTGTACACGGCGTTTTCAAGAGTGAAATGCGAAGAGACAGTGCTTTTTTGGAGAGACGAACGATCAAACAAGACTGCGCTGATACTGTATCTTTACTAAACACAAAACCGACGAAATAAGAGGGCTGCTCAATTCTAGGGTTCACGAGCTCAGTTCGATGGCAGCTGAGTTTACCTGTCAAGAAATGACATCGCTTAATGTTGGACAGATACACGGAGTCTATCAACTCCCACAAATAATGCGCACTCCGTTCTGTTGAATGATGCGAGTTGTTCGTTATGGGAGAAACCATCGCTACTAGCGGCCCAGGTAAGTTTTGTTTGAATAACTGGAACGTGAGCTAATATATATATATCCAGCTCATGCCAATAATAGCTGCTTTCTAATGGCTTGGGAATCTGATGAGCATGCACAGGCTCTCCTTGCTGTAAGTGTATCTCGTTCGTGAAGATCAGACAAATTTACTAGCTTGCACGTTCGCAGCCGTCCAACTCGCCAATTCCAGGTATGATAGTACTCCCAGTGCTCCCATTGCCCCCAACTCCCCATTCGTGCCACCACCGCATATTTATTGTGGGCAGCATATGTGGGGAGATCAAGCATATCGCACCATGCAACACCAGCCACTGGCGTACTCGGGAATCGCCAACATCACTACAGGAGTCACTGAAAGGGGTGTGGATGACCATTATCAGTAGTAGACACCGCAAGGGATCAATATTCGAGAGATGCCATCAGCAATGCATCAAAATCAGACAGATCATTGTCATCACGATCGTCGTCGTTACCAGGCTCATCATCATTGTCGTCCAGCATAGCTGCGAGCCTCATGAGGAATTCAACGGGCTAGTCCTGCGAGATGTGCTTAAAGTTCAGCCTGTCACGTTGATTGTACCATACTTGAAGCTTGAATTCCGCATTACGTCGTGGCGGCGTTGGCATGCTCTCGACAGGGTTGTGGACCTATTGCAAATGTGAAATGTCAAAGTTTGACAGGTAAACTCAGCTGGGCTGAGCTCGCGAACTGAAGTCTGAACCGTAGAATTGAGCAGTACACGTTCTTGTTATCCTCCGCTTTATGTATGTAAGGTACACGTGAACCGCCAAACCACAACTAGTGACAGTGCTGCCGTGGTTCGGTCCGTGGTCCAACAATTAGGGCGGGCCGGACCTGAGTGAGGTTTGCGGTCCACCATTGCCCGAACGGTCCTTCTATGTTTGGTTCGAACCTTCCCCGAACCACAAGAAGTTTCGCCACATTGTTGACACTTGAACGTCAAGCACCTCTTCGTCATCTCTCTGACTCTTTCGTTCCTATGCCTTCATTCCTGTCCACATCACTTCCTCTCTATTGTTCTTCCTTTGTATAACAACCTCCCCTCATGTACAAGGATCCCACTTTCTTTGTACGACTACCCTCGTCGCTACAGTTGATCGTGATTTATGACAGGGAACTACTTAACACTTTGCTGATCTTATCTGTTACGAAACCGACTTGCCAAGGCGCTGTTCAGAAGCCGTGGATATTGGTTGCTCTAGTAAAAAATTGGATCACACTACTGGCATGACACATGGCATGTTGCCAAAATCAATCGTGGTTCGAACTTTTCCCCGTGAGTCGCTGCCTGGCGATTTGATCAACTTCCCTGTCGATCTTGTCGACAAGGCCTGAACGCATCTACTTGAATTCACCCTGAAAGCCCCTGGAACGTTTCGATTGATCAGGTATGATCTTTCAAAACTTCGGTAATATAAGCGCCGGATGGTAGTATATCAAACGAATGCAATCGTTATGTATCAACTAAGTTCCCCACTTGCTCATTCCCATCCTCTAATAGTATGACCCTAGTGTCGAACGATCCAGCTTGGTGGCCAGTCATCAATGCAAGTCTTGTTAACAGCTATTTTGAAGGTCCGTGGAGAGCCAGCTGCACGATGACCGTGGTGACTCGATTAACCTTCACTGCGGTTTCGCAGTTGCTGCCTGTGCTGCAGTGATGTATGATTGGGGTGAGCAATATTAAGTATGAAAAGACCACTCAGGCTCACATATGAGATTTCTAGGACTTACGTTCGGACAAGAGGTAGGTCGACACCATTACAAGAGTAGCCATCTCGCTGACGACAGTTTTATAGGTGGAACTGGTCTGGGTGAGCGGACTTCCACATCAAGAAAAAAGATGTGAAAATAATTTGCGGTAGAGGCAACGTTGGTCCCTGATGACCGTTTTGTATCTCATTGTATGTAGCTTGTGTTTTTAAGCATGGTTAGCAAGTTGCACTGACGTGAACATATCCCAGGCCCGATATGGTGGAATAGGATTTGTTGTGTACGTTTCGACATTCAAGCCATCGGTGTTGCGCTCAATGATTAGTACCCATCTCTAATCAGGATTAACCTGTTGAGTATGTCACCTTGCATGGATTCTGTTTCTTTTTTGTGATGGGCCGCATGCAGTCAATGTTCCGACAATTTGGACAGGAACAGTGAGTATTCCACACCGATGCATTCTATTTCCGTTCAAACTACTGAACTAACATGTAGGGGTGAGTGGTATTATCGATCAACTAATTGCTTCAATATAGCGACTCCCACAGCTGTGAGTTTGTTTCGAGCCCGTGACTCGGATCCTCCAAAGCTGAGAACTAATGCTACTGGATTTGTCAGGCCTTATCATATACGACACACTTTCTGCGACGAGTGACGTTGTAGAAGTACTACTGGGTGGTGAGCATCACACCTCCGTAATATCGCCTTCACTGAAACACCATGCAAGTTGTCGTGATCGCTCGGCTACATGCCATGTATCAGCAATCCAGAAAGGTACTAATATTTCTCGTTGTCATCTTTCTGGCCATCAGAATCGCCAACGCAGGTATGATCGGAATAATGATGACACAGACTTCAGCGGGTGAGCTTTCATTATGCATGAATACATCAAGCTCACTGACGAGCACCAGAGGAATTTGTTCTCTCGGGCACCTATCAGTGCAACATTACCTATGCAGGAAATTCCATATTTCTGATTTCTATGACTTGGATACTTGGTATCGTATGGGAGGTCCTTGCCCTGTGTTTCGCGATCTGGATTGCCGTGAACTGCGAAGGCACTCAACAAGAGGTATTATTGGGGACTGTTTCACGGTGTTAATGCAAACTCACCTGTGTTACTTTGCAAGGTGAGCCCATAATTTGAATGTAGTTGTCCTTCTTCGCTCATGTTCTGCACCTGCTAGTTTTTTTGCCAACGCTTGCTTCCAAATCGCTTTTCTCTCTCCAACGCTCTCTGCGGTACGCCGGTCTGTCACTGACCTCTACGTGTGCCCACGATTCATCAATTCTATAGTACATCTATTCCCTGAACACTCAGATTTATTTTGGTGTCACTGAAATCATCGAGATGGCGCAGCTGTGTGTGCTGGGACCACGCCTCATTCTTAGCGTTCGAGAATATCATGCAAAACTCGTGGCCGACTCCGATACATCAAGCGCTATGACTTCAATCGTTTTCCAGGAACGTGTTTATGTGGAAACTAGCAGAAACGTGTAGTACAGGAGATACTCGACGTGATTTATACCCGACATCTTTGCTTTTATTTATTTCAAGTTTTGTCGTGGGACTTGTTTAAGTTATTTGATGTTGCAAAATACGTTTGAAAGAGACATAGCTTTGGACATTGAAGTTTCTACCGACGCTACTAGCTGCGCGCCCACTTGCACCATGTAGCCAGCTGAAAAGTTTAACAGTTTTACTTGAAGATAGTGTAGTGCTGTTTATTGATTTTGATGGGGAATGACTCGGACCATGAGAGAATGAGTGAGGGGGAGTCTATTCACTGAAGCTGCAGAAAGTAAGGACCGACTTTTTATCTGGTGAGTACAAAAGGAATTCCATGGCCGGTGTCCGTGACTAGCAGAGTGACATTGCTTACAATAGTCATTTCATTCCAGTGTCGTGATGCCTATTCTTGACGTACAGAATTATTAGTATAAGCGTTGAAGTTACACGTGAGGTAAATTACACACCCAAGGGACCAGGTCTTTAGACCCGAGGTTCAGTGACTCAGGCATGGCAAGTATCACGCTAAAGACTGCAATTGCGTCAACATCGCTTTGATAAAGTACTACATATATAAGACTATACTATATATCGCATAACCTATCCCACCGCCGCAGCAAGCGACTTGAATGCTATGATATTGATTAATGAATCCTTCCACAATATACCACCACGAGCACACGTCAAGAAGCATTCAAACGAAAGAGCCAGAACCAGAACCACTGGCCTCACTAGCGTCATCAAACCTCGAACCATCATAGTCTGCTCGCGCAGCGCCGCCCCTGAGATCCTTACTCACACGCGACCGACCGCGGTTCTGCTCCTGATACCTACGTTTTGGCTTCACGGCATACGGGCGAACGGCGGTTTTGCCTTTGGCCTTGACCTTCTTGCGTTTCACGGAAAGACTGACATCTGGCCTGACGAGGGATAGTGAACGCGATTGATAGCAGTACCAGGCCACTGGCCATTGCAAAAATAGCCTTCGGGAAGGAGGCTACAGTGCTGCTGTAGATGACACCAAAGAGCATGGGCTACAGAACCTATATGAGAATATATATTGGTCTAGCAGGATATTACTTACCCCGAGGATAGTCTGGCCGATGGCCTGCAGGACAGCGAGAGCGCCAAAGAGCTTCCCAGGTTCCAACTCAACATCATCATGCTCCTGAGCCTCGCCTGTACGAACAGCAACTTCCTTAGTAGCAAGCGCACGACCCTGGAGGGTGCATAATGCGAGGCTTTGCATGGCTGGCATTACACCCGCACCCATGCACGAGAGTGATGTTGCGCCAACAAACATGAACTGCGACCACCATGCATCACTTGCACCGCGGGAGGGCAGGGGCACAATGACAACAAGCGCATGCGAAAGGAAGTCCACAAACATGGACCATCGCACAACACGGAGATCAAATCGCATTTCATTGAACAGGTGAGACTTTGTGGGCTTTGGCTTTGATGCAGGCGCCGTGGGATCCGCTGGTGCATCTGTAGCGGAAACAGCGGGCCGGACCGGCTTGAACTTCAAAAGAAGGACTGCTGATCATCAGAAACGTGAGGTATGACCGAACAGTTGACTTACATGGCAGGAGGATGAGCAAGTTTGAAGCACGACAGGCCCCCATGAAGGAGATATAGTAGCTTAGCTGTTCAGCTGCCCAGTCGTAGATATGCTCAGCATATAGGTACTTCAGCTGGAAGATCCCTGACGCCAGCATGTGCGAGAAGAGCGACATGCCAATGAACGTCAAACCCCAGTCTTTCCGTGTACGAGAGGACACGAGTGAGTCTCCAGTGGAGCTGGAAGCTACAGGAACATGCGAGGGGAGGAAGACGGCGAGGGGTGATAGAAAGCTTCGGATGATGCGAGTTGCGACCCATGTGTCGGAGGGCTCGTCGGCCTTATCTATAAAATCGCTCTGAGTAAGTCTAGATAAGCGACGCAGAGATACACGTACTGTTAGGGAACTCTGCACCACTCTCAACAGCTCGACCTTTACCCTTCCTATTTGATGCACGGCGAGAAGCGGGAAGCGATTCGGGGAACACAAAGAGTACTAAAATCAAGTTCACGAAAGAACAAGCTATCGCCACCCAGAAAACAGATGTGACACTTTTTAGTGGGTGGTCGACTCCACCGAGACGTAAGCATTCAGCCGATCAAATAGTAATCTGACGTACTACTTCCAGCACTCAGGAAAGGTATCGGATTCCTGATCAGCCATGCACCGATTATGGGCCCGAGAGCAAGTCCGATAGAAAGGACGCCAGTGAAACGGGCGAAAATAGTCGCACGTGAACCAGGAGATGTGCAATCAGCGATGTAGGCCGTATTAGCACCGGTTAAGGTCGACCATCCTCCAAGAGAGCCCTCGATGATAGGTGCAAGGATGAGTAGCTTATGCGAGTGAACAGCTAGGGGGCTGTGAGGTGTTGATACAAGAATAAATGTGAGGTCTCTTTATGATTTGACTATTTGTAAGATACGTCGGAAAGAAGCGAGATATGAAATGTACGTACGTAAGGAAGAGTCCGAGGGTGGAAATAGCGAGGACGCGTGTGCGGCCGTGCCTTTCCCCAAACTGGCCCCACCAGCCTGTTGTAAGAGCAGAGAGGGCACCCATCGTTGTGGTCATAATGGTCTGCAAGCGTGCAGCACCTGCCTGGGCGGCGGGATCTGAAACACACTTTTTACCTGGTATCACGCGGGGATCGTCATCGACATCGCCTTTGTCCTGGATTTTGCCTGAAGTATGGATAGGTGATGCTAAGTGGACGGAAATTAAATGAGGTTCTGCTAGTATGGGATCGACCACGTAATGGCTTGGATTGTCCGGAATGTAGCTCGGTACCACGCGGGTGTGATTATAGTGATCGTGTAGACTGTGGCATGATAATTGTGTGAAGACTTCTACACGGGACGCCAGCGTCATGCCGCGCTATACAAGTCGCACGATGACAGTCAGGATATTTCTCCAGGCGATGAGAAGCCAGAACGCACAGTAAGAGATGCGGTTAGTGCAAATGGTACCAGCCTGTCCCGGACTCCGTCAGTCGGATTATTCGTAACTCGGGCACTGACAAGTTCAGCGGACACCTGCTCACCATAATGGGCGGGCACGATAGAATGGTTTCTTGACTTTCGGCGTAGTCCCAATCAATGGGTCGCGTTCCGTTGGGACTGCGGCGCGCTCCAGTACTGACGCTGGGTAGTGGTCGACCGACCGTGGTGAGCGCGACGGGGAGAACGCTATGTTCTCTGTCGATATGATTGGATCCGTGATTATTCTGTCGGGTGGCATGGTGAAAGACAACTATACAAAGTCGAATGCGGGGCGGAAAGGCATCTCGAGTAGATAAAATGAATAAGTGCTATTTATAAGTAGTGGGAATGCGGCATGTTACTACCAGGGTCAGCGCTGAGGTCAGCACACGCACAGCACACGACCTGATGCTTACGGATGTGGGATCAGACACCAAGGCCACATGCACAACCATCGAGGCCCTAATGTTAGATATCCTAGTCCAGCGGGCCGGCTATGCATAAATCGTTATCACCTAGGGCCCTGCGCGTCCACATATCCTCCAGCGCTTGAACAAGGTGGCGTGCGTGGACCAATGAAAAGTTGGTGGTATGAAAAAAGCTCGTTGGGCCTACTTATCGCGCTTTGGATTCATGTCTGCACGAATTAGAATTTCCCACACAAGACTGTCGTGACACCGCCATTTTATGAACTTGAGGCATGGTAAAGGTTTTTACGGCATTGGCGGCAGGCATATGTACATTGTCCATGAGGCCACAGGCTGGCCCATCGCTTCCTCGTGGCATATAACTAATGTAGCATTCCAACAGCAGACGGCGGGCAGCCTGGGAGGCATTCATGATGGCAGGCAGCGGCGAGCAATGTTTGAACTCCACCCGATGCGGTGAGCTGCCGCAAGAACTCCGAGCGTTGGCTATTATTCTACGTCTTTTGCACCTACCAACCCTTGACCAACACAGTACTATCTCTTGTCCGATCACGCTTACAGCTCACTTTTCGCCTTGTGATGGACCCGTGTTTTGAACCGGAAAAGCCTTCGGCTTGACAGACAATATCATTGCCCTCGTAACCTGTCTTCTCTCGTCAGCGTTTTAACCCGCCTAGTTGTCACCTTCATCTTTACACCAGAATCAATTGAAACTTTTATCAGAAGCCACTGCGCAATGAAGGACACATAGAGTTGGCCCCAGTGTCGGTGACTTTTCACGGGTACGCGGCCATTGCGCATTAATTGCTCGTTCGACGGCTTTGGCAATTGTGTCGATCGTACCTTCAAGTTCCTCTCCACCCGATACGACAGCTGCTCCGGGTTCATTGTCCCTTGATGCCGAGTCTATCACCGATGTCAATACGCTCCTCAAGGATTATATCGATACAATCGAGAGCAAAAATACGTCTTGGTCTTCAAACGGTCATGTTTATCTCAGGCCGGGGTAATGATTATCTGCAAGCATTCCTGAGCAAGGCCTAATGACAGCGACTCACGCAAGTCATATCACATGTCGTTAACCTGATTTACGTTCTTTCAGCTCTCATATATGCTTCCACACCCGCCATTACGGATGCACTTCTGCTGCAGCTGAACGCGCCGGCGCGTGTGGTTCCTGAGGTGCTCTTCACGGATATCTTTGCGAGCCACCAGATTGGCTAGCTTGATCACTTGTTCAAGAACATCGACGAGAAAATGGAACAGGTGTAGAAAATGCGCTTTGGTTGCGATGAGTCGGCTAAGGAGGCACCGATGTCGAAACGTAAAGCAAAGTTGTTAACGCTGCCTCGAATGATGTGGCAGTAGTCAGTAGGCCGAAGTCGCCTGAAGTTATTACCTTGAAAGCAAAGATTTTTGGAGCATGGACAAGTTGTTCGTTGGCTGTAGGAGATCCAAAATATGTCGTAAATGCTTCCGTAACGGAATTGAAAAAGCTCAAGTCTTACTGGAGAAGTCAAGGAACTCTGTTGCACTGTAAAGGAGCTTTAATTGAAGTTCTATCATTGTCCGTGTCCTTATAGCATGGAGTGTACCGGTAGTTATGAAAAGAGACTTGAGTCATAGGTGAAGATTTTGGTCTACGAAGCACGCGTGCCAAAAGTGATCTGCAAAAGTCGTATTTGAACTATCCCCTTGTCATTTAGAGGATGGTGATGGGAATCTCAACACCTCCGACAACAGAGTACGAGGAGCCATCTGTTCCGGTCACCGGATAAGTAGTGTCCAGCATCACTACATAAGTGGAATTGAAGTAGGTTGCATAAGGGAGCTAGGGCCAAAAAAATCAGCTACCACGCATGGACTACATAACCATCAAAACTAACCTGAGTTGTAAACTGGTCGAGGAGAGGAGTTGCCGAGCTCGCATCGAGAGTGCGACGGGCGAGTAGGATGGGCGGCTCATGCCCGTTGTTGTTCACAGGGACCTCAATGTAGTAGTCGATGTATTGGGGGTTTATACCATATTGAGCAGAGCAAGTAAAATTTGCCGTCACAGTAAAGGTCTTCAAGTTGAAAAATGATCAGACTCGGAAGGAGCCAACATAAATGATGAAAACGACTCACGTCACCGGGAGAGAGCGTGGTAGGACTGACGTTAACAACGCCAAACCTTGTAGCCTCGGAACAGAACTGAGCAGCTGCTGGAGCGGCTACAGCAAAGACAGCAGCAAGAGTAGCAATTGCGGTTGAGAAGGAGAGCTGCATTCTTGCAAAAACAGGGGATGACACTTGCTTCAGTAGCACTTGGCCCTTTTATTCAACTTGAAGCTCAAGGAGGCAGTACTGGTGTCAATTAGTATTGTCAGGATCTCGATGGACTCGTGAGTCGTCAGCCTAACATTACGACCGCATCACTAACCGAAGGGACAAAATCACCGCTCCCAGAAAATCTGATAAATGAGAAAATATATGTGAAACATTGCGTGTATCTTGCGAGCGTACTCATGGTTGAAGAACGACGCCAGTTCGCAATGAGGCTTATAACAATGTTCAAGTCAAGTTCAAGTTCAAGTTAGCTTCAGATGGTTTATTACATAATATCACGGACTCGATCTACATATGGATTTGGGCTGCATGTGCTACTGGACCATCCTCAATTGATCCTTAAAGGGCTCCACAGGGCTACATTATAGTTGGGCGTTGGCTGTAACTTGTTTTGGAAACATTTTGTGTAAAGTTCAATGCACATTGTGGTTCTGTGGAAGGAATGATTATTAATGATGCATGTGGCGGCCACCGAGACACCTAGGCTCCTCTTGTTTCACCTACATAAACTACAGGCTGCAGCAGCTCGTCTACCTTCAAACCCAACTTCTCAAGAACTCCAGAGCAACTACCGTGTAACTTCTAATCAAATCACGACGATGGACTACGTCGTAAGCGAGAATGATCTTTGTCTTGCCATCAGATATTCACTATGATCGCATTTAAATTTCGGAAAGATCACAAGGAAACGAAAGAGACCGGCTTACGACTCCCAAGGCGATGACTTGGAGGCGCCCGATTTGCTTCATTCCAAGACTTCGATAGACCCGGACATGCGGCCATCCTTCGGCCTCATCCCTCCTATTGTTACCCTCCCTCCGGCTAGGGACGACACTGCAACCAAAGTACAGCTTTTACCATCAAAATTTAACACCGCTTAATGCACCATCAGGAGGCTGTGACCGTAGACGGCTTCATTCGTCAAGTCATTACGAGGGTGCCTGGATCGCAGCGGAAACGGCAGCTACGGACCGTACAGTTGCAAGATACATCCATTTCTACGGGCGCCGATGCAAATATTCGGCCAGTCACTAACAAGCCTGCTGGGGACAGGAAACCGATGACGCTGGCGCAAAGGCTGGCCCGTGCTGCCATTCTCTCCCATATGGAAACAAAGGAGATTCTGCACCCTCCCGCCGCCGACGGTATATCCTCCTCTCGTCGGCCTCTCAACTTTGTGTCATTCCCGAAATTTGCGACGCCTCCCTCTTCGCTGGGGAAGAAACTTATTAAAGAATCTGCTTCTTCTCGTTCTGAGTCTTCTGCCATCATACGCAATGATCGACGGGAGAGGGAAAAACAACCTGCTTCCGAGCGACCTGGCTGTCCTCCTCTGAACTTAGTTTCCTCACTTGAAGCGAATATCACAGATGCCTCTGGAGCGCGGTCTCACTCTGAGTCTTCTGCAGTCGCGCCCAACAATAGTCGACGCAAGAGGCTAAAGCCACAACAAATTTCCGACCGTCATGGCTACCCTCCTCTGAAGTTTGTTCCCGCACATGAAGCAGAGGCTGCAAATGTTGCAAAGTTTCCGTGAGTTGTTTTCTTTCAGACCACATAGGGACGTTCGGAAGATGGCCCAACAGACGCGCTCCAAAACGACAGCCTATTACCGACCGTCATGGCTATCCTCGTTTGAAGTTTGTTACTGCAGATGAAGCAGATGCCGCATCTACTGCAAAGCTTCCGTGAGTTATCTTATTTTAGAGCATATAGGGACATTCGGTAAGTGGCCCAACAGACGCCCTCCAAAACCACGGCCTATTCCCGACCGTCATGGCTATCCTCGTTTGAAGTTTGTTACCGCAGATGAAGCAGAGGCCGCATCTGCTGCAAAGCTTTCGTGAGTTATCTTATTTCAGAGCATATAGGAACATTTGGTAATTGGCCCAACAGACGCCCTCCAAAACCACGGCCAATTCCCGACCTGTCATGGCTATCCTCCTTTGAAGTTTGTTCCTGCACATGAAGCAGAGGCCACATCTACTGCAAAGTTTCCGTGAGTTGTCTTCTTTCAGACTAGATAGGGACGTTCGGAAGATGGTCAAATAGGCGTTCTCTAGAACGACGGCCTACTTCCGACCGTCATGGCTATCCTCCTTTGAAGTTTGTTCCTGCACAAGAAGCAGAGGCTGCGTATGCTGCGTGAGTCATCTTATTTTAGAGCAGATAGGGGCGTTTGGTAGACGGCCCAACAGACGCTCTCTACAGCGACGGCCTACTTCCAACCGTCATGGCTATCCTCGTTTGAACTTGATTCCCGCACATGAAGCAGATGCTGCAAAGAGTGAGTCGTTTTTTAGAGCAGATAGGGATACTCGATGGACAGGCCCGACAGACGCTCTGGACACCGTAACAAGGGCTGCTTGAACTCAGAATCACCCATGTCGGACCGAACCCAACTATGTACAATATCCTTCCATGACGGACAGTCCGCCAGTAAGGTCCTCTACAATTACAACAGAGCTGGCTGCACCTTGGCCGAACTACATCACACTTCCTTGCTCTTTCCCACATAAGAGCGCACAATTGTACTTGATTCACACTTGCTACGAGGAGAAAACAACTGTATTTTAGACAGACGAGGTGATCAAGTAAGAAACAAGCACTAGCTAGTTTATAGGAACTAAAGATGAACCGTTGAAATGCGTGACATAGCGGATGGTATAATGACAATAGTAGTAGGGTCAGCAACGAGACGGCATGCGAAAAACGACGAGGAAACATATGAACAACCAAGTCTGTCACTACTAATACTGCCAACATTCATAGTCAGTAGGACCTACAAGAATGAAGGACATCACCTCTATCAAATGAGCGCTCGCTCATCCTCAAATTCTTCGTCCGCAACCATCCGCGTACCACGTCGACGCATGACGAGGCTCTGCGCGCGCTCCGAGTTTCGGAGAATAACCGAGAATGGCAAGCGGTCGATAGACACCATGAAAACCCTGGTGTGTGCACCCCAGGGCCCAATTGGCATCTGAAAATGCCAAAGGGATGCTCTCGTTGCTCATGGACGGATTAATATCCAGGTGTGTTTTGTTGCCTTCACTATTGCCAGCAATGCCAATGTCACTTAGGACCATGTGTCCCTTGGCAAGAAGCCTGATGACACGTTCCATCTGAAACACAGGTGAACGTGGATTAGCTGCATAAGGTGAGGGTAGAAAACACGTACCGCCGCCGTGGCAAGAGCAGCCTTCGAGTGCCCCGGCACTGTGTCATTCACCCCCGGCAGGCTGACAGCACCAGACGTGGCACACTCGCGCTGCACGAGGACCTGCACAATGAGTTCAGACTGGAATGGGTTGGACACCTCCGTCCTCCATGATATTCCCGAACATGAAGCTGAACCTTTCGAGCAATTTTTTACTGTCCTGATCAGTGTTGAGATCATCCTGTGAAGTTATGAAGCTTGCGAGTATGACGAGGGCCACGTTGCTGAGGGTATTGCGCCCCTCTGACAACCGCTGGAGGATCTATAAAAGAAAATGATCAGATTTGAATAGCGCCTACCTTTCCTCCGTTAGATTCAGTCGCGGAGATTCTGAAAACGCGAATATCTCGCACATCCCCTTCTACGTAAAATCGTGCTAAAATGCTTTAGTCATTTAGATATCTATACCGTCGCTCAAATCCCACTTCGGTGACGCAAGTGCTGGATGGTGGTGTATCAGGAACTTCAACGCGATCGTCATACCGTCTACCCAGTTTCCCAACTCATTCACTCTCATTCTCTGGATTGGTACAGAAAGAGCGACTGTCCAATTATTGCGTTTCGACTCTGAAGCAAATTAAGGTCTGGACGGAATATATGTATAATGTTGCATGATTGCTGAGTACTGAATACTGATACTAACTGCCCACTCACAAATTACAATCGCACCAAGTGGCAAGCTGAAACCACAAGCAAGCGGCGAGTGTTGTGACATTACGCACTGAGCGCCTTGGATTTCATCTAAGGCTAATTCTCGCAATGTTCCCCGTGCACTCGTAGAGGATCCAGAGATTTTGCTCAGTCCTTATCATGGTATGAGCGCTGCAATGTAGTGCAAACCTGGAAAGGTTGAATTACTAGACGAAACTGGAGAAGCCTTGGAAATGGACCAAGTCAAGGACGGTAGAAATTTCAACGAGTATGTTACGATTGTCACTCAAAATCATGTTGTGCTCCACGTATGTTGCAAGAATGAGTCAGATAAACGCGTGAAGGAGACAAGAAGATGAAATAAGAAAGGGAAAAATGGTTAAACAGAGAGCTCAACTCATTCTTGGTTTGTGTGCTGTTGTTTATGTGCTGAATCAGTCACCCACGCGTAGTATTATTGGCTGTTTCCTCCATTCATCAGAACACAGCAATAGTATAGCTACCATGCAAGCATACCTCGCAGAAAAATACATGTCAGGGCCTAAAGCAGATGCTATTCTATCTCGAACAACTCAAAAGAAAAAGAAGAAACGCAAAGCCGATACCGCAACCACAGCATCTTCAATGTTAGTGGACGACGACGCCGAGTGGGCAGGCGAAAGTTCCAGGCGAAACGATGAAGAAGAAGATTTTACAGAGGCCGCTGTCGCGAAGGATCGTAGCTTCAAGAAGCGCCGTGTTGAAGAAGGTTCTGGGTGGTCTACTATTCGCGCTGGTGAGAAGGAGGAAAGTCCGCCGATACCTGCGGATGAACAGCCTACCGTCCTCGTTGAGGAGGAGTCCGAACAACCGTTTACTGGTGGACTGTTGACCTCAGCACAACTTCGGAAAGCACTTCCTAAGACTCAGCAGCAAGACGAGGGATTGACCAAAGAAGAGGAGGAAGCTGCTCAAGAGACCGTTTATCGCGACGCGTCTGGCCGGAAGATCGATACTAAGGCCGCCCGTGCGGAAGCTGCTAGGAAGAAACGAGAAAGGGAGGAAAAGGAAGCAAAGAAAATGGAATGGGGCAAAGGCTTGGTCCAAAGACAAGAAGCGGATGAAAGAAAACGTCAACTTGAGAAGAACAGATCACTTCCGTTCGCTAGACATGCAGACGATAAGGAACTAAATGAAGAACTGAAGGCTAAAGAACGTTGGAATGATCCAGCCGCCGCTTTCCTCACAGTAAGCATCTGTATGCCCTTAAAATGTTCGTTGCTGATCCCGTGTGGTTCACCAGAAAAATGTATCCAAAGGTCCCCGCAAACCCGAATATAAGGGACCACTACCTCCACCGAACCGTTTTGGCATAAAGCCAGGCTATAGATGGGATGGCGTAGGTACGTTATCATAGCCCTCCCCACCCTTCTAGCAATTCCTCACATTGCTTGCAGATCGCGGCAATGGCTTCGAGAATAAGTACTTCCAGCGACATAATGAGAGAAAGCGTAATACAGCAGCAAGTTATGAATGGAGCGTGGATGACATGTAATGCCGTCCATTTTTGTGGCTGCGGCTATCCTTGTATGCTCGACTTCTAGTTTCAATGTGCTGTTTTTGATATTGGTGGCGTTTCAGATAAGGTTAGCGATATTCTCCTTGGTCGAGACACCACGAGACATTGATTCCTGCAATCTAAAACCACGTGAACTGCCTGGTGGTAAACTATTGGCAGATAATCTGTCAGCGTGGGCTATTAGATGGAGGCACCTCAGACCTGCCCGACAGATGCTGGCTTGCCCTGTTGCCATGTGTTGCTACCTCAGTCGAGCAAGTAGGTGAATCGATTCCATATGGGAAGTAGGCGTACAACGTGGCAAACGTGGATGCGGTATATATACAGTGTATTGACAACAAAGCAACAGGACCATAAACTAAAACTCCGTAGGCATGATATGTGCGTCTAGCTAGTATTCATACACATCTGAGGCTTCAATCTCCGTGGGTTCTATGCGACGAGGCTCAACCTGCCGGTGACCCATTTGTCGAGGCTCCACTCGTACTGACCGCATGTTTGGGTACGTCAGGATCAAATAACGATCATCCATACGTGCGCCAACTTCTTCAAACTGCCGTTATGATATCAGCCGATCAAAGCCTTTGCCGACGAAGCTCCAGGAGCAACGATATGCGAACATTAGGAGCTCACCTTGGTTCCCTCTGGAAGAGGAATAGTCCTCGAAAATTCCTTTTTTTCTCGTTCCCTTACCAGTGTTCCTCCTTCATCGATCTCAGTGATCTTCACTGTTTCCCATGTTACAGTCAAATGACTACCGCGATAGCTAACATGGGCATTATGTTTTTTGATGCCAGGTAGATTAAACGTGGCCGTCACCTGGGTGTGGAGGTAAGGCGTGCGTAACATAGATTTATGATACAGTAATCATACGTACAGTACGACCATCACGAGACTCTCGAAATGAGACGCTGATATCAAACGTGAGCAATCTCGTGGATCGCAAAAATAATAGCTTACTTTGACTTCCGCCGCTTGAGAGGTTGAGGCGACATCACTTTTCTCACCCCTACAGGATCTGGTACCCGTGATAGGGCAGGTGAATGTATAGGCGTCGGCGCCTTTAAGGAGCTGACTTTTGGAGGTTCCTTGGCCATTTGACGCTGCTTCTGTTGCCTAAGGGTATTCCACAGCTCATTGAGAGAAGTGATGTCTTTAGTAGCACCACCCGAGTCCTCGGATGAGCGTCTGGGGATGGGCGGAGCTTTTGCGGCAGCTGCGTGACGATCAAGAAGTGTCGAGGATGATGAGTGTCTGGCACGCATCTGACGGGACTGGTTCTGTTGATAGACCCAGTCAACGCCGTCAAAGCTGCAGAATGAGTCCATCGCAGTGGACTGATCTCGGGCGTCAAACTTGGCCATCAGTTGTTGCCAGTGACAGACGTAAGAAACGATCTGGGGATGCTGTGTAGCGGCTAGAGAGTAAATATGTACTGGACCTGGGATTTAATTGAAGAGGGGATGTGATTTGATGTGCGTTTCGAGGTTATTATCAGGAAGACGTGCGGGTAGCTGGCTGATTGACACGAGGTTGCTATAAAAGCAGCGGACCTTGACCTGATCGCGGCCGATAGAATTAAAGGGAAAAAACGGCTGGTAGGATCCAAAACAAGATTTTTTACCTCATGCTGGCAGGTGTGAAACCCGCCAAGTGGCAAATGCAGTATAGCTGAGCGAGGACAGTCCAGGTAGTGGTCTTTTAAGTACATGGCCAATGCCGTGACAGCCCTGCTGTAATAAGGGTCCGGTTACAACAGCACTGGCCAGATCCAGTTCGCTTGACGCTTCCATGCTGTAAACCCCAATTCATTTGTGGAGAAAATGAGGTTGCCTCATGCTACACGTTCGCAGGAACAGGGCAGGTGACCTTTCTAACTGCCAGTACGAGTACTAGCTGGATCTGCAGGTCTGGTAGTTCTCTGGTCACATCTGCCGTAGCCGACTGCCAGGCCAAATAGCTTTAAACCAAACCTTGACTATACTGGAAGCGAGTGAGTTGCACTTGGTTCCAACCTCATCGATGGCACCCCCCTCACTGGCCACGCTTTTTGAGCGCTGTGCGTGTGATGACTCAAAGTTGATACCAGTGAGTCTTCTTGGGAGAGATGAAAGAGATGATCACAGAAAAATAGTGAAAAATGCGGTGTATCGTCAAAACGGGGCCCCAACTTGAGCACTCGCGTTTTCCAGATGGTCTTGAAGACTACATATACGATGTTATCCAGATACACACAGCAACCAGTCAATTCGTTGTCTTCGAACAGGGCAGGACTGCTGCCGTTCGTGAAGTATACATAATACAACGAAACCGCAACAGGCATGAGTCTCCAGAGATGCTACACGGATTCAATGTCTAGCAGTGGATGTTCTGATCTTGTAGCGTGATGACGCCACAGGAGCAAAGACTGATGCTCGATCAGCAATGTAAGTAAATAAATTACCACCCCGCGGATATCACAGTGGTGCAGGGGCTTTGAATTTCTTGTTAGTATAGCCGGTCCTACTTCGACCTATTCCCAATCTCTTCCGCTTGATTCCAGCCACGGCTTCCACTGGTGCTGATCGAGACTGTACAGCCAATTGAACTGAAGGTTCTACCTTGGCTGGAGGATGGAATGGGGCAAGTGAAACCGAATGGTCGACAGAACCACACAGCCGATCTACTGGCGTCAATTTAAATGGCTTTGATCGCGGCCCGGTTATAGCTCGATCTGATCGCTTGGTTTCAGCTAAAGCTGCTTCAGTGGCTTCCGTTGGTACCGTTGGGCATGACCGTGGACGATCTGATCGAGGGCGTACAGCCGTTTGGGCCGGAGATGCCACCTCGGCTTGACGACAGAATGCAGACAATCGAAGAGAATGGTCGACAAAAGCGTTTGTCGGGTTTTCTGATGTCAATTTGGGCTGCTCCACATGGGGCGTTGGATGGGGAACCTTGACATGACTTGAATTTTCATCCCCGCATAAGCTAGCTCGTACACCTGAGACACCATGACGTGAGCTCTAACCAAACAGCCATGTAGGGGACTGACTCTGGAATGCAGGTACATAACTAGAAGGGATGTTTCTTGTGATAGGAGGCGGAGGAGCAAGTTTGTTCTCTAGATTCCCATCAAGATTTGTATGGCTCATGTGAATCTGCCTTGCGGTCGAGTTACTAGGGAGAAATTAGTGGCAATCTTCAAGACTTGTCAAACAGGCGATGACGCACAATATCGACATTCGTCGCTTCACCTCCAGTTCATCAGGTATACGTGACCCTCTATCCAGAATTTTTGCTATAAGGCGGAGGTCTTGAGCGGAGTGGGTATGAGGCATCTGGGAGAACAACGGCTGGAGAGAAAAGAAACCAGCTTTAGGCATGGTGTCGTCCACCTGTTTCACAGAAATAACTTACCGGACAATTGGAACAGATTTTAGAGATGAATTCAGACAAATCTCTGGGCTTGAAAACGCCAGCGACCTTGCGCTTTAAGGTATGCGTTAGGTAAAGTGATGTCTGCGCCCGGGTGCATGCAACGTATAGAAGGCGTCTGATTGACCTAGTCAAAACAAATAAATATATAAAATGATATACTTGCCTTTCTTCGTGAATGTCATCTGTTCGGTAGAAAGGGAATGTTCCCTGTTCCACTAATAATATGATTATATGTATGCACAGTAAGAAACAGTAGAAGGTTGCAAACCTGCTGGGACAAAAACAACTGGCCATTCAAGGCCCTTCGCAGCGTGGCAAGTCGCAATAGACACCTTCTGTTGCAAGTGATGAGTAATCGAAATCTTGTCCTCGAAAAACAAACCTCGTCATCATTTTCATTCGACTGATCACCTGCAGATGACAGCATTGATGCTTGCAAAAACTGTCTTAGCGGAGTAGTATCTCTGTGCAGTCGGTTAAAAGGTTTGTCCAGAAAGAAGCGAACCAAAATTACTGCAATGATGATTCGTTTCCATCAACGACAGGAGCGTTTGAGGCGCCAGCAGTGGCATCACTCGCGAAGTTGATCAGTTCTTGAACGTTCTCCCATCGTGTGTCCCAGTCAGGTTGAGACTTCTTCAGATGTTCTTGGTATCCGATAAGCTCGACCAACTTGCCAATCAATTGGGCTGGTTCCATTCCATCAGTGGCAGACGATCTCAGTGATCGCATGACATTTACGAAGGATTGGACCTTGCGCTTTACAGATGGTTTCAAATCCGGAATTATAGAGTTGTGGATGCGTTCGACAAGAGTCAGCGGTGAAATTCCGAGTTTTTGTGCTCGTGAAAGAATTTCCCCAAGGGACTACCAGAAGTGCAGTGGATAAGCCGAAGAGATAACAAATGGTTATAATCGGCCGTTACCTTCTCTCCGATTCCCCGTGAGGGAGTGTTGATAGCGCGAGAAAACGCTGGCTCAAACTGTGGATTGTCCACGAGTTGGAGGTATGCCAAGATATCTTTAATCTAAGTAAAAGGTCGTTGTGTCATGGCCCAAAAGAAGGTATAGTTGGTTACTTACTTCTGCCCGTTCGAAAAACTGATGTCCGCCGAGCATTCGATTGGGGATACCTTCCTTTTGAAGCGCGTTCTCGATTGTTCTGGATATGGCATTGAAACGTACTGCAAATTGTTTGTAAATAGTTCGAGCGTTGGGAAAGAGGGATGTACAGAGCACCGCAAAATCTCCGAAACCTAACATCCCTCCTGATTGTGCTATCATGCGGTTGATCTCCCATGCAATGAAAGAGGCTTCATCATGTTCTGTAGGGAACGAACAGAGCATCGGAAGAGGCCCAAGCTGATGATCTGTATGCAGAATCTTTGCAATCCGAGATGTATCTTTGAAAGTGTTGGCAAACATATGTGATACGTCTGTACAACTCACCTTGCGAGATAATGGCGAGGCTCGTTGCAAGGATAGATCCGGCTGAACGGTAATTTTGCTCAAGCATGATCTGTGTTACATTCGGAAAGTCTGGGAGTCGAGTCAAATTCGTCCAATGCATGGTTACATTGCCTCTATCTTACCATTTTGCATCTTGCCAAGGTTTGTAATATCTGCAGATCGCCAGCCGTATACTATGCAGTTGTGAAATCAGATCAAGGTCAGGTAGTACTGATAGCCAGAACGTACTCGACTGATCGGGATCCCCAACAACTGTCACACAACGACTGGCAGCAGCGATACAACACATGAGCTCGTATTGGACTGCATTCGTGTCTTGGCTGGTGTAGCTTTTAGTGAGCCTTGATCATCGATAACAAACGAAAGAGCTCACAATTCATCGACAAGTATGTGCTGGCACCATGCAGCATATCTCGGGTGCTGCGAGAAAAGCCTAACGCCAAAGAGAAGAAGGTCATCGAAGTCTAAACTATTACTTTTGCGTAAAGTCTTCTCATAGTCGCGGTATATCTCTGCAAAGACACGCTGAAAATCTTCGTTCGTTGACTTTGAGAAAGCAGCTTTGCTTGAAACATGTCGACCTTCTTTGCATGGCATAACATCTTCTGGAGTTTCTCCCTTGGATTTGGCTCGAGAAATCAATGAACAGAGAGTTGAGGCATTCACTTGAATGTCTTTGGACGAGAGGAAATCTTCGTAAGGCTTCAACAATTTCGTCACAATTCGTTTGCTACAAGAGTTCAGCACAATATAACTGTATCATTTCGGCAACGTACCTCTCATCGGAATCACATATAGTGAAGTTCCCGTCGAGACCCACCGATGTCCCATGTTTCCGCAGAAAGAGGGCGCAGATCGCATGAAATGTTCCCAATTTCACTTTATTGACGTTATCTTTACCAATAAGCTTTACGAGACGGGCTCGCATTTCGTTGGCTGCCTTGTTGGTGAACGTAACAGCGCATATAGACGATGGGTCCATCCCATGGTGCAATACCATGTAGGCGATTCGTGATGTCAGAACTTTCGTCTTCCCACTCCCCGGACCTGCTAAAATTTGGAGCGGTAGATCTGGACGATGAGTCACACCTGTTCGAACCAGACAAATTAATACGCGAATGATGCTACAAGAACGCGACTTGAAACACACATGTAGTCTGAGCAGAGTTAAGAGATTTCAAAAGGTCTTCCGCCATCTTTGTTTCTTCACTGAAAAATGTAGAATGATTCTTTAAAGTGTGAGCAGTTGCACATTTGTGAGCATGTGCAATATAGGAGTGTGCAACGCGTGCGGAGTGGACAAAGCCATGAATATGAGACGCGTTTGTGACGGTCACGTGTTTGGACGAACCACAATGTCGAACTGGTAATCGACATCTCGTTGTCTCCCACCACGCCATATTCGCTTTATATATGATGCGTGCTAACATGAGAGAACAACAATACCTAGGCCTTACCACGCTGGAACCATTAAAGTCATGAAGGGTCATCACTTGATTCAAGCGGGGTTCAGGTCATCTTTTTCCCATAGATTAGTCAGCGAGCATGTATACTTCAACCGTGGTCTTGGCATGCACTGGCAAGTGCTCCTGCCAGTACTACTTGAGTCTATCATATTTGTTCGATCCCTTTTTGTGGGGAATATTTCCTACATAAAGCAACTATTTATTTCTTCGCAAACTTCACAACTTTCTGACACGCATCCTTTAAGGCATCGGCAAGCACTTCGAAATCCGAAATCTGATTTCATCGGTAAGAACCAAGAAGATCATCCTATCTTTATGAACAGATTCTCACCTCGTTCCACACCTGCGCGCTACACCTTGTCCACCATTTCCCATTGTGGTAGTAATGAGCGGCATACGTGTTCCGCTCAACCAACAATGTATTTAGCAGCAGAGAATTAATTTCATCCGAATATTTGATGTCGCCAGGAATGGGCAGTTCCACGTTGACCTGACTCGCAGGGAACATGAAGTGCGGAAAAGAAGCAGAACAATGCATTTACGCACCATGTTCAAAGTTAGGCCACCCTCAGGGTCCATTACGCTGGTTCCCAAAAGAGTTGCTAAATGCTTTCCGCCGGCGATCGCGAGATTGTGAGTGTATCCGTTTATCTTGTGCTCTCCGCCAAGCCACTGTCTAAAGTCCAAGGCTAATTGCAATCAAAACAATGATGCTAATGACGACTTCACACCAACCTGCATTTATACTCAGGGATGGAACATAATCCATGGTTCCTGTCCCTAGCAATCAACGGGACATCAGCGTTCGAAGTGAGTTTATTCGAGAGAACTAACATTCAAAAAGCCTCACAAAATCTTGTGGGCCATCATAGTGCTCATCTTGAGGTGAGTGATAATTGTGTGGAGTGGGTATAGGAGATTTGACAACATGATGATTGCTAGTACGCCTCATTAGACATCGATAGTTGAGCAAGATTAGAACATACCGTCTGGGAACATAAAGGACTGCGCAGCCTCTCTTTGCAAAGAGCCATTTGTGACAATTCTGTTGGGCTCAATTGGTCGAGAACAGTATGTCGTGAGGTGGAGACAGACTAACCGATATCCAAAAATCAGGCTTTGCCTCCGACAAGTTGATATCTACTTCCTGGCCAATAGCATGTGCAGCATCGACTACCGACCAAACACCCGCATCCTTGCAAATAGCCACCATTTCTTTCCAAGGAAGACGCACACCAGGATTAGATACGATGGCGTCTATCACAGCGACAACCTTGCGAGTCTGTTTGAGATCGCCCCCTTCCGAGGTCACTTGGCGGACATGTTTTCGCCAATTCTCCAGTATCTCCGCATGTGAGATAGGGAACTTAAGATCGAATGTGGACACTTGTGGGTGTGGTGGGGAATCTCCAAGATACCTAATCGCTCGGGACACAGCACCATAAGTCGTGGTAGCTGATTTGTGGGTGGAAAGGGTAACATGAGTGGGAGAACTTCAATACAGCCATTCTTGACCTACTCCCGATAATGATATCCCCTTCGTTCCAGTCGAAATTGCGGAGAACCGTATTTACGCCGTGTGACGTGTTATTTACCAAGACACACTCGTCGGTCTCTGCGCCTATCAACTTGGCCACTCGAGCACGAGCCTCATTCCAGTGGTGAATGCACTCTATGCGCAAGAATCTGTCTGGGTTGGCTTCGATGCGAGCGGAAAGTTTATCGCATGCAACTCTAACTGGCATGGGCAATGAACCGTATGAACCTTCGGCGCGTCAGCTATGAATCAAGGTACGGTATAAAGTTTGAATTATCATTCCGGTAGAACTCACCGTGGTTGAGGTTGACATAAGACGGGTCAAACTCAAAGAGCTTATGCATTGCGTGCCCAAATGAAGGAGGAGCCCCATTGTATAGCTCCACAGGGTCAGTAGTCGTGCTAGGGGCTAACTCGGAGGACAATGGGGTCTTCATGTTTAGCAAGTGGGCACACTTGAAGCCTACCAATGTCGTGGTCAAGCTGTGAGGCTTAAAACGGTCTACGGGTGACTTTAGGTGACTCGACGTGAGACCTGGAAACGAGCGGATAAAGTCAAATGCTAGGCACCGAAAACCCGATGTGACCTATGGCAGACCGTCACGTTTATCGGGGATCACGCGGGCTCATGCTAAGAACGTGATTGAATTGCGTAGCATACAGAGCAGCAGTAACAAAATAATCGAACAGCACAATGCAGAAGCTTGCACAACGGTGTTTAGCATATAACATACAATCGAGTAACAGGCAGAAAGTGCAGCAGTGTCACGATAACTAAGCAGTTGGGACCAAGTTGGAAGAACGAGAAAACGAAAGCAACAGCAAACTTGCGAGAGGAGACGGGCAAGCAATAGTGAAGCGGCAAGCCGACGCAGGTGAGTTATGTGCTGAGGCCATTCAAGTTGGCTATGAATTCAACTACGTTTGCCTTGGCCTGCACAACTGAGATGAGCAGGACACTCGACACGACGGCAAACGAGAACTTGCAGCATCGACAAGCTTGGAGCGAGAGGCATAGGACTCCTTCTGTTTGGCCGTAAGGCTGTTCCAGTGCGCGGCGAACTCGGCAATAGTACCCGTCTTGTGTTCGGCCTGCCATTCGATACCACAGAGATTGCGAGCTGTCGTCGAGTCCGAGCTAGGCTTGAAAATATTGTTGGGATTCGTTGGCGTTCTTTTCTTCTTGCCAGGCTCGAAGATAACTCCTGTAGACGAAGATGTAGATGTTTCCATGTTCGACGGTAACGGTGTTAGTGTTGCTAGCGGTGGAATCCCCTCGAGCAAGCCTGCAATTGGGAGTATAGTTCAGATTCCTAGTAACAGAATTAGACTCGGACAGACTAGTCCCGCACGTAGACCGTAGGCTCGAGCCTGGCTTGTGGCACACGCTTCTTTCTCTAGGATGTATGCGTAGTTGGACAAAGAAGGCGGAGCAAAGTTGCATAACATCAACAAATTCACAGAATGGATCTGATCAAAATTACACCTGGCACGTTCGACAATTCATCACACCGAGCAAAGTTGACTCGTTGGCCGTTCTCAACAACTTGCTTGGTTTGCATGTCGACCACGGTAAGTGTCTTCTAGATGAGTGATGTGACCGTACATAATAACCCATGGGCGGCGGCGCCTGACCATGGCTTCTATCTCCCAAAGTATATCTTGAGTATCTTATCAGCAGCTCTGGCCACATGACAAAACTGTCCAACAGATGCTTCTCACTTATCAGTTGAACCCTGCAGGCAGTCGACCCATTCCTCGATCCCGTCCTTATTGACTGATCTTTCAGATCAAACCTCTGTCTTTAAGCGTGACCTTTCAATATACCTCAGAGAATGACATCCGCATTTTTCTATGGCACGTTGATGCATCCAGAAATATTGAAACGAGTCATTGGAAACGACGGCAGTCAACTTCAAATGTGCCCTGCTCTCTTGCCGGTTAGTCTGCCAGGAAATCTTCAGTACCGACCATCGCCCTGACACAGTCCCGTTCCAGGACTACACTAGACACCAGGTCAAGGTGAATGACAGCGTTTCCTCTCACTAGTATCTTGACATAACATGCAGAAAGAATGAGGATTATCCTGGTATCCTGCCGTACTCGCAAAGTCGAGTGATGTTTGATCATGACCTCAATCCGGATGAGAAATCGGTACGAGGTTCTTTGGTGACTGGTCTATCGGACGAAGATGTCAAACTCCTTGATGTCTTTGAAGGCGACGTGAGTTCTGCAAGTCACTTCTATAACTGTTGACACAAATCAATATCAACCTTCCCTCGCAGCAATATACAAGAGAGTTGGTGCCTGTATACCCACTAGGACCGTTGGTCAACATAAGGGACATACCACCGATTGAGGTGAAGTCTCTGGTGCCCACGACACCTCCTCCGATCCTTGAATTGGCGGACCCTGTAGAGGTAAATACCTACGTATGGTGCTTTCCCTCTTCAGAACTCCGGGCACAGCTGTGGACATTTGAAGAATTTGTGAAGCTTAACGCGTGGAAGTGGATCGGGTCAAGCGCTACTGACAACAAGTACTTTGACGAAGTGGATAGAAGAAACGCTATGGAGGGTGTGTATATTGATGCGAGAAGTTGAATAAGCTTTCCTCGAAGTTTTATGTAGTCGGTCAACCCCGCAATTGAATTCAAAAGCTCTCACGGTTGCTACTACAAACAAACTAACGTCCATGATTTGAAAAGATGGCCATAAGTTCAGGGGACGGCCTCAGGACTTGTTTTTCGTTCGGCGTTCTCGTCTTCTTTTTGACTTTTGTGTTTGTTACCGGAGTCCTTCAAGAGATCAAAAAAAATCGCACTTTCAATCAAAAGATTGGTAGGTCCCTGACCTGATTTAACCGCAGTCTGTACCGTAGACTCACTTCCATCAAAGACTTCCCGGACTTTGGCCACTATAATGGAAATTTTATAAAGAGCATTCCCGATAGTGTGCTCCCAATAGGTCTTTAATTGCTTCATGGTATCAAGTTCAAAAGACTTATATTTGTGGTCAGACGACCAAGACAAACGCATAATCGCAATCGGAGACATACATGGGATGAATAGCTCGTTGACGTGAGTTTTTGCTGTCTATTCGTTGACCGACTCACCATCATCGTGTGATTGTGACAGGGATTTACTTGACGAGATACAGTACGACTCGGAAAGAGATTCGCTGATTCACGTTGGAGACCTGGAGACAAGGGCGACTATCCACGACTCCATCGACGTATTGTCGTTCATGTCATCCAAAAGACTCTTGGGCGTCAGAGGAAACAATGACCAAAAAGTGATCGAATGGCGGGCTTGGATGAACTGGATACTATCTCTTCCGGGAGGTCAGGAATGGCTTTCCATCATGGACAAGCGATGGCCCAATCTCGACGGAGACAAGCGACTCCAGAGAACAGAGCTTGAAAAATGGGTCGAGACGAGCAAATACGCAAGTTGGAAGAAGATGGTGCCTACTGGCTGGCATCCATTGGGCAAACATTACAGGGTCGCTCGTGCTATGTCTCCTGAACACTTTGAATATCTAAGTTCGTTGCCCTTGGTGCTTCGTTCTCCAAATGGCCACATGGTTTTTGTCCACGCCGGTCTGTTATCTTCCCACCCAAAGCTTAAGGCTTCCGACCCTAGACAACCTCTTTCCCATTGGCCTACCATAGATGACCACCATGATGTTGCAAAGCTGCGTAATCTTCAGGAGCTTGCAGTCCTTACAGAGATTCCCGAGAACAAAGATCCATGGACCCTAACGAACATCAAAAGTGTTACGGATACAGGAATCGCGTCTCCCAGTCCCAAAAGGGGGACTCCCTGGTCTCAATTGTGGAACGATACAATGTCGAAGTGTTCTGGAAATTCGGGTACGGATGCAGGTGAAGCATACCAGCCAACCTCGCTTCCATGTTATCCGTTTACTGTCATCTACGGACATGCTGCAGGTCGTGGGTTAGATATCAAACGGTGGTCGATTGGTCTGGATACTGGTTGTGTGAGCGAGACAAACATCCTGCGCTTATGATTTGACTAATATCGTGTGCAGTCGTACGGCCGTCAGTTATCAGCTATAGTCCTCAATGGAAACTCATTCTCTTCTGCTACACACCAACTCGGAGACAATATACATACAGAAGCCCCTTCATCACAAGATATCGTTTTTGGAGACAATGGACAAGCGCGCATTGTTAGTGTATCATGTGCATAATTATCATACCAATTCTTCATTCAGCTTCTTCCTTAACGAAGGTGAGTCATATAACTTTCGCAACGTTTGGATTGTACTTAATAACATGATGCAGAATAGATTTATAATTTCGCACTTTACAATTCCACCGCAACACGACGTTGTCGATGATGCAGAAGACCAATTTGTTAATTACGCACGTATCTTCACGAAGCATGAAATAGTTTTTTGAGGACGGAATCAATTCCATACATACCTCGACGTGTTCCGTGACAGAAGTCATGACTAGTCAGGTTGGCCTCGCTTACCAGTCCTTTTCCTCGAAGTGATTGCCGAGTACCACGAATCCCGCTAAAGTACCACATCTATCCCCATGTGTTACACATTTAAACGTAATGACATCCCCCGCTCGGAGTCTATTTGACAAGGCTACCTACATCATCTTCCTCCCCGAGGTTCTCCGCCTGGGGAAAAGACGTTCAAGAAGGACCTATCATGCATGGCGACATATGATATATTGAAAGAAACCAATGAACGCGCTCTAACCGAGCTTTTGTGAGAATCTCGCAGAACCGTGTCAAAAGACCAGTTTTCTAAATGATTTCAGAACCTAACTTCAAGTTAGCAGATACGGGTGGTGATTGCATCACAACCTTGGTTACGATGTGATTGGATATTTAGCGTTGTCAAGCTTCAAAGCTAAAGTGTCGAAACTCGAAGCGTAGCCAACATTAATGGGATTGATGCGAAGGTCGTATACCAGCTGGCATTATTACGTTCTGTCGCAGATTGGGATTATTATAACGTAGACTGCTGTTAATATTATGTAAGATAACAGACAACTTTTAATTATACCATCTCCTTCAAGCACCCAAGTCGGCACCATGGCCAGGCACAATGACAACTATGGTTGCCTATTGGGCATAGTTCTCGTTATCCTCATCATCTGGACAGTTGCAGGCGGCCCACGAGATACGGTCAGTTTCTGGACGAGCTCCCCCAGTAAGCGAATCCAGCCTCGTTCTATAGATAAGTTCACCTAGACCTGCAGAATTCCCTGACTTCAGTCATTACGACAATTTCTCACATACGCTATCTGATGAACAATTTCCGACTAGTGAGTTCTCGACTTTTTCTTCATCAATTGAATACGATTCTCAATGGAAGGCAGATGACAAAGATATGAAGATAATAGTGATAGGCGACTTACATGGCATGAATGAATCTCTGACGTACGCTCTCATAAAAATCCGCACTATGCTCGACGCTTACGTTTTCCCAGCACTCTGCTAAATCGAATATCCTATGACACACAGAAGGATATTTTAATACACCTTGGTGACCTCATGACAAAGGGACCTGTGGAAGACTCGTTGGCAGTCCTATCGTTTATGGAAAGCAACAAGATTCTGGGCGTTCGCGGAAACAATGATCAGCAAGTCCTTGAATGGCGCGCCTGGATGGATTGGATTGTTTCTCAGCCGGGGGGCAGAGATTGGCTGGTAGAAGTTGATGATCAGTGGCCTAAGTATGAAGACCCGCTCGAGAAGGACAACATGTCTGCATTTCACTCGTGGCCATCGTTGATAAAGAAACATAAGTGGGGGAAAAAGGTCCCCGAGGGTTGGAAGCCTTTAGGAGATCACTACCAGGTTGCACGAGCGATGTCCGTCTCACAGTACAATTACTTGCGATCTCTCCCTCTCGTTCTTTACGCGCCAGCAGGCCACGTGTTCTTCGTTCATGCAGGTTTACTTGCAGCTGACCCAACCCGGACACTCACGCATCCTAGACAACCATTATCGCACTGGCCATCGATAGAGCGCAAGCATGACATCACTGCTATACGGAAGGCACAGGAGCTCGCATTACTCTCAGATATTCCACAGAACCAAGATCCATGGGTCGTCCAAAATATAAGGAGCGTGCGCAAAAAGGGTAAGCCCACGCGCAGCAGCAAGAAAGGGACCCCGTTCTCTGACCTTTGGAATGAAATCATGAACAAATGCTCTGGTTTCCACGATTCCAATACTAAGCTTGGTTCCAATACACATCTCTCAGGCTACCAGGAGAGTCAACTCGCTGATCATGATCTCCCTTGTTATCCGTCGACTGTCGTGTACGGCCACGCGGCAGGTCGTGGTCTGGATGTCAAGAGGTGGTCCATCGGCTTAGATACCGGCTGCGTATGTCGACTTCCGTGTAAAATTGAAATGCACTGATCGTCCTTGCACAGTTTTACGGCCGAAGACTTTCAGCGCTAGTGCTTGATACAAGATCATTCCATTCAGGGGCTTCAGGGGATCACACTATCGACTTCCCATCCCAAGCAACCAATCAGTTTCATGTAGAGCCTTCGTTGTCAGGGGCTGGAAACAATCATACGTACGACCCCCTGTCCAGTACAACCGATTCTCGAATCAAGTTTGACCTCGAAGGAGAAGCCCGGATAATCAGTGTCAAGTGCCATTGATCATTCGCCATCCTCATCGCATATCGCGGCATATCTGTCACCGAAGTAATCTCGGTATCAGATCCTTACGGAAATTGGAATTTTGGCAATGCTCGCGTCTTTGGACGTCGGGAACGAGACTATCAACGTTCCTCGTCCCCTTAAACGTTGTTTTGTTGCATATCTTATCTTCGCATTTCAGGCCCCTGCACTAGTACTATTATGCAACACCAGTATCTTGATCGTTTCTTACAGCAACGCGCAATATGCAACTTGACTGGACAGGATAATCTTGTATTCCACATTCAGTAAACATACATAATACAAACATTTATTATCTAGGCTATGAAAAGTAGGTTTGTGTCCTGTATGGCAGGTTATAAGAGACTGAGGAGCTTGTAGAGAAAGATACTGACCATCGGGTGAGAACTAGACAGCTATTTCAAAATAGTCAGAAAAGCGCAATACCAAATGCAACTATAGACAAACCTGTGGTTTCTGACTGTACTTTGCCCTCAAATTATCACTGTCGCAAAGTTCATCAGAAGCGAACAATCGATCCTGAAAGATAAGACACTCACCGGATGGAATTAAGCAGCTGCTGGTAACTTTGTTGCGGGTTGTTGGCTGCGGAAAACGTGTCGAATTAGGAGCTAATGATAACACTCCAAGATCACTTACTGAGTGCCTTGATAAAAGCCTGCATTTGAAAGATGCATGAGAGACCGGAGTGAGAAGCGCGGATAAAGGAATTTACATAGCTCATAGCGCCTGTAGCTTTTCCGGCTTCTTCTGCATCCGCACTGGTCTGCGAATCCTTGCAGCCGCTCCAAGAAATCTAATAGAAGGTGAGTGTGATATAAGGTAACCAAAAATTCACGCACGCAGTCGGCAGGACTTGTCTTTGTAGTCCTAGAGATCATCTCGGCTTTCTGTCTATCTCCGCTGGCAGTCTTGATCAATCCCTTGACAGAGCTGAATACGCCGCTCATATCGCCGCGAGCGTATGAAGTCACAGCAGACATTAAACTTTGGCCTGCCTCCGCGGCGAGATTTGGCTCTTTGATCTTGCCCTCTGTGGAATACTAATGCACAAAATTAAGACTAGGATGAAGGTGCGAAATAAAGATAACGCACGACGAATGGGAGATCTGAATATCAATTTAATTCGAATTAGTACGAGTGCTGAAAAATGATAACAGATCCATTCATACCCAGAGCTGATCCGGAGTGACAAGACTGCGAGAATTTTAGTATATTAATATCATTTCAGGTTCTTAGAAAAAGAACTTACATCAAATATAGCGGTGAGACGACAACCTGGGGGAAGCGACTTCACCATGATGTCGTGCATCATCTAAAGGGTGGTCATTAGTAGAAAGTAGCGAGGGAGGGCTACAACGGGAGCATACATCATCAACAATATGACCACTCTCTTTGAAATCAACTGGGTAAATGACTATCCCGTAAACGATTAGTACATGGTTTCTATGAGATGAGTGTCATGTAATTGGCACCTTCATCATATCCGTCTTCTTCGTCGCCATCAAGGTCCTTCGTCTGTCCTCCGTGGCCAGAATCTATTTGGTGTGAGTAACAATCAGATGGATGACCGTGAGATGTGCGCATACAATGGAAGAATAGCGAGTCATTAGGACGGGCATCACGAACGAGCCACTCCATTGCGCGCAGCTATCGGCCCCCATCATTCAGCACTAGTACAACATTGTAGGCAGCTTACTCACTATGTTCTGCCGAGTAGGAAGTTGGCGTGGGTCTCTCGCATCGTCAGTGAGTATGACCATATCCTCCTCCTTATACCCAAACTGAGCTGGAAATGATTCATGATATACTATGCGCATTCCGTAGCGACTAAACTTACTAGCCAAGAAACGCTTGATATTGTTTGCATCATTTATGCAACCACGCAATTGTTCGGATTGGCCGATGTAATTGATCCCAATCTATTTTCAAAGAGATTATTAGATGGGAACGTGTCAATCCACGCGCACAGCATACACATAAAGCTTTCTTCTTGCCGTTACACTGAGAATATTGGAAAAAGGATTGCTGCATCTGATTGGACCCTTGCATTTGAGGGCCGTAATACTGCTGTTGATTGGGTGGCCTCTGTGGGGGTCCGCCTGTTGAGAAATCATGAAGTGAAATAACTTTGTAGGTTACATCGAACAACTCACCTGGAGGAGCATAAGCGTAACCACTGCTCATCCTGATGGATGTTAATATATCTATCAACGCGAAGATTTTACAAAAAGCGTACTGGGGTGCACCATAGTCACGAGGGGGTCCAGGTGGCGGTGGATAATTACCAGGAGGACCTGGGGGCGGCAGGAATTGTGGAGGGCCTTGCCTACCCGGAGGAGGCCCAGGGGGTGCACCGTATGATGAGGATGGAGGGCCAGGGGGCGGTGCATAATGAGTGGGAGGACCTTGAGGGGGGGCATAGTGTCCAGCAAAGCGACCTGGAAAACCACTATTATGGTGGTGTCCAGGATGGTTATCTCTTGATACTGGTGGTGGTGGTCCAAAACTGTGGTGTGATGATATCGATATTGAGGTAAAACACCCAAAGTATATTTGACTGGTTACCTACCCTCTGGGTGCCAGCTGGGAACCGTGCGAAGGAAACGATGGGTTGTATGCAGGGGGATTGGGAGGAGCAAAATTGGCACTAGAACAATCGTCATAACAGCTCAACTAACTATTCAATACATTCACATACGGGTTTGGGAACCTGACGATCCAAGATGCGATCACAAATTGGATTGGATTCAGCGTCTCTTTAGAAGATGTTATCAACGTGCTTACTGAGGTGGGGCGCCGCCAGTACCACTCTGAGTGTTACTGGTCGGATAACCAGATTGCCCTGACCACATGCTGGATGACGATTTATAGGGAACTCAACAGGTAAATTGTGAGAGCTCAGAGAGTGAGACACTTCAAACTGGACGAGCTTTAGATTCAAAGCGCACAACAAACACGTAGCTGCGCTCACGGCATCTTTCATGCACTGCCACACTTTGGACCGCCACTAGGCTCAAGCACTGAACGTTCGTTTTCATCTACACACATGAAATCTGAACCGAAAAACATGTCATTCTATCCAGCCATCAATGAAGCTCAAGTGGCATCATGTCATATACATTGCAGAGATCACAAATGTTGGCTTGTCCGCGCTGAATTCATGATGACAGCCGTGAGTAGGAACGTTCCCCGATCAAGGCAAGAATGAGTATTTCTGACCGAGTGCTCACTATCGAGGTGTGTCTCGATCAAACCGAGATTTTCCTTTTGGAGTGTAACCGTTGAAGAAACTGAACACTGTAGCTCGATTTGCCCTCGGATAATATCATATATGATTACGCCGCAACGTGTCACCCTGAGGCCAATTCGACGATCTGATATAACTCCGTTGCTAAGCAGGTATACGAGACTCGCCTTCAAATAACCAACTATCAAATGGAGCATAATGCAACTTGCAATGACTAGCACACAAGGCCGAGTTTACTCCCGCGGTTGGCTTTGTCACCATTAAATCTTCTCTGGATACCGCTGTCGATGCGGTGGCAATTGTCATGAAAAGGACGGTCCGACTGTTTCCGCGACTAGCGGACCTACAGTTGCGACGCATCTGTCAAAAGTTCCGCTCCTTTTCACCTTGTTTATCCTACTATCGCGGTCTCTTAACAAAAGGATAAGGGTGTTGCTAACAGCAATACTATCTTGTGTTATCATGCGGACCTATAACCGGCTTCGGGGCAATCTCGGAAGCGTATCTATACGCATTACTCATTTCGTTCCGGTCCCTACCTCTCGGGTTTGTTGCGTGGACAGCCAGGATCCCCCGCACCGCCCCACACCCCGGACAAGTTCCCTCCATTTCCATCCTTTGCCGGGCTTTGCTCCATCAAGATTTTTTCCCGAACTTATCCCGTGACATGAGAAATCAATAATGGTCATGGACCAGCAGTATAAAGGAGAGCTGCATCCGTAATTGAGTTGAGTGAGCAATCCTTTTTCTCAACAACAATGGGTGGAGGCCACACTGGAGGCGCAAGCCCTTACGCTGCGAAACATCGTCAAGCACTGCAGGGCCAGTCAGGATGGGTAGTTTCCGTCGAATAATTGCGTCCAGTGCTGCTTGCTCACCACATTGCGCAGGCTGGACTTGTGCACAATCGCAGAATTTTCGCCAATGCAGTCTTCGCTTCTCTGGGTGGTTTGCTCTATGGTGTGACCCTATCACTGTGTTTTCCATCAAGCTCGTGCTGACACCGTGCAGGTTATAACCAGGGTGTATTTTCCGGCGTCTTGAGGTGAAGTCTCATGCCACTTTTTATTTGGCATCCGCGATCCTCAAACTGTTTCAGCATGTATTCATTCAACCAGCGCATGGGGTCCGCCGTCAGCAATCCTGGAACGAAGGGCTGGCTTGTATCTATTCTGGAACTCGGAGCTTGGGTCGGTGTACTCTCTACGGGGTACTTGGCTGACAAGATCTCCCGCAAATATACCATCATGCTTGGTTGGTGTGCTTCTTTTTGAAGAGGATGCAGTTGATTCATCCATGCAGCTGTCGGTGTTTTCTGTGTCGGTGTCGCCGTCCAAACCGCGGCATTCCAGCCCTCATCAATATATGGCGGTACACTCTCAGAGTCTGTTTAAAGCTCGTGTCTGAATCTCATCTCAGGGCGTTTCATCACTGGTCTTGGTGTCGGATCGCTCAGTATGGCGGTTCCTCTGTACAAGTATGACATAGTAGTTTCCTTTAACGTTTTGGCTGATCCTCTACCAGCGCCGAACTTTCTCCCCCTGAAGTCCGCGGCAGTTTGGTTGCCCTGCAGCAATTTGCTATCACCTTCGGTATTTTGATCTCCTTCTGGATCGACTATGGTACCAACTACATCGGTGGTACCGGAAGCGGGCAGAGCGAAATTGCATGGCGAGTTCCATTGGCCATGCAGCTTGTTCCTGCTATCATTCTAGGCGTTGGTGTAATTTTCATGCCTTTCTCTCCAAGGCATGTCTCAACTCCTGCTTATGACATGTCACAAAACTCATAGTGTCCAGATGGCTTGTTAACCAAGGCCGTGATGAAGAGGCTGTCGCCGTTCTTAGTAGGGCTCGCCGCCTTCCTCCGGACTCTGACCTCGTTCAAATCGAGTTCTTGTGGGTCAAAGATAATTTCTGCCTTGATCCTTCTGATCATGGTCTTCTGCAGGGAAATCAAGGCCCAGTACCTCTTTGAAAAGGAATTGAATGCTTTGAAGTTCCCTCAATTCCAAGATGGGTCGTTCTCATCGAATTTCAAGCTCGGTCTTCATGCCTATATGAGCTTAGTCACCTCGCGCAGTACGAATCGCTCACACTGATACCAATTATGAACGCTTATGTTACTCGCCAGCTCTCTTGTACCGTGTCACTGTTGGCTCAATGTGAGTCGCTATTTTACATCGATAGGACTCAGTCCAATGGATTTTCAGGACCATGTTCTTCCAGCAATGGACTGGCGTTAACGCCATCTTGTACTACGCACCCAGCATTTTCAGTGACTTGGGCATGACGGGTAGCACAACTAGCCTCCTTGCTACGGGTGTCGTCGGTGTTGTGTATGTCTCACCACATACTTTCACTTACATTACTGACACAGCCCAATTAGCATGTTCCTCGCAACTATCCCTGCCGTTATTTGGATCGACAAGGTCGGCCGTAAGCCAGTCTTGATCTCTGGTGCTTTCATCATGGCTGCGTTAGTATTATATTCTTGCGTGTGAAACTTGTCGTTCTGAACATTCCATAATAGATGCCATCTCATTGTTGCGGTACTGACCGCATTGTACCACAATTCTTGGTCATCGTGCGTCTCATTGAAATTTCATTAACTCGCTTGAACTAAGCATCTCACCAGACACCCTACCGCTGGTTGGGTGGCTTGTATTTGCGTTTGGGTATTTTCCGTCGCCTTTGGTTACAGTTGGGGTCCGTGCAGCTGGATCCTCGTTGCTGAGATTTGGCCGTTGAGTATACGTGGCAAGGGTATCTCTATTGCTTCATCGGCCAATTGGGTTCGTTCTATGCACATTTATGAGGAAGTCCACTGATCGTCATGGCAAACAGATGAACAATTTCATTGTCGGTCAAGTAACGCCATCAATGCTGACTCATATTGGCTTTGGGACATTTGTATTTTTCGGCGTGAGTTGTTTGTTCATTTACTTCTTTCGATGTCTCACGAAAATGAACAGACCTTCGCCCTCCTCGGCGGCTTCTTTATCATGTTCTTCGTACCCGAGACCAAGGGCCTCACTTTGGAAGAGATGGACGACGTGTTCGGAGACCGTGACGGTCTCGCTGTTGCGGATCAACAGCGCCAAAACGCCATCGCGGACCGTATTGGCTTGACTGCGTTTGGCCGGAACAAGCGCGGATCCGATAACGAAAAGAGCAGTCACGAGCTCTTCGACGATGAGGGAAAAGCTTAATATCCATCGATGGATGGCGCACATACTTCTATGCACTCATTACTTCATACGCTGTACATTGTTCCGCAAATGCACCCTAGTGGTGAACATGGAGATGGAAAAATAAGATTGAATAATATTAATGTTGATTAGCACTCAATGGCAGTTGCTGCAATGATGACGTATCTTGCTGCGAAGTAAAACACCTCCGAGTCGCGTCCGCAAGATCATCAGTGGGGCGCTCTACGGAGCTTAGTTACGCATTTGAGAGTTGAACATCTAGACATCACCAGACCGTTGAACCTGGGGAGCCCCAGCCTTCGCGGGTCGCCGTCTCCATTTGGGTCTCCAATTAAAGAATACTGGGGTATCCAAATCTGTTGCCTGTGTAAATTTTCCATCGTGATCAAAAAGCTTGAGAGACCGCTTTGAGCCGTCTTCTTGCAGATCTATTGCTATGGCCCGGGGATACAATGTATTCGGCAATTAATAGCAGTGAAAACCGGCGCTTGCCAGCAGTTGCCAGCAGGTGTATTGCTGTTGCCTTTGCTGGCAAACGCTCAGATTCACGAGGAAGGTCAATTTTCCTGCTATAATCGCATCGTGATCATTGGTAAATCCGAATTGTGCAACATAAATATACTCTCCACATGATGATATTCCCTTGTTCTCGGTTTAAATCACGGGTCCTCCACCTCTCCGCGGACCGTGGTATGCGCTGTCACTCGTGACAATATTCATGACAATATTCATCGGATGGTCACGGTCTAGGATGCTCCTCCTGAGTGATTGCAGTGTCTAGTATTTCAAAATTTAGCGAGTCTTTTGAAAAATGAATTAATTGCTTGCTTTGCAATACTCAATTTGAAAACCCTCGTTTATTCGACTGATGGGGCACAAAGATCATGCATAAATTCCTCAGCGGTGGAATCCGGGAGTCCGAACTCCTGGCACGACAAACGACAGGCCTTTAATGGGCGATGGCCAGCACGATACGGGAAGATACGGTGTGGCACTGGCAGGGTTGGTGGCTGGGCGTTCTGGATTCTTCTTCGTCACACGCTAGAGGGTGCGCGGGGATCGTTCTCGCCGCTTTATTCTTTATTTGGTAGTTTGCAGACCCTAGGATGATTTGTCGTTGTTCCTCGCTTCGGTTTATGCAACGAATCCAAGGACATGGCAGTGACTTGCAGTGTAACTTGGAAATCCAATTCTGTAGTTGTCAAATGGTGCTGGTAGCTGGATGTTTTTTTAGCAGAGTGCCATTGATGATGATTGAGAGTTAAACTTATCTTCAACATGCCGGACAGACCCTCTTTGAGACCGCCGACGTTGGTGCAAGTTACGAAAGTAAAGGCGCTTACCTAGCGGAGGAACACCCGTGGACCTTCCAGCTACCTTCATATCGATAGGCCAGAATCCATTTTTGTTCATTCACCGCTTTTGAAGTTAGTTGGGGAGCTGGCCAGATAAAAAGGTCCTGCCTATTACGATGCTTTGCATCGGGCGAGATACCCCAGAATGGCACTGGATTGCGCAGCTTCCTCAATCGTTTGGACACCATTCTTACTATGCTCAGTGGAAACCGCCATCACATTCCAGCAGCCATAAAGCAACAATGGGTCACTATGTCTGCCCACATGTCATCCAAGGCCATAGCCCAAGTCACTATAGCCCTGAGTGGAGCATGCGAGTACTAATGTTGAGCTCATGCTGGCATGGTCCGAAGTAACAGACAATATTATAAACATATCATGATGAGTTGGTGATAAATATTAAATAGTCATACCGGTATTAGGGTTGACATTGAGCACGGGTGAACCCACGGGTCGCTGAAGCCACACCGCACTCGTAAGCGCAAACACCGTACCCGCCACGGTACGGACGGTGCAGTGAGCTCAGAAGGGGTGTCAGACACGGCGTCAAACGAACCGCATACCATATATCACTTTGCGCAGTCCAGTGCCATTCTGGGGGTATATTCTCACCCCGACGAAGTACGTAATAGGCGGGACCCTTTTGTTTGGCCAGCTCCATAACTAAGTAAACAAAAGCGGTGAATGAACAAAAATGGTCTATGCGTGTCGGCGCTAAGTGTCACGCGGGAAGTAAGGCGGCGCGCACTTGTGACCAGTGCGGCCGAAGGTTAGTAAAGGTTTTTTCGGCCCGAAACATGCACCCGAACTGGGTAGCAAGGTGAGCTGTGACTCCCAAGTATTAGGAGCCAGCGACGCGTTCAGCGAAGCTTGAATACCCAGAGTTTAGGAGCTGGTAAGTTCAGCTGTGATTTGTTAAGGGTGCGGCGGGCGGGATCATGCAAGCGATCATGGCATGTGATTGCCGAGTAATGAGGTAAGAAAATAAAAAGGGCACATGGTGGCCGTGGCGCGTGATTGGCCAAAGGTTTGGACGTGTTGCCAAACATGGGAAGGATGGGTACTGCAAATGCGTGGTTGCTACTGTGGGCTGCATGATTGCTGCGTGCATCCACATCCTTCCCTTTATTAGGTATCTCTGCTGTCCCTGGTGGCAGCCTGGTTGATATACCCAACGAGAGTTTGCGGCCGCAAACTTCCTGCATGAGTAGTGTATGAGAGCATTTAGTAGCTCTCTACCCATGGCCAGCTTCCCCGCCGGGCTTGTCTTCATTGTATGCGGATGCACACAAGGATCAGAGCCCTCAGAGCTCACCGGTGTAGCGGCAGTTGGTAGCCTAGCGAAGCCGGTCCATGACAACGACCGCAAACAAAAACGAGGCTTTGCGGCGTGAGCATACTGCAAGCCGAGTCGAAGCGGTACCGCTGATGTGGACGGCGGGAGCAAGAGCGCTGCGCCACATCGCTTACTAACACATAGACTAAATTCTACGCTGCCTCGTACCTCGGCTCGCTTAGAATAACCAATTCTGGCATCGATACATGTAGCTGTGTGGCAATGCACAGTTGTTTAAACCCCGAGATGTGCATGTATCTTTTTGCTCTCTATCGCAGGTATGTACATGGTGCTCCTGATTTTCGGAGTACTTTGACACGCTAGCTATGCAGAATGCGTTACTGCAGTCAATACTTCTGTGAAGGACCAGCTGAATCTGAGCGTGAGCATTGCTGTCGGGTCTTCTATAGTAAGTCTCCTTCGCTGATTCTTGTATGACGGTACTCATGTCGGCTTAAGCAAACCACTCTCTTGGTTATTCCGTAAGTGCTCGTCGTGTTCAACATGTTGCTGCCAATACCAACTGAAGTTCTTGGATAAGGCTCATGATCACCCTTGGATGGATCATAGGCAGGTCACTGGCTTTACTATTCGACCCGTTTGAGTCTGGTGAGTGTTGTTCCAATTCATCAGTCCAACTGTAGCTAAGCAGACGTCTACTAGGTTCTCTACGTTTCAGGTATGCTCCGCACTCTCTGATCATTTTCTCATGCAGTGAAAACCATGAGTCTCGTGGTTACGGACGGGAAATCAAACTGGCTAGATGGTGTCATCTTGATCTATGAGAGGTTCAGTGCCGCCCGTAGGCTGTCGTGCTCAATATTCTTATAGGTTGGTACGTCATCATTGCCGTTTCCTTCTGGTCCTACCCTAGCAAAGTCAACAGTCATTTGACGCCTCGAGATACTGATCCGTCCTCCACAGCTGCCTCGAGTCTCCCGAGTGAACTTGCTGTCTGCGTGTAACGATAATTGGTCTTCATAACAATTCCTATCTCGCGTCCTGTGATCATATTTTCCCTATAGAGTAGAATGCCCAGTCCGCTCATCCAAGTATGTTCGTTTAACCTTCACGTTCTTTACGGATTTATCATTCATTTGCTTAACACCCTACTTCACACCTTGTATGGGCTATTTTTGACAGTAGAACATCTAATCGATGTACTTTATTTACTATTTGACACAATGTTATGTGGTTGCCTTGTTGTATAACGTACGTGGTACCCCTCACCGGAGCGCACTTGCGCTGAAGCTACTTTAGCACCGCGGAGCGCTGGTACTATGTATAGTCATGCGTATCCTGAGGGGTTGCGCCCAGCAAGTAATGGATTCGGTAGATAGCGGTTACCAAGTATGACTGCATAGAGTTCTTTGAAAGTGCCAAAATGGTGTATTAGGTTCAACTGCGCAATGTATCTTTAATGGCTGTTCTGGTGAACGATAGGATGGCATAAAAGCCATGGCCATAGCCAGGCCAAGGAAATCATTACATCGTCAGTAAGCTATAATGGCCTCTCCCAAAGTCTGGTTTAGTAAGAATTTCCTCTACTCACTAGCAATTTCACTGATGCTAGGCGCCACGCACAGTAACGGGGACGTCTTCAGGATTCGGAAGATCCATGATGGAGCATGCACTCAGTCAAGGCGACATCGTAGTAGCGACCCTCCGCAAACCAGAAGTCCTATCGGATCTCGCGGCTCGATACTCAGCAGACAGACTCCTCATACTCAAAGTGGATGTTTTGAAGCAAGAAGACATCGACGAAGCATTCGAGCGCACGCGTTCGGCGTTCGGACGGCTGGACGTCGTGTTCGTCGATGCCGGATATGGTGTCTTAACGGAAGTTGAAGGCACGCCCGATGATAAAGCGCGCGAGGTTTTCGAGACGAACTTTTGGGGTGCGACGAATGTTGGTCGTGCCGCTGTAAACTTTTTTAGGGAGGTAAATGAACCGGGCAAGCGGGGGATAATTCTTCAAGTCAGTTCGGTCACTGGGTATCATGCGTCTCCTGGATTTGGTTATTATACTGCGTCGTGAGTGCAGTTTTAAATTTGGTGTTGGCTGAGATGATGCTAATGTGTTGCAGGAAACATGGTAGGAATATCGATGCGAAGGAAAGTGGAAAGTGGCTGATCATTGATTTGATGCATAGCGCTGGAGGGTTTCTCAGATGGTCTCGCGAAAGAGTTGCCAACTCCCTGGAACATGAATGCACGTCGTTCTTTTCGCCAATAAAGTTAAATTTATACTCACAACAAGAAAGCAGATCTGCATCATTGAACCCGGGACGTTCCACATAAACGGACACAAAGGTGCAGTGGTATTACCGCAGCACGCCGATGAGTCCTTTGCGACTTCCGCGTTGCGTCAGACGATGGAGGGCGCGGTCTTGGAAGGAGATCCAGAAAAGTTCACGTGGATTGTGTATGAGGTTGTACAGGGAGGAAAGATATCGAAGGGATTGCCTATGGGTTTGGATGCGCTTGAGATGATGAATCTTAGGATTGAGAATTTGAAGGCGACTGTGGACGAGACGAATTTAGGGATGGTCAGTGGGTTTGGGGAGAACTGATGGGAGGTCAGACACTGGTGATACCCGCTCTACTTCATCCATATGAGCTGTTGTTCGTCGAAGTTATGTTATCCATCCATATGCATATTTATGATATGATTGTTTTGGTTTTGGCATGAATTTGGTCTCTTTAACGCGTAAGTCAGCCATTTGTGCAAAATCGTTTATCGTTCCATTGCCAGGGATTTCCGTCTCAATCAGCTCATCCATGCGTCTAGGCAACGCCAGTGGGCCCTAACCTCCCCTTCATCCCCACACCTGGACAACAGCAAGTATGTTTGCACCACTGAGCGGAACACAATCATCATCTGCTAGTGCGTCAACATTACAGGCTTCGACAAGGGTCTAATGTTTGATGCTGGATGTCAATGGCACGCAACGCTTTTCTTGCTCCGAAGGAAGGTAGGCCATGACACTGATGAGTCCAGTTGTCAATGTCTCATCTGCTGTCAAAGGAGAGCTGCGGATGATGATAGTCAGTCAAAACAGCAAGGCTTCAGCCTACCTTCAAGTGCCATCGTTTATCATCATCCAACATCTTGCGATGAATTCCGATATGCTCATGAATACCCTCGTTTCGTCAACCAGATGGTCTGAATAAGGCGTACTGAGTGCGGCCATGATTCCATTGCCTTGACGTTACCACGTAGTGCCAGTCAAGTACCAGTCCGGCTGTGTTTGCACAAGCTTAGTAGTTTCATGGAGAAATAAAGCATGATGCCACAATGTCTGCACGAGCAGTCTTCGTGGTGTAAATACCAGTGGCTATCAGCAATTGCAATACGGTTGAATGTTGTGGCTGGAAGCCGCAAGCCGAGGAAATTTCTTTGCTTAGCAAGGTAACTTTCCTGTTTAGGAATAGTTGCTGATTATGCTCGTGCCGTTGAAGTCCATTGAACGATCCTACTAGTACTGCTCCATGATACTCTCCCTTGGCAGATGCTTGTACACAACCGTTCACCTTTCTCAACTTATACACTGAATCATAATTTCGAGGATCTGCATTCACCATGTCGTCGTGTGGAAACCCAGCCGCAGATGAGCAAGCCCTCATGCCCCGTAAGTTTTTTCAATCGTGTCTACCTGTGTCTCATTCGCTTGGGCAGGTCGTTCGAAGTTTGGGAAATCAAAAGACTGCGTCAGGTGCAGATTAAAACCAGGCAACATCGTGATCCGTCATGCAGTTTACTGCAAGTGAGCGTTTTGTTCATTTCAGCAAGCAGCAGATCTGAATACATCCCCCACAAGAGAGTGCTTCACCCCGATAGTAGAAATGAAATTTAGAAAAGCTCTCGAACCTTCGGTCAATGCTAGGGCAGGCACCTCCAAGCGACCCAAGCTCAAAGCATCAGGAAACCTGTGCCTGGGATTCTCTGGGGGCCTAGGATCATCGATTTTACTGGATATGATCCATAATACTTATTTTTCCAACCGAGCGCCCTTGGATGATTCAGGAAAACCAAGAGGTGGTACCAATCATCCACGAAACGCTAGCGTATGGCCATCCTGCATTGTTTGTTATGTGGAGGTATGCGGAGCTTTTCCTGGGGTGAGTCGTCAATATGATATCCTATTTAGATTCAGTCACATAATGGCAGCTAGATGCAAGACAGAACCGAAGACATTCGATCTGTAGTCGAGCGATACCCATCATTCGATTTTGTGCCTCTGCGAATAGAAGATGCATTCGATGAGTCTTGGTGGACCAAAGTTTCGGGATCAAACAGCACCCCACAGGTTTGGCTGGAACTCAGCAAGGAAGGGCTGATTACAGATGGTAGAACTGCAACAGTGCATTCATTCAACATACTGAACTTTGTGTTGCCAGGGCTCCATGTCACTTCCAACGTGACTGGTCTAACGCCGGCAGAAGCTATGCAGTCTTATTTATCATCACTGCCTACGCAAACTGCAATTTCCAGTGCCTTACAGAACCTCACCCGTGTACTTATTCTGCACACAGCTCACACTAGAGGTTCCTCGCACTTACTCTTCGGATCATCTCTCACGTCGCTCTCTATCTCTCTTTTATCGGCTATCTCGCAAGGTGGAGGGTACGCAATTCGCGAGGAACTTCAGGAAGAATGGGCGCCAGTTACTGCTTCTGGTTCGAGGCCCAGTAATGTACTCAGGGTTATCCGACCTCTCAGAGATGTTACTGCAAAAGAATGTGCTGTATATGCATGGTGGAACGACGTATCTGTGATCGGTCGAGACAAGCAGAGGCGTGCGATATTGGGAATAGCGGCCTTGACCAAGAGTACGAGAGAGCTTTCGCATGCAGGACGCAGGACTGACTTATTCCTCAGATTTTGTAGTCGGGCTTGAGAAAGACTATCCTTCGACTGTGTCGACCATCGCTCGGACCTGTGAAAAACTGGAGCCTAAGGATGCACCGAGCGGGCAATGCGGGTTGTGTAAGCGGTGAGGTTTATTGACTGGATTTCATTTGGTTCAGGTGACTAAACCAGGGTCTGTTAGGCCGATGCAATCTGGCATACAGGAGTGGAAGGGTCGTATATCAATAAGATCTTACTCAGAGGACAGACTTGCTGCAGACTTGGCCCACATCCCGTTACCATGCAGAAACAATCTTGACACAAGTACCCCATCTCAAGCGCCACCGCTACTTTCCCTGACCAATCTCCTTTGCTACTCTTGTCACACAACACTGACAAGCAGGAGTAGTCGTGGCGTTAAACAGTCAGCTCCTGGTATATTCTCAGCTACGCCTTTACCTATCTGGGTGGCAGATCGTGGCCTTTATGAGGATGGACTAATGGGCGGTGGAGCTCGGTGCAAGATTCCTGAGGAAGAGATGCTCGATACCGTGGCAAAGTTTCTCATCGATCAGAATGGCGAGGAATGAGGTACTGATAACGCTTCTTGTAGCACTCAGAACGTACGTCGTTAGTCACTTTACTTGATGGAGGCCAGGCTTCAAGAGTGTGTTTTTGTACTCGGTAAGCACAATCGCACGTGAACTTGATTTCGGCTGGTGAGCTCCTTCGAGCATAATTCTCGCATTTTCCTTATTGTCCCTCTCGGCTCTTCTCGCCGTCAACGGTGAGTTGTTATCTATTCACCAGTCACATGGCTTGTTGACTGTCACATTCAGCGTATGATAATGGTTTAGGCTGAGCGCTTTACTCCGCGAATCGCATAGTGCCTGAGCTGCTTGGCATCGACTCTGGCATGAACAATATCGGATTATGAGTATCTGCAGAGATCCATCAACGCTTGACAATACAGTACGGGCCTGCAAACTAAACGTCAAGGCAGCAAGGGATATCGTGGCAAACCTAAATGCAGGTTATGACAAAATTATGATACGTACTAATCGGCGGCGCGTGCGAACATAGGCTTGGCATAAATCTACTTTTCGTGATCCCGAATGGAGTCGCGATCTAGTAAAAGTCCTCAGGAAGAGACTCTGATACGCGACTCATTGTGGTGGAAATTTTCATCAACAATCAGCAAATTCGGAAATGAATATGATGTCAGTGGTTTCTACCAGGTTTTATATGGCGGCCTTAGTGTTCCGGATCTAGACTTGATTATGTAATGATAAGGGTGCTGTTTAACCTCGGCAGTTCTAGATCAGCCTGCGTGCAGTAACAGATTCAAATGCATCACGTACGGTAGACTGGCCCATCATAGCCGAAGTCCTTAAATACATCCAATTCCTGCCTTGTGGTCGCCCACCGATCAGTCATCTTGTAACTTGTCTCGTGCACTTGCAATGCTTGCAGAAGATCCCTCTCATCAGTTTTTTGATGACGAAAGTCAGCACTCGTTGGAATCGCACCAGTCAAAGAAGAACATTCTCTTGAAGTCTCACGGAAGACCTCCTTGGTAACTTTTCGTGTTGGTTCTTTGTTGTTGTTCAACTCCTCACATCTACATAGGTACGGGGAAAACGGCCTACCTATTTGTGGTGCATTCGTGATCGGGATAGCTGGTGAGTGCAACTATGTGTTGTCCAGTCTTGCATTTTCACAACTTGAAAATGGATCTAGGCGGATCGGCAAGTGGGAAGGTGAGAATGCAAGTTGAGAGAAGCTCGGAGAGATGAATTAGGTGATGGCAGACACATGTTGCTCAGCAAATCGTTCGTTCATTGGGCTCAGTACCGACTGTCGTTATTCTATCCCAGGTAAGTATTGCAAACACTATCAGGAGAGGTCACAAGTGACACGGGTCCATCGCTTAGGACAGCTTTTACAAGCGACATACCACAGAAGAGGTTGCTCTGGCGCATGCAAATCGATTCGACTTTGATCACCCGGATGCCATTGACATGCCCATGTTTGCTTCTGTCCGTACATTCATTCATGTCTAAATCCTTGACCGAATCTTTTTCAGTGTCTCGCAGACTTGAAGGCGTGTCGGCAGACCAATATTCCCGTTTACTCGTTTGCAGAACATCAGCGGTTAGACGAGACGAAGTATTTGTATGGTGCAGCTATCATAATAAGTTAGTGTCTGACTTCTTCCTGTCATGATCCTGGATGCTGATGCAAACACGTTTCAGCGGAAGGTATAATGGCTTTGCATCATCCAGAATTACGTTCTCTATATGATCTCAAGGTACCCTATCATCTGGCAAGTTGTAATTGTCTCACCATTGAGCAGGTGTTTGTACAATGTGACTCAGATTTGATGCTTGCGCGTAGAATACAACGAGACGTCAAGGAACGTGGAAGAAGTGTCGATGGTGTTATCGAGCAGTGTGTATTCTTTTTCTCTGTCAGGATTATATGTCATCGTAACTGTCGCTCACGCCTAGATATCTTCGCTATGTTAAGCCTGCGTTCGATAATTTCGTTTTGCCAACCGCTCGCCATGCAGACATCGTAAGTTGACGTGTCGTTTCAACTGTTTTGACGTACCATTGTTTTCAGGTCGTTCCAGGGTCAAACAACGCTGTTGCCATTGATTTGATAACGACACACATTCGACGTCAAATGACAGAACGCGCGAGACACTTCCGGAAACACATGGTCTCGCAACCAATTGAGTGTTGCTTGAGTACTTTAGATGGTAACCCGGTGTCCAAGAACCTCATAGTGCTCCCTCAAACACCACAGCTAAAGGTCTGCCATCCAACCCTCAATGAGAGCCATCGCTTATGCTTCTGGGTGAAGGGCATATATACCATTCTCCGTGATGGGACATCGAACCGCCAGGACTTTATATTCTTCGTAGACCGACTGGCAACGTTCTTGATCGAGAAAGCTATGGAACATCTTCCTCATAGACCTAAAACGGTCACGACTCCAGTAGGAGTAGATTGCACCGGCAAAGAACTTGACGTAAAGGTACATCGCTTCACTGAGAAATCGAGTAGCTGACTTAAGAGTCGTCCAGAACGTTTGCGGTGTCTCCATCATACGCTCGTACGTTTAATGAGCCAGCCAATTTCTGCACTAACCAGTTGGTCCAGAGGTGGACCTCTAACGAAGGGATTACAGCGTGTTCTTAGCGACGTTGCAATTGGCTCCCTGCTGGTACAATCCGATGCTAATACTGGAGAGCCACTACTCCTACATGTGATGCTCCCCAAGTGCTTGCGAGAACGACATCTAGCCGCCGATGCATGGGTCTTTTTGCTAGACGCTCAAATAGGCACCGCTGCCTCGGCATTCATGGCTATTCGGACACTGTTGGATCACGGAGTCCGGCAAGATCACATCATCTTCGTAACTTTTCTCATCGCTCGTAGTGGTGGTGTGACTGTACTTCAGCGGGCCTTTCCAGAGGTGAAAATTGTTACTGGCGCCGTCGATGAAGGTCTCCGTGAGGCTTGGCTTGAAAGTTACAATGAAAAAGGCGAGGGCCAGAGCGAAGGAGACGGGAGGAGAGTGTGGATCGTAGAGCCTGGTATGGGTCAAATCGGTAAGAAAACGTATACGATCACAACTTGTTATGAACCCTTTTTACAGGTGACAGATACTACCTATGATTTTGGAACACTTAATCTGCCAAGTGCGTGTCGGACACTTGTGAGTATTAATGGCTTGGTGTCATGTGGTTTGGTTTGATTGTACATACTTCAAAACTTGGTACTACCATTTGCGAGCGATTGAACTTTTAAATCAGTAATATGACTTCGTCATGTTATATCTAATTTAGTCTTAGCGTATTCAAACTTTTACAAGTTTTGTTGGGAGACAAGCTCAAGTGATGTGCACTTTCCTGCATATGATGTTTTTTGAATTCTTGATACATATCGATCAAGACACGTTGACGTTTGTGCGACATCAGTTTGGTCATTACACACACGGTTGGCAAATGACCCTGCATGTGACTCAAGGGCTTCTCCTTTGACTGGCCCACTACCTCCCACTACTAGATGTGCCAGGGGGTATCATTTTCCCTCAAATGTGATCTATCCCATCAGGACTGGTCAAGCTCTCCATGAGTACTGGATTTCGGTGCTCCATGATTGGTAGAGCGCATTAACGCCCGGACCATCATGATGCACGCAATTCAGGCACTCACGCTGTTCATCGCAAATTGCGAGCGCTTATTTGACTAAGTTGCAGATATAAACGGCAAGGGATGTCTTGCACCTGAAGTCCCTACAATAGTCAGCTCCATCTACTTTAGAATGGCGGAAGAGGCAGAGCAGGGCATCCGAGTCATTATAAACACCACACCCAACCGAGTATTTGGAGATCACGAGGAACCGGTACTTGCAGTCGCAGTTTTCCCTGATATGCGACGGATGATTACAGGTTCGGGAGACAAGACACTTCGTCTTTGGGACCTGAAGGATGGCGTAGTATTAAAGATAATGGAGGGACATTGCGACTGGGTTGGGGCAGTGGCGATATCACGAGACGGGAGATTAATAGCAAGTGGTGATGAGAAGGGGATGCTCATTATCTGGGACGGGGACACTGGGGAACCTCTAACCCAATCCTTCCAAGCTCATTCTGCTCACTCTGGCATTGATTCATTGGATTTTTCTCCAGATGGCGCGGCGTTGGCTACTGGCGGATGGGACAAAAAAACGAAACTGTGGATCACAAAAACGTGGCGGTTGCAAGGAAAACCTCTCAATTGTCGTGATTATGTCAACTGCGTTCGGTATTCACCATCTGGCGAACATCTTGCCATTGCGACACTCGGGGACATTCAAATATGGGATACGAACACTAGGGAATGCATTAAAATCTTCGAGGGCCATGCGGCTCATACGTCGCTCAGTCGAACAAGCATTAGACCATTCAACAAGTCACTCGCATGGACGCCCGATGGTAAACGCCTTCTTTCAGCAGGCACAAATGCCGATGCTACCATACGAGAGTGGGACACAACGAGTTGGGAGCAGGTTCAAGGGAGTCCCTGGAAAGGGCATGATAAGCAAATCTGCGCCATTGCAGTCAACTCTGCTGCTACCCTGGTCGCCTCCGCATCGTATGACAATGATGTTCGTCTTTGGCAGCTCTCAAATGGGCAAACTATTGCCATATTCCGACACTCTGATTGGATGCGTTGCGTCACTTTTTCCCTGGATGGTGAGCACATTCTTAGTGGAGGCGGGAATAAGAAGATATCAGAGTGGACAGTGCCAGAAGATGTTTTACCTCCTTCCAAAGTAAGTTTCCACTCTTGGTTCTTACAACACTGTGTTGACATGTCTCATGCAGAATATCGCTATAAGTACGACAGCCCGCAAAGCATGTATATCTGGTGATTTGCTTCTCGCTGAAGAGCTGCTAACACAAGAGATCGATTCCGATCCCAACAACCATATCCCTTATGCCAGCCGTTCATTTGTCATGGCGCGAAAACACAATTGGGACCACGCGCTTCGCGATGCACTTATGGTGAGATACACCAATTCATTTATTGTTGAGAAAGTAATATACTAACTTTCATGGTGGCATAGTCTATCAGAATCCAGCCCTCCTTAACAGGCTACACCTCTAAAGGCATCGCCCTCTGCGGAAAAAAGCACTTCAAAGACGCGATGAGGGCATTTGACCTCGCATCCATGTTTACCGACGGAGACTTGAAGACCATTCATCGTCTTCTCTTAATCAAGGCATGCTAATCAGTTCTTTCATACACCCTACTTCATCTTTTTTAAGGCTATCGCAACTTTCAATGCAAATCATTACGAGGATGCAATTCTGCGTGTCCAAGAGCTAGCTGCCTCTTGTCCTGACGCCGATAATCTTGCATGTGGTATCGTAGAAGTGAGCGTCGATCCAGCCTATGCTCTTGCGCCGCTGACACAGATTTTTTTGACATTGCATATCAGGCGTATCTACATGTTCAACTTGGAATCAATGCATCGAACGGCACGCGTCACGACGAAGCTGCTGACCACTTCGCAGCGGCTGTCAACGGTGGTACTTGTTGGTCTAAATCAGTTCTTCGATCTCAATATGTGGACTTCGTGGTGGTACGTCATTGTAATGCAACTGAAAATATATTTCAAGTCGAATTAAGCTTCATGCTTCTGTAGCTCTTCGGATGGGACCTCAAGTCTTTGTGGCGAACGGCAAACGAACACCTGTGTCACGCACTCCTTCACGCAGGTAGACTTCCGGAAGCCGTTGAATCGTACAGACACATGATGGATATGAGTGATGATACCACGAAAGCCAGCTGCCTTCGTTGGTCCACTGGTAAGTCTTCAGTCGTGCCACCCGCGCTCAATCTTTACCCGTATTTCATTCAGCTTTCAAGCAAAAATGCAGCACACTCTATGCTACGAACGGAGACGTTGCACTCGCTGCGAGTGATTACGACATGGCTATTCTTCTATATTCGAAGGCGATTGAGCTAGATCACGCAAATGAAATCATATTTGCCAACTGCACCAAGGCAAAGTTGAAAAAAGCGCTGTGGGAGGAAGCACTTGTCGATGCCCAAAAGGTATGGCATCTATTGTTTCGTAGTCAATACTCATTGTTGATACATTTATGTAGGTCATCGAACTTGACCCATCGTCTCATATCGGATACCAGTTGAAGCATGAAGCGTTTCGTGGCGCGCGGCGCTATGACGAAGCAATCGAGGCCTTCCAAATCATGCTTTCTAAGTTGGATAATTCTCCAGAGACACAAATACGAAGTAAGACCCAACTAATGCATACATCCAAGTGTTTGACTCTTTCTCCAGAACTGCGTCAGCAGTATCTCACCCCACCCGAAGCGGACGGTGCTATCCGAAAGAGCATCCAGGTTCAAATGGAAAATGCTCCACTTCGTCTACTCAACACTTCCACTGGGCACTTGTGCGATCGAGATGCACAGATTGTTTCTTTCAAATCAAGCACGAATTACAAGGAGCTGTTGTTATCGACGATGAAGCATGAAGACTTCCGCATGGAACGCATTAAAAAATCAATTGCAATGTACTTCCGTTATGTTATGCTATCCCATAGGTGGGAAGAGAAGGAGCCCCTGCTGTACGATATCCAGGAGAAGGTCGTGTATAGATTGAATCCGGTTGGAGGCGTCGTGAAGTTGCAGTCATTCTGCAAATTTGCTCGCAAGGCAGGTTATCGCTGGGCATGGGTGGACACATGTTGCATTGACCAAAATAACAACGTCGAACTCCAAAAATCACTCAATTCCATGTTTGCCTGGTATCGGCGATCAGCACTCACGATCGTCTACCTGTCGGATGTTCCGCCTTTGTCAAAGTCTGGCACATTGGCAAAGAGCGCTTGGAACACGCGAGGATGGACCGTTCCGGAATTTCTTGCTCCCAAAGTTGTTCTTTTTTACCAATCCGACTGGACCATGTATCTCGACGACCGCTCTCCCAATCACAAGGAGTCTGCTGCAATCATGCAGGAGTTGGGGGATGCGACGGGCATAGATCCACGGGCCCTCGTCGCCTTCCGCCCGGGGATGAGAGGAGCCCGAGAGAAACTCCGATGGGCGTCAACACGTGTCACCACTTTGCAGGAGGACATCGCTTATTCGTTATTTGGCATATTCGGCATTCACTTACCTATAATTTACGGTGAGATGAAGGAGAACGCACTCGGGCGACTCTTGCAGGAGGTCGTGGGTCGATCGGGCGACATCACCGCCCTCGACTGGGTTGGAACATCATCCGAGTTCAATAGTTGTCTGCCAGCCAACATCACATCGTACGAAGCTCCGCCATGCATGCTACCATCTCTCTCCGAGGACGATATTCAGACATCAGTCGCGACTTTACGAAGTGTTGGGGTTGTAGAGTTGGCTTTGAGATTATACACCACACTCGACAACCTGAGCGCCCCTCGTTTCTCCCACCGCCGGCTGCATCTGCCTTGTATCGCATTTCCTATCACAGAAGTCAGACGGAGACACAGCCAAGATCAGGAGATACCCATATATGAAGTCAAGACAGACGGGCTTGGTGACTTGCTGATCACCACAGAAGATAGGCTGATTCCGTTTTTGCCGACAAGGCCCCTAGCCCCTTGGCAGACGTTCTTGCTTGCCCGTCCGTGGAATCGTGACCTCCTCGAGCTGCCGAATCCTTCGGATGATATGCAGAGCATGGAAAATTTGGCTGCTCCTAGTTCTCCGTTACTCGATACCTCTCTTGGGGAAAACAAGCTGGTTGATACTAATCCTCATTCGCGAGCATTACGATTGATTGTCCGTCTTGGACAACCATTTAGCGCATTTTTGTTAGCACGGCAGCACAGCGGAGAATACAAGAGAATCGCTTCAAATCGCGACATTGTTGCGCAAGTTAAAGACATGACTTCTGTTCGCGACATGATGGACATCAGGACACTAGAAATATCGTAGATATATGAACAGACGCTTCAGCTCCTACATTGACAGTACCTGTATATACACACTGAGTAATCGCATACAACCCCTTATATTTGCATTCTGGTGGCTCACAGGAAATAGTTTGCAGTGTAGCCTGAGCGCGAATTGAGCGCTCAGGCCCAGGCTCTGCCGAATTAAATCCAAGCTTCGCTTTGGTGTACCCCAACCTCTTCGAAGCGAATCGGCATCCATGCTTTCTTAAAACGCTATGAGTCATTATTCCACATCCCACGAAAGAGCACTGGCAACACAGTCCTCATATCTATACAAGTCGTCTTGAGACTTGATCGCGTGATGCTGCACGCATCGATACATTAATGCTTTTGCCTCCTTGTACAACTTACCTACTGTACCACTATTTATGCCAACTGTACGCGACACCGCCCACAGTTAGCAACGATTGGACCGTAACATCCGAACACGATAGCAACCAGTGGCATCGTCGGGTGCCTGTCATATGTTGAAGCGACATAGCTTTGGAACACTAGCTCAAACTTGGGCGCAAACTCTCATGAGTAGAATTTACACTTACTAGGAGCATCAGTGGGGGTGACAGGCATGAAATAGGGTTTGCAGCAGAAGGCAATAAGAATATATGGATATTAATAAACGTACAATTGTGGAAATGCAGAAATCAATCTAATCCGAAACAATCAACAGTCGTCTCCTGAGAGTCGTTGGCTGCGCATCACGTCAAACTGAATGATCTCCGCCTCCCGAGTCATCGGTTTCATACTATACCCCACATTATGCTCTCTTCTCTCTTCAGAGAGATTGGTGAAAGGCTTTGGTGAGCTGTTGGATTGGGGGTTGCTGCCTACATGGAAGTGTACTTGCAGGATGATGAGGCAGAATACGATCCCCTAAAGAAAAGTTTTATAAACGGTTGCGTTTGAGCCAAGTGAACTTACTACAATAGGAGGGCCGATATCCATCGCGGGGTATTGGCCGTTTGATCCTGTCAAGAATGCTAGAAGGAGCGCAAGGATACTGATAGTATAAAAGCGCCGGCTTCGACGACGACGATCAAAACGGGTAACAATCTAGCGGAGCGGTTTGACATTGAACGGCGATTGCGCCAGATGCGCCAGGAAATCAAAGCTGTCACATCCTGGTGGTCATGAGCCTGCAGATCGGCTATGGAATAGACGTACTGGAGCAAATGATGCTGATGAGCATGGTCAATGTATAGAAAGTTGTGATCAACCAAGGAGCGGTGGTGTAAACAGTTGACCCTGCGGCGGCTCGAGAAAGGGACCAAACAACATAGTATCCAATCGCTGCGAAATATCATGGGATGAGGCGGCCCTCAAATGATATTTTCAACGTGATGCTCACCCGCATTGGTTAACAACACGATACAACCAGGGATGCCGACCAAGAGGCTTCTATTGTTGAGTACATAGCATCGCCAAACCTACTACCCTATTCAAAGGAGAATAATATGGCAAGTGAATAAACCCACAAGAACAGAATCAGCAACAGTGGGTTGCGTAATGTAGAGTGCAGTTTTTGCGAGTTCCAATGGTGAAGCGAGGTCAGAGTAGTAGGTATCCGCAGCGATTGTATCCACACTGAACACGAACGCCTCTAGTGCTCGGACAAGATCGATGACTAGATGCTAACAACATTTTGAGCTATTTTCCAAAAGGATGTGATTACACCTACAGCTGTTGCAATGCAGAGCAGCAGGGTTGCTACTGGGAGAAGGAGGTCCCGTTGAATACCGTACTTCTTGAGCAGTATAGTTAGGGTCAACCAGTAAAACGTGAAGAACACGCCTACATGAGAAAGAAATTGAATATCATAACTCAGGTTCTTCCAGAGGTTGGGGACGCACCGTAAAACAAAGTCTCTAAGAACAATGCTAAAAGCGAAGCTTCGGACAAAGATGTCATGGTATAGTCGAAAGTGTCCTTCGAGGACAAGCTGAACTAAAATTCAACTGTCAAATTAGCAACGCTAACCAAAGTTATTGCCATGAGGCCGCAGAATACGCCGCTGCTTTCCAGGATGAAACATAAAGACACTAGTCCGTGTTTGCTGTGCAAAGCTGTGAACTTAGTATGTATTGATTGGAACTAGATTCATGCCAAGGACGTGGTCCGACTCCCAGTTGGATGAAACGCGGTCGAATGCTCTAACATGACCAGGAAGAGAACTTGGAATATCGCGAGGGTGTTCACCGACCTTCACGTGTACGATGGAGAAATGGGTAAGCGGAGTTAAAAAACGGTCAAACATAATACCCACGGGCGCAACAGGGCACCTCGCCAACACCACATGAAATAGCTAGTAATTATGAAAGGGATTCAGGCCACAGTACCACACATATATATAGCTAAGCTTAAGCTGGATATAATCCTTCCATTGCAGTGAAAGTGCCTACAAGTAGACAGTTTCCAGACAGCTGCGATCAACGTACCACAAAGAAGCAAAATCTGGTACACCGGGAAGTTCCACATAGATAAATCCGGTGGGCACCCTTCTCCACCCATCCTCGAAAGAGCGATACTGTCGCAATAGTCCAAGCAAGGGAGTGTCCTCTGGCTCCACCTCATTTCTCTCCAGCAGATAAGCTGCCACTTGTTTAGGAAGACCCGGGTTTACCGACTCTTCTGCAGGAATATAGTGGAATATGCCTAGCGCATACTGTCTGAATAGTGGTTTGAACTCGTAACCTCTTGAGTCGATCTTGACCTCCCCAATCCCGAGGTTTGGGCAGTGAAATTTGGGATTTATGATGGGCCGGCCATCAAATTCGGGTTTGGCCATTTCAAGCGATAGAATGACCAACGCAATACGCAATCCCCTGCTGGTCAGCATCATGTCAAGTCGACCTATCGTGACGATGTCGGGATGTCCCACAAAGCTCGCTGGCGATGCGGGAAGGGCAAACGACGCATGATGCTTGGCTGGCTTTCCTGCCCAGTTGAGCACTGATGAATCTCCGCCAGCTTGCATGATGGCTTCAATAAGCCTCCCAAATGCACGCTCTCCACCTTCTCCATATGCGATTTGTAGGCTGACGTCAAACATCCCCATGAGCGAATACGCGACATCCTCTGCCCGCGTAGTTCTTCGCTGGGCAGCCCATGTCATCCGCTTATCAATATAGCGAGGAACAGGCTCGAAATCGATGAGTTCTGATTCAGGAATTCCGGTAACTTCTTGCAAAACTGTCATGAGGGGGGTATCCTCTTCCTTATCGTCGTCTTGATCAGTCAGCGGTTGCCAATTCTTGTTGAAGAATTTTATCTTCCTGGGCGCCAGAAGTTCTTGTAACGTCCATCCTCTCATAAACCACTCTTCCAACCTCAGGTCTTCAATAACAGTTGACCCCCCAAGGTACGCGATGCAGATGGACGAATTCTGGTACCACCGAAACATCGACCGGATCGACTCGTCAAGCTCTGCGCTGCTATTCTTGTCGATGCAGCACGTGTCCGACCATAGAAATTGTAGGTCAAGACGTCTAGCTTCTTCGCAGCACTTTTGCAATTTCTCGTAGCCAGGGCTCCGCGCTTTGTTCTCGCTGGCACTGCGTGAAATGAATGATGCATGACGGCCACACTTCGGCCGAGACTTTATGTCGAACAATGAATGTCTGGCATTCGAGGGGTCAGACAGCTTCTTCTCCATCATGTCTTGGTACGAAGGTTCTCCTGTATCTAGCCACCGATGAGAGAAAATAGCATATTCGACTTTGCGGCGGACAAGAGTCGGGATGACCTTTTCTCTTGCCAACGGCGGCACGAAGCGTGCTTGAGCTTCAGCTATCAAATCTTCAGTAATCTCCTTGATGTGATCCTGGAAATGATTCTTCACGAAGTTCCGTCCGACAAGTTCCATTGTTGGAAGGTAGATCAGACGAATTGGAATATCATTCATGACATAGCGATTGAACTCGTCCAGAATATCCTGTGCAGGACTCTGGCCTTGGTTCGCGCCTATGTTTCCTGTCTGGTCAGAGCTCGGCTTGATTTCAGAAATTCTCGGGCTAAATATACGATCTGTCAATATTGTGTTTGGTCTCAAACCAGGTAAATATTCACTAGAGAAGACGATTGCTTTCCAGCATTCCAGTAATTGAGGGGCTGTCTCCACCATTTTCGGAAACGACTGTGCACCGCAGTAGAAGCTACAGAATCTGCATCTATTTTGTATGTCGTAGGAGGCTGGAGAAGCTACTGTTAGCGAGCATACGGGGAAAGAAGCCCGTTTGAATCTTGCCTTCAATGGGAGTGGCCCATGGAATGCGATCACATCCTGTGACACGGTGGGTTCAGGGCTACTCTGTACCTCTGGGTACATCAGGTTCATCGGAGACTGATTCGGGAATGACGGGTCGGATGTCAACTAGCTAGTGGTTTGTATTCAGAAGATAAATGAAGGGGTAGCCTACTCACGTCTTGTTGGTTCTCCAGCCCAAGACTCGGCCTTGAGTTGTGTTTATGCTGCGTGATACTTTCGATGTTCCACAGACACACTTTGCTGTCGCCAGAACCAGCAACGATAAAACGGGTATCAGCTGAAATAGCCATGCAGAGCACTGGTTCAGCGTGCTGGAGCAAGACATTAATCTGATCAAGCGTAATAGCATTCCAGAGTCGGATAGAGTGATCTCCACAAAGAGCAGCAATGAGCTCCCCGTCAGAAGAGACAGCGACATAGTCAGACATCCAGGTCGGATCGCCACCAAGGGAACGTCCTTCTTGATGACCTGTCTCCGAGATCCAAACGCGAATTGTTCTATCGAGCGATGCAGTGACTAAACGCTGACCATTGGGGTACCATGCCACAGACAGTAGTGCACCCGTATGGCCAGTGATAGGGCTAACTGCTGCTGGTTTTCCCGTCTTCACATCCCAGATTCGCAACTTCTCCTGTTCTGGAGCTATAAGAGATACGGCAGCAATTCTGCTACCTTCAGGAGAGAACGCAACCTGGCGTTCGGAAATGGGGGACTCGATATCTATTATAAGCTTCGCGGTGGCCACATCCCATATTTTGATCATTCGGCCTGCTATGGACGCGATGGTGGCACTGTCGGGAGAGAAGGAAATAGAGTTGATGGAGTTCAAATGTGCTTGAATGGGCGCTGTTGCCAAAGTACGTGTCGTTGCGTTCCATATCAAGATTTTGCCGTCCCCGCCTCCACTCACAAACATCGTCCCATCCGGCGACACAGCAACGACATTGACTGAAACCTTGTGTCCCCGAATGGGTTCCCCTGATGCTTGCCCGCTTCCTACATCCCAAAGGCGAATCCTGCGGTCATAGGAGCCACTAATAATCATTTTGCTGTCTGGAAAAAGAGCTATACATGTTAATGTGTCGGCATGCCCCACGAAGTACTTGGACGGGAGACATTTGGGGTCATCTGGTAGACATGACGTCGATATTTCTGGCCCGAACTCTTGCTCGATGTCCGAGACAGACATGCCACTGGTAGTCTCGTTCCCGACGTTCTGGTCTAAGGGTACAAAGCCTCACGCCGTGGCGCAAAGGTGCATGCGCATTTCGGAGTTTAAACAACGTGCCAAAGCAAGAAGTGTGCAAGGGCAATGCAAGGGGGTTCTTGAAGCTTGAGGGCGGCCTTAGATAGGCGGAGAAATAAAACCATTTGCAGCACTCACCACTACTCACAACTGATCAGTGCCAAACTATGCTGGAAAGATCTTGAAAAATCCCCTTGTTACTCTGGGAAGCAAGGTTAGTTGGACAATGATGGAACGACTCCAAAACGACTCGGGTACTAAAACAAAAATGGCACGCCACTATGTAATGCTAACTCGGTCACTACGCGTTGAAGAAATTCATGCCAAAACAAAAACAATCATATCATAAATATGCATATGAATGGATAACATAACTTCGACGAACAACAGTTCATATGGATGAAGTAGAACGGGTTTCATCAGTGTCTGACCCCCCATCAGTTCTCCCCAAACCCACTGACCATCCCTAAATTCGTCTCGTCCACAGTCGCCTTCAAATTCTCAATCCTAAGATTCATCATCTCAAGCGCATCCAAACCCATAGGCAACCCCTTCGATATCTTTCCTCCCTGCACAACCTCATACACAATCCACGTGAACTTTTCTGGATCTCCTTCCAGAACCGCGCCCTCCATCGTCTGACGCAACGCGGAAGTCGCAAAGGACCCATCGGCGTGCTGCGGTAATACCACTGCACCTTTGTGTCCGTTTATGTGGAACGCCCCGGGTTCAATTACGCAGATCTGCTTTCTTGTTGTGAGTATAATTTAACTTATTGGCGGAGAGAACGACGTGCATTCATGTCCAGGGAGCTGGCAACTCGTTCGCGAGGACCATCCGAGAAACCCATCCAGCGCTATGCATCAAATCAATGATCAGCCACTTTCCACCTTCCTCACATCAAGATTTCCTACCATGCTTCCTGCAACACATCAGCATCATCTCAACCAACACTATATTTAAAACCGCACTCACGACCCAGTATAATAACCAAATCCAGGAGACGCATGATACCCAGTGACCGAACTGACTTGAAGAATTATTCCCCGCTTGCCCGGTTCATTTACCTCCCTAAAAAAAAGTTCACAGCAGCACGACCAACATTCGTCGCACCCCAAAAATTTGTCTCGAAAACCTCGCGCGCTTTATCATCGGGCGTGCCTTCAACTTCCATTAAAACACCATATCCGGCATCGACGAACACTACGTCCAGCCTTCCGAACGCCGAACGTGTGCGCTCGAATGCTTCGTCAATGTCTTCTTGCTTCAACACATCCACTTTGAGTAAGAGGAGTCTGTCTGCTGAGTATCGGGCCGCGAGATCAGATAGGACTTCTGGTTTGCGGAGGGTCGCTACTACGATGTCGCCTTGACTGAGTGCATGCTCCGTCATAGATCTTCCGAATCCTGAGGACGTCCCCGTTACTATGCGTGGTGCCTAGTATCAGTGAAATTGCTAGTGCGTAGAGGGAATTTTTACTAAACCAGACTTTGGGAGAGGTCATTGTAGCTTATTGACGATGTAATGATCCCCTCGGCCTGGCTATGGCCATGGCTTTTATGCCATCCTATCGTTCACCAGAACAGCCATTAAAGATACATTGCGCAGTTGAACCTAATACACCATTTTGGCACTTTCAAATAACTCTATACAGTCGTACTTGGTAGCCGCTATCTACCGAATTCATTACTTGCTGTGCGCAAGTCTCAAGATACGCACGACTATACATAGTACCAGCGCTCCGCGGTGCTGAAGTAGCTTCAGCGTAAGTGCGCCTCGGCGAGGGGTACCGCGTATGGTATACAACAAGGCAACCACATAATATTGTGTCAAGTAGTAAATAAAGTACATCGATTAGATGTTCTACTGTCAAAAATAGTTCATGCCATACAAGGTGTGTGAAGTAGGATGTAAAGTAAATGAATGATAAATCCGTAAAGAACGTGAAGATGAAACGAAGGACAACACCCATACTTGAATGAGTGGACTGGGCATTCTACTCTACAGGGAAAATATGGTCCTGGGACGCGAGATAGAAATTGTTCTAAAGACCGATTGTCGTTACACGCAGACAGCAAGTTCGCTCGGGAGACTCGAAGCAGCTGTGGAGGACGAATCAGTATCTTGAGGCGTCAAATGATTGTTGACTTTACTAGGGTAGAACCAGAAAGAAACGGCTATGATGACGTATAAACCTGCAAGAATATTGAGTACGACAGCCTAGGGGCGCTACTGAACCTCCTCACAGATTAAGATGACACCCTCTAACCAGTTTGATTTGCCATCCGCAACCACGAGACTCATGGTTTGCACTGCAGGAGAAAATGATCAGAGTGTCGCGTATTTTATCGAAAGGTCGGAGCATACCTGAAACGTAGAGAACCTAGTAGATGTCTGCTTAGCTACAGTTGGACTGATGAATTGGAACAGCACTCACCACAGACTCAAACGGGTCGAATAGTAAAGCCAGTGGCCTGCCTATGATCCATCCAAGGGTAATCATGAGCCTTATCCAAGAACTTCAGTTGGTATTGGCAGCAACATGTTGAACACGACGAGCACTTACGGAATAACCAAGAGAGTGGTTTGCTTACGCCGACATGAGTACCGTCATACAAGAATCAGCGAAGGAGACTTACTATAGACGACCCGACAGCAATGCTCACGCTCAGATTCAGCTGGTCCTTCACAGAAGTATTGACTGCAGTAACGCATTCTGCATAGCTAGCGTGTCAAAGTACTCCGAAAATCAGGAGCACCATGTACATACCTGCGATAGAGCTGACTGCAGGAAGCAAGACAAGACCGACCCATTGCTTGCTGATCGTTGTTTCGATTCCGTCCATGGATTCCACAAGATCTTCAGCAGTGATGGTCACCGTCTAGAAGAGTCATTGACAGGTACTCATTCGAACCAATTCATCACTTACAATAGTGACTAATGTCAATAGTAAAAGGGTAACCATCCAGCTCAGCTGCGGCTCTCTGAAACTATCCACTGCTGATGGCGACCTGTGTAGATTAGCATGTTCAGAGGTACTCATAGGCTCCGGTGAAGCGCATCGGATAGGATCGGTATCAACGGCGGATTCCATTGGTGATGTACTCCAGGGCGGATTTAAGGAGGCAACAGTGCTGCCATCTACATGATCGTGTTCATTTTGCGTAGTTTGCTGTGACAGTCTCTCAGCCAATCGATGAGTAGAGTCCTGTACAACCTCCTGCTTAGTCGTTTCCGGAAGATGATCTTTGCTCCCTGTCAGCGTGATCTCAGAGGAAGAATTCAACTGCGAGTTCCTATAAGGAAATCTGGGCAGCGCGGAAACACGTCGAAGAGTCGAAACCGAACTCCGACCATCATGCATGCAACCAGGTTTGTCGTGCAAAGCTGTGGATGCAGAGAGCATGTCGGTTAGATAACGTGAATGAACTGGAATCTTGACCGATAGCTTGTCGCTCTTAAGTTTTGAATCTTGATAGAGATGCTTGTGGGACCAGAACTGGAAGAGAAGATATGCAACATAAACTGTCCACGTGTATAATGAGGGGCTCTCGATGGACATGTAAACCCAGAACTTACTAAACATGAGTATGATTGAAACCTACGGCGATTTGGTCAGTGAGTTTCCGCAAAGTCAAAACAAATCCTACCCCATAGCTCATCTTCAGAATATCATCCTTCTGCTCAAAGGAGCCAGAATCCTTTCCGCCACTGATTGCAAAGTGATACGCAGCAGGGAGGAGCAGAGCACCAACGCTGATACTTAAAAGTGATGAATGTATCTGTGTAGCAGCTGAAGGATTTATCAGCTATCTCAGTATCATTATTATATATGTGACCTCACTCTGGCCGAATCCTTGTTCAGAGAAGCGAAGCCCGCCTGCAAAGAAGCACATTCCTAGGACAAGGACTAGAAAGATGAGGATAGTTAGAGGATAGTTATTAGATGATGTAGAGAGATGCACGACGTACGTAACTTGCTCAAAATCGAGCCAATGACTGCGAGCATTAGATTAAATCTTCAAACATACTGGTTGAACTTACGCGAAGATTGTACGACCCTTAGTTCACACTTCCTGAGGGCGGTAATCTAAAAAGGTCAGCAGATTCTCGCGCAAATAAGTCTAGCGCTTACCGCGATGACCATCTCGACACTTGTGAGATGCGCGTTAGAGAGCTATCAACAGTCAATGAGCCTGAACTCACGTATTACTCTGTATAGATAGAGGTTGAGGAGTATTCGATCGTTAATAGAATATGGCTTACCATACTCGCATTAAGTAAACCAGCCTTGGTGCCTCCGATACGAAGGGCCAGTTCACGAGTTGAAAGATCGTGAAGCTAAGAAAGGAAGGCTCGATTCAGTCGAGCGATGGAAGAGTGTGTGTCACACCTTTACAAGAGGGATCATGGACAGGATGCTGACTGTTGAAAGAGTCGTTTCAAGTTTCAAGAAGAATTTGCGTTGAAAGCTTACAGATGAATATAACCTTGTGGTGCTTCTCGAGCACGAAGCTCAGCGTCCACTTGGAATAGTGGCACAATAATCAGTAAACAGACAGGATGCGTAAAGATAGTCACTCACAGAAACAGGAATCAGCAACAATAAAAGGTTAAACCCTACGACCATCAAGTTTAGCACGGTAGGGGACAAGTATACCGTAATGCACTAACATGAGCCAAATAGAACGACTTTCCAACCCTGCCAGATGTGTGCTGTTGGTTCCGATTCCTGTTCATTCCCACCAGGCAGTGGCACGCCCACTGAAAGTTCCACGGGGGAGGGTAGATTCCATCGAAAGGGTGATGCGTTGGTCTCGCTGGGCGAGCCATTCAAGTTGTCCCCAGGAAATATAATTGACGTTGGACTGCATGACATACTTGAATATCTAGAACCTGGGTCCTGGAGGGACAAGTTAATCTCTGTTGGTCTATTAGTGGGTTCCGTCGCGCCCGGAGATGAAGGTGAAGGAGGATGACTGTAAGCCCGCAGGATGTCTAATGTAGTGGATCCCGGTGAGGGTTCACTGGAAGACATGGCGAGCGAGGTGCAGCTTGGACGCGAATTTCGCGCGTGAGCGTGAAGGAAAGGAGGGAGATGGCGTCACTAGAAATCTCTCGCGACAATTTACTTGTATATGTAAGTATGAGTTTGGAAGACGGCATCTTGTCAGTTCATTTTGCATTCACGGCATGAAATAAATTCTAGCGCATCATTCGTTCGTAAACACCTGCCTTTTATGGAAAACGCTCACGGGACCGAATTTGTTTCAACAATGTTGTCGCTGCGGAAATAAGTTCAAGGTGTTAACTCCAAGTTAACTCCACTCTCGACTACTCAGGACGAAATTCAACTCTGGGATCAAACCTTTGATTACAATATTAGAAGTATCCTACCTTGTCCCAGTTGTCTTTAGCTAACCGCATCACGCAGTTCTCAACAGCCGTGACTCAACTCTCAAGTCATGGTTCCAACTTCTTCGATGGTCCGGGGTTCTCGACCGAGCTGTGTTTCAGTGCGTTGTTGATGAGTGATATCTATCACATTGATTCCTACTAGTACCGCCGGCGAGGGCAAGGCACTGGTTTTAGCTTGGCACGGTAAGCTCTGTTGAATGTCCAATCCCCCGCTTTCACCCAGATTCACTACTGCACCACCGAAAGCCATTTTGATTACTAGCGAACACAAGGCGCTGAGCGGAGAAGGAGGCCCTGAAAGTATTCATGGCTTGCCACGGGGAATGCGGATTTTAGGAAAGAACGATGCATCAATTAGATTCCTTTTTATCTATTATACAGAAGTCTAATACCGAGATAGCAAAGCAGACCACACAAGTGAGATTCCTGCCGCTGTCCAACATGAGTATATTTTTTGTCAGTACTTCTACGCTAACCCTATATCAAATTATATTATCGTTTTCCCAGTGAACGTGCTCATATTTACGTGAGGTGATTCAGGAGAATGTAGGAGATCGTTAGGTAAGTCTCGATAACAGTGTTTGTCAAGGAAGGTCATTTCTCGTGTTTCAAAGCCAAATTACCAATTGACTTCTTCATAATTATGTTTGCGAAGCATAATATATCACTCTGTAAGGTCATTGAGAAGAAACAGTGCACTTCGACTGGTAAGAACATGAAGTAAACAATGTTCCGATTTCTGAATCGACGAATCATTCATCAGTGCCATTCATCTTTTGTCATCGAATGTCAGCATTTCCGAGTTCGAAGCTATCTCGGCAATATGGTTCATGAAGATCGTACGAGCAGAGATACTCTGGTAGGTGTAATGTAGCCTGTGCAGGGTGCATACACCACGAGTCCACGACGTGCCCATAACTCGCGCTGTGACTCGTCTAGTAACATAGCGGGATTTCGGCAAATGATAGCAGCAATAAAGGTAATGTCATCGATACTCGGGTGCGACATTTCCATCGTTTGGATTTTGAGATCCAATGCTGGCAGTCCGAGTCAGTCGAGCGGCTTTGTCTTCTGGACACCGAGTAAGGGGAAGATACTTACAACGCAATGTCCGTATCAGTGCAAAACAAGGATGCGAGCGTTTATATCTAAAAAAATCGTTAACGTGCGTGGCCACCATGGCAGCATGCTGACTCGTGCGCGATGTGTACCAACGAGCACGATTCTAACTTGAGACTTGATCCTTGGTCCTACTTCGGACGGTTCCGAGACGTAAGTTCAACGTTGAACTTTTTCGTTTCCGCATGAAATCGCAATCAGCTGTGAGCTGTAATATCATGGGAGGGCTCATCAGCGCTGCCAGGCCCAATACATACTTAACTGCCGCTTGATGAACCGAGAACTCCAAAACATAAAGCCGAACGTTCGCCAGATATTATAATCAGGGGAAGGAGTATCTGAATGGTCTGAGTACTCTGCCTCATGAGCATGCGCAAAGAAAGGTTCTGAGTCGTCGGAGGTAGACGGGGCGCACGTCACGTCGTCACCCGTGACAGACACTTTCCAAGTCACGCCCAACCCGCACCTAGCCTCAACTTCATAGCACACCATGTTCAACGCTGCCCTTCGTGCCGTCCGCCCTGTCGTGCGTAACACGCGCAGGTCAACCCCTTCCACCGCTTTTCGCGCTCTTTCCACCACCACTCCCCGTTTTTCGGGTCCCGCCCCTCCTTCACTCTTTGGAGAGGGTGCAAAGCCCGGTGAAATTCCTTCCGATGAGCAGCAAGCAACTGGTCTAGAGCGCTTCCAGCTTCTCGGGGAGATGCAGGGTGTTGACTCGTTTGACTTGGAGCCTCTTGACTCGAGTCGCGTGGGCACCCTCGAAGACCCGATCAAAGTCTTTTCACTGGTATGCTTTGCATCGTAACGATGTGTCGTGGCGTCTTACAGATTTTATTTGATTGTTTTAGGACACATCTCGTATTGTTGGATGCACTGGTTCGCCAGCCGAAAGTCATGAGTTGCATTGGTTCACTCTCAAGAAAGAGAAAAACCGCCGTTGCCCTGAATGCGGCTCTGGTGAGTATTTGGCTATTCCTTGTCCAATCCATACTTAAGTTTGGCAGTCTATGCACTTGATTTCCAGGGCGTGGAACATCATGATGCCCACCACCATTAGAATCAGCAATTTCTCAGTTTAATCTATTGCGGAGAGCAGTACCACATGTTCCTGTCTAGGTTGTTTGATCATTATCAACATCTTGACAGATTATTCGCATTATCGTTGTGTGAGAGTAAGAGGTTATGTACACAGTTCCGCTGAGCGCCTGCATCAAACGTTAAACAAGAAGAGTCATACTACATATGAAAGACATTGAAATATAAGACAAGAAACTATGCCTGGGCCCTGCACAGCTGATGGAAGACTCGGCAGCTATGTCATGATGCATCTATCATTTGGGGGGCTTCCAATTGTAGGACCAAAAGCGCTCAGCGTCCACTGTTTCATTCTTGCACAGCACGGGTCGTCTTCGGTGTCAAATACCCAACCTACAGCCGCTCGTAACTGAGCGCCTTGCATTAGTGCTGTATAGTAAAAGTCATTGGCTTTCACAGCCTGTCACGGTAGCTGTGTGAGCAGATAACTATCACGATGAAAGGCGAGTCGTACCCTCTGGTATATTTTTCGTAGTCTTGCACTTTCTTCTGGTGTTTCTAGCCACGATTTCCTCGGAGCAGCAAATCGAGGGTCGTTGATTCCATCATATCTGAGCCAGGGAGGATAATCCGCAGCGAGTATAGCAGGTGATGTCGAATTCATCCACCAGTCCAAGATACCAGTGAGGTTGCCGGAGGAATCAATCATCAAATCCATGTCTCCCAGTCCGTCATGCGCCAGTACCATGCGACGAACACACCTTTCATCGACTTGAGTCAAGTGCACCCGCAGGTGCGCGATTAATTGCGATACGGATGCTTGCGCTCTGAACCTATTCTCATCCCCGGTGTCTAAAGCGAATGCTCGACTTGTCTTCAATGTGGAAAGGTACTGGAGGTATTTTTGCAAAGTGGGAAAAACCTCAGAGGCATGCGCGTGATTAGCATTATAAATCCGCGGTATTACGACGAGTTCGTCCGGGGAACTCGTGACAGAGATGGAGCCGATCGTTTGTGGGACATTGATGTCGAACAACTTCAGTGCGAAATCCGCATATGACCGCACCAGTTGTTCCTTTGAAGCATTGTCAAGCGACCGGGTAACGCGATTAACCATACAAAGACAAACCTTTGCCTGTGAAGATAGCGTCGGGTATAAATTTTTGATGGGTTCACCTGTCAAACCCTGCGTGACGAAAGCATTCCGAGCGATTTTAGCGCTACATGGCAGGACATGCAGAAGATGGGGCGCGGGCACCGCGGAGTGTGCGGAAAGCCAGCGGAGGAGGGCAGTCTCGCTCTCAAAGAGCCGTTGGCTCCAATCTGAGTCAGAAGAGGTGGGTCGCAACCACAACCAGACAGTTTGACCGCCTGCTAGCGAGATTTCAAAAACCTGAACAAGCACTTTGTCAGTACTGTTGTTACAATGCTGACAAAATGCGTACCGGATGGGCGCCTAGTCTTCGTTGTCGAAAAGACTTTATATGGAAGCCCTGGTGCGTTAATTGAGCAAGCAGAGTCTGTTCTATGCTAGATGTAGGCATATTGGGCTGTCACCGTCGCCAGCGAGGTATTTACGAAGTTGGGTGCGCAGACAGTTGAGTTATGTAAGGTCCGCAGTGTGCATTCTGTGGAGCCCTATCAATTTTTGTGATTCAAAACGGAACTTGAACGAAGGGAAAGAAATACCGCAACGTTAATGCAATCTTCTTCTTGGGTTAGTGGCGCAACTACAACATGCTCAATCTGGAGAACTCCGTGATGGGGGCACGAGGTATTCGTGATAGTAGACGTCATTCTAGGTCATTGTTGTTCCAACAATTGAGTGCCAGCGGTTATCGATTATCAGCGAAAACGAGAAGTAGGGCTAGTGCACAGAAACGAGCCTAGAAGACTCACGTCACTGTTGCACATAGTTTGGCCCAGCGCTCAGCTGTACAAATATGCACTGTTACAACCGCCACATAGTACTGAAGCCACATGTCCGAGTCAGATCCCATTAATTTCGATCCTCATTACAGACTGTTCAGCCTGCAAGACGATTGGTCTATCTTTCGAATCTCGTATTTTGGCTGGGACAGGGAATAAAAAGCTGTCAGGAGTCAGGACCCAGGCGTCGTATCGATGATATTAATATTATTACACCAAGTTCTTAGACCTGGAAGCTTCGAAGGCTGGAACAGTTGCGCTGTCACGCGCATACGAAGATGAAACACTCGACTCGGAAATGGCCGAAACTTTACATTCAGGCTTAAACCTTGAAGCTTGAATACACCGCGGTAGCGTATAACGGAATTTCATCGACATCGTCTAACGTCGTTTGAGATTTGTGGAAACTCAATACTAAACTCCTCCGCTCTAGGTCCTATCAGTGACCTGACGTTTAGGGTTTCCTACTTATATGCATGTGGTTTAGCCCAAGCTCCGCAAACCTACTCCGCCAGAATGAAATGACCAAAGTCTAGGTATAAGGGCTAGTCTGAATCAATTGGTAAATTTCATCAGCCTAGGTCGTACGAAGGAATCTACAAATAGACTGAATTTGAACTGCTCTATACAATGTATGCATCATAATTTAAATCATGAATGTCGACGTCATGATAGAGACGCGGACTCGAAGCACCGGGAAGCTCGAGTGGACGGGAGCATCAAGGCCTGTCAGGGCACAACTTGAAGTACTTCGTATAGTCGGGGATACATCCTTGCGATACACGACTAGTAAGCTCAAATCAACTTCAGCTATCGCGCGTGTATCTACACTCGATATTCCAGGTGACACTGCTCTGTTGGGAAGGTTGCATCGACTCGAAGTGGTCAGATAATCACTAGGAAACCGAAAAGGAGTCATGTATATCCCGAGACTTGCGGAGTACAGTCAGTAATGACTTGGGTAGATGGTGATTACCAAATATTGACCATACGGAGTTCTTTCAAGGTGCCGAAATGATACTGCGCGACGTATCTTTAATAGCTGTTCTGATGAACGATAAGGGCATAAAAGCCGGTCATAGCCAGGCCAAGGGGATCATTACATCGTCAATAAGCTGCAATGGCCTCCCCAAAAGTCTGGTTTAGTGAGAATTTCCTTTACTCACCAACATTTTCACTGATGCTAAGCACCACGCACAGTAACGGGGACGTCCTCGGGATTCGGAAGATCTATGACAGAGTACGCACTCAACCAAGGCGACACCGTAGTAGCAACCCTCCGCAAACCACAAGTCCTATCTGATCTCGCGGCCCGATACTCAGCAGACAGACTCCTCGTACTCAAAGTCGATGTTACAAAGCAAGAAGACATTGACGAAGCATTCGCGCGCGTGCAATCGGCGTTCGGACGACTGGACGTAGTGTTCAACAATGCTGGGTATGGATTTTTCACGGAAATTGAAGGCACGCCCGATGATAAAGCGCGTGAGCTTTTCGAGACAAATTTTTGGGGTGCGACGAATGTTAGTCGTGCTGCTGTGAAGTTTTTTAGGGAGGTGAATGAACCGGGAAAGGGGGGAATACTTCTTCAAGTCAGTTCCATTGCTGGGTTTCATGCGCTTCCTGGGTTTGGTTACTATACTGCGTCGTGAGTGCAGTTTAAATTTCGTGTTAGTACAGATGATGTCAACGTGTTGCAGAAAATATGGTAAGAATATTGATGCGAGGAAAGTGGAAAGTGCTGATGATTGATTTGATGCATAGCGCTGGAGGGTTTTTCAGATGCTCTCGCGAAAGAGTTGCCAGCTTCCTGGAACATAAATGCACGTTGTTCTATCCACCAATAAATTTATACTCACAACAAGAATCAGATCTGCATCATTGAACCTGGGGCATTCCACACAAAGGGAAACAAAGAGGCAGCGGTATTACCGCACCATCCAGCATACAACGACGAGTCCTTTCCGACTTCGAAGTTTCGTCAGATGATGGAAAGCGCGATTTTCAAAGGAGATCCAGAAAAGCTCACGCGGACTGTGTATGCGGTTGTGCAGGGAGAAAAGATACCGGAGCGGTTGCCTATGGGTTTGGATGCGCTTGAGTTGCTGAACCGTAGGATTGAGAATTTGAAGGCGACTGTAGACGAGACGAAGGTATGGTCAGAGGATTTGAGGAGAGCTGATGGAGGAGTCCAAATACTTCTCTAAAGTGACTTCACTATATGTAGACAACTCATAGGAATGGAATCGAGTGGGATGTGTGACAGTTAGAGTGATTGTGTCAAATACGTATGAGACACTGGCCACTATGCTAATCCCAAGCTGGAGAGGTTTGCGTTCCAGACTTCTGACCTTGTTCCAGGTAATTGGTCAGTGCTTTGGATTTCTGCAATTGTGGATGTAAAGGTTGCTTTTGCCGTAGTGGGTTTTGTGGACCATGCCTCGTCGATCATGCATCATGAATGAATTGACATGTAGACAACTCAAAGAACAACTTGAACGTGTACACTGTGCATTGACGAAAACACGATCGACGACACGAGCCTTGAGCAAGGCAATGCAAATGCATCAGTGGATTCAGACTCCTACCCATCGGCGGGTGTGTGAGAGAGCCTAGACTCGTGACCAGTCCATCTACTATGAGGCAAACCGTCGATAGACGGACTGGTAAATCTAGGTCTGAATTTGGATAATGCGCTTTGGCATGACTGTTCAGGACTTAGACGCTGCTTAGATAAGTCTGCTAAGTGATTTCCATTACAAATCATCTACGTTAATTACTCAGCGGAGTTCTTTGAAAGTGCCGAAATGATACTGCGCGACGGACCTTTAATGACTGTTCTGATGAACAATAGGATGGCATAAAAGGATGGCCGCCAGGCCGAGGGATTCATTACATTGTCGCCATCAAGCTACAATGGCCTCTCCCAAAGTCTGGTTTAGTAAGAATTTCCTCTACTTACTAGCAATTTCACTGATGCTAAGCACCACGCACAGTAACAGGGACGTCCTCAGGATTCGGAAGATCTATGACGGAGTACGCACTCAACCAAGGCGACACCGTAGTAGCAACCCTCCGCAAACCACAAGTCCTATCCGATCTTGCAGCCCGATACTCAGCAGACAAGCTCCTTGTACTCAAAGTCGATGTTACGAAGCAAGAGGACATCGACGAAGCATTTGCGCGCACACGTGAAGCATTTGGACGGCTGGACGTAGTGTTCAACAATGCCGGATATGGACTTTTCACGGAAATTGAAGGCACGCCCGATGATAAAGCGCGTGAACTTTTCGAGACAAATTTTTGGGGTGCGACGAATGTTAGTCGCGCTGCCGTGAAATTTTTTAGGGAGGTGAATGAACCGGGCAAGGGGGGGATAATTCTTCAAGTCAGTTCGATTGCTGGGTTTCATGCGCTTCCTGGGCTGAGTTATTATGCTGCCACGTGAGTGTGGTTCGAATTTGGTGTTGGTTGAGATGATGCTGATGTGTTGCAGGAAACACGGTAGGAATCTTGATGCGAGGAAAGTGGGAAGTGCTGATGATCGATTTGATGCATAGCGCTCGAGGGTTTCTCAGATGGTCTTGCAAGAGAGCTGCCAGCTTCCTGGAACATAAATGCACGTTGTTTTCTCCGCCAATAAGTTTATACTCATAACAAGAAAGCAGATCTGTATCATTGAACCCGGGGCATTCCACACAAATGGAACCAAAGGAGCAATGGTATTACCGCACCATCCAGCATACGCTGACGAATCCTTTCCGACTTCGAGGCTCCGTCGAGTGGCAGAAGGCGCGGTTTTTGAAGGAGATGCAGAAAAGTTCGTGCGGACTGTGTATGAGGTTGTGCAGGGAGGAAAGATACCGAAGCGGTTGCCTATGGGTTTGGATGCGCTTGAAGCGCTGAATCTTAGGATTGAGAGTTTGAAGGCGACTGTGGACGAGACAAAGGGATGGTCAGAAGATTTGAGGAGAGCTGATGGAGGAGTCCAGCTACTTCTCTAAAGTAACTTCAACTAGTTTATCTAGACATCCCGTAGGAATGGAGTCGATGTGACAGTTAAACTTATTGTGCCACTGATACTTATGAGACACTATGCTAGTCTCAAGCTAGAGAGGTTCCGAACTCATGACCTTGTTCCGGTTGCTTTCGCTGACGGCTGCAGTGGGTTTTGTGGACCATGGCGAGTCAGTGGCTCATCGATCATGTCATGAACGAATTGACATGCAGACTCGGACAACTCGGAGAACTTGAACGCGTGCACTGTGCATTGACAAAAACATGATCGACGACACGAGCAATGCAATGCAAATCGACAACAATGTGATGTTTTTACGAAATGATGAACAGACAAACTCAGATCTCACATTGTCCAGTTTTCACTCCAAGTTTGGTTCGCACGGTTTTAGACTGAACGACATGCACCTCAACCTCAGTTTTTAGTCTTCAACTACTGACAAAGTCTTCGGATCTTTCTGTGATACCCCTGCTGTTATTTATGTCGACGATGCGAGTCTTGATTCTACCGTGTCTTGTCGTTGTCTTTTCTGCACAATTGCAATGTACTGCGGTTGCCACCAACCATCACGGGGTGACTGTAAAGTCGACTGCTGGCCCGGCACGCGTTCCTACCGTCGACGGTTATTACAATTCCTCACAGACATTTTGACGGTCTATATGAATGGGTGCGACATCGAACTTGGTCGCGATTGGCTCGCATTTGTGAATGCGAGATTCGATTGGTCTCGATTTCTTCAGCCTTCAGAAACTGAGGTCACTCGGCTTTCTGCTGGTTATAGTTGGGATTTTTACCCTGAGGTACGTGTATTCGTCGAATCATTTTATATGGCTGAATGATCTAGAGAATCTATCTTCTTCTCGGCCTGTTGTTACAAATGGAGAAAAAGTTTTAGCTACGCAGGCGGGTCTATCTTCATCATCTCTGTCATGTTCGTCTGTACTTCGGCAAAATGAACACGCTGTGGACAATTTTGTGATGGTTATGAAGACTTATCCAGCTCTAAGTGAGTTGGCAGTCGCCCATGGCCTCGGGGAGATCTACTCGACGAACAAAGCGAAAAATCGCGAATGCGAACAGCATACTAGGACAGCAGACCACGGCTATGTCCTTAATTTCTATGGCCAGCTCGAGCACGAACGCAAATGTACTATTGCGAACGAAAGTATTTGTGATCTTCGCACATCTTCAAAAACTCGCTCACTCTCGAGTCGCTTAGGAAGCGCTATGTGACCCGAGAATTCTCTCCGACTACCGCGGAACATACTTTCAGCCGGGACAGACCAAATTCAAGCAGCTGAACATCTACGATACGGCAGAAAACGGATTCAGACTAATCTCGATGCATGAAACTTACTCAAATCAAGATCCGGCACACTTGTTCTCGCCGTCTACGATGCTCACGTGTACAACATGATGAAAAACGGCCAGCCGACCAGCATGCATACTAAAATCGTTGATCGAAACACAAACTAACCTCGGACCGGCCCTTTTAGACTTTTCAGCTCGGCGTGCAAGCCATGAAGGTCCTGCGTCCTTCGGATGAACCTGTCGAAGGACGTTTTATCCCCATACTGTAAGCCATCAGTGCGGGCTTCTCAACATCCGATGTTCGCGGTCAACTCTTCCAAGCACACAAACAGGCAGAAGAACAAGGGAGGGAAAGGAAAGGAGAAAGTAGACTAACCCATGATGCACTTACTAGGAACACCAGCCTGTACCAACCGCCTTCATTTTGTGACTCCTCTGGTTGTATCTGTGGCATTAGCCCGGCAGAAAAAAAGATCAAAGCCACTTCAATTTCGCCATTCACACAGTGCTCACCTCCATCTTGCCACTTGTCTGGGTTTACCACTTGTATCGCGACTCGGCTGTGTAGGATATTTCTATTTATAACACCAATAGATTTGCATTATGACTGGGAAAAAAAAACGACCGTAGCGGGCTCTGCCGCGAGCAACCCTTCACGTTATTCCGCTATCAGTAGACATGAGGTGGCAAACCGTCGATAGACTGCAATCTCATGCACATCTTGTACCATTCTATTTTGGGTTTGTAAGACCAGGTAGTAACTGGCTATGCACATACGGTGCTGAAATGATCATGATGTACGTTCAACTGCGCAAACTGAGATCATGATGTTGATCCACCAGCTCTCTATCGGACTCATTGACGGATCTTTGAAAATGTATTTGACTGATGTCCTGGTGGATGATAGGACAACATAAAAGTCACAGCTAGGGACCATTACATCGTCAACGAGGTACAATGGCCTCTCCCAAAGTCTGGTTTAGTAAGAATTTCTTCTACTCACTAGCAATTTCACTGATGCTAAGCACCACACACAGTAACGGGGACGTCCTCAGGATTCGGAAGGTCTATGACGGAGTATGCACTCAGCCAAGGCAACATCGTAGTAGCGACCCTCCGCAAGCCACAAGTCCTATCTGATCTCGCAGCCCGATACTCAGCAGACAAGCTCCTCGTACTCAAAGTCGATGTTACGAAGCAAGAGGATATCGACGAAGCATTCGTGCGCACACGTTCGGCATTCGGACGGCTGGACGTAGTGTTCAACAATGCCGGATATGCACTTCTCATGGAAATTGAAGGCACGCCCGATGATAGAGCGCGTGAGCTTTTCGAGACAAATTTTTGGGGTGCGGCGAATGTTAGTCGTGCTGCCGTGAATTTTTTTAGGGAGGTGAATGAACCGGGAAAGGGGGGAATAATTCTTCAAGTTAGTTCTGTTGGTGGGTTTCACGCGCTTCCTGGGTTTGGTTATTATGCTGCATCGTGAGTGCGGCGTGAATCTGGTATTGATTGAGATGATGCTGATGCCGATGCTGATGTATTGCAGGAAACATGGTAGGAATCTTAATGCAAAGAAAGTGGAAAGTACTGATGATTGATTTGATGGACAGCACTGGATGGTTTCTCAGATGGCCTTGCAAAAGAGCTGCCAGCTTCCTGGAACATAAATGTACGTTGTTCTCTCCAGCAATAAACTTATACTTACAACAAGAAAGCAGATCTGTATCATTGAACCTGGGGCATTCCATACAAACGGAAGCAGAGGGGTAATGGTATTACCGCAGCATCTAGCATACATCAACGAGTCCTTTCCGACTTCGAGGTTCCGTCAGATGATGGAGGGCGCGGTTTTTGAAGGAGATCCGGAAAAGTTCACGCGGACTGTGTATACCGTTGTACAGGGAGGAAAGATACCGAAGCGATTGCCTATGGGTTTGGATGCGCTTAAAATGCTGAATCTTAGGATTGAGAATTTAAAGGCGACTGTGGACGAGACGAAGGAATGGTCAGTGGATCTGAAGAGACTTGATCTCGGAGTCGGACTTCTAAAAATAGCTTAATACCATGTATCCCACCCACTCTACAACTCCAATGAACGTGATCTCTATCATCCAAGCTATGAGTAGGACTAAATTCATTCGCCCGCTCATTACTACAAGAATAGCTTCCTACAGACTATACTGAGACTCTCAGCGACAAGCACGTAACATGCTCAGGCTTATCCTTGCCTGCTCGTGTACATCCTCACAGCTACAACTATGGTTGCATGTCAATTCCAGCTAGAAGCCATTCTTACAACATTGAACGGGGCCGTGACAGTATAATTACAGCTGGTACGCGCTGTAAAAGACCTTGCGTCTCAAAATTTCTAATATACTCAGGTAAGATTCAAAGTGATACGGATCCATTATCTTCACAAGTCTAGAATGGATATCCGACGTGAATTTGAACCCAGATTTACCTGGCTCCCCAGTCTATCAAGTCACCAGACCATCTAGGAGTGGATTTATGGGACGGTTCATTCTTTCCTTGCCAAGCCATATTCTAACTTTCCCCCGAAACCAAGGCCATGACCAATGCCCGCATGTGCCCTGGTTACAGCTTACAAAACCCTCCACGTTCAATCACTATCAACCGCTGTCAATGAGTTATGCGATTCTACTCTCCTGGACAGATAGTTCCGGCGGAACGCATAGCAGCCGATGCTGTTTGTGTCATACATCTTCAACGACAAGCCGACCAGTTATTATTGGTACCCTTACTCAGAAACAGGTTGATGAACTACTATGTTCATGGGCAGACTGTGATGGGTAGGTGATTCACGGACGAACCATGGTGGGGACAAGCTTCGAGTCGTCCAAATATGCAATGTACGTGCACTGGGTTTCGTCGCATACAAAAAGAATGCAGGCCCTTGAATGACTCTGTTCGAATGCTCGTCAATGAAGTCAAGTACTCTGCTGTGCCACAAAATTTGCTGTCTGGGCTCTTGCTAATCTGCTGATCGAGCATCTCTGCACCTACATGCTCCGCTCCTGCATTAAATGATTTAAATCACCTTGTACCATCGTTGCCCTTCCCTTGATAATCCACTGCATACTCACCTAGTTTAGAGCTATCAAGGTGGTGCTTCGTCTGCGACTCAACTGATATTTAGAGAGTGGATCTCCAACATTATGATTTTCCTCCTAATGACGAATGCCGAGGCTTGTCCTCGAGTTGAGGGGAAATCCTCAGTCCACCTGATGTGACCAGATAATCATCAGGAACCGGACCGAAAAGCGCTGGTACTATGGGATAGTCGTGTGGGACAGTAGCAGGTAGTGAGTTCGGTAGATAGCGGTTACCAAGCATCCACGTCGAAAGTGACGAAATGATGTAAGTTCAACTGCGCGAGGGATCTTAAATGGTGTTATGGTGAATGATATAAGAGCCATAGCCAGGCCAAGGGGATCATTACATCGTCAATAAGCTACAATGGCCTCCTCCAAAGTCTGGTTTAGTAAGAATTTCCTCTACTCACTAGCAATTTCACTGATGCTAAGCGCCACGCACAGTAACGGGGACGTCCTCAGGATTCGGAAGGTCTATGACAGAGTATGCACTCAGCCAAGGCGACATCGTAGTAGCGACCCTCCGCAAACCAGAAGTCCTATCCGATCTCACAGCCCGATACTCAGCAGACAAGCTCCTCGTACTCAAAGTCGATGTTACAAAGCAAGAGGACATCGGCGAAGCATTCGCGCGCACACGTTCAGCGTTCGGACGGCTGGACGTAGTGTTCAACAATGCCGGATGTGGAGTTTTCGCCGAAATCGAAAGCACGCCTGATGATGAAGCGCGTGAGCTTTTCGAGACAAATTTTTGGGGCGCGGCGAATGTTAGTCGTGCTGCTGTGAAGTTTTTTAGGGAGGTAAACCAACCAGGCAAGAAAGGGATACTTCTTCAAGTCAGTTCGGCTACTGGGTTTCACACATCTCCTATGTGTGGTTATTATAGTGCGTCGTGAGTGCAGCGTGAATCTGGTGTTGGTTTAGATGATGCTGATGTGTTGCAGAAAACACGGTGGGAATCTTGATGCGAGGAAAGTGGAAAGTGCTGATGGTTAATTTGATGCATAGCACTGGAGGGTTTTTCAGATGCTCTCGCGAAAGAGTTGCCAGATTCCTGGAACATAAATGCACGTTGTTCTCTCCACCCGTAAATTTATACTCACAACAAGAAAGTAGATCTGCATCATTGAACCCGGGGCATTCCACACAGACTGAAGCAGAGGGATAGTGGCATTACCGCAGCATCCAGCATACGCCGACGAGTCCTTTCCGACTTCCGTGTTGCGTCAGATGATAAAGAACATGGTTTTGGGAGGAAATCCACACAAGCTCACGCGGACCGTGTATGAGATTGTGCAGGGAGGAAAGATACCGAAGCGACTGCCTATGGGTTTGGATGCGCTTGAGATGCTGAATCTCAGGATTGAAGATTTAAAGGCGACCGTGGACGATACGAAGAGATGGTCAGTGGATTTAAAGAGAGCTGATGGGGGGTCAGACACCCGCTCTACTTGATCCATATGAACCTCGTTGAAGTTGTGTTATCCATCTATATGCAGACTTATGATTGTTTTTGTTTTGGGATGAACTTGGTCTCTTCATGATCAAACGCGTCATCACGGAAACGGTGAACAGATGAGATTGTTAAGTGGTGGGTAAATGTCATACCAGCACGGTTCTACAGATGAGTTATTGGGTTCACGGAAGAACCATGATGGTGCTGGACTAGGGGGACAAGCTTCGAGTCGTCCAAATATGCAATGTACGTGCACTGGGTTTCGTCGCATAAAAAAAGAATGCAGACCCTTGAATGACTCGGTTCGAATGATCGTCAATGAAGTCGAGTACTCTGCGGTGCCACAAAATTTGCTGTCTGGGCTCTTGCCAATGTGCTGATCGAGTAGTATCTCTGCACCTACATGCTCCGCTCCCTCCTGCATCAAATGATTTAAGTCACCTTGTACCATCGTTGCCCTTCCCTTGATAATACACTGCCCACTCACCTAGTTATAGAGCTATCAAGGCGGTGCTTCGTCTGCGACTCGAGCACAGTCTATGCAAGTATGATATTTAGACAGTGGAATCTCCAACTTCATGATTTTCCTCCTAATGACAAATGCCGAGGGCTGTCCTCGAGTTGAGGGGAAATCTCAGTCCATCTGATGTGACCAGATAATCACCAGGAACCGGACCGAAGAGCGCTGGTGCTATGGATAGTCGTGTGGGACAGCCGCAAGTTCGATTGATAGCGGTTACCAAGTATCCACTTCGAAATGATGTAAGTTCAACTACGTAACGGATCTTAAATGGTATTATGGTGAATGATATAAGAGCCATAGCCAGGCCAAGGGGATCATTACATCGTCAATAAGCTACAATGGCCTCCTCCAAAGTCTGGTTTAGTAAGAATTTCCTCTACTCACTAGCAATTTCACTGATGCTAAGCGCCACGCACAGTAACGGGGACGTCCTCAGGATTCGGAAGGTCTATGACGGAGTATGCACTCAGCCAAGGCGACATCGTAGTAGCGACCCTCCGCAAACCGCAAGTCCTGTCCGATCTCACAGCCCGATACTCAGCAGACAAGCTCCTCGTACTCAAAGTCGATGTTACGAAGCAAGAGGACATCGACGAAGCATTCGCGCGCACACGTTCAGCGTTCGGACGGCTGGACGTAGTGTTCAACAATGCCGGATATGGAGTTTTCACAGAAATCGAAGGCACGCCTGATGATGAAGCGCGTGAGCTTTTCGAGACAAATTTTTGGGGCGCGGCGAATGTTAGTCGTGCTGCTGTGAAGTTTTTTAGGGAGGTAAACCAACCAGGCAAGGGAGGGATACTTCTTCAAATCAGTTCGTCTACTGGGTTTCACGCATTTCCTGGGTTTGGTTATTATGCTGCGTCGTGAGTGCGGTATGAATATGGTGTTGGTTAAGATGATGCTGATGTGTTGCAGAAAACATGGTGGGAATCTTGATGCGAGGAAAGTGGAAAGTGCTGATGATTGATTTGATGCATAGCGCTGGAGGGTTTTTCAGATGCTCTCGCGAAAGAGCTGCCAGATTCCTGGAACATAAATGCACGTTGTTCTCTCCACCAATAAATTTATACTCACAACAAGAAGTAGATCTGCATCATTGAACCCGGGGCATTCCACACAGACGGAAACAGAGGGATAGTGGTATTACCGCAGCATCCAGCATACGTCGACGAGTCCTTCCCGACTTCCGTGTTGCATCGGGTAATGAAGAGCCCGGTTTTGGAAGGAGATCCACACAAGCTCACGCGGACTGTGTATGAGGTTGTGCAGGGAGGAAAGATACCTAAGCGGTTGCCTATGGGTTTGGATGCGCTTGAGATGCTGAATCTTAGGATTGAAGATTTAAAGGCGACTGTGGACGATACGAAGAGATGGTCGGTGGATTTGAAGAGAGCTGATGGGGGGTCAGACACCCGCTCTACTTGATCCATATGAGCCTCGTCGAAGTTGTGTTCAATATGCAGACTTATGATTGTTTTTGTTTTGGCATGAATTTGGTTTCTTCAATGCGCTGACGTAGCGACCGAGTTAGCATTAGTGACGTAGTCAACCAATTGTGTAAAATTGTTTATCGTTCCATCATCCAACTAACCTTGCTTCGCAAGGTAACGAAAAGATTTTTCAAGATCTTTCCAGCATAGTTTGGCACTGATCAGTGGTGAGTGCTGCACCTGTGTTCCGAAATTTTTTCGCCCATCCAAGAACCCCCCTTCAAAAATTCTCGTTCTACTACCAACTCAACTTCAGTGGCAAAAGGGTTAACTCAGCCTAGGTCATGGACACCGACCAGCAGGGAAATGTTGAGGCAGCATTCCGTCTCCCAAACGAGTTGATTGCTATAGTTTTCGATGAACTTGATATAGTATCTCTTTTGAGATGCAAGCAAGTATGTACCGTATTATGCACATTTTATATACTGCTGCTCACGCTGAATTCCAGGTATGCCAATTGTTTCGTTCAGTTGTCACCACCAACGCGCAACTTCTCTACAAAATCGAGTTGTTTTTTGGACGGTTCGAGAATGGACGCCACTGTAGTCTTGATACTGCTGGTCGCCTTCGTGCTTGTCGACAGTACCAACAGGCTTGGAACAACTTAGCTTTCCCAAACTCCCAATTCATAAATATGATGGACGGTCATGCTTGGGAACTGTCCGGCGGAGTATTGTGTCAGGCTATGCGGTCACGATCAGGGCTTGCTTGCGTACAACTTCCCTGCAAACTTAAAGGCATTCCCGAGCGGGAATGGATTGTCAATGATTTTGGATTCGAGATCAGAGATTTCACCATCGATACATCTCAGAACTTGATCGTCGCTTTGGAAATTGTAGGTGCCAAGTACGTTTTGATGCGTCTATTTTTGAGAGGCACGTCTGATACTAAATGCCACAGCCCGAACCGGACATGCCATGTACACCTAAGATCCTTAATGACCGGCGAACATCATCCAATGGCTGCCGTGCCCTTCGTCATGCAGCTGCTATCAGACATGAATGAGGAGCTCAAATTCCACATTCAAGTTTGTGGTTCCCGCATCGCAATACTGTGTCACGAACATGCAGATGATCTCAATTCTCAGCTAGCTATCTGGGACTGGAAACTGGGTCAGCAGAAGCTCGTACGTCTTTCACGCTTATTGCTGCAAGTGATTGTTGAGAACTGTTCAAAGTTCATTCGAGACACAGACATTCGATCTTTTTCTTTCGTCACAGAAGACTTACTTTTGGTTGGCGTCGCCGCCATGGAGGGTGACGAAACGCCCCGTCTGGACATCCTTAGTATCGACTGCTTCAGTGCAGAGAGTGAGGAATATAAGGATGTCAACTACATTTGCGCCTGCAGTATCCAAAGATGAAGGGCGACGTTCTAGATATGTTGATTCGATCTGAGCCAACTCCAGGATGGTCTCCACCTCAAACTGTTCAGACTCCCTTTTTCTCCGCTCGCAGTGACCGCATCTTTACCATCACCATGCGGGTCTCCCCCGCAAACAATTCAAGCGAAGAGAGTACTGTGCTGATCGTCCCCTTGTCCACCATCATGGCTCAAGTTGAGCTGTCTCGCAGTACACAAAACGCATCGTCCCATGGACGCAGTGGGGCCCGAATGGCACTTATATGCTCCTTCGTAGCCCGTCCGAAGTCTGGGTTTGCTATGTCTATGGCATGAAGTTCATCCAACTTCTGCCATGGAGAAAAGGAAATTCTGCAAGAGTGTATGATTTCAACAAGTACGCAGCGAGGAGGGATGTTCGAAGTGAACAAACAACGGAACCAAAACTTTTGTGGAAGCGCTTAGGAATGCCCCAGTCACTGAATTCGCGGTGTTCAGCATTTGACGAAGAAGTCAACACGTATCTTCCTGGCCGTGTTGCGTGTGTTGAAGTGATGCCGAGTGATTCCCCTTATGACTGGGAGGCGGCTATGATTGGCGAGGACAACATTATCCTAGTTTCTGTGAGTTTTCGCATACGTCCCGTCTGGCTGGCACTTACGCAAAAGGCACTGCTAGTCTAGTGCAAGAAAGTACGGCTATATCGCCATGTGAATTGTCGTTCTGAAAAGTGTATATCATATCTGTGGATCTATCCCGTGAAATTACCTCAAACGCTTGGATGTCAATTCACTCATGCCTTGCAAGATGGGATGACACTATCCTACCATCAGTAGGCAACACATCACCTGGCTTTAGTTGTCTCCCAGACGGGTCATCGTGACAAATATTTTTAGTGCGCAAAGGGAAGATTATCTTATTTTTGTGATTCAGCAGTGGCTACAGTTATTCCCTGATTTCCGTGGACTTAAAGAACGTCATCTCTTCTAGTGTGTGGTGGCTTTAATCGTTCACGAAAAATGCATGGAGATACTACTACAGGTAGGGTCGACGATAACTAAACTTGACACTAACACAATGTTCTCATCTTTATGACCCCTACATGGGGCAAACTCTCTAGTCATCTAGTCGGGTGCTCGGATACTCAGTCGTGGACCAAGTCGGGGCTTCACGTACATGCTATCAGAGTTTGCTAGGTCTGCTGCCCTCAATCACACCGATAACACGATAATTCTTTCCTTTTTCAGGATTCGACTAGCTTCAGCTGCGGTAATGCCAGAATGTGGTAACCAAAGGCCACTTATCATACGTTGCATGCAAGGAACGAGCCGCGGACTCAGGCCAACTCTGGACTGTCATGAATATGTTAACTTAACTTTGACATGTCGAACCGGATCATGAGCCCAGGGACGCCACCGGTCAAGTTGATCTGCTATGCTAGTTCCAGCCTGAAAGGAACGATCTGATCTACAAGCGCCTGTAGGGATGTGTGAATGAGGCCCTCCGCGGAGGGAGAGGGGCGCGCAAGGAGAACGTACTATCATTGTCAAACTTTTGACATGTCATGATGAAACAGATCTAGAACTTGAGCTTGGGTCACTTCGCCACGCGCAACCGTCATTGAGCCCGTTATTAAGTCTGTTGCGCAGGATCCACTAATAGGAATAATAGATAGCTTACCTGACCCGGGCGCCCGAGGGGTGTAGATCACCGAGTGTGCGTACGTACCCATGATATAAATGTCAATCGAACACCGAGAATTAACTCTATAAATTTTTTTGTGATAACCCTCAGTGCTGTACAGTCTGTGCTTGTCAGTCCCGAAATGTCACTATGCAGTACTGTGAAGTTGTACTAGCTTCTGACTTCCTAGGCTAATTACGAAACTCACTCACCAAACCAATTGTTTCGCTGGTTTCGTAGCATGTGCAGGGTAGACTCGGCGCTGCCATGGCCAGTTGCGAGCATAACCAAACAATCTTAGATTATCACTAAAGACTATGTAGTACAAAAAGGAATAAGGACAATAAGGACATTGCGTCGACAAGGCCAGTTGACAACGCATAGCAACTTAGGGTCCAGGTACACGATAAGGGCAATACAATCATTATTAGCAACAATTGGCAGTGAGGGGACAGAAAAAAAAATTATTGTATGAATGAGGAGGGCGCCAGAACGACGCCAAAATAAAGTGAACGGCACAAAAAAATTAGGGTATGCAAGGCCAATGGTATATATGGTCGAAATGAGATGAGATGAGATGTTGAGCGAGTATGTCAGATTTGAAGATTGGCATGGTTGGGGATGAGGCAGGACAAGACGGAGGGTGTAGCTATCGTTTCTGGAGACTCAAGTGAAAGGGTTGTAATAGCACGCCAAAATTAAGGTGAGTCGGAAAAGGTGAGACCCTTGTGACGCTTCGTGCTCCGTTCGTGGCGTTTGCAGTCGCTCTGATTGAAGAACGCCTGAGAACAGCCAGGAATGTTGCAGACGAATGGTCGAACACCAGAGTGAGATTGCATGTGACGCTTTAAGCTAAACACAGCTGTAAAGGTTTGACCACACTCATCGCACTTATGAGACGCTTGGTGGCGTCGGCGTCGTTGGTTGGCATCAAGCATCGCTGGGCTCGCGACGGGACGAGCCATGCTAGACTCTGAATGCGAGCGAACGTGCCTAGGTGCATCCGGAGGTTGAAGATAAAATGTGGGATCGCTTGGGGAATGGTGATGTCTGAGAGAAGCTGAGCTCCCTCGACGTGAAAGACCTAAATGGGAGGTCATGGGAGACAGGCTACCCTCGGAAGAAGGGGTGGTAATTTCAGACCATGGAGACGAAGGCGACTCATGACCGGGACTGGGGGAGAGTGTGGCGTAGGATGAGGAGGGAGACGGCGTATATATAGGTATAAGGCGCGTGTTGTCACGTAGCATCGTCTGTAATGGTGGGGAAGGTGGAGTCACTTGGACGGTATCAAGAGACTGTGTAAACGGTTCAGGGCCAGTTAAGAATGGCCCCGAGTAAGGTTGGTTGAAAATTTGCGAAGGGTACAAATCATCAGGACTCGGATTTTCCAATGGCGGGAAGGATTGGTTGTAAGGTTCAGCTGGGTACCTGTTCAGCTCGAGGATAGACAACACGACGTGCATCGACTTACATTCTTCGGTAGAGAATAGGGCAGACGAATAAATGTATGACAGTTCATCGTACATATCATATGAAAAGGAGCCAGTGTCAAGCCTATGCGAGCCGACATATGAGTCGAGAGTCAACGACAGAAAGTACGAAAACAAACGTACTGCATGGGAGCAGGCCTCATTTGGTCGGACCCAGAAGGTGACTCTAGATGAATTTGAGGGACCTGCATATGGCGAGAGCGATTATCGTTGGTGAAGGACATTACAGTGGTGAATGGGTACTAAGAATACGGGGCCAGATGAGCGATTATATATGGACTCAGCCTCCTGCAAACAGACCTATTTAAGACAGTGCCCGAGGTGACTATGCAATCTCACCAAACCTCGGCAAATTCTTTTGGGAGACGCCCAAAGACGCCTGCCTCCACAAGGTTCTGGCAAGATGTGGTTAGAGATCTGACAGATCTGATGTTCCTTCTAGGTACCGAGATACGCAGCGCAGTCGTAAAAATCGGATAAGGCCAAACTGACATTTATTGTACCATCGCAGTTGTATGACCCACAAGTTATCCGGAGCCAGTTATCACTGCGGGTGGGAGAAATGAGAGGAAAAGCGCCTTGAATATCTGCATGGAATTTCTGTGGATAGCCATAATACTCGAAAATGTCATGAGCCAGCCAACCAGCCAAAAACGGCTGTGCTTTCCGAAGAGAAATTCAGAGTAGATGGTTGGGAGTTTGAGGGAGGAAATGGTGGCATAGCCACTATACATCCATGGGTCGGGCCGCCAAATAGTACACGCTAGTTCCCCATGATGGCCTGCCACATTTCAAGATCACTACAGTCACCCTCAACCAGCACTGATAGTAACGATGAACAACCTTGTATAAGCACAATCCATCGAATTATTAACTCTCGTGGGGAGTGGGCCGTGCTGCGGCGATGCAGGTTCAGGCGATGCACCTTCTCTCCGATGATGATGGAATAAAAAAAAACAATAATTTTGGTATGCCTTATTTACTACTACAGCCTTCAGATTTAATAATATAGCAAATCACGCAGAGGCGGCAGGCCCAACTCATGATTTGCTTTAGAATGGTTCTTTGTTTGGCCTTGAGAGCGCTTGAGCGGCCAATCAGCCGCCTAACTCATCCCTAAAGTAGTACCATATCACCGCGCCTTTACAACGTGTAGGGTGGCACTGCACTCTCACATGTTCCTCAGGGCTGCCATGCACAGGCAAAGCACAGCGTCTACATCCAAAGTTCTTTTTGGCACGTCAGGCTTGCCAACGAAAGACGTCACCCCTGAAATTGGGGTACACTTCCATTCCAATGGCCTTTGGAACCGGGAGTTTTTGTCTCTATTACGTTTGGTATGGCCTTGCCACGGCGGCTTTCCCCGCAACGGAACACTCATAGTTGACCGAGGCTTTCCTCAAGGATCTTTTACCATTTGGCGGTAGATAATCCCATCACGCAGATCCCCGTTTCACTTTCAGTTAGGTCCATTTTCAAGAACAAGCACGTAGTATTTGTCTCCGCATGCCGAAGAGTATTACTGTGATCGGACTCCTGCACCCCTTTGTCGGTTTGCTATCGGAGTCGACCGGGGCTCAACCCACTTGCCGGTTACTTGATCTCCATGCAAATGACTGATCACGCGAGTTCTTCTGGTCCGTTCTTTCGTTTCTAATCACCATCCCAGGCAATTACTGACATTCATAAATACGGATGGTCTGCTTCCCCAATATTTAGTATGGCCATAATCACTCATTTCCGAAGCCCTCCGATGTCACTGGGCCCTGGCATAATGTGGAGATTGGTGAAATATAGATCCGGAACTTAATATTACATTTGGCCTACGATGTGGACCACCCACTGGCATTCATGGGAATAGACTTTGCAGAGCTTCGGCGACAGACGTAAGATGGACAATTGCCATGAGGTTTGGGGTTTACTCGTGGTTTCCGTTTGTGGAATTTCGAAGTCATTAACCTGGCCACCTAGGTGCCTGACATCTCGGTTCCAAACGAATGGCGAACGAGCTCATCGGGGACGATCGAAGTAATGAGTCTATGTACCACTTGTGACGATCAGTATGGGGTTTTATTATATTTGCATAGCGTTTTTACATTTTCAAGAGTGCCAGCTGATGGAGCAGGGAGGGGCTCTTGTTCCAATGGTGAGTAGAGATGGGTGCCGGAGCGCTCAGATCAGTGACGTTCGAAGGCTATCGGTTGTTAGAACGATGCGGCTCTAGCGTGTGGAAATGACTACATTAGGGTCTTGTTGGCCAGGTCGGACATCAGACTAGTTACCGATTGGTACAAACGAAAACTGATCAGACCTCAATCCTCGTCACTCCCGTAGTCCGCCACTCCCAGCCCTGAAGTTAATGGTTTCGGAGGTATTGCCTTTGGATTTACGACAGATAATGAGACGCCGTTCCGCTTTCTTATTTCGGCAAAGTATTTGAGACCTTCCATTGTATCGGCTGACAGCAGACCAAGGGGCTGGAGTGGAGGCTCTGATATCGCTTCTTGTGGCGGTGGCAGCTCAATTCGCCGCCGTTTTGCCTCTGGGTCGCCAGATTCTGGGTCTTCTACCACTTCTCCTTCGTCATCCAGCATATCTCCATCCTCTAACGCACGGACAGCCCGCATGGCATCAACAATACGAGGGTCCATCCGCGCTTTGATAGCTTCCTGCCCGATCTCCTCCAGTCGCCGCTTTTCCGCCACCTTCTGCACCGGATTGGGATCCTCGGTGGCCCATCGAACGTTCAAGATTTCATCATTGTCAAGGGACTGGCACGCCATGGCCTCTTTTGCAAACTGTGCGCCGAACTCCGAGACATAAGTTACGAATGCGACACTACGATACTGTAGCACGCGGACTGTAAGGAAAGGGGGGGCATATTTTAGATGCCATCTCCACAAAAGCTTTCAATAACGTACTGCGTTCAATTTCGCCCCACTCTTTGAAGTGCCTGATGACAATTTCTTCTGTCTCTGGACCTGGGCCGGTCTCCTTGATTCGACCAACGTATAGCGTTCTATTTTGTCGGTTGAAACTACCAACACCACCCATATCATCTCTGTAATCTGAGAATTTGTCTCGAGCGAAACAATCTTTACTCGAATCAGGTAATGCGTTATCGGGGTCGGGAAGAGTGTGAAGGTAGTCGCACTCCCATCCATATGGGCAGCATCCACGAGCAAAGAACAGACAACAATAGCGAATACCAGTCGTGTTCGCTCGAGTCAGGCCTGAGTCCTTCTTGATGTTGCACCGAGTTTGCGATTTTACTTTGCTATAGCAGAGTCAGACATTGAACTAAGGGATAGATACGCATTAAACTCACTTGGAGTAATTATCTTCTCGGTCACCTCCAGCCCACTTGTTGTACCAGATATCTGCAATTACGCTCGTGAAAAGTCCTCGTTGACAGACATCATTGACACTTACTATATTCCTTCCCGGTCTGAGGCGTCTCCTTTCTTTCCACATCTCCCGCTTTCACTTGCTTGCGCGCAGGCTTGAGTTTTTTGGCTGGCTTTGGTTTTGCCACCACGGTTGTTATTTCGTCTGTGCTCATGATGAAGAACCTGGCTAGTAAGAACCTGACCAAGTGCTTGATTGGTGGATCATTCGCTGACTAAGCTGTCGTTGTGTGAACCCCCAATGATGTGGCAACTTGTGAGTTCTTAATGACAATCAGCCTTCAAGCTTCAGGCTCCCTACATAGTAGGGTCGCAGTGTGGAGTGCTCAGCCTTGGGATATAGTTCAGCCACATATGCACATCATAGCCATCGCCGTCGCTACCCCATCGATCCTGCCAATTGTCGAATTTCTACAACTTCTTAACTCTAAGAAGGTTACACGTGGTGGTATGTGTCAACAATTTGTCCATGGGTTAAAATAATCCTTCCATGTACCGCCCTCAGTTATAGTGTTATACGACGGAAATTAGTTGACCTTTTGCGTCAATTGGATTGCTTGGAGTTGATGAACTCTGTGGATCCAATCTTACAGGGCGTTCTCGAATAATGGAGGCGGTACGAAGCGACGACGAAATATTTTCAAGATCCAGCCGGATCGGCCGCAGGTCAGGACGCCCCAAGCGCAGATCATCACGGTCGGCCGAGGAGCTCCAGTTCGACCTTCCGGCAGAAACTGGAAATTTGCCGTTCATCGTTTGCCTATAGATTGTTCGCTCGTGTATCTCAATATTCTGGGTCCAGACTCATCACGGTCGGGAGATCTTTAGCGCTATCAACGTTCAACGATAATTACATGCGAGCCCATCATGATAACTGTACGCGGAAACCTACGTGAAATCCCGCGGGATTTTGACGATTTGCAAATTAATTCGCTCCAGTTCGTAATGTTGTCGAGGAAACAGCTGCGTACACTACATAATTGTTACGCCGCCAGTGATCCAGCTAAGCTTGTTGCAGAAGTACGTCCTACCTATCTTTGGTCCGCTAGTCGTCCTTGGCAAACGAAACGGAGAACTCAAGGTGGCGGGAGATTGATATGGTTGCTACGTATATGTCGTACATCCATTATGCTACTGTGGAGCAGTCCGAGGGAGCCTCTAGATATCTTCGAACTGACTATATCTGTTTATTTCATGTTGATCAATGGAGATAATGTGACGTACTACGGACACCCGCATGTTGGAATAATTCGACTGCTAAATCAAAAGACTGTGATCCAGCCAATCGATAGTACTAGTGTGATAAGATGCGAGTCAAAACCTCCTCAGTCAGCGCTTCACCGTTCGGAGTTTGATCCGTTCAAAATGTGTTCTGTAACTGCGGGATCACCAGAGTCCTTGAGGATCGCCCACCTCTAACTCCATTCCCCGCAAAAGGTTGTCATGACTGTGTTTTACTGTACATCAGGCCAAAAGATCGGACCTTGCTTACCGCGGGTTGGCCCGTTGAGCGCGCGCCGCGGCCACGCTGGACAGCCAATTAAAGCACTGGCAATCTGGGAGAATATTGGATGGGACCAATCAAATACAGTATCATTGACCTGTGAATACTCTCATGGAATGAAAGATCCTGAGAGTGCGTCGATAATAATAATGGGATTTCGATTGAGTGTATGATCCGAGTCAGTTGAGGTTGGCCAAAGCATGGCTATGCCACATCCCCTTCCAGGACAAGGCCTCGAATGCTTGGCAGAAATTCTACCACAGGATAGCCCCAACAATACAACGAAAGAGAGGTGCACAATAGGAATGGATACATCATAAATTCACTAGCGTGGTTGGTATCAAGTTCGTGTGTGTGTACGTATACAAACATCAGAAACGGAATATAGAAATGCAACTATTACAGTACATGAGTTGAGCACGATCAGACACGAGAAAGCACGATGTGCGATGTGAGTAAGTGCGCATGAAAAGATGATAGCAAGGAAGGGATAGGAAGACAGCAATGTGACCAGTAAGAAACCAAAACGGAGTAGTAGATCCAACCGCATGAACACAAGACCAACCCCGCAGAAAAGTATTCGTAGCACGTCCCGAAATCGTCAGAAGTCATACATGTGCGTTGAAACACGTGGTGGGAAGCATAAACGGGCCCTTAAGCCCACTGGCCACTCCCCCACCAACGTTTTGCTGAACCGCGTACGGCCCACTCAGCAACACCAGTCGTCGTCGCTACATACAGGAAACCTCCTGTTGGGTCGAAGCACGTTCCTGCAATATCCACATCTTCATGTTCTGCCACAGTCCCTGGACGGTCAAGTTCTCCTTCCTCCTCATACGTTCGTCGCGAAGTGCGCCAGTAGGGGTGGAAGATGGGTGTCATGGAACGATACGTCGGGCTTGCAGGGCGATACGGCGGACTTGCGGGACGGTATGTTTGGGAAGAAAGAGGCGATGGGCTGATGGGCCGATATGGGCTTTGCGGGCGGTGCAAGTTCATTGGAGGTGGCGAGCCCCCACGCGACAAGCAGTCCACCTCAAACTCATCGAGGTCCATCGTATCGCCTTCATCACTGCCACTTGTTCGATCTGACATCCTCGAGGGCGGTACGCTTGTCCATGATGCTGTCCGGGGCAGTGCACCGTGTTGAGGTAGGACACGTGCACTCAGTCGCGCTCCTGAATGTCTAAGTGAGGAATGGGCGGGTGTATGAGCAGGAGGTGTTTTTCTGCAAGAGATGTTGGGAATGCGGATGATTTCTTCAGTTTCGAATGTTCGAGCATCGAGGACGTGTAAGAGATTGGTGTGCTGTATAGATTATCATGATCAGCTTGAGTATAAAACGATGATACTCCGAACCCTGCACACCTCGGTATACGTCATTATCTCGTGTCCTGCCCGCGCACCAACTCCGCCACACCCAAATTTGACGCTCCGTGCGCCCCATCCTGGCGCACGTGAAGTTCCGCCAGTACGTGCCCAATCCCATGGATCATCACTCATCCACTCGCTGTCACCACCGCCCCTCTCACGACCCGTATGCAGCACCTTTAGCGGTTTTGTGCTCCGCACGTCCCAGATTGCGACAACTCCTTCTTGACAAGCAACGGCGAACTTGAGCCCGTCAGCGCTCCATGCGGTGCTAAAGGATGCTACGAGAGAGTTGGGATGGATGGAGATGGCGGGCGGGATCTGTAATGTTGTGACGCGATTGAAGGTAAGCTGAGCGCCGCCTGAAAGAGAGTGAAGGTAGATCCGAGGAGAGTCTCCAACTGAAAGTAAGGTACGGCCGTCGGGTGAGATAGAGGCTGTATATATTCACAGGATTAGATTATTTCCTCACACGTGAGATAATAACGTACAATGATTCACAGGCTCTTTGAGTTTGAGGATTCCACAACACCTAAGTTCCTGTGCCCCACGGACTCGGAGGGGTACGTCGTAGAGGCGAACTGTCGAGTCATTATTACTCACAACAAGCCGCGGTTCATTAGAACTGTAGAATGCGCGTGAAAGGAGGACGGAATTGTTGATGCTTCCAGTGAGCTTGCGGGAGAACTGCCAGACCGCACGGTTACGCGATGGACTGTGAAGTGAGAGGTGAATCTCGGTATCCTGACCACCTGCTGCGAGGAGTGTGTGTGGAGAATCAGAAAGATTGAACGAGGAAAGTGTGTTTGGGGTAAATGTGAGAGCGGCTACGAGCCTGGGTGCCTAGGAGCCATAAATGAGAATCGTCCTTGCGACCCTTACAAAGGATAAACGAATACGCACCAAGTCTGGAGCATGAAGGTCATGCTCAATAATCGATTTGTTATGAATGTAATTGACTACGCCTGCCTCGCGTGGACATATGATTAAATCTCGAAGTTGTCTGCAGAGCGATTCAGTAAGGAGCAACCATGAAGGATAGAAACTTACACATGGCCGATTGTCACGTCTGCCGGTGCGATGACACTTGGAGTGGTCGACGCCAGCAACGACGAAGTGAGAGCCATGACTAGGAGTGCTAGCCTTTATAATAATGGCAACTTGAAGATCCTGCGTGTGAGGTTGAGAACTTCATCAGCTTACTGGTACTCCAAATACGGCCCGGATCCTCTGTGGCCCACCACGTGATCCACCGAGGTTCAAAAAACTTTCCTTTTTGTCGATGTCAGGTCAAGTAGGAAGCTGTGTGGTTGAATCACCCATGTCATATTCAACGTAGCCCTTTCAACACGGAGAAGAACGAAGTAAATGTCATACCTCCGTTAATGTGAACAAATACGTCACTTTGTGGGGGAACATTGTTCAAGTGAGTCCTCCTCGCCAACTTGTGTTGACAGAGAAATAGATTCCATGTCGTCTGGGACACGTCGTCGTCACGGGGCATCGTTGGGGAGGGTCTTGGGACAAAAATCTTGGAGAACAAGACGAAATACAAGTGTGAAAAAAGACGCTTCGGAAATGAACAAGCTCAATATTATGAACGTAAATTTCCCTTTTTCGCATGAGCACCTTACAAAGTTATTTAAGATACTCATCATCTCTTTGCAGCGCTAGTTCATCAATACCCCAATACCCGTTCGTCCTCTACCACCGTGTGCACGAGCGGTCGTTGGTTCCTCAGACGCAGGAATATTTCAATTTATGTCATACTTGCCAAAGTCGAAGATATCAATTTCCCTCAATCACTTCGCTTCTTTGTATCTAAGGTATGTCATATCATAGACTATGCGTTGGCATGCCCTGTTGGAGTAACAGCTTTCAGTCATTCCAGGGTTTCTTCTCGTCTTCATTTTGCATCAAATTCAAGTGTAGACAGAAATAATAGGTCTGCCTGCTTATACAGAAAGGCAGTATCACCGTGGGGAGCACCCTAGGTTGGGTCTTGATCTCTGCGAATAAACAATTCACTGGTCCCATGGAACAACCGAGGAATCTAAAATTCAAATAATAAGTCCATTTCTCATAGTCGAATTGAACAATATATATTCATGTCCCATCAGCTCTATGCTTAGTGTTTACTGTCGTTAGAGCTCAATCGTTCTGGACACCCGATCTTATTATTGCGATGGCGAATTTAAAGAATTTTGCTCACACCGATAATGCCACTGGCGAGTTTCTTATTGCTGTAGATCGTGTCTTGTCACCGGTCCAAATCAATCACTTTTGACCTTCGTAGTCCTGTTTGATACACCGTTATGCTTTTTACCAGCGCCAGCAATTCGGAGTATTTCCAGTGTCCAACATCCCGCGTAGCACTTCCTCCCAGACCAGCCGAAGACAGCAATAATCTATCCATGCCCACCCACAGAGTTCAGTGGCGAAAATCTGCATTTGATCATGATGATGAGTACGCATATGCAGCATACAAGGTTATGAAGGATGAAACTCATCCGACAGTCGTCCGAATGGGATTACTAGAGCGACCGGTCAGCATTAAGTGAGCGCTGTAGAGAAATACCGCAGCCTCGTTTTTACAGGCTGCAGTATGTGCATGTAACATGAGTGTAATACCCGCTGATGTGATACCGTCGTCGGTCCATAGACTGGTGACCAGCCCGTCTATGAGGCAAGCCATCGATAGCCCGATCCAGTCCTTTTGGAGCTTAATTCGCGGGCACGAGTGGTATTTCAAGTTCACCAAGACTCTCAGCCAACCGTGCCCTGTCTGTCCCCTCTATAGACTCCCTAAATAGGCGGCAGAACCTGGTTCGCAAGGTAGTGCTCTGAATTTCCCTGCAATCATCTTGATCTGATATCTCATCTGGATTTTGGCGCGGTCTGCTTCTGCGGTCTTCACGGTCAATTTAAAAGTAGTAACGCATAACAAACGGATTTGTGTGGGCGATATAGTGCGGTCCTCATTAGTGATTTGAGCTGACGCCGTCGCCGGTCGACAGGGTTGCAATGGACCAACTTGAGAAGTATTTTTGTAAAATTTGTCAGCAATAGAGCGCTGAAGCCTGAGAATTCACTACTACCAATTACATCTTCTAAGTGCGCACGATCTCTGCAAGTGACAAACCTCCGTGGAGTGCTATAGACAGCACTATCATCGACCTTTTATACAGTCTTTATACCTGCTACCCAAATTATGCCTCCAAAGAAGCAGAACGTACCTTCGGGTTCGAAGGTCAAGGATGACAAGGTAGATCATCATGCAGCTACATCTCAGGAAAGAACTGATCGATTAGTTACTCCACGAAGACCTTTGGTATGAAGAATGTGAGCACAGTCATACACTTCTTGTCTACGTATTTACCCTTGTGTTCAGAAAAATAAATCTGCCAAGGTCCAGAAGCAGGTGCAGATTCTGCAGCAGCAGCAAGCTATGACTGGAAAGTCTAGAGAAGCAATTGCAAAGGAGAAAGAGAAGGAACTGCGTGAGAAAGCGAAACTCGAGGAGGAGAAGCGCAGGAAAGAGGAAGCTGCTATGTTCAAGCCTGTTCAGACGCAGAAGGTACCTTTCGGAGTCGATCCCAAAACGGTGCTTTGCGCTTTCTACAAAGCCGGAAACTGTGAGAAGGGCAACAAGTGCAAATTCAGCCATGACCTCAATGTTGGCCGCAAGGTTGAGAAGAAGAATCTGTATGAAGATAGCAGGGAAGACAAGACGAAAGGTGCGGTGTTCACGAGTCAGCTGGCCGAATCTCTCATTGTGTCTTTCATCAGATACTATGGAGAACTGGGACGAAGAGAAACTACGGAATGTAGTCCTATCAAAGCACGGAAATCCTAGAACAACAACAGACGTGGGTCGGGATGCATCACCGCTCGGACCTCTACTCAACGTACGTATAGATCGTGTGCAAATTTTTTATCGAAGCCATCGAGACTCAAAAGTACGGAAATTTTGAACTCTGCAGTTTGACTGACTTAATCATATTCTTTCAAGGTTTGGATGGTTCTGGGAATGTCCCAATGGAAACGAAAAGTGCCAGTATAGGCATGCCTTACCTCCTGGGTTTGTACTTAGATCGGAGCGCAAGGCCGCTGAGGAGGCAGCGAAAGCCAACGTCATCAGTCTGGAAGACTTCCTTGAAATTCAGGCGAGTGTGATCAAGTAGTAATGCAATTCCGCAAGGATCTCATGTTGCGAAATCACAGCGTCACAAACTAGGGTCAAATTTAACTCCAGTCACTCCAGAGACTTTCGCAATATGGAAGAAAACTAGGATGGACAAGAAAGAAGCCGAGACAGAAGCATCACGGAAAGCAAAAGAAACGCAACATGCAGCTGGAAAGAACTCGGGCATGAGTGGGCGAGATCTGGTGCGTAGGAATGAAACAGTATGCGGCCATCCCCTATTCACTCGAGGAAACTTTAGTTCCAATACAATCCAGAATGGTTCGAAGACGACGAAGACGAAGCCGAAGACTGGGATCTATCGGTATACCGTCGGGAGCAAGGCGACTCGGAAGACGTTACAAGAGTTGAAGAAGACATTCAAAATATCAGGATATACGATGATGATGCAAATGGCGATTCTGAAGGGCCATTGTCATCGGATGGCACGTAGGATCTTTTATTGTGTACTTTGCTTCAGGAAGACGTGCATTCACCCTTGTCACTTGAATATCATTTTCGAGCCCAATATTTACACTCACGGCTACGTCTTCGTACATAAGAAAAGTCGGTTAATTTGTGTGACTCGGACTACAAAGTCACCGTTCCGAAGACCAACTCCAAAAATCAAGGTTGAACTTTTGCCCTTCTCAAGTCAACTCTCCCAATATAGCTCTAGCTCATAGTATACAAAATGTCTCGCATTCCTCAACCATCTTCACGCCCAACCGTGAAGACGACCCTTGTGCCTCCTGCTCGCTCACGAGCTCCGTCACCATCCAAGCCTGCCGCCAGTGTATCTTCCCCTCGTGTGAGGACTAAGTCGGTCCCAAAATCTCCGTCTAAGGCTATCCGTAGGCCACCACCCATCGAAAATGAGCCACCTGTTCCCAAAACGCCATTAAGCATCAAGGAAGCTGTCGCTCTGAAGCGAGCCGAAGCTAGAAAAGCCATGTCTGCTTCTTCGGGCCTTGGCAATAGCGCAGGCTTCGATGATTTTGAGAATATTGAAGATGCAAATCCGATGGTAGGGAAGAAGAACGAGGAAGAAACACTCGAATTGGGGAGGTGGTCTGTGAAAGAGACTATCGAACGTGCTCGTAGCACAGGTGAGTGGATGTGATTCGTGTCAGATGCGTGCCGTTGATCAGACAAGGTTACTGTTGCAGGTGCCATCAATTTGTCCTCTCGATCTCTACCATGCATTCCTTCTGCCTTGTTCGAGATTCATTTGGGAGTAACTCCTGACCCGTTGAAGTCTGTAGCTTCAGAGCCACCCATATCGTCTTCCACGGATATTTCATGTTCATCTAGGCAGGCTGGCCAACGAGAAGGTCCAGCGTGGTTTGAAGCCCAAGACTTGCATGTCCTCAAAGCATGGAATAACGATATTGTCGAAATACAGCACGAAATCTCTCTCTTTGGATCATTGAAGACCATTGATGTAAGTGTTGACCACGTCCTCCCGTGATAAATGGTATTTACATGTGGTCCGTTGCAAGTTGCATCAAAACAGGATTGTTGTCCTACCTGATACCTTTGCCGACCTTACGGCCTTAACTACCCTAGATCTTTCTCATAATTCCCTCACAGCAGTACCCTCGAATATCTTCGCCTTACCAAATCTCACGGTCATGAAACTGTCCCATAACGCCCTCAGCGAGCTCTCCTTTGGTGCGCCGTTCTCAAAGTCTACCTCACGCAAAGCGCAACACGATACCTTCAGTTCCGGAGGATTCTTTGGTCCTGTCATCACGAGAGCCTCGTCGCCACTGCCACGCCTTTCTGTCCTAGACGTGTCTCACAATAAACTCACCGCTTCTACCATAGACCACGCCAATCTGCCTCCGTTGATAACAAAAGCTGACTTTGCCGCGAATCCCCTAGATTTGGGAGACTCTAATTCGACACCTGCATTTATCCGAGCCTTCAGTCACTTAAAACATCTCAAGGAACTCCGTTGTGAAACCGCCGACATCGGCGATGATGCCTTCCCCAGTAACTTATCCACTTCGGAAAGTCAATGTTTCCCTAGATTGCAGATCCTTGATATGGGTGAAACTCGGGCTACGATGGAAGGCTTGCAATCTGCGTTATCTGGGCTGAAGCAGGACATAACGTACGATTTTACTACTGAGGAACCTCCCGAAGGCACTCTGAGGGTGTCTGTCGGCAAAAAGGTTGTTCGGGAACCTTGGGAGATAGAAGCGGAGAGAAGGGTGAAGAGCCGTGTGTCTAAAAGTGGGACAAGCACGGAAAGCGCTGGTAGCCCCAGCAAAACAGATGTAGGCCAAAATAATATAGATGTCGTCAAGGAGGCTTGGGAGATCGAGGCAGAACAAGGTTTGTTAACGGAGGGTGGACGTCGGCGGGCAAGAGCGGCGGCAGCAACGTCTGCAGCTGATATTGTGTCACCTCCGAAGCCTAGTTCCCTCATCGGACACGGACACCCGCCCACACTTGCTAACACCTCGCAACCATCACCGACCGCCAGTTTAACGAATCCTCAATACTACCATGCTACCACTCAAACACTCACTTTACCACCGCTCTCAGCTCCGACAAAGAATCATGCTCGATCCTTCTCTTTAGCAACTCCATTCTCAAGTCTACCGTCCTCTCAAGGTAAAACGGATTTTGCTTTGCCTACACCGACACTTCCCCTCGTTGCTGTATCGGCTCAGTCGTTCGCACAGACGCTCAAGATTCTCGTGTTAAGCAACCGCAAATTTGATGTTTGTGTTTCTCTCCCAACCACTGGCGAGGTTTTACTTCCAAACCTGGAGGAACTTGTTCTGGATGGGTGTGGATTCGGCGATCAGGTCCCTGTGACACGTCAAGCTGACACGGGGACCAACACTTCTCCGCGCTCGAACGATACACTTCTACCTTTATTGACGCGCGTTTTCCCGAGTCTTCGGACGTTAGATCTATCTTATAACGCTCTTACGTCAGCTTCCCTGCAGCAGGATGCCCTGTCTTCCCTCATCCTGGCTGATAACTCCATCGGTCGTAAGGGCCTCAGGCATCTCAGACTTCGTGGTAATCGAATCGATGGACTTGATGCTTTCCAGGGTATCGCAGATCTGTTCAGAGGTAACCGTTCGGTGCCAGATTGGAAACTAGAGGAACTAGATCTCAGAGATAACGAGATTTCCAAGCTTCCTGCAGAACTTGGTCTTTTGCCTCTGGATGTCTTCTTGGTGGATGGTAACTTGTGAGTGGTTTGGCGTGTGTTGATTGTATGGTGATGTTTACATGCTTGGTAGGTTCCGTATACCCCAGAGGAGGGTTTGGGAAAGGGAAGGGACGAGGGGCCTTTTGAGTTGGCTAAGAGGTCGTTTGGAATGATACCCACACTGATGTTTCTCCTTGCATTAGTTTTCCTTAGTTTGAAAGCGATGCGATGATGTTCGGAATCCCTCTGTCTTTAAATTTTGAGTTGACGGTGCAAACTTTTGATTCAGTGACTTATTACATGGCCTGGTCTTTCAGTTTGGAGTTCTTACCTTGCTGAAAAGTGAGCTTACAGTCTCTTGTGCAATGTGTATCGATGCAAGTAGCAACAATGTTGGTAAATTTGCCACTGGTGACGAATAAACAGCTCGAAGGTAAGCTGCTAAGCTGCTGGCTAACGGAAAAAACATAATGCTATATCCCGGTTTGATTAATACATCAATATCGATGTTGGTATAGCATCTCTACAGTATACAAGTACGACATATCCTCCCTCTCATTACGAAAATACTAATTATTGGTCTACTACAGTCACGGTTACGTTCGTACCGCGGCATTGCGGTTGAGATTTGTGATCCGTACTTTACGGACGCAAGTCACAACTTCTGAAAACAATCATTCCCCCCATAGCGATTCCTTCGGCTCAAACTTGCAAAGGTCACTTATGCTCTTCGTCCACTCCTCGCGCACACGACTGCACGAAGCGAGATAACTAAGTTGCTCCGGCGTAGGATGGTGGGCGTGGAATACAAACAAATAATTTGACATGTCCTTCTGTTGGACCATTGAGAATGAATTTTCTCCATTTCTGATAAAAGCAGAGATATCGACGCAATTGTCTGGAGTAACCTGTCAAAACGAAACTTTCAATGTCATTGCAATTTAGTATGCATACTGATACTCACGAAAATTGGTGGAGCTAGCGGAATGAAAATATCCTTCCCGTCCCGCTTCGTCTTTAGTGAGAGGTCCCCAGATGTGGGCCACGAACATTGCGAGTACTTCAGTATCTCAAAGCGTGACGCAGATTCGTCACCTTTTAGTGGATTGGATGGGAGACTTGGGAGATGATAGCAAGCGAGCGATATACAGACGCTTTCTTCCAAATCTCTGTGAACCGCTAAATTTGCTACGGACAAGAGAAAATTGACACATACGAGGTTAGCGAGGACTGAGGACTACGCTTCGACGTCACCCAACGGGCTATGTGGTAATAATGTGAATATTCGAAGTTGAAAGTGATGGTAAGGGTCCCAAGAGCTGATTTAAGTCCTTGCCGATATACCATCACAGCCATGTCCCCTCCAAATCTTGGGAAGTTGGCCTGCGGAGCAGTAACTTGATATGAATGACATTCGCCTTTTCCTTCGTTAGGCTGCTTGACGTCTACAGAAGCTGGGGCCCAGACAAGAGTACTCGAATGATGAATGATTCCTGTAGCTGTAGGTTGGTTGGTTGTCATCATTCCACTGGGTGGCGGTCTCGGATACATCCCCCCTGGCATGCCAAACGGCTTCGATTTCTCTGCGACAGGGGTTCCTGCTACATTATTCAATAATACAGGCGTACCAGGTTGAGCAGTTAGATCCACCATAGGACTCGAAATCTTCGGATCACAAGCAGCTGCTTTCTTTTCAAGTTGTGCTTTGAACCATTGCAGGTCGCGGTTCTTTATGTGCTCGGGTATTGAAGGTCCCTCAGGCTTGAGTCGGCGCTTAGGCTGCAGTTTTTTGATAGTTCCACCTTCTCGGGATCTGAGATTGGCCAGGAGAGCTGCTGAGCATGACGTAGACGTGGTATTAGAAGTCTGCGTCGTTGCCTATGAATGTGCATTTCAGATCACGAATGAACAGGAAGTGTGGCCTATCCTACAGGTGATTGAACTGACCCCGCTTGCGAGTTGCCAGGAAGTGTTAGCTGCATGCTTGGGGTCGCGTCCTGGACCTGTCTGATAGCTGGCATATCTAGTAGTGCTGAGGTAGTGTTCTAAGCAACATCATGCCATCCATCGAAACAGATCTAGTTTAATACGTGCACGAGAAGAAAGAAAAAGAATTGTACAGTCAATGACCAAGGGTGCATCAATCAAAGACTTTCAATCCAATATAAAGGATGCTTTGTCGAAAGCTCAATGGCATTTGATAAAGCAATCGACGAAGCAACCTTTATATTGAGATCCGAGAGGCTGCTAGTGTGCAACCCTGGCACGTCACCAAAGGCCTTCCTGAACGATTTAATCCAGCGCGCGGATGTTTAACTTTGTGGCCGTTCCAAGTTGTGCAGTTGTGCAAGTAGTGATGACGAGAAACAAAAGTATGATTGATTGTAAGCATATGACTTTTTTTTTTCAATAATCCAGGGATATGAAAAGACGTGCGAAAATTCACAAGACTGTTGGTGTCAACGACGATTCAACCAATTAAGTGACTCCTACTTGCTTGTCGCGAGGCGATTTTCCAAGCGGGGACTGTCGAAGTACGAATGAAAAAGATCCCTGTTCTCCAATAAAAAATGCAGCTACAATATCTCTAGCGTTTTGACATTCATCATGTCATCGACGTAAGTCATGTCCCTGACTTGTGCGATGATATTGCAACCCGAAGCAATCCTCTTATACTCCCCTCCCCGCTGCTGCGCTAGTAAAAGTGCACTGAAAGGCTGTCCGAGGCGAACAACCAACCCCAACTCTCGGGTGTGAGACCGCGAATCACCGGATTCCTGCTGCCCTAACCAAAGCGTGCCTAAACGCTGTGTGAGGCGATCGAGCAAGCTCGATTGTCGCGTAAGGGACTGCGAACCAACCGGTTCGTTATCTGAAGGAGATAAGCCAAACGGATCATCTGATGGAGACCCAGGGTCAAGCCTATCGTCCGCGTGCTGCATCTCGTCTGCAAAGTCAGGCAGCCCAAGATCATGACGATTCCAAGGACGGACGAGCAAAAATTTCTGTGAAGTGGGCTTCCCACGCCAGAACTGAACCAACGTGTCCGTCGTTGTGATTTCCAGGTCTCGGAGTCCATCTGCCTTGATATGATAAGTGCAAGGTGTACCGACCCTCCGTTTGACTTTTGTGACTGGAAATGTGATGCAAGGCAGTTGCAGTCTGCAGTTGGCGAAGCGAGGAGCACTGAGGTTATCAAGGATGCTGTAGAGTTTCAAAGCCGACTCCGAATCTACATTATGTCGCAGCGAGGAAACTGAGACTTTAATCTCGTCTTCAGATAGAGATGGCAGTGTGCATGGCGGGGCTTTGTATGAGGCAATGTTAGCTGGCAGACAGCTATTGAAGCTGGATGACTGTCCAACCCAGTCTAGGGCTGTGATATCTCCCGAGTGAGCGATAATCTCCTGCAAGAGACGTCCGAGCGCATTTTGTTTCCTCTCTCCGTAGATGACAGGTAGATGGATGCCGAAAATACCAAACAATGAGTATGCAATGTCTTCCTGCAATGTCGTAACACGGCATGATGCCCATTGAAGTTTCTCTCGGGCGTTTCTCATCCCCGGGCTGAAGGCAACGAGCGCCTGTGTATTTATACCAGTTGAATACTCCAACTCCTGCATGATATTGACAGATTCCTTGTGGTTTGGTGAGCGGTCGTCGAGATATAGGGTCCAGTCTGCTTGGTAGAATAGAATAATTGCAGGAGCGAGGAACTCCTGAACAGTCCATCCTCGTGTGTTCCACGCACTATTTGTCAGTGCGCCAGACTTTGACGAAGGAGAAACATCCGATAGATAGATAATGGTGAGTGCTGAGTTGCGATACCAGACGAACATGGAGTTGACTGATTCTTGGAGCTCGACGTTATTGTTCTGGTCGATGCAGCATGTATCGACCCACGCCCAATAGTAACCCGCATGGTGAGCGATTTTGCAGAACTTCTGCAACTTCACTACGGCTCCAACTGGATACAACGTGTACACACTCTTGTCCAGAATTTCGTGCAGCTGCAGCTCCTTGGTTTCCCACCTATGTGATAACATGACCCAACCGAAGTACTTCATGACCGTTTTTCTGATGGGCTCTGTTTGGAGAGGTGTATGCAGCATTGATGACGACAGGATCTCCTTATACTCCATGCTTTTCTTGAAGGTATTGATCTGTAACTGTCGATCACATAGCTTCCCAGTGATAGTGTTGATTAGACGAAGTGGGGCATTTTCCAGGTGAACATGAATGGCTTGTCGAATGGCATTTTCTACTTCAGGCGGACTGACATAATGCTGGCGTAACTCTGCAAAGAAAAATCAACTTCAACTTAGCTCTTTAGGTACCTTGTAGGCCTACGTCGTATCTGTGCATCGGGTGCATCATCCAACTTGGACAGCATGATTTTGAAGGACTCGATTGCGTCATCATAGCGATGTGCTTCATGAAGAACTGCGTGTTTCAGTTTGTACCCAAGGTAAGACGATGGGTTGAGTTCAATAACCTAAGAATCGGTAGAATCTAGCATCACTACAATTGTCAAAACAATATCAGATATTGTTTGCACCTTTTGGGCATCCGAAAGGGCCTCTGGATAGAGGTTTTGTCCCAACTTCACTTTACAGCGGTGTACAAAGTAAGAGTCTGATGAGGAATACAGCTGGACTGCTGCCGAGAGTGTGTCCTTGATTGACCAGAGTTGAACATCACCATGAAGATCTCCGACCACGACCAATTCTGCATTGGGAGAAATGGCGACGCATGTAACATCTACGGTGTGCTTCAGTGGTTGTCCTATCTTCTCGTGTGACATTGTGCTCCAATGGTGCACAGTCCTGTCGTCCGAGGCAGTCGCAATGAAGGATCCATCAGAAGAGATGGCGAGCGAGTTGATGTCGGAAGTGTGACTAGTACAAGTTTTTCCGAACTGGTATCCGTTCGAGGAGTCCCAGAACTTGACTGTTTTGTCGTATGATGCAGAGACGAGTTGCTGGCCATCAGGTGACCACACAACGCTGAGAACCCAATTCTCATGAGCGTTGATCTTGAAAACGAGTTCGGCGCTGTCTGTGCACCAAATCCGGATGCTCCGCAATGATCCGCATGCTAATTTTAGACCATCTGGGTTGAATGCGACGCTCGACACTCCACCCAGATGACCCTGGAGTGTTGAGAGGACGGCGCCAGTCTCTGCATCCCATATAATCACTGTCGAATCGTATGACCCGCTCGCGAGCCTCTTGCCATCGGGGGAGAAGCATACAGAGGACACCCATTTTGTATGCTTCATCAGTGGATCGAATCGCATCTGCTTGCTCTCGACGTCCCAGATGATAATGCTGTTATCTTTTCCACCGCTCGCAATTCGCCTGTCGTCTGGCGATACCGCAACTGAAAACACCTTGTTACTATGTCCCACAAATCGCCCTCCTTCCACTGTTCCTTTCTCTATGTCACAAATTCGCAGGGTATAGTCCCATGAACCAGTGACGACCCGTCGACCATCTTTGAAGAATGCGACTACCGACACTTTGTCCGAGTGCAATCGCATCATTTTTATTGGCGCCGGCGTCGCGCGCCTTCTCACAACATGCTTCTTATATGCTACATCGAGTAGTCCTGACATGTAGTGATGCCTAGACGGGAAGACAGACGGTCAGTAGCATTTAAATTTTACGAGGAGCGTACCTTATGGTTATGTCGTCAATATTAATTATCGTGAGTAGAGTTGGATTTCTGCTCACTTTGTAACTCATCTTATGTGAGTAAGGGTTTATCCGGCCGGGATCAACGGCCATTCCTGAACCTAATTCTCTCACTAGCTTATCACCGCACTTCCCAGCCAAGTTTTCAATTAGAACAGTAATATCCTTTTGTCCGCGCTTCGTCCAACGTGATCAACTTTGCCGGTTTGAACGGGAACCGCGCCGTGTGCAAGCATGTGACACGTTGAACTACCCCCGTCAGCATCTCATTCGTGACATAAAGTCAGGGATGATGATATTCGGGGTCAGCGAGCCATCACACGCACCATGATCGGAAAGGTCAATAAAAATTCACGGAGGCTGGTGAAAAGTACTGTCATGCATTGAAAATCCTTGTATATGATATGGTGTTCGTTTCAAGCGGATCGTGAGCTTGCGAGCATCGACGGACGAAACATGGCCTTTGTAAACAGTCGTATGAGGATTCGCCTTCCAGAATTCGCCCCAGTCAAAAGGAGGCTCTTCTCCTTCTCTGCACCTTTGCCTGTCGCTCTCTCTTTTTTTCGCACGCACGCACCTCCCTATCTGCTGCTTCTAGTGTGCATCGATCTGGAGTAGTGTTTCCTTCAGAACCCTCGGTCTGCGCACTTTTCGGACTCAACACGCTCCGAAGGTTCGTCTTTGTCGATACCAATCCCTCTCCGAGCACAAGCTGCCCTTTTCGGACTTCGCGGGATCCACACCCTCGCCCAGATCCCTGCCTTCCTGCACTGGTTCGGCAAAGCCAGACCCTCCCACACACAAAATGAATTAAACTAAGTAATGTCCCCTTCAAGTCTTAACACCCCGTGTATCGTCTTGTTTCCTCGAAAGTAATATTCATTCACTATACTTGAACTAACGAATGTTATCTCCTTTTCTCTCTCTTATCTTCACCCAGAAGAAGCGTGTATACAAAGGTTCACCTATACCGAGTAAGCACATACTCTCCTTCAAATGCAGAGGTCCCCTACCAGCGAGAAACGAGCGGCCAAGGACGAGCAACATGTTTGACAGAATTGATACAAGCATCTAACCCAAAGTCATTCTATCGGGAATAGCGACCGCATGAAGACACTCATACGTCTGATCGGTACATAATTGACCTAAGATTATCATCCTGGGTTGCCCAACGACATCAGAGCGGTGAACAAACCATCGAGTCAAGCAGCAAACGCTGTAGTTACTGCTCAGCTGTTGCTGAAGATAAAAAATAGTTTCCAGGTCGTAGAACTGAGGCCCGTATTATCCATGTATACTGCGGCAACCTTGTTCCTTGAATTGAAAGCAGTCTCTGCCTCTCACATTACAATCTGTCATTGATTGACAAGTCATGCTGTCGTCGAGCTGTGCATAGGTTTCCAAACGGACCCACTGGTTGCATAGCAAACTGAATATTGTATATATTTGTTATTACAAGATTCCAGTCGCTGACGTTGAACCTAGTAAACGATAAAGTTTAATGGGCTGTGATAGAGTATGTACGTTATTATGTAATATTACGACATTGAAACTCAAGCTAATTAGCTCAAAATTCCGAAGTCCCTCCACTCCCTTCACCTAGACTATACTCACTGTGCCATGATACTCTTGTGTTTGCGTGATATCCTTGTCACTTTGCTCGTCCTTTTCTATGGAGGAGTGGTGAGAGCATTTCCAAGTTTGCCTCATGGTATGCATCATCGTAGAACACTTTCCACAAATCATGTATACACTCAGATTCTGCCAGCACATTCAAGACAGGTTCCAGTGGTCGATACGCCCTCTCAGCTCAACCCGTATCCTGATAAACCACGTCTCACCTTCAGTTCTTCTGGGACCTTTAAACTGACCGTATTCTCGGATCTTCATTATGGCGAAAATCCCTGGGATGACTGGGGACCTCAACAGGATGTTAATAGCACACGCCTGATGCGCGCTATACTAGCTTCTGAGAAGCCTGACTACGTGTATGGATTATGTTCGCTTTCCTCCCAGTTGGATGTTAGTAACGACACAACATCCCTCCAGCGTACTGAATGGAGATTTAATCACTGGTGAAAGTGCGTTCAAATTAAACTGGGTTGATTATTACCGCTAGTGATACTCCCTTGTTTTACTTAGATACATTTCGGGAGAATTCTACCACTCTCATCGATCGCATAGTGGCTCCTCTAAACGACGCAAAAATACCTTTTTCGTCTACACAAGGGGTCGGTTTATTCTTTTTATGAATCGTCGGTAGAGATGAATATGGCGAAAATAATTTAGAACCATGACAATGAACGAAACATCACACATCTTGAAGAAATACGACGGGAGCAGCTCGATAGCTACCTGAGCTACACTCGCACTGCACCGCCTGGTATTGGAGGGGAAGGAGGGGAGGGCACATACTGGGTTCCGGTATGTTACAAGGGTCACTTTCAATCGGGATTATCGTTGACCGCACACATATGATTGTTTATCTGTAGGTCTACGAAAAAGCGACAGGTGCTTTATCAAAGGATAGGAACGTCCGTTGTTACTTACCTGTCTATTTTTCTTCCAGATCTAACACCTGCTTTGATCTTGTGGTTTTTTGATTCCCGAGGTATGCTCCAGTCTTCTGCCAGTGAGGCTTTAGTCGAATCACTGACGTCCTTCGACTACCAGGCGGTTGGTCCCCTGGACCTACATCTGCACCGCTACCCGACTGGGTGGATGCCTCTGTAGCAGGATGGATTAAGCGCGAGACAGATGCAATGGAAGCTGGGTGGGATTCAGTAGAAAGGAGAGAGCGGGGAGCGTTAGCCTTCGTACATATACCTCCGTAAGTGGATTTGATTCGACCACTATGTCATTCTGAAATAAACAATAAAAAGACATGCGATCGAGAGTGTGCAAAAGACATTGAACACCACGCGAGACCCAGGACTCAATGGCGAGTGAAATTGAATATGTCTTATATCTCGCTCACATGGATCTTTCAGCCGACACTCTAGCTCAGGGATCAACACAAGCCACTAGTGACCCGTCGTCGGCTGGAAAGGACCAACCGTTCTGGGATGCGTTGAATGCCAACATCAAGAACTTACACGCAGTGATCTCTGGGCACGGTGAGTTCGCAGACTTGCAAGTTTTGTCTTGTCGCTTACCATATGGCTATGGCTGGTTTTTTCACAGATCATGGCAACGAGTGGTGTGCCCGTGAGCCTTCGAAGGATGTTATATTCTGTTTTGACAAGCACTCCGGGTATGTGGTCTTCTTCTGAACCTATTCGGTTCAGCGTATGTTCATCATTTATCCTATGTATTCTCATTGCATGCATGCTGTCTCAGATATGGTGGCTACAGTAGCTCAGGATGGGGCCACGGCATACGGAATATCGTGTTCCCCTCTGCAGATCCTGCAAGTGGGCTTGAAACGTGGATCTTACTCGAGGACGGGCAGACAAGGGCAAGAGTTACACTGGACAACAACTATGGTCGGTGATCTGCGATTAGGTGGCCCCACGTTTGCTGTATACATACTTACCTGTGGGAGTTAAAACGTTAACACAGCGTCACACACGTTTGCACTTTTTTGGACGAGAACAGTTCACATGGATCAGTCATTGATGACCACATTACTTAGCCATGAAAAGCCTCCGCAACTAATCGCCCCTGCCAAGATCGGGACAATATTAATAGACGAAGAAAAGAGGTTGAAGCTATGCATGTCAAGGATCCTTTAACACAAGAAACTATCATGTGCTTTTGGAATGATCAATCTATATCCATTTGTAAACTGGAATGTTACATGCTGTCGGGGACTCTCTGCTACAATATTAATAGAATTGACCAAGAGCTCAAGACTCGGCCAAGCTCTCCAATGTATTATCAGAGGCCTGCTGGACCCACATGTCATGATACAGACCGCCTAAGCGTAATAATTCCTCATGAGTGCCCTGCTCTGCAACCTGGCCATCCTTCAGCACAATAATTAAATCTACGATCAAGTCATCAGTATGCCCAAGCAAAAATAGAGTGCAGCCAAGGTTCACCTGCTTCAACCACAGTGCGGAGTCTATGGGCAATAAATATACTTGTCCGTGCCTTATCCAGCAACGTGCCGTTGATACTACGCATGAGCTCAGTTTCCGTGTGAGCGTCTAGGGCCGACGTCTGAGAATTGCGGTCAAAGGAATATCCTGCATGAAAATCAGGCACAAGAGAGCTCACAGCTTCGTCAAAGAAAAGGATCGGGGGATCTTTGAGCAACACACGTGCAATCGCCAACCGCTGTTTTTCCCCTCCAGAAATCATTAAACCTCTCTCGCCGACTGTGGTCTTGTAGCCTTCGGGAAGACCCACGACCGTGTCATGAACGCTTGCCTTCATTGCAGCCGCTTTTACCTCGTCGTCCGTGGCATCAAGCCTACCATACCGCACATTGTGCATGATATCAGAATGAAACAGCGGCGTATCCTGTGGAACTACGCCAATGGATTTCCGGAGACTCTGGACCTGAATATCGTGAATGTCCTGGTCATCTACGAAAATCCGACCGGAAGATGGATCGTAGAAACGGTACAGGAGACGGAAGACCGTAGACTTCCCGCATCCGGATGGACCAACTATAGCTACTTTTTTGCCCGCCGGAACCGTGAAGGACAAGTTGCGGAAGATAGGCCGATCTGAATGATAGCCAAAGTTTACATTCTCGAAACGGATAGAACCGCCTTTCAATGCCAGCGGTTTTGCGCCCTCTTTATCCTTTACCAGGAAATCATGTCGGCAAAAACTTGTGATGCAGGATCCTTAGAGCATACCTTGGCGGGAGCATTTTCAGTTTGAAGATTGAACAACACTTCCATATCCAAGAGATTTTGACGCAGCTCGCGATAAATACTACCCAGGAAGTTCAAGGGAAGTGACAGCTGGAAAATCAGTTGGTTCGCCATGACGAGGTCACCAACAGTCATGGTCCCTGACCAAAGCTTGTCTCAGACTAAAAATGCTTCATGAAAGTTCGGCCGAACACACCTTTCATGACGCCTTGTGCCGCAAGGAACATTGTAGCTGTCAACGCTGTGGAAAAAATTACATTCTGGCCGGAATTGAGATAGGCCAAAGATGTGGTGATCTTCACGGAAGATTTTTCGTATTGTTTGAGATGTTTATCGTACTGGGCAATCTCGAATTTCTCGTTGTTGAAATGCTACAGCAGAGTTTATGCAAAAGATATGAAAACATGCAATAAACGGATACCTTGACTGCCTCGTAATTGATGAGCGAGTCAATTGCTACGGTCGCAGCCTTATTGTCCGCTTTATTTGCATCCCGGCGAAATTGAGTTCTGAAAAAATTGAGCAAATGCGCAAGGTGAGATAAATAATACTGACCTCCATGAGGTTGTGCGAACGGTGAACCAAGTGTATGCAGCTAAAGCAGTGACAGTGATTGCGGCAAAATCCCAACCAAATTTCCAAGTCTATTTTCAGTGCTGGGTAAGAAAAAAAACTGAATCTGCTCTTTGCTCACAAGTATTCCGCAAACCATGGATATTTCCAGGGCAGTCGGGAAGATGCGGAAGATAATGGCCTGGAGCATGAATGTGATACCCCTGACACACGACATTCAAAATTTATATTATGCTGTCGGAATGCGACAAACTTGGTACCGCGGTCAATTGCACGTGTAAGTCCACCAGTTTGACGTGCAAGATGGAACTTGAGATCCAGGTTCAAGAGGTGTTCGAAGGTCTCTCTAGCAACTCTGCGAACCGCTTGTTGACCAATATTGGCAAAAACGACGTTCAGTAGTTCCCCAAATAGGGTGGCTCCTGTCCGAGCAGCTCCATCTGAGAGATTTGTTATAAGAAATGGGGAATTCATGTAGCTATGTACTCACATCCAAGGATGAGAGAACCTGCGACGACCCATACCGTTGAATCGGCCATTACGTCTAGGTTTAACGCGTCAATCACGGACTTGAACAGCTGGGGCACCTGAACATTTAACACCTGATGAAGTCATATTTTGATTCAGTCACCCCCTGGTTTCTTGTGCAGTACACTATACCTTGCCAGATGATCAAAAGTCCAAATCCAAGAACAACACGACCACGTGTGCCCCAGTCATCTTTCGGCCAGACATGACTCATCAGTCGTTTGACAATCATCCAATCCTTTCTTCTCTGTTCTTTCACAGTTACGTTGTCGGAATCAACCGACTTTGAGGTGCTAGTGGCTGCAAACGCATTTTTTGCGTGGAGAGTGGAAGAGGATGTGAAAGGTGAAATGAAAGGAGCTAACTTCAAAGAAGAAGGGCGTGTATACAAGCTCCTCAAAGGTTTTCCGTTCAATCCGTGATTCGGACGTGAGATAAGCCGTTGAGAAGTAGCGGCATTGGAGAACGCTCGAAGAGTTGCTGAACGATAGACGAGGCGTGAAGTGAGAGGCGTTCCTGTCCACATGAACGAACAAATGGGCCTTGACACTGCCGCCTGCGCGGCCAAGAGTAGTAACACTGATTCTGAATTCTTGAAGCTCAGCGAGTCGATTCGGTTAGCTTCGCTCTGGTTGTACTAATTACATAATATTGGTGCCTAGGTCCCATGGTCACGGTCTAGTTTAATTCTTCTCATAAGTTTTCACGCGCAACGTTTAACGCTTCAAGCTTCATGTACTTCACTTAAATGGTACAGCCGGCGAGTCACGACAAGACCCTGACTCTGCTTTTGGGACACTTTCAGGCAGCTGGGCCAAAGTTGGAAGTTGTCTGGTCTGGTCCCCGGGTAAGGAAGTTTTAACACAGAACAGCCGCGACAACCTCTCCTTACAATGTAGCCTGAAACGACAACGGGAGACAGAGGACAACAGACGTTTGATAAAAGGGAGACAGCGTGCAGATTATATGCAGCAACCAAGCGACATAAGAAGAAGTTTAGATGAGTACGCTTCTTCGGAACAAAAATTGAGTCTCTACGACAACAGGCGCGGGCAAATCAGACAGTGATATACAGGATGCATCGCTGACCAGGACGATGTCATGTATATAGCAGCTATTAAACGGCAGAACAGCGAAGAAATACTTTTCCAGGGAATTCACGGGCGGGGAACAACGGAGAGCCGGTCGCATCTAAGCTCAGGTACAACAGGTACGAGTAACTGCCAAAGGCGCTACAAGGGTACAAGCTCTGCATGAGCAACATTTGGATGGGGGTAATCGGATCATTCTTGCAATGTATGTATTACAATAACTTCAGTAGTAATTCGCTGATCCAATTCAAGCAAACGTTTTACTGACATCTCGCTGCAGACATACCTTATGCAGGTCAGCCTGAGCTTGTTCAGGCCAACTTTTTGCCTATTACCCAGGCGCCCGGGGAATCTCGCACGGCCTTGTCAAGTCACAGCCTTGATGTTGTAACTGGGTTTAGAGAGCAGTTACCATTGGCCACAGAAGTACGAACGTGTCCGCCGGTGTCTACACAGCACCGGATGCAGTTACGATGGCGGCCTGGTGGGGCGGGTACCATCACTCTTCTTTGCCTAGGCCTGAGAATCCAGTGAACATCGTCCATGCGGTATAAATGACAACGCAAGTTAGGTGCCCATCAGCTGCAGGCTTTCCCCACAATATCAGGGTTCTTATCCTCTGTGAGTCGCAATGTCTGCAATTCCTTACCAACAATCATCCAGTCATGGATCGTACCATGAGCCTGAGTTAAAGGGGCAGGTCACGCTGACGCTTGACGAGCGCCGCCGCGCTGCTCTCGAAGAAATTGACAATGCACCCTTCTCGTAAGTTTCACAAAATCTTTAACTGAAATCTTGCAAAATTCTAATTCACCCCCAGGTGGTTCCATATCAAGGTTTGTTTGGTCGCCAGTGTAGGCTTCTTTACCGACGCGTACGTTTTCTATACCATGTAGCAGTCACCCACGCTCACCTGCCACCAGCTATGATATATTTGCCATCAACATCGCCGCAACCATGTTGGGCTACGTCTACGGTCACACAAGTGAGTATACCGCCATTTTCTCCAATGATGTTGTGTTAAATTATCCGAAGGTAATCAACTCAACGCCAACCAATCTTTGGGTGTCAAGGTAGCAACACCTGTTGGCACCTTGATTGGTCAACTCCTTTTCGGATGGCTCGCAGATGTCCTGGGCCGTAAGAGAATGTGTCAGTCTTATTTCATATTCAAGCTCGCCACCTTCATTGACCAATGTATAATAGACGGCGTCGAACTGGTTCTCATGATTGTTGCAACTTTCGGTCAGGCGCTCACAGGCCAGGCCCCAGCAGTGAGTGCTATTGGTGTGATTATTGTCTGGCGTGTTATTGTAAGTCCAACGAACTTTTGGAACATATGTACCTCAACTCTCTGTCTATAGATGGGCGTTGGTGTTGGTGGCGATTACCCTATGAGTGCCATCATTTCGTCAGAATTCGCCGCTTCACGTTCACGTGGTCGTCTCATGACTGCTGTGTTTGCTGCACAAGGATGGGGTCAATTAGGTCAGTTGATCCCTTTCTCCTAAAATGATTTAATTAATCCAGACTGAGCGCAGCTGCTGCCATCGTCGGTACCATCGTCGTCCGAGCATACAAGACTGAAATCCTCAATGCCCCATTCCCTTGCGCTGTCCCTGTCGATTATACCTGGCGTCTCTTGATCGGTCTTGGATGCATCCCCGCTGTTATTGCACTTTACTTCCGTCTCACTATTCCTGAAACTCCTCGTTTCACCATGGATGTCGAGCGCAATGTCGCACAGGCTACTGCAGATATCACCGACGTGTTGGCCGAGAATCGCGCTACGGACAATGATATTGCAGCACAGCGTGTCGCAGCCCCAAAGGCAACACTCTCAGACTTTGCCACATACTTCGGCCAGTGGAAAAATATGAAAATCCTGATCGGCACCTCCTACTCCTGGTTCGCTCTCGATGTAAGTTCCAATTTAGCTCTTTGAAATCAAAAATTAATGTTCACATCCAGATCGCTTTCTACGGCCTCGGCTTAAACAGCTCAATCATCTTGACTGCAATAAACTTTGGCAGTCCCACCGGGAACAAAACTTCGTCACTTTATGTCTACCAGAACCTGTACAACGTTTGTATTGGTAACATCATTCTTTCCGTGGCGGGCTTGATTCCAGGATATTGGGTATCTTTCCTTTTCATCGACTCCTGGGGCCGCAAGCCCATCCAATTGATGGGCTTTAGTATACTCACCATCCTTTTCATCATCATGGGTCCGTACACTTCACCGCTATGATTACGTACGTGAGGCTGACGATTACTGTGCAGGTTTCGCTTATGATGCATTGGATGCTACCACCTCAGGCAGGGACGCGTTTGTCTTCCTGTACTGCCTCACCAACTTCTTCCAAAACTTCGGCCCTAATACTACCACTTTCGTAATTCCTGGAGAGGCTTTCCCCACTCGTTACCGTTCGACAGCCTACGGTATCTCTGCCGCGTCTGGCAAGCTCGGAGCTATCATCTCCCAGGTTGGCTTTGCTCAGCTTATCAACATCGGCGGCACGAACCGTTTCGTGCAACACATGTGAGCAGCACGAACATTCTCCAATTCGTGTTCAGAAGCTAAATTTGATTTCTTCGTAGCATGGAGATCTTCGCTGCGTTTATGTTGACTGGTGTCATCTCCACACTTCTCATTTCGGAGACGAAACAGAGAACGCTTGAAGATATTTCGAATGAAGAGCAAGAAGGCTACATCAAAGAGGCTGGGAACGTAACCCGCTCCTGAGTCAAGTTGTGCTGTAATATGATTTTATTTTAATATATAGCGCGGACTATTGTCTATGCATCATACTTAGTCAATGTAGGCATCAGTATATGCATGCTGCTTACTTCAATAGCCGAGAAGGTGATTGAGACCAACCAGAACTTCCGTTTTCTTATCGTGAATGCTATGTCGGACATAGCCCTTTTCGCGGGGAAAGTCACTCTTATTACCCCAGATTGACCAGTGTGAATAAATAATTCGCGTGAACAAAATCGTGGTTACCGAACCTGCTCAATCTTATATCTGAATGCAAAGCCCTGCCCGCCATAATTAGGTCGTACGTGCGGAACCTGACATTGTGCATGTAAAGATACCAGGCCGGACAAGAAGACGACAGCAGAACCGTCCAAATGTGTAGAGAAGTGTCCTAGTGATGGCCAGGGTAGATTGACTTCTGTGCTGATGTGTTTTCTGAGATCATGTCAGACGAGGATAAGGTATACCCTACAGCTCGGAAAACCTTGGAATCGTCAACTCATCTAGAAGTAAATGACAAGAGAATTGGATAGCAAATTAGTCTGCTATGACTGACTTTCATAAGAGGCATTGGAATACCATGTCATGAGTACCTACACTTACAAATCACGCTACGGAAAAGATAAGTTGCCCCTCTTTGATAGACTGCGCGCCGCCAAAACCCACACGCTCGATTGTGGCAGGGCTGGATGTCTAACCGTTTTCGATTATGACGTTGACACCGACTGGCCCGCGGCCAGTTGCCTCATCAATGACCACTCGATAGTCCGTAATGACAGTTTTTATCCGCACAATATGTGCTGAGCCCTCCGCTGCTCATTCGTGAGAGGTTAGGCATGAACAACCGTCATCGCGGGTGGTAGCAAGCAGAGAAAAAAGAAGGATCAGAGAAAACAGGAACTTGAGAATGACAGGTACACCGAGAATGTACAACCTACATCCATCAGGTGCTTCGGATGTCAAAAGGCCATTAGCCTTGACAAACGCTTCAGGTACTATCCTGGACTGCGGATCAAGCACAGGGACAAGCGCCCAGGCATCCTTCCTATGGAGGAAATGAGTAACTAACTAAATCTTATGGAGATAGAAAAACTAACCAGGAGAAGAAACTGGTTTACTCTGTCAGGTCCAACATGGAGACCACAACCACCTCCTCATTGACACGGTGAGCGGTGAGGATCGGGAAGATGGAAAGGAGGACGAGGTGATTGCGCAGTCAGTCCTCAATGGTGGCCCATACCACTAACTCTAGCGTCAAACGTGCGATTCTTTCACGACTGCTGAGAAAGGGGAGAAAAGGTGACAAGCGTACTGGTACGTCGCTACGAATGAACTCATTATAATGCTGCTAAGTGAATTCGAAGGGGAAGATTCAGACTTTGCTTGTCAACTCTTTGCTTTATGCACTTACTAGTACAGAACGTTCACGTCTCTTTGTTTACAAAACGTTTCATCCAACCTTTTGTTATTCCCCAGGACTTCAGCGGGAGGATCACTAGACAAATTTGGCCCGGGATAGTCAAAGTCTCGAATATGATGGTCGCGTCACACGTGACGCATGGGGTAGGAGTCGGCAGCGCTCTTTTAAATTCTTTGTCTTTAAATTTGTTGCTTTGTTCTGGACCGGGTTCTGACCACGACGACAACTCGGCTGACAATTCTTCAAAGTTTCACGATCTCTTTCTTAATAGTACTGCCGTGAAGTCTGCATTTGAAACATAAGTACATCTATTACCTCCCAACTGTCCCTTTGGCCATATCCTGCTTGCGTTCTACCACGCCATATCATCGACTCCAACTCTACATCTGTCTCAGAAATATCCCGAACAGTGTGCAGCGCATGACATCTATGCAGTCCGCAGCGTTGCTGCGAAGATTTTAATGACACAGACGCTCATGTGAGCAGTACCACATTGTTCACGAAATGATACAGATGCAAATCGGTACTGAATCACTGTTCCCACGAAGTGCGACACCTCACAGGACCGTGACTCGGGTATGTATCATATCCGATCGAGGGTGTTGTTAAGACATCAGCGCTTCAGCCTCAGTTACTCCAGGTACTTGTTGCCATCATAGTCTTGACTATTTCTGGAGGTTATTGAGATACATCGAAGTTCTGCCACTTGATTCATGCGTGGTGATTTCCTGATCAGTGAGTAGTGAGATGCGGCTGAATAATTCAACAAACTAGGCGCGCTTCAGCTACACAGCCCTAGCTAGACCAAATAGATTCTAGGAATACTCGATTCTGGATTAACAAATGCTCCTTACCCCCTTGCGTCCGCGAGTCAGTTCTTTTCAGAACCAGTAGAGGTTGTGCATTTTGTTGGATGAAAGTTGAGACGGAGCTGTGCACACTGCTCAGTTAAGCCGATCTAACTTGAATTTGATGCACTCTGGAGCTGATCATAAAAAGTTATCGGCTGTGATAGCCGATGGTGCTGGTGCATGTGCATGAGCTGCCAAATCAGAAATCTGTTGCATAGGCTTGGGCGTTGCGCGATGGCCAAACTAGGCTACAACATACTACTACCTGAATCATCGGGTCTACTAGCAGTTAGTCAGATCTCGCTCTGGTCGGAACATTCACCAGCTTCATGCGGTTATCTGTACCGTTGGCGATGCTAGATAGCACACATGCTTATAAGGTTACTCCGAGTCTTCTAAAGTTCCTTCGATCTCTCACTGGCATCCTCCAGAGAAGACCCGGAAAACGGCAGCAACTACGTTCGTGCCATGACCCAAGTCGTGATGACATATAGTTTCGCTATCAAAAAAATGGCTCCCCTGATGACTGGTCTTGGTATATCATCTATGTATTATTGCGTTATCGACAACTATGTCATATACTAACGAAGGCCGATAGAGTTTTCTTGATTTTGACCGCGCAAGTCTGGATCTATTTCTGGAGACGTAGAATTCGATCTCAGGAGAACAGGCAGAGCAAAGTTCTCGTACGAATTTACTACCTCGCACATTACATACTAATTGCTGACAATGCAGAACAGGTTGCCTTCATCTGGTAAATATTTCTAATTATGCATGTTATTCATACAACAGTTGACAGAAAGACCGACGTTGCTTTACAGGTTACTTCAAGCTGCTCAAATGTGAGTCCCTATACAATATATATGTACAGGCCACTAGAAGTCCCGCTAGGGCAATCACTACTCGGATATCAGGCATTCATACGATGGAGTTCGATGATTCACTCCGTTTCATTGGCTATATGTCGACGTCAGTATCATCGGTGACTCATCGGCGAGGCATTTTCTGACAGAAAGATAGAAACTGGGCGCTTTACACTATAATATGGGTAAGTGGGACTTTTCTTCCTTTGGTTTCCAACTAATCAAGCTCGCTGTCGTTCCATAGTCCTTGACCACGTCTCTTGTGCATGGCGTTTTTATATCTAGGATTTTCAGACGTACGTGCTGTTGACACGCTACCATTACACTTCTTTTTGATGTGCGCGCGAAGTTGAGAAGAGTCTCTGTGGTAAACGGAGAATAACATTCGTTCTGGTAGGCACACATCTGGCTGCCTCGGAAACAGCGACTAATTGTGTCAATCAGATCGCATTTTGTGTCATGGAGCAAGGTGCGATAATTTATGCTGTAACAGATAATCCCTACTTAATCACGGAAAAATAGCTTTTGGTCTTCTTAGTGCAATCTGCATGTAGGTCCAAATCCATTAGTGTCGCCCTGTCAGGTGTTTCTCAAATGCAGGAAACAGCTTTCAACTAGATAATCATCCTAATTACGATGTCATCGTTATTGTAAGTTTGTTCTTCCGTTGATTGGGATGCAATTCACAAGGATGAAGTGGTCTATCCCAATCTCGATTGGTTGTTCAGCGATCAATGATGTTCTTATCGCTGGAACTTTGGCCTATATTCTCCACAAACACAGGACTGTATCGCGAAGGTGATTAATCAGTTTTGGTATGCAATTAACCTCTATAATTGACCGTCTCTGGTGCTCAGAACTAACCAAATGATCACGAAACTCATCATATTCTGCTCGCAAACGGGTTTGATTACAACGTGAGTTTCTTCTTGTTGACAATGGGTATGTGTTCACTGCTTCCTGTGTAGCGTGGCGGCATCCATCGCTATGGGAATCGTGAGTACTTCAACTCGCGCATCGACCACGTCTCTGACCAAGATGCAGTGGGCAGCTTGCCGTTTCGATATTTACCATCTATATATGTGTTTTCCTACTGGAGGCTGTGAGTTTTGTTATCAACTCGAGTACACGGAATGTTCTGACGTCCTGGAATGACAGTATATGCTACATGTCTTCTCGCCAAGTGGGTCACTCTCAGCAGTAATAGAAGAGACTACTACTGATATCTTGCTCAGCTTCATCGCTCGGGAATCCTACCTGCAGCCACAGAGAGTCCACGAAACCGAGATTTCCGAAATCAGTATCAGTTTTGCACCTTTCACGCAGGGGATCCATGTGGGCTTGCCAGAAAGTAACTCTGGCCAGGAAACATTGGTCATGCAAGGAAGAACAGATTCCTCGAAAGCGACCTCCTGTTAAGTCGAGTGACTATGATTCTTTTAACATAATGACGCCATCTCGGTGTTGTCGTAATTACCTACAGATAAGTTATCATCGTACGTATGTGCCGAGATAATCACCGTATTTACATTCAAATCGGCGGTAGTAGCATCATCAGAAGGCTAGCTAGGGATACATAAAGTTTATTCCTCACAATGCCTCCGTCCTTCTGTGGTCTAGGTCAAGTCTATGACAGACTCCTGTATGAGGTGTGCTAATCGCCTGGCTATATACACATGTGGGGGGTGTCAACATTTTACCTCTTGCAAATTTTAATCAAAAGCAGATCTGGACCTGGCTAGAGCATTCCAGACCTAGCCTAGAGCGTTCCAGAGCACTCTAGAATGCCTTTCGAATGTAATTTCACTGGCGGTGAAAGGTGGTAAATTGACAATTTCCTCGTTGTGCTAGATTTGATATATACCTTCGTATGCACATATAATGTTGACAATAAGCATAATCGGCTAGAATGTGGCAGCATAAGATTGTCATATATCGTTATCCTCAACTTGTGACCGTTAGTTGTTATGATGATCTGTATCGAGTGTTAGCCGCATGAATTATGTTGTGACAATAATGAACTGATCTCAAGTGACGATGCATGTTTAGCATCGCTCAATTGGCATTTCAGGCTAGCGAAGAGTGCGAGAGATAAAAGAAATATATTTTGTACCATGAGCGAGCAATCGTTCCATCGGTGTCGACGCCTTGGTAGCATGGGTTGGATACTTGACTGGCAAGATCACACCGGATGGTACACATGATAGAACACGACCTGCAGTAATAGTGACAGATGGGTGACCATGATGAGTACTGCGAGCGTCTTAAAGTCCAACGTGAGCAAGGTATCGCTGTGCTTTGATACTATTGATTTCGCAAGCAGGATTTGAAGGGCATGTCAGTGGAGTGCGGCAACCGAGGATCGAGTTCGACATAAAGTTGGTCATGAGATCTAAGGCTGGTCATCCAACCGAGTTTCGGCTACGAAGTCAGAACCAAGTTCCCTAGACAGACGAACTTAGAAGATCCGAGGGAAATGCGGACCAGGATTGGACTTTCTGGACTGGGAGTTGTTGTTGAGATCGGTGGTGTTAATGAGCGAGTGCCGAACAGGTAACATTGCGTACAGGTACAGAACATCACGAGACGGGCCGACAGTGTCAGATAACAAGTAAGCTAATCCTTATAGATGAATAGAAAATATACTTGGTGAGTGACGACCCGAGTTTTGACTCACTCTGCCGATACATACCTTATTTACTTTGAGATCCGAATAATGAACTGTTTTAGAATAGGAAGAATTGTTTTATCAAAGTTAGGAATGGAGCAGGGTCGCAGAGTAATAAGGCTGTGAACTTCGGATAAACGGAGAACGTTAAGACTGTTCAGAAGTGAATTCGGTTCTCGATGTACTTGAACATGAGGCTGAACTCGTTCACCCCTGATACCTATTAGTAGTTCGACTCGGAAGTGATTGTCAGTTCAGGACAAATGACTAGAATAACGTCCATATCAATTGATTGACCTTGAATAAAGGACTCTTACTAGTAGGCTTGAGAGTCCAATATTTCCAGTGGGACTTTGAGTACGGTCCTAACATTTGCCATGGAAGAAAAGTATGCATGATGGAACCGTACAACATCCGAGTCAAGTACATATATCGTCATTGATAGTATTAGTGATAGTACTAGTATGAATCTACTTGGGCGGTGGTCTGACCATACTTCCTAGAAATATGACACATATGGAGTGATAATGGTTTACAAAGAAAATAAAAGATCAAAAAACCAATAGTAAGTCGGATTCTTATAATCGCACGTCCAATAAGACTGACATTCGTCTGTCACTTGATACAACATACCAAGTGCTAAACCGAAGGAGGAGCCGGTTGAAAGGCCCGGGGTATGTAATAATTGTGGTCACGGATCTCCGCACAGTGAACTTAACTTTCTTAGACACAACCTCTCGTGACCTACTCGTGGTATGATATCGATATCTTTGACCGTGGCTGTCGGGCTCTGAAATAAACCTATGGTAAGTGCTTCTTGCGATCTAGATGGAAGATTTACCGGCCGTTGCGTTTACCGAGAGTGCTACTAGCTACTAGTAGCGGGGTATGCCAGACAGCACTCAAAGATAAACTGTACGGTCGCTCTTCTTTCTTCAAGTTCGATCCCACATTCATCCTCGAGCTCTGGATTCCATGACTACAGCATTATACAACGAAAGCTTCGCTTCTCTGATGACTGGTCTCGGTATATCATCAATGTACGATTGTTTCATCGAGAAACCATATTGCTGTTCATCTAGCATCCACTAACGACGGAAGATAGTGTTTTTCTGATCTTCACCGCCCAAGTTTGGATCTATTTCAGAAGACATACCATTCAATCTCGAGAAAACTGGCAGAGCAAACTTCTCGTACGAATTAGATTGCATACCACAAACTGACAGCTGATACCGCAGAACAGGTTGCCATCATTTGGTAAATCCCTCCAATTCTGCACCGGGTGCGAGGACTAACGTCGCTTTATAGGTTGATGCAAGCTGCTCAAATGTGAGTCCGTATTGAAATTTTATCTGCACGACGCTATAATTCCCGCTAGGGCGCTTACCTCTCGGATCGTGAGCGTTCATACAGCGGATTTCGAGGATTTCCCCCAATTCATTGGTCGTATGTCGACGTAAGTATCATCAGTCACTCATTGATAGTCTTTCTGATAGAATGACAGAGAATGGGCTATTTACACTGGAATATGTGTTAGTAGAGCTTTCTTCCTCTGATCCTCACTTGAAGCCCACCGTCGTTTCACAGACCTTGACAACATCCCTTGTGCACTGTGTCTTCATCTGTAGGGTTTGCAGTCGTACGTGTCACCAAGATACTCCTATTGTGTTTCTCTCTAATGCGCACATGAAGTTGAGAAGAGTCTCTGCGGTAGACGGAGAATGACATTTGTTTTGGTAGGGACTGCCTTGGACTGCCTCGGAAAAGGTGACTAATTGCGCTATTCAGATTGCATTTTGTGCCATGGAGCAAGGTGCAGTAATTTATTCTGCAACGAAGAGTTGTTACTTGATCAACGGAAATAGTTTTTGGTTGTCTCAAGACTATCTTCATATTGTAGGTCTGATTCCCAATGTCGTGTTGCCAGGCATTTATCAACACGAGAGACAGGTTCAAACTAAACAATCATACTTACTACACGATGGCTCTTGTAAGTTCGTTGTCTCGTTTATCAGGATGCAACTCAAAAGATTTAAGTGGGCTCCCCCAATTTCAATTGGTTGTTCAGCAATTGGTGACATTCTTATCGCTGGTACTTTGGTCTACATCCTTCACAGTAATAAAACTGAGTTACCAAGGTAATTGACGAGTTCAAGCACCAAATGAGTACAGGATTTACCTTGATTAAGCATCACTAGAACTAACCGAATGATCACGAAACTCATAATCTTTTGCTCACAAACGGGCTTGATTACAACGTTAGTCCATTATCATTGATGATGGGCATGTACTCACTCCTTGTGCAGTGTGGCGGCATTCATTACTCTTGGAATTGTGAATGTTTTTGTTTGTCTCACTCCTAAATCATTGCTCTAACGAAGATGCAGTGGGCAGTCTGCAGTTTCGTCATCAAACATCTGTATACGTGTTTTCCGATGGGGTGCTGTACGAATTTTGTTATTCTCGCTCAAGGCATGCTCTGACGTTCTGATATTATAGTATATGCCACTTGTCTGCTCGCTAAGTGAGTCGCCCTCTGACAGCGGAAATTGAACAGGACACTGACTAATAACCATTCAGCTTCATTGCCCGTGATTCCTACCTACAGCCACAGACAGTCCACGAGAGCGACATCTCCACAATCAGTTCTGCACGTTTCACCAAGAACGTTCATGTGGACTTGAATTTAAAGTCGTCGTCGGACACAAAATCGGGGCATCAGGAGACATTGGAAATGGAAGAGGGCAAAAGTTCCGACCTCTGCATATCGAAAACGTTTCCACAATAAATTGAGTTTTGATTAGCGTTCCCTACATGTGTACATAACGCAGAAATAAAAGTGCCTCCTCTTTGTTTTGTCAAATTTGAAGGGGTGGACGTTCTTCATGTGGGAGCCGAGCTCAGCGAATTGCACAACCAGGTTAAAAGGATCAAAGTGGGTCGTGAACACGCCAAAACTGTGGCAACCGCTTTCGCTCCAACAGCAGGCTCCTCGTGTAAAAGCGGGGACAAAAATACATTTTCCTGCAAGTTAGATTCTTTCGGATACACACGATTGAAATCATGGTGATTATACCAAAAGGGTCGTACACCCCGTCGATGAGGGCGATTTGGGGTCCTTCGGCATTGCTATCCAGTACAGCTGGCTGGGATAAAATTTCCCTTTGTAAGTTCTAGGATGTATTATGCATCCAATAGCAACATCGTGGTGAGATGATATACCGACCATCGCCTGAATTGCTGCGAAGGCAGTAAGTTCGCGTGATCATTGATAACAAGTACTTAGGCGTCGAAACAATTTGTATGTGTCCACGGAATGTTTCGACGGCATATAGCGTTCTCCCTTCTATCTCGTGTTCTTTCCCTTCGCGCTCCCAATCGAGTTGTCATCGTATGCATCGAGAGGCCGTTTGACGTTCACTGTGTTTACATTCATCGGATATTCAACAATTCCATGTTGCCTGCCAGTGCCTAGTCAAAGAGCCCTCCGTCTTTGAACTAGCCTCCCGCAATCAGAGCGTGTCCTTCAAGTACCTTCAAAAGAACTCGATGCATTGGGTTTCTTTCGTGGAAGAGTAATTCGTCTTTGATGCTACATTCCATGTATCTGAAAATACGAAGGCTAGAAATTAGAATCAACCAGAAACATGTAATGATGATATTGAATCACTCAGCTTTCACAGATGGAGGTATACGATTCATGTTCGACGACGTTGAATATAGAAAGCTTGAGTACAACTTTTTTGTTCCTGAATATCCTTTTCGTTGCCCCCAATGGCTAAGGACGCTCACGTGACCGCGTTAGAAAAAAACGTGACTTAGAACGCAACGTGTCACGCGTTTGTCACGAAGTGTTGGTTTGGGTAGACTCTGGAGCACTGCTGCTGTTCTTCACTCTTGACTTTGTACCACGATGACCCGTCCGAGATACAGCGTCCTTAACCTTTTTGATCCGTTGAATGCAACTCCGAGGAGCGAAGTCACAACGCCAGACTCGCTTTCTGGATCTGACAAGGAAAACGCTGAGCCAAGCTACGAATCCTACTATGAATCCGACAGGCTCACGATGACAGCATTTTTCAACCGTACTTACAAGACGCAAAGCAAGCATTATTCCCCAGTAGTTCTCAAAACTCGTCTAGTTGATGTCGGTGACATGACTATCATGGATGAAACCGCCGATCTTCTTAATGGGCTCACTATCGAAGAAGAGCCCGAAGATGACGTCGATAATGCGTCGCTTGTTCATGAAAGTATGGATTTAGATGAAGAGGACTTTTTGGCCACGCCGATGGGCAGTCCTTCGAGAACCAACAATCGTTACAATTCCGCGCAAACACCACTATCAGAACAGACTCTTGCCCCTCATGTTCAGCGCACCCCTCTTGCCGATATTTCCATGGATGCCACACCTGTTCCGCGCAAAGTAGTAAAGCTCGCCCAAGCTTCTCCCGAAGCTCCAAAGTCTGGCGTGGAACGTCACTCCTCACCAGTCACAGCGGTTCGCGCGAGTCACGCTACTTTGGCACCGGCTGGCTCACCGCTAGCTTCTGTGATCAATGCCATCAACTTCACAGATCAAAATGTGCCATCGGGAGGGCGCATTCCTGAACACGCTACCCCTACCATCGTTGTGTCGAGAGAAGGGAAAGTAGATTCACCTACAGCCCACTTATCACCTTCACCCTCGACTGCCCTCCTCGCGCACGCACATCTCTCAGAAGAAACACCAACTCGATCTGATACATCATTGTCACCTCCTTCCAAATATCAGACCCAGTCATCTTTTTCGCACGACACGTTAACTGCCCCAACCCCACGTCCTCGTTTGCGCGCTCGAGCACACACAACGTCTTCGCCATCTTCCAATCCGCGGCGAAATTCTGTGGATCTCCAGTCTTCGTTCAACCTCCAACTAAATTGCCCTGACGCGTCTTTCGATCTACTAAATGATAGGATTTCATTCTTTGGTGGTGATACTTTTGCGATCGACACCGATGATTTCGACATGCAAGCTGAGGAAGAGATGATGGAGGCCCTCGCAAAACGAATCAAGGAAAAGGACGCAGCAAGCACACCTGAAAACGTTGCTGGCTCTCCAGGTAAGTGTTATCTTGTTAAATGTATTTGATATTCAAACCCCGTTACTTGTAGCACTACAATCTGGGTCTAGTGCGATGCCACAACCATCACCTCCAATTGTTGCTGCAAATGGTGTGTTCATATCTTTAAAATATTTCTCCCTTTTTCATTACATTGTATCAGCTTCCCCTGCAACCGTGAGATTGACGACAAGACGGAGCAGCCTTTCTCCGGGAATGAAATTGTCGTCGCCCTCCCCACGGCCACCCATGGTTGTTGCAGCTGAGAATGAGGTCTCTGAGTCAGTGAAGGCGTCTGCAACTTTATCCCCCATCCCTTCACCAGCATTACCATCAGCAACACCGCCGAGGGTTTCGCTGGCATTCGTTCCACCAGTTCCCGCAGCGCCAGTGCATGCGCTTCGCATCGTAAAGCGGCCCAAGGCACATGACAGGACAACTTCCATATCTAGTGCAGGCTCGTCTGCTGGAAGTAGCACAGAGGAGCAGGTGTCACCGACGGTACCTCTCGCCCAGATTCACAGACCAACACTAACAGGCGTGCGCCGCCCTCCTCCTGGGCTCATACCTGCCGACCTTATGGCGAATATATTTTGCAAGCCTGAACAGGGAGTACGACCTACATTGGGTATGAAGGGCAAACTTACAAGCGTACTCGGCCTACGCACAAAAGCTACCGAGCCTCCCCGTTCACCCCTTGAAATATGCATGCCCTCAGAACCTGCACAGACAAAACCACCTAGCGGGGTCCTCAAATCAAGGCTGCTTATGCCTACCGCGTCATCGCTTAGCAAGGCTCCGCCAGTTAAGATACCAATCGCATCCAATACCGCTGCTGCGTCAAAGAGCCTGCGCCCGCCATCGCGCTTTGCGACTGTAGGCATGGCTTCGGGACTGCCCCGTCCCACAGGCGGAGTGCTACCTTCATCCAGACTTCCTGCGCCTACTGCTAGCGCGCCGAAGTCAAAGCTGCCCAGCATGACCGGAAGTTCAAGCATGATCGGGCGGAGTGCCACTATTCGGAGGGTTTAAGAGGTAAGGAAAAGGAAAATAAAAAAAGGAGATGATGCACATGGGATGGATTTTCACGTATGTCAAGCATGTTATCATTGCATTTGTTCTTTGCGGCATTTTTTTTTCCTTTGATTTTTTTGATCTCTCGCTTTGTTCCGTATGCCTCGTTATTTTATGTCACTCACAATGCATGCACATCAAGAGGAGTTGTAGATACGCATCTTAGCATGGTAGTTATGTCGGTGTTCGCTACAGTATAGAAAACATAGTTCATGGACTTCCTTAGTTATGGATGACTTACGGTCACTTTGTGATTTTCAACTGCAGGCCTCAATTTTGCACCACTCACTAAGTGTAAGATGGTCACAGCTGGATGTGGTTGAAGTTAGTGTCGTATCTCTACAGTACTTTAGTTGCGGTAGATCGTGCCACCGCCCAAGCTTCTTTGGCGCTACAAATATCTGCCCCGTTGGATAAAGTAACTCGTGATCTGCACATATATTGGTGAACCAACGGGAACAAGCGTGGTTCGCTTGGGCAACGTACAAGCCTTTAGGGGAAGGAAAGAGGAATTAATTTGCTATACAGCGGAGTCGGGTATTGTCGCTCAGTGCCACAACGATCGTTTATCATCATGCTAGTATATTAGGGAAAGACGATGTGCGAGGGTGGCTGGATGGTAATTCCCGCCGGTGGATCCCAGACACCAAATTCTTTCTTCATTTCGTCCAGATCCTGTCCCCATCTCTCCTCCCAATACACTGTAAGCAAGCACCTCGCATGACTTCCGCACCTCGCAGCCCAAGGGACAAATTCCCCCCAAAGTCGGGTCCGTTGAGGTGGCTTGAGTTTCATTGAGGCTCCCAGGGATAATGCAGTCATGGGGAAGCCTAGATTTGCAAACTCAAAAGCTTTGAGTGCAAGTTCGGGAAGGGCCGAGACTTTAAATCCAAAGACGGCGTGATAGAGGTCGTGTGTCTCGCGATAGCGTTGCATGACATATGCCAGCTCTGGGTCATCGATATAGTGTACCTGAGTCCTTAACGATGAGCATCTGGTATGCTTGACTTGGAATAAAATAATCCCACGGGCTCTCTAGAATCAGGTGTGACTTTGCAAGCATCAAGCCACCCCACGTAAGCACGTCCAAAAGTGTTCTCTGGAAGGGATCGCAATTTCTCCCAGTCCAAGGTTTGTGAATTGATACGTGGCATTTCTTTGAGAATGCGCCGACCCTCTGGAGACTCCAGCATTATATCCCTCAACTTCACCAGAGTTGGCCCAGCAGTGGTTTCTCCGCAAGCTGCAACCATGTCTAATAGACTTGTCAGAGAAATGCGCCCACTATAGAAGATTATGAAGTGCTTGCCCGCGCGACGAGTATCTATGAGAGACATGAGTGCAGAGCCAACTGCGAGAATTCCAGTTTCGAACGGAGTGAGTGGTATGTGGCCAGGATACGCTGGTTGAAGTCGTGTATCAGTGTGGACAGAGTGCGATTTTCTGTTGGTGGTATGGGATAAAGACCTAGGCGAAGCCACCAGTGCAACAAAGGAGCGAGCTTGGCTCGTGTTCGATGACACTATTCCATCTATGGGTTCCACGATACGGACTATGCATTGAAGTCATTCGTAAGTGAGCTCCGACGCAAATTATCGGTGGAAGGAAAGTGCATATCACTGACATGTCGAAGTCAGTGCCAGTGGTTGGTTGGTTGGCTGTCTCGGCGAGCCGACGAGCCGGTCGTTGAAAACGGGACCCTAACCCTAGAACTGGGTTATTCCCGAAATGGGGGTCATCAAAGCTGTGCAGTGGACGGACCACAGCTTGAGCGTTCCACCATTGAACTTGAACTCAGCGTCCACATCCACGAAAGCGTCGAACCACATCTAGCGCATATAAAATACCACTGATTATCCTTCATGCATAACCTCACTAGTCTGCTCTTTCCCTGCTCTTTCCCGTCCTGCCTGCTCTCACTTTTGCCAGTTAATCATGTCTAGCTCAGAATCAACTGCTATCACGAGCGTCGTTGGATTCCATGATTCCAAGGCAGACACTCGTAGATACGCCACCATTATTCCCTATGAAATTGTAGAGGGGATGTCGTTCTTGTCTCTCGATGAGGAGGATGCCGATACCGACGAAAGCCTTTACACCGATTTCGTATCCTCATGGGAGTTTAGTGCTGGACCTGTGGCGAATTCCAAGAACAGCGATTTGGTTCTATCCGAGGCTCAGGAACTCGTCAAGAAACATAAAGAGCGTTCCGACGAAATAACTGAAGCCCAGAGAGTCATTCAGGAATACCTACAACGAAATAAGACATTCGATGATCAAGGGACTACAGACTCTGTCTGCCCCATCAACACTGCCAAAGAGCTTCCCATCATTCCTAACAACAGGGATTCGACATACACCTATACCTTGACTGACGACGGACAATCCACGATTGATCTCGAGAAGCGTCCCGAGCCAAAGATTCGTCTATTTCATTATGACTCGGAAGGCGTAGCGCAGGCGGTATGTACTACTCATACCTATTTTGATTCATACTGATGTCTTTATAGCAGCTTCAAGGTTTGGATATTGTTCAGGCTGGTCACTACGCTCCTGGAGCTATGATCCGTTGTCAACGTCCGGGATGCACTAATGTCCTTCGTGATCTCGAAGCGCTTAAATTTCATTTGCACATCCACAACATCGGCGATATGACCGATGCCATCAGTGTTTTGTCCGCTCACACCCAAAGGGCAAAGGAACCTGGACACTCTTCCACGGAGTCTTCGCCACTCAATAATTCCTCGAGAAAGGTTCGCGGTCGGTCAAAATCTCTCATGGGCGCGGACGCCACACACCCATCGCGGAAGGTCCATGGGAAGGACCCTTATTCACACTCTCGCAGTCGAAAGCCCACTGCCACTCATATTAAGTCAAATGCACTGCACACGCGAACGAAGTTGCCCGATGGACCTCAAACACGTGGACGACACAGTAACAGGAACACCAATCGTAGTGGACTCGATGAGGCCAGTTATCACGACAGCATTGCGATGGTCCTTTCCCGCCCCGTGTCGCCCGTACGAGGTACCCAAGAGGCTTTGGGTTCTGTTATGAACACCCCTGTCAATTTTGGGAACAAAAGCAGCGTACTTTCCCCTTCTGCGGGTCTGACTTATGCTGAAAGGGAATTACCTCGTGCCAGGAGCCCCAAACGAGCATTCAGCCCTGCTAGAGCCTTCAGTCCCATCCGAGGTATGTCTTTTATTTGCATTCTTTCTGTTCGGCCAGCTAAAGTCTTGATGTCTCACAGATGGTCTTCGACGAGTGCTTTCATTCGGATGCTTGAATGAGCGCTTTGAATAGTTCGTGTAAAGTAGATTTAGTCCTTTAAACCATCTTCAATTGTTTGTACCATAGCATCACTTTATTATCATGTTGCAAGTGGGTGCCGCTGGGCGGCTCCCAGACCCTTTATATGTAGACCAGCCGATACATGACATTCCGATTCAATTCATTGATCTGCAGCCTGCTGTATTCCGAAATTACTAAACACCTTATTGAATTGAAATGAATTTGGCGAAGCAGAAAGAGAGCAACATCTGCCGAGGGTGGTGGTTAGTCGCTGATGCTCAAATTGACCCTGAGGGTATCCATGCCTAGTTTAGTGAAAGGGCCAACGGTAATTGGGTGGATGCAGACATGGTAAAACGGTAATATATAGCAAATATGGACTCGCACACGACTCAGTATAATCTTACAGTACGAATTATCCAAATGGGAAGATTTTTTCAAACCTAGGTTGCCTTTCCAGCTTGCACAGCGCAAGTCTTTGAACAGTAAGGATGCTTGCCGTACTTTGGTTTGCTGCGACAATGCTTAAAAAATGTCTCGGTCAGAATGTCAGACTGTCGGCCAGAAATGCAAACTAACGTTACACGTGGTCGCTGCTTGTGTGGCGCATGTCCTACCACAGTAAGGATGGTGTTGATATTTAGGTTTCTGCTGGCAAAACTGTGAAAAAGTTAGAGAAGCGCGAAGTCAAGGACAGCATCAACGAACCTCGCATAGCCCGGCGTCATAAGATGCCGACTGCGGGCTGACTGCCATGCCTGTGGGGACAATAGAGAGACGCTGTGGCGCCTGGAATGGAGGCTGAGGTAGTACTGTTGAGGGCGGGCGAATTCCCATGCCCGCAGAAACAAAGGAGCGGCGTTGCGACGCTTGGATTGGAGGATTGGCCGAAGCTGCCGCCACAACCAGCGACGTCAGGTCTTGCAACGAAAATCGGGACGTGTCGCGCTTGACAGGAGGCACCCTGTTTGGTTTGTCATCATGTCCTTCACGTCGACTGATTAAAGATTTCTGCTATTTCGTGAATAGATACTTACGAAGCTCATCGCGCACTCTCACAAGTGCTTTTCCCAGCTCGTTGCGTCCAGAGCCATCAGCACCTATCCCCCAAAAGAAGTCCCTTGGGGAGTTCTATTCACGAGATCAGAGATCATAAGAAATACCCATGATTACCTAGTTTTACCTCGACTAACTCAGCATCACCAGTGCCAAGAAGTAAGGCCTTTAGATCTGTATGCTGAGTGAACTTGAGCCGAAGTGTGACTTCCATCTATGGGTCAGAACAGTCCCTGTCAGGTACCGAGAGCTAGTAAACTTCTGGATTACCTTCTCAACATTTACTTGTCTCCAGTCAGATCGAACCCATTTCTGGTGACGATGGGCTTCGTCGAACACAGTACTTGGCCTGTCTCCACACTTGCGGATGTGCTCCGCGATGGCTGGCTGGGAGTCCAAAAACTGTTCCAACCGCATCCAAGAGTGTCAGAAAGATATCGGGAAATTAATATCTTTGACTAACTTTGAAAGATTGGAAGAGATGCTCGCTAGTTGGATATCTCTTCCCAGCGTAGACAACGTCGTGTGGCGAGAAATTAGTGAATTCGTAGTAAGGTTCATGTTTGTTGTAAAATAAAATGCATTCCCTTCTTTGAAAGGGTGCTACTGATGACCCCACAGGTTCCGGCGGAGCGGTGAGCGGGGGGTAGTAAGCTTCTGATTCTCCGTCGTTTTGCACATCAGGTGAAGACAACTTCAGGCTTAGCACATGTCAAGAGCAGCTTCAACATCACAATAATGTGGATGATTAAGATACTTACTTCGATGGCGCTGAGTGGTATTGGGTAGCAGGTCGAGCCTGACGCGCCTGTGGCGTATCTGGAGGAGAATTGAGACCGATTCGGAATATGCTAGTAATTTTCATGATGATCATGCGGTTGTCGAGCATTCCAAGCAGGACAACGGCGACAGCGACAGCGACAGCAAAGATTGCGTAGAGTATTTTGGTAAATTTTGATAGGCGATCGAGTGAAAAGTTCAGTTAAAAGCTGAAATAGGTCCAGAGGTTCTTATAGTATGCTTTCAAGAAGGCGATACAATCGGAACAGACTCGGCAGGGACAATATTTCGGTTGGAAGTGTCTAGCCCGTAGTCAGTGGATCCCGTCATGTGGTCAAACCTGGGAGACTTCCTATCGATCAAAGCCGCGAGGCAACTCTGCATGGAGGGGGCATGGAAAGCAGTGAGCTTATTAAGCAACTTCATTTCATTATCCTTCCTTTTTTGGACTCACTTTACATTCAGTTCTCCTCATGTTCTTGTCGTGGCTGCAGAGCATCTGCAGCATGGATACAATCTTTGAGATTGGGCAGTGATTGTGATCCGCCTTCGTTACGTTTTCTCCCAAGAATCTATGGTTGCAATTACCATCAATGCACTTCGCATCGATTGCATCGACATGAGGTTCTTCATTGCTCAGGCGGACGGGTCCGATTAAATTCGTTATTGCTACGCGGATAGCGTGCGTGGTGCACCTCAACCGCGTTGAGATAAAAAGATCATATTTTATGGACATGTAGCCTGGAATCGGTTTGTACTTCATCTATCTGACTTTGCTATCTATGTCAACATCGTCCTTTGAATCCTTAAACTTGGACGAGTTCTCTTTAGAGAACCCTGTCAATTGCTCCGCAGGCCGGCGCAGCCGTTTGGTGCGTCTGAGTCGTGATAGCCCTCACTTCGCGAAAGGTGGCTTGATACTTCTCATCAGTCGGCGCTAGCTGATCTTGCTCTTTCAGTCGAAGACCTTTTCAACAAAGGATGGCGACATGGAAAGAAAGCCAGGCCACATATACAAGGAATTTTTAAGATCCTTTGGCCCGACAGCAATCTTGAGCCATATCTACAATACAGGTGCTGACGAAAGCTCGAAGTGGAAATGGCGTGCGCTGACCATTGCTGTATCATCATAGGAAGCAAGTGCAGGCCCGCGTAAGGGCTCGGAACGAGGCAGGGAACGAGAAGCTGCTCTTCCACGGTACCAACAGGGCATGTCTCCTGGGAGAAACCTCAAAAAACATTCTGCTGTGTGGCCTTAAAGAGTGTTATCTTTGTTCTATCTTGCGGGCATCTTTTGATGTCAAGAAATGCGGTAAGGGTTTTCTCGCTTACCTTTTCATCTATCGTCTAACACTACATAGGCGCGAAGAATGCGTTCAAGAGGTGAGAAATGGCATCCAGAATTTAGTATACCGTTTTGACGGTATTGTAGGTTTGGGCATGGGATATATACCTCTGTTTGCTCATCTAGTCCGTCCGTCTTCCTTTTTTGCATCGGTGCATCCGCTCAACTGTAGCACAGAAGCTGATGATTATTCTTGCAACTTGTCTCAAGATGCACGCCTCCACACCTTGCTGGTCAATCGTGTTGTAGTTGGGAGGCCATACAGACGGTACAGGAATGCACCCAGCCTCGTAAAACCTCCCGATGGTTTTGATTCTGTGAGTTGTTCGTTGTTTGATATTTGTTTGCTCATATCATCGCAGGTTACTGGTGAGATTGGCTGGGACCTGAACTACGAGGGTGAGTTTGATTGATTGTTCATGTGGATTTCTACTTAGCTTTCATATTCGACCCAGAAACCGTATGCTACACAAATGACGCTGTGCGTCCTGCATATCTTATCGTATATGGACATAAGCCCAAAGATTCGCTTAAGCCAAGCTTTAAGACCCTGATGTCAACGATATTCAAGACACCGTTAGTCTCATGAACGAACGTTCGATTTCGCCGTCACATTCATGATAAGGCATGGAGGCGCTGCTTGATTATTTATTAGAAGCAGTCATGTACTTTTTATATAATTAACATATCGCTGCAGAATGCTCAAAGTTTGTGCAATAGATTCGGATTTGATGTGGCTGTGCAATCACATAGTTCTTTCGCCTCACCGCCCACTGTCCCGCAAAACCGAGCGCTGGCGTCGTGTCCTCACACTTACGGCTCGCGAGTAACAAAAGATTTTTCTTTTATCATGAAATCAACACCGAATACCACGTGAATAACGACTAAATACTTTTCAGGCCTACATATAAGCGACAGTCGCGCAATCTGGAGCATATCTCCACATCAGTCGTGCGGTGAACATTATTCTGGGCAACTGTTTCAATAATGGTCTAGACCTGAAAGCCTGCCATCCATTGATATACTCTGTGGCTGTACTTGTATGGTATCTTAGAGGAAAATGCGCGAGCCGTGCATGGTGCACCCTGTGGCAAACCGTGCCGATACGACTGTCATATTACCATTCAGCCTCGCATCATCCTGCTAGCTCGGATCACGAGATCTCCGTGCCAATTTACAGTGTCATTGATTCCAAGGTCGCACAGAGTCCACGGAGTCTCTTTTCCCTCGCGGAGAACACGCGCCAACCGCGTTTCATCGAAGAGCGATTTGCCTCTCTCCATGATGGACTGCCGCATACTAGCTATAAATTGTTGTTTGCTTCGAACATCACAAATCACAACTTATCCGCAGACTCGAAGCTCCTGGAGAGCCAAGTCCACTGAGTATCTAGCCCAGATCCCAGTATCATCTTGTTTGAGACAAGCCCAGTACCCCTGATACCAGCAGATGAATGCAACGATCCCACCCATGCATGCTGCACTTTCTGTGCTCGGTACTATGGCTGGCCAGTACATCGCCGCGCAGGGCCAAGCACCTCAAGTTAAACAGCCTCTGCCCGCCAATACATCTACGAAGCAGTTCACCGGAACTGCGACTCTCGCAACGTGTGATGTATGTGATTCGAATGAGGTCTTTGCTTCTCAAGAGCTGATACTGTTACAGATTTGTCAAGTCCGTCCCAAATACTTCGACGGACAGAAGACGCACTCGTATTGTGGGAAGTCTTGCGCGACTGCAGCACAGAAAAAGCATAGTCCCAACAGCAAACCTAAACGAAACAAGACCACCAAAGCCACCCGCAGATTGTGCGACGTACGATGATCGGTACTTATTTGAAGATAGGGTCAACTAACATATGTTCCTCCAGCATTGTCATAAGCAACCCAAGTACAACGATGGAACGACAATCCATTCGTACTGCGGCAAAACCTGCGCACAAAAAGCGAAGGCTGCAGGAGTGTCGGCTGCACAACCTACACAACTAGCCAAGTCCGTTGAATCATTTTTCTGTCGGGTGTTGACAGTACTTATCACCGTTTCTCGGTCCAGTCCAACAAACAGTGGTTGTTTGTTATGCGGAAAGGCTGTCAAGGGCAAGGGTCACTTCTGCAGTCAGGCGTGCACCTCCATGGCTGAGAAGAGTGCACCAGGACTCATAGAAGTCCCACAAGGACACGACACGTTCAAAAGCGGTAAGTAGCACTCGCATGTTAGTGCGGGTGATCGATAACGTTTACTTGCTGTAGTCGCTGACCAATTCAAGGCGTCGTGGAGACATCAGACTCCATGCCCGACAGTTCGGAGGGTGCATAAAGTGATCTCATCGCCAACTTCCATTGTCAAATACGAGGCATATCGGTTAGTCTTCGTTTACATAAATGCTGGTGTTTTGGCTGACAAGAAGCAGTGCTGCTGTCGAGGCTCGCGGCAACTTTGTTGCAGCGGGGCGTTCAGCAGGGAACGAGAATCGTCGCTGGCACGGAACGACCAGGGAATGCAATCTAGGCGATAATGGCAACTGCACGTTATGCTCATCTCAGACATGTTCCTTGTGCTGCATTCTCAAAACGTCTTACAACCTGAATCTCTTTGGCAAGAAGACTGGCTGGGGCCGGTATGTCACACTTTAACTAATCAATCACGATATCCTGACGCGCATGTCAGGTTCGGTCACGGTATCTACACTTCGTCGACGTCTTCGAAATCGAACGACTACTCCACGAACGTTAATCCATCGAGTTTGAAGGCGATATTGCTAAACAAAGTGGTCGTTGGCAAAGGTTACAAGATGACGCAAGACAACACATCACTAACTGCACCTCCAGCTGGTTATGACACCGTATGTACCCTGCCTCTCATCTTTTGTACTTGCTCTTAGCTAGTCATAATAGGTCCTCGCGGAGGTGTCGAGTGGAGGGTCGTTGAATTATGATGAGCTTGTGTGTTATACGAATGACGCCATCCGCCCGTCGTATATGGTCATGTACGATGCATGAGATCATTAGCACCCTCTGTGGACAAGTACGATATGTAATTTGCTTATTTATTTCTTTCAACCTTGTGTATTCAATAGGATCACATAGACTGGCACTAGTGTTACGCACCATGTATCTTTGCATGACATCGCCAATAAGTTGATCACACCACTTTTCCCATGATGCATGAAGGCAACATGACATAGCACTCACTGACTACCAACAAGCAAGAGAAAAAGTATATCGTGGTATGAGCGGGGGTCAAGGATGCAAGGAGATGCGGACAAGGGTGGTCGTCTAATATACTAAGACCCGATGCAAAGCCGTACTATAGCTATAGTCTGTGTGAATGGGATGTCCGTGGTGGATATAAAATTAGGCCGTCTGGAATAAGAACCAGTCGTTAGCATTTAATCCCACAGCTATTCTCGACAAAAAATGACGCACTGCTTGCTTCAAGTAAGTAATAAGGTCATTCCTGTCCTTCTCCTTCTTGAGGCCAACGAAGGCCATAGTAGTTCCTGGGATGTACTGTAGAAAAATTCAAAGTGCATCAGTCGGTGATGATGCACAAAAGCTATACGCGACAAACCTTTTTGGGGTTCTCAAGGTATTCGAAAAGAGTGTCCTCTCCCCATACAACACCCTTCTTCACGTTAGCCGCCGTATATGAGAAACCTTCCACTGAACCAGTTTTGCGACCGAAAAGACTGGAAGACGTTCAGCGATAGTCAAGGACAGTAACGAATGCACTTACCCATGCAAGTTAGGGCCAACCTTGTTAGGCTCGCCGGCGCCGGCGGTGTGGCACAAAGCACAACTTCTCTTAAAGATAGCAGCACCCTTACCAGCGTCACCTTGAATAGAATCAGCATCCGCGCTGCAGCAGAAACTGTAAGCATACCTGTAGCGTAAGGCATTGCGAAAATGTATGAGGTGGAGAAAGAGAAGAGGATTAATTACACAAACGGAGCCTTGAAGGCAAGTAGAGATGATGATGGACTAGTGGATACTTCTGGTCTTGAACTTTTTCGCTTCAAAAATGGTCTGAGCCCGATCGAGCCGAAGGTGTCGCCGGTTTTGCCCGCTGCTATGCTGGCCAATCAACATTCTGCTATTTCGGAGACGGAACGGAAGCATAACTCTGCTCAACGCTGAGCGCTCCAGCGGCAAATTGAATGGATCACAACATAATATTTATGCCATACACTGTCGCATATGTACCAGAACTCCATATAATACAACAGTCGCTATCAATGTTCATGATTCAGAACCGACTCTAGTTCGTGACTAGTTATGGGTAGAAATGGCTTCGGCGTTCAAAGTTACTCGCTACTAGCACTGGTGTGCTCATATAGCGGCTGGAACGCGGATAATCATCGGATGGCGGATAGTGCGAGCCGATTGCCAAACGAGCCAGGTAATCACAAGCATTCCAAAGGTCAAGGTGAGGCTACCGAACGCGGTCAGTTGACAATCTAAGATGATCTCGACATACGCACATCTGGACAACTGCAAGGGCTGAAATGACACATCAGTTTTTGTATACCTCTCATGCAACAGCTTACTGACCAAAGAGCATTTGCAATTGACCGCAATACACCACTCCATCGCACGATCCACTCATGAACAAGCGAGGGAATGACTTGTTGAACAAACCTGCTCCGGCAACCCAAAATATCCATGTCACGAGAACCCAGATCGCTTGTGTACCTATAGACGCAATTGGACGTCTGGACCACAAGGGATCGAGGAAGAACAAAGTATATGTGCCTGAGGTCACTGTTGTCCAACAGGCTGAAAACCTGTTTGACTGCATGCTCAATTACATGTTATTTTAAATCGCGAAACAAACGCACAAGAGAAAGCGTACACCACTGCGAGTAATGGGATCAGGTGCGTTGTTGTTGAAGCGAAATTGCAACAGCAACCAAGTGGCATCTGCAACCTGTTATAATCAAGAGGTCATGCATATTTCTGAATGAAGTTTGGATTATGATTCTTACTTCTGCCAAACTAACAGCCAGCAAGAATACATACACGACTAGGCAATACAAAGTCAAGGTGCGTCAACAATGAGGCAACAATAGGTTAGAATGAAGCACCAACGTGGACCGTACTGCTGAACTCGCGCCCCAGATATCTTATTGATCGACCTTGGGTGCCGCTTTGAATGCCGATACAGAAGGTAGAGTGGACAGAAGTATATTAATGCAAGCATGGGTGTCACCGCAGCTATGACACTTGAGATAGCACTTGTATATATTCTTGAGGTGCTGATATCAGGGACACTGGAAACTGTCGGGGAGCTTTGTAGTGCAAAAGTGCCACAGATGAAAGCACCGAGGATGCAAATCGATGAGGCGAATGGAAGCATTTCGACCAGCTAGACGCGTGACATTGGTGTTTGGCTAGGCAACAAACGGACCCGACATACCGAAAGCGATTGTTTACGACGGAGTGTAGGTTTTTTTGCAGCTGGTGAATTAACTGTTGAAGTGGATCCGAGCGGCCACTCTGGCAAAGGGAAGAAGACAAAGAGAGATGTAGCCTTGAGTCGACGAGCCCTCATCGTCTACTTGCAAGGGTGTTGCGGAAGAAGCGTAGACATGCTGATGATGCATGCAAAAAACGTGTTTCTCGTGATACAGTAAGAAGATATGTGTTCGTGAGCCCTTCTTGACGATACGGATGTGCCATGAGACAGACGCAGTAGATGGCACGAGTAAAGTGACCGTTTAGCGATCCTCCACTTTCATATCGGATTTAATTTTGTTTTGACAAACAAAAGGTCCCGCTTGTTACGACATTTGGGCGGACGAAATACACCAAAATGGCCGCTCGTCCGATTCTTTACATGCACCGCCGTCACATACCAGGCATCTTTTGGAGTCAGATATGAGATTGTCAGGGATCCTGCACTCGACCAACAAGTCTTATGTGTCAGTGGGGGAATCGGTCGTATCATTCTGACTCATGACTGTCGAAAAGATGGGAAAGCCATTGTACTAATGACCAGGTTGCTATCCCTGAGAGGAGCATGGGACCGAGTAACACTGAGCACGCCGGTAAATTATGTAGTATGCGGTGACCGAGTCAGGGTACTTTGCGCATCGTAACCCTTTTGTTTGTCGAGCGGTGAAGGGAACAGAATAAAATCTAAAAGCTAGACTCGTACCACGACAGAGTGGGGAATTTTGACGTAGTTAGACTGGTCGATCTCGGGGAAATTTGGCAGGCGAAGCAGCCTGGCTACTCGTCCGTGGTTAAGCCAGGCTGGTCCCGAGCCTAGCTGAAGAAAGCATGTCGGATTCAAAGACTCGGACACAGATAATCCTCGGCAGCATTCACTCTCGGGAGCTATACACCCGGCGGGCGCCACCAATATCATTAATAATATGAACTAGTACATCCCTGGACGCGGGGACAATATGTAACTGTAATCCTCTCTGAAACATGTAAAAAAATTGTCACATATAAAGGGACGTGCCCAAAACATACGACTCCTTCATCTCATCATGTTGTTGGACTGGAAAGACATTTCCATTGGCGCTTTCATCTGTGCCACTCTTGTCGGTGCGCTCCTTCGTGTGAACAAGAGAACAATACTTCCGCTGCCGCCGGGACCGCGACCTGTTCCAATCCTTGGCAATATTTGCGGGGTTGACATCAAAGCACCATGGCTTGGTTACACGGAATGGGGTAAACAATATGGTGCGTGCGATGACAATGAATACACTGAATTCTGCTAAATGGTCTCCTGATAGGTGATATTGTATGCTCGCACGTTCTCGGCCAATACATTGTTGTGATCAACTCTGAGAAAGTGGCCTTCGAGCTTTTGGGGAAGCGGTCATATAACTACTCTGACAGGCCAGACCTTCCAGCAAACGAACTGTAGGAGCTAAATTTCACTGACAAGCCACTGTAATTGTTGACACGGTGTCTCTAACAGTTTCGGGTTTGGTTTCAACACCATACTCATGAAATACGGAGCTCGTTGGCGTTGTCAAAGAAGGATATTCCATCAAACATTCAGGGCAGAGGCAGCTCTAAGTTACCGTCCCATGCAGCAGAAAAAAGTTCAACAGCTTATCTGTGACATGTATGATGCCCCAGAGGAATTCCTAAAGCATATTCACGTGTAAGTCTTCTCCTGCTGGTGCAATCTATCATCAATGCCAGAATCATCTGCCAGATTTTCATCTTCCGTGATAATGTCGGCTTCATATGACTACGAAACAAAACCCGATGACCCGTTGGTGGACCTTATTGGAAAGTCACTCGAGTTGGCCGTACAGGAACTCAGACCTGAGGTAGCTACCGTTCTCAACGCACTTCCATTCCGTGAGTCTTCAGTCGTATTTTTCTTGGCTCGACTGAATGCTGTTTGAGTAGTTCTACGCATACCAGCATGGTTTCCTGGTATGTCCCTCAAGAAGAAAGTCATCAAGTCTCGAGAATGGCTTCAACAGTGGATGAACGATCCTTTCCAGGATGTGCTTGAAAGAACGGTATGCCGTCGAGTGTCCCCATATCTAGACCTAACATGTCCCAAAAGGCTGAAGGGAAAGCCCAGCCATCCATGGTTTCAAATGCCCTCAGACGGATCGAAGGAAAAGAGACTCCTGATGATATAACAACTATCAAGGAAACTGCAGCCACTGCGTTTGGAAGTAAGTGCCAGTCGGATACAGTGTGCCGGAATGATATTGACGAAAACTGTCCGAGCAGCTGCTGTCGAAACGGTATTCAGTTTTCAAGTATTCTATTTTGCACTGCTCTGATTTTCACCCAGACGGATTTGATATTGCAAGTATTCATCCTTGCTATGGTGCTCTTCCCAGAGGTGCAAGCGAAAGCCCACACTCTGATCGATGAAGTTGTTGGCGCGTCGAGGTTGCCGACTTTTGAAGATAGATCGTCTTTGCAGTATATTGATGCTATCCTCCGGGAAACTCTTCGTTGGCATCCCATTTTGCCCCTATGTGCGTGTGCAGTTTTCAGATGCCCGTCTGTTTCTTACGGAATTGTGTAGCGGTACCGCATGCATCGACGAACAGCGACGTTTACGAGGGATATTATATACCCAAAGGCACGAAATTCCATGTTTTCTGATGAAGTTTCTCGCTAACCTCGTAAATAGGTACCATCATTGTGCCGAATGTGTGGTGAGTCTGCATGTCCAAGGGACCATCATAGAGGTCAACTGCTTTATAGGGCAATGTCACAGAACGAAGAGAAATACCCAAATCCTTCGCAGTTCTCGCCCGAGCGCTTCCTGGCAGCTGATGGCAACCTCAATGACGACACCGTCAATATGGCCTTTGGATTCGGGAGAAGGTTTGTCATGATATTTTTTCTGTTTAGATGACATCGAACATCCTTGCGATACTGTAGGATTTGTGTTGGACGGCATTTTGCAGACGCAAATCTATGGATCGCAATTACTTCGCTACTTGCCACATTTAAATTTTCGAAACAAATCGGTGCAGACGGGAAGGCGATTGATTTCGAACCACGATGGTCCAGTGGTATCGCAATGTGCGTTAGTTCCTGTTGCCCTGTATCTCGACTTACAAGGCTTCTTTAGTCACCCACTTCCCTACCCGTGCAGCATCACTCCAAGGCTCCGCAAGGTTACTCAGATACATGATCTTTAGTCCAGCGATTTTACTGGAAAGGACAGTTTTTTTGGGCAAATAATTTAATTACATGGTACTTCATTTTTCGCTCCTTTCCCGGTATTTACCCACATTTGTTACACTCCTATCCTATTTCCACGAGAATGTGTCAATCTCTGCATTTCGTCTTCTCTTCCGATATTTCGAGTAGGTAATGCCAGAGATCTGGATGGGACAACCACATCCATCTCATTGACTTCAACGAGGATTTCTCCTTCGGTGGTTCCCATCCTCCATTGGACACGACTGAGTTCCGCATGATTGAGCAACCATGCCGGATCGACATGGTGAGTTGCAGCTAAGGAGCGGATGCTTAGCATCGCGCGACAGACGGAGATGACTGTGGCTGCTACTACTATCCTGAGAAGTAGACGTTGCTCGTGAGCTTCGGTCAAGGATGAAAAATTACGCGATCTTACTCTCCCAAAATAGCTACATCATAAACCTAGAGACAACGGTTGCAGTTTTTTCGTGCGGCTAGAGGGCCATAAAACTTACAGATATGTCCTGTCGTCTTTCCGAAGAAAGACCGATGATTTCATGCAGCATCGTTCCTGTTATTTGCTTGAGCGTCTGGTAAACGAAAAGGATCCAGATGTATTCACCAGCTGCAAATGCATACATGAACATGCCCCTAAGCAAACATCAGCTTTCGTGGCAGAACTTCCGATCAACGAGGGGCTTACTCTTTGACAAATCGGTGGATCATCCCGTGTTGCTGCAAGGTTCTGGGGCTGACGCGAAAGCGATATAGCGTAAGTAAGAACATGGTCGTATGGACGACCAAGGCTGGTAGGTAGATGCCATATTCAAATGGAAGGGCTTGTGCCAAGTTAAACTGCGAGACGCTCGTGCCAGTGACATTCCTAATCTCATCATAGTCGATGGCGACAAATATTGCAGCTGCTACCAAGGAAGCGATGAAGACGGTGACCGCCAGCCATCTGATGAAGCGACTCCGACTCGGAGGGAATAGATGCCATACTCGCAATGTTATAACACCTGTATGCCAGTCGATTCAGTGGGATCAGATCAATGCGCGAGGGACGGACATTGGCATAGAGTCATGATTATGAATTTGATGGCGTAGTTCATTAAAGGTAACTGGTCCAGTCTACGTCAATGTGTAAGCTGGTCTATTGCCTTGGCATATGAAAACGGCTCACTCCTGTGGAACGATACATGTAAGACACAAACGACGATATGCGCAGCTCAAGAACTCACAAAATAGCTGGGAACCTTGGCTACTCCTATTTGTTCCAAAGCAGCAAGACTAGACAATATTGTTATCTAGTGCGGTTCTTGTTATATGGAATCAAAACACACCAAACTTGTATCAGAGCCAAGTATCGGATCTGTCGAGTCTATGATTAATCATTGACAAGATAATATGATTCGTCATGGTATTACGCTGAAATACAGTATTCTTGACGTGGACCATGAACTGGACCAAAAGAAAGTCACCTAAAACACACAATTAGAGTTAGACTGTCTCAGATTGTACAGGCGAAAATACCTCTTGAGCGAATGTGATGATATGATCGTACACCACAAGAGTAAATGATACACTGGCGAGAGTCAGTTGCTGAACTGCAAGACTTGCTTCGGACTGCGTCTGGGCGGACATGACAAAGTATCGGTGACCTCAAAGCTCACGGTACCCTCTGGTGAATCGCATCAGACTAGAAGTGTTATATTATATGAAATTCATCATGATGAACAGGAGGCGATACTGATTGACACTGACCACATCCTGTAATTGATGGGTGGAGCATGTCAACCTTGTAACTTGAATAGGCCTAGCTGCATCTATTTGGTCAATGATGGCAGATAGTTTCAAGCAGCACCGCCATGGTTCATCAGATCTCTGTCACGGTCCAGCGCCACCAGACAATGTGAACGTTTACAAATTATTTAATTGGAACTCCGATCGATATTTACTCTACCACACTCCCTTGCTTGTAGACCGGCCGACCCTGGCCTGGTGGAAGAGTGATGGTAAGCAGCAGCAGCTATCCCTCTAGTACGTCAAATAATGTCATTGGTGTTGTGTTGAATCCTACAACTTGAATGCACTGCTATGAGGGTATTTTGTGAAATATGGCCTCGCCAACCAGATGGTGTCTCTCGGATTTCCAGGGTGAGTCTTTTCGGTGAACAATTCTAGCGACGAAATTAGTTTATGGCACAACAGCATTTAAAAATATTCAGTCTGAGCAGTGTTATATTCAATCTCATCCACCGTAACTACAGGTGACTTCGGAAAACCAGTTCACTTGGACTATTAATATCCGGACGGCGGAAGGTGGCATGATAATAGACGCTCTCCCGGAACATACGCGAGACTAGCCAGGACTCCTGCTACTACCCCAGGACCCCTGGTGCTCCTGAGGACGTGCACCAGGCCCTACTGCCCTATCGACAACGAGCCAGAGCTCCTGCGACTATGCCAGACCCCTTGGAACAACGGTCTCCAGCACAACTTGTGTTCAGTGTGGTGTCGCACTGCGTGTTGGTATTCAAATATCGATGCGCGGAATAAGGAGCGTAGTGTCATATCTCATCTCACTTCTCGACGCGCAGAACTCCCGAGTATGTCGATGATACCCTCTTCGGGAATCTCTTGACAACAACTGTCCCGCCTGCTTGCACAAGATCGCGAGGGCACCTTGGTTGTTGTTGAGTTTCAGAATTTGTACGGTCCCAAGGTGGCTACAGTCTCACATACTCCTCCTGTCATCAGCGCATCTCTTGCTCTTGATTCACCAGCTATGCGAGTTTCTAATGCCATGTCTTTACCGTGGATTTTAACATCTGTCAATGATCTTGCTTAAAGTTTCGTTTTCGATCGGATCACGCTTGGACCTGTGTTAGATTGGCGACCACATGATTTCATAGGGAACTCCTCAATTTTGGCAGGTTTGCAGCAAAATACCTCTTTTGTACAATTTCTCACCGCAATACTTACTTCACCTGCCAGTGATCAAGGGTCTTGAGGTGAGATCAAGTATCCATCTCCATCGTGCAGATTTCAAGCGCTGAACGGGGGTATATCTAGCATGAACGCCATCGTTATACATTGCCAACATCCCCCATTCGCCCATACTCATCCTCGAATATGACCGTAGTCTCAAATGGTCCCAGTGTGTGGCCAATAATCGGTATCAACATTTATTTCAGCTATTGGGCAGGTTTGTCGTATCAACATGTCTTGATCTAACATTAATGTCCTGTTTCGCAGTTGCCGCTGGCGTCGTGGTGGTATACGATTGGGGTGAGCAGGACAATGTTAGAAAACTGCTGATATTCTCATAATATTTCCAGCGCTAACGATTGGACAAGAGGTAGGTCGATGTTATTGCCGGAGCAGCCAACCCGCTAAGAATGGTGTCATAGATTGAACTAATCTGGGTAAGTGACGACTCCCTATCAGCAGAAAAGAAGAGAACTAATTCGCGACAGAGGCAACGATGGTCTCTCATGACTGTGTTGTATTTGGTTGTTCGTACCTTTTGTTGTGCTATAGCGTGGCTGGCAAGTCGTGCTGACTCTCAAATGTTCTAGACACGTTATATTGGAATACCATATTCTATGTATGTATGAGGCCAACAATCTGGCACCGTGCTAATGCTCATCTCTCACAATCAGTGCATATATACTGGGTATGTTTTATATGTGTTGTGTTTCATTCTTCTGACCGGCGGCACACAGAACATATGCCATTGGTCTCGCTGAAAGATGCAGTGAGTATTACGCAACCATCTCATTCCTATTCAATGAATACACTCATATGTAGGGGTGAGTAAGATTTTGAACATCGAGCCTGGCTCAACATAATGTCCACACAGGTGTGAGTCGGTGTTTGATACTAATACCTGAGGCTGATCACTGATTGGGTGTTTCAGGCCATTTTATATACTACGCAAGGAACGGGACGAGTGTGGTCGTAACTGCTATGTTGGGTGGTGGGTTACCTAGCTCAATACCTCTGTGATATTGACTCGACTGAAACATAAACATGATGCAAGTCATCATGATTGCCCGGTTACATGCCATGTATGAGAAATCCAGAATGATGCTTATCTTCCTTGTTACCATGTTCCTGGCCGTAAACATCGCCTGCGGAGTAATGGCGGCAATAGGACTCAAGAATGTTGTAGCAGGTGAGCTTACTTGTCGACTTGAAGAACACAGCTCATTGTACGAATGTCAGAGGAATTTATACTCTCTGGCACATATACGTGTAATTATGTATATGACGTAGATGTCCAGCTTCTCACTTCAATGGTTTGGATGCTCGGCACTGTTTGGGAGGTCATTGCACTGTGTCTTTCAGCCTGGGTTGCTGTGAAACACTTCCGTGACCTGCGAAGACTCGGTCGATCGACAGGAACGAACGTCGGAGACTGTTTCAGAGTGCTGATACAATCCCACATGCTTTATTTTGCAAGGTGAGCTTGCCATGTAACTGTGGTCATGGTCTTCTGCTAAAGTCCCGCGCGTGCTAGCTTTGTTTGTGTCTCTTGCCTCGAGCTGGCTAATACCTCTCCAAAGCTCGCGGTGCGCTGACCTGTCGCTGTCATCTGCGTGTAAACATTGCTCACCGTCTCGACAGAATTCACCTTCTACTGGATCTTTGACGCTCTATGGTATTCTTGAAATTTTATTCAGCGTGCAGATGTTTGTGCTGGGACCACGCCTTATCCTTGGCGTTCGAGAATATCACGCCAAACTCGTGGCCAACTCTGATGCAGAAACTAGCATCAATTCGATTGTCTTCCAGGAGCATGTACATGTAACAACTAACACTGGTACTGTGTAGGACATACATGGCGAGTGGTTTGCAGGGAAGACAAATTTGGTCGAGGATCTGTGGTAGTATTTATTTAACATATGGTGTTTTCAAAGCATATTTATGTAAATTGAGGTTTATGTATACAATCCAGTTCTTGTACTTAATGATTTTAAATATTACATATGGAACAAAATTGTGGTTGTTAAGACATCTGGAATTGTCCTTGAACCTTCCCTGGAAACTCGGTCTGCACAGCAGTCGACGGTCGTGAATTGCAGGGGAGAACCACATCCATCTCGTTGACTTCAACGACGATTTCTCCTTCGCTTATTCCTCTCCTCCAGTGGACCCGACTGAGTTCGGCATGATTGAGCAACCATGCTGGCTCGACATGGCAACTTGCGGCCAAAGAGCGAATGCTCAGCATCGCGCGACAGACGGAGATGACTGTGGCTGCTACTGCTATCCTGGGAAGTAGACGTTGTTTGTGAACTTTGGTGAACAATGAAGGATGACACGACCTTACTCTCCCCCCAGAGCCGAATAGTAAACCTGGCAACGATTGTGAATTTTAACGAGTCATGCAAGTAGGGCGATAAAACTCACAGACATGTCCCCTGGTTCAGTCAGAGAGAGAGCGATGATTTCATACAGTATCGTTCCTATCATTTGTTTCAGCATCTGCAAAATGAGAAGAATCGAGATATATCGACCGGCTGCACACGCATACATAAACATTCCTCTAAGCGAGCATTAGCTTTCGGGGTAGAGTCTGTGATCGACAAGGTAACCTACTCTTTTAAGAATCGGTGAACAATCCCGCGTCTCGGCAAGGCTGTTGAGCTAATACCAAAACGATATATCGTTAACGATAACATGGTCGTATGGACAACCAGGGCTGGCAGGTATATCACAAATAACGTTGCAGGGTTCTCCTTTAAGGTCGATGGGTTATATAGCCCGTACACGGCAGCCTTGATATCACTAAACGCGGCAACGCCAGCGGTTGCAACTCCTGCCGCGGAAGCGACCAGAACAGCAACCGCCAGCCCTCTGATGAAGGGACTTCGATAAAACAGATGCCATACCCGTAATGTCACTACACCTGCGCACCTCGGTTAGTTCAGTGTGATCATCGAATGCACGAAGACGAACATTGGCAGAGTTCCATGATTATAAACGCGAGGACAAAATCTGCAACGAAAAGCCATTGTACACTATTTCCTGTATGAACGGGTTTGTTAAGGCCTTGTTATGCATGCTACTCACTCCTGTGGAAAGCTGTACGTAAGGCGCCGAACGACGATACAACCTTAGGAAGCACTCACGGCAGAATTGGGTGTCAGAATGTTTCCTATTCGTCTGGTTGGTCAGAGCCAAGAAACATATATTCTTGTTTACAGACCATAAAATATGAGACTACTCGATCTCATCAACTGAGGCGATGTTATGAGATAGAATCAAACACGCACGCCATTTGTGTTAGAGCCAAGTATCGGATCTATTAAATCCACGATTAAGCACCAGCGGCAGAATATAAGTCATTGACTGCGTTACACTGAGATATAGTATTCTTGAAGTTGACCATGGCCCGACCCAGAAGAAGGTTATCTATAACGGTGAGTGTGTCGTGGATCAGCGTGAGGTTACTATCGATGATGGAGGTGACGGTACCTCTTGAGAGAGCGTGATAATGTGATCGTAGACCACTAGGGTGAATGATGCCAGGGCTAAATGCACAGAGGCATCGCTCGCAGACTTCTGTGCCTGCGAGTTTGTGGACATGGCAAATTACAGGTGGGTCCTCGAGTGCCGGGGAATCGCATTGAGGCCCGGGGGATAGAGTGGACCAACCCTATATAGTCACGCGATATCATACTGTGAGCTTTGTTTGGTATCTTTCATCAAAGAACACAGCTTTTCAATGTTTCCAAATGCGTCAGACTTGCTGTGGTGTGTTTGATCACGGTCCGATTCGAGGACGGCATGTCCGCCTATCTCGTAATAGAGTACTGCGCAAATCACTGGACAACCTGAAATCCCTATTTTAAAAGTATCGATGCGGCGCATACTAAAGGAGATGGCTGAAACAGCACCAGGCTGACCCTGAAGGAGTCGCATAGGTAGCCAAAACATAACGACTAAGTCCTGATGAGTCTCGCTTATGAGGTTCAAATAGCCATAGCACTACTGCCGCAGCTAGAATATTGTGGGAGTGCATCAAAGATTCGAAGCTGTTGTCACTCGAAGATACTTCATCTAGAACAGGGTGTGAGAAAGAGGAAGTTCCGTATCGCTGGAACCGCGTAGCTCTCATCCTCACCGTTTCCCTGGGTCCATTGGACACGGATTGTTCTGCATGCTTGAATAACCACGTCAGATCTACGTGAAGCTTCGCAGATATAGATCGAATCATGAGTGATGGCAGACGGAGACAATGGTTGCACCGACGACGAGGGTGAGTAAATGATTGGTTTCATGATTTCATTCATAAGTGAGCCACTGGAAGCAGTCTACACGCCTCGTAAACCTGTGCAGTAATCATAAGTTGCTGGGCAGAGAAGGAAATACTATTCACATCTAGGTTAATCCATGAAAGAGCAATAATTGTGTACAGTAGCGTTCCCTGAGCATGACAGGTATGAAAGTTGATATCAAACTTGAATGCTTCCTGTCGCGCATGGATACATGATCAATTTCCTGACAATGCATAATAGTAAGTATCTTATGCGAGTAGCTGCACAATTAATGGCGTACTCTTTTATTAACAAACCTTCTAGAAGCGAACTAGAGCGTATTTGAAATTGGTCGCTCGTTATATTTCGGTACGCTGTAGTCTAAAAGCCAGACACCTTGGGGGCACCATTTCGTGAAGAGAGAGCGCTAGGGGTTCCACTCTTTCCATAGCTTAGTCGGCACGTAGACTGGGTCATCTCATCCCAGCCTTGTTCGCTGTTCCTGGGCTGCGAGCCCCGCGGCCTAGTCCAACGGAGAGACCAGGGATCCAGTCGTGGATGGATGCATCAGGCTGCACACCTTGACACATCGCAGCACCTAAAGTTATCAACGATGTCTTGAGGCTTGATTGATAATCAGTGAGCCTCGGACGACGACGGGAGCTGGCAAGGCACATGGCTGCGAGTAAAATGACCGACTTGGCACACCAAAAACACCTCACCAATGATCTCTTACGGTAGGTTCGGAGACATGAAATCAGAGGTCACTTTTGCCAAAAGAACCTTTCTTGCCATATACTGAAATACTGAGAGATAATGAGAAGCGATCATACTAGTTGAGCGCTCGGTGCTCACAATGCTTGAAGTAACCCCTGCAGACTTGAAAAACCAGAGAGATGTCACACTGAAGTGGGACGTATTCCACGCTGAGATAGAAAAATATTGATGTATCTCGTCGACCAGTCCAAAACAGAGCCACCTGCCGTTTGTCATCAATCAATATCATACTTCTCGTTCTATTAGGAGCATGGCACTGACCTCCTAATCAAACGTCGCTACATGGTCGTGAAAATCAGATCTGCAGAGGCAATGGCGAGGTCTGTAGACATCAATGCCGTCTCGCCAATAATGTGGTCGGCCAACACTGAGATTGGCATGGCTGAGGAAGTGGTGTAGAAGGGTTGCAGGATTCTCCTTATAAATTCCAAGGGGTTACCTATATGCATAATGTGTCCTTGAGGCAATGCCCATGGCACCTGGACTACCAGAACCTCGAAATACAGAATCCCGCGCATCGCAAAAGTAACATGGCTCTCAACCCGTCATATTCTGGACCTCGACAATGTGAAAATATGTAAATGAAGCACCTGTCGAATGAAATTTGTCGTCCTGCTCAGACCTGTAAAACTCTGAATTCTGAACAAACTACACGCTTGTCATGGATCGTCACTGCAGAATATCGTTTGTGTATAACCGTGTGGAGTACTACGGTGGTAGTACCTGCTGTAGCGGCGTAGCCTGTAAAGTGGTTGAACGCTCAAGAGTTTGATGTAAACAAAAGTCCCACGCCGATTACATAAGTGTCCCAGGTAAACTAAACTCAAAACGATGGGTGGCGCACAGCAAGCGCATAGCTATACTCACAATGGGACTGTTTTTTACAATTGAAACTTGATTGAAGCGGGTATTGTACCAATGTGTTTGAAATTCATCAAAGATTAGAACACTCCTGCAGGGTAAGCAGATTGATCTCGGGGCAAAAAAACTGTCAGGCGTTGTCAGGCTGAACAGTCTAAGAAAACGCGCCCATTTTGACAGGTATGGTGTGGCTGAACCATAACTCTATTGGACGTACTTTGACCAAACGGAAATGAAGGGAACGGCATCTGAAATTGATCTGAAAAGTGCTGGTAAAGTAGAGCCATGATTGACAATTTTTGCATGGCATGAATGCATAAGGGCATGCGAGGACAATCGACGTAGATGTAGGTAACCATAACTTCAACACACTCAAGGAGCGAACAACGTGTTGAGGAAAGCCTCTCCAGCAGAGGAGCCTTTGGCCTTCTTTCCTTTCTTGTCTTTTTGTTCCTTGACACGCTCCTGCTTGACTATAACACATCAACGTGATGCATGAGTCATCAATTCGAATAGAGGAAAGGGAGATAAGATACATACGCAATTCTTGCCTGCGGAGGGTCTTGGCGTAGGGGTTCATGCGGAAGAGGACGCCTTTGTTGACGAGAGGGTTTTTCTTCTGCGTCCATGGGCGCTTTTGGACCCTTGGACCTGCAGGACGAACAACAGATTGAATCTCAGTGCTGTTGATCAGACGAGTGACGTCAGGGTTGGAGATCTTAGCAGTGGGAAGGCTATACATAACAGTCAGTCGAGTAATAAGGGACTGCATACGGGACATACAGGTAGTCCTTCTTGTACGAGGAGACTTTGTCGAAGGTGCCGAACACCTCATCGAGGAGGCTGAAGGCGCCCTCTGTCCAGATAACGAAGCGGCCAATGTGTCCACCAGGAGCGAGTTGAAGAAGGTTCAACCTTTGGACGTTAACGAGTTCGACACCAGGCAAATTACGGAAGGCCTGGACGATGCCGTTGTCCTCCTTGAAAACCACAAGAGGGCCACGGCGTTGACGGTAGCGGCGGTTGCGCATCTTGCCCTTCCCTGCACGGAGTTTGCGCGAGTTGGAGACCTTGGTAACATCCGTGTATGCATTCAAGGCCTGGAGGAGAGCTATGGCCTCCTTTGTTCTCTTGAAGGACTCGGCTGCGTTCTCGACGACAAGAGGAACCTCAGCGATTTGCTCGATACGGTGACCACGAGCGAGAACGAGGGATGGGAGCGCGGAAGCTGCAAGTGCGGAGACGGTAGCGAAGCGGCGTTGATTTTGGTTGACCTTGACGTGCCATTTGCGCCAAGTCTTGGTGGGGGCGAACATGCGACCGCCACGACACATGTTTCCAAAGGCAGCCTAAGGATATATTCTCAATGATGCAAGATCAGAAATCGGATGGCTGTTCACGCACCTGACCAGAACGGTGGGTACCACCACCACCCACACGAGGAATACGCGCAACAGCACGACCAGTACCCCAAGACTCAGCGGAAGTCTGGTGGCCGGCCTTCTCGCTAACAGCGTAGGCCTGACGCCTGTTCTTAGCCATGCTCTCTGAGATAATGTCATCTTTCTGATACAAGTGCCTAATACTTGTTACGCACTGTGGACCTGGGCGACTACATCAAGCCTTATGGGAGCCGTAAGGACGGCAGGAAGGGGAAGGGAGGTCGAAGCCTCTACATGAGATAGACTTTAGTGTGGACGGACAGCAAGCAAAACAGTGAGTACAAACCTCCAGAGACGGATTGGACGGTGACGGTGGGTCTTGAGGCCATTGTCGTTGATCTTGACGGTCTTGAGGTATTCTAGCCTGCGTAACGTGTTGATAGAGAAAATAGAGTTTGCTAGTTATAAGCCTCAGAGCAAATACGACCAAACATTTTTCTTCCTCCATTCTAAGGCTTGATATCAATCCGGTAGACCAACTTAAACTTGCTTGGTCCTCTGGCCACCAAATTCATTTTCATGACTCGCAGAATTTTGCCGGCATGTGGACACGAAACTTTGGCCCGAGTACTCGTATCATGACTCGATTAAACGCCTCATCTGTGCCTTTTGGCACACCGGGAAAGAGTGGTTGGTTGCTTCACGCAAGCATTGGGAAAGGAACTTGAGTCGATCGATCACTGGCGTTGATTGAGTCTGCAGGCATCTGCACTTTCATGGAGGGGCCCAACAGAGTGGCCTGTTGGTGTAAGTTGTTTGCTTCACCGTTCACGTGAGTTATGAAAGTAGTCTCTCCCTCAGGCAGACCGTTACAGAAGGAAAACAGTTGTCCCTTAAGGGTATCTCACTGCACACCCTACCTCCGGAAGATTCAACTCATCCAATGAATGATGTCGCAGTTAATATTTAAAGTTTGTGACGTATCATCAACGAGCCTCTGAATTTGGCACTATCAGCAAAAACACACGGAAGAGATGTACAGTCTCGTCTGCAAGATGTTCACGGTAATCTATGTTTCGAGCATCTAGATTAACATCATCTATCTACAAGTTACTCGTACGTCCGATAATGTCTATCCGTCAAGCATAACATTTACTGAAGTCTGGGTGCGCTGACCTCTCGAACAGTTATTTTAAGTATCAGTTTCATATCCTACGCCATGGATGGGTCGCCTAAAGGCCCCGTGGCAGCTGTGACAGTGGTATGATAGTTCACACTCTGCCTCATGAGTCATACTTGCCCATGGTATGCCATCATTCAGAAGTGAATATGCGAGCTACGGTTTATTCTCGTATACTTGGATATTTTGCTCCTCGGCCATGGGGAGTCGCCTACTTTTAAATCTTTCACTGCGGTAATTCATTCTTCCCTGCAATGTCCCTTGCATGAACCTTTGTCAAGTATACATTTACTAATTGAACACCCAACAGTCCGGCTATCATACTGCAACCGTCTTGTCTCACCCGCCCCTATCATCATCATCTTTGCAAGCATTCTGCTGAGTTGAACCCCCTCGGGCCCTCTGTGAAAGCCTGTGTGCCTGACAGTTTTGATGAATATTTCGACAACTCAACAATCTTGACAACATGATGTGCGTTGTGACACAATTGAAGTGTGTTAATAACAAATCGTTTAGACACTGATAAAGATTGTCGAGGTGTTTTCAGTGATAGATCTTCACGGCAGCTGCCGCTCGGAAGGAAATCTTGGCCAGTCACTAAGAAAGGATGATTTTCGAAGGGCCTGTGCTGACATCTTCAAATAAGAGAGGACTCCTACTTCCGGTTCAGGAGACATAGCCGAGGGAAGAAAAACTATAGCTAGCGATGAAGTCGAGCGCAAAACTCCTGATGATTGAATCGATGTGACGAAATCAAGTACATTCGCGTTCTCCTTAGCAGCCTATATGAATAATCCACCCAGATTAGTCCTTACAAACTTTCGGCCCCCTCTGTCATCCCCACTCTATCATTCCCAAGTTTTGCTCATTGACTGATGCGATGGACGCACAGCAGTCTAAAACGGTCAGTAGTGATGTGGGGCCCAATAACAATGAAGCTATGTACTGACCTTCTGAATGTCTCAGGCTGGTTCGACCCATCATCTATACAACGGAAGGCGAGCTTCACTGCCCCTCAACATCATAGCTATAGGATGCGATCTGGGAGGTCTTGCCGCTGCATACTGCCTCACACAGGCAGGCCACAACATCACCATCCTCGGAGCAGCGTTAGCCGTCAATGAGGTAGGCGCTGGCGTTCAAGCCAATCCCAATGACTCACGTCTTGAAAAACTCGGCGTCAAAATTCAGGATTTGAACTTTCAGCGATGTAAGTCACATTGAAGTATTTTTCTGGGATTCTGGCTTGATGCAAATCTCCAGGGAACAAAGATGAGGTCGCAGGGTGGACGCCGTTTGGGGATGTAGTCGATAGGAAATATGATTCCCCTTTCTACCTCTTACACGTCAGTCCTCTCCTTATTGCACCTATTTTTTCTGACCAGACTAAAACAGCGAGCTGATTTTCACCCTATGCTCTACGAAGCCACTGACTCATACTGTAACATCCATGTTAATAGTCGTGATGTATCCATGGACCCATCAAAATTCAGTGTGACCCTTGCCTCCGGGGAGGTCGTATCTGATGACCTGATCATTGGCAACGACGGACTTAAAAGTGTCACTCGGAAGTATGTGGTTGGCGGGCCAGATAAACCCGGGTTACTGGAGATGCTTCTTACATAGCCCTCATCCCGGCGGTGAAACTCCTACAGGATGATGAGCTGAAACCATTGGTGGAGAAAATGAAGATGGAATCGAATATGGATGGGCCTCGGAGGTCACATTGTCGGCCATGCTATTGTAAGCCGAGTGTTCGGTTAACATGGCTAACATCCACAGAGAGCCAATGCGAAAGCTGCACAGCGTGCCAAGAAAGAATTTAACCTCGTCAAGATGCACCCTGATGAAACTGAAGGGGGTATAGAATCATGGACTGCTGAAGGTAATGTAAACAAGATGAAGAAGACCTACAAGGGATGGAGAACCACGTAAGTGACTCCGTTTTGATCCTTACTTCGTGCTCATGCTATCTGGTGGCGCGGGACGCAGTGTTCAAAAGCTCATGGCGCTTGTCCCGTCAACGCGTCAACGCTCGATTGGAAAGTTGATGGACCGAGACCCTGGAAAGTTAGTCTTGTTGGACGACTCATGCTACCAAATGTTGGGTTGTGTGAATTCGTCCATTGTTCAGACCGCTCACAGATCTTGCCTATCAATCTCTCCGGCACGACCGTGCTACCACGATACAGAAGTCTTCAAGACTAAACCATCACCACCAACCTGACGGGCCAGAACAGGAGGAGCTTGATCATGACATGCGTGTACTAACAAGCAATGCAGATCAGTGGGCTGATAAGACAAAGTGCGACATCCAATTTGGATACGACGCGGATGAGGCAGAAATGTGGTGGCTCGCGAATAGGAACAAGCTTGTGACCCTCGTTCCTTCAACTGAACTCAAGCTAAGAGTTGTGCATTCCGAAAATCGCGATCATTAAATACTGTCTGATTTTATCGGCCGTCGAGCGACTCGAGCTTTCCCGTCGTAGGAAACGGGGGATGCGCGGCTCTGGGACACACTGAGTACATAAACTCCTGCCCAAAAAGATGCATGTTCCAGAGCGAGGTGAAGTGAAGATTCTTGCCTGGGACATGCGGCACCAACGCCAGCTGGTGCAAGAAGTATGAGATGTCGTGATTTTGTAGTCTATTCAAGTTGTACCGTCATTACTTCTGCAGTAGCTCCGAAACCCAGGTTATGCGGGTTAAAAAATGTCCCTTGCACGACACAGATATACCAACGTTCTCACAACGTACTCAAGATTTTCTGCCATAAAAGTGGTGCAGAAAACACGTCTGACGTTTCTGCTTCAAACGCGGTCTTCAAAAGTCACATGACCTATTAATTAGAAATATCGTGGGATTTTTTACGATTTGTCAGCGTTTTTTGTCCAGACCCCTTTGGGTAACTACGCTTCGTGGGCAGCGTGTGGAGACCACACACCTCGACCACTGAATATTGCGCTATTGTCCTCCTTCAGCTCTCTCGTGTGTCATAATGAGTTTCCAGGACATTGAAACTGGTCTTGCACGTCCGGGACAGTCGAGTTCGACAGCACTTCAGCCGCGTGAAGAGTCTGCGTTTCTCTCCTTGCAATCTTCCCTTTCACTCCAGGTGTTCAAGATAAATTCGAATGTACAGGGTATTCTCAAGCTGGTCGACCAACTTGGCACTACAAAGGACTCTGCCACGCTTAGGAAGTCATTGTGCGTATTACTTGCTAGTTATCACCTCAGTTACTGAATGCACTATGGATGCAGACATGATCTCACTGAAACGACGAGGGCTATGGCCAAGCGAGGCTCTGAGGACTTGAAGAAGATTGCCTCGACAGCTACAGCGAGCGTAAATTCGCATTTTATACTGCCGTTTTTGTCAACTGAATCGAACATACCAGCCTCAACATAAGACCTCAGTTCAGAAGATATCACATGACTTACAGCTGTCTTTGGTGGCATTTCAAAGAGCGCAGCAAGTTAGCGCAGAGCGCCAGAGAACGGTGGTGGAAGGGGTGAAAATAGCGGTAGAAGACGAGCACTATGATAATGCGTGCGTTACTTTCCACTCGTGAGGGTGATATATCCTCATGTCTCCACAGGCTGCGCCAACGAGAGCCGAGCGCGTCTCCCCGACTACGTCAGGCTCAACTTCTTCAGTCACAGCTTTCTCCGCACGAACTTGCGTACCAAGAGTCTTTGATTCAAGAACGAGAAGAGGAAATTCAAGAGATCGAGTCTGGTATACATGAACTATCGGAGATCTTCCGCGACCTTGGGACACTCGTCAACCAACAAGGTGGCATGCTTGGTATGTGACATAGCTTCCGTTATGATCACTAGCTTACTGGCACCTTTTATTCTTTTCCATTTTTCGTAGACAACATCGAATCAAACGTGTATTCCATCGCTGTAGATACCCAGGGGGCAGCCGAGGAGCTCTCGACTGCTTCTGAGTACCAACGCAAAGCTGGGCGACGTGCGGCATGTCTCATGATTATCCTCGTCATCGTCGTTGCAGTTGTGCTTCTGGCTGTACGTGAAATGACCAATATTGCAGGTAGACTTGACTAATCATTCTCCCAGATTTTGTCATAGATGTGTGGCCTTGTGTCGTTGTCTCATACCTTTGCAAGTTTTCTGTTGGCCAATGGATTATGGACCTCGCCGTGGATATTTTTCACGAAGTGTTTTTATTTCTAACGTCTATTTCTTATATCAATGCACTTTGATGCGAGTTCATGGCACCCTCCCCAGTGAATATACGTGTGGTAAGTTAGAACGGGGATAGTCCACGGGTTTTCTCGATTTGTCATTAGACTATGAATTTCATCTCGGCTGTCTTTCGCAGCGCAACTGTCAGGTGCTCCTACTAATGCCCCACTTCAGACAGGAGGAATACGTCGGAACTACTCACAAATTGGCAAGCGGCACGAAGGCATATCCATCTTTGCACCGCGAGCCTTGACTTCGACTCCCACAAGCTGAGCGCGCTTGTATACTTGAGGCTTCAGCCTGTTCATACATAGCACCTTACAGCATGGAGCTGAAATAACTCCTGTCCGGGAAACTTCTAGAGGAACCTTAAATAAACATCTTCAATGAACACCGACGGCCAAACTGCTACGAATTCACAGATCACGCGTTAGAAGCTTGTCCAGCAGAACACCTGCTCCCGAAGTATTCTAGAAATATGGAAGATAGAGAATTGTGCGGAAATGTATGGAGCGCTTAGCTCTTCTCTATATCCGATTTTATGGTTTAGTATCCCCAAAAGACTATCATTGTTGCTGAACATCATGTCCCGGCTAAAGGTTTGCTAATCCCGCTACCTGCCTACGTCCATGCCCTTCGCTTACCTGAGTTCTACCAGCTGGTCTCGGGAGGCGAATTCCTCGACAGCGGAGCGCTGTAGACAAATCTCGTCAGTGCACATTTACGCGCGCCTTTTCACATTCATCTAAATTCTACTAATAGTAGTGGCGGATGCGAAGACGGGACATTATTACTAATATCCCGTCTTCGCATCCGCCGCTAACAGCAAGCTTTTCTTAGTATAAATGCGTTTAACACACCGCAGTCCACGCGCAAAAGGCGACTTCCATTGCCCATCACATTGCGGTTCAGCAAAATTGAACCTTGGACTAGAGTTTTACCCGCTCTATCTGAGCGTGCCAGAACACTCTATTGAGCTGGCTTGTGACGTTCGAGGTTACTCGTCGCTTTATTCTATTTGATGTCAGGGTATTTCATAGATGTGTGATCTCGGTGCCTTTGGCATTGGCGTCTGTACCGGCCTCACCTGCGTTCTATTTTGCCTTGCTGGAAGGCGAGGCGCGAGTGATGGGTCCATGTACCGACGTTCGGAGATCCATGGTCCCACCCGGTGCATCGAGATCTTTACATCCTGTCGTTATCTCCTGCGACGTTTTCGAGGACTGTCTTCCTGAAATGCAATGATGGATAATCACCTTGACAGGTCTCGACTCTCGACCCTAATGGGCTGAAATTCTGAAAAGACTTTTTGAGGTAATCAGGGTGCCGCAACTCTACCCTATCGAGTAATACGAACTTGAGACTCCAAGATCATAATACCCCCTTGCAGTGGTGTTCTGATCTAAGATGTCATTCTCATCTGTTGGTAGACATGTAGCGGGTGTTTTCGATATGATACCTCCGATTAAGCCTTAATCCAGCCTATCGGTCTTCATCCTGTATATGCCCTAGCCCGCCCAAGATACAGATATTTAACAAGCACATCGAGTCTGTTATCAAGATCAAACAGTCGCTCTCAACACGTGCATGCATGGTTTCATATCAACAAAATATCATTGTGACCGAAATAAATAACTCCAGTTAGACACCTTTTGACGTTACATAGTAACATCTGGTAATATGTTCATATTGGGGTATCAGACCAACACGATAGGATGTGTAGACTCCACGCAGAGCGAAAGAAGAATCATAGTTTGATAGATCCAACAAGATGAGCTTCAGCCCAGCAACCTCTCCGTCTCCGCAGCCCCATTTCGTCGATCCTTACGTATAAGCCCAACGGTACATTTCACCCCGTTCACTGCTTGGCTGAAGAGCCAGTTCCTCGCACGCCATACCGGATGCTCGCGCACATCGACGCGGTCCGGGCGGAGGCGGTTCTCGCTATCGACGACGACAGCAAGCGTAATGGTCGTGGTGATAATCGATGCAAGTGCTGTGGAGGCTGAAATCATAAACATGATAACCATCTGGAGCCGCGCTGCCTGCTGAACTGAAGAGCCACCAAGAATGGCACCTGAAACCCTTGATCAACACAACAATTCCCTCACGTCGTGGCGTAAATTCTTACCGGTCATCATGCCTGGAATAGCAATGATTCCGATCACGCTATTGTCAAGGGCAAGCACTGGATTAGAAACAGCTTAGTATTTTGGATGGTACGAACCTCATTTGGCTGATCGTTGGAGCCAATGCAAGACGAAGAGCTTCTCGTGCAACAGGTCTACACGCTTCAAACCGTGATGCTCCAAATGCGAGGTACATTTCTATTTTGTCGCGATTGTCACTGCAAGAACGTTGATTAATATCTACGCTTCAAGTACATTAGTGATGCAACTTACTATATCTCCCGCAGTACATAGGACACGGAAACAATAATTCCCGAGATTGTGCCTCCACACAACATGCCAACAATCGGAACTTGTGATTCCAAGTCAACATCACTGATCCTGCGCAAAGGGATCGCGACATACTATATTGTTCGGGCTTCCAGAACGGCTCTATGACCATGGCGAAGCGGACGCCTATGATAGAGACGGGTATTGTCGAACACAGCATACTAAACAATACGGAGAAGAACTATGCGACTGTTGAGAATAGAATGGTACATACACCCGTCGTGAAACTCACCATATAATCGTAGCGCTTTTTAGACTTGTTCACAACTTCCCCGCGTCAGAAACCGAGACAACAGTAAGAATTGCTTCGGACATACCTGCCTCAATAGTCCCCAATAAATTCAACAAAACTAGACACCATAGTTCTAGCGCTCGGCTGCCTGAAGTGAACGCGAAAAATGCTCACATGCAATACCGCCCACTGCCCATGGATTATTCGTCTCGAACACCTTCTGCAACACCAACGCGACTAGTCCCAGCTGCACCACACAACGTACGGCCGCGGAGAGTAGTGATGATCCTATTCCGAGTTGTAGCGAAGTAGAAATGAACGCATTGAAAAGAATGAAGGAGAAGCCGAGGCCGACGTTGCCCCAATCCAGGTGAGTAGAGTCTATAGGTGCACCGTCCATGGTTTCTCGGAAGATAAATCAACTTTAACCTGAACCTAGGTATGACCAGACGATTGGTGGTAATTGAAAAACTTCTAGCGAGCTTGGAAGCATCCGAACTCGAACCTAATGACCATTGAGCAGCTTACATACAATATCGTAAATTTAGTACGTCGGACGCCGTACCCGGTAACAGATAAAGTAATATATTTCCACACATGGCCCAGATTTCCAAAGAAGATATATACATAGGGACAGATTTCTTACTCTGCTCTCGCTAATATGTAAAGCTGGTCACTTGTCTCCATCTCCAACACGCTTAACCATTGATGAAGGGGAACTTCCAGAACCTTGGCGATGCCACCCCGGGGGAGGTTCCACTTCCATCTTGAGAATCCCTGCACGCTGTCTACTAACTTCCATCGTCCGGTCCTGGTGAACTCGACCGAAGACTCGGCAATGAGATGAGTGAGAGGCGTCAACATTGTAAGATCGCGCGGGGACAAATTTTCTGTCTTGTTATAGACCCAATCATTTGTTACTGGTGCGGTCATGGACGGGATGTGAGGCGGTGAATGGTTCTGGAGGAAGAGTGAGGCTCCAGTCTGGGCTGCAAGGTTAGATATGTGAACTTCCACTGCGATGGTGCTGTCAGCAAGACCCAGAATCTTATTCACTGTGGCTCATACCAGCACGCCGGTTTACATATTGATGGTGGAACGTTGTAAGTGCAGAACCACCAGGGTAGTTTGCCATCGACGCCGACGTCGATACAATAGTGATAACACAATTCAGAGCAAGGATGCCTGTAGCTGCGAGAAACATAATTCTTCCAAAAATACCACCTTTCCTTCGGGTTACCCTGGTGAAAAGCTGAGTGTGCCTCCGATCGAACGAAGTAGAAAAATATAAATCTTACATCCACCAGGCACCCCGAGCGGCGGCGATATTGAAGAGTGGAACAACGTAGATGATGAAGCGCCATTCTTTGTGACCCAAACAACTGATGAGGGCAATAAAGACTAGTGGGGAGTACATTAGGGCCCGGACACGGTTATCCGACACAGCCCCGATTACAGCCAATGGCAAGGATCCAAGAAGAAGCTTTGGAAGATGTGAAAGGAAATACGCATACACGGGTGATGTCTGTATGATGGGTGAAAGACATGAAAGAAAAAGAAAGTAACAACTTACACCCCAATCCGAGCTCTTGCCTTGATATACATTGTAATATATGCCATACACTTCGGGCCACAGAGGCCACTGGTTCCATAGGTATGAGTCGATGGTAACAGTCAAAGCTAGTTACGAAACAGTTGCATGACTTTCAGTGCACAAAGAACAATACGCACCAATGGACAACATGCCAGACAGAAAACCAACTCGAATCAATCTCATAAAACTAATATGTCGGAGAAGAAGTGCTTGGATAGCAAGAGGAGCTAGTAGTAGCACAACTTCCGAGCGGAACACCACGGCAGTGAACGTTAGCAAAGCAAAAGCAACATCAGCGCTCCTTCTCGTAGGATACTGGGAGTGCGGAGCTCTGTCGTACAACGCGTAGAATGCAAGGTTGACTTGTATTTGTCCTTCGTTAAGCAGAAGCTCATGTCGCAGGAAAATCACCTACCAGGGAACAATGCAAACATGTTTGGCAATGTTCTGCCCATCCAAAACGGCAAATGAAATTGCGAACATGTCAAGAGGACATACATGAGGCCAGTTGGACGGCCAAATCGCCTACATACGGCCCGTCGTATCAACATGAGACCTGTTGCATTCAGCGTAGCAAGGACCAAACGCACTATCAGAAAGGTCAAGACTATGTAGGCCAAGTGTTTTCACAGATTCAAACCTGCTATCTGAAGATCAAGTTTTGTGCTTAGAAGACCCCACTGACTCGCTGCGTAGACGACAGGCGAAGTGAGCCACGCAAGTAGAATGCTTCCTATGAACGTCCGCGGTACAGCGCCTGGAAAGGTGTTATGGTCAAACTTCGCAACAGATCAGATACAAAGAGTTAAGATGAGAAGGTTTCATGCCTTGTACAAGTTATCCCTCCCAACTCCATACATAAGAACATCATGGGTGGCGTGCAAGTTGAAACTTTCTTCGACTTTTGTGTATGGTGCCAAAAGAACGTGAGCCCAGCTGGTCGCCAACAAGAGTAAATCCATAGCAAAACTCATCGATAATTGAATGTGAGTACCGCTGTTCTAAGTCCTAGCTGCAGAGCATGCAGTCGAGGTGAAGAAGTCAAGGTGATGATCTAGATTTGACTGCTATGTGAAAAGTTGATGTTGACGTAAGACTACCTAGTGTACTTCAGGGTAAACGTGTCAAAATTAAACAAGCAAACCCTCGAACTCCTAGACCACCTATTACTTAAATGGCGACAAAAAAACTAACCATGCCAAGATATAAAGGAGCTGCACAATCGCTTATACCTAGGAAGAATACTGCCTTTCCGAATGTATTGTTACTCCATAGCGATTGCCTTTATCGCAAAGTGAAATTGTTTCAAAGAAGGCCAAGCGCAGGGCTCAAGCATGGACTGCACTTCCGGAGAAAATTGCACTGGAATTGTGGAGTCCACTTGCAAAAATAGATGCAGCGATTGCAAGCCTGCCTCCACAAGAGGTTCAAGCCCCTGCAAAATACCCTTGATGAGGTCGCTATCCTGGGCATGAGGCCTAGGTCCATTGATATGAAGATCAAATGATTTCAGCGACTTTCCGAGCTTCTCAATGATGATCGGTATGAGGTAATCAAGAAAGGTCATGACACCAGAGGGTTTCCCGTCTGGCTGAAACACCAGTGTGTGTAGATTTGTTGCCGCAAGACGTGACATGAAGAGGATGACGGAAAACATCGATCCACGAACATCCAGCTGCTTCAATGCAAGGAACATAGGAGGAATGGCTTGCCAATTCATGTTCAAGCGATCTTGAAGGTGGATTTTGAGGTCTGAAATAGGTACCTGGGACAACAGAGTGCAAAGAGTTGCAAGCTCGGGGGCACGAATATAAGCTTTGCTTAAATCGACGTTCCTGATCCGTCCGAATCGAAGTTGAGGTGTTGAGTGCAACGTTCTCATTGTCCGCATGAGACCAATGATGCGGAGTTCCTTTAGATGCGGTGCTTCAGCGTCAGCGCGGTCAAGTACCAATTCAATGGGGTCACAATCAAGTGTGTTGCGACACACGAGGGTGAGAGATCGCAGAGTGGAAATGGCTTCGCTTGCGGAGAAATTGGCCCGGAGAGGATATAGGCCAGACTTCGTAATTTTGGGAAAGGATGAAACACATCCTGTCCGCGAATGACTGTTAGACGTATATAACAATCCTGGTCTGTTACGAAATCTGCGCTATCATTGTCATATTCTCCTATGTGCAAGCTCCAGACTCGTGCAGCGTATTTGTCGAACGTTTTCCAGTCGTCCAATGAATTGCAGTGATACTTTGAAAGATCGCAGTCGGTCGTCCTGGTGTCCTGCGGATATGAGGATTGGCTTCAGCAGCAGGCGTGACGTGAGTTACTTACATCCATGAATGACGCGCTTTGTGGAATCAACGAAGTGAATGGCGCAAAGGAGCGCATAGATCTCCAAAGCATATCGAGCGCAGGATCCGTAAATGCACGACAACAGCAAGCCATATTGTATAACGACTTCTTGTCGCCTTGCAATCCATCAAGGATAACTGCGAGAATTTCTGAGATGCAGAGAGTCTCAAAAGGTCCTGGCATGATTAGTTGAAGGATTCGTTCGCAAGCCACAGCACACACGAGCCTTCAAATTAAAAACTACAATTTGTTCCATTGGCCAGTTGCTAAGAGAAGCAATTGACACGAGGCCCTGACTATGTATTACGTCCAGAGTCCAGGCCATTGTGGCGAGAGAAGGTTACTAACTCAGTGGTAGGAAAGCAGGCTAGAGGACCAGCCTAGCTTGTACTTCAGAATTTATGAATAAAATACATGATAATGAACTGCTGATGTTGCCGTAAAAATACAGTGATGAATGCTTTAACAAACCAGAAGAGAATCTCTCGTTTAGAAGGTGAAGATGGCCTCACTTCGTGTCTTGCGGATGGGCAACCAGCTTTTTCCCGCTCACTTGCCCTTTCTTCAGTCGGTCCAACCCCTCGATAATTCCTTCAAGACCATTAGGGAGAACTTCGTACCTGATAGGCTATCATGATGTCAGCAGCAGTGAAGCTGAGGTTACACTTGATACCTCACCTCGATGGTCCCTGCCTCAAGCCACTCCGAAAGAATGGCCCACGACCCCTTGCAAAGCTGCTTATTTTCCTCCGCATGTGGGCTTCCGAATGTCCTAATAGCTGTGCGTCCCTTTCCTTCGTCTTCTTTGACTGACGGCGGAAGTGTGAGAACAAGCCTTCCTTTCGGACTGAGGAGCGACCATCCAATCTGCTGTGTCTGAGGGAGAGAGATGGCGTCATACACGTACTTGAGGTGGCCGCCGGTGAATTTGTCGACTTCAGCCTTGAGAGCGGTAGCAGAAAGGTGCCTGTCGAACACATGAGTAGCGCCAAGCGACTTCAGGTAAGCCTCATGGGTGGGCGACGCAGTCACAATGAGAGGACCAAACCCAGAGATACGAGCCAGCTGAATGGCTGGAAGAGGAAGGTTGTGACGATGTTACTTTTGATAATTACTGACAGCCTACCGTAAGACCCGACAGCTGAGGCTCCACCAAGAATGACGATTGGACTCGCTGAGTACATGCCAATGCCATTCTTTACCCAAGGCGGTGTGAGTCCTAACCCGTACTTGTTATCATTATACAGGCCAGTTGAAGCAGTGTCGAAGGCCAATGGAATAGTGGCTGCTTCATTATATCCCAAATTACCCGGGATCTACATGATGCTGTCAGTGCCAATGCAAATTCTTCGCTAGAGACATGCCTTCGCAGTGAAGTCTGCAACGCCGAGTGTGAACTGTTGAAAAGCAGAATGATCGTTTGAAAACTGGCCATGGGTGAATCTGCAGCGAATAAGTTAATGAAGCAGCCCAGGCACTACTCAGGGGCTGATAGTAATCACACTTTGTCTCCTTTCACGAAGTTGCGGACACCTTCTCCTACTTCTTCGACGATACCAGCAATATCCTCACCGAGTACTGCTGGGTATTTTTCGACGAAAATCCCATGCTCCTGAACTTTGTAGTCGACAGGATTGAGGGCTGCAGAGTGAACCTGGATCAAGACCTCATCTTTCCCGGGCTTCGGGATGCTGTTCAAACCAACAGCGAATTGGCCTTTCTGAGACTGGAGGAAGAGTGCTTTTTGTTGTTTTGTGTCAGACATGATTGCGAGTGCGGAGAGACTCTACATAGGGGTTCCATACGTGTTTTATACGACTCGACCATTTGAAATGATGACACATGCAAAATGATGAAATGGAGATAATACAATGGTATCTAGATAAGATAATGATCATATATGGTCCAAGATCCGTACATGCAAAAATTGTTCAAGTTTCTTGCGGCCGAACTACCATTTTCACACCATCTACCTTCCCGGCGTTGAATCTCTCGAGCGCATCTGGTATTGCACGCAGCCCACCAGATAATAACTCGACGTGGTTTGGCTGAAATGACGTTAGAAGACATCTAGAAGTAAGGTTTGATAGATACATACTCGTATGTGACCATCTTCGACCCATCTCTCAAGATGAGCCCATAGCCTCTTCCCCGTTTCCCAGTTCTCGTCTGATTGCGGGCTTCCATCTACAGGAACCACCTGCCTGGTGTCATGGATGTCCTTGTTAATCAAGGATGGTTGTGTGACAACAAGCTTCCCTCCGGGCGCAAGCAACGACCAACCAGCCTCCTGCGTCTCTGCCGTGGATATGGAATCGTACATTATATGTATGCGAGAGCCCGTGATTTTCATTACGGCTTGTTTAAGTGCCGGTAGTGGAAGATACCTGTCTATAACGTGGTTTGCTCCGAGACTTTTCAGGTGTTCCGTGTGCTTCAACGAGGCAGTGGTAATGATAGGTGAGAATCCCGATAGCTTCGCCAGTTGGATGACTAGTAGCGATGATGCATTAGTAAGATGACTTGGCTGTGTAAATGAGTTGCTAAGCTTACCGTAGTTGCCCACAGAGCCGGCACCACCGAAGATCAAGATAGGCCAACCTTTGTACTTGGACCACCCACCGCGGTCCCAAGGCGGAATGAGACCGATACCATTGATAGTACCGTACATCCCGATCGCAGCTGTGCCAAGTCCGCATGCGATAGTACTTGCTTCGTCGAGCGATAAGCTTCTCGGGACCTGAGTAATATCGATCAACACGAGTCTCGACTACCGATCGCGGGATTAACTTGCCTTAGCTGCGAAATCAGTTGTGACTACGCAATACTGCTGAAAGGTTGCGAGATCGTTATCGTCAAAGGCACCATGGAAGAATCTACCCGAAGTAACGATCAATCTCACAGCATGGCTATCATGAAATCGAGACGACATACATTCTTTCCCCCGGGTTGAATTTTGTAACGCCTTCTCCAATTTCTTCGACAATGCCAGCACCGTCGGTACCCAGCACTGCAGGATAGCTCTCGATGAATGTACCATCTTTATGGACCTTTGCATCGAAAGGGTTGAGCGCAGTGGCCTGAAGTTTGACGAGGACTTCGCCAGGACCTGGCTTGGGTATTTTACGGCTAGCGACGGCAAAGGACGCTTGCTTGGATGGGGTGATGAGTGCGAGTTGCTGGTCAGGCATATCAGGGATTGAGTGGAAATCAAATGTTGAATGTATGGAAGGGCTTTGTTCCTAGCGAAGATAAAGCATCAGACGTGGGTTTTTATACTCATTGCGATGCTATTATTTACCTGACTTAACGGAAGGGAATGGAACGAAGTGTTTAGGGACGCCTCGTGTATTGTGTGAGGCCCTCGACCATCTAGGCGCGATAAAAACTGCACAGCTTTGTTAAGAAGCCTTAATCTTCGACGGATAGGTCCGGAGGGCTTGTTGGTGCATTGCTGCGTGAGGTTTGTGAGCAAACGATGGACACGAGGCGCGGAAGATTGGAGCGTTATACTTACAGTCATTGTGCTTATGACGTGTATCCGATGAGGTACAGAAGATATTTCGTTATACGGCAAGGAATTGTGTGGGCTTTATAGCAATTGGTGCCACAACCCACGAGGCAGTTACGCTATTTCGTGACATTTTAGGGCCGCACAGAGCGCAATTCATGGAAATTCCTTGCACAGGAATGTCCCTCGTGCGCTCCACAAGTTTATCCTATGTGGAGCTTCGTTATAGAAGCAATCAAAGGTACGTACAAAATTAACGCTAGCCTTGAGGCTGGCAAGTTGGACGCCGGACGTTTCACGTATAGTCCACCGAGCGGTCCCTGGATGCGCCTGAGACCAGACCAGACCAGACCAGATTAGTGAAAAACACAAGGTGCACAGCCTGGCCCACCTTCCCCTTGCACATGGAAGCCCATTTCCTTAAGAAATAACGTTTGCCTCATTTCCGAGGGATGCTGAGCGCCGGGCTGTCATCAAGCAAAGTCAAATAGCCCAAAAGCCGTTATCATTTCTAGCTAACTAGATCCAACTAGAATCACGTTTCAGCATGGATATTTAGGCGTAGGAAAGTAAAAGAATTTATCGGAGTGTGACACATCAAGACACCTTGATTAAGTAGAGTGAATCAAGCTTATCTGAAAAGTAGAGGCGGTGATTGGAGAATGCGAACCGTGATCGCAGGCGATTAAAATCGATCGAGGATTGATGGGTGAGAATGATCAATGTATGCGATTAATCTGCTCGTCAGGGTTTGGTCAACGAGAGTTCGAGTGTCCTGCAAGAACGTACCTATCGAGAAAACCAGCCACAGCAAGTTGTATAAGATTGAAATATAATTAAAGCATAACCAAGTGATGGTTAACACCGATGCAGATTTGATGCCCATTAATTGGCAGATGGATACGGAAATAGGCGAGGATGCAATGCTCTAAAGCATTTCGTCACAGTGTGCGGGACGGGGACATGATTGAAGCGGAAGACTCAACGGGTGTTTTCTCATGCATGTGAATGTGACAAAGTGAGAGTCCAGAAGAAAGACGTGGGTCGGAATTACGTTGTGTGCACTTGTGCTTTCAGCGAGGTAGTGGTACTCCTCAACGTCTCACTGACTCCGCATGCTGTCATTGGGCTCCATTTTTACCCTCTTGGAACGGTGGGTAGTGGAAATTCTTTCCTCAAGCCTTTTCACCTGTGCCTTCGTAGAGGGTGTCAGCGCTTCGATGACCATACCGCAAGAAAAGGCCTGACTTTCAGCGCATTAAGCTCACGCAAAGCTTCATCATCTATATCTAAGCCTGGTCCATCGTTGTAATCTTCTGGCTCTGATACGTCTATAGGAGCTTCACGCTTGGTTCCCCATGAAGATTGCATAGGTGGCGGGGCAATACCATCTGCCACGAGTCGATCTAGTAAGGATACATGAGGATCAAGATATAATTACCGATTGCGTTGTGCACACGAACCAAATGGTCTGTACCTGAAAACAAATGTAGCCGTGGGGCTTATCCCAACGCGGGCGACGTTAATTACCTGTTGTGGTGGGACACGGATCTCCTCTCCAAACCTAAGATCGTTTTGTGACTTAATTGACGGGATGGAGCACAAACTACGCACCCCACACAGTGACTCGTTGCCTTCTTTGAGCGCTCGTGGACCATTGTTCCCTTAGCAGATACCAGATTTCTTCGGTAACCCATGCCGATCACATTCACAGGCCAGATGGCCAAAGAAATTTCTCCGAGCTCTGCATGTGCAGAATTCAGGTGTTGATCCTCATCTATAAGTATATGAGCAATCTGACAGTTTCCATCAGATAAAACTGACCCGTCAACTGAAGCTTTGAGAAGGTGAGCGGACAAACGGAGTTCATCGACGTGTTGACGTATTTGAATTCCGCAGTACATCTCTGATACGTCGGTGGCTCATTGAAGCTTAAAGCGCGCATTAATTGACCCCCTCCGTGTATGCCATCGAGTGTCACATCTCCTGTTTGGTGATACTGGCGTGCATAGTTGACATCTTGCCATACTACAGAGAACGTCTGCAGGAGCGACAGGAGGCGGCGTTGGGGGTCGCCTCATGTACAAAATTCACGAAGTACACACCTTTCCTGCTTCCGAAGAGATCCAACAGGTCACTTTGTTTTCTTCTGGAAAGGTCTCAATTCCATAGCTCTCCAAAGGTTGTCCATCGACCCTGATGCACGCTCGTAATGTTCCGTAGGATAGCATTAGGAAAGGAGAATGATGGCGTGGATAGCTTTCAATCGGTGTACACGCGCTTAGCCAGGTACAGGAAGGCGTGCTTTGACTTGGCTTTATCCACTAATTAAATTTGAAACTCAGCGAGACCAAGGAACGCGTTCACATCATGTGACTTCATCTCCAAACTCTTTCTTTTCTTGAAACTTGTTGGTACGTCCAGGAGATTCTTGAACGTTCTTCATAGCAGCTGAATGATTTTACTAGTACCTCATCAGTGGCTATGTCCTGGTGCTAGGACGTACTTCTAGCTGTGGTTCTAGCCCGGACCATTGAGATGGTAGATATCTCCTGCAGGTTTCATCTTCGATTTTGATATCTGCTGGTCTACATAGAAGCTTTATCATACTGCCAGAACCGTGGCAATAAGGACAGGTTTTGCAAAACGGCTTTTCATTTGAGTGAGCCATTCACACAGGCATGTCACAATGTGCTAAGTTGCCATTTCAGCAATCTCACCCAGGATACAGTCACAATGCTGACATTGATTCCACGTGCACATAGGAGTTGACATTTCACATCGCCCGATGTAACGGTCCAGCGGTCTTGTGATTTTTTCCTCAACAGGTTGGGAACATGGACCAAAAACACGAGGTGCCTCTGCCTGGAATCACTGTCACATACGCACTAGTACTTCTCGGTGTCAATAAAGTCCGAGGAGTTGATGTAGATCCGGGAAGGCAGCCGAGACTCAACACAATACATGTCTATCACTCACTATTTTTGTAAGACCCCAGTAAGCTCCAAACAACGCGCTGGTTCAACTTTAAATTTCTGGACGATCACATTTTTCTGTTGTGGCGGATCCGGGCGCAATGACGCACGAAAAAAACACTGTTTCCATTCCTCTTAGCCCCCTTTTCTACGCCACTTTTCCACTTCAGAGAGCACCAGAAAGTCAACAGGAGAGTCGACGTACGGGTAAATGTTTTCATGTGATGTTTCAATTTCAATCACGAGTGCTGTCATGCGATGTGGTACTGACCAGGCGGTACACCATGGATCACCAGTCGCATGCAAACGGCATAGATTCCGAGGAAGAATCCGGGCCGGGGCATAGGTATAGGACATCACACCGATTGATGTTCGTATAAACGCAATTAATCAATCGGCACCCCACAGAAGGTGGTATTTCTGCGTGGCTCTAGCACTTCCAACTATCTCACTCAATTCTACTTCTGAAAATTCACCTCACAATAAGTTGGATATATCAAAGCGAGAATGATATCTATGTTAAGAATTTTGCGCTCAAGTAGCTATAAATACGAGTTTTGTGAAAGTGCCGACTTTTACGCGATGCCGATTGCACCGTCCCGGAGGGATATAGCAGAATAAACTGGATTTACTCAAGGCTGTATTGACGTCAGGCCGATAGTCTCGGTGGCAGAAAAGATCCCCGCTCACGAGAATGGTCCTTCTAACTTGATTCGCAATCTCAGGTCCTTTTTTGTAGGCGTTTCAGCTCATGCGGCGAATTATTTCGCTTACTTCGGGATCTTCTCTAGCAATTCTGCGAAGCAACCGGCTTCCGGTTCACCCATAGGCAGTGAGCGCTTCCTGCCAGTAATCACAGAGGGCGACAATTGACTTGCGGAACATCTATTGTGTTCAGTAAGGATATCGGAAACAAGCTTGCCAACGAGCCATAAGATGAATCAAATAGGAGGTTTTTCTGTAAAAATTTAGTAGTCAAAGGTCTCTTAACTTCGTCTCCGAAGCTGCAGTTATGACAACGAGTCAAAGTCGCCTTGTCACATGAGTATCCAAGGGCTGTAGGTTTGCTGTAGGTTGCCGTCATCATTTGTGATAATACCGCTCAGTGTCATGACTCATGAAGGTCTAGATACCGGATCGGCAATGGAATAATATAAGTCGCCATTGCCACCGGACTTGCCGGCGGTCGAGAGGATATCATATGAAAGTCGTGGGTGCGCAGTACCGGATCATTGATATTATCAGTGTAACGTGTGCGTTTCGGAATGTCCTGGTGACTTGAGCGAAACGACGTTGAACTCCTTATGCCACGGCATTCGGAACACGAGCTCAATTGAGAGAGTATCTTTCCTTGTAGTAGCTTCCTGTCCTAAAGGAGAGACAGTGGCACCAACTCTCCGATCACGAGCGCTCAGCTCATTTCCATCAATCGCAGCGCCAGCGAGGCAGACAAGTCTCCGAGGATCATGGGTGTACTGCCATGGGAGAAAGAAAGTGATGAAAGCTTGCTTGTAAGTATTAATCTTGAGCTCACTGATATCGAACTTATGAAACCTCGAGATGAGCTATGATTATATGAAGCTTATATACGAATTGGAATATTGTTAGAGTGATTATAGAATAAGGTGTGGGAAGCATTTATATGGCGTGCACCATCCTAGAAAACACATGAAGGTGTCTATTTCACTGGGGATGTGGTTGCTTACCTCGGAGCGGCGGGATATAAGCCTGAACCCAGGAAAAGACAAAAGCTAATCCTCAGTGAGATCAATGACCTCCATAACGGCGTTTTTCCGTCGTGATCCGCCGTGTTCCAACTTGACACGTGAAGGCTTTCGATCCTCTACTTGTGCACGCAAGCGCTGGAGCTCCGTCTGCAAGACGAGGATGAGCAGAAAGGAAAGGTATAATTAAGCGAACAATTACCTCTAGCTCTCGAATCCTTGCCAGTGGCTTGACATCATCTGGGGGCAAGGAATCATTAGGCCCATCCATAACTTCAATGACTTCAATTTCATCGTTATGATCCCCTGTCTCTGTCTCTGCTATGATTGGTGGATGTGGTGCTACTCCCATTGCCTGCAGGATGTCTGGGATCGGCAATATGCGTGAGTGGCGAATGCGCGTAGAAACCATCATAGCCCACCCAAGCGCGTGTACTTGAATACGAAGACAGTCTTCGGACTGTTGTCTCGTATGACAGTGAAGGCTGATAACAGGTCTGGATTAGGTACTTCTTCTCCAAAGCTTAACAAAATGACAATGATAAAAAGTGAGGCTTGTGATGTAATGTTACGCACGCAACACGATGTGGGCATGCCTTCTTCGCGCGTTCATGCACCTTGCCTTCCCGTACATGAAGGGTATGATTATTCACATTCTGGGAACCCGCTACTCGGTTATTCATGGTGTACCTCCCCTGCACTACCTCCATAACAACTTGACCTATGCTATCTGCGCTTCGATTATCAAGCATTGAGTCATCATCTGAAGTTCAGCATTAGAACGTGGAAGAAGGCTTCATGAACTGTCGTATACTAACCAGTAAGTTCAAGATGAGAGAATATGAATTCCCTTCTGACATGACCATTGGTCAGATGTGTTACTTCATGCGTACCGATCCAGCCTGGAGGCGCGATATATGTACAACACTTGATACCGTCAACAGAGACGATTATCAAGCTCCCTAAGGTCTGCGGGGATGAAAATTTCGCTCTGACGCCAAATTTCTTATAAAGGTACCGTAAGGGTCTTTCTCTACGCATTTTATGAACAACGCACCTTGCCTGCAGTTGACGCGATCCAGCACGTTATTCTGTTCTCTGTTGGTGTACTGGAAACGGCGACATCATACTCTGGGAGCTCCTGGTCATCAATGACTATACAAGCAGAAAAGTCTCCTAGGATCATGATTCAAGGTAGACGAGCAATGTCAATCTCGGGCGTTTGAATGGAGCCTGCAAGATAAAGTATTAAGTGGCTTTGCTTTCGAAACTTGAAAGAAGTTTTGAAGGCTTTGTATTATTAAATATGTAATAAAACAATCAACCGAATGATGAAAGAGCCTTTTGACAATAGGTCACGTGAGCGCTGGAATTCGGTTTGCGCCGCGGGTACTCGCCTGTGCAGATAATACGGTGATCAAGGACAGGGGACTCACTAAGCGGTTATCTTGGGCTGGTTAGGATATCAGCAAACAAACGATGTTAGAACGTACAGAGTACAAGTGCGTAGGAAATACCCAAGAAATAGATGAATACGAAACTGAGAAACGAGAAAAGCCGATGCGAAATAAGTAAGTATCAGTTTACGGGCAAAGCTCATGAAAAAGGATGGTTGTGGGACATGTCACATCATAGACGTTCATGCGTTCACGGTGGGGGGACTGGAGTTTAGAAACCAAGAGAGGCATGCTGTTGTAGAAGTTGGAGCCTCATGCATGCCGTCTATCGACGGTTTGCCTCGTAGACGAGCTGCTAGGGGCTATGGCTGATAAGTATTATTCCACGGATTCGGACTTGAAAGTGTTAATGTCATATTACATAATTAATATCAAGTCGTTTATTAAGTTTGGGCGGCGCACTCTCCTTCCACATGCGTGTCCTGAGTTCTTCGTAGAAAAAGGTTTCATAATAACATAGTGACAAAGTAGGCTTAGCGACCGTAGCTGGTGACGACAAACAGGAGTTCAAGAAGTTGTCCCAATACAAAGACTTCAGTTCTTATCCACAAGGATAGTGAATGAAATACTCACTTCGAATCCCACCGAAAGGATACATCTCCATCTTCCAAATGATGGAGTTCCTAGAAGTAGAATTGCATGGAGGCAAGAGTTACATCGTTGTCTGCAATGACCCAGTTAAACCGAGGACATCATGAGTAAATGTAGGTTGTCCTCACGGTCTCCCACATTCTAACTTTATACATGAGGGATCCTCGGGTGAGGCTAGATGTGCATGTATATGCCGGAGCTCCCTCTGGCGGATATGAGTCGGAGGAAATAATTCTGCCAACACCCAAAGTTACTTCCAGTTGTTCGATCCTTAGCTTGATGTCCTTGAAGGGCAAATCAGGCTCATCGGACAACTCAATTTCATTACAATATTCCTGTCTCTTCGTCGGCTGATATCTTTGCCGTCCGTCGATAGTGCTATGTCCATTATCGCCTAAAAGACATCTAAGATTGAGAACTGGAATGAGTGGCAGACGTGCGTAGTCATTGTCGTGGTCCACCAAAAGCGGGTGTATTTGAACACAAAAAATACACAGGAAGGCCATCTGCTTGATGGTATTGGACCTAGCATCACCGGTATGACCAAACCGACGTGCCATTTGACGGAGATGTCCAAAACATGATCAGGTGGCAATTGTATAGCATGGGGCATGGGATGAAATTCTACGCACGCAATATGATGAGAGTGTGCCTTCCTACACAAGAAGGGTGCGATGTTTCGACTCCTTGTGTTTGCCTTGTGTTTCATTTTGCCGTTGCATATAGTACCTCCCCGTTTTTACCTCCAACACAATTTGACCCATGTCGTTCGAATTACTGATCATGGAGCATTGAATCATTATCTGATTGTCAATAAACTTGATCTTTGAGAACATGGAGGCTCTGACATCCAGATTCTTGCATTCTTGCGTACGCATTCCCTGTCAGGGGATATGGTAGTTTTGATCTACTATAGTGAATCCCGTCAATGGAGATGACTTACAAGATACCCGAGGACTACTAGAGTGATTGAGCTAAACTCTTCCAACTGACTCCAAATTTCTTAGAGTCAAGTGTTTCACTAGTACGTATGATGAAAAACATACCTTTATTGCATCCGCCGCGAATTACGATCCAGTCGGTAATTATGTTTTCTATCGGTGGAGCAAATGCAGAGTGATATTTTCTGGTGGCCTTGGGTGAATTGCGCAGTACTACGATAGTAATCATCAAGCAAGTAGTACCGTACCACTGCTTTTGAAAGACTAAAAAAAGACCAACTGACCTTGACTTCAGGCAGTAGATCACGTGCAATAACAGTCGCTTTTACTTCCATCCGAATTCTCAATTCTGGGTTGGATTCATACATGCGGCCTCGGGTTTTCTTCGACTTTGCGATAGGCACAGAGCCTGCAGGGCGGTAATTAGCACCCCTATATTGCACTGGTTCCAATGCCTCATCACTTCATTCTAGAGTTATTTTCGAACTTTACAACGATACAGCACCGAAGACAGCCGAAAAGTAAATGAACGTTCATGGTATGCGGCCCTGATCTGACCACCTCCATAGCTTTCGAGCACTATGTACGGGCGAGAAAGGCCTTTCTGCTGTCTCAGAACGGCCTCTGTACTACAAGAATAGCATCATTCACCGTTCAATTCGTGATTTTATGATCCAGGGTGGAGGTGCGCCATTATATCACTCCATTTTTAGGTGTAACTCATGGTCATCAGACTTTACGAAACGAAACGGTGCTGGGGGAGAATCCATCTACGGCAGTGCTTTCCCTGACGAAGACTTAACGCGACCTTTGGAATCAGAAGGGTAAGACCACCATTCAGTACCTCAATACCTCATTCATGTTCCTAATTTCATGGTACAGCCTTCTTTGTATGGCCAACAAGGGGCCTAACACTAATGGATCGCAGTTCTTTGTTACCCTGCGAGATTGTCCACATCTAAATGGTGAGCCTTCGTTCTAGAAAATCCACACGCGTGTTTAATGTGAGACTCTCATAGGCAAGCATGTCGTATTTGGTCGGGTCATTCGCGGATACGACGAAGTTATCAAGAAACTTGCTGCGGTTCCTGTAGATGAGAAGGATAGACCTCAGCATCCTATCGTTATCGTCAACTGCGGCGAACTTGAGCTTAAGAGAAAGGTAGAAGCATATCAAGGTGCGCCCATTTCGCTAGAAGTTCTGATGAAGTGACTGATATCCTTAAAATATGAAGAATCAAATGCAGAAATTCCTAGTCGAAGACGCCACATCAGTCGCTCACGCTCACGAAGTTTAGGCCGTGATCGTAGCACTCAAAAGAAGAAATCCAAGCGCCGAAAACATGAAAGTAGAGCGGATCCTAAAACAGATGATGAGGGTCGCAAGAATGACGACGAGAGTGTTCCTAGGCAAGAAACCGAAGAGGAGTATGACGCCAGACTTGAGAGGGAGGAGCAGAAGCGATTAGAAGAGGCTAAGCGAAGGGAACTGGAGCGGATCAAGCGCAAATATGAATCTACCCCGCCTGTGAGTGAAGGAGGTGTGCGATTTAAAGGTCGGTCATCTTCAGCTGCACTCGTGTCAAAAGCTGAAGCAGAGTTTTAGGACGAGGGCGAATGAAGTTCATCGACCCCGAACTTCACCATCGACGATAGAAGATCTTGTTGGCATTATAACATTATGCGCAATACCCCAAATCACAAAATGTCATAGAAATCAGAGCAAGTGTGAAGATAAAAAGGCATAAACACATTACACTACATGCTTACTTCTGCGACCTGTTCAGTATCTTTGTCCATGATGATGGGTGACTCTTCCTTCTCTTCAGCCTTGGCATTTAATACATCCTTCTTCGTACTAGCAGCGTTGGCGAAGCTAATCGATGGTCTAATGTTTGCTGACGTTGTTGGCGTAACATGAGAGACACGCGGAGATCCAGGTGTAGGGGGCGTAGCGATGACTTGGGGTGGCGACCGTGTAGCAGTAATAGGACTTCGTTCAGTCGCTTGACGGGAGGAGTTACGTGACATCGGGTGTGGAACACGTTCCTTCAAGGCTTCACGGTCCTTCTCAACGCGGGCAGTAATTTCGCGTTCTTTCGAGGTAATATCAACTGGTCTGCAAAGAACTTGAGCACCTCACAGATTGAATATCATAAAAAAAACAGACCTGGCTGCGCCAAAAGGACTAGCTTTGGGAGCAGACGGGGCACCGGGATTAGAAGCCATTTTCGGAGAAGAGAGGGGAGAGGGACTAGCAGAGTTCGAAGAACGAGGGAGAAGTTCGAGCTTACGACGACCCATCTGGGGTGTAGGGGGTGTGGAACTGCTTGCTGTTATCCGAGTTTTCAACCGATACTCTTACTGTGCGCTGAAAATGATACTTACGCGATGTTCTCGATCGTCCAGCGCGCCAGTCGCCCTCATCAGCAGGCGGGTCTCTTGCTTGTTGCGAATCATGACTGCCTCTCAAACTACCAAATCTCGATGGCGGGTCTTCTGTCGATGGCTTGAACTTGCTCCCAAGAGTCCATTTGTCCTCGTTGTCTGCAGGCGATTGACCTTCGGGCGTGGAGAATCCTGAGCCCCTTCGCTTAAATGATGGAGCCTCTGGTTCAGGGATCTTTGCAAGAGGCTTACTCGACCTCCACTGGCTGATCTCGTCTGAGATACTGGGTGGAGGTGGCATGCGATCTCCCGGAGGACCATCGAACCGACGTCGGGAAGAATCACGTGAGTCCTGCATGTTAGGTGGGGGGCCTTCACGACGCCAGTTACCAGAGAACTTGGCTTCATCATCGAAGCTAGACCCTGAGAATCCGGACCTTTCCTTTGCTGTGAAATGCTAAGTCTTGAAAGCCTGTAAAAAGTCTCTTCAGAACTCACGAGGCTCGGCGACGCTGGTACGAACTGTGCGTCCAGAGAGACTCTAGAAGAGAATCAACTACAGCACGGAGAAAATAGATGATACGTCCACTGACACTACCTGTCTTTGCCAGTGCATCTTTTAATCCATCAAGCTCCACGAACTCGACATATCCAAAGCCTTTCGGCTTGTCATCACGATCCTTGATTATTTTGATGGATTTGGTCTAACCAAAAGTCACATTACGTCATGTATATCAGGCCGCAAAACGCATACCTGATGAGGACCGAAGAAGCTTTCAAGTTCGCCTTCGGTGATGTCAAAGGAGAGATTTGCGACGTAGGCAGTGTAAGGGGGTTGGGTGGGTAGGGGGAGATCTTCCCGAGGCGACGCAAACGATCGATCGGCTAGGTAGAGCGTGAATCGATACGAATCACGAGACTCACAAGAACTTACGCCGCGACGAAGAAAAGTCGTCCCTTCTTCCAAACCGATCACCAGGTCGAGACCCGTCATCATCCGTTCTAATCGACGCTAGGCAAATTCCGATAAGCTAAATCCTCATGAGCATAGACAAGTACTTACGAGCACTTGGAAGAGAATCCATTTCATCCGCCCATGATCCCAGCGCTACGCGTCATATTATAACCGACTTTTCATGAAAAATGACCAACGCACTGCTATCGCCGAGAAATTCATTGAGAGACATCTTTGATGCCTTCGATTTTTTAGGTGCTGAATATCTTTGAGCATTTTGCTATTTGACATTAGGAAAAAAACAAACCCATGATTGAAAACCTTGTGCAGTACTTTTCGCTGTATGATCTGTCGCTTGCTAGCTTGGATAAGTAGCAAAAAGCAAGAAGGAAATCACTTGCGGCTGCGACCATAAGACTTTCTCACGCTCGTGTCCTACATCATAGATAACACACGGACCAACACGGTGCACCGCAGCAAGACGTCGACAACATGATCCTTCTCGAGGTGAGCAATGTTTCTTTTGAGGACGCGTATTCTGATGGCTGTTAGTCCCATAATCTCATCATTCAGACCACACTTGCGGAGAAGATCGCAAAGTGAGTTTGTCATAGGCTAACGCTGCGCAACACTAATGAGATGTTCAGGCCGTCGTCACTTGATGTTTTGTTTGTGGATTTTGATGGTGTGAGGTTTCACCTATCAACGCCAGAAAAGAAGACTGTGGTTCAGCTTTCTATGAATATCCGATGCTGGGATGAGCTAGTTGCATACGGAGCGATGCAGGTATTGCAACGGGAGTATGGCCCGCTTATTAAACAACAGACAGAGCCAGAATATAATATCAGTCTTGATATAGATATCGATCAAGTTCCAGCCGACGAAGGTGCGTACCACTTCATTATGTGTGTATCTCTCTGAGGTGGTGTCTACTACAGAAAGCAGAGAAGCATTCGTGAAGTCCATCTCGTTATTCAAGCGGAACGCTCTAGCAGCACCGTTCGAGCTCGCATTTAAGCAACAGAAAGAATTAGAGGCCTCGGGTGGTGCTCAGGGACAATTAATGCAGATCCACTACCGCGATGAGGAAGCCATCTACATTCAAGCATCGCCCGACCGTGTCACTGTGATATTCTCGACAGTCTTCAGGGAGGAGACAGATCGTATTTTTGGCAAGGTGTTCTTGCAGGTGAGAATATTCTATAATTTCTCGTATCATGCCTGACATTGCAACCAGGAATTCGTAGACGCACGACGACAACCCAGTATTCAAAATGCCCCCCAAGTGCTCTACACGAACCGCGACCCACCCTTGGAAATACGCGATCTCGCAGGTCTGCGGAACACTGATGACATCGGCTATGTCACCTTTGTCCTTTTCCCTCGCCACTTCGCGAACGCCAACATCTCGTTCAATACCATATCGCACATACAGCTATTCCGCGATTACCTGCACTACCATATCAAGTGCTCAAAGGCGTACATGCACTCTCGTATGCGTCATCGAGTAGCTGAGTTCCAAAAAGTCCTGAATCGCGCGAAGACGGAGGTGGCAACGACTGAACGCAAAACTGTGACGTATGTTAAGCTCCTTTCGTCAAGTGTCCAGCTAACGCTGTATCACAGTGGCCGGACTATGACAAATCGGTGAGATGGATGGACGAGGTACCTTTACTCAGCATCGTGTAACCTTTGTAGCATATTTCTCAAGACGTCTCCTATGAAATTTGACCCACTGCGCAACTATGGTTCTCAGCGAAGGGACTCCATTATCATTGGAATTCTTCGTTGAGAACCTCAAACTGTGGTTTTGCAGAGAATGCAGCAACAGCTACCGAAATTTCTCCAGAGCACCTGACGAAGTTGATATTCCTTTCTTTTCTCTCCAGGGCACAACCCGGGATTGTTAGCCATTCCTGCAGCATCTTCACCACCTTTACTTGTCACTGACCTCATTATGCAAAGAATTCCTGGCTTGTTAACGTTGGAGACGTTCTACATATTATAGGACTCGGAAACGCCAGATAAAATTCATGGATCTGGACAAGCGCAGTCTCCTTTCCCGTTGCTGCAGGTTGAGACTGAGACAGTACTAGTACTAGACAGGTTACCAATATAGTTACAATTCGCTACAACACAAAATTTCAGGCCATGGCACTGTTTCATGGAGGTAAGTTCGAATAAATACGCCATAGATAGAAATGTTCTACATATACATATAAGCTACTGTAACTCAACCGGACAATTTATAACTGGAAAGAGAATACACTAGCTTCCTACAATCCTTGAAGCGGTCTGTATTCATATGACTTGCGCGACGGCCGAGCCCTTGCATATACATAAAGCAGTATATGATATTATCTGGTACTATACGATACAAAGTTCTACGGGTATTTTTGCATGCAGGTGCTGTCAATGTATAAACAGAGATTACCGTTCTTAGCTACAGTATCTCCAGCATCCTGACGTCCATCATGTCATCAATAGAAGCTAGGTCCGTGACTTGCGCAACGATATTGTCATCTGAAGCGATTCTCTTATACTCCCCACCCCACTGCTGCGCTAGCAGAAGTGCGTTAAAAGGACGAGTAAGGCGGACGAACAATCTCAACCTTCTGGTAACCAGCTCATCATCTCCAGGTTCATCAGGCCAATCGTACACGCTCTGCGACTCTTCTGTAAAGTCGACCAATCCGAGATCATACCGATTCCATGGACGGACGAGCAGAAACGTCTGCCGAACACGCTTTGTAGGCGAGAATTGAACAAGCTTGTCTGCTGTTGTAATTAGCAGGTCTTGTAGCCCGTCTGCCTTGACTTCATATGCGAAACATTTCTCTGCGCTTTGATCTGGCTTCTTCCACTTGACTTCTGTGAGAGGGAATGCGATGCAAGGCAACTGAAGTCTGCCGTTTGCAAAACGAGGAACGCTGAGTTTCTCAAGGGCAGTATACAGTCTCGAAGCTAATTTCACAGCCACCATACTGTTTCGCAGCGTGCGGACAGAATTTTGCATCTCGTCTTCAGATAGAGATAGCAACGGGAATGGCAGAGCCTTGTATGAGGAAATCTCCGCTGGGAGGCAACTGTTGAAGGTAGACGATTGTCCCACCCAGTCCAGGACCGTGATGTCACCCGAATGGGCTATGATCTCCTGCAAGAGTCGTCCGAGCGCGTTCTGTCTGTTCTCCCCGTAGATTACAGGAAGGTGGACGCCGAAGATCCCAAATAGCGAATACGCGATGTCCTCCTGTAACGTAGTCACACGCGTTGATGCCCATCGGAGTTTCTCTCGGGCGTCTCTTGTCCCCGGATGAAAGTCAACGAGCGCCCGCGCATTTATGCCAGTTGAACGCTCCAACTCCCCCATGATATTGACAGACTGCTTATGGTTGCGTGAGCGATTGTCGAGATATAGTTTCCAATCTGATTGGTAGAAGAGGATAATTTTAGGGGCGAGGAACTCCTGAACGGTCCATCCTCGTGTATTCCAAGTGCTGTTTGCGAGCGCGCCCGACTTTGACAAAGGAGGAACATCCGATAGGTAGACGATAGTGAGCGCTGAGTGGTGATACCAGGCGAACATGCAGTTGACTGATCGCTGGAGCTCGAGGTTGTTGTTCTGGTCGATGCAGCACGTGTCACTCCACGCCCAGCGATACCCCGCAGAGCGAGAGACTTCGCAGAACTTCTGCAACTTCACAATGGTTCCGACTGGATCCAAGTCGTATATGACCTTGTGCTGAATGTCGTGCAGTAGCGGCTCCTTCCTTTCCCACCTATGGGACAACATGACCCAACCAAAGTACTTCACGACCACTTTCTCGATAGGCTCAGTTTGGAGAGGCGCACGCATGTCCAATGTATGCAAAAGCTCTTTGTGCTCTGTACTCTCCATGAATGCATTAATTTGCGCGTCTCGATCGCACAAACGTCCAGTAGAGGTATTGATTAGACGAAGTGGGGCGTTTTCCAGTTGAGCTTGAATGGCTTGTCGAATAGCATCTTCTATGTCAGATAGATTGACGTATTGCTGGCGTAGCTCTAAAAATATATGATCTTCAAGTCGGAACTAGAGTTGCTTGGAGCTTACGTCTTATCTGTGGGTCGGGTGCATCATCCAATTTGGAGAGCATGATTGTGAAGGCCTTGAATGCATCATCATAATGCTGTGCTCCACACAGCGCTGCATGCTTCAATTCGTACCCGAGATGAGACGAAGGGTTGAGCTCAATGACCTATGAATATCGTCACAAATGTTAAAACAATGACCAATATCTTCCACACCTTGTTCGCGTCCGAAAGGGCCTCCGCATAGAGCTTTTGGCCCAACTTCACCTCACTGCGATGCGCAAAGTATGAGGGATCCATACTGAATGCTGCGGACAGTGTGTTCCTGATGGACCAAAGCCGAAGATTCCCATCAGAGTCTCCACTCGCGAGCAGGTCTCCACTACGAGAAACTGCGACGCAGAAAACTGATGCGGTGTGTTCGAGTGGCTGTCCTATATGCTGATGTGACTTTGTGTTCCACAGGCGCACAGTCTTGTCATCCGAAGCGGTGGCAATGAAGTAGCCATCAGAAGAAATGGTAAGTGAACTAATGTGGGAAATGTGGCCAGTGCAAGGTTGACCAATATGGGTCCCGTTCGACGAGTCCCAGAACTTGATTGTGTTATCATATGATGCAGAGACAAGTTGCTGGCCGTCAGGCGACCACACAACGCTTTGAACCCACTTGTCATGAGCGTCGATCTCCAATAAAAGCTCGGCAATATTATCGGTGCCCCAAACCCCAATGTTGCGCCATGTTCCGGCTAACTTTAACCCATCTGGGCTGAAGGCAACACAATACACCGGACCACAACACTCAAGTGTTGAGAGGATAGCGCCGGTCTCCGCGTCCCATATAATAACCGTTTTATCCCGCGACCCACTTGCAAGTTTCTTTCCATTGGCAGAGAAACATACCGATGTCACCCGGGCTGTATGCTTCACCAGCGGCTCGAATAGCATCTGTTTGTTCTCGACGTCCCAAATGATGATGGCTCTATCCCATCCACCACTCGCAATTCGCCTATCATCTGGCGATACGGCAACTGTCGTCACTAAGTCACTGTGTCCCTCGAACGGCCCTCCCACGAATGCTCTCGAAACCGCGTCCCAGATTCGCAGGGTTTTATCTGAAGATGTGACGATCCGTCGACCGTCTTTAAAGAATGCGACTGTCAACACTGGCATCTTGTGCACTCGCACAGTTATCGTTGGCGTTGGCTGGGTTGCCTGTACCGGCTGGGTTGTCTGTGCTGGCGTCGCGCGCCTTCTCAAAGTAAGCCATCCTTTTGCTACGTCCCGCAATCCTGACATGTCGCTAGACAGGAAGGGGGACAGTCAGCAGCGTTTGAAGCTCACGAGGGGCGTACGTACTCTGTACTATCTTTTGTGTTGTGAGTAGAGCTGGATTTCTGCCCGTAACACAATTCACACATATAGGCTCTGTATATATATATATCCTTGAATCATACCACGTTGCTACAGCGTGGATCTCATTGGTCGACCCCATTACCTATATCTTGTTGCTTCCCGCTCAGCCACACACTTGCGTAACAACCCGTATGGTACTAGTAGCGGTTGTACCCTGTTGTACCTGTGAATTTGCCTAGCAAATAATCCATATCTGACATTGTTTCCCCAGCGTTTAGCTGCTCGCCTGATCCTTCCATCAATTGCTGCTGAACACACCAAACATGGTGAGCGCGACTACGACGATTGTACATCTGTATTGAGCGCCTCGAAACAATCCATAAGGAGATCCCATAAGTACCTATCTATGTCCGACATCTGAAAACCAAAAATCCACAAACGAGCCTTTGAGGCGCTTTCTGGGAGCCATAAATAGCAACCGTCGGCTCGATTTTAGTACTTATTGCATCAAAGTAGACTCGGCTCTTTGCAATCACGAAAAAATGCGTTAAAACATATAATCTCGTTGTAAATATTTCATTGTAAAATTACAGATAGCAGATATGATCTCGAGATTGTACTATTAGATCAATCTGCGTAATCTAAAGCCCAATATCTGCCTCTCCACGCCTGATGATCAATTTACACAAAGATTCGTACCTCTCCCTCAACACATCATCAAGCCTTATCCTGTTGATCAACGCTATAATCGAACTGTAAGTGTCGTAGAATTGTTCAGCAGATGCATCGACATTTTCGTATGTGCCCTCACAATATGCCTTGAGGGCGTTGTGAACTGCGGCTCCTGCAAGGCCGAACACGCAGTCGAGTCTCTCAGTGTCGATGTTGACATAGAGCCCTTCTTGCCACACAACGTCAACGATCATGTCGATAAGGTAGTCGGCCTCCAGAAAATGTGTGACTTCGATTCTGTCAACCTGTTGGCGCGATTATTAGTTGCACAAATATTGTAGAATGAGATACCTACCGTTTCAACTTTGTGCAGGAAGTTCAGTCCAGAGAGATAGCCTTGTACTACGTTAGCCCTTTCTGCAGGCGGGAGGCGCAGATTGAGGGTGTTGAGAATGTTGTGGGAGGCATATGTTTTGAAGAGTCTCCGAGTATGTGACATCGACGTCACCATTTCTTCATGTACCTTCGGTGTCTCAAATTTTTTGTACGGAACTACAAAAAAAAATTATTGATGTGCATCGGTACAATTGCGACTTACCATCGCCGATCAAATCAATCCTTGCGTCCCACAAGGCATTCAAAATGTGCGCATTTCGTTGTTTGCGCGTTGCCGAAACACCCTCCATTCACAGCATTGTGCGACGGAGGTTCGTCCTTGCCCTAGTCTTGATTGTCTTGATTTCCTTTTTTTTGAGCTTGACTAGGGCTGTGACGGCTGGGGGAGTGGCTGCAGGAGTGATGGCAGAGGCCGGTATCGTTAGTTGTGCTGGTCCAGGAGCTGGGGTAGGAGGGAGATGGTGGTCGATGGCGCGTTGACGACCGACTGGACGCTCCATCTCCAGCGTCTTGGAGTAATTAGTATTGAATAAATATTAACAACAAAGAAAGAAAACACATACATGTATCACTCCATGGGTAAATTCACCTCGCTCTCCTTCTTGCTCACGGGCCAACACCACACCGACGACTGCTGGCGCTGATGTTGGCGCTGGCACTGGTGCTGGTGCTGGTGTATGTGGTGCAGCGGCGGTTCCAAGATCCCACCGCATATAGTGTGGGACGCCAGAGCCTCCGAACAGAAAGAATTCGTCATATTGAAGGTCTTGAAAGAAGTCCGGCGGGTCCTGCTGCTCATCGGGGAAGACATCAGGTGGAGGCTGCTGTGGGTAGAAGTCATGCTGCTGATGCTGTTGAGGCTCGTGAAAGAAGTCCGGTGGGTTTTGCTGCTTGTCGGGCAATACATCAGGTTGAGGCTGCTGTGGGTAGAAGTCGTCTTGCTGATGCTGTTGGGGCTGCAGGGGGTAATCATTGTAAAAGTCAGGCTCTTGGTGCCCTTGAGGCTGCAGGGGGTAATTGATGGGCTGCGGGGGGTAATTGATGGGCTGCAGAGGGTGATTGGGCTGCAGAGGGTGATTGAGCTGCAGAGGGTGATCGATGAACTGGTAAAGGTTGGGCTGATGATGCCCTGGAGGCTGTGGGGGGTAATCATTGGGCTGGGGGAGGGGGGGGGGGGGGTTGTGGTTGTGTTGCTGAGGGTATTGGAAGTGACTGTGGCCTGCATGCAGCCATCAATGCAGACGACATGCTGTGGAGACGTTCGGGAGTTTCTGGCCGATCTTCAGGTAGACCGAGTTGGGTCGCAATGTTGCGACCTGATGTGTTGATGTTGGAGTTTTTTTTTGGTCGTGGTGGTTCCTAAGCAATCGTATTAGCGTCTGTGTCTGAGAGAATATAAATACTTACTTTTTTCTTGTTTGACGTGCGTCGTGCTTGTTGGATCGGCTTTCGTGGGGGCATGGATTGAGAACAGCCATCCTATCTGTATGCATGATAAATTGACTAACCAGATTGAAATCACACATAAATGAAGGGTGCTCAAACAAGTATATAGACCAGAAATGATGTACATAAAACATACAAACGAAAGCAACAACAGATCATGGGGTTGGTCATGTGATTCATAAATTCAATTGATGTAACAAGACAGCAGCACTGTACACGTGTCGTCAATAAATTGATAAAGTTGAATGGAAATAGGGTCTCTCACACTTCCTATTCGTTGATAAGGCTATGCGCCATGTTCCTCATTCATCCGGCTGGTAGACAAGGCTATCATCAGATTCCACATCACTGTGGGAGTCCGAAGGTTCTGTATCGCTGCTGTTTGGAAAAGGAATGGCGCGCTTCTCTGCATGAGTCAAAAATTGGTCGTACTGCTCACTGGCAATGTCATACTGGTCCAGTTCTTCCAAAAAGACTGCCTCAAGGTAGTCTTTATCGTCTTCTAAGGCTGGGAGTCCCCGGCTAGTGATGAAGCCCCTGAATATCTCCATTTCTGTCTCCGCCATCTTGAATTCACCTTCTTGCTCTCGCTTGAGAGATTTCAGGAAAGATTTTTCTCTCCTGTTATGTTCGAGCCACCAGGTAGTATGCATGAGCTAATGGCAGAGGTCTTCCTTAGTGGCCTGTTTAAGTTGAACAGCCTTGCAGAAGGAATCATTGGACATATGAGATAAACCTCTCTGAAGAAGTTCCCTACCCTACATATCTTATATTAATAGATATTCATTTATAAGAAAAATCTCCCTACCTCGTGCAAGTCTTGGAGGTTGAAAGGTCTGTATGAGCCACCTGAGAATTTGCTTCTTTGCAAACTGGAGCTCATAGGCAGGGGCCTGATGAACAAGGCGGGGCCTATACTTAGCACGCAATTGTTCACGCAAGCGAGACAGACGGTCTTGCTTCGTAAAAGGGCCCACCAAGGGGAGGTTGCTGCCGCTGCTGCTGCTGTGGTTGCGGCTATGTTGAGCTAGTTTCTCCTTTGTATTGGAACAGATCGAACGTTCAGAGTCCAAGGTAGAGGTGACACTGTATGATTTATGATAGGGCGGCAACTTGGAACCAGTCCCAGCGAAAGGAGGTGAGGAGAGGTCAACGCGAGTTGAGCTTGTAGTCTTGCAATCGGACAGAGGAGGTGTGGACTGCTCAGTACAAGCATCCATATTGACGCTGCCAGTGGTAACATCAATATCCTGGCTAATATAGATAGGCAACACATACCTTATTGTCTAGCTAATCTACGAAGGGGGGAAGGGGGTTACAATGTGATCTGGGAGTGAGTGCCAGCAGCGGAGTTTGAAGGACTTGGAGAATTTTTTCTTGTCAATACTGTCAGTGCTGGGTAAGTATAGCGCTGGCATGCAGGTCAATCATCTCACTGTATCGTCCAATTCTCGGCGAGGACAATTTGGGCAATTTGTTCTTGATACAAATTTGTAAGATTTATTTCTTCAGGTTGAAGTACTCACTGTAGTGATGCTTGAATCAACTGGCAGATCATTGCCTGTGCAATGCCCCCAATGTTCAATTGATCTACCTTCCAACAAGGCAGTATTGGAACACTTGCAGCAAGAAAATGATTGCTGGCCTGGGGCACAAGATTGTTGTATTCCTGTCCCACCCGCATTCCTTCGATCTACCAAGGAAGCAGGCAGAGACCAAATCTTGGGACGGTACCACTCATCTTCTGGCTATATATTCGGAAAAGCGCCAAACATCCTCGAAGCCATGGAAAGTGACCAGTTTGCTTACCAGCGACATCACACTCTGTTTTACCCCTTTCAAGACCAAGCAGAATTTGAACTAGGAAAATTCCTCTGTGAACGCTTCACACAAAGTGATATTGACCGATTTCTCAAGCTTGAATGGGTTTGTTTGGTGTGAAGCTCCTCTATGCGCACGTAGGACTAACTTCCAGAACACAGGTACGCCAAGCTAAACCATCGTTCGGTTCCAAAGACCAGTTACTTGCATGGATGGCTTCTCTTCCCACTGGACCAAAATGGCATTCAACAACGCTCGAAATCACAGGATACCCAACCATTCAACCTATACAACTCATCTGGCGCAATGGCCTAGATGTGGTAGAAGATCTCTTTGCTAACCCCATTTTCGCAAATCATATGACATATGACCCACACATTGTGGTTGAAGGAGATGAGCATGAGTATAGTGAATATTTTACAGCGAAACAAGCATTCGAGATTCAGGTAAATTTTTATGCACTTATTTGTAATGGTCGATCGATGCTTTTGTACAGGACCAGCTTCCCATAGGTGCCACCATAGTTCCGATAATCATTGCGTCTGACAAGATGCCTGTGACACGGCACACTGGAGGGCTCGAAATGCACCCTATCTTTGTCTCGCTCGCCAACATCCAGTCTGATGTACGGATGAGAGCAACAAGCCACGCTTGGCGATGTGTTGGCTTCATGCCAATTCCAAAATTTTCTGATGTCCATAGTGACTATCAAACTATTCTGAGTCAACGGTTATTCCACAAGTGCATGGATATCATCTTCGCAGATGCTAAGGTTGCGGCCATGGTGGGCAAATTTATGCCTGATCCATCTGGCCATGTACGACATTGCTTCACACCTTTGGTTGCTTACACCGCAGATTTACCAGAACAGCAAGCTATAGCATGCATCTCAGAGGTCGCCTCTCCTATCACGTTAGCCACATCTCAATCCTTTGGCGACAGCTATTGCCACATGCCACGCACGAAGGAGCACACCCTTTCAGTGATATACGACATCTGTCAATGCATTGATCCGTGGAGGTTGCGAGAATTTCAGGAGGAAGCCAAGGCTCACTCGCTAAGTGATGTTCACCAACCATTTTGGCGGAATTGGCAGTTCGCAGATCCCACTCGCTTCTTAGCAGGGGAAATTCTCCATACCTGCCATAAATTCTTCTTTGATCACCCATTTAAGTGGTCGAAAGAGCTGGTGGGTAAGGACAAGCTCGATGCCCGATTCTGAAGCCACCATAAGCGAGTAGGAACACGCCATTTTTCATCTGGAGTATGTCAGATGAAACAAATGACTGGCCGGGAACACCAGGACTTGCAACGCACCTTGGTACCTTCCATTGCCAGGGGTCATGCCTCCCCAGTTCATTCACGCAATTCGCACTTTGATCGACTTTATCTATAAGGCCCAAAGCCCTGTTTACACTGATAGCTCCATTGATTCCATGGTTGCGTCTCTCTGAGAGTTCCATGATCATAAGCAAGCAATTTTAGATGCAGGAGCTAGACGAGGCACCAAAGGAACGATCAACAACTTCCTTATCCCAAAACTCGAGCTTTTGCAGAGTTTTGCTGCATTCACCCAGGATATAGGCGCCCTCATCCAATGGACTGCAGATGTCACCGAACGTCTTCTCATCACTCATTGCAAGCTTCCTTTTGACAGGACATCTCGTCAGTCACGCACCTTTACAGAGCAGATTGTCGATATACTCAACCGCGAGGAATCAATGTGGCGATTTCAGTTGTACCTCTTCCTGCGAATGCACAACACTCCCCTCACCAATGCCATAGTCACAGAAGAACAAGAAATCACTGAAACCGACCCTGCTCTTGCATGGATTGCCCGCATTGCACCTGGTGATCCAAATCAACGGTGTTTTGTCGGACCTTGTCCGGTTCGGAACCATTTTCTGAAGGGTATACTGTCTTCCACTGCGACAACTGCCTTCCACATTACCGTTGCTCCTGATCGAGCCAAAATGTCCATCAATGAAGTTCAGCAGCTCTACATGTTACCAGATTTTGGACGAGCGCTCTCTGATTACATCGCAAAGGCTTCTAATGGCCAACCCACAGCATCATGGAGCTGTGATCATGGTCGTGTCAAGACGTGGAACAAATTTCGACTACAGTTACATTCCATTTTTTGCTCGTGGCTGATTATGCCCAGTCAAGTCGTTCAAGCTGCTCCGCCATCACAAACATTTCCTCTGGGAAATTGTGATGCAGTTATTGTGCAGTCAATACACAGCGACCAGACGAGTAAGATTTATTTTATGCCTATGTACATGTCACTCACTGGTTTACATAGCAGATATTGTCGTGCAAGTGCGGGCTATCTTCCAGCCCATTCCGCCTCGCCACATCACACTTCCTCATTACCTCGCAGATCAACCACTCATTTATGTTCAATATTATGAGATTGTTGGTCATCCACACGATGATCCTGCCATCAGCATGTCTACGGTGGCTCGACAATATCACTATGGGTTTGATGGTCAGAGGGTGAGATTGGGCGCAGTCATCCCTCTCACAGATGTCACACATGCGGTAGAGCTTATCCCTGTGTATGGCGCAGGAGCTGATCGTAGTGTGAGTGCAGCAATGAGTATGGAGGTGTACGAACACTTTTACCTGAACAATTTCTCGGACAAGGAGATATATCATGCATTGCGCTCAGATTTGCACTAGCTACATTTTTTGTTATGGTCTCAGCTTGTAATTCAACATATCGTCTGTTATCTACCTTATCTTTGAGATCGAAAAAGATGTAAAATATTATCGTCGATCAAAACATTCGGTTATCCATCTCTCGCAAATTTATAACGACTAAATAAAATAATAACAGTAAAATACATCTCCACCAATCGCAAGAGTGCGCTACTGAGGTCGTAAACGTTCGTAAGTGTCCGTAATGCGCTTAACTTAAGCGTTCATTTCAGTGGTTTTGCAGATGGATCTCGAAGTTTGGATGTCTGGGGGTTTATAATCGAAAACACTTTGCAAAAAAAACTTTCCTTGGCATATGCAATAGCGTATAAAGTTGTCCACTCGTCAAGAAGGCGTGATTTCCGCGGTAGAAGGACTCCCTGCCTGTAGCACAAGAAAATCCATGTAAGAACCCATAGAAACGACTCTAGATCATGGCGGTTTAGGTATTTAACTTCGCCTCGTTGAGCCATTGCAGTGAGAAGATCGAGGGCTATGAACGGTACCGTGCATGTTGCCCCGAAGATCGTAGCAGTTTAAGACACCGATCAGTTGTCCGTTTTTCCTGTACCACATCAAGTTTTCAGGGCTGATATATCGATGATAGACACCAAGTGCTTCTCATATGACAGACGTGGGATTCGTGAACCTGTGGTACCAGAGCAGCTCAGGAATGTGCCCTTAGACGGTTGAGTGCACATTAGTGATCTCCTCAACTTTGTCCAAGATTTTTGGCTCACTAGTGCCACCCGCCTCTCCCCAAAAGATCTTGGCCGCCATCCCATCCTGGACGTTTGGGTATTTCTTGGCGAGCGCCTCGCTAGCGATGGGGACCACATTGGTGGCCCGGCCTTGTAGTCCGTAGTGCGTCACTCTTTCGTCGTGGCTGGTGTGAGGCAACAGATCCATCGTTCCAAGATCATTATCCTAGATTTTGAATTCGTGGCATTGTTTCCCTTCAACTTGAACTGGGAGGAATCCTACCTGGCGTCTTTCTCTTGAACTCGATGAAAGCTAGAATATCTTTCCAGAAGAGTTGTGTTGGCGGCTTTTCCATTGCATTCTTGAATCTTGACCATGTGAACCTTGCGCTCCTGACCGTCCTTTGTGTCGTCCTTGTGGTCGGCCCTTTGTGTGTCCTTCTTGCCGCCCTTCTCATCCTCGAAGGAAGCACGTGCGTTGTTCAAAGGAATCATTACGACGTCGGGCTTCCGAACTGATGTCACCGCTTGTCACCGTCTGGTAAGTTTGGTACTACCTGTGGTGACTCGCCTTCTTTACATAATACGATTAGCGCTGGTGTTGAACTTTACCAGCTTCTTTCTACACGGTCCAACTGTGGGCGACGAGTGCTGTAAACACAAAGTCACCTCTCACCCACTGGATTGACGAAGATACCGGCTATGATCGGCATACATGTCTGCATGGAGATGAGCTGTGCTGAGCACTAGCTTGATATTTTCGCATGCAGTTCAGTATCTTGACGTCCGTCATGTCATTAATAGACTTGCGCGATGATCTGAAGCTATTCTCTTACTGAGAAAAGTCCAAGGGCATTGCATGCAATATTGATGGCAGATGCTGCTAATATTGGGCACTTGACAAGTCCGAAAGTGACTAGTGCCATTAATCGGCTGTACATCATGCAACCACATTCGCTCGAAACACCTGTACACTTGTTAGCTTGGTTCTCCCAGCAAGTTGGCAACACTGCCGATACATTCAATACGAAGGCACTCGCGCGACCATTATTCTTGAAGCACCTTTAATATAAGCCCATGTCTGGTGCCTCGACGAGGGATGTATTAGCATCTGCGTCATCTTGTTTCCTGGTCACTACTAGTGATTTACCTTCGGCACAAAGTTACATAACCACTCGGCGTTTGTTTCACTCTCTGACTCGCTCTAGCCTTTTCATTCATGCTGAAACACTTACCAGATCAATCAGATATCGACCCTCGAATCACACATCTGCGATGTAAGTGCTGGGTGGTGGTGTATCAAGTATAAATGCGATCGTTATACTACGTTTACCAAGTTCAACTCCCCTACTTGCCACACCCATCCTTCAATAATATGACGCTAGTCTCGAACGATCCCAGTTGGTGGCCAACCATCAATGCGAATCTCATTTTCAGTTATTTTGTAGGTTCGTGGAGAGCCGTCCACATGATGACCGTGATGATTCAATTAACCTTGACTTTGCAGTTGCTTCTTGTACTGGAGTATTGTACGACTGGGGTGAGCAATATGAAGTACTTATGAAAAAGACCACTCATATTATGGGATTTCCAGGACTTATGTTCGGAAAAGAGGTAGGTTGACACCATTACAGGAATAGCCATCTTGCTGACAACGGTGTTATAGGTGGAACTGGTCTGGGTGAGCGGACTCTTACATCAAAAGAACGATGTGAAAATACCACAACTAATTCGCGGCAGAGGAAACGCTGGTCCCTGATGACCGTTTTGTATCTCATTGTATATAGCTCATGTTTCAAGTGTGGTTAGCAAGGTGTACTGACGCGAACATATCCTAGGCACGATGTGTTGCAATAGTACATGTTGTGTATGTTTTGACGTTCAGGCCATTGATGTTGCGCTCATGATCTATCTCCCACAATCAGGATGTATATCTTTGGTATGTCTCCTCGCAGACTTTTTCTTCTTTATTATGACGGGCAGCATACAGTCAATGTTCCAACAATTTCAACGACAGATGCAGTGAGTATTCCACACCAATGCCCTTCATTCCCGTCCAAACAACTGAACTGCCATGTAGGGGTGAGTAAGATTTTCGAAAAACTCTTTGGTTCAAAAGCTATAAAAACTCCCACAGCTGTGAGTTTATTTCGAACCTGTGATCCTCTGAAGCTGATAACCAATATTGCTGGATTTGTCAGGCCGTATCATGTACAACGCGCTTGATTGGGCGAGTGAGATTGTAAATGTAACACTGGGAGGTGAGCTATACATATCTGTGATATTTTTTTGATTGAAACATCTTGCAAGTCATCATGATCGCTCGGTTACATGCTATGTATCAGTGATCTAGAAAGGTGCTCATATTTCTCATTGTTGTCTTTCTGGCCATCACAATCGTCAACGCGGTGATAGCCACGATAATAACGATGCAGAATTTAGGGGGTAAGCTTTACATATGTATGAAATATTCAAGTGCATCAAACTCACCCACAAGTACCAGAGGAAGTCGTTCTCTCCGGCACTTATCAGTGCATGATTGGCTATACAGGAGATTATTTAGTTCTGGATACCATGGCTTGGATACTTGGGACCGTATGGGAGGTCCTTGCACTGTGTCTCGCAGTCTGGATTGCTGTGAAGCACTTCCGTGAACTGCGACAACACTCAACAAGAGGTGTCGTCGGAGACTGTTTCACGGTGTTAATGCAAACTCATGTTAGTTACTTCGCAAGGTGAGCTCATGAATCGAATGCGGTTGTCTTTTCTGCTCATGTTCTGCATGTGCTAGCTTTTTTGCTATTGCTTGCTTCCGTTTATTCTCTCCAATACTCTCAGCGGTACGCCAATCTGCCCCTCTGCATACGACCATGATCCATCATTTCAATAGGACATATATTCTACGAATACTCAAATTTATCTTGGTTTCGCTCAAATCTTCGAGATGGCACAGCTGTTTGTGCTGGGACCGCGGCTCATCCTTAACGTCCGAGAATATCACGCTAAGCTCGTGACCAACTCCGATACAGCAACTGCTATGACTTCGATTGCTTTCCAGGAACATGTCCAAGTGGAAACTAGCAATAGTATGTAGCAATATGGGACATGCTCGATATGATTTATACTGGTTAGCCATTAATATGCGGAGTGTAGAAGAATTCGTTTGTATTTATGTTGAGTTCTGTTGTAGTATTTAAATTTTCTTGGCTTGTTGGGTGTGCACGAGTGAGCCAGTGGAGCTGTACCTCTATCTTGCCGTCTGCTGCACTGGGGTGCTTGGTTATCACCACGTTGAGGTGCAAAAGGATTTGAAGAATTGTTGTAAGCGGTAACTCGCACTCAACCAGAAGACGATGCCACAATGGTCGTTTGTGACTCTAGTAAATGACTTTGCCAGAATAGACGTATATGATATCCCAGCTGAAACAGGATTGTCACGCGCGCTCCATTCAGTGACGGTTCCCGCGAACGGTTTGGCCAGTGCTGCTGAGATAAACGAAGTTCCAAGGTATTCAAGTTATAATCACAACGTTGTGCATGTACAAGGATCCATGGTTATTCAACGATAATTTTCTCACGCCTCCAGTTGTTCATGAACATGGTCACAACTGATGCGCAACCTGCGGCCCTGCCATCGGATTCGATACGGGTGACAAGGCAGGGCAAAATCAGATACTGGGTCAAGCACGGATTGGACTTTTTCCAGGTTGGTTTTATGGCTCTTATGTTGACTGTTCATCCGACAGAACATGAGTTCAGGAGAATCCTGACAAGCCATTGACGCTGCACACTTCACCGACTGATGTTGCACAATCAACCATCCCTCGTTTGATTTCAGTCGTGGAGATACTGAAACGCGAATATATGAAAACATTGGATGTTTCAGCAGGAGAGTTGATGGGGCTGCATCAATACAATGCACTACAATGGGAGCAACGCGGTGATATCGCTGCGGCAGGGGAAGATCGAGCGAGTACCATAGCAAGAGCTTTGGAAGGTACAAAACAGTGCGTATTTTGTGTGTGCAAGATTACTCTCAGGCTGACGATGAGACAGCCCTAAGCTCACGCTTGCGTCCTACATGAAAGTCACATTGTGCAGGAAGGCTCTTGCGGGAATGCATGACATGACGTGAGTGATATTTTCGCAAAGATTTTTCTGATCTCACAAGCTTGCAGGTACCAGTCACCACAGATACGACGACTGTCCAAGACTACAAAGGCGAGATTAAAGAAGAAAGCAAAGCAATCTTAGTTATTATTATTATTTTTCCTATAAATCTCTACCCAAATATGTCTTGGTAAAATTCCCAGGGGGGTTTCACATTCGTTGATTCGTCCAAGTTGAGAACTCAAGTTTACTATTATTCGTCCAACTGGACTCTTCAAGCTGCTTCGTTCTGTTAAACGTCGTGCTCATCGTCAGTAACGGCGACGGTAATCACCAACAACTAATTCCAGCCTAAACTTGGTTTTAAGCGTCCTGCTAGTAATCGCTGGACAGGTTGTACATTTGAACATCGTCTGAACTGCCGAAGGATCTCCGACCTTTTTATAAAGCCCTAACTCAGCTGCGCGCATGCCTCGCCGCACTTCTACTCGCCTTACATCCTCTGTCACTCCACAAGCACCTTCAGTCTCTTTTCAACTTCCTGCCTCCGATGCAGATCCCAATATCCTTCAGCTCAGGCGGCACTGGAAATGGGCTGCTTTCAGCCAGTTCTTCTTCACATTTAATGCTCTCTTTGCCATGAATGACGTGACCTTGATCGTGAGTACCGATCCTGCTTGCCTCTGGGGTATCATCTTATCTTTCAAACTATCACAGGACATTGAAAATGACCTTGCATACTCTACCAACCGCGTTTTGTCTCGCATCATGACAAGATTGCTCGTCACGTTAACGCAGGACAGAAAAATATCGTGAGCCTCCCTCCATCGTATGCTGTGGTCCAACTTCTATCATCTGACGAATGTCGTTCATCAGCGTTGATAACTGGCAAACTGCCCTCCGAAAGCAATATATGAGACGCGACCCAGAAGCAAATCCCATAGGACCAATTCAGCAAATATACACCAATGTCGCAGAGTCCTCGCTCTCGCGTGCATCCACAGCTCCCCCATACCCACCTGAAACAGGAGAACAGTTGGCCCAAGAAGAAGCAAATAAAAGCATGGTGCATGAAGATGGAACGTCTGCTGACGGTGATGCTGTCCCAGACGATTCAGCAGATGTGGTCGAGGTCAAGTCGGAGGAAACCAAGATCGATGAATCGAAGGATGAAGTTGCCGGGTCTTCTTCAGAGGCTTTACAGAACTCCGAGCAGCTACAGCAGCAAATTGATTGGCTCGACCTTCCTATAGTGAAGAAACTGGAGTCCCTACACACTCTTATGGAATGGCAATTTCATAACCCTAATCGTCTACGTACCCAGATGAAAGACGACGACGAGAATGCTGAATGGGTAATACTGTGCTTACTTCATTTTCCACTTTACTAACCAATCCTCATTAGCATATAGAGCCAATAGGATATGATGCCAAGAGTAATGCCTACTGGCTCATAGGTGGTGTGTGCTATTTTTTCTATCTCGTTGTCCACCCTTGACCTAGGTTTAGCTGACCGTTTGTGGATTCAACGTGAACCCCCACGTCAGACACTCAAACGCAAACGGCTCGCAAACCCTCACATGTCGAAATCCAGTGGCAAAAAGTCTTTTAACAAACGCCAGCGGGTCGACCCAGAACCAGATCCCACACCTCCACCCACAACACCTGCCAGAGCGTCCCGTCGGCGCAATCAAGCACTGGCCCTAAACTCCAGCCCGTCCGGTTCGCGCGGTACTCGCGCCGCCAAATCACGTGCAAACATGAAACTCGATGCTCAGGCGAAGGACCTCGCTGAATTCCAGCGTCAGATGGCTCGGAGCAAGTCTACTAATGCCAGACCTCTGACTCCACGCCGACCCTCTGGGATCCGCGTGAGTGCGCGGCTGCGCGGCAACTTGGCAGACGATGAGTGGCAAGAGGTTCCAGACGAATGGCTTTCTCCTAGCGTGTATGACGGAACAGAGATAGAGGAGAAGACGCCGCCCAAATCTAAGGCAAGGCTGAAAACGGGGCTTGAGAGCGATGAAGACTCGGTCAGTGATCTCACGGAGCTTAGCGAGGACGATGAGACAAATGAGGGGGATGCCCAAGAAGAAGCCGATCCAGAAGAGGAATTAAATGTCAAAGATGAAGAGTCTGAAGCGGAATCGATACCGGTTCCGGATAAACCAAACGGCAAGATTGATGTCGATGAGGAAGACAAGGAACTTCCCGAAGGTTTCATCGAGTGGGAGACGGTGAGTTATCTATGAGCGATTAGTAAAGTCATTTCATATTCCCCCTTTCATCGTGAACAGATCTGTATCACTCTCGAAGAGTGGGAGCACTTCCCAGAGCAATTTGAGAAAGCCACTCACTATGCTGAGAAGTCGCTGTATAAGGTATTGACGCAAAGCATCGTCCCGGTAATAACCGCTGAGCTGAGGGTATGTATCCCACTCCATTTAATTAGGAAGCAGCGATGCTAATGTAATTATAGGAGGTGGAGAAGAAGAAGCGCAAAGAAGAAGCGGTCGTACATCGCAAACGTTCGTCTCGCATTGCTATCAAGGAAAGTGAGAAGGAGCAAGAATTACTTGCTGCTAGGAAGCGTGCAGAGGAAGATGAGAAGATGAGTCGGGCTCGAAGGGCTGAAACGCGCCGACAGAAAGAGGAAGCGGACAGGATTAAGAGGGAGAATGCTAGAGAGCAACGCAGGAAGGAGCGAGAAGCCAAGCAAGCTGGGGAGCTTGAAGCTGACACCAGGTATGAATATTTCGTACATACCCTATATATTCTAAATGCGTCTCTAGCGCCAACGCCCCTATCGATGTAGTGAGTCAAGAATCTTTCTCATCTGCCATACCGCATGGTCAGATGGGCAAGTTTCCAATATTGTCTGTTCCTGTTCCCGTCAATGGATCAGGCGCTGCCAGCAGTGGATCGCGGACACCAGCCGAAGACTGGGAGCTGGATTGCGAGGTCTGCGGTAGACAAGGGATCAACCGGGTTTGTCTCTGTTTCATCCCGTATTCTTACTGCCTCACATTTTTGATAATTTTAGGATGACGGTGTTCCCATCATGTGCTGTGGTCGATGTTTGAAGTGGCAGCATATTGGGTGCCATGACCAACGAGACGTCACTGCAGGTCGCCCGAAACGTAATTGGGATGCTGAAGACTTCATCTGCAGAAGATGCCGCCTGTCGGATTCTAGGGCTTCTTCGTTTAGCAGTAGCCAGTTGCCGACACCAACCGATCTGAAAGCAGTGTACGGTTCAGTTGGAACGCAGCCCTACTATAGCAGCCAGCAGAGTTACTCCCATGACCGCTACCCCAATGGAAGCTACTACGCTGGCGGCGCGACAAGTGGGAGATACAGCTACGAACACCAGTCAGACATAAGGTCATCTGGCATGCCTTCTCAGTCTTATACTCAAGCTCCCCGTACACCTGGCGTCACCTTTGCTCATTATCAACCCCAGCAAGGAGGATTTTCAACATCACGTCCATCTTACTCCATTCCAGAGCCAGTGCCCATAACCCAGCAGGCTCGCTATCCGCAGCCTACATCTCCAGCCACTGGAGTGAGTCAATACCCCGGGTCCTTTCAGGTGACTGGAATATCTTTAGTTTCCGAAAACCATATTTCTGACTGATTTCAAGAACCATCCATCCCCCCACATTCAAGTGCAGCCCCAACACCGGTGGCAACCATCCAGCTATTCTCGGAACGATGCATCTTACAGCATGAACGCGGTTGTCGCGCCTTCTCCATACACCTCACAACAGCAACCTTACTATTCTGGATCTTCCTCGAGCCCCTCAGTCCCGTTCTCTCAGATGCATGGTATAAATCATCAATCCGTGCCCCAGTATTCCGGATACCAACACGCCGCTCCTTACCAACAAAGTAGATGAGTTCGTATACGTACGCTATTTTGCAGGGAACACTTTTTGATTTATCGCGATATTCGTAAGTGATGGATTGCGCGTGCATAGTTAGTGGAGGATGTAGAGTACTGAAACGTGTTGTAATGAATGTGCTTGGTTGAGCTGGAATTATTTAAGGGCTCTGTATCATGATAGATCTCAGTGCCTATGAGTGCGTTGACTACGAATAGAAGTACTAAAATCATATGGTGCACGTTCTGTTCATTGAATGATTCCAAAGTACTTTCTCATCGTGGTTGTAAGCCCACTTTTATGAGCAAAGTCAACTTTGGTTCAATTCAAACCGAAAATCTGTCTGTGAGTGCAGCATGCCGCCTCCGTCAACTCATGACCAGGAACGTCCAACGAAATCCACTCTTTGTTCCCAGACATTTGGAGGGGATTATAACATTCTGATATCTTAAAATATATAGGCGCTACCTCGAAGGACATGCGCTTGGATGCTCTGTGAATAGTATTGACCATTTGATTCTGCCGAGACATGAGAGATTCATCTCTAGTAGGTGTATGACTGTCAGACCTTCGTATCCACCTTCTCGCTCGTACCTAAGACATCGTCTACGACCTCCTCGAGTCCTTCTTGAAATAATCACTATTAACAGACGTAGCTGTGGCCATGTCGAATATGGTTTCACCGACGCCGAGGAAACGGTCAGCAAATGAGCGCATAGTTGGGTCTGATATCAGACTGGTGTCAACGCTGAAGAGTGCACGAGCCAGGCGAAACCCATGTCATTCACATGAATGTTGGATGCGGGACATGAGGCTTGAGACACTCACGCAAATCCGCTCGAGCGCCGGATGCCGGCGACGACAGTTGAAACTAGCACTGCGTCTACAGCATAATGCACGATTCTTCCTAATGCCATGTAGTGATGATAGTAGGGTCAAGTAGGGTAGCTTGGGCAATGGCGGTTAGCGATTAAGAAAGGTGTGCGGGTGAGGCTATCGCAAAAGGAAATTCTTCCGACTTCCCGCCCAGGCCTAAGTAGGACCCTAATAAGGGCCAGACCGAAATAGAAGATTCTTCTAGTATGTTAGTGGGTGAGTCGAATCCATTTGTTTGGAGGAGCTCAGGCATGGTGCAGGCTCTACACCCCGACATTCAGCGGGCTACAGGGCAGCTGTGATAGGTGTATTTGCCAGCGTTTTTTCGACGAAATCATGGCGTATCAGTGCATGAGAATACTGATTTCAGTGTGAACTCGTTGAACAATTCGTTAGATCCTTAGGCTACTACTACATCTGGGATATCCGCATCAGATTTCAACTGATACTGCACATTCTGTAGCAAGAAGGTGCGCGACAAAGACCAAAACTCTGACATAGTTATCCGCAGTATCCTGACCGTTTCATCGAAATATCGAGATGAGCACTGAGTATCACTTCATATCCTTCTACAATGTCAGGGTGTATTCATACTCCTGCTAGGGTAATTCTGTTCCCAAATGCCACAGGGACTACTTATTATTTCATCGACGGTCGACCTAGTACTCCGTCCGCGTCCGTTCGATGGACAGAAATTCGTCAAAAGGCTGCACCCTACCAAAAACAAGCTCATTATAATGACGGCAAACCATGCTTGAAGTGCTGGGCCACTCCAACACTATCATATGGGATCGGCCAACTATCAGTTGTTGAAATTCTACTATCACCGATGAGCGTTTATCCACAGTCAATTGGCTGATGATGGTGATGTTTATATCTAACCGGCTCTGGTAAACTGTGATCCCGCGTGCAGTCGAATTTCTTCGAAAGCTATATTGATGTTTTGACTCAGCGAGAGAAATGAATAAACAAGTGAAATGAACTCGCGTATGGTACCAAAGAAATCCGTATCATTGTCTCGACGACCCTCAGTCAAGTAACCCATAAGGTTCTCTTTGTCGTATACACCGCGCAAACTAGTACGGGAAAGAACGATGAAGTCGAGAAAAGACGGCAGAACGGGTTCTAATAGCAGGATGGCAGTGCCAACTCAAATAGGAGGAAAAATTGCAATGGAGAGAATATTGAAGAGACCGTGAGCCTTTGTACTTGGTTCTTCGCCATCTCGCCATGCAATCCCAAAGTGGCTGCAAGTCGTACAGAAAAAGAGGGGTTGAGTACACCCGAAGCCCAAGCCCCGAGAGATCGACGTGAGAAACCCCATCCAACTTCTATGGTCGACGGAAGCATCAGATAAACACAATTCGCTGCAGAGCGCTTTGTAGGACTCTGAAGCACCCTGTAACACTTTGTAGCGCAATCCGTCCCGCTGATTTGAATGAAAGAATGGGGCGATAGAGACTGCATTGATAGGATCTCTCTAAGATGGACGACAGTGAACCAAGGGGGATCTCCTCCTTTTGTGGGATGCGATCGAGGAAGATCTGGTGAAAATATAAATTTGCATAGGACATAGGAGTATGGACGTGACGGTGTGATCGTTCTGTACGCCCTTCAATCGCGTTGTTGTAGGTAAGCGGGCATGCTCAGCTGATTATCAGTCGGTGGTTGATCTGGATTTAGGAGAGGGGCGGATTCATCGCATGCGATGTTTGTTTCAAGTTTGCATGTGCGGATGACCGATAGCCCAAAAACCCAAACTACAAGAGCGGCTCCTCTAATAATTCCAACAAGGAACCAACCATGATTTGAGACCTGACAGAGAGTCCCGGGAGCATCAGTGAGTCGTGTTTTTAGCCCTTCATGGATGACTTGAATAGTGACGTGATAAGGAATGGAGGAAAAACATAGTAGAAGTATGATATCCACCTGGAGGAATCATGATGGTGAGTTGCGAGGTTCACCGGGCAATCACCAGAAGGATTTTGGTTTGACTTCATGTGTGATGTTAACTGGTATGACAAACTGTCTTCTGTTGGCAGTGAGAAACTTATCTTTATGTACATCCGAGTCGCTGCCGTAGATAAGCTCATGCAAAAAGGCAATGTGATACAGTATTACAGCCAGTAGCGCACCTCTGTATTGACTCATAAAATCACAAATGGAGCGGTGGATGATGGTGTTCTTATAATATACAGGCCGTTCGAAAATAGCAGAAACTCGTAGGTCTTTCTCCCTACGTAGTACTCGATGAAGGCGGTCAGATCGATTGTGCCGTTTTTGGTACTGTGATATTGGAAAATGCCGCTAGAATTTGGGATGAGAAATTGCTGTCGACGTTATCCCCCTCATTGTCTATTGCATGTATCATGATGAGTATGATGGTTGGTTGGTTGGACTGAGCAACTGGGAATCCGAAATTGGATCCAGATTAGAAATAGGTTTGCGTAAAAACAGACTTTCGACGAGTTGGGACGCCACTTCTGTCTTACACCGTTAATGCCTCCTGGATGACCGCCTGGTACCGGTTATACATGGGCCATAAGAACAGGTAAAGTTTAAGGTTATGCATTCCCTGGGACAATAACTCTCATGGGTTTTAAGGTAGTCTATGAATCATGTAGCCATAAAGATATGCGAAAACAACAGCCGAAACGAGCAATGTCCATCAATGCCTGTCCTTGAACATTTTCTGGATGGCTTCACTTGAATACGATTTCGGACGTTCCAAAGCTATAACACACATTCAGTATTCGATCAGTCCAGATTAGATGAATCGATACTCACGAGCACCAAGCGCACGATCCCAGATCAACTGAGCAGCCACTCCAAACGCACGGGAAACACCAAACAGCACGGTATAGAATTGCATTTGATGCAGCCCATAATGGGTTAACAGCACACCAGAATGGGCGTCCACATTTGGCCACGGGTTCTTTGCCTTACCCGCCTCCAACAAAATACTAGGGACGATATCATAAATCTGACCAACGAGTTTGAACAGGGGGTCATTGGGGAGGTTCTTGAGGGCAAATTCGCGCTGGGCGGTATAGCGGGGGTCGGTCTTACGGAGGACAGCGTGACCGTAGCCGGGGACAACTTGGCCATTTTTGAGAGTGGACCAGACGTAGGATTTGACAGCGTCGTCTGTGGCGTTTTCACCGATTTGGGATTGCATTTTGCGGAGCCAGAGGAGGACCTCTTGGTTGGCGAGGCCGTGAAGGGGGCCTGCGAGACCGTTGAGGGAGGCACCGAATGCAAGGAAGGGGTCAGAGAGGGCGGAACCGACGAGTTTGCCGGTGTGGGCGGAGACGTTACCGCCTTCGTGGTCGCTTGGATAGTGTCAGTGTGCTTCGTTTGGTATAAATGAAGAAGGCATACGTGTGGATGGTGATGTAAAGACGGAGGAGCTCGACGAATGCCTCGTTGTCACCGAAGCCGAGGAGAGTTGCGAGGTTGGCGGAGTAATCCTTGCTGTTATCGATGGCAGGGAGTTTTCCGTCACCAAAGACATTGCGGTATATGCGACCAGCGATGTTGGGGAGCTTAGCAATACTAAAGGGGAGGTGAGGGTTAGTTCATTGAATGGAGGATGAATACTGACAGATCCATAGAGTCCTCGAATGTGTAACCCCAGTATTCCTTCTTGGAGACACCGTCTTGGTATGCCTTGGCAAAGGCAGAGTCATGGTTGAGTGCGGTGACTGCCATAGAGAATTGGCTCATGGGGTGAAGAGTGGGAGGGCAGCGGTCGATGATCTCCTTTACAAAATCAGGTATCTCAGCACGAGCAGCCCAGTCACGGCTAAGCTCTGCAACCTGTTCCTTGGATGGAATTTCGCCGGTGAGGAGGAGCCAGAAGAGACCTTCTGGAAGGGGTTCTGAGCCACCTGGTGCTGCAGGTAGAAGGCTCTTGCACTCGTCGATGGACTTTCCGCGGAAACGGATGCCATCCTCTGGACAGGCGTGAGATGGTAAATATGAGAAAGACAAGAAGATGACAGACCTGGGTCGAGTACGGAACCATCCCAGATGAGGGCTGGGAGACCACGCATACCACCATAAAGTTGGTCGACTGTTACTGGACCGAATGCCTTTTTACCATGCTCTGCTCTTATTGCTTTTACCTGGAAAGGAATGAGGATGATGAGGGTGGAAAAATAAGAAGCGGACCTTTTCTATTTCTGTAGGGATGAGCTCGGCAAGACGTTCTTTTAGAGTGAGGTGTCTTGAAGCTGTTGAAGAGAATCGAATTGAGGTGCGTGCAAGCAGTGGAGAGCGTGACTAGGAGAAAAGATTAGCGTCAGTCTGACAGGGTTAAAGTTTACATACGACATTGAAGACGTTACGGAGAGCAGCGACCATGGTGGGGAGTGAAGGGAAGAAAGTGAGAGTCAGGGTGAAGTTGAAATTGAAATTTAAGAGGGAGAATATCGGAAAACATCGGACCACGGGAAAAATGTCAACAGTGGATCGATGCCGCACGCGGGAGCAACGCGGGCGCGAACCGAACCGTGACCGAGGAAGATGCCAAAGCGAAAGAGAATGACGACGACGACGGTGACGGCGACGACGAGCAACGCAACTTCACTGCTTCCACAGGTCAGTTCGGTCAGCTCTAATAAATGAAAGACTAAATTTTGAATAGAAAAAACATTACAGACAACGAGCGCACGCGAATCCATTCTCTGACCATTCACTTGTCTATCCATCATCACCCGATTCAATCGATTGGTCAACTCATTATCCAGCCTTTATAAACCAGAGACCATCGTTTGCAGATATTGGATGTGGATTTGGCGGTCTGTTGATCTCACTAGCACCTCAATTCCCTGATACTCTCATCATCGGTCAGTCAGTTTATTATTCAATTAAACTCGTTTCTTATATCCGCAGGTCTTGAAATCCGTGTTCAAGTAACACAATATGTCCAAGATCGTATCACCGCACTCCGTGCAACCACAGACAACTACCAAAATGTATCAGTCATCCGTGCAAACGCAATGAAATTCCTCCCAAACTTCTTCCAAAAAGCTTCCCTCACCGCTCTATTCTTCCTCTTCCCCGATCCTCACTTCAAAACACGCAAACACAAAGCACGCATCATATCACCCACCCTTCTTGCAGAATACGCGTACGTCCTCGCACCAGGTGGAATCGTCTACACCATCACAGATGTTGAGGATCTTGCACAGTGGATGCGCGCTCATTTAGACGCACATCCACTATTTCAATTTGTTCAGGAACAAGAACTTAGGAATGAGGGAAAAGGCCCTATCTTGGATGCAGTATATGGTTCAACGGAAGAAGGAAAAAAGGTGGAACGCAATGCTGGTCAGAAATGGCTTGCATGCTTCAGACGCATCGAGGTCAAAAGAATCAATTCATAGTTTGCAACTGAGATAAGACAACAAATGTACAATTTAGACTTTGCGAAACGAATTTCTCTTGATATCAACCATGGTTGCAAGACTCCGTGTGCCCAGTTTACTCAATCGCAAAATTTCGGAGGAGTCAAGTGGGGAATGCGCATGAGTGAAATAGACCTTAAGATCACCAATGGGGCTTCTTCTAAAATAACTACCGCTACCACTACTGATTGGAGAGACAAAAAAAAACTAGTGGTGACACCTCAGTCTTACTAGTTAGAAAGGCTGAGAGAAAGGAATATTATAGACCGAATATTCAAGGATTGTTAAAATGGAGAACGAAGTGGATGCAATGTGTGTTACAGTGAATGTGTATGTAAAATAGACATGTACGTGATAGCGTCAAACACAACGAAGAATTGTCCTGGCGACTGTGCATTATAATAACTGTTGCATGTTAAACCATCTCGGTCAAAGAAACGTAACAAGGATTGCTTCCGTATCTTGCAAGTCGACTCCAGAGCCGATAGGTAAGACGTCAACAATTAGAGGTCCACTAACTCTACCGTCGCTAGTCTCGTACGTCTGACCTCCCCAGGTCAGATTGCTGGTATCGGAAGCATACCTACGGACAGCTTTAGCATCCAGGCCGCAAAGATCATGAAATCAGCTCATACCCAATTTTTAGCGTCTTCACGCACATATTATTAGGAGTATTTCCGAAATCTGTGAAAGAGAAATCGATGTGGGTTGAGTTCCTCGCGCCAGCGCCGGAAAGGTACGCGATCGTGTTAATGAAGACAGCTTTTGAGAGGCGGCTATACTCATAAAATGCATAGCCTGATATATTGTTCTCATCGATAGAGATTTCAACTGCTTCCGTGGCCCCAGATGATCCGATAGCTTCTGCGGCGATGATAGCTGCGTAGTATGCTGGTTGTATGTGTGGTGCCAGCGGCGCGATCGGGGAACCATCAAGGATTGAGTAGTTAAGCGCCAGAGGTTGAATCTATGCATAAAGAGATTGAGTAACGCTACATTAACTCAGACGAGTGCTGACCAAATTGTACTTGTAGCCAATGCCCTCATGGAAGTGTAAGCGACTGATGCCAATTTGTGTGGCGTACAAAGTATAGTCAAGTAACCAGAGGGCAGCGCCAGCTGTATTGCTAACATCTGGCAAAAAGGACGGCCGTATGTAAGTTATTGCGACTTCTGTTCATGTTGTCAACCTTACTAGGTGCACCATGGCAACTAAAACCTATCAACAAGTTAGTAAGTCTAGTGCTACATAACAATTCTCGGACAATAACTTACTGTTTGTCTCCCCGAGGATGTAGTCTAAACCGTTGGCCAAGGTCGCTTTAATATCTGGGATAAACACGGATAAATTGCCACGAATATAACTCTTGGTCATTAAATCCTGCAGCACAGCTCCGCCGCCAGTACAGAATGAGCCACTGTAATGATGCTGCGAAATGCTAGCCATGAGAGTCAGCACGCTATCCAGATTCTGGCGCTATGTTTGACATACGTGTTGATCAGTTGACCTGCAGGAGATTCAAGGATGCCTAGATTGAATATAGCTTGCGGAGAGAAACCGCTAAGGTTGTTGTGAGAAGACTCAGCGAAAGCGGCTCCGATCAATTTTGTGCACGATAACTGGGAAAGGTTGGCTGTCATCGATACGTTATGTGCAAATTTCTCCCACCTTCATACCGGTCAGCACTAACGAGTTGAAGTCATCGCCACAAACTTACTCAGAGACATATCCGTGTACATTATAACTGCTGTTACGGCCTCCATTGTGGTGGTAGAGATCAGCCTCGTTGCCGATTTCGATGAACTTCAAATCGATGTGTTTCTCTACAACAGCAGGGGAAGAAAATGCGTTCATGAGCGCGACAGTTTCGAGATAGGTTGCCGTCAGGTTGTATTCCCTCAAGTTCAAGCCCCAGTGAACTTCCGTCCCTGAAATTAAAGCGCGTTAGTCGCTTGAGAGTCTCTGGAAAGTCAGATTACCATTGGGAAGATGGGAGATGATATCATAGAAGCCTTGCCCAACAGTGATATTGGTGGCTTCTGGGTATGGCCTGATTGTGCTCGGAGGAGGGAAAATATCTTCCTCGTACTATGCGCCAGCTCAAGACAAGAACCAATTCAACATCAAACAAAAATTACCTCGACGTCATAGCTGAAATCAGTATGGTCCTCCGAGTCGGCACCTATTCTCACGAAGGGAGGAGTGTTCGTGAATTGGATAAAGTTATCAAGGACGTTGTTGAAGAATTGATTCGGTTCCGTCATTCCTGCCCAGTCATTCCATCTATCCTGTTCGATTGAAAGAGAAACGAGGTTCCCCTTGAGTGGTGCTGCTCCCAAAGGCGCGGTAAGAGGGATTGTGACCTGTATTGCCGAGACAATTGGAACGACAAGTGTGATGAGATGGGTGCCCCACATGATAAATCGTGGTATGACAGGCATTTTCTTGGTGCAAACCTAGGGTGCGACTCTGAGATCCTATGTAAAAGGCGTGGAATTTGTACAAAAGTAAACGATGAAATTAGTATGCATCCGGAACGACGAGGAAGCGAGTAGTACTGGCTATGTAGTACTTCGAAATTTATTGTAATAAGCGGGGTTTCTCTTTCCGAGGCTTTCGTCATGGTGATCGTTGCCTAAAGTGGTATGCTGATATAATCAACTCCGTTCAGCCACGGAGCAAACTCAGAGTCTCAACCATGGCAGACGTCCGTGCCCTACTGAAAGCCAAACGCCAAGAAGCAAGAGTAACTCATCCACTAGCGTCCTATACGACAACTGGACAATTGCGATGCTCTGTCTGCGGAACGAATATTAAGCATGCATCTGCTTGGGACGGTCATCTCGGCAGCAAAGCACACCGTACCAACGTGTCTCGCGCTAAAGAAGAGGAAAGGGTTAGGGAACAGCAACAAGCTGCTCAGGGGGCTCATGCTACTAAAAGAAAGGCAGTCGAAGATGCACCTGGCGAAGATGCAGTCAAGAAGCAGAAAATAGAGCCTACTACCTCAACGCCTCGTTCTAACACGTTTCCGTTAGACTTCTTCTCTGACCCCTCAAAAGCATTACCACCCCTCTCAGATGATTCGGATGACGAAGAGCTCAACTTATCTATCGTTGCTCCTGCGCAGGAGTCTGGGTTACACACTGTTGCCGTGGCACAGCCAGAGCTTGACCAAGAGTGGATCAAGTTCCAACAGATCGTCATTAATGCGCCTGATGCAAACGAGACATATGACCGGGCGACTGTATTTGCGGAGCCGGATCTCGTTCCTGACGTGGCAGAAGGTTTCCCTCCCCTGCAGGGTGAGAAGGATGCTCCAGAAGTTGAGGCTAAACTAGACCCGGACGAGGAAAGGCGGAGGAAGGATCAGGATGAAAAGGAAATGATCATGGACCGCTTATTGGATGAAGAGAGGGCGCAGGAAGAGGCGGATATGAAAGTCAGTGTACTGAAAAGCAGGTTGGAGGCATTGAGGATAAAACGAGAGGCTGCACGGACCAAACCAAAAATTATGGTGTAGTGAGGTTTTCGACCATCATTCATTCTCTTGATCGACTCTGATTATTATCATGTTTGCTAGGTGTCATATACCGTGATTTAATTCTATGGCGTATATTTTGGCGTCTCCCCAGTGCCAGTGCTCCATCCGACCATGGGCCTCGTCCAGACTCCACGCGCGCTTGTTCGCACATTTATTTTTAGCACGGGCTACCACATGACGCTTTCACGCAGTGCATGAATGAAGACTTCTACATTCTCTAGCATCCATGAGATCCACGAATTGATCTTATCAAGACTAGATAAACCTTCCCTGTCACGACACATGGTTCGGAAAGTATGAGAATACTTTTAGTTTTCTCAATATAATCGCGTCTTCAGCCCTCTTCACCCGCCTGTGATCCATTACGTCGACATGAAACTTGTTTGAAATTGAAATTTCCGACTTGGCAGATATGCAATGACGATCTGTTGGCAATTGGTGGTTGTTTGGATTAACGCGAGTCTTAATTATCTCAATCGTGGCAGGTACGATATGCTGCAGAATGATCAGCTGTAAGGACAAGAACCTGATAGTTCTGGAGCGGACCGAGTCGTTCAAAATAGCACAGGGGCACCCTGTGCGTCGCGGGAATAAGTGTAAGCCTGGAAGCATGGCATGCGGTCCTCTCGATTAGTGAGATGTGTGGCCTGCACAGTAGAAGGCAAAACAATGCAGCTCCTCATTACCTTCCTGCAATATGTCTCGTTGCCGGATCTAAAAACCATCATAACTCTGCAGATGTAGATATCGATCGGAATGTACGGACTACTTACCGGCCACAAGAAGAATGCCAGCACAAACCACATATTCTAACATGGTGTGCAACAATTCATGCACGGCTTCCTGGGCAAAGAGTGAGCACAGTGGCGCTGGAGATTGGTGTGAGGGGAGTAGGGAGCAGAGAAAGAACAAGCAGAATGTGGTCATAGACGATTAAAGCTGGTGACTTGGTCACTTGCAAAGTTCTATAGATCAGCAGCACAACGCTGTCCGGATGTTCTTGGCCAAGCAAATGAATTGAAAGAAAGTTTTATCTGACGAAAGCTTGCAGTGGCTGTAGGCATGCAATATCAAGATTAATTGGACAGCTTATGCTTTAGTATATCTGCTCCGTCCAACGACACCTCGTCTTGCACCCCTACCCAACGCCTCCATTCTAGCCCTTGCTTGTGAACCATCATCAGAGCCAGCATCACCGGCAGATACCATAGGTAATTTTGAAATGATATCCTTGCTTCCTTTTCTCCACAATGCCGCCACCAAGCCCAAGAACCACGAACGCAAATTGCGTTCGGGACTAAGCTTGTAATAGCAAAGGCCCACGTAGTCAATCCTGACAGTGGAAACAAGATAGAACAAATAGGGACAAGGAGCAAAGAGTGGCGGAGAGCCACGAGAGCATTCTGTTGCGGATTCAGCACGCACAGCATCTTGTAGCCTGCTTGAGCGTAGGAACCTCGAATAAAGTGCGACAACGAGTTGAAGTGAGGGAATTGCCAACTATAAAGAAGCATGAATAGTGCGAACGCGCCAAGGGGGTTATCAATCATGGACATGTCTAGTGGTGCCTCTGTGATGAACGAAGGAAGGAAAAGATGAATCGGGTAATCTGCAGATGGGAGAATTTTTCCGCCACAGGCCGTCCAACCCATGACCGGCGGGATTCCACCAACGACCGCGCCCACCCAGGTGTTGGATACACTTTTACGTTTCAACCAAGTGTATGCCGCTGCATAAAGTACAATGTTGGCTGCTCCTAGACATGCTGTAGTGGGGTTCGCCATAAACCACAGTATTGCAGGACCTGCTACTCCTGTCACAGCAGCAAACCCTGCAGCAGTGCAAAGGAGAAATAGCTCTGCGAACCAACGGCCTTTGGCGGGTGCGAGCCATTTGAGCATCATATGGTATTTCTTGAATTTGATTCAAAGTATTCGCCGAGGCTGAACACAGGGCCGTGCCAAAAGCTGTGGAGAGAAGAATTGGGACCGTCGCAGGAAGTGGTGAGAGAGCGACGCCTGACATTGCAGTCAATACCACCAAGATAGTCAAACGTGACTTGGAAAGCTGCGCATAAATCTTCAGTAGGCGTCTCGGGGTGAGTACTTCAACTTCTTTGAAGCCAGCGGGGGTGACGTGAACTGCATCTGGTTCTGCAACTGCATGTGCAATGGGAGTTATATCGGAAGGCTTTAGCCTATCACTGTGAGCGGACCACTGTTGATTGTGGCAAAAGAACGAGGTAAATTCTCGACGTGCAGGAGACACGGTGTATAGTCGACTGAAAGCCGCGGAGGCCAGAAACTTTTGACTAGCAAGAGAGCGGGATGCACTTGACGTGCGAGAAATAAAAAAATTGCTACATGACTGAAAAGCATGTATTCTCATTTCTGAATACAGAATAGTGATTTGTGCATGAGCTCTCTGTTATGGACAGCAGCGACCAACTCACCTGCACCAGCGCACAGACCAAGGTTTCAGTTAGCGGAGTTTGAACGCCTTCTCACAGCAACTCACTACACGTTTCTAAAAAGTGTTGACAACAAGCAGCTTAGTGAGCTCTTGTAATTACACCCCAGCGTTGTCACGAGGCCCCGTCTTAATACCTTGCCATGCCTGGCACACATCTTCTCCCACCGAATCTTCTAAAACTATTTGCACCTCGACCGCCTCTTCCTTATGCACGACCAGTTGGCAAAGACATTCACCGTGTAACTTCCAAAAATGTTGATGGTGTTGCAAGTATCCTAGCGCGACTCAAGGAAGCCTCGACTGCAACATTAATAGCAGGAAATGGCGAAGTTGGAGATGGGATGGAAGAAGGCGAGGAACCTGCATTCACACTGGCCGAAGAAACTAAACGGCAAATTCGGAGAGAGGAACGCAAAAAGAAAAAGACAGAAGAGTTCAAGATCGCAAAGGAGACCTGTGAGTGGTTGTTTTTGTCGACCTGATGTAGGTCCACTAAGCTCTCTTCATATTTCTAGACAAGCCCGCGGATGATGCGGAAGCGATTGGAGACCCATATAAGACGCTCTTCATATCACGTCTGGTTAGCTTTGTGGTCATGTTAATCTTGCGCGTTTTGCTCACCTTTTTATGCAGAATAAAAATGCAACCGAAAGCGACCTTCGACGCGAATTCGAGAGTTTCGGCACTATTGAACGGGTAAGACTGGTGCGGGACCAGAAAGGCCGGTGCAGAGGCTACGCATTCATTGTCTATGAACGCGAACGAGATATGAAAGGTAATCATGGTAAAAGTGTTGTTTCTTTTATTTGTACTGAGCTCCTTTCAGCGGCTTACAAAGAATCTGATGGTTTACATATCATGGGCAAACGCATACTTGTTGATGTCGAACGTGGCCGGACTGTAAGAGGGTGGAAACCCCGTCGTCTTGGTGGAGGTCTTGGCGGACGCCCGAAACCAGTAGAACAACCTGTATTACCCCCACCAAGAGTTCCCGGTGGACGAGGCGGTTTTGCAGGAGGGGGAGGGGGGAGGGGTGGAGGATTTGGCGATCGAGGCGGATTTCGTGGCGGTCGTGGTGGCGGATTTAGAGGCGGTGGCGGTGGCTTTGGAGATCGAGGTGGAGGCTTTGGAGATCGGGGTGGTTTCCGGGGTGGAGGTGGAGGTGGCTTTCGAGGCGGACGTGACGATGGCTACAGGTTTGTTCAAACATTCAACATAATCTTCACGTGTGACTTATCTCTCTGCAGGGGTGGTCGAGGTGGTGGCATTGGTTACCACGGAGGTGGATTTGGCGGTGATGCTCCTGCTAATGGCTTCGGCCCTCCAGGTGGTCAAGCTCCTGGTGGTCCCGGTGGCTTTAGCGGTCCTCCACAACAAGGCTATGGACCACCAGGGGGCGGCTTCGGTCCAGGTAGAGGTGGATTCCGCGGAGACCTCAAACGTGAAGGGCCTGGTGGGTATGATGACAGGGACGTCAAGCGACCGCGATATTAGTTGCGACTGGGTGAGATACGTCCAGTTTTTTTTTCGGTTCTCTGGTGCTTCTTGCTTCAAGTCGCATGACTCTGCGCTAGGTGGGGTGTGTAAGTACTGAACGCTTTTGTTGTCACAATGCTTTGCAGCCTTTGCGTAAGTATCACTATTTTATTGCTAGGAGATAGCCTATTTCTATGGGTGATGATGTTAAGGCAAGTGTGAGTATATCCAACCGATCTTGAGCAATAGCAGATATGATGATGTACATGCTTGACGAGAAGCGAGAATGTGATGATTATGCTACGTCTTATTCGGAGGATTTTCGGGCCAATCAGCGCCTATCAGGGCCAGTCGTCCAGGTTCGATCTGAGATCACTGACAAGCCCGTGGTTACAGCATCAATGGTCAAGGCAGGGTCCCTGTGTCCCTTCCTATCGCTGGCGGTGGGCAACGTTGGGCAGCATCATGCAGATTAGTGTGACACGGTTAGTAGCCTGCAAAACTCGACTTTACATTTCCCGGACAGATCTCCGGCAAAACCAGACTATATCGGCTTCTTCGGGAGAGAACGTCACGGATCACAGGCTAGCACAGCCTGAGGCACATGTCCGATCGAAAGTCGATCCTTTTACCTTGAAAAAAAATCTTTACTGCAAAACATTGCGTGATCCTTGGTACGTGCACAACAGATCAACTATCTATGATCGTAGACTTGAGGGAGGGCATCCAGGACGAACTCAAACTGTCCACCTACTTTTTTCATCGAGAAAAAAAAACATATAGAATGTTATTTGCGAAAAAAGGTTAGTTCTCATGTTGATCATTTGTTCCGAACTGCATAGCAACTCCCGGTGCCGCAACTTTTTTGTTCAGCCGCCATCTACGAAGAAGGCCCGAACATTCACATCGGTTTGTTTCAGAGACCGGATAAGATTCTGAATTCGAGTGCCAGCACACTAGATCGTGATGCGGCCTCGGGTGCGGTAAGTAAGCTTTGCTTGCTTGACAGACAACGTACAAACATGCGTATCTGCCCGCCAATGGTAGCAGTTCCTGGAACCCATCAAAGATTCAACTCAGCCAGCTACCCGAATCCGACAGATCATTCCAAACTAGTCATCATTGCAAGCACGATTACAGCATACGGACATGACCCTACCCAAGGATTCCGCTCTGAGGCAATTTTTATAACGCTCTGGGTACCGCGTTCAAGTTCATCTTCCTGTGTTGAACTTACACAAGAGTCTTCTACGCAGAACATCAAATTTTATGGATGCGTAGTTCAACCGTCGCACCACGGAAGTAGACATCTCCCCCAACTACGGTTCCTTGGTTGGTACCCCGATCCGGTGAGTTCCATTATTTTGGCTTTCATTCGTACCTTCCTCCCTCCTTCCATGCGTGAATCTTCCTGTGCGACCCATCATTCTCCTTTCTGACTTGCCTTTTGAGTAGGCTGCGTGATCGCCTGATCTGGCGTACGATTGGCCTGCCACCTCTCTGACCCTTTCTGGCTACCTTGTCCTTACAAGGGCCTGAACTGCGTCTTATTCAATTCAACAACTTGACATAAGGGCAATCGATCTCCGGTTTTTACAACTGCACCAAAAGCCGCTCAAATAAACAAGTAAAAGGGATAACCTCCCTTGCTACGATCGTCTGCTTTTTGCTTCCTACCTCTGCCGCTGGACTTCGAAACTGGGTGCAAAACCTGTACTCCAGAGCACATTTTGTGCATTCGTCTTTGGATGCCTATGGCACGTGCAAGCTATGTTGGGCAGGATGAGCTGCCAAGGCATCCTTTACAATGCGAAAATCCTCATGCCGCATCAGACTGTTCGCCTTCTCCCATTAGTTCGTCAGCTCAGTCTCCGGTCAATGTTGGGGGCGTCCGACCCAGCTCCGCGTCGTTATCAGACAGCAACGAGGCAGATTCTTGTAAAGCCCCATCTTCTGGTCCAGAGAGGTCAAAGTCCATCAGTGGCGTAGGTGCCAAGTGGGAAAGAGAGAAGCGGAAGCGTTCACGGGTCACTCCTGAACAACTTATCCATTTGGAGCGCTTCTTTTCGATGGACAGAAGTCCCACCGCAGCGAGGAGGAAAGAAATCAGTGATTTGTTGGGCATGCAGGAACGACAGACACAAATATGGTTCCAAAACAGGTCCGTAAATTCTCTGTTAGCGCACAAGCACCGCTGATAACGGTCCTTCAGACGCGCAAAGGCCAAATTGCAAGATGGCAAGAAGGGTCGAGGGGACGGCGCTGAAACCCCACCAGATACTCCCCCAGAATTGGCAACCGGATATGAAGCAGAGTTACATAGCCTCATACATGAAGACGAACGTAAGTTGCCAAACTTCTGGAGCCTGGTTTCTTTACTTATGCCATCTTTGCTACCAGCGGTGACCATTATTCCGTGCAGTGATTTGTCTATAGGGACGTGGCGTCGTATTGCAACTGCTATAGGGAAGCACGATCTTGTCGCTTACCTGTGTGACGGCAAGCGGTGCTTGACGTGGTTCATCCACTCGGCGGGCTATGGCTTCAAGATGGAAATTCCTTTCGACATTATTGTTCATACGGAATTTACAAACGCGGCGCCAGGGTCAGGACTGGCTTCATTTATCCTTTCACAACCGCCAACTTTTTACCTTGAGTCCTTCTCGAGTCCTGGTCCTACTCGGCAGTGGAAAAAATGTGCGGATTGGACGGAAGGACAACAAGCCACTAAGATCCTGCGTCATGACTTGATAGGTTCAGCTGTACAGCTTGCCCACCTTCTGCGTCATCTGAATGCCTATGCTTCTGGGTCGGATATTCGTCTTCATTCACCATCCTATTATTCTCAGGAGCCACCGCCACCTCTAATGGAGGTCCCCCAACCTCCCATGGCAATTTTAACAGGGCCCGCATACCCCTACGGTGGAGATGTCAACGAGTCTAGAAGGACAGAAGGTCCTGTCCACATAAGGAGAAGATCTTTTTCAGGTGGTACCATGCATTTGAGTCATCTGCATCGCCCTAGTCATCAACCTCTCGCTGTGGATTTGCCTGTCAATCCGACCCCAGGTCCACACTCAGCCCCATACGCTTCATCATCCTTCTCACCGTATTCCAGCCGTAGTCATCCGTCCATCCACTTATCGTCTCATTCACCGATGTTCTCAGAATACCCGAACTCCGTGTCATCGCATAGTGCATCGCAACAATCTCAATCCCCAGTCGATTACGGTCCAACGGATACCCATAGTGTTCCCCCGCGTTCCTATTCATCCGCACAAGTGCATCATATGTATGATGGCACACACACTATGTCGATGACTTCTCCATATTCTAGCAATGGACCAACCCCTAGTTCTTCCCAAACGCCATTCGTTTCTCCTTCACCGCCGTTGTTGACAACTCCATTTTATCCTCCTGCAAATGACTACAGCACACGGGGCTGAGCCTCATTAACTCGCAATACCTGGTTTACTATATGAACCCCTTGATCAAAAACTGTAACACCCTGGACCTTTGCGCTACTTTGCATGGGTTGCCCAATAATCTTCGCCTTTATTTGCGGTACAAACTTTATTCACGTTCGCTTCGCAAGTTCATTTCTAACATTTTAATACCCTACACCGCTTCACTTCCACGTCTTTGGTAGTGGGTCCGTCATTCCACGCTCCATGGGAAGTTTATCTTCCCTCACTGAACGCTGGTATATGTCATTTTAATACCTTACTTGTAAACAGAAAGACGCCCTTTCGCACACCATAGCTTGCACAGTAGATGGTAATAAATCCTCCTTGCCGGCCACGTGGTTTTAGGGTCGAGAATGGAACCGCTTTGATAACGCGCAGGTGAGACCGAGGAACAATTAACATGAAAGCACGATTAATGAAATGGGGTGGTATAGTACAATATGCCAACTATATCTGATTAAGTTGTCGCTGCTCCCGTTCTCTGCTTAAGCGGGAATTGTAAGTTTTGCTAATTATGTTAACTGCAAGACCTTAAGCAGCTGCATGCCAGGGTATCTTGGCCAGAGACTCACATGTTTCCAGGTAACGTTCGAGACATCGAGACAAACATGTCTGGATGTGAGAGATGTCAGCATCTCCCTTGCAAACTTGAAGGGTAAACCCACCTCCTCTGAGCTAGACAATGAGGTCCCGGGCTTCGCTATGCACTTAGCGAAGCATTTTTCGTTCGTTTTCTGAAAGCCTTTGTTACTGTGAATACTGGTAGCAATAGCAGGGACCACACGTTTATAAGCTCCTGCGCGCTGGCAAGGGCAATCTCGGAACGCACACTGTTCATCACGGCTTCTTTTTTTGCAGCCATGTCTACAAAATATGAGTAGCAGCTAGAATTGCATGACTGGGTGTCCCATACCTGACGGAGAACTAGACGACGACGATGATTTGAAGAAGTCAGACATGTTGCAAATAACGAGGAACTAGTGGTATGACTTGGAAAGTTCCTTAAAACGATATAAATGTTTGTGTGACTTCGGGAGCAATTGGACACTCCAACGGCACGAGATCTCAGGCCGGAGACTCAAAGAGCATTGGCTCTATCAGCAGTCTCATACGTTCATGGGTGCACGCGAATCCACCGGCCGTAACACTGAATCCGAAGATGCAGTCCCCGACTACTATGAGTTGCTAGGTATCGAGGAATCGGCAAACGGCGACGAGATCAAGGTATGATACGGCTCGCTTTTTTGTGTCACATCAAGCGTCCCTTGTCTGATTTGTCCTCAAGAAAGCCTTTCGAAAATTAGCCCTTGTTCATCATCCCGACAAGAATAAAGATGATGTCGAAGGTGCTACCAAAAGATTTGCTGCTATCCAGCAAGCGTATGAGGTGCGAGTTCTAGCCCCAAGGATACGAGTTGGAGGCTCATTGCATATCGGATCGACAGGTATTGAGTGATGAACAGGTTAGTACCTGCCATCCATGCGTTCTGTATCGCCCAACTGTACCGTGCAAGTAGGAAAGAGCCTGGTATGACTCTCACAAAGCATCTCTAGCACCAGAACCTGATGCAGAAGCCGTCTTCGATGATATTCGAAAAGGTGCTCCGCCTCCCCGTGCCCGCGACAGAGGCCTGACCGTCAGACATCTCGCTCAATTTTTTGATGCGACCATCTGGTCAGACTTTGATGACAGCGAAAATGTGCGTTCCACGTGTAGCGCATCCCCCACAACCGCAATAATATACACTATGATCACTATACTCATACTTGCCACCAGAGTTTCTTCACAATTTATCGCAATCTCTTTACACGCTTGGCACAGGAGGAGAATCTCATCTCCCAGATCGAGTATCCCAGCTTTGGACATGCCTCCTGGCCTTGGTCCACACCTAAATCAATGGATGCACCTGCTGCACGCAATTTCTATAATGCGTGGATTAACTTTGTGACTCTCAAGGATTTTGTATGGATGGAACAGTGGAACCTTGCGGAGGCGCCCGATCGCCGAGCACGACGGTGAGTGGTGGTGTCTTGTCGGATTATGTGACTGAGTATCTTCTAGACTCATGGAGAGAGACAACAAAAAGGCCAGGGATGAGGCACGAAAAGACTATAATGAGACTATCAGAGTAATTGTTTACAGTTACATCTTACTAAAAAAATCTCTGATTATCGGTGCGCAGCAACTGGCTACTTTCATTCGCAAGCGCGACCCGCGATACAAGGCTCATCTCGCTGTACAATCTCAAGCCAACAAAATCTTATCCGAAGCTAAAGTCCCCACATCCGGGTCCTCTATACCACGCCCCCAGCCCGTTAAACCTTATGTAGAGCAAGCCTGGCAAAGAGCAGGCGGTATAGATCATGATGCTGATGCTGACCTTGAGTGGGCGGCAGGTGAAGGTAACACAGAGGAATGGGAGTGTGTCGCATGCGGGAAGACGTTTCGCAGCGAAGCTGCATGGGACAGCCACGAACGTAGCAAGAAGCACATGCGTGAGATCGAGAGACTGAAAAGAGAGATGTGGCAAGAGGAGGAAGCACTCGGGCATGGTCTAGAGGAGGGAGAAAGCGACGAGAATGAGGTGGATGGAGACTTCGATAGCAAGTTCATTCCTCCACCTTTACCATCGCCACCAGAACTGGTACGAGTCGAAAACGAAGATGCTGATGAAGCCGGTTCACCCACAGAGGAACTCCCCGCTGAGGATGACCAACTGGCGCACAAAAAAGGTAAAAAGCACAAGCTCAAGCCCAAAGCAAGACCATCAAGCGATGCGCCACCATCCACTACCACACCACCAGAAAACAAGGATGATTTTCAGAATGTCATGTCTTCCCAATCTGAGCTTTCAAAGCGGGAAAAGCGGAAGCTCCGAGAAGCGAAGAAAGCTGCCAATATTGTCGAGGCAAAGCACAGCATGGTCTGCACATCTCCCTCCGCGCAATAGATCTCCTGTATTGACATACTCATAGGTTTGCAACGTGTGCAAATCACCCTTTGAGAGTCGTACGAGGCTATTTACACACATCCGCGAAACAGGACACGCGCTTGCTGACTCCGAAGAGCCGGCGCGGGGGAAGAGAGGGCGCAAGGGGCGATAATGATCGGGTTGCAGATTGAGATCGCCGTCGTATACCAGATAGAACACGGGACACCGGAACGCATAGCATCTCGACACCCCTGTAATTTGCACTAGCGATGTGCCAAGCAATGAGTTGTACAATCAGCTTGATAAAATGTCCGGTACAAATAATAAACACACAAGCACCCTACTAGAGCAGCATAAACAAGAGAGCATGAACTCAACTATCCCATAAGCTGTGAAACGTCCTCTGGTGGGTATTTTGTCTGAGAGAACGTCAAGAGCCTGAGAGTATGTATCAACTAAGTTGAAGCAATGTTAAAAAAGAAAGATACAACCTTTTGAGGCTCTGTATATATTTCCTGCTGACTTCGTCATTCAACACATGCGCAACCTGATCTGTGGAAATCTTTTCGCGTGCGGAACGTTCATGGATACTAGCAAGTCGTTCAAATTAGGCAAGCGTGATGATAAGGATGGAGAATAACAACACACCCCACCATCGTAACACCAATTGGCCACGGCGCATTACCAATGGACAGCCGGAGGTACGAGTCGTTCGCTCTCTGGTATTGTCGCTTTTGCATGTAATATACTATTTCAGCTATGCGTACAAGCATGTCCGGCGGTAAATTCTAAGACAACCAAGTGTCAGTTTAATGGTTTGCTTTAAAAATGAAAAGCCTGTGATGACAACAACAAATGTGTGTGTATGAAGTTTGGATGTGTGGCAAAGAGCAATTCAACAACATATGCAAAGATAAGAGATGAAATGATTGAGAAAAGTGGAAGGACAGACTCACTCGTGAACGAAGAGTCTTGAAGAGAGGCTTCAGATACTCAGCAGACTGAACTTGTGTTGCTGCAGCCAGTTTGCCCTGATGAGTCCGCTTGACATTTTCTGTACCTCCTGTTAGACAAATAGAATTGACGTCTGTGCAAGACATACCTGGTCGTTCATCCATCGCCTCTTCCCATTCCTTGAGCGTCCGCTTGAGTGCGTAGTATATGACGGGGTATAATTTGTCCGGATCCGTCTTTAGCAGCTCCAAATCCACCATGGCTACACTACCGGCGCTATTGCTCACATCTCCGTCATCCTTCTTCTTCCCCTTATCATTTTTGGCCCTCAACTCCCTCTCAACGCTCTCGACGTCTTCCAGTGCCTTCCTAAAGTCATTTGTGCCAGCTTTTTCATGCCCACGCTCTTCGATAAGTTCGAGAGCACGCAAACGCAGGCGCCGGTCCCGGTCGCTTTCACCAAAAAGTCGGATTGGCTGGCCTTTAGCTCGCAGTCTGCGGATAGCTTCATTGTTTGGAATGTTGAATGCACCTTCTAAGATTATCGAGTCTGGGTCCTGGCTTTCAGGTAAAGGGGTGTTAGAAGTAGAGCGTGAGGAAGTGTCAGCCTGTTCTCCAGCTCATCAGGCTACTGGCAGTAAAGATGATGAGATGAGCTTACCTGTTTCTTCTGCCTGCTTCTGGCTAGTGCAACTTCCCTCTCTGCCGCCTGCTCTGCCACCCTTTCCTTTTCTTTCTTCTCGCGTGCCCGCCGTTCTTCTTCTTCCTTCATGCGCTCAAGTTCACCGCGACGCATGTACTTTGACGGACGGACTTCGGCATCATTCTGCACGGTCTTACGCTTGAGTGCAATTTCAGCCTTGAGAGCGTCCATGACGATATTTAAATAGGAATCAAGTGTCTGCAGCTGTCACATCAGCGAACATGCTGACTAATCAATATACTCCGTGCAAACCCGACTTCAGGTTTCTCAAACCACTTTCATCGCACAAAAATGTCTGACTCTGCGGCTGCTGATCTATCGAGGTCCGTCTGTATATCCTTGTCGATCTTACTTTAGGCTTACAGAGCATTAGCAAATACATCCTCCAAACTGCTGGTTTTGATGGTACATCTTACTCTTTGTCGTTCCATGTTTTACCCTAGCTAACTGGTTTCGGTCGGATACAGCTCGCTTTCCGAATACCAACCAGACGCGTCACTGGTGAGCAGCGTCTTACTTTTAGCATGCATCTATATTCTGATTGTGCCACATTACAACAGCTTCCAGAATTACACGGACTACTTCAAATGCGTCGCCGCGAAGGGTGAAGACTTCGCACCATGCAAACAATTTAAGCGTGCCTACAACTCATTGTGTCCTAGTATGTTCATTTTCTATCTCGCTATATTAATCCTCTTGACTGTTGCTCCTTTAGACGAATGGGTAGGTGTTTAATTCTATGGCGCAGAACTTGATTCCTTACGTATGACTGTCATGTCCAGGTAGCGAAGTGGGACGAACAGAGGGAGAATGGAACATTCCCCGCGTCACTTGAGCCTTGATATGTGATAGTTGAAGTCCTTGCAGTTTTTTTATTTAATGATAGACTCGGCTTAGGCTTTGGGAGTAGTTACCGCTGCGACTGATTTGTGATTTGCAGACTCAGTTGTAAAGCCTTCTTGGAAAATGACAATGAAGTTCTGAGCAAGTCCTTACTCCGACACCTGCGTATGGTACAGACAACGTAGGTTGGTGGCACGTGAGATCATGATCTCAAGCCTTAGGACTTGTCTGCACACCCACATTAAACCATGGACGGGATCAACCTCAACGCTCTGAGCGAGAATGCAACGCGCCTCGGGATGAGGATTCAAGAGACAATAGCTGAGCATACCCGAGATTTGTCATTAACTCGGGGCGGGAGCTCATTGTTTGATATGGCGGACGACAAGGCGAAGAATATAACAAAGCAGCTCGAGTCAAGTAGTGACCGTGAAAAGCTGGACGCCATGAAACGGTTGATCGCGGTTTGTGCCAGTCAGTGTAACACCTGCATAGAAATTATAACATTGCTTTGTCCTCAGCTCATCTCAAAGAACCGACCAGTTTCCTCATATTTCCCTGCTGTAGTCAAGAATGTAGCCAGCCCGAACCTCGAGCTGCGCAAGCTGGTGTACATCTATCTCCTTCGTTGTGCACCATCTGAACCTGATCTGGCATTGCTGTCGATCAATACTTTTCAACGGGATCTCGCTGACCCGAGCCCTCTCATACGCGCTATGGCTCTTCGTGTCCTAAGCGGGATCCGTGTTCCTACCGTTGCTGCCATTGTGCTTATGGCTGTCCGCAAGTCTGCTGGAGACCCGAGCCCATATGTTCGTAAGGCTGCTGCGTTAGCCGTTATGAAAGTATACAAGTGAGTCTAACCTAGTTCAATATCATTTCATGAATCACAAAACACACGTATTAAGACTAGACCAGGCGCACCATCCAACTCTGCTCGATATTATGATGACTCTTTTGCGCGATCGCTCTTCGCTCTCACTTGGGACTGCCGTTCTTGCTCTCGACACCATTGCGCCATCTCGCCTCGACCTTCTCCACGTGCATTTTCGCCGCCTCTGCCGTGCCTTACCGGACATTGATGCGTGGGGGCAGGTAGACGTTCTACGTGTACTTGTGCGATACGCGAGGACTATGTTACCCAAGCCCGTTCCCGCCAGCGAGATGCAAGGTGAGGAGGTCGACAAAGATTTGAAGCTCCTGCTAGCCTGCGCAGAACCACTTTTCATGAACATGAATCCTGCAGTGCGCACACCGATTCACTTGTATCATGAAAACCTTCTTGACCAAGTAATCAGGTTGTTCTTGCTGTCGTACGGGCGTTTTACTACCTTGCTCCTCCATCGATGCTCTCAAAGATTGGCGCGCCTCTCCTTCGCCTCCTCAGCGTGTCGCGCGAGATTGAACGTGTGGCACTGGCTTACTTTCTCGTCGTGGCACGTTCGCATCCAGTATGTGTTTCCGTGAAGATATAGACTAAGAGCTATTCATTGATTGGCTATTTCATTCTCTTTTCGACTTGACCTTGTTCGAATTACACATCACCGCCTCTATATCCATATTCAGGCTCTGTTCATTACCTCACACAACCGCCTTCTCGTGCGTGCGGATGATGCAGAGCAGGTCAAGCGGACAAAGATTTCTGTTCTCCTGGCATTGTGCACAGTTGACAATCACCAGATATTACTGCGAGAATTCGCGGTACGTTTAGTTCATCCATTTGGAGGTAGGGGTTACTGATCACAATTCCTTTTATTCTTGCAATACCCTTTGACTCCATACCCGGCATTTGAACCCATGTCGCTATATACAGGACTACGCTCAGGACACAGACGACTCTGTTGTGGGAGATGCGATTCATGCCATTGGACGCATTGCCAGCCTCATTCCCTCGTCTACGCCTCAATGCCTCACTGCCCTCATGGGAATGATCAACAGCAAGCAAGGTCGGTGCGATCTGTCAATCTCGTAGTTCGAATTTACATGTTTGCATAGATACTATCGTCTCAAACGCAGTCCTCGTCCTCAAGTCCCTCGTCCAAAATCAACTTTTTACACCTTCCTCTATTTCAACCACGTCTCTCCCGACTTCCTTGTCGTCGCAGCAAGCTCTCATCACATCATCCATTTCCTCGCTGACACCACCAATCTACACTTCATTGTCAGCTGCACCCCTGTCCTTCACAAGCCCAGAGTCCACCTCCGTAGCCCAAGCTCCATTGTCCATTATTGCCCAGCTTGCCCGGCGCATAGACGACATCCGGCACCCCCACGCACGGGCTTGCGTGCTGTGGCTTGTGGGTCAATACGGGTCATTCCCAGGCACAGGAACAACAGTTGAAGGTGTAGCAGACTGGGCACCAGATGTGCTGCGCAAGGCAACGAGGAGCTTCAATACTGAGGTAGGTTTCAACCCACACTTCATTATTCCCGCGCTCATGCTAACTCCTACTAGGCTTCCCTAGTCAAACTTCAGACTCTCACTCTTGCTGCGAAATTAATACTGCTTGCGCCCACGTACGGTACACTCGTCCTACTGGCGCAACACGTTTTTACACTAGCTCGGTATGATAAAGACTGGGACGTGCGTGACCGTGCGAGAATGCTGAGGGCGCTTCTTGTTGGTGCAGTTGCGGATGTCATGAGCAGTAAGGATGAGGAAGGCGTTGGGGAAAATTGGAATAGGGAAGAGCAGGCAGGAAGGCCAGGTGTGGTGTTGAGAAGGGAACAGGTGACACGAGTGTTGTTCGAGGGAAAGACTGGGACGATAGAAGAGGAGCCAGTGGCTGGTGAGTGCGTTTTTGAGTTCTGATTTCGTCAACAAAGGACTCGTTTATGATTATGACCTACATTCATTTTCTTTCTCTTCGAGTCCCACTAATTCCAGCCCTCCATAGACGCTCGTCCCTTTGGAACGCTTTCCCTCGTGATGGAGAGTGAAAGTCTGCATCTGCATGATGACCATGAATACGAGACTGTGGTCGATCTCCCCGAGTGGCTGGAACAGGGAATTGACCCTGCGCTGCGTGATAGTGATGACGACGCACCCCAAGTTGCTTTATCGTCGATGACTCAAGCGATTTCACCGCAGGCAATCTCGTCCCAACGTGTGCCCACACCTGCGGGTTTAACACCAATTGTGCTCACGCCCACAGGGGGATCAACACCAAAGGATACGAAGGACTGGAGGGATTTGAACAAGTTCTATGCAAGTGAGAGTGAGTCTGAGGATGAGTCTGAGGAAGAAGAAGAGGAAGAGGAGGAAGGAGTTGAAGAGGGGAGTGGAATTGATGAAGATAGTGATGAGGATGAGGAGATTTCGGATGACGAGGAAGATGAGGAAGGAGATACGGAACACGATCCTACTCCGATGCACGAAAGGACATCGTAGTTGATTATCATTGGACCTCACTTTGGGCTCGCAAACACCCGCTGACTATCAACTCCCCGCCCAACCCATGCCTCTGGAATATGCATCACAATAACAAAACAAAGACATCATACACAGTTCTTTTCGGGATGAAAGCATACAATTCACCGCGCGGAGCAAGGTGTCATACATTGATGCGCTGTCATAAAGCTTACATACAGTGTAGTAGATCTACCTAAGCCGAGATGGTGACTTCAACCTCAACACCAGGCTCCAAGCTGATAGAAGTCTAATCAAAGAATGAGGAATCGGTAATGGAATCAAAATTCTCAGACTCACAATCTGCTTGACAACTTCGCTGGAGGAGTGCAAGTCGATGAGACGTTTGTGCACCTTGAGCTCGTAGCGGTCCCAGGTCTTCGAACCTTCACCACAAGGCTAACGAACGCAAGAGTCAAATAAATGCAGGTATATCATATAGTTGGCATACTGACAGTCTTACGGGTTGTGATCTTGAGGACCTTAGTGGGGAGGCGGACAGGGCCCTTGACACGGAGCTGCTTGTCCTTTGCACGGTTGATGAGGTCGGCGGAGACTATATTTAATAAATAAGTAGGTATTTGTGATCAACTGAAGTGCACAAACATTTTTCCAAGTTCTTGACGTTGCTGCTCGTCAAGGTAATGCGAATTTTATGAATTTTGGCAGCGGGGACAGCACCTGCTGCATCGTACTCCTTGTCCTTAGCGACGTAACTCATTCTGGCCTATATTTTTTTTGAATAAGTCAGAGGTGACTGAACAAATGTTTAGCAGTTTGAAAGCGAACGATACTCGAGATATGCGCACCTAAGGTTTGTGTGTGGATGAGAGTGATGATTAAGGTTTACTGAGATTGCTCTTTTATCGGCAAACTCCGGGAGTTCCCTTCAGAAACAGTCATGCAAGGCAAGTATTGGATCTGTAGGTACTAACGTGGGACAGATTGTCAACTAATCCTACTCTCTTTCTTAGGATTTAACAAGTATTATCCGCCAGATTATGATCCAGATAAACACCAGAGCTTAAATGCTTACAGAGGTATGCAAAACCAATTTCTTGTGCATTGTTTCTCTCATGGTCACACCGCAGGCAAACATGCGCTCGGTGACAGAGCACGTAAACTCGACAAGGGCATACTCATAACCCGTTTCGAACTTCCTTTTAACATCTGGTGGTATGTATCTTAATTGTAGCATCTAAAAACTGCTATTTCATAGATTTGTAGTGGAACATGCAACAATCACATTGGCATGGGCGTTCGGTATAATGCGGAGAAGAAGAAAGTCGGTGCCTACTATTCTACCCCAATATACTCGTTCCGTTGCAAATGTCATCTCTGTGATGGTTGGTTTGAGATCCAGACAGACCCGAAGGTGAGCCAAGCGTGGTTGGCCCTATTTTGCAGTGTTAATATCATACAGAACACTCGCTACGTCGTGGTATCAGGTGCTCGTCAGAAGGACGAAGATTGGGACCCAGAGGAGAACGGCGGCTTTGCTATTCACGGTATGTATCGACTTCATATCCTTGATCATCATCTCACAAAGGTTGCAGATACAGAAGGGAAAGCTGGTCCCGCGGATCCTCTTGCAGCGCTTGAGAAGACCACCGAGGCCCAAAATCATGTCACTAAGGTGCAAATACCACGGATTGAGGCCTTACAGGGTGTTTCAGATCACTATAATAACGATCCTTACACACTTTCATCCATGGTGCGCAAGCGTTTTCGTGCAGAGAAGAAGATTGAGGCACAGAAGCGCGCCGATGATGACACGATCAAAGGCAAATACGGCTTACCAGAGGAGTTGAAACTCGTTGAAGATGATGCAGAGGCCAAGCATCAGGCACGAAACGAATGGACGAGGGCTAGAATGGATTATGAAGCAGAGAGAAATAGTAAGAGGCCTCGCTTATCGATACCATCCTCATCTGGTTCCCAATCTCGGCCGACATTGGACCCCGTATCTTCTCTGAAGGCTCGCATCCTTGACAATACTCGGCGGTCAGGTACACTAGCAAGCAAAAGGAAACCTCCTGATAGAAAAGTACTTCTCAAGTAGAGAACATAGATAATGGACCACTGTACACTAAGTTCACGCAAACATCATTATACTACTGCTGTCTAGATCAGCAGTTTATTAATTCCTACGTTTCGATGGTTTCGAAGCAAGATACGATAGCAAATCAGAACAACATTAAGAAATACAGAGTGAGTGAAACACGAAACCAAGATACTAGTAGTATGAATGACAGGACGTAGAGTTGACAAGCCTGATCAGTGTAACGGAGGCCATCACGGACGAGTGAGTATATCCAGCATATAAAAGAAAAGAAGATTCATAAATAAGCGACAAAACAGACCAGGATTCCACCCTATAATTCCTATCATGAAGTTTGGTAAATTGCCCACGGTTGATCAGGTACGGGCATGGTACTCTCCCATTTCCAATCCGATGCCTGGTAATAGGCGGATTCGCCACCGTCAATCTCCTTAAATGCTCCCATATGAAGGATATCGAGATGGTTGCTTTCCCTGGGTTCCTCGATCTTGGTTTTGCCGGGGGATAATGCACCCTGTGACTGATCAGCATCCGGGTTGGACTGCGGGCTGGGGTTCGTGGATGATGATGGTACAAGGTCAGGGGTGGGAGCTTTCGAGTCTTCCTCGTCTTCAAGAGTAGTGAAACGACTATAATCAATAAACTCGTGGAACTCCAAAAACGCATCGTTGGGGGCCGCTGGAGGTGAGAGTTCCGAAAGTGGTCCACCGATGCTTGAGGCAAATGTCGAGGTTGAGATATGTGTTGGATCTTGGGCTGCGCCTTGCAAAATCCGGTCGAGAGTGTGAGCAATATCTTCGTACACGCCAGCGTCTGTCGAGGCACTCATGGCGACCAGCTCCTTCATCTTATCCATGAAAGCGTTTGCGTCCTCGGCCGTATTGATATTTTCAACCTCCTGGTGCCGCTTGGCAAGTTCCTCACTAGGCTCTCCCTCCCAATCTTCAGTCTTCACCTTCTTGGGAGATGGTGCGCCCATAGACTCGGGCTGGGTAGAGGGACCTGCGGGAACAGATACATCCTCATCGGCTTGGCGCTTTACGCCAGGGCTAAATGCAGCTGGGGGTTCGGAGGGAGATGCAGTTGGTTGCTTGGGAACACGCTGGCCCTTCATCTTTGGTGGCGGTTTAGACTTGGGAGACTTGGGAGTTTGTGGGGAAGCAGCCGCCAGAGGAGTGGGAGCAGTGGAAGTCGTGGTTGCAGGTGGTGGTGTAGGTGATGTTGTGGCCGCAGGGACGGAGGGACTTGGGGGCACGCGTACAGGAGGTTTCTTGACCATGGGCTGGGGATGTGAAGGTGGGTGAGACTGGTTTGCGGAGGGATGGCGACTTATAGCAGGAGGGGGCTGAAGGGTTTGAGGAGGCGTAGGCTGTGACGGGGGAGGTGGTGGGGGCGGTCGGTTTATATGAGGACCGCTATGTCCACCCGTTTGTTGTGATGTGAGGACGGCTTTCATTAATTGCAACCTCTGTTCGTATTCTTCGTTTGCCTTTTGTACTTGGGTATACATACTCTTTAGAGTATGAAAACCGATTATGACTTGTGGCGACCCCACTGGAAAACGAGCTCTTTGATGTGCCACCGTCAACACCTGGAAAGAGAATATACTTAGCGCGACAAGATGCAAACATACGCAAAGAGCACTTACGATTGCAACGAGCCTGCGAATCATTTCTTCCGATCTCAGAACGATCCAATACATTGCTAGTCTTCCATCAAGGTCCCGAGTCATTTTCTGAACCTGATCCATTAGCTGGTTGTACTCCATTCGCTGGTCATCTGGCACTGTGATCAGTGGCATTGTTTGTAGTGCTGCACAGAGGGTTAGAATCTGGTGCGAGAATATGGACTTAACGAACCACGGGATGAGAAGGTTTGTTTCGTATGTTGTATGAAGGACATTGCATGGGCGATCTGCTCTTGACTCAGTGGTAAAATTCCGCCTGACTGAACAGGTTTCATCTCTGTCATCGGTGATGACTGCATCCCGTTCGGCATCATAGGTGGCTGTCCTCGTTGTGGTGCGGGTACCAGGCTGGGACCAGCAGTTGAAGCCTGGTTGGGGAAGCCTCCTTGATGTGCGGCAGGCATGCCAGATTGCTCACCAGGCGCCTCGTGATTGGTCACTTGCTGATTGGCCTTCGTTGCCATCATCCGATTCTGCTGGTGCCAACGCATTATGTCCGGGCGGTATCGGTCGATCAATACGACCGTCTGCTCTGGCAAGCCACTTGCACGCATTTCAGCAACACTCATGTGAACGAAGCGCACGGCATTTGCCATGGCTTGCGGATTGAGAGAAGGGCGCATAACAGAGTGGGCCATTTCCCCCGAGGCACTTCCAGGGGCATTGTTCTGGGCGCCGTTCTGTGACAAATTGTTTTTTTGTGCAGCGCGAGATCTAACGGTGAAGACGAGCATGCTCTCGAAATCCTGCAAGTGCTCTTTGTATGCAAGAGCAAGCTGCTGTGCAATACCGGGGCCGCTCTTAGCTGGCTCAGTATCCGTGCCTGGAAATTGTACAAAACCCATGCGACCGCCTATGACTGCCCAAAAATCACGTTGAGTGACCTACGTTATGTCTAGTGAGCATGCTTGGAACATTGCAAATTGTGGTGAGCTTACGAATTGAGCGCCGCCTTCACGAAACACCAGAACATGCAGGTTATGCAAGTCAACAGAACGATTATCAGGTAACACAACATGCAAGTTGGGCTCCACGTGACGGCTCTTGCAAAAGGACGTATACATAGCCTCAAAGTGTGGCTTTTCAAGAGGAGAGACGCCAAGTGTCGATAAGTTGACCATTCTATTCGGGATCTGACCATTAGCAACCGACTGATGATTGAATTGAGGACCCATATTCTGTGACATCGCGTTGGGCATGCCCGTAGGAAGCTGCTGAGGAGTAGGGCCAGAACGTGGGGGTACCGCACCCTGGCGTTGCATTTGGCCACCCTGTCCAGACATCTGTGAATTCATGGGATGGGCCTGACCTGGCGCTGGAATCTGCGAAGGACCACTAACTCCAGGGTTCATTCCAAAATTTGGAGCGGAACTGGACGACTGTGGCCAGAGTTGTTGAGGTGCTCCACCACCCTGTGTAACACCTGGTCGACCAGCAGCAGAGGCCATTGTGCCTCTACAATGCGTAAATAGGAAGCTCAGATCACATGCCAAACCTGACTTACAGATGTACTTGATTTCCTCCAAGTATGCCAGGGGTGTTTGAAGCCAGCTGGATAGCTTGGTTAACTCTGAGGAAGAGAGTCTTGCGGCTCTGGAGCTCCGCCCGCATCTTTTCCAACTTCGCCGTCCATGCTTCATCGGGGAAACCCCTCGTTTGCGCAAGTACGTTTTGGATATTTTGCTCAACGCTATTTATGGCCGATTGCAAATAATCCTTCCTTTGCATCAGCTCGGCGAGGGTAGGTACCTTTGAGGGTGGTGCTGCTCCCATGCTCGGATGGCCCATTTGGGCCCCGAGAGGTTGTGCTGCCAAATGCGGAGAGCTATGCATTGCATCAACGTTAGCCATATTGGAGGATGAAAACATGTCTGAGGGATTTGGCGGACTAGAGCCTGGCTGTGTACCCATTTGTTGCTGCATATGATGTGTCATTGCGGAGCGAGGCAGATGCTGGTTTTGTTGATTGGAAGGACGATCCATGAGGTGCAGCGGACGACTAGCCAGAGCCTGGATCGGATTACCGAGATTCATTTGGGGGGTATTCATGGGCATAGAGGAGAAGTTGGGTGGTATGATAGAAGAGGGAGGGTTTGAGGACTGAGGGTCATGGAAAGACGAAGCAGAGGGAGGGACACGTTGGGCGGATGTAAGACCAAATTGCTGCTGAATCTGTTGGACCAAGGGGCCTTGTGAGTGAACATGACCGAGCCCCTGGTTTCGAGCGAGATCTGCCATCTGATATATGAAGTCAGCACACGTAATTACGGAAACTGAACCTGAACAAGGCATCGACTTGGCTGGACTTGGGAAGCATGAATCTCGGAATAGTATAATGTATGATAACAGGTACGGTGATCGATTAGACGAGAACAGTGCCCAAACCGACCATCAGTAACATGAGTGGGGGCGGGCCCTGTGAGCGAATGCAAATGTCGCAGAGGGGAGAACATAACTTTAGAAGATTGCAGGAGCAACTTACTTGTGAGTTCATCTGAGCGGAATTTGCATCACCATTGGGCTGAGTTCGATAGTTGTTCTGCATTTGAGGCCATATACGACTGTGTTCGGGGTTAGGGAGCCCGGGGACAGTCTGAGAGTCTTGTTGTTGTTGTTGCTGCTGCTGCTGCTGTTGTTGCTGCTGTTGCATATGCTGCTGGGAGATGTAGTTTTGTAGGGTATTCATTTGGTACGGGGGCATGCGATCGGCCATAATGCAAGGTCGTAGCCTTGCCTCAAGATGGGCAATACAAGTTAATGAGCTCTACGACGGTGACAACAAGCACGACGTGTTCTGTGACGTCGTTGGCGTTAGAGCCTACGACAAGGGCACTGTTTCAGGCAGTGGACGCTGTTTGGGATAGCGTGCAGCTGGGGAGATGCTGGCAGTCACAGTGGGAAGCAGACGGCGCTTCACACCATGAAGCGAATGCTCGGTTGGCCTGTGCTTAGCTCGTGGCCGTCGGACTTTCAATCTTTATTATTTTTTATCATTCAAATTCGTATTTTCAATTGCCACATTCTCTAAAAATATTCATTTTCTAGCGTTATTTCCTCCAGTCCTTCTCCGCTTCCCATCCGCGAAATCCCTTCTAAGTAATGTTACCGTTGGCTGAAATTATTTCGATGATTAATTTCATTAATTCATTATTTAATTCCACCCCGCGAGAACTGGCTTTAATCGGCTTTTGCCGTGCCTTAGGTTATCCTGTCCCGTTGAGCTCGAGCCTTGCCTCCAATTCAACGTGTGTGGAGTAAATGCACATCATGAAACCTCAAGGCAGCTGAAGGGACCTCATATATACTTGGAAACTTGCGAGCACAATTCGATTTCGTTGTACCACATTTGGTCAATCCTGTAAAATCAGGAACAGAAATTTGACAGAAATGTTTGACCCCTCATTTCCAGGTACGGATTCCTGTCGAGAGTCGTTCATGAATCATCGTGCCTCCACGAGCTCCTTCAGTTTTGGAATCGGTTCAAAATCAGATACTGAGCTACATCTGCTGAGACGGAAAACTGTATTGTAAGTCTTGCGTTAAACCCTTGTTTTCGGTCGTATCGGCATAACAGTTGGCACCGTGCCATCGAGCCGCCAGGGCCTTTTGCCCAGGCTATACATTGCAACGTCTCCAGCTTCACCATATCGGTGCATCATCACCCGACAACTATGGAGAACGCTCCCGGCATTTACACTAGATACCTGGACAATCGCCAAACACCGAAATAACCCGTTATTTAAGTACCCTTTCAGCATGGCGCCCGCCGCACGAGTATCCCGTGGAAAAGGAGTCCCGATGCTGAATGCGGTATTTGAGGTAGCACCTCCGTAATAATCTTGACTCCAGGGTCGAAGCTAGTATGTTCCTGTCAGGTCGTCTCAGGGAAACGACACGACTCCGCGCCCAATGTTTAAATCTCCTAAATCATTAAAGTTCGCGATCTGCAGGAAAGCATTACCTTGCTAGTCGTGTTCCAACATGCGCATCACAGGATGGACTTTGTGTAACTGCGTGTAGTGCGCATGAATTCATTACCTTGCCAAATTTAAAGTTGCCCGCCCGCATCAACACAGTTTGGTGCGGGTCAAGCATTTGTATGTACATTGTAAATCTGGCATCACAATCTTCATGATCGACTGCGTTCCACTGTTCTTGCGAAAGAATAGCATAGCATGGTCAAGACATGCCTTGTCAGGCAGCGGTGGAACATCATGTAGGCAGCGAGGTTGCAAGCTTGCAGTCGGGTCCCTGACGCCATGTCTATGTACTAATCCCGCGATTGGTCGAATCGTGACTGACCTGTTAGACAGTATCCGTCGGCACGTATACTATCTCAGGTCTCATTCAATTCCGCGTACCTAAATTGCAGCATTCATCCTTGAGGCGACAGCACCAGGGGTGAGCTCAGTCAAGATGTGCTTCTCAATAAACAAATTAGACATACCTAGGCTGGCCTGTGAGTACTGGCTAGTAATAATTGGAGCAACCGCATGCTACCGCTGACCCAACATATCAGACAGCCAGAGATATTTCAAAGATGTTTAGCCCTGAGGATCAGAACATCGTCGAACCTCGTCTACTACAGGAGCAATCCCTTCAATGATGGTATTTAGACCGTGCGTCATGGAAAGTTAATCACGATGCAAATTCACATATTTCGTGGAACTGTACTCACCTTCGCATCAGAGCTTGTATGGGAATAGACCGTGGTGACGAGGCATCGATATAATACATCGGCAAGCGGCTATGTCACGACAATATTGAAAGGTTTCAAAATATCAGGCCTCGCATGATGATGATCTAGACGCTGCAGTAATCCGGCTGGTAAGCAGATAATAGCATATGTATACATATTACTTGTACAGTCCAGATACAATCTAAACATGGAACTACCAGTTCAATTGGCTGATGGCATGGAGTGAAGACGGTAGGAATACCAATACACGCAACAAAATTGCACATCATGATGCTATAGGAAGTCAACACGTCTACTGTTACCACCTTGTTGTATAGGTTCATCGGATGCCTTGACGATAATGGCTGGGCCTGCTTCTAGAATAACATCGTCTTCATCTTCAGAATATATATCGGTCTCTTCGTCGGAAAGCTCAACCAATGGCGTTGCTCTCGTTTTTTTGATTCGAGCTCCTGGACCAGCCGCCAGGATGTGATCCCCGTTCTCTTCAGAAAACTCTTCTTCCAACTCTCCTTGCTCTACGTCGGCCACAGAAGCAATCTCGCGCTTGAAATAGTAGCGTAAACCCACCGGTATGAGGACGCCTACCACCACTGCAGATAATAGAAAGAAGTTGCGCCACGAAATGAGATGAAAATCTGCAGCAGACGTCATCTCATCCAGACCGCCTCCAATCGTCGTGTGTATGACTGTTACGCCAAAGATACCCAGCCATGTACTGATCCAGAATGGCACGATACCAATGCCAACGTGGGGACAGATTACATTGACAACCCAGTGCGGAGGGAGGGGAGCAATGCGGAGGACAATTAAAAAAGATATGGTGTTGTCTTTTTGTGCGCGTATCTTATCCGACCACTTGTCTAGGCGGGCCTTCCACTTGGGTACGGTAAGAAGCGCAGGGCCAAATGCAGCGCTGATGAAGTAGCACAAAGTTGCACCGGTAGCGACACATGTACAAGCAAGTGGAAGCGCGCGCGGCACACCCCATACTGCTCCACCAAGTATAGATAGATACATCGACCCTGGGAGAGAAAACGCTTGTAGGCTAGGGAAATGTCAGATTGTCTACTTCATGGAGAGTGTAGACCTCACAATAGATATGTTATGGCATAACATATTACGATGCGGAACGGGTAGATGTCGCGATACTTTTTCAAAATGGCATTGAGGGCCTGTAGTTCAGCAAATGATTTCGGTATACGGAGTGACGGCCGGTCGGCTCTACTGTCCGATAAGATATGCTAAACAAGAAGGAAGTTCGAAGGACATACTCGTCAAGAGTGGGAAGAGTCAGCCACAGAGTTCCACCCAGGAGGATCGTACTGAGTATAAACACAGCTGCCATCCTAATGGCTGCCTTGAGTAATAGTCTTGGGGAGGATGTATGGGGTGCATGCGAATGCGCAGATGTGGCCCCATAAATCGAGCCAGCCTCAGAATCTGGTGGAAGGAGGGGAGCTCTATCGTCTGTAAACTCCATAATTTCAGGATCATCGGGATGGACGGTAGTGAGAGTGTAGGCTGAAGCATTTTGGTGGTGCATGGCTCCGAGCGAAGAGGGTGAGGGCGATCTGAGAGCACGTACTTGCTACACGAGAAATTATATAAATTGTATTAGAAATATGTGATGCATAACTTAGCTATGTACGTGGGAATATTATGGCATTTTCCACAAAGCACGGAGGATGATTAGCCAAGTACTTAGCGCGCTGAGCTCGTGCTGAACAACGAACGACAGGTGTCTACAGGCCCTGCTCATCGCCCAGTACAGCGAGCAAGATGACTCACATCCTGCCTCCGCACACTGACCTTAATCTTGTACCATCGTCTCTTCATTCAGCCCTTCATATGGACCCAAATCAACAGCAACAGCAGCTCCAACAGCCTAATCAGCCTCATCAGCAACAAGCGCCAACAACCTCCAAGAAGAGAGGACGAAAGGCGGACACAAATTCTGATGAAGCTGGCTCACCGTCCGAACCAAGACGGCTCAGACGCTCCCATGAGGCTTGCGCACGATGCAGGAGCAAGAAAATTAAGGCAAGTCCCGTCGGTAGACACCGACCGCAAATCTCCGTCCGCCAGTTCAGCTTCTCTTCTGACACAGCGATGAATTATACAGTGCGACTCGAAACATCCTAAATGTACAGCATGCGCGACTGCCGGTGTCCCTTGTCAGCAGGAGGACAGACATAGGCAGACTCTCACTCTTAGAGGTCACACCGAGTTCATCGAGCGCCAGATTGCTCAATGCGATGCACTTTTGAAACGTCATATCTCTGATTTCAATATGGCGAATCTGGATGAGATATGTCGGAGAGAGGGCATTGAGGTCGACGGTCATCCCGCCCCTGAATTTGCTCAATCAAACCCACAATTCCCACAGCAACCGAGTGGCCCTCCTCCCGGGGCGATTTATGGGCCTCCTTTCGTTCACCCCGCATACCCTTACGGTGTGCCTATGCCGCATGGGTACCCATCACATATGCCGATGCCAGGACCACCTGGTGCTTACGGACCCATTCATCCTGGGTTTCCCCCTCCCCCTCCTCCACAGCATATGCAGGCCCCGCCCCAGGTACAACAACAGCCTCAACCACAGCCACATACAGTCCCGCCTCCAGTTGTAGCTGCTACGGCTAATATTGAGGTCAAAGGTCAAGATCCGCAGTCTTTGGATATGTCAACTACGAGGGTCAGTCTTTTTTTTTTTTTTTTGCAACGCTCGTGCCCTCATCGTTCATCTTGACTGATAGGCACTGGCCAAGAGCTTCGGCGTTCACCCTCTTATTGTGAACGACAGTCACCTGGGTTCAGGTGACAAGGAAGATCTTGCAGTTGGCTCAAATGGCTTATCATCGGGACGTGATCGTGGCATCACGGAGCAATCGATGCCCCGTGATCTTACAAAATGGGTCTCTATCTCTGTAGCAACCAGCAATCCTGGTGGCTCTTCTACGGTATCCACCTCTACAATAACATTATGGATGCCCAAGGATCGCTCGTTGACGAACAAGATAGTCGATGTTTACTTCAACCACCTCAACGTCCACCGCCCTGTCTTCTTCCGGTCAGACTTTGAGCACAAGTTAAATGCGCTTTACGACGGGGATAATGTGCAACATGATCCAGGCTTTATTTGTAGCATGTACCTCATTCTGGCACTCGGAACGTTGAGCGAGTTGAATCACCAAGGGAGTATCGCTGACAAGGACAAAAAGATGCCCAGCGATAGTCCGATCAATACCAAGAAGCTGCTCCCTGCTATATGGCCTGAGCATGATGAATTTTTCGAGCGTGCGCTGGCTGTCAAGCCTCATCTACGTGTCACGATCTCCAGTCTTCAGGCACTGCTTTTGTTACATTGGTATCTGTACACCGAGGTATGTCCATCCTAACTTTTCATGACGGTTTTTAATATTACCATCAGCGACAAGGCCGCTCTCTTTGGCGCTTAGTTGGAAGTCTTGTTCGCCTCTCAATAGAACTTGGTCTGCACCATGATCCCACGGCGCAGCCCAACACCTTCACAGATGAAGAGTGTCAGCTACGCATCCGGCTTTGGGGTACTGTCATGGTGCATGACCGGGGCACTTCCATTCTTCTCGGACGTCCACTTGCCATTGCTCCATATGACTCCAACACGCCTCGCCCCACACACGGACTTAAGGGCCAGAATGCTGATTTCTCTGAACACTTCCTTCTTTCTCACCCTATTGCAGAAATACAAGCGGACATCATCAACTCCCTTTATGCTCCCTCACGGCAGAGTGCTGATACCATCATGAGACACGCATCGAGGATCATCAAGAGCATGCTTGAGTTCAGGAGACAGCTCCCCGATAGCTATAAGTGGTACTTTGGAGGAACTGAAGACTGGCCTGTGGAAAGGCGACAAAAGCTGGTCCAGGACATTACAGAAGATCAAGGGCTGACATTGCTCAAATTTGGTATATCCAGGATCTTGCTTCTTCGTGCTTTGTTCAGTCTTAAGGAACTCGACTACAATCACCGTTCGAAGGCACTCATTGATGGTATGTTCTTAGCATGTGCCATGTGTCATTTCTTTTGATGATTCATTCACCATATAAAAGCTATCGTCACATCGCACAACATCATCATCGTCCACAATCAGCTCATTCGTTTCCCCGATATCGCCTTTTTCGTTTCTCCCATCCCTCTCCATATCGCGGCAATGGTCATCCTCTACGGTCACATGTCTCACTGCGAGCGCCTCTCACGCCAGGTGATGATCGAAGACGTTTGGATGGCACTTGACATGCTTCCACGCTTCCGTTGGCGTTGGGAACGAAAGGACTTGAATGGCGGGCACCCTCTTATCTCCAAGCTCGCTGAGAAGGTTCTCAACGTCAACCTCCGCACAGTGGGACCTACCAAAGATCCCGTCTTACTTTCTGAACTCGATTGGGAGACAGATTCACCTGGGATGCTCTCATCACCAGCGTTGAGTGGTCAACAACAATTGCGCGTGCATCCGGGGACTCCCACGATGTCACACCCACCCTATTCAAATGGTGGTGTCGGACCCGGTGTTTACGGTCCGCTTCCACGTGGTGTTACTGTAAGCACGAACCCTATTAAAGGGCTTCAAGGATCTGTGGGTAACGGTACTACACAGGACAAGCTCGCAGAGGTACCCCCTGGGTTATTCTACCCATTTTATCCTGAAAATCCGATGAGCGCTGCCCCCGGTACTGTTTCTGGTCCCCACAGTGATGCCGGAGCCAGTGGAGACGCTGGTCAGGACCCACAGGGTTATAGTCACCTGCTGGCGGCGGCAGCACAGCCAAACGGGACATACGGGTGCCAGCCATCGTCGGATTCATACATGCTTGAAGAGATTGTACCTGCTCATGGTAATCAGGTGTGGATGAATGTTGTCAGTCGTTGATACTGTTTTTCCACCGGTTGTCACTGAAGCATCCATCGCAGAGCCAGAGGTCTATGTCATTTGCGCATCAAGGTTAATCACCTTATCTGTGTATTATATTTGTTCGTTCTCTCCCCGGTCCTCAGCTTTCACGCTAAGGACAGTTCTTCTAAGGCTCTTTTTTGTATTACTTTTTATGAACCTAAGAAGGTTTTTTGTTCCAATTTTACATTTTGATTGGGGCCTTTTCTCATCTTGTTCTTCGCCATTGTTCTTGTCACTCTCGTCTAGTCAAGTCTGAAATCCACCTATTTTATCATCATGTTTGAAGAGTAATATGTGGGAGAATGTACGGTCATGCAATGTAGAATGATTAATTTGATCATTTCGATATTAATGGCGTGTGGTATGAATACATGCGTGAACGTAGGGAGTGTGTGTTCATAAAAGTAGTCTATGCGTATATTAGCAGGGAGAAAGGGATGAACATCTCTGATACAACATGAGAAACGAATGAAGCGTGCACATATAATTGTCAGTAAAAGTTAGTGTTTGAAGAATGCAAAGTCTATCCAAGAATACGTTCCATGCGGTCCAGGACCACATCGATGGCCCTGATGAGAAGAACGACACGCCGGGGAAGCAAAGCGAATTTGTTTGTGTCCTTGTCACGGTCATAGTGCGTAGGATGAGCAAAGGTGGGATTGGTGTATTGAGCTTGCATGGCATCTTCGAGGGTAACAGGTAGGAAGATGGTGATGCGTGTCAGTTGGATAGTGAGCCGTGATCTACCGGCGATATCAAAATAAGGAAGCTGGCGGAAGGCGCTTTGTATCTCGACGGCGCGACAAAGTTCACCGTGGAGGGCAACAACGCAGGTGCGGCAGGCTATTTATTGATGATGTGAAATTAGTCATACATTGTATGGCAGGTGATTTACTTAAGACACATTCGCGGACACTCAGGAGGACTGAAAGAACAGAGTTTACGCCGTCGTCACCTAAATCAAGTGATGGATTTAGGTCACCGACAGCCCCTGAAGGTTGAGAGATGAGTATGTGAGACACGCAAGCAGAGATGTGCTTACTGAGTAATGTGCGTATCATCTCGAAATCACCTTCGAGAAATTCGCTGAAGACGCTCAACAAAACACCTTTTAAGGTTTCGTCCGCATGGGGCGAGGACTGGGCGAAGAAGTCATGGTTATGATGTGAGTGTGCAGGACGGGAGTCGTAAATGCGTTTCGAGGACGGATTGCTGAGGACATCGTATGCAACAGAGACTTTTTGGAAGGCGGACGTCGCGTCGGGATTTCCGGGAAATTTGCTGAGTACAAAGTGAAGATAAGATATTACTTAAAGTGATAAGGAACCTACTCTGGGTGGCAAGCCTTGCTGCGAGAAAGATAGGCACGTCTTATGGTCACTCTGTCGATTGTTGGGGACCTAGGAATACCTAGAATACAATACAAGTCGTCACTGGAGAGGACTTGGAGCATTTCTGGGGTGTAAAATATATCATCACTTGGCAGGGATTTTGAAGTATCGCAAGATTTTTGTTCTTCTGCTGATGGATAGGGTTGTGGTGACCACGCAATGTGTTTTGGATGGGCGGGCACATTATCTGTGGCATTGTGTTCATCGTCCGTGGCTGCCGCCACCGGTAACTCCATTCTCGCCGTGCCTCGCAGATGAAACAAGGAGGATGCTACAATTGCGTTGTCAGTACTGCTTGTCCTAGTGTAACTCTGACTGACTGACCTGTTGAAAAGACATAGGAGAACATTATCGCTCATGTGAACATGCATCAAGTCCTGGAAACATGTGTGGTAATGATAATTAAATCTTATCCCCTTGTCGTCGGCCGTAATCAAATTTCAATTACACGCTCATGGTTAATCGTACGTAATCTAATCTACACCACTTGAACTTGGAGATCGGCACAAAACTTCTTGACCGCCATTGGAATTGGTTTGCGATCCAGCTCGTATTTGTCTCCCATGATAGTCAACCTTATGGACGCATCCCGCATAAAAGATGCATCGCCTTTCAACAGTGTGAGGTCGTACCGACCAAACGCCCAATTCAAGATCCAAATCGCAGAATCTAAGCGGACAAATCCCTTGACTCGCCAAACGCTCTCCTTGCTTAGAGAGGCGAGAGCACTCTCGAGTATACCCTTGTCAACATCCACCTCGATATGCGAGGTGCATAATCCTTTATCACAATGTTCATGGCCGTGGCACGTCGGCAGGAATCCCCGGTATGCTGTGAGTGTCTTTACTTCATCATGATGATCTTCAATACCAGGCTGGGGAATCGAATCTCTGAAAAGCTTGGAGTCGATGCCAAAAAGAACGTTTGGGTCCACGCCGTTACGACCATTGCATTTGATCTTGGGAGTGTCGAGATTTAGAGTATTGAGATTATCGATCAGTATGTCTAGGGCGTGTTCATTAAGGTGCTCGTGCTTGTTCTGGATGCTTAAATAAGATCGTCTCATTACCACGAGAAAGATACGTACGATAAGAATGATATCCGAGTAGCTTGCCTGCATCTTGGCTGTGGGAGATGTATCTTCATACCCCGCGAAGTTCTCGGCATCAATGACGGTAACTATCGCGTCAAGTCGAAGGTCGTTGTTGGTCTGTCGCTCAAGCTCACGGATCTGGAACGCCAGTGTGGCGGGAAAAGCGGATCCTCTGACTCCATGACGAGTGAGTACCAAGCTAGGGAAATTTGGATGAACTTACGAGCATTCAATGATTATTCGGTCAGGGCGGTATTTGTCTGACACATATATATACGTATAAGTGCTGTAAAGCTGTGTTATGTCGGACTGAAAGTACCTCGAATCTCGCGAAGGGCTGTTTCCATCTGGCCGACGAGTACGCAGCACCTATACATGATAGGGTCGATTCGGAAATACAGTAAGATGATGGTGAAGTATAGACACACATGCAACCGTTCAAGATCTCACTGACAGCAGTCAAACTGGATTGTTTAGCTAGCTGGCTATCCACTGGAAGGTATTGATTATTCATTCTAAATCCCCAACAATCGCAGCAAATTATGCACACCTTGGACGTCTCCGAACTCATTCTTGAGTAAAACCACTTTATAATCCTTTGGAAGTAGTGGAAGGAGTGACAAAATGATGGAAGTCTTTCCTGCGCCAAGAAATCCAGTGAAGATAGTGATTGGTATATGGGGTGGTAGTGGTGGCTGTCTTGATTCCTTCTCCATATCTCTGTCCTTGGATATCGATTGACAAAATGTTTATATTACATAATTTGGCTGACATCAGACGCAACACATTGTTTGAAATGAAGTCATGTGACTGACTTGAAATTCGAATAGTTGGTATACTTTATAGGCGCGGAACACGTTTCGTTCTTCAGGCAGTCACTACGACGTTGAAACTAACACAGACCATGGCAGGTCGCAAGCAGCCGCCTACTAGCACACCTGTCAGAGCTCAACGACTTGTTATAAGTGCGTCCCATATTGTTGCGACGCATACATACCTCGCGCTCGCCGCATTCGGTCTTGCCTTGTTTCTCGGCTGCGCGCTGCATTACAAAAAAATCGTGAAGAACGGGGTTGCCGGATACCCTGACGAATGGTTTCCGTCGGTCTCAGCCACGTATGCACATTCAAGTTCTGTTGCCTCGAAAATTGAACCCGATATGCTTGTACCACAGTATCGGTGACTGGTACCCTGAGCGTAATATTTTTCAGATCCTCATCGCTTTGACATCTGGTCAGTTAGCTGCCTTTGCTTGCAAGACTCGTTTATGATGATTAAATACAGGTCCACGCTTCGCCCTTGTATCTTTGCAGTATTTCCTCAGGCGTTCGCCAAGCACCAGTTTGCCAGGTTTCTTGTTCACTATGGGTATCATTCGGACATTGTTGTGTGGTGGTTGGGTATATATCACCTCCAACGATGACCATGACGTGCATGATGTTCTCATGATCACGTATATCCTGTGCAATGTGCCGTGGATGTGGGGAGGCGTTCTATGTACTCCAATTGGGCATGTAAAGGCGCGTCGGCGACGGTGAGGGTTATCTTAGGATACTTGCATGCATGTGCTGACCAATGGTCTACAGCCGATATGTTGCCACAGGGTTAGTGAGAATATTACACCTCCTAGCATACATGCAGCTTATTCGCCGGGAATAGGTTCTTCATATCAATCATACCCATGATTTATTTCTTCGTTCAGCATAAGATATACCGCATTCCTGGAGGTTGTGTAGTTGATTTTTTTTACAGCAGCTAGGGCTGACAATTATGACTAATCTAGCATATACCCGTTATTCATGTTTCGAGTGGTCCTTGATCTTGCTCGATATTCTGTTTGACTCGATCACAGAGCTTGACTTCAGGGCCTCTAATCTGCAGGTACATATGAACAGGCACATCCCATATGCTTGGTACTAACTTGTCATTTTCCCTCAGATTGTACTTGGTCTTTCGTTGGATGCCAGCGTTGGGTGTAATGATATGTATAATCAAGTACACCACATTGTATGACCACCACCTGACGTACTACATAGATCGCATTCCGCGCCATTTCAAGCGTCAAATAGTGCGACTGAAATCAAATTAGAAGGGTCAGCCGCGTCATCAGAGACTGAGCAAACAGTCAGCCATGCATCAGGAACTGTACATCAGACATTTTTCCAGAAAACTCAGGCTGCACATACGCTCTCTCGAGATGCACGAGCAGTCATAAGTTTCATCTCAGATGTGTATTTGTGTATGTGGTGTAGTTGAACAGATTGCAGAGTCATACCAAATTTACCACCTTTGCAGCTTACTTGTTTTGGTCCATCTTCACATCCCTCATCACTACGCTGTTCTACTTCTCGGTCTGGCAACTTGCACTTTCGGGCTCCGAGTTATCTTTACTCGTTTTGCTCTCCCCTGTGCTTTTGGGTATCAGTCCGCTGCGCACTTGGGCGCTTACGCGCAGTGGTCAGGTCACATTAAGGGCGGTGGCGATTCTGACAGGCTTGGGGTCTTATGCTTTGAGGAGTCCCATGCAAAGGTTATTTGCAGTCAACTTTGCGAATGTGGTGCTTTTGATAGGGCAGACCGTGGACTGGTCAGCTGGGAAGGATGGGTATCAGGGTTTTCGTGAGTGTCATTCGCGTAGTATAATAGTGGTGGCGACTAACATGGCCTAGTCCTTGGCCTAGGACTTGTATCACTTTCTCTAGCAAAACACGCGAATCACTCAACAAATCCTGGTATGTTGTTTCAAATTTGGTATACTTTCAGTTCCTCTGACCACTTCAAAGTATGGCCGATGCTCAATGAGGAGTCTGGAGGATACAATAAGACAGGACTTTTTCTAGCACTTTGCGCGCTATACGAACTTGGCACCCGCCCGCCCGCCTCTGCAGAAGAAAAGCAAATAAGTGGTTTGAAAGATAACAGCAAGGTTACATCACACGGATGGCTTGCAGGCTCCATTGCGCTCGGCAGCATGATCTTCACTCTCCATTGCTTCTTCATAGACCCCAGTACTATCATTGCGTGGTCCTGGACAGGATACAAAAACGGTCAACCCAAAGGCCCTCTGCCACATCTTCACGGCTCTCTCACTTTGATTGCACAGGCTATAGGTCTCGCATTGCCTACAGTCCTTCCTGCATGCTGGTTTACCAATCCATTATGGTTCAGCTACGGTTGCGCAAGCGCATTCGTAATGTACCGCTTCAGAGATTGGATGGGCTTCGTTGGCGGGCTGAACATGGCGGTGTTTGTTATGTCGTTGCTCCCTACTATCATTCGACAATCTGCCCAGCCCAATAAAGCTGGGAGGACATATTTTACAGCATTCTTTGTTACAATTCTGTTCTACCTTGCTGATGTGTGGACAGTCGCCTACGCATTCGTGCCAGGGGGTGTGTACTTACGTGAGCGCTCGGATTTGTAAGTTCTTTGCGATCAAGTCTGTCTTTGTCGCTGAAATATTTAACCACAAGGGTCCTCATCGCACAATTCGTCGCAACGTCATTGGTATTTGCATGGCCATCAAGTAAAAGGACTGCAGCCAATACCATAGTTCATATTCCGAGCTCAGCGAGCTTCCTTGTTCGTCATCTCCTTACACTTTTCTCGTTGTCCGCTGTCCTTGTAACATTATACCGCTGGACTCCTGTTGGACCAAGACCTTATAAATCAGGCACGGGGATAATCAATGCTGGAATATGGACAGTGCATTTCGGTATTGACAATGTCGGACACGACAGCCAGAGACTGATCCGAGATATTATAAGGTGAGGCAATTTAATCAAGGTTCTTTGCTGCTGACGTTGATATCAAGAGATATGGAACTTGACGTGGTTGGCCTTCTGGAGACTGATCTACATGTAAGTTTACGATACCAGTCAACGAACTGCTATTGTGTTAATTAGTTGTAGCGGACGGTGTATGGAAATCGTGACTTGTGAGTGTGCTGTATCCTCTGGAGGAGCTCTTGGTTCATCCTCTTATATCAGGACGCGAGTCGCTCTCCAAGACCTTGGATACGTGAGTTTTTCTTCAGTGTAGTCATGCAGGGAAATGACCACACCCAACTTGAGTATGTCGATTTGGGCCCAGGACCTAACATGCACACGTGGGGTGCTGCTCTGCTTTCGAAGGTCAGCGTGAGATGACTCTTTTCAAATCATGCTTACTCTCCTTAGTTCCCTATTGTTCACTCGAAGCACCACCTCCTACCCTCACCTCACGGCGAGCTTGCGCCAGCAATCGAAGCTGTGCTTGATGTATATGGGATAGAGGTAACTGTGGTCGTATCACATAACGGGCAAGGTATATTCGGCAGTTTCTTTCTTTCTTTCTTAGTCAATTGTTTATACATGTTAACGTCTTTCATGTAGAGCAAGACCCGCTCGACCGGGAATTGCAGAGCAAGGAGCTTGCACGCATCATGGCGAAGTCCTACCCTCGCCCCGTTATTTTCCTTGGATACGTAGTCACAAAACCACACGCCAGTCGACGTGTGTGGCTTCCAAGTCTTTTGTTAATTTAGTCCTGATGAATCCTACAGCGGCACCCTACGAGATTTTGGTGCACGATGGTATCGTACATGACATCGACCCGCAGGACTGGGATCGTTGGTAGGTGTTTTTTCAGTATACGCCAGCAGATGATAAATAAAATGCAGGTGCGAGTATATTTTTTATAGGGGGCTTTACCGGACTGCGTATGCTCGTATCTCGCGAGGGATCGTTACCGATACAGAGCTACAGATCGGACAATTTGTCATTCCCCGACATGGCTTCCAGCTTGTGAACCAGACACTCGAAGACCGAATGCTAAGGGCATGGAAGGAGGATCTTTCGGAGGATCATGTCCGGCCTAAGTATTATCTCCTGGCTGCTTTGTGTTGCTGACTAAGCGACAGTGGTTTCCAATAAAATACTATGGCAACGACGATGAGGGAGGTATAAACGGGCATTTTTATCATGTGTTTAACACTGTGAGGCTTTAGCCCGTTGCAGGCACGGATCTGACATACTAATGGTCTGTGACAGCCGCTATATTATAAATTACCTGAGGGTGCGCAGGTTTAGGGATGTACCAGTCTGGACCAGAAGTTAATGGGAAGGGTATGGAATCGTAGTAGGGTGGCTCGGCTATGGCTGGTTCGCATCAGGAAAAAGTGGGGCTGCGGGGTAGATCCACATAGCCTATGTAGTTGGATAGCTACCCCCCACTCTCAAACACGCCTGGGTTTCCCAATAAGTAAGCCTTGTTAGGCTGTACAATCATATGTCTGAGACACCCATGCTTCTTTGGCTCAACAACCACATTCCCAACACCAGCATAAATGATGTCCTAAATAATGTAGGTACTTAGGGCATTTGATTGTCCCATTGCTTACAACATATATCTCCCCACCAGCAATGTCTGTGGCCCCTCCTGCTGTTAGTAAGTTCCACCCTATCTATACACATTCTTGTGCACTCTTTGTCACAGCGCTACACAGTGAACGACACCTGATGCCCATCCCTCCCACCAATACATGGCCTGCCTTGGCCACTGCACAGCAAAAAATTGGCAAAATCAAGGCAAATCAGTTCCAGCATCCAGCACAATGTTGTCTGGCTTGGATCTTACTCCCAACATGTGTATTCAGGTGTCTCAAACTTGGCGAAATTTTGAAAATATCAGTATTTACTTCCAGGAACTTGGTATGTCTCTGTTCCCTCTGTAATATCAGGTATCTGATAATCCAAAATGAAGTCTCAAACTTGTCAAAATTTCAAATATATCAGTATTTACTTCCAGGAACTTGGTATGTCTCTGTTCCCTCTGCAATGTCAGGCATCTGATCATCCAAAATAAGTCTCAAACTCATCAAAATTTCAAATATATCAGTATTTAACTCCAGGTACATGGTATGTCTCTGTTCCCTCTGCAATATCAGGCATCTGATCATCCAAAATGACTGAACTAGGTACAAAATGGCTGATAATATAATATTTGCACTTACTCGTCTTCCCCTTGTTAACCTGAACCTATGCCACCCACTATTCTCTCAGATGATGAGGGTGAAACTTGTATTGCTGTACATCTAGTCCGCAAATACAAACCTACTGCTGTGTCCCTTGATTCAGTGGAACCAGCAACTCTTTCCTTCCAGAAGAAGGCTGTCAACAACTTTTGTATTGCTGAGGCTGCACAATGCACCAAACAATTAGAATGTACTGAACCATCATCTGTGGCAGGCCCTTCTCAGGATCCAACTTCTGCCACATCTAAGACTGCCACGCTGCCAACTTCACATGTCCCCAACCAGATGAAAAGAGTACATGCTGACTTAGAGGAGATTTTTGAGAATGACAACAATGACATGGAGATGTGGGAAAGTGCATATATTAATTTAAAGTGTGAGTGCTACAATCTACAGTACTACTGAACATTCTTACTAATTTAAACCATCACCCAAAAAAAAAAGTATTGAGGGCCAGGAGGATGTTGACATTGATGGTATCCCCATTGGTGTTGATGTCCAATCAATTGTTGATGCTTTTGCAACTGAAGGTGTCAATGAGTTCATGGGCTCTGTGATGAATATTGATGACCAGGACCTTGTGAGTAAGATGGAGGGGTTTGCTATCCAGGGGATGAAAGGTAGGGATCATTTTTTCAAAGACTTGCTTTCCACTGACTGCATCTATTAGGCACTGTGAGGAACCACCAAATATGCACATCAGATATTCGGAGTGCAATCTGCCAGGAAATCAACAAGACACTTTGTAAGTACTCTGCATTTGAACAGTTTTTTTATGTTACTGATGACAACAATTTTTCTAGAGGCAATCACACATGATCTGAAAGCACGGATGCACTGGGCACACTACTGGTGGAATATTTATTTTTATTTTTATAATCCAATTTCTGTCCATTGGGGTAAAATACCCTATGTTGGACAGTACTAACTAGTCTACAGGGCCCCTGCCCTATCTACATCTCTGAATTCGCGAATGCCCTGACGTGAGGATGTCCTCCGCCAGTCCACTGTTTCCACTGGCTGTTTTAGACGCGCAATTCATCAAAAGTCATAGGCAAACCGGAATGTGCAGATAAGAAACGAGTCAAAGAACAGAAACAGGAAGTGAAACAATCAGGGGCACGATCGTGCAACTACGGAGCTAAGTATAGGTACAATGTGTGACTGCGCACCAAGTCATAGATCAAGAAAGGAAACAGGGCAAAGGAGATGCAGGGTGCATCATATCATAGGTTACTGTCCAGATGGTAAGGGCAAAGGGGACTGTCCACAGGATCAGTCATCAGGTGAAATGGAGCATGGGTATGCTTCATTAGAGAAAGGGTCCGGCCAGATGTACTGGCTCTGCTGAAGCGACAGGTAGAGAGCAAAGGGAAATGCAAGGATGATGAGGATAACAAGAGCAAGGTTGGGGTAAGGGTGTGATGCAAGGGCTGAGACGAGGAGAATAAGGAGAAAAATGGTAGGGGCCCAAGCATCTAGATGTTCTTGTAACAGTCACCGCAGGAAGACATATAAGAGTGCCCAAACTGTCATAAGTGATGACAAGTCAGACATCCCAAGTGATACAGCCTCCCACAAGCATACACCTGCTGGCAGTATAAACAATGCCTGATCCCATATCTCCCACTGTCCCAAGTCTATTCACCCTCAAGCTTAGATCATCTACTTCTCCCACTGTCCTGAGTCCATTTGTCCCCGAGCTCAGGTCATCCACTTCTCCCACTGTCACAAGTCCATTCACCCCCAAGCTCACATCATCCACTCCTCCAGCTGTACCAAGTCCACTCCCAAACTTTTTGTCGATGGCCAGTTTTAGACCATTCTTCAATGGCAATATGTTTGACATGGACTTCTTGCCTGCAAATAGTCCTGGTGCTGGTACATCTGTTGACATGAGGTCCAAATTCAATTTTGATGGTATCTCAGGTATAATAGACTTCATAAACTTTGAATAGACTTTAGTTACCTTGCTTGTCAAATATGGGCTATGTTCTTTCTGTTGGTCAATCAAATAAAGCGGCAATGAATTTAATTAGATTGATATCAAGTAAGAAAAAAACACATTAATTGTATGTTGACTCATTGTACAAAGAAGGGCAACCAATGAGAATGAATGAAATCCAAGAGATCCTCAGAAGTCTTGCTTGACAGGAGTAAAACAGATTGAGAGAGCACTATTGACAACATTGGGGGAAGCAGGAAGGAAGAGGCAGCTGAGAAGGCTGAGATGGGGCCCCAGGACAATGAGGAGGATGGGAGGGCACTGACAATGCTATGGGGAAATGTGCACTGGCACCTTTGCCAAGCCCAGGACAATGAGGACGGGAGGGCACTGGCAATGATGGTGAGCAAGAGCAAGGGGTGTGAGAACCCCACTACAGGGAAATGCACACCTTTGCCAAAAGTGCACAGGTGGGATTTGCTGCCAAAGGTGTTGTTGCCGAGCTGCCTACTGTAGAATACCTTAAGGTATTAGATGATTTAGTACATGATTTAATGCTGGCAGTGTTGAGGATTATTGCAACTGAGCCAAATAATACTGAACCATACATGTGATTGCTCAGCATAGGAAGGCTTACCTATTGGGAAGGTCACTGAGGTGGATTTCGACACTAACACACTGACTGTGACATGTGACCATCAAATTCTATAGTATTCCAATTTTTCACTGCAAAACATTATTCATGCTGTTGATAAATATTTTTCAACTGGTTAATAACTATTAGTTGAAAAGTGTTTAAAACACCTGTTAATAAATGGTCTGCGACGATCAGTTTATAAACAGCTGTTGAAAAGTCGTGACGATTCTGAGCCGCCGGCTCAGGCTTTTCAACACCTCAAGCCGGGCCTTGGGCCCGGCCCGGCTCGGCCTAATCAGGCTTTGACCTGCCCATGGCCTGAAGCCGGGCCGTGCACATCACTAACCATAATCCGTGACTTGTCCTCTGACTTCGCTAAGACAAATCAAGTAACAACAGTAAGCACACTTTGGACCAATTTTTCCCCTCTCTTTCCATCTGGATTCACTGGAAATGAAGATTGCTATCACCGGATGCAATGGGGGTGTAGGGAGATGTGTCGTGCTCTGGGTGCTGAAGGAAGGGCACACTGTTGTTGGTGCAGACTGTGTCATTGCAGAAGATACCGACTTCTACAACAATCCTGCCTTTTCTTTCCACCCAGTGGACCTGAAGGACTTTGATGCGACTTTGAAGGTTTTCATGGGTTGTGATGCAATCATCCAGTTAGCAGCTTTTGCGCAACCGATGGACTACAAAACCAAGGTGCACAACGAGTAAGAGTTTCCCTCAGTCACAGTATTTCAAGTTCTTGAAGGTGGATTGTGCAGAAATGTTGTGATCACTTGGAATGTCCTGCGTGCAGCTGCTGAGGTGACTCAGAGAACATCTTGCTGATAGTATATGGACTAAATGCCTTGCAGTTAGGAATAAATCGTGTCGCACTGGCGTCCTCAGTCAATGTCTTGCGTGGGGTGTTCAGCACAGAGCCCACCTTTCAATATTTTCCGATCGACGAGAATCACCCATGCGAGCCTGACGAACCTTATGGACTTTCTAAATTGTGATTAATTCAAGTTTGTCTCATCAAATAAATAATAACAGAACCTGACTAAATCCTGCTAGAATTGCTGAGATACAAGCAGATACGATCGTCCGAAGATACCCATGCATGCGAATTGCAAGCATTCGAATCCACTGCTTTGTTCCTACTCGTGCGCGTGCCTGTAGACAGGATCACTTCCGCTTCCGAGGTGACCTTTGGGGCTACGTCCAAATGGACTCAGCAGCAGACGCCTTCCTGCGTGCAGTGACGGTGAAAGTGGATCGTTGGACAGGGCACGAGACATTTTTTATTGTTGCACCCCAGCTGGCCGCCGATGAGGACTGGTTAGAACTGAAGGAGAAGTACTTCCCCAATGTAACAGTCAAACCTGGCTGGACCGAGAGTGGCACGAAAGGATTCTTTGACTGTCGTAAAGCTGAGCACTTGCTTGGCTGGGTCCACACGGACTATGCATGAACATGTAGGAATACAGCGGTTCTATGTCATTTGTATTGATAACATGCGAGACTTGCACATTCCAAGCGGCACAGGATGAGTACCTGGGCCCTCAAACCCCGTTCTCGACTATCGTTTCTTTTGTGCTGCCACAATGCACGGGTACTGGCCGCCTTATTCTTTGTCGTGGAGTTCGACGCCTTCTCACGATCAGCTAGTTGTTCTATTCGATCCAACAAATGGACAATGTCCTCGATCCCCTGGGTTTGCGCAAGAATACGAACTTATGGGAGTGGCTGCACTAGAGATTCCGAGAAAAGATCCACAGTGAGCTTCACACCCACCACACAAGTATTCAGAGTCTCGATGTACGACACAAGGGTATTGTAAGTAGCACACGCAGGCAGTTGGGCCATGAGCACGACACGAACATCCGAGTTGTACTAGTAAGTATTATAATAGGATTCTATCGTCGGGCCAGAGTTGCACAAACCTCATACTCATAGCATATACCACAATGCATTATGAAACTCTAGAGCATGTATGATTGGTCAACCCATAGTATTGTGATTCTTTTTGCATCTCTCATCATTCAAAGAAGGGACGAACATATTGGTGGGTCTGGTTCATCTAATGCAGTCATGGCGATGGCGAATATATATACTGCGGCCAAAACGGTGTTTTGCGAGTTAGGAATCCTGATAAATTCAAGCGTCTTTGTCTTCCTTTCACATGTCATAATCTGTCCTGCGCCTCGAGCAGAAACTTGAGTGATGTTACTGTATTCAGAGTACATGAGTGACACTGAGAGTCCCGAAGCAAGTGCGCATAATATAGTCACGCAGGATGCAAGAAAGTTTGTAGCTATGCATACGCATCAATATGGGGCATTCGAGAAAATACGGAACGTACATATTCTTCGTAATGATGCAGCACCTCTCGAAGCTGTTTGCGTGATATCTCTGCTGTGTACAGGATCTCGTCGTCCGTTCGCTTACCGTCAAAGTACTGATTAATCCTGATAGTATATTAAAAGAATGCCAGTAAACAAGCAGATCGAGAACTGACAGTGCAAATCGTCTCGCGATATATTCATCCTTCCCGTCCGACATAGCTGCTAACCACTTTCGCTCCAACGGGCTCGCTGTTCCCGGATCGCTGATCATCGAAGGTTCAAGGGTATCCTCAGATGATCCCCAACCAACATTCTCCTCTCCTGAATCTTCCTCAGATATTTCGTCAAAGACATCTTCAGCATCCTCAAGCAGGATTGACCCTGGTACATCATTGGGCTTGTTCTGCCCTGAGTCCACAGACCGTCTCGGGTGTTGCCTAGCAGCTTTGGGTGAAAGCGATAACCATGGTGTGTTTACTCGTGGATGCTCGTGTGCATCACCCACGCCATAATCGCCCCTGCGGCTGCTTCTCCGGTGCCCGTGAAGATGGTAACTCGCCCGTCGCTCCAGCTTCCGTTCATGTGCTTGTCTGACGTGAATTTTGAGCTCAGTAGTGGTAATTACGCGCACGTGCAGATGCAGTGTGATAAGGAGATCGCGTTTCAGCATCCAAAGCACGACTTCGTGATACAGAGATATGAGATCCTTGGACTGCACGACCGTTGCAAAAAAGTGGTTATCTGCCTGCTTGGAATTAGAATTGGAGATCGTAGCCATGAGCGTAGGGAGGGGTGAGATAGACGGCTGTGGGAAATCACGTTTGAATTCAGCAGCAAGAGTGGCAAGCCTGAATTCAAATTAATTAATTAATTGCAAGACAGAGGAGCTATATTATACACTAACGGTTTATCAAAATTAGGAGCAATCGAAAATATGGTCTTCAATCCATTGTGGACTGTGTCAACAATCTTGGCGCGTCGGTGGTGGACTAACCAGCGAACAGTTGGATATACCTGGGATTGCAGGTCCCAGTCAAGCAAACTCGCCATATCTGCCAGTCTGAAAACGTTGTCAAATTGCATATCTATGATACAAAAATAGACCCACGATAATGTGATAGAAGCGGTCTCAAGAAACTTAATCAGGCCCTCCGCTAAGCTTCTCTCTTCAGCGTGCACGTGGGACCCTCTCAAGTTCACGTACGGATCCAGTTCCTGGTCGGTATCAAGGAGAAGCAAACTCTTCCAAGGCACAAGAGCTGGCAGGCACCACCCAAAACTGAGCTCGCGGCCCCATAGTTGAGAATCATTTTGATTCCCGAAACGACCGACGAATTCAAGTTCAGACTCCCCTTCGCTGTGCAATAAGTGGTCCAAATAAGGGGGGAGCTGCAGTTCGAGGGGAAGATCGTTGAGAGTTATGTGGGCCATGCTAGATGACTTTATAGCATCATAGAGATTTTTCATCGCAGTAGCGATGGATGACACTCGTTGTGCATGCGATGCGAAGTTAGAGAAACGCTCTCCTAGGTATGCATGTCAGCGACATGTACTGCTCAAGTGCTGGGCGCGACCAACCTTTTGCCATATACTCGGTTTCAAGCGAACCGATCGCATCGCATTCCAATTCCACAAAGTTTGACAGGACCTGTTCTTGGAAGAGCACAGCAGTGACAGTGAATGCAATTTGCTCGTAGATTGTGTCGAAATATCTTGCAACATTCCCAGAGGCTGATGATGACGGGTCTGGTAAATCGAACACAAAGACAAGATGAAACATGTGCAGCCACGAGCTTTTGGGCGTCGCGGTAGAGTGTAAGTCTCCACCAAGAGCGACTTCAGAGGTATCTTTGTCTGACAGATTGGATTCCCGATGTCGAGACCCGCGACCTCGTGAGCCGGGTTTGTATCTCTCTGGCTTGAAGCGCCACATGCCATCAGGTTCCGCGCAGACAGGGTGCCCAGCGAAGACGAGGTTATCAATGACAAGTTCAAATTTCTGGTGGCACAGGTGTCTCTGCGGACATAGCATGCCAGCCAGGAATTGGGCAGTGTAGTCGAACAAACGCTGATACTCATTCGCAATGGGGTCAATTTCCCGTCGTTCCTCGTTGCAAGGAGAACCACGGCCTGACGCTGGGATAGTAAGGCGGGAGAAAGACATGGACCTGTCGCGACTCTCAGTGGGTCTCCTCCATGCATACTCATCTATATCATCTACAGTACCCTCCACATGCGTTTTTGTTAAGTCATTTGAATTATCTGAGTAATGTGATGCACGCCAAGGGTTGTCTAACTCAAGACCATCAACAGGCGGACGCGGACGGGAGAGTCTGGGTCGAGTATTTTCCACGGATGCTGGCCATCGATACACAACGTTTGGCCCCTTTGCTGACGAGGTTACCAGCAAAATTGCTAGAAGAGTTTCAGCCATGCGACAAAAAGATTATGAAGCCCTTATATTGCAAGGCTTGCTTTCAGCCTGGAAGTAACGGACTTAAGACCGAGCGAAGTTCCGGCCATTGCCACACGGCCCGACGCTTCCTTTCCAGGTCTATCCAAAATTTATAATCGATAAGTGTTGCTCCCAATCACCAGCACTCAACTGAGCACCATCTTATACCGCGCTCTTCCGCTTTTCGTGCTCGCTATACCGTATCTAGCGACAAGGACAAACTTAGCCCAGAGAGTAACTGTTAGTTATGCCGAAGGTGCGTAAATCACCATATCTTTTCACAAGCATTCAAGCTGATCATCCATCTCAGAATAAAGGAAAGGTCACATCTTGTCCTATATCTAATGTTATCTAGTGCTGAACGCCTTTTTCTTCAGGGTGGAAAGAACCGCAGACGTGGAAAGAACGAAAATGACGACGACAAGCGTGAATTAGTCTTTCGTGAAGATGGACAAGAATACGCACAAGTAACAAAGATGCTTGGTAATGGTCGTCTCGAGGCAATGTGCTTCGATGGGGAGAAGAGGCTAGCCCACATTCGTGGTAAGATGCGAAAGAAGGTCAATATTTGACCTGCACATTATGAGCGCTCGTTTGAAGCCACTGTTTTAGGTGTGGATTAACCAGGGAGACATTGTACTCCTTTCTCTGCGGGACTTCCAGGATGACAAGGCCGATGTTATTGTTAAGTATACGGCGGATGAGGCGAGAAATTGTACGTAACATAATTCTTTTCATTGCATACACATAAAAAATTCATTCGATTACCACAGTAAAGGCCTATGGCGAGCTGCCAGAGAACGCGAAAATCAACGAGACAGACACCTTCCCCGAGGAGGATGGGGAGTGTACTTTCGAATTTGGTGATGAAGGGGAGGTCGATATCGACGATATTTAATCCCATCCCTGTATCAACCATGTATCATTCTTGCTTGTAAGTGGGTGCCTATTTTGTATCGCCGGTATTGACTGGGCCGTATCTTCAGTGTATTCTGTATTGGCCATTTCAACGCATCTTGTACATTGTACTCCTGCGGACATGAATTGATTAGACGCAATTTCAGGCACTGGCAGCGTGTATCAATCCGGATGTAGTCACTTCATAGTTCAAACTCATAACTTGTATTGATTCTCCTGATTGAAGCCAGCGCTGTATCCCTACCATGACGTGAACGCAGGTGATGAGTCTACACGGAATCGGATATCAATCACGGACACAAGGTCAACGCATCATTTGCAGAGTCTGCAAATCAGGTACACATCCCTTTTCTTTCATAAAATATTCTATGATATCCCGCGCATTGAGTTTCACGGCAACCTTGAGCATTTCGGGTGTTATTTGTGCTCGATCCTCCAATTTTGGTCTCTTCCCTTTCTGCTTCGATGCCCCTTGACCATGTTCCTGGCAATCCACTCTTTCCACAAGCAGTCGCACAAGAAAAAGATCCTTACGATATATAGCGACAAGGATCGGCATGTTGTTTTTGCAGCGAGGGGAAGCGCCATGATCAAGGAGAAAGCGAACTAGAGGCAGGAAGCCCACTTGGACAGCTTTTGTGAGGGCATAGCCATCATGTGAGTTGACGTCTGGGGGGTGAATTTGTGGACAAGTGAATAGATATTTTAGGAAGGGGAGTGGATGGTCATGATCTGTCCACAAAGGCAGCTTTGCGCGGGATTTTGGCGTGAGCGAACGAAAGAGGCGTCTTGGAAGTTCCGGTATCCAGGTTAAAGGTAAAATATCGCTTGCCATTCGAAACAATAACTCTAATATGTCCACTGTGCAAATTGGGTACCGCAATAGTTTCGAGAGAATCAACTCATCCTTAATTTGAGCGGCCTCAACAGACGCGATGAGAAATTGGGCGCGATAGGAGGGTGGAGACGCTCTGAATATTCTGTAGAGCGTCTTGCATGTCAGAGGGAAAGAGGGAGATACAGAGAAGATTTGTATCTCGTAGAGAAGCTGATGAATAAAATATATTTAAGTATCGAATAGTATCGGTGAAGAGTGAGATATCTACGAACCTCGACCGGAAGAGTGTTTATTGAGACACCCTTGGTCATCGCCAGGATGCGAGAAGGTCAGGAAGAAAACAGAGGTGGTGTTCTGCGTTAGCCGAGGCACGAGGCTAACACAGAATTGAGTCTACGCTTGACACACCGGCGGTTTGGGAGTTTTTCACTATGCGAGATTGGTTTCAGAATGTTAGTGATAAAGTTGATGTTTTTACTATACATTCCCGCTACGTCAGTAGTGGGTTTTGCCGGTGTCATGCTCGAAAAAACCTCATCGACCAATTTTTGGCAGAAAAATGCGTTCCAGTCGCAAAATGTCGTTTTATTTACACGGTCATGTGACATTCTTTCTAAGTGTCCGCTCACATTGATCTTGCTTAGTTGTCGACTACTATGTCTTCTATTTATCACGAAGTCTTTGGATCTTTTGCAGATGTTCCTGCTGTTATCCGTGTCAACGGTGCGAGTCCTGATTCCACCGTGTCCTTATCTTTTTTGCACAATTGCAATGTGCCACGTTCTATTATTAACCATAATGGCGTGGCTGTGGAATCGACTTCTGGTCCGGTGTGCGTCCCTACTGTCGACGGATGGTATAATTCTCGACAAACGTTTCGCTCCGTCTATCTGAAAGGGTGCGACGTTGAGCTTGGTCTTGATTGGCTCGCATTAGTACATGCGAGGTTTGATGGATCTCGATTCCTTCGGCCTTCGGAGACAGATCTATTGCAGCTTTCTGGCGGTCATATTTGGAATTCTCAACCTAGAAGTATGTGTGCTCGTCCGTATCATTTTCGTATGGCTGAATGATCATTTATAGATGATTTATCATCTTCTGCTATCCAAGTGGAATCATCTTTAGCTACCCAAGTGGGTTCATCGTCTGCTACCCAAGCGGGTTTGCCTTCGTTATCTTCATCATGTAATAATTTTTTTGATGGTTATGAAACATTATGCAGACCTGATCTGAGTGCATTGGCTATTGCCCATGGGCTTTTGGTAGATGAACATCTGTCTGTTGAAGATCTTCGGGAGATTATTTCTCATCACGTTGGCACGGGTCTTTGTTCTTCTTCTTTATCAGAAACATTTGAAGGGTGCAATTCACTCCGTCGACAATTAAATTTGCATTGTAAGGACGAAGGAGAGGTACTTGCAGGAGCAATCGCATTCTTGACAGCGATATTGACCAATACCAAACGACGTCCTTTAGAACGATTATTGAAAGCAAATGGAATTGATTTCGAGCCGGGATCAAAAACAGGACGACTACGCCGTACATTGAAAAAGCACATCAAATCACTGCAAAAAGCAAAGTCAAAATCATCTAAGCAATATGATTCTGAAATCCGTCGTCATCAGCTTCGTTCTGACTGGCCTCAGACTCCTTCTTCACAGCTGAAGCGTTACTTGATACAAATGTTTAAGAAAGAGACCTCATCGGAAAAACTAGCTACATTTACTTGTGCATGCTGTGCAGAGAGTGTTTTGCGTTCTGATTGTGTGATCACATCTTTGGATGATTTCGAACTGTCTCTTTTACATAGACCTGATCGACAAAATGATCCAATGTCAAATGATTATTTTGACATAGACTGTCCTCTTCCTCCATTGCCGTTTTCCGAGTTAGATGGTCCACTGCATGACTTGATGCTCGATTCCAGTGGGGTGAGACAATCCACTGATGGTGAATTCCAATTATCATTATGCGGTGTATGTCACAAAAATCTCAAGAAGGGAAAATGACCAGCACTTAGTCTAGCAAATCGTACTTTTTTAGGCGACATCCCTGATGAATTGAAGGACTTGACAGTCGTCGAGGAAGCAATGATTGCTCGTTGTCGTGCGAAATGCTGGATTATTCAGTTGAAGGAAGAAAATCAGGATTTACAACTTTCTAGCAACCAACGTGGAATGAAAGGTCATATAATTATCTATCCTCAGCGCCCAGAAGGAATTGCAAAGATCTTACCTCCGCCTGTATCAGACATTATTACTCCAATATGTGTCATTTTTGTAGGATCGTGTCCTTCGACTCGTGAATGGCTTGAAGAAAAGGCGAAACCTTTGATAGCTCAGAGAGAAAAAGTTCGTGCTGCATTAGTTTGGCTGAAAAAACACAATCAGCTTTACAAAGATGTCATTATCGATTTCGATGTTTTGAACTCTATGGAAGAGAAAACACTGATGCCTTTTCATGTTGATCATGTCCTTCCTAATGATGCGCGTGATTCTTTAACATCAAAGTATGATGCGACCGAGGCAGTGCAGTTAGATGACAAAGTTTTGGAGCATACTAGTAATGATCAATCAGTGCAGGCTGCTGAGCTAGAAGTTAATTTTGAAAAGGTTGTAGTCACTGATGTTGATGGAAATGCATCTGCAAACGAATTGCATGCTGCGGCAGTTCGTCATATTAAGAACAAGGGCGGTGGATATGTCCAGATCCCTCATGGTCCTGAACCTGTCAATGAGTTCTTTGATCCAGACCTATTTCCGATGATTTATCCTACATTGTTTCCATACGGACTGGGAGGATTTGAAGATCACTTACGCTCCAAACCGTTGTCGATCAAAAGGCATGTTAAACATCTTTTCAATCTTGCAGATCGTCGTTTTCAACAACATTACTCGTTTCTGTTCACAGCATTTAACATTTTACAGCGCCGAAAGATTCTATTACATACATCTTTGAAGGTGAAGCATGATTCCTTTCCAACTGTAGCTACTAATCTTGCCGCTGTTTTGCCTATACCTGAGAGTTCAAAGTCAATGCACGAAGCATGTAAGACTTGTGAACTCTGCACTATGGGCAAGTCTATGTAAACAAATATAAACAATTCCTAGTATGGTATGTGTCCTCAAAGTGTCCTCAAAGTCCTCGAAGTTATCTACTAATATAGTAATGTCCTTGAAGTGTCCTTCAAGTCTTCAAAGTCTTAGAAGTCTTCGACCTATCTAGTGTGAAGTCACCACACAACTAACACTCCCCCCTGACTGAACACATCTCTAATCTCTAACAACTCCCCCCTCATCTGTGTAGTCCCATCATCCTGCAAAATAGTTCCACCTTGGGTCGACTCAAAGACTTTGTCAAGATGTCGGCTGGCTGATCAGCTTGGGCACAAAGATAGGCGCAATTATCTCTTTGTGAACAACGTCTCTGAGCCAATACCAACTAAGATCCAGTTGCTTCATCCTCCCGTGGTGTTCTGGGTGTTTGGCAACAGATATGGCGCTCTGGTTGTCTATTCCAAGTATGGATGGTGCAGTGGTGGAGAATCCCATCTCCTGCAGCAAGTTTCGCATCCATCGGATCTCCTTGCCTGCTGAGACTGCAGAGATGTACTCTGCTTCAGTAGTAGATAGCGCAACAATGCTTTGTAGCTTAGAAGACCACGAGACGACTCCAGAGCCAATCTTCACCAAGTATCCACCAGTGGAGCGCCCTGTGTCCTTGCATCCACCATGATCAGCATCAGAATAGGTTGAGAACAGTTCGGTGCTTGATGGATCAGGCGCATAAGTGATCTTGTAGTCGGCAGTCCCTCTGAGATAGTGAAGCAGGTGCTTGACAGCTTGCCAGTGAGCTAATCCTGGATTCGAGTTGAATCTGGCAAGATAACCAACAGTGTGGGCAATGTCTGGTTGAGTTGTTGTTGCCAAGTACATCAGGGCGCCTACTGCAGCTAGGTATGGGACGATCTTCATGAGCTGGACCTCTTCAGGCGTCTGGGGACTCTGGGAGCGACCGAGTTGAAGGTTGGGCTGCATGGGAGTGGATATGGGCTTGCAATCAGCCATGCCAAAATGCTCAAGGATGTCTAGACAGTACTGCTGCTGAGATATGGTGATGGAGTGCTTAGACCAGTTTCTGTCTATCTTACAGCTGATTGCAATATTATGTGGAAACGCACAAGTTGAATTTGCGTCTCGGAAACACCCGAAGTAAGACCCCATAAGCACAGTCTGAGCACACTGCAAGTGATCCGCAGTCAGTATACAGTGCCGCCTAGACCAGTGATGGCTTCACCTTCCGCATCCCCTGAGCCAGAAATACCTCGGTTTGAAACTGTTTTTGTTGTAAATCTTGACACATATACAAAGAACTCGACAGAAAACAATGGAAAAACCAAAGTCAAGGAGGTGAAGTCTACCAAGGTCAAAGAAGTTGTTTTTCATGTCTCCGCACCCAATTACCTTGAATTCCTCACAACTATGCTTGCAAAGCACGACAAATCACTTTATAAGGTTACCGAGAAGAAAAGGTACACTTTTAAATACCTTCCTGGTGCTTCTCGCAGGTATGTCGGTCCTTAGATCATCTGACTCATGCCACGGCAACGATGGGATATCACTTACTCAGGTGATCAATTATAGCCGCACGGAAGCCATGGATGTCGACAACAAGAATGATTATGCCGAGATGGCAAAGAAGATCATTTCCGAGAAACTCAAAAAGATCAAGATTTTCATTGACATGAAGAATGTCGAGAAACTGCCTGTTTCTACCCATGAGGCAAGCCTCAAAAACTTTGTAATACCTCAACTAACAAAGAAATAGAGTTCTTTAGGAAATGCTGCTACCAATGAGAGTGGAGAATCTGAGGATGAGGAAACTGTGCTTGTTGTTGAGGTATTTCGACTGCAAAGACAGATCTCGTGATTTCGGCTGTTTAATGATGCTTCTTGTAGACTGGTGCTTCAGAGCTCAAGTGTGAAATTGCTCGTTATCAACGACTCATTATCAAGAAGTGGGGTAATGACTATGACAACTCGATTATGTACATTCACGCGAGTGGTATGGAGATTCCTTGTACCCCAGCCATGGTGAAAGACTGGGCTCATGCAATGGTAATTGATTTGTAGCGACTTTATGTGTCTCTAGTTGAACCTCGTGTTTTCTCAGTATGATGGTGAAGCCACGACTTCGATGTCACCAAATATCCCATCATTCGATCCTGCGAAACGCGAGCCTGCGCTGCACCCAATGTGCCGCACTGCATCAGCCACATCTATGGCACCTCCCGCTGTAAATGCCAATGACATTAGCTCACTCACTTCAATGCTTCTGTTGCAGACAGTTCAAGATCTTGCCCGTAACCAAGACCACGCTACAATTCCTTCAACACCTATAGTCCGTGCTTCTGTGCTTACTCAGTCACCTGCCATATTGACACCATCGAAACTTACTCGCTTCCTGGAGTATGCTGAGCAGGAACTCGGTGTTAGCCAGGCAATGATGTATGAATCATCATTGCGTAGTATTGGAGCTGGTCCAGACATCCTTGTCGAGATTGCTGACCAAGAACTCGCTCGCATTGGGCTCACCCCAGGTGACATCATTCGTTTGAAAAAAGGAAGCGTCACTTGGTGGAATGGCCCTCTTGCGAAGAATGAGCTAATGGACAGTACAAAATGTAAATGTAGTGATACTATCAATTCCGAGATTCCTGAGGACCGGAGATACCAGTATGAAAAAAGATACCATGATGGAGGACGAGCACGCATCAATGGGAGTAGAATGAGAATCGAAGAGCGGCCACCTGGTGAGTTTGATGGTATGATTGTCATGCAATCTGGACTCACGAGATTTAGGGGAGTGTCCTGATCTTGATTATGATCTTTATTACTTTTGCGGCAACAGACGAGAGTGGGTTCCCTTTCCACCAGGGTATACATTTGATGCAGAAGGTAGTCGCGAAGATGAAGATCCATTCAGGTAGAAATACATCAGAAATATTTAGGCAATATAACCAGAAGCACGGAAATACCCTTCTGCTTTATCAGGTGTAATGTTTTGGCATGCTTGTACAATAACAGTCAAGGACTTATCGAGAAAATGACGACGTAAGTAAGACTTGAAGAAGAAAAAGCCTGCTCAATGGGGTTATAGTCTGATGAGTACGGAGGTAGAAACACGAGTTTACACATAGCCTCATCCTCTACAACACGTCGGACTTCTTCGCTGTGGTGGATACGACAATTGTCCAATACGAGAACACTACAAGGACCAGGGTAGGGGTTGGTCAAGGGCAGCTATTCATAAATCAATCAGCGAGAATCACGAAATTATTACAAGTCATACCACATGTTCTTGTAAGAACTGCATGAATCTCTCGCTTGTCACGAAACATTTCCTCTGGATACACCTGGTATGAATTAGCCAAAACTGATACTGATCTGTAAACAAAGTAAACCTTGTTCCAATTTTCGAGTGTCCAAATTTACGAATCAATGTCCTTTCATCTTTTGCAGCTTCATCACCAAACATCAACATTTCAGGGTCTGGCACAATCTCGGCAATATTGTTCATAAATATAGCACGTTGTTCCTCATCTCGTTCAAGAGCAAGAGCCAAGATATTCTTGTGGCTGTAATGTAGCCTGTGCAAGGTGCGGAACAGTGTGTGTACAGATACAAAAACACCACGGCGAGCCCGCAACTCGTGTTGTAGTTCATCAAGGTACATAGTGGGATTTCGACGAAGGATAGTAGTGAGAAAGGCAATATCGTCTATACTGAGGTTGCGACGGCGGCCACGAAGCCCATGGTTTGCATGTTGAGATGAGGTGCCAGTCAATTTGATGGTTTTGTAGACAAGAGTCTTCTTGATACCAAGTAAATGGCAAATTCGTGTGACGGAATACCCACGTCGGTGCAAAACAGGTATGCGAGCCTTTAGATGTGGTGAAACTGTGTGTGGCGGCATGGTGAGTGCGTCGTTGAATGAGATGCAGTAAGCCAAACACTTACAGGGTCTTACTTCGGGTGTTTCCGAGATGCAAATTCAACTTGTGCGTTTCCGCATAATATTGC